CATCGGTCGGGGCGGTGGACGCGACCAGATCCACGCTCATTCGGTTCATAGCGGCGGTCGCGGAGGCGAGTTCAGGATCGGCGATTGGAGACCCGGGACGAGAAAGCGAGTCGGCGACGGAAGGAGCGGGATGGGAAGAGGACACGATGGGAGCGGAAGGAGAGGGAGAGCGAAGAAAAAGGGGGAAGGGTAGGACGGACTCTGCTTCTAGGGCGGCCATTTGACGGTCCCCTTCTTCCGGATCCATCGATCCATCGAACATGGCCTCCACCAAGGCCTCCCGGCGCCGCTGACGATCATCTTCGGCGATACGCAAGGCAGCAGCAGCCCGCGCTGCCTCAGCCTCCTCAGCCTCGCGTTCGGCAATGGCGACCCGTGCCGATTCCTCCTCCAGGGCCTGTGCTTCGGCCGCTTGTCGCTGTTGCTGCGTCGCAAAGTGCGCCGCCCGTTGCGGTAGGATACGCGTTCCCCAGGCCAGCCAGTCATCGGTGGCCATGTGGTCGAGGCCATGCTCGGCCTCGGCGATCCAGTCGGCGAGTTCGGGAAGGTCTTGCCCACGCGCTGAGCGATCTAAAACAGCCTGAAAAGACGTCAGCGAGCAGCAGGGACAAGAGAAAAGAGCCGACTTACCACTCGCTTGGCGAAACCTCGCGCCCAGGCCTCGTAGTCCTTGTATTCGGCGGCACCATCCGGAAGGGAGAGCATATACTCTCCGAGTTTCGTCTTCAGGGCGGAGAGGAGGGCTGACATGTCGGAAGAGACGAAGGAATTGAGCGGTAGGCAAGCGGCGATGAGGGACTTGGTCGCTGGAGAATCAACGATCGGCACGTGACTGTGGTCACCTGACAAAGCCACGAGCCACTGCGCGCGGCAGTAATTGCGATACGCGCCACCGCGCCTTGCCGACACGCTCTCACGCCACCGTCTAGTTGGGACACGCTAGGCTTTAGCCACTTCCTCACCTAATCAGTTGCCACGCCACAGGACTTTGCCGACTCAGCCCCGGTCTCTCTTGCGCGCCGACCCGGTTCTTTCTACGACATCTCTTTGCCGATTATTCACCTGTGCCACATCCCTCCCACGCACCCACTCCTTTCCACGCCACCGCTCATAGCCGATCTTTTTCCCACGAAACTTGCCACACCGCTCCATTTTCCACGCCACAGCTATTCTTTCCACGCTATCGCTTGTTACCAACTCTTTCCCACATCCACGCCACCACATTTTCTACACCATTTTTTTCCCGCTCCGACTCATAGCCGACGACCACTGACTGAGGACAGTCAGGATTTCAGTAGGGAGGAGATGATGAGCATGCACCCGCGCTAGGGTCCGAGGGAGGTATTCGTGAAGCTTTGGGGAGATACCGAACAGCGCTCGACAAGTACCGAAGACGCCGACTATTACCGAACACGGTCGGTCCCTACCCGACCGACGACAAGCCACCGAAGGACGTTCGGCAGCACTTGGGTCAGTTCGCCCACACTTCACGTACTTACCATGACCGCATAGGAGTGTTACGATAAGTGTTTACGAGATCGGAGCCAGTATTCCGTATCGGCCGATGTCCTCCGTGAGTCGGTCGGTCCTTATCGTTTATCTTCCCGACTTCCGCATGGTCGGTCAAACGCGATCTTGCACCATTGCTTGGCCACCCTGGTCGTACGATACCTCTTCTTTATTTTTCATTGGCTCTCCAACGCCTGTTCCTGCTACCTACGCTCGGGCGACGGATCCCGAACGTTCGGGATTTCGACATCACTGATTACCTTTTACCTTATCACCTTCGGAACCCATATGGACATCTCACCTACCTTCTTATCTTCTCTGATCGCTGGGGCTTGGCGCCCATTCGACATCTACTCTCATTTCTTGTTTAATATTTTACTTAGGGGCTCTGTTTACTATAAAAACCTACATACAACTCTGGAATAAACCAGCTTTCGCACCCCACAGTTCAGAGCTCATTCGCACTCGTCTCAACCATCGAAATCGTCTTCGTCGACTTCCGAAAAACTTGTCATCCTCGTCGTTCGGCCTCATTCGCGTTCGTACTCGTCTCTTCGCTCGTACCCCCCCGTCCTCCCTCGTATATTGTCAGAGTCCCGTGTGGCTCTTGAAGCACGTAGTTGTCGGTCGCGACACTACCTTCTCATTACCGACCGCATCGCCGACACGACCGACCGAACGTTCGGTCGGTGTTCGGCGCAGTCCCGAAACCGTTCGGGCGCTATAATCTCACACTCCCCGATTGCTTCTCAGTACGCCTTCAATTTCTAAAGTCATCACTTACAATTCCTTGTGTATCAGATACTAGCTCCAGCACCCCTGCCTTAGAGGTTGTTTTAGTGTTGTGCTCGGCACTTAGAGCCACCTCTAGCGTAACAACGTCATCGATGAAAACAATGACAGGAACGGAATACACCATGCGCTGACCCGCCTTCTCTCGCAGAGGATGTGGGCATACTACTTGGTAGTCAGCTCTCTCTCCTATACATTCCTTTAATATGAAAGGCCGTGGAAATAAAATCACAGTAACACGCACCATCAAATATCAGTGGAGAAGCTTGGTTTTGAAGGAGGATATCGACAACGTTATACTTGAAGGTTGATACACGGACACCAACCATTTTGTCCGTCGCAACGTGCAGAGTTCCTTGCTGAAGACATAGTATTACTTAACTGAATGCTTAGACAGGGGCCAATGAACACAGACGCACCTCAGATCGATGGACACGATAGCCCAAGCCCCAGTGCTCTCCTGCACACAAGATCCACCGCTTTGCAATGAACAGATCTCCGTGGTCCCGCTGAATTAGCTCATCCACATAGTATATTGTGCCGTTGGAGCGCACGGTTGCAGTGAGTATGTTGTCAGGAACATCAACTAGCAGCTTCGCCGCATTCCATATGCTGCCTTGGAGGTCTTCGGGATACAGTGGTCCCATCTTGCTACGAGTAATGGGGTTGGCAAAATCCTATGCACAAGTGTGAAGTCAAGTACCATCCACGATGCTAGTAGAAGCACAATGCGCACCTCTGCCACGGATTGCGCTATGTCATTCAGATACCAGACATTGCCGGAGGAGGAGCATTCACGGTGGGTCGGATTTCCGATCGCATGTCTCAGTTCTGCTCGAGTGCGCTGCATTGTATCGTAGGTCGGCGGATTGGCACCAAGTTCCCTCGCCCATGACAGTATTGCATGCTGTTGCGTACGAGAGAAGCGCAGACGAGGTGCACTGAGTAAAAGGTGGGTTAAGAATGTCTGTAAAATAATCAGTGTACATCGTGAAGAGGATGTCACGAGTGAAACATTCAACATACAGCCTTGTTAGGCCACGGAAACCATTCCTGCTGTTGTACGGACGATGTTGATGGTATGGAGGGCTGTGGGCTTTTGGAAGGCAGCTTTCCTAGAATTGAATACTCAGCACTATTGACTGTTGGAATACATCTGGGTGACCTACTGAAGACGCTGTCATCATACCAGTCATCGCCTTCTGAGTCTGTGCCATCGGACATATCGCCCTCATCCGTGTCATGCAAGGGTATTTCTTCGGACTCATGACGCATGCTTGCCGCTCGTAATGTACGCACAAAAGACTTGAGAAGGGGATCTGTAACGTCATCTTCGAGCTGATCTAGAAAATCGGACGGCCCTTCATCATATCCTGCATCAGTTGCTTCTGTACTGCCTGCTGGTCAGATAGGAGGCTGGTCAGTTGATATTCTACATCACAAGCCAGCTGGACTGCACGCACTGCGCTCAGAGTGAGGTGTGCACTTATCGACGTCTTCCACTGATCGCTCCGCTTTGAGGTGAACATAGCCTTTATGACCCTGGCTATTCATATGCTTCCGAAGCTCTGAGGAGGTCATGTTGACCGTCCACTGTGTACGAGGGCATACTACACATTCAGCAAAACCGTTCCGGCAGTATCTAAACTCCACTGCTAATGTGGATCTATCACCGGCACTCCTGCACTTTGGAAACCAGAGTTCAACTTACTTTCAATTCCAGTTTCCAACTTGCAAGGATTGTACATAAAGAAAATTGAAGCCTACTGTTTTGCGAGATAGAGAGCACGGATTTGTTGTGTTGAAAACTTAAAAAACTGTTAAGGATTATCTATTACTACACAAGGAAGGAACGAGGCCATGACGATGTGGATATCACAGATCTGGAGATTTGCCTCAGATTTCCGACGTCTTGAGCCGATAAGGGTGGGCCCTCGAACGGGATGTTGCTCCGATGCAGGAATCGATGTGGGAGGAGAGTTGGAGGCACGGCGTTGTTTTTATGGCGAAATCATGCTCACATCACCATCAACTTGCTCACGTTGGACCAAGGGCGCGTTTCATGTCGGAGTGTGACTGAGTTCAGGGTCCAGCCGATGTTGCTCCATTTTTCACCGTCCATTGTCGGATACACTCCGGCGGTGTAGTAGCACATTTGCTTTAAAGAGCTCAGAACCAGGCAACTTTCACACCTGCCATTCACTGCTCCTCGGTATCCCCGGGAAGATGCCTAGATCAATCGGATACAATGTCATCGTAAGCATGCATTCTCATCAGCCACAATGGCCAAACTTCCTACAAAGCAAACTCTCAAGATCAACTAGACAATCCATGAGGCCCAGAACACACTGTCTCAACCCCATATAAAAACTGAAGCGCCGATTACATGCCGAGGCCGAAGTCGGTGTGGGTGGTGAATGTTCGTTGATGATGATTTATGAGTACTGAGTCCCGAAGTACTATCGTGAGGGATGAGAGGGGTCAGGGCTATTTGATGATAAAACCCCACATTCACTCTGTGTTCTCCCACTCGATATGCATCTGGCGTTACTCTTGGTTGCAGTCCAGTGTAGAGTGTATGGAATAAACATGAGTGCTCGATCTCTTAATCACAATTAATAACATCTTATCTTATCGGAGCCTGACTAGATTTGTGAGTGACGTGACCGAGTCTTAGTCACTGCTTGAACTCCACGATCATGAGCGAGTACTGGGTCTCAAAGAAACGCTACTTCTGCAAGTACTGCGACATCTACATCACAGATGATGCTCCATCCAGACAGCAGCATGAAAGTGGGCTCCGGCATCAAGGAAACAAGGATCGCTTCGTCCGCGGTCTTTACAAGGCTGGAGAGAAGCGCAAAAAGGACTTAGAGGAGGAGAAGAGGGAGATGGCGAGGATCGAGCAGGTGCGTTTTTCTTCATCCTATCCCTGATTGGGACTCATGGCACGTCGTGCGCATAGGCTGCGCAAGCAGCTTTCTCGCAGGATGTAGGCGCTGGGCACGCCAAGCCGATCACATCGCACACACCTACACCTAGCGTAGCATCATCGAGTCGGAAACCAGCCCCAAGAGCAGGCGGCGTATTCGCTGACTACTCAACGGCAGAATCGCTCGGTTACACAGACCCCGACCTCGAGCACGCGCTCGCCGAGGCGGAACGGCGGCAGCAGCAAGGGTTCGTGGGGGAGTGGCAGATTGTCGAGAATACGACACCACCAATGTCTGCTCATTTCGGGGGGCAGCCAGCTGAGGACATAAAGTCGGGGGCGGAGCCTGCAGAGGGAGGCAACAAACGCCGGGCAGAGGAGCCGTTGGACGAAGAAGATGAGCACCGGTGGAAGTTGAGAAAGAAGACGATAAGTGTGGGGCTAGGAGAAATATATGATCCAGGTATCATCGCGATCAAGGTCAAGCCAAAAAAGGAGGAGCCCAAAGACGACGCGGGCGTATTGCGAGGCAAGGGAACCTTGGGCGGCGATGCAATTGGTATCAAGGCAGGGACAGGAGAGACCGGCCCAAAGGCAAGTGCGATGCCTAGGTGGACATCTGTAAAATGGAAGAAGACAGGTGTTGCTGAGGCTGATGGTGATGCTGAGGTGCCCTCTGCCTCTGAAGAGAACGCGGTTCCAAACTCTGATAATATTCTGGATTCAGAGACAGTTGATGCTAATGGCGAGACAAAGGAGGAGCCTAACGAGGGCGCGCTCGAACCTTTGGTCAAAGAAGAGGAGAGTGTAACAGCAGCATCTACCACACTTGGGGGCAACTTGTTCAAGAAACGCAGAATACCTATCGCGGCTGGTGCTGGACGACGAGGAAGAACTTTTTGAGAGACATTGCTCATATTGTTTTGTATGTCATATTGGCACGATGATCGACTGATAATCGACGGTGCCTCATACGCGCATGAAGTAGATTGGACACCGGTGATGCATATCTTTCACCCAGCGTTCTCAGTGTGCAAATACTTCCCAGTCTTATGCGCGATCGAGAGGATCTGTTGTGATGCTTCCGCTGAAAACAGAACAGAACAGAACAGAACAGCAAATTTAAGCGTATAATACAGCGTTATCAAACATGGCGCTTGATAAAGAGATCACAGAAGAAATCCATCACATATCAAGCAGTCGCAGCAATTGGTCGAGGCACAGAAGCCTGTCGCAAATCTGGCACTACCGTCGCAGCGCCCGTGGTATCATTGATGTCAAGCCCCACCTGGAGCTTCACAGCGCGACATTCAGCCACGAAGTCCGTGAACATCTGTACACAGGGATCGTATAAGCCAAGATCGACGGGAGAGATTTGACAATGTACCTCGATAGTGTCGAGTGGTCCGCCTGCACTCTCCGGATGGAACTGCACGCCCCAAACGCGCTTCCCAGATTCTGCAGTCGACTTGATGCCTTCGACAGACGAATCGTTGCAGTTAATAAAGAAAGGCTCCCAGCCTTGTGGGAAAGGGTCTTGGAGTTTCAGAGCATACTGGTGATTTTGACTGAATTCAACGTCAGAACTTGTCACGATAGATATAAAGAAAGGAAGGTGGGGCGCACCTAGTCACATAGACGCGTCCAGCCTTGATAGATCCGGACGAAGCTAATGCCAATACGGGCTGATTGTGCCCACGATTTCCGAACGTCATCCGGTAGGCATCGAGCCCCGCAGCCATACCAATGATCTGGTGACCCATGCAGATGCCAAAGATCGGTTTGGTCCACTCAGCCAGCGTCTGTCGCAACTTCAACGCGGCGTCCCAGCACTGCTGCGGGTCACCTGGTCCATTCGACAAAAACAGTCCATCAAATTGATCCCGGACGCTGTTGAAATCATAGTTCCACGGCATGACTGTGACAGCAGCGCCACGGCGGACGAGCGAGCGCAGAATGTTGGCCTTCGCACCGAAGTCAAGAACAGCGATCTTGACGTCGCCGGTGGGGTTAAGTACGTAAGGCTCTTTGGTGGACACCTGGTCGACGAGGTTCTCCTGGCTCGGATCCCAGTACTCGTGCTCAGCAGGCGCCGGCTGCGATACATCGGCACCGACAGCAAGACGTCCAAGAGTGGTACCTTGATCACGGAGAAGTGTGGTGATGGCACGAGTATCCACACCCGTGATGCCTGGGATGTTGTAGCGATTGCACCACGATGCGATGGATTCAACGGCAAGATAGTGGGAATATTTTTCTGCCACGTCCGCGACCACAACGCCGGCACACTGGATCCCTTGGGATTCAAGAACGACACCGACATTTTGTGCGTCCATGGGAGCCTTGTTGCTTGGTACGCCGTAATTGCCAATGAGAGGGGTGGTGAAAACAAGGATTTGGCCACGGTATGACGGGTCTGTCATCGATTCTGTGTCTGATGATGAACGCGGGTCAGCTGCTGTTCAAAGACACTTCATGAAAAGCAAAATGCTACGTACATGACGTAATAGAAGTGGAGAAAACAGTCTCGCCATAGATACTTCGAGGGGCCCCAAAAGATCGTCCAGAGAATGACTGGCCAGTCTTGAGATGCAGCACAGCGGGCGTTGTCGATGTAGCCGAGCTGGCATGGGTTGCAAAGCCCCTATAGATACGAGGAAGACGGAGAAGAGGTCGAAAAAACATTGTGGTGCTTGATTTAATGAACCGGTAAGGAGAAAACGAGGTCGCTGAGATAGCTAGAAGAGTGAAGGGGGGGGGCTGTGAGCAACCAGTCCTCGCACATATCAAGAATTAAGAAGGACATACTCGTCGCGAGTGAGCTTGTTGAACATGAACGGGTGGGGATTGCCCAGGTCAACGATGGGGTGGTGGTTCGGGGAAAAGAAAAACGAGTCAAATTTCATTGATAAATGGCGAACTTTCTTACGTCTCACACGTGATCGTTAACAACCATTCAATTTGTAAGCAAAGTCGAACTAAACCTCAGACTAATAAGCCGATCCTGTCGAGCCCACAATCTAGGTACTACAACCACCTCCTCCAAGATGACGGAGTCATCAAACAACGCGATGACTGTTCTGGATCGGTCAAAACACGGTTCCATCTATCCGCATATTTGGAAATACACAGAGCGGTGCAAATTATGCCATTAGTTTATTCCACCCTCTATCCTGCTGGTCCCCAAGGCATCCGTCCTCACCGTAAAGCAGACAGGCACAGCCCTTCACCAGAATACTATAAGCGAGATCAGTACGTAGAGCCCCACTGGCGGCCACGCAGCGCCTAAAAAGTCAGAGCCGAAGCGCCCCACAAAGCCCTTCGGCCGCTGCTGTTGTCCGGATTTCCAAAACCGCGGGAGCCTCCACGGTCCTCGTGTGCCCCGGCGCTGTAGTGCGGAGAAAGAAGACGACTTCGATGCCGAGCCTGGTACAGGGAGGCCGTGATCCTCAACGTCCACGTCAAACAGCTCATATTGCTCTGCACGTGCATGTCGACGCGACGGTGCCATGAAACCACTCGACGGGAAATATGTGGCACTGTGGTGAACGATCACGCACAGCGTGAGGAGGAAGAGAGGTAGGTATATCCAGATGTATATGCTCAGCTGGTTCGGGAGGAAGCACGGGCGGTCGGCAAACGTGGAAAGGGGTGCGTCGTCTTGCTGTGAGTAAGGGGGGCCCGAGGGGGACAGCGAGAGGAGATGAAAGCCTGGGCGGGCGATACCCATGGCCATAGAAAACGATTTGACGGACACCTCGCGCACCTCCGTAGGCGTGATCGGCGAATCATCTTCGATGCGAAGTCTATGCGTGTATTCACAATAATCGTGGTCGTCGCCGCTAAGAAATCATCGCGAAACGGGGTTCAGTCAAGAGACCGGTGCTTCGTTCTTTTCTGAGATGGATGCGCACCTGAATACGAGCGAGGGCCGGAAAGTTTCCAGAAGCATATTGGTGGTTGCCTGCGACAGCGTGTTTTCGTACCCGGCGCCTCGCCCAGCGCGGATCCAGCCTTTCTCACGTAGAGGCCCGCAGGAGGCGCCTTCGGGACGAGAGAGTGGGATGTGTGAGAATAAAATCAATGGTTTGCGTGGCAGATCTGAATATTTTCGAGCTTAGCCTTTCCGCGATGCCTGGGAAGCAAAAAAAGAAACGAGCCGAGAAAAATAGACGTACTCCCGCCAGAATTCAGCGAGTGAATGAACTTGGCTTCTTTGAGTTCCTTTGGCAGCCATTGGGTGCCCTCTTGACCCTGTTGTTTACGTACCCGATCTTCCTCGACCAGAATGGGCGCGTCTATGAGCACGAGGGAATGATTTGCCAGCGAGACGTGCTGATTCAACGGCCCAAAATTCGACATATACCGTAGGCGCGCCATTTTCTTCTTGTCTGCTGTAGCACCAATTCTGTTCGGAGAAATCAGTCAAATTCAAAGACATGAGGGATCAGCAGGCGAACCCGACATCGTGATTGCCTGGCAAATAATAGATAGGGGCCGTTGATATCGGGGAGAATATATTATAGAAACGATGGAGGTAAGCGTTATATCTACTCATTTGTATAATGAGGCCACAACGGTATGATGGGAATTTATATGGTAGACGCACTCGTTTGGGGACAAATCATCCCGGCCGTTGTCCATCATGTCTCCAAGAAATACGACCGCGTCCGGACGCGTCGCCTTTGCGGCTCGCCAGGACTTTCTCAGGTTGAGGTCGACGATATATTGGCTGAGAGACATGAGCCAAGGATTACGACCAGGATACGAATCGTGATTGAGGACTTGCGGATCCGCAACAATAAGAATACGTTGGGACCGCGCACCCTAGATGATGCATATCTTCCTTCCACGTTCAGACATTTTCAAGCAAATATGAAGGACGCACGGAGCGGTGAGCAGGCTCGGGCCATGTACAGGTAGCAGTACTGTAGTAGAAGATGCCTAACTCACACCAGAGAACTACGAGGAACCACATATATCGCACGAGCGATATCCGATTCGCGCGCGAGAGCAAGGACGTCCACATCCAGTGAATTGGTGCTGGGGGCATCTCAAAGGTCCGCGACCTTGCGTGGCAGCTTCCTACGAATGTGTCGCCGTATCTGGTGGCACGAGCCTCTTAAGCAGGCGTAGAAAAATGCCTTAGCTGATGAAACTTGTGAATGCGAGTAAAAATGCGTTAGTATGAAGGAGCAGGAGAGACAGAAAGACGGAAGAAGACTGCGGGAGCTAAAGCGGCACACACGGCAGTGGCCATCACGTCAAAGTCGACGATGCTATCCACCAGCCACAGTATAAGATTGTCAAAGACTGTCTCAAGTCTTTCCTCCGGAACAGGGGACTTGCATTCACAAATCCTAGTGATGCGACTATAACCTTGTATACTATGACCGCCTTGTCGCCCTTTTTGGGTTTAATAAAATTTTGCGAGCAGCAGGGGCCTGATCATCGTATCTTATTTATCACCAGACCGGAGCGCACATATAATAACAAGCCGACGTTGAGCCCAATCAGAAAGATTGGCCGCGCATTCCGCGGAACTTACGAGTGGACATGACCGTCACCCGTCACCATCATTGGCGTCTACGTTGAAACTCGGACGTAGCAGCAGCAAAAAAAATCGACCGGATAACGTGGAGGCAGCGTGGTCGGGCTCAGTTGGTCAAATGGCATTTCCGTGCTGTGCAGAAGACTACTCTAAAGGAAGGAAGAATGGAAGGAGCAGCGAGGATGTGAGGCATAGAGAGGAGAGGAGAAAAAGTACATAAGTCGAAGGGGCTGAGTCAGCAGGACTACCTTGAAGGATGAGATATAAGCGAGCATGATAATCGGACAGCTCAGGTTGAGGGTCCCGCACAGGCCCTGGATCTCATATTCTGTCCTCCTCCTCTGGCTTTCTTTCTTTCTTTCTCACCTTCGTTTCTCCACAACCACAATGTCCGCAACAGTCGTGTCTGCTCCAGGAAAAGTCCTGCTCGCCGGTGGTTACCTCGTCCTCGACCCCGCATACTCGGGGGTTGTGGTCTCTACTTCTTCCAGGTTCTATACTGTAATCACCCCAGGCGGCTTGCCTGGCCAGATCATCGTCCGATCGCCCCAGTTCTTGGACGCAACATGGTTGTACGACGTCCTGCTTGTGCAGAAGGAGACCGTCAGCGTCGTGCAGTCCGCCAAGTATGTCCTCCCTCACATGTCGCAGTCATAGGGTCTCAATGCATCATCCGAAGATCCCCTTCCGCGTCGAAGAATAAATTTGTCGAGTTAGCGCTCAAACACACGTTAGCTCTTGTCCTTGACTTGAGGAGTCCTGCTGAGATCGAAGCCGCACTCTCATCAGGCCTCGACATCACCATTGTTGGGGATAACGACTTCTACTCTCAACAAGAACAGGTACGCTTCATTTCAGGCAATTTTGGAAAAAGCACGCTTGTATTGACATCCCTCGACGATATGTATTTAGCTAAAAATCCGCAACCTCGAGCCCACCCTCGCTTCCCTTTCCCTGCTATCACCTTTCCTCCCAACAAATGTCCGCCTCTCTGACGTATCTAAGACCGGACTTGGATCTTCTGCTGCTCTCATAACCTCGCTCATCTCCGCCCTCCTCGTACACCTTGATGTCATCCCCCCATCCATCCTCTCTGGCTCTAACGAGGCTGCAATTGGAGCAAAACGCCTTGCACACAACCTTGCGCAATTTGTGCATTGCCTAGCGCAGGGCAAAGTCGGCAGTGGATTTGATGTCGCAGCTGCCGTGTTTGGTAGTCAACTCTACACACGGTTCGACCCAGGAGTCATCCAGGGCTTGATGAATGACGACACAGTGAGATGATTTCGCATTGCACACACTCTCAATATCTATTCATCTGAGCCCCCTCAATTTTGTTCCTCGAACACATGACACATAGACATCACAGCTCTTCCCCACTATCTCCCCGCAGAACCCTGCATGGGATTACAGAGTCGAGCCCTTCCGCCTCCCGCCCTTTACCCGAATCCTCCTCGCCGACGTGCACGCCGGGAGCAATACACCCCTGCTCGTGGGACAGGTCCTAGAATGGCGCCGGAATAACAGCACGGCAGGTGCGCACCCCTGTTCCTGTGCCCCGCCGTTGTGCCTGCAGAGCGCTCATATTTTTACAGCCCATTCTGTCTGGACCGCACTTGACCAGCTGAACACGTCTTTAGCGCAGACGCTAGCTCGTCTATCTATGCTCCATGAGCAGGACTCGGAAGCGTATCTAGGCACGGTCAAGTACATTTCGAGCATGCAATCCGTCCAGGTGCGCGTCTACTGCATAGATAGCCGATGAGGTCTAATTTTGGAAAATGAAACACGAAACACGGAATCTCAGTGGACCGCGGTCGCTAACGCTCAGCCACATCTAACAAGCTGCCTTGAAGCCTTCTACGAGGCGCATCTTCTCACTGAAGTCAGCCACCTCATTTGATGTTTCTTTGGCATGACACCTCTGACACTTGTACGGACTTCCCTGCGTCGCCACCGCGCTTGCTGAACTAGCAAATACGCGTTAAAATGCGTGAAATGGGCACCCTCTCTGGCGTCGAGATCGAGCCCGCACAACAAACAAAGCTCCTCGACGACAGCGTCTCGCTAGCAGGTGTCATCGGTGGCGGCGTTCCCGGTGGTAAGTAACATCTTCCACCGAGTTCCGCTTCTATTCACCTCCGGCCCTTGCGCTCCCGCAACTGATAACCAATCACGTATCTAACAGCGGGCGGCTACGACGCGATCTGGCTCCTCGTGTGCAACCCACCAGAAATGTTCGGCATGCGCCCGTTGCAGCGCGTCGAGCACCTTTGGAGCTCCAACCCAAGTGTCAGCCCGCTTCTCGCAGAAGAAAGCACCGGGTCGGGCGTACGCGCCGAAGACATGAACGCCGTCCCGGGCCTCCGAGAGGTTATAGGGAAGTAATGTTCCTGCCGCATACGTACATACCCGGCTGCTGCACCGTACTGACGAAACGAACATTCGCCCCGGCGATATGCGTCTCATTGTCACATCTCTTCCCCTCTGCCCTATTATGCTTTAACTTCAGGCTTCATGCATCAAGCATCGCGTTGTTTGATGACCATGGTCCACATTCCGATCTTGCTTGCTTGCTCGTCACGTCGCTTTTTAGGCCCTTGCGCCAGTCCGTATAGTCCATTCTCCAATGTCCTGTCTGCAATCCAGATGCTGTACGATACCTGTAGCTACGACTACCCTCTATTCTAACTTCATAGATTTTCGGGCCCCCTTATCTCACCTTACCCGTCCCATACCATGCACTCCTGCCTGCCGCGTCTCGTCTACATGCATATTGTAGCATTCCCTTCGGGCGTCCATACCTTGCCTAGCGCGAGGAACAAGGAGAGCAGCATTACAGTCACACCGAACGTGACACACACGTACGCAGGTAGCCGCTCGCGAGTGTACCATGGCCTGTGCGCATGCGCACCGGCGAGTTTGAGGTAACATGCTGCAGGGAAGATGAATGCAAGCGCCGTCGCGGAGACGCCGCCGATGATCTCTAGCATGACGCCGAGGTCGCAAGTGACGAGGGCGACTGCGGTGGCATTAGAACGAGCGCGGCGGACGATGGGGATAAGAACCTTACTGAACATAGACGCAAGAAGGATGGTGGTAGTGAAGAAGACGTGGCGCTGGATGCTAAATGTTTCATGCGAGAAAAAATATTGCTCGATCACCTAGTAAGAACCAAGTTAGACTAAACGTGTTTATCTCTCGTAAAAGGCAATATGGCACACCTCTCGACAAACGAATAGCTCAAGCGGGAGTGTAGTAAACATGTTGAGGCCGAAGCAGAACCGCGCCACATTGATCAGACTGTCAGTCTGTGAATTATCATTTCCAAGGCCACGGAGATATGTGTCAGTCACTGGGCGCCACCGTCGCATGAGCGTAGAATGGAAACTTGAAGGCGCACCGGCGAAAAGTTGTTCAAGATGTTGCCCTGTGTTTTGTCCGTAAAGACCATGTATCCGCTGACGGCAATTATCGAACAAGCAACGAGAGAAATTGCCGTCGACACGTGCGTTACTTTAGCAAATCGATCCAGGGTCGGTGTCCTCAGGCTTCCATAAATCAATAGCGTATTGTGGTGACACACAAATGCGAAACTGATCACGCCTATTGCCTGGAAGATACCAGAGTCGATGAGCGAGAAGCGCTTCGCCGGGTCACCTTTGAGCTCAGGTGGCACATGCGGCCCCTCAAAAGTGACGGAGAAAACAATTATGAGCATCCCCACAAGCGCAAAGGCGGACGAAATGGAGAGCTTATGGATGTCGCGATAGAGTGAGAGCGGATAGGAAACGCCGAGGGTACAAAGAGCGATTACGAATTGCCGGTTGGCGAAGATGGAAAGAACGGGTATCGTTGGAAGCGTGGGGAATATTGAGCGGATGACATGGGGTATGGAGTCGCCTGCGACGCGCATAAGAATGACACGGGAAACACACAGGCAAGGGAACGTGTACGCACCGATGATGACACCAAATGCACACATACCTGTCCTGCCTATCATTAAGCTTCCGGCACGTAAAGTTGAACTAACTCACCTCCAAACGCGAACGCGAACTGAAAAAACGAGACTGCCGCGCGGCCGCTTGAGCCGAAGCAGTGATTCATGATGCCAATGTATGAATTTGCTCCGCTCATTTTAGCGTTCGTGACTATAAGCCGGATTGTCCAGTCCGTGACGGCACATAGCACGATTAGAAGAAACATTCCAGTCCAGAAGCCCGCTTTGCTAATGGCATAGGGGAGGCCTACAGTATCGCTGTCAACAAGAGCAAAAAGCTCGGTGACCTTGGGCTGCGCAGAGACGTACCAATTATACCTGCAGATGACGAAGGATTAACATGCATCGTTTAATTCTCAGTCCTACAAGGGCTCACCTGCCCCCAAGATAGAGTTCGCCATGTTCGTGATCGAGTTGAACATACCGCCCCCTGAATGCTGCTTCGCCGCAAGCTCTTCCAAGTCCATATCCCCTGCGGTCATTCCCGACCCATTGCCGTTTGCCTCGCCCATTGGTATTGAGCCTTCCAAGCTCCGCCGGGCAGCTGACGCATCCATCAGCCCTACAAGCAGCGGCATGCTCTGGTCGCGCCGGCGGTCGCCCACCCGCTGCTCAGAATTAATTTGCGCGAGCGTGCCATCGTCGAGATCGTCTGGATCGAGCTCGTACTCTGTTCTCCCAACATCAGCGAAGATGCATGCTCTGAATCAGCGCCGAAGTCCATAAAGCCAGTCTAGGACGGAGGTTGTGTATCACAGGACATACCTGTTTCTCGACTGGCGTATGTCGAGCGGAGAGGTGGGCCTATGACCTGTACATTCTCCTGGAACCTGACGCGTCCATGCTCAGGCTTGTCCGACGGCATGGCCTGGTCCGCATCCAGAGCCGAGCTATCTAAAAGCGCGTCGTCGTTGATGGAGAAGAGCACGTCGTCGTCATCATCGTGAGCGCCGTCCTGGGTGTTGTTCAGCAAGGGTTGGCTGGCCTCTCCGGCCGCGCGTCCGTTCTGCCGGCTGCGTCCGAGCATAGCCTATGCAAGGATAAGGTTCGGTGAGCGAGAGTTCGCCTTGGACTCTCGTTGTCTTGTGAGAGGATGGTGATTCGTTAGCGCAGCCAGTTTGAAACGAGGACAGAGCCAGCTCGACAATGCAGTGTCGGCGTATCACCGAATCCTTCAAGTTCACACGTGACTGTCGCCCGACTTTCAACATAAACTCAAGAAAAGCTTCAGCGTCAGTAGCCAGTGTGTTCTCAAGACAGTCCGGACGATAGAGATGAGTAATGTGAGCGTGCAATATACATTAAATAATAACTGTCATGTATGATCTATATCTGTCGACTTTACGCCCGCTACAATCAAGCGACCCTACAAATGAAACGCAGAGCAAGCATGAATCATGCTTTGCTGCTCACACCAGCACTCCTTGCGGCGAGTGCGATGCGCCGGCCGATGGAATCTCCCTCGTCATTCTTGTCAACGTTTTCTAACCACCACCGCAGACTCGACTTCAAGGCGGGCAGCTTGGCACCGGCAGTGACACTAGTCCAAAATCAATGTAAGTGAGAGTCTGTTGTCAGAGGAGAAGATGCATGAACGCCTACATTCCGCGCTGCTCGAGAGCTTCAAGAAGTTCTGGATGGGTCAACCGATCGCCCATACCCTCCTGTTTGAGGAGGGCATCGTCAGCGGCGATAGCCCGAAGATGTCGTTGCAACCGCCGCCGGCGCATAAACGGTGGTCCCATTGTCGACAAGGAAAACACACTGTGAGGATCCGAATCATAAGCATTTAGTCCCATGATAAACCCCAAAACAAACTGCTACTCACCCACACAGCGCAAGTAGAGGGGTACTCCCTGTGACAGACGACAGGGCTACGTGTATCGGGCTGACCTTGCTTATCATCGCCAACTCATCCTGCATGGTCTCCACGAATACGCGCTGCTTGTCCCGCCGCTTGTTCTCGATACGTTCGCGCTGCGAAGGCATGATGCACGTTGATGGGAGCATGGAGGGTACGTATAAGACGATAAGGGGTATAACCTCCTCAGCAATCAAGACGATCAGGACGAAGGGTACAAGTCTGTAGACGTCAATTTGTACATACATCTACATGCATAGCAAAAAAAGAAACTTACTTAAGAAGATCTGTCTGAGACGTGGCCACGAAGCGCGATTCCCAGCGCGACAGAGGTGGACCACCCGATTTAACTCGCTGGCGCATCTCGTTCGCCTGTACGCGGTGTGTGTTGACCATCTTCATCCCTCGCACATAAAATTTCTATTCATAGATAAACCATGAGATTATGACGAAAGGCGCAGCCTATGAACATACAAATATCTCCTTCAGCTGGTGCCACATCCTCTGGACGCGGCCTGCATCTGGCGGCGGTGGGGGGATAATGCCATGTGTGTGCGCATGAATCAAGTCTTGCCGTGTCGTCTCAAGAATCGACGACGAGGTCGAAGGGGCAGGTGTCGAAGAAGTGGTGGACTGTTGAGTTGAGGAAGTCGGCAACTTCGAGGAGACCGAGGGCGTATTCAAATCCGAGCGTGTGCTGGATTTCGCTGCAGGCTTGATGGGACCGGGCCTGAGCTCGACCTTTGGTTTCCGTGACGTAGGTAAAAGCGAGGCAGGCTGCGATGGCGTAGCGGGAGGAGATTTCTGGACAATAGGCGGCTGGGTAGATGACGAAAGCAGGCGAGCGAAATGAGGGTGGGTAAGCGCGCCGGGTGAGTAGATGCCTGTGGTCAGGGAGACATCATAGCCAACGACATGCCCGCGAAATTGCCTGTGTACAAAGAGAGAACCACGACGTTGCGTCGCGAGAGACCTAACATACCGTTCAGGAGTCCGAGAAATAAAATAGCGAAACATCATTAGTACCAGTACAAGCCTCACAAAAATGTATTCGGGGAGCGATGGTCCGTGCTCACCTCTCAACTGCGCCATTTCTACCTATTGACCGGATCATGCAAGCGCTGCGGTCGAGCCAAATTTCCAGCGGAAGAGGAAGATCGTTGGGCGTGGATGTTGGTGTGAAGAGAAAGTCTGGTATGACCGTTTGACCAGGTCTAACCTTGCGTACGCTTTCGGCATCCGAAAAAGGTATATCTCGACACGTGGAAGTCATGGGTCCACTGTCGTCCAATCAGCGCTCAGCGCTCAGCACTCAGCACAGTCCTTGTCTCCTAAATCCACAACCCCAATACACAATGCTATACCATAGCTGTTCGTCTCATATGAGGCTTCATCTTGAAGCATCTCGTCGTGGGGATTGCTTGTGAGCAGATCTTGGTGAAATTTTCCACATCTAGGCCGTCTAGCAAAGTGCTCTACGAGTACATCACAAACGGTTAGTTGCCAGCTGGTGTCAATCTGTCCACGTCGTCTGGAATAGTTCTGGACTCTGCAGGAGTCTTGCGAAGGTGATGCCGATCTCCTATTGTTCACGTCACGGACCAACGTCTGCAAAAACTTTCTCGTCTCGAATTCCTCGACGCCTCCCCGATTTTTTTGTGCCATCCCGGTCGCAATTGTTGTTCGAGCCGGTTGAGATCAGAGTGGATTTCAATTGAAAAGTCTCTCAAAGAAGGCTTGATGTCTATGAACCGGATTGTCATCGCCACCATTTCGCAGCGGCCTACGTCATCGATATCGCTCCGGGTTTGCTCCATTATACCTCAGCGCCGACATAATCCAGCAACTCAACGGTTCTCTCGTGTTGTTACTCTGAACAAGCTCCATTCTACGTCCGTTCCTCATCCACCTGCTCTTGTCATGTTGTCGGCCTCGAATTCTCTAGAGCTCCCAGCCTCAACCGCATCCGCGATAAAACAAACACTTGCTCAGCTATACCAGCAATCTTCCTTTCAATTGAATGTGCAACCGGCGCCTTTCCTATCCGCATCCGATGATCAGGTTCCCAGTGAGGTGCAGACGTATCTACACAGCCTGACTCTCGCCGCAAACGCAGTCGCAAACGAAAACGCATGTGGGAGCGTACTCGCAGGTCAGGGCAGCGAGAGTGACGAATTTGGCGATGTTGCATGCTGGTTGGGTCAAGGAGAATATGGGCCAGGAAGAGAAACCGATGTTCTTCAAGCATTGGGGCTGCAGAATTGGTCTCAAAACAACAGAAAGGTATGTCATCCTCTATACTGAACGACTTGTCTGTCAAATCTGCATTGATTTGCCCTAAAATTCAGATTCAGCATGCCGACCTTCAATCTACCTACCTACCGCCATCCTTCAGGCCATCGTCGACCCCAGAGCTGGAGAAACTGACAAGCTTACTTTCTATATTACAGGACAAATATTACTTCTTCATGGATGGTGGGGAAGGCATGGGTGGATGCGTCGCACATCTCCTCCTAGGGAATTACAGGGGAGATGCGAAGAGTGGGTTCGGAGGTTGGATTGGTATCATTGGACTGGGTACATGGTCAGATTATTGAGCTGCGGTGTACATTATGGGTGCAATTTATCGAAATCGCAATTTTAATGAGCGAATGAAGGCCGAGGGATCCCACTGCAGGATACACTGCAGGATTGTAGAGGTGTTAAGCAAAGGAGGCTACCACGTGGCGTGATGCTGGGAGGCTTGACAATACACAGCTTTCAACACAACGACCACGATGACGGACCTCCGTGTAGTCGCACTCATCCTTTCTTTCCTCGTCGTTCTCATTGGAACACTACATTCCGTAAAAAATCATACCTACCTCGATACATCAAACCCCCTCCTCACCGCGCTTCCCCATCCACTCCACAAAACTCATTACTTCGCCTCCAAATCGAATCCACTCAACACCGTCTTCATCAAGCGCGCCTGGGGGTGGACCTCAGCCGTCTTCATCCTTCATATCTTTACATCTCCTCCAAGGACACACCGGGCGCGCCGTACCATTCAGTACCTGCTCGCCACCTTCACCTGGCTTGCTTTCACAACATGGTTCTTCGGACCCGCTCTCATCGACCGCTTCATTGTCGTGTCCGGGGGCGAATGTGTCCTGCACCTTCCAGGGCCGGACGGCGCGTATGTGCCCGTTGATCAAGAGTACTGCTTTACGCATGCCCGTCTTTCCCCATCGACTCACCCAGATCTGTTCCCCCCCGTCCCCAACGCCTCTGCACTGCTGGAGAAATGGGCCGGCGTGCCGCGTTTGCGAAGAGGCCATGACGTCTCCGGCCACGTGTTTCTTCTTACGCTCTCCACGCTCTTTCTGGCGGACCAGGTCCGCGCCTCGTTCCGGGCTCGCACTGCGTGGTCGCAGGCCCATCTGCTCGGCGTCGTCTTCAGTGTTTCGTTGATCATGTTGTGGTTGTTTGCCAACTGGACGACGAGCGTGTACTATCACTCGCCTGTGGAAAAAGTGTCTGGCTTCCGTGCGTGTTTATCTTGCATCTATCTTCTCATCGAAGGGTCTGACCACAATCTCAGTTCTCGGCGTTCTCGGCTTCGCTGCCTCGCAGGCACCACTATTGCTGTTTCCCGAGGCGGTCAGTTCACCAGCACCAATTGCAGCCAAGCTACATCAGAGTTGAGAACATTGAGGTGTATCGATCTAGTACTCTCTTCCTTGCCGAATGGTTCTGACTAGCTTTTTCTGAAGGCATAAGCTGATCGTGTGTATAATAGTTAATGGTACTTTGCGAGATTTTGGGCCACTGATGGCTTCCAACATCAAGCGTTCAAGCTGCTGTGCCACATGCAGGATTTCACCTGATAAGCGCCGCTTCTACGCTGTCAAACACCTACTATTCTATGAATCCCACCGAGATCTTGTCTTAGACATTCAGGCTGTTTGCAAAGGTTTACCACTCCATTTCAAACCCGGCGTAGATTGGTGCCTGCGCTGGCTTCACCTCCCAACCGCATTCGAAAGTGGGCCTCGAACACTGAAAGTACTCTTACAATTTAACGCTTGCTTAGTTGAGAGCTTGATGGTGCGAAATATGTTCAGCTCCAACTCTTTCGGTCAAAGTTTATATACTCTTGCCACTAGAAAGCCCTTCGTTTCAATCCTGCCGTCCACTTTGGTAGAAAGGTATTTGTCAGAGAAAAGTGGCCAAAGCCCAACTATCAACTGCCGAAGAGATGCGCATCGAAAGTGAGAAAATCACCCTGTACACGCGCATGTGAGATTCAGATGAATTTCCAGAGCCATATTGTTAAATTCGCAGCATCGACCGTATGTTAGCAGACCTTGTGTAAAATATCGGCGGAAACAACATCAAGTAGAATTGAATCATGAGGATAGAGTGCTTAGTGGCGATATCCTCACCTTCGTGCGTCGCGGGTGGCGTCGCCGACGGCGGGTGGGGGGAATTGTCGTGGACACGGTCAAGACAACGAACAAGGGCAATGGAAGTTTAGATAACTTTTGGCGTAGATTTAAGACCGGTGTACGACTCGACAAGCAAAACCGAAGAAGACCATTTTTCGACGAACATAAAATTATTGATATTGGGCACAAACGGTTATTCCAAGACTACGCTGGCATGTCTGGAAAGTGAGAGTTGGTCCTATGGATACCAGGTATACACGCCGACCAAGAAGCGTTTTTTTCGGAAAGCCATTATGACGTCTATGATGATTATCATCACTAGGCATACCAACGGCATAAACGTGTCTTTGCAGCAGAGAATAGCTCAGGCATCGATGTGCTCCATTCACTCGCACACATTGATCATGCACTAGAGTGGGTTGCGAAACGAATTAGTGGCAGCGTTCTGTAAACCGAAGTACTAGCCTGCGACCTACTGTCTTGGGCATCATGGATCAACTGCCTCTCTATGAGTAGAATCGAAAACCATCTCATAACTGTCCTCTCTATCGTCGGCATCTGGATCGAGTCCATCTCTAATCTTACCGCCTTTTCCACTGCCACCACCCTGTGCGCGCTTCACTATCTCCCATTCAATACGTACAAACACCCAAGCCCACCGCCTCAATATTTCCGCGATCTCGATCCAAAAAATGAACGCTGAGCCGTCGCCTTGCATATGTGCGTGTAGATGGCTCGAGAGCTTGATACCCCATGTAAGGCGCAGAATAAGATTGAGAAAGATGATGAAGGGATAGACGGGGAGCGGTAGAAGGAGGGTCGGGCGTAGCCCATATGGATGCGTCGAGTGCAAATGGGGAACTGGGGAAGTATGATGCGGCGAGTGAGCTACGGAGTTTGTGGTGAGCAGTCCAGAAACACTCGTAAGAGATTCCGAGCGTTCGTGAAGAGTTGGGAGTACGAGGGGACGAGGCAGAGATTGCGGACGAGAAGGCTTATTGGGAAATACGTTTGGCCGTAAAAGGTCAAAACCCCAATCGTTGGTGACATCCCACCAAAATGAATACAGTGAATTAACCAGTGCGGCCAGCAGCCTAGATTTCAACGTGATTAGCCGGAAGATCCAAACATGATATTCACTCATTTGAGTGTGTGCACGACCGTAAGTTATCGACTCACCATAATCGGAAAAGGGGGTGTTCGCCGTGCCATGCCTCATGAGTGGCTTGGTCGCCTTTTGCAGCTACGAGTTCCGATACAACGAGGCGTTGTGCTGCGGAGAGGAATATAACGGGGAACGAAGATGCGTACTTGAGCGCATTGAAGAGTGGACGACGGCTGATATTGGATGGGTGCGCGTATTCGATTAAACATTGGCGTAGACGAATTAGATATGGGAGGCTGTGGATCCCGAGCATTCGAGTTGTAATTCAATTTCCTGCTCTAGTTGAAGCGCGCTCACCTCATAAGAGCAGGCAAGATCCATCTGGACCAACCATCTTGAGGTGGAAGGGCAAGTAGACTGCCGCCCGGAAGTAGCATACAGATAGAAAGCCAGACGTCGCCGAGCACCTTTGCAAAAGAAGTAAAGACGTCGGCGAATATTACATCAGAAAAGAATATAGGACGGTTGAGTGGAGAGAAGAGACATCTCCGAATAGAACTGTGTGGGAGGGTTGAATACGAAGAACACTAGTATCGGAAATTGGACTTACAGAAGGAAAGCATCCCGTTCCCGCTTCTCGATGATATTCTGAGGAGTAAGAAGAGCTATAAGCACGCAGAGCGCGCAGATGGCGGGTATAAACTTGAACGGATCGGCGTATGCAGGATTGGTGTGCGTGGCAGAATGGTAGAGAACCCAAGCGAGAAAACAGAACGAGGCATATAACGCAGACAGTCGATACACAGGAGCGTAGTATATCCACGGGTCCTCAATGAACTTGAAGCCACTGTGCCATCGATGATCCGTTATCGGTGTACCTAGTCCATCGTGAGTTGTGTGAAGATCGAGTGCGCTGGCGGCATCAATGCCAAAGAGACTGAGGCCGTGCAGGTTCGTAGCCCAACCAAAAATACCGAGGCCAACGAGGCACAGAACGCGGAAGGGAAGAGGGAAGCCGACGACGAAGGAGAGGTTGTCTATGTCATCGCTCATTGTCGTGGGTGGCAGTCGTCGTGGTGTTACTGTAACACTGGCATCGGTTGTAGGCCCTGATGATGATGTTCGTGGTCGATGCTTTCAGCCACCGCCAATTTCTTCACAGTCAGCCACCACGGTCACTCCACGGTCGCAATGGCCGACAAGCAGGGCGCGTATGGGAACAAAGCTGCAGACACCGACTTCCGACGAAAATGGGATAAGGAGGAGTATGCGGAGAGGGCAAAGAAGAAGGATGACGAAGAGAGAGACCGTATGAAGGAGAATGAAGAACGTATGAAGCAAGGTTCGTCCCTTACGTTTCACTCAGCTGCCTGGTATAATTTACACACATATATGCCTTCTGCATAGGAAAGAAACCCTTGCGCGGGAAGAAACAGGATCTCCCAAAACCTACAGAGCTCATGAAACGTCGCGAACATGACCTCGAGCTAGACAAGAATTTGGGAAAGACGATGGTTGTACAGAACCCTGGCGGACGTGGACCAGGGCAACCGGGATTCTACTGTGACACCTGCAATCGTACCTACAAAGACAGTGTAGGTTACTTGGACCACATCAATGGCCGAGCGCGTACGTGCTTCCCGTACCCCCCTCTCTGACTCTGCTGTCTCCATGTCTGAATCTGTTGAATTGAACGGAATTACGGCTTCTGCCGCAGATCTCCGTGCGCTGGGACAGACAACGCGCATTGAGCGATCAACCGTTCAGCAAGTTCGCGCGCGCATTGCTTATCTGCGCGAAAAGACGAAGGAAGCATCCAATGCGAAAGCCTTTGACTTTGAACAGCGACTCACCGAGATTCGCGATAAAGAACTTGCCGCTCGTGCAGAGAAGAAAGCTCAGAAGAAAGCTGAGCGAGACAAGGCGCGCCTCGAGCTCGCGCAGGATACAACAATGAATCAAGACGGCGACAATATGATGTCCATGATGGGCTTCAGCGGGTTCGGCACATCGAAGAAATGATTGTCAGTCCACCCAATCTACTTCAATACTCAAAACAACATATTCGACCCCTGTATGTATTCTAGATAGACACAATTGCATTTACATCTGCTCTTTTCCCTATACAATACCCACAGTTCTGTGATCGCTCGGTCCATACATCACGACCGCACCAACGACAGCATGAATTTCACTTCTGCGATCTCCTGCTCCTCCTCGATCAACAGCTCAGCGACCTTGCTCCGCTTCGCCACATCTTCAGGCACAGATCTCACTGTCTTCCGAATGACTTCCGCGTGCTGTTTGATCGCGTCCTTCAGATCCTCTCCTGCACCCTCCTCGAGCGCATAAAACACGTCCACATCATCCGTCGCCTGAAGCCCTGCCTTCTTCCGCAGCTTTTGCACCCGGTTGATCAGCTCACGAGCGAGCCACTCGCCCGCCAGTTCCGGATGCACCTGGATATCGAGCCGCACGACCGCATCGCTGTCAGTGTGCGTCGCAAACTGCGCCTCAGCTCCCGCGGGAAGTTCGATGTATCGTTGCACAGTCAAATCGCCCTCGACGAGCTCGATATTCGCGATTGTGATCTTCCCTGTCGCCACGTACGTCTTCACCTCATCGCTGGTCACATGCTCGAGCGCGTTCTTCACGATAGCCAGGTTTTTCCGCAATTTTCGGCCGAGAATGCTCCAGTCTGCGACGGCACGATATCGTACACCGGATGTGGACTCATCCGAGGTGAGAACGATGTCGCGCACGTTGAGCTCCGACTGTATATATCTCTGTAATGACCTGACGTCGTCCAAGTATTCTTTGTCCGCGTGGAATACAAGGAGTTCCTTGAGCGGGGTCTGAAAATATATGAATAAATTGTCAAATGGCTTGTCTGGTACTCTGTTCGCACCTTGAGAGAGATGCTATGGCGTTCGCGAAGATTTCGTACAAGCTCGATTATGGTCTGCATCCGCTTGACTTGACGCTCAATGACGGGATCGAAATACTCTGCCTTGACTTCGGGGAAGAGCAAGAAGTGAATGGAACGCGTGTCACCCGCTTTAGGGTCCTCCGGGATGAACGTTCGGAGAGTCTGATAGATGTTCTCAGTTAAGAAAGGTGTGTATGACGACTGTACGATGGTATCAGCAACACGCGCACGTTGCAGAAATACTAACAAACTGACCATGGTCCTGCACAGTGTGAACAGTGTCTCGAATAGCGTGTTCAGCGCCGCAATGGTGTCCTCCTTCCCGTCCTCGCCCTTCAACCGCCTGCGATTGAAGCGGATATACCAGTTCGTCAACTCGTCGACGAGCTCAAGCAGCCGGGGGATGATGGTGTACAAGCGGTAAGCCTCCATCTCCTCCTTGACGAGCGTGATGAGTGATTGACACCGTGCAAGGATCCAACGATCCATGACGTTGTTTGAGACAGGCGCATGCGCGTCGTAGCGGAAATTGTGGCCAGTCGTCTTTTTGAGCAGGGCGACTTGGCCGAGGAAGAAGCGAAATGAGTTGAGCCACGGTAAAAGCACTCGTGAGACGACCTCGCGCACGCCTGCCTCGCGGAAACGGAGGTTGTCACCACGAACGATAGGCGAATTGACAAGGAACATTCTAACTCGAAAGCCACGTCAGAATGTAGAGTTCGCATGTGTAGATTTCTCGCACCTTGTCGCGTCGGCACCATACATATTGATGATCAGGTTAGGGTCGGGATAATTCCGTAGACTCTTGCTCATTTTCTTGCCATCTCTATGCCATTTGTAAATTCCTGGACGATAGCTCACTCCAACGTGAAGACTTACTCAGCCAGGACCAGGCCAGTCACAATCAAGTTCTTCCACGGTGCCGACCCGAACAGATGCGTTGAGAGGACAAGCAGAGTGTAGAACCACCCTCGAGTCTGGTCGATGCCTTCCGAGACGAAGTCGGCAGGGAATGACTTCTCGAAAAGCTCCTTGTTCTCGAATGGATAGTGTAATTGCGCATATGGCATGCTGAAGTTTCGTCACTGATTTTAATAAGCAGCAGGCAACGAAAGTTATTGCGCCGTACCTGCCAGACTCAAACCAACAATCAAAAACTTCCTCGATCCGCTTCAGTTGGCCCTTACCCTTTTGCGAGGGTATAGTGATATGGTTAATCTTGTCCGAGTGCAAGTCCGTGATACCCGTAGCTCCGGAGAGCTTCTCGAGTTCCTCAACCGAGCCGACGGGGACGATCTACCATGGCATGCCGTATAAATTTGATGGCTCATCGCGAAACGACATGCCTCAAGGAAAATCGTACCTCCTCCATGTCGTCGGAGACCCAGAGCGGAATCGGCGTTCCCCAGTATCTGTTCCGCGAGATATTCCAGTCGCGGGCATTGGCAAGCCAGTTACCGAACCGCCCGTCTCCGACACTTTGGGGGACCCTGTCGAATGATGAGGCATTAGCGCATCGAGCTGGTCAGCCTTGGATGGATACGAGTACTGACCATCTCGTTTTTGCGTTGTTATCGACGAGTTGATCGATGATAGGTTGTACGCGGACAAACCAGACAGGAATGGCCCGATAGATGAGGGGTGTTCCTGATCTATGCAATTGAAAGTTGAGAGTACATGCTTAGCGTCTTGTCGTACGGCAGAAATGCAGATGCAAGCGCACCTCCAGCAGAAGGGATACGAATGCTGAGTCGTCGACTGCACGATCAGCCGACCCTTGGCCTTTAGTACCTTTTGAATGTCCTTGTCTGCGGCCTGGTCACGAGCAGCACAGGTCAGACCCAGTGATCCACAACTAAAGTTTCGCAGCCCACCTTGACATGTTGGCCAGCAAACTCCGGTACTTCGCTCGTGAATTTGCCCGCGTCATCAATGGGGCAAGGCGGCATCTCGTCGGGGCGCAGGACCCCGTGTGCGATGGCAATGCGATGATCGTCATCTCCGAATGCAGGTGCTTGGTGCACGATACCGGTACCGCTCTCATCTGTGACATAAGTATCGACGAGTACCCTAAATGCCTTATCCTCAAACTATTTGATAGTTAGAATATATCGATTGAATGTCTATAAAATCGGAGACAATAAAGAACAGATATCTGACCTGATCTGTGAAGTACTCAAATAGCGGTACATATCTCCAGCCCTTCATGTCTGCGCCTTGGAACTGTCCGAGCTTCTTGTATTTGGCCTTCTTCGGATCTTTGTAGAGTGTGCGGAGAAGTTTTTCGTGCAGAATAAAATTCTCGCCGCGTGCCTCATCGTGAATTTTGATGTACGTGTACTCAGGATGAACGCAAAGCGCCAAGTTCGACGGCAACGTCCAAGGCGTAGTCGTCCAAGCAAGCAATGAGGTTTTTGGATCGTCAACCAAGGGAAAAGCCACGGTGACTGTAATCAAAGTCATAACATGTCTCACACGTTGAAACAGGAGCGACATTGCTGACCTGCTGGATCGCTGACATCGCGGTAGTCCTGGCCGGCCTCAAAGTTTGACAACGGCGTTAGTAGGCCAGTTGAGTAAGGCATAACCCTAAGCCCCCTGTACACAAGCCCCTTGTCATACAGCTGCTTGAACGCCCACCACACGCTCTCCATGAAACTGAGATTGAGCGTCTTGTAGTCGTTGTCAAAGTCAATCCATCGGCCCATGCGCTCGACAGTATTTCTCCACTCGCCCGCGTACCGCATGACGATGGCGCGGCACTCTGCGTTGTACGCGGCGACGCCCATCTTCATGACGTCCTCGCGCGAGGTAATCCCGAGCTTCTTGTCAATTTCGTGCTCAACAGGGAGCCCGTGCGTGTCCCACCCAAATCGGCGGACGACGTGGTGCCCTGATACATGTGCATGGCGCGTAACTATGTCCTAAAGGTGCAAAAATGCGATAGATGAGAGGAGTGTAGACCTTGAAGTGAGCGTGAAAATAGAGATATAGAAATATAACGAGGTGCACCTTGATGGTTCCAGCGAGTAGATGGCCATAGTGCGGCAGACCAGTCGCGAAAGGAGGGCCGTCGTAGAAAGTGTATTCAGGTCTGCCCTCAGACAGCTTCAAGCTTGTCTGGAACGCATCGATCTCCTTCCAAAACTTCAACACATTTTCCTCTTCTTTTGCAAAGTTGAACGGAGTCGATACTATGGTTCTCAACAACAGAACACGAGCCGATACGAGTGTTTTCGATCCATGTATGAGTGAGTTCGAAACTTTTGCTATTAGACATGCGAAATCTACGCACGATCGTGGGCGGGAAAGGACATGGCGAGAACGAATCTCGAATATCAGATCCTTTGGCAGTTCAGAGACGAAACAAAGCTGGATTTTTGTTGTTGTAAGGAACGAGGATGACTCGGTGCTGGGAGGAGATGCGAGCGGATCCGTGTAGGTAATTATCTGCCTTCCCAGATTGGCTGGCCGGCAATCCCCGCATTGTCAATTATCACATTGCTCAAGTATTCAGTGTTGTCGCGAGTTTTGCACATCACACAGCAGCTACGGACTGCATCTAGAAAAGCCTTCCAATAATGCACAAGAGAGTTGATAAATAAGCGAAACGCGTCTCTAGCAAATCTAAGGCACAATATCAGACATGACATCGTAATTAACCGCATCTACGGGCACTCAACATATTTTCAAGGCACACACAGCAACAGCAGCTCAATCTCTGGTTTAAGCCCGTGCACGCGCCCTCCAACCTACGTCAAGGCGATCTAGGAGCCCCTGTACAATCTTGACTGCGCCCTTCCGCTCCCGCCGCGCGTCCTCCCATCCGCCCTCGAACCCAATCGCGTCGAGCCGGAGCAGTGCCTGCAAGAGCAGCTCACCCAACCGTCGGTGTTCTGCCTCCAGTGCCGCCGGGTCCTGCGGGGTGAATGGCACAGGGGCATCGCTCGCACGATGTTGGTCGCCCTCGGCATCAGTGACCGACCTCTCAGGCGCCCCAATGTTATTCAAAAACCCGTCGACGCCAGGCTCGAGAGTTTGCTGCACGGCATCAAGCTCTGCACGGATCTGAGAGATCGTACTAGCCTCAGTTTTTGGCTCGCGATGCGCGGGCACCTTTTTGGTATTCGAGGAGGCTGTAGATGCGTTAGGCGAGGATGCGGCGGCTGCCTGAGGCGTCGAGTCGAGAAGGAGGATGGTACTGTTGGCGTGTATTCCGTACGCGGACACTATATTTGATACATGGGGAGAGGATGGAGAGTCGCGTGTCAGTGATTCATGCTCATTGAGAGTTCGCGCGGAAAAAAGGCAAGGCCGCGGATGTGGAGAGGTGGTGCGACATAGCTTGGAAATTCTGATAGATTCAATTGCACGGCTGACCCGTGGCGATGCAATCCGTGGAATAGGAACATGTGGGTACGATGAGAACTGACCATCGTGTGCGACGGGTTCAGCACTCAAACGCGCTGTGGGGCGTCATAACTGGGAGCCAAAACGTGTTTTTCAGGGGGGATGGAGCTCGAGAGGCACAGCCATTTGGGAGGAGGACAAACATAGCCCCCATAAGATGATCCATACACGAAGGTTGTCTTATGAGGGCGTCGTGGAGCGCCATACGGAAGAGCCAGGAACGGAGAAGCGAGAACAAGGTATCAAATTGACTCACAGGGTGCGTTATCATCTTTCATCACAGCACCTGCGTGTATCAGTTTGAATGAACTCGAAGGGAGGTGGGTATATTCCGCGAGTGTGTTACGGAGGGCTCCGAGCTTCGTGTCGAGCGCGGGGAGGGGAAAGTGTAGCCTTTGAACGTCCAGATAACATGAATAGCAGGCCGAAGGAACGAGGTAGGGGGTGACATCGCGCGGTGGATTGATGGATCGTATTGATAGAGAAAGCATAGAAAGTGGAGCGGTCAGTCAGGTGGCGGTCGACGTCATCATCACTGGCAGCTGGAGAAGTGGGGAAGATGCTCCGGAACACAGAACGTACCGTTCACGGCCCCATTTTACTAGGATCGACATGTATAGTTCCGTGCTGTGCGAGCCTGAGAGCAGGCGGCGCAGGCGGGTGTAGACAAGGCGGAGGATGATGATGAAGATGAGGATGGCTGCAAAACTTTATACTCAGCTCCGTGCGGATCAAGGCAAGGCAGAAAGAGAACATACAAGAGTAAAAGGTTGTCAAGATCGCCAGCTTTGATGATTCTTTGTCTAGAAAAGACCCAAGAGTTCATTCAGGCCTTACTGACGTTTCAGAAACTGAGCTGTCTGCAAAGGACCAGTAGGATAAGGACCCCGAAAATCGCAACGAATCTATACCGGACCACGTGTCAGTGGCTCTGTTCTTTGCGATCACATCATTGCTATTTACACATCAACACAGCTGAGAAGTATTATCCAGAAGAATCTTCGCATAAATCTCGTCTCGTCTGTGTATAGATGTCCCTCGAGTGATTTGTCTTTTGGGGTCGACTGCGATCAAGTGGCAAGGGAGAGTCAGCGAGTTGACAATGAACGATGCGGTCTGGTTCAGGTTGATGTTTCTAAGTTTCTTATCCGCCTTGCTCAGCTGTGTTAGCGAGCGTCAACATTAGAACAGACCTTTCCAACACTGTTATCTAATATCCAGGTGTAAATTTTGCTGACACGAAGGCAGGTTGTAAACTTACAGTACATGCAGGACAAGAAAACCAACCGTCGACTGGCACCGGGACAACATGACGAATTTGGGCTTCTTGACAACCAAAATCCTCCATCCGAGAGGTCCATACTGAATTCAGCCAGATTCAGCCGCGATCGGTCGCGAAATGCGTTTGTCAATGGTTGGGTGGTAGAAGTGCGGAAGTTGGTTCAGGAGAACGGCCTCACCTCAAAAGCAGTAGAGATCACCTTCGGTAGACGGGGAGCCCCTTGTGAGTGATCGTAGAATTAGTCAAGGCATAGTAGCGCGGTATTACGTGGCAGCCATCGTAGCCACGGCGTCTCATGGCTTGTGTAGAGGAGTGTAGAGGAGATTGGTCGTAGATGATCTCCGAGTGGATCTCAGCCTCGTGAGAGCTACGTTGTAGACGGGTAACTTACTGGAGGGACCCCGGAAAGCCAGAGAATAACGAGCGAAAAGAATGAAGTCATCCACGGCCGTCAACTCTACTTTTACCTCGTCCGTCTCCCAACCACGGCTCCTTTGTGCCCTCTTCCCTCTGCCCACAACCACCATGTCTGATAATCTCTCCTCCGTCTCCCCCTCCAGCTCAGATGGGCAGCCCCGCACACGCACCCCAGCAATTCCCGCCTCTTCGCGAAACTCTACAGGTGCTCCACGCTCGGTCACCAGCCTACTTATAAATCGCACACCGGGCTCAACGCCCATCCCCCCATCCCTCCAGGCCAAGATGGCTGCGGTAAGTTCGCAGCATACACTTTCATCTTCTCCGACTCTTTATCGTACCCGCCGTCGCGATCGCTGATCCACCCGCTCTAGATGGCAAACCGGGCTTCCCAATCCCCCGTCCCGAGCATGGATGCCGCAACATCTGCATTCAAACGCGCAGCCCTCAATGACTCGATGTCCTCGAATCCGATATTCCGACAGTTTCCATCTTCCCCAGTACCACCCAACGGTAGTCCTACACGAGCAACGCCTCCGGCTCTCAGGGGCGGCGCTATAGGCTCCCGCCGGAACAAGCCAGGCTTCAAACTGAGCGACATTACCGGCGACTCATCCGCTTCTACCGCTGGCGCTGCTGGTGCCGGCTTGGGTGCAGGCGCGCCGAGCTTGGCTAGGAATCAAGAGTGGCCACCACGCCGGCCACAGGCGGCCCTCGGAACACCATTCTCCAACTTTGGGAAGATTGTGTACGTCTGCGTCCTGTGTTTCTGTTACGTCCGCTCATGTCGTTGCGCTGTCTGATCGTGTCCTTCTTTGTGTGATCGCGCGGGCTCGTCGGTATCTGCCATAATGCACTTCGTATTTTTTCTCGCACAGAGACCCTTCAGGCGCGCTGAACTTTGGCGGCAAAGCCGTCCTGCATGCGTCTGGTGTTGACTTTTCGAACGGTTCGTCGTTCACGATCAATATGAACCAGCTGCAGCTAGAAGACGAGCTCGGTCGCGGAGCCTACGGGACCGTTCAGAGGGTTTTACACAAACCAACAAACGTCGCGATGGCAATGAAGGTGTGCAAATTTTCGTCTAATAATGGCCTCAAACTTCACAAGAGTACCCTTTTATGCTTGTAGGAGATTCGCTTGGAGCTAGACGAGTCTAAGCTTAATGCGATCATCATGGAACTCGATATCCTTCATCGGGCGATACACCGTTCCATCATCGAGTTTTACGGCGCCTTTTTCATCGAATCGTGCGTCTATTACTGCATGGAGTACATGGACGCTGGCAGCCTCGACAAACTTTGCGGTGCCGGTGTACCCGAAGATGTCTTGGGACGCATTGTGAGTAGCATGGTGCACGGACTCAAATTCCTGAAGGACAACCTTCAGATCATCCACAGAGGTGCGCGTTGTTTGTCCTTGAGTGCCCGATGAGGTCATAATTACTGATCGATTCCATGCTCGACATGTATGCTTCCGACCTTCTTTGCTACGATAGATGTGAAGCCTACGAACGTGCTTGTCAACAAAAAGGGCGAGATCAAACTGTGTGACTTTGGGGTATCCGGGCAGCTCGAGAAATCCCTCGCTAAAACAAACATTGGATGCCAGAGCTACATGGCCGTGGGTATTTCTTCCTCGCCTGCCACTTTCATTATGATCTTGACATCTTTCATACAGCCGGAACGTATTCAGGGCGAGTCGCAGAATTCCTTGACCACATACACTGTCTCGTCCGATGTGTGGTCGCTTGGCCTGGCGACAATTGAAATCGCAATTGGGCAGTACCCATACCCGCCAGAGACATACTCAAACGTATTTGCTCAGTTGACGGCCATTGTGCATGGCGATCCGCCGGAACTCCCTGACACATATTCGGAGAGCGCGAGGGACTGGGTCGCGTGCTGTCTGGTTAAACGACCTGAGGGGAGGGCCAGTTACGCAGAGTTGCTGGTGCGTGTTATCGTGTTGGCGATTTCTGTTGTTCAATAAGTTGTTAATGCCTTGCCTTTGGGCATGTATAGGAACATAGCTTTTTGCTCGACGACTCCAGACGCAAGGTCGATATGCGTGACTGGGTCAAGCGCGCGCTGGCGTGGCGCGAGGCTCAGAAGGAGACTGCTCTTGCCGTCAACACGGCTGCGGGCGAATCTTCCTGAGCATAGAATGCCTTCGATCTGGTTCGCGAAGCTGGACAGAACGGTCAACGGAAGGGGAGGAAATTGTGCGGTTTCACGGTTCTGCGGTCCGGGACGGGCGGGCCGTTCGTTATAAGGCTGGAAATCTTTTGCAGTCCACCAAGTTGTGGAAGCACAGATCGGACGGCGTGTTTGGGGTTGAGAGTATGTGCTGAGAGTAGAGGGCTTTCGGACGGATAGAGCGCGTGATGTTTCCGGGGGCTGGGGAACCCCCAACGCGTCACATCGGATCGCTCCGTGGTGGACACGAAACTGACCGACGACTTGCGCCCTCCTCATCTGACCTCCTCCAGTTCACCTCCCCCTTCCTCGCGCCCACACACGTGTATTCTTTCCTCTCCCCGATTGTTCCCTTCTCATCCAGTTTCGTCGACATAATCGGCTAAAGTTTGACGTTCGTGGCATGCGTTGGACGTCGGCGTTGTATATACCACTCTCCTTCCCCCCTCCCCGACGAGCGCTGCGCCTGCTCTTGCCCGCGCGCCTTGTCTTGTCTCATCGCCTGGATCTTGATGGCCTGGTGTTATTGTTGTTGTTGTTGTTGTTGTTGTTGTTGTTGTTGTGGCTGTGGTTGCTGATGTTGTCTAGGCGCATTGCAGTGGGAATCACGGAGCGGGTATTTGTGTACTTCCTTTCGCGCTCCTGGTTTCATTTTTCGCTTTGTGATGCTTTCAAGCTTCGCTTTTGGTGGTTGGACATAGGAACAGGACGCTCGCATGCGGGTTGCAGTGCGATTGGAGGCGGTGATGAAACGGATTCTCTTGCAGGAACAAGCTGGATACTGTCGTCCGTAGTTGCATGCCAGGTGCATGCCTATATGTCATCATATGAATCCCTCGCTTGCAGCATTCCGGCACCGATGCATCGCGATCCTTCGTCACCACTTAAAGCGGCTGGAGTTGTATGTTGTTTTGTTGGGGTTTTTGTCGTGCACATGCTGCGCACAAACACGATCGTGCGGCGGTGCGGTAGCAGTGGTGGCTGGGACAGTGGTTTTCTTCTTTTCTGCTCTCGGTTGTGGTGGTTATGTGTTTTTGGGGCTGGATGTTGAAACGCTGATCGATTACATAGAGGGGTATCTGCTGTGCTTTGCTTTGCTTTCATGCATCTATTTGTATAGAAAAATATTTCACGTCAGGTTTCAGCGCGGGTAGGACGCGCGTACGGTGGCTATTGAGTTGCCCTAGCAGTGAAACTTGGAAGCGTATGTAGTTCAAATAAGCGGTCGCAGTCTTTTGTTGGCCATCTGAACAAACTAGTGGAAACTTCGCTGCCCATTTTGACAATATACTCCGAGCTCGCAACCACTAGTACGAGACAATACACGTGTAAATAGTAAGAATATAGGCGTAGGTCTAAATTGCCGCAAGTAATAAGGAATTGTGACACTGGGACCTGACCTGACTTGTACATGGAGATGACACCAACGAAAGGGACTGAGGGGAAGGCAAGACCTACTGGTATGATAAAGATAGGGCTTTTCAGAATCCATTTTTGCCCATGCGAGCTATAGAAACAACAGAGTTCTCGCCTATAGCGGAAATCAGGCCATCATTTCCTGTCTCTTGACATCATCCCAATCGTGAATTGAAGATCTTCCCAGGTCAACACGCTCCCTTTGTTTTCCCTGTTGCATGATCACATCATCGTCAAATTTAGGTCGGCGACACAGCAGGTCTGAATCTACGCACGGTCAAGTTGGTCATCGAGATGCTGTCAGATGGAACGTGCACGTCCCAAGGGACATTAAGGTCCACATTGGCGCCGCTGATAGGGGACATTGGGTGTTCATTGGCGGGCCGGTACGCGCTGAAACCTGGGCGAACGAAGACAAGCTCGCTGTTCGCTCCTCTGCGGCTAGCCGTGGCAACGCTGCCGACCTCGTGCTCCCAGATGTACGTTTGCGTCGAGCCTGCGGTCCGAAGAGACACGCGACTGTTGAGGAGGACCAGGAGGGATGTCGAGTAGAGCTTGCCAATGATCGCGGCAGGGCACATGTAATAAGTGTCATCTTTGTACGCCAGGAAAAGGACAGCCTCAACGACAGCGACAGTCACTGTTGTTAGGCCAATGACCAATCGGCGCAAGTGCTAGGGAGAGGGGTGAGAGGACTTACTCGTGAGGAAACCTGTGCCAATGGTAAGGCGAAGCAACTTGGTAACCATGTCCTCTGTAGACCTGTACGCGGTATTTTTCTTGATCCGGGTGAGCTGAAGTCATGGTCTGAGTGTGACAAGATGATCGAGCTGCTTTTGAGAACGCACGAAGTAGACCATGTATCCACATATGATGATGTCGGCAACCGCGCTGCCTAGCAAATTAACCTGAAGAAATAGGTGCATCAGAGCGTGATAGTTAGCATATACGCAATAGACATACGGTGGTGATGGCCAAAGTCTTGTCCTGAAGACCGACGTTGCTGTTATGGAGCTTGACCTTTATAATGATACCCAAGGCGATGGCAGAGCCACATCCCGTCAATGTAACCTTTGAACAGAGATATTAGCAGGCAATCGCGCACATTGAGTTTGAAGTTCTGCTAGTGTTACATACTAAGACGATGATTGCGGTGAAAAAGATGGACTTGCTCAAAATGAAAATGCGCCAGGCATAATAGAGCTGTACGATAGCATCCGCTGACCGAGGTAAGAGTTCAAAGTGAGATGGAGACGCATCAGAAGACTAGGGAGACTGACCTGTCCCATTCATGATTGCACCGCTGAACCATAAAGTGTGCATGTCAGTTACGACCGTAATATCTCCCCATCCACGTCCGAGGACGATCACAGCATCATGGGTAAGTAGGCTCGTCTGGATGACCTCCGCTATGCACAGGCCATACACGAGTGACTTGATCCTCCAGCTGTCTTTCGGGTATCGGAGGTAGTATATATCTAAGAAATGAATGACAAACTCAAAACACAAGTCTCGACGTCCGCATTGAATATGTAGGTCTTAACTTACAGACTTGACTGCTGAGCACTCCAAGCAGCCCCCAATTGAACACCAAGCCCAATATCTATGGTGAAATCCAGCGCCTCTTAGTGTATAGATCAGGAAAATAGAGGATGAAGCGGACCTGTGGTGTGAATCTAAGGATATTCAGATTGATTAGGATATTCAGATTGATTAGATATGATTGAAGCACAAGCGGCCGAGTGACTCACATCTCAACGGTACTGAAGGGTAGCTGAGCCGTAGACATGGCGTTTTAGAGGGTCAGAGAAAATCCAATCATAAGTCTGTCTGTCCGAAAATAGGTGTTAAAGGACGAGGTGTGTATCAAAGGAGTTTGATCCAAGGGACGAACGACCAAGAGGTCATTCGGACGCACGAGAGCTATATGGCTGCGGGAAACGCTTGAAATGGTCTAACGTAATCGACTTATAAGGAAACTCACCTTGACAGGAGCCGTAGATCGAGAGGGATCGAGAGGTCTTAAGCTCAATCAGACGTGAACTTGATCGCTGACTTGCTCCGGTTTGTTTAAGTATAAGACTGCACCCACACCCACCGTCATGGCATGAGATCCAAATGTACATGTGTTTACGCGCGCCAAGGAGTCGTATCAAAGTGCCTGCCTTCTCCAACGTAACCGCGCGCTCAGAACGAGGGGCATGAGACACAGGAGCGGTTACCTGGAGTTACCTGAGATATCTGGACCTCGTGAGACTTGTACAAATGGAGATGGTCGGCTAGTGGGATATGAACATGATGTGGGTGTGCATATGCACAAGATATCTCGGCTCGGTGGAATTAAGAAAGCAATTGACAAGTCACAAGTGTAACTTGCGAATCGGCCCAAATCGATAGAAGTGCACCCACAGTCACACGTATGGTATTCGATATCGAGGAAGGCTGGAACCGTCCTCACTTCGACCCATATGAGTACGATAGTCGGAGGCAGGAGGCGGAAAGAACATCGATGGTGCTTGGTTCGGAGTTCCCGGGGCGGAAGATGCGAAAAGAAAGACATAGATTTTCCGGCCAGCGGCCAAGGATAACGAGGCTGGGTTTCTGGAAAGCAAATCTTTAGACTATCTCTAGCTGCTATGGGGAGAGTGGCTACGATCGGCGATCGTCCTGCGCAGTCCGACAATATATCAGGGGGCTGGGGAGGGCCAGGGAGGGCCGTCGTCTCTGTGGGCACCTTGGCGATCGCTATGTCAGATGAGACCCGCCAACGGCCCCGTTGAAAATGAATGGCATACCTCTCCTCAACGTTCCTGGATTCAGCACGCTGTCGTGGACAGGTGGGCTTGCGCGACGCGCGCTGGGACCTACTGGGACCTTCGTCCTTCCGACATGACTTGGGAATTGGGATTGGCCAGGACTGGCCGCTATTGAACGTGCCTGGGAATGCTGACACATACGATCGTGCTATGTAGATCTGCCCGGCATATACCGGACATCTATCCCAGTGGGCAATAATATTTCTGTTTGCAAACGCCCTGAAGAACAAATGGACGACGGTTTAGTTCTCAATCTCTCGGTCGATGACCATACGCCCCTCAAGCTATCTAACGGAAAGAAAAGTGGGAGATGGACAGACAGGTAAGCTTTACCCTGTCAATTACCGTTCTCGCCATTCAACTATAGACTGGCTCCAACGTAGACTAAAAGCCAAACGAGTCGCAAAACGCAAGACACGGCCGGATGAAAAGTCCACATCTTCACCGCATGTTGGTGAACCAGACATCTCTCGTCCTGCAAAGCGACCTCGATCCGAGCACCTCTCACACGCCCCTTCGACCTCGGCATCCGAACATGTACCATTCAAACCTCGCGCACCCACACAAGTTATATCCTCCCTATTTTCATACAATCCAAAAATCGATCAATCTGCAGTAAAATCTGCACCCAACGTCATCGAAAAGCCAAGCAATGCGCCCTTGACTGACTCTTCCACCTTTACAGGTCTCGGCATCGACCCCCTGATCGCGACCCACCTTTCCACAAAAATGGATATCCAGAAGCCGACGTCTATCCAGCGTGCAGCGCTTCCTGCAATCATCTCTAACTCTGCTTCCAAGGATGTATTCATTCAATCTCAAACAGGTTCAGGCAAAACGCTCTCGTTTCTGCTACCCATAATACAGGATCTACTCCCCCTCAGCTCGAATTCGTACATCGACAGATCGATTGGGACGCTTGCAATAATTATCGCGCCCACTCGTGAACTCGCAACTCAAATATCTGATGTTTTGACAAAGCTGTTGACAATGCGCTTGCGCACGGCGGAGGACACTGACGGGACCGCGCCAGAATCGACACGGCTTACAAGATGGCTCGTCTCTGGTTTACTCACGGGAGGCGCGACCCGCGCACACGAAAAAGCAAGGCTGCGTCGGGGTGTGCCTATCCTCGTCGCAACGCCTGGACGACTACTTGATCATTTGCAAAATACGGTTGCATTGGATGTTGGGAAGTGTCGGTGGCTGGTGCTAGACGAGGCAGATCGACTAATGGAGCTAGGGTTTGAGGAGACGGTGAAGGGAATTGTACAGGGGTTGGATGGAAGGAGGAAGTTGGCGCTGCAAGCTGTGAAGGATGGGCAAAGTAAAGAGGTGGGCGGGTGGGATTGGGAGCGGGAGCGGAGAACGATCCTCTGTTCAGCGACGATGAAGGAGGATGTGCAAAAGCTTGCTGGGACGACGCTCAGGACTCCAATCATGGTAAGGGCAACCGAGGCTGACATCCCCTTGCCCACACCGTCCACAGGTGCTACAACGAAGGACTGTCAGCCTATCGCTGAGAAGTTTACTCCCCCATCCCAACTCTCCCAAAAGTACATGGTGGTCCCGCTCAAATTGCGTCTCGTTACTCTCATCGCTCTTCTTCGCTCATTGCTCGCACAAGCCAATGCCAGACGAGGGTCCAAAATCATCGTATTCCTGAGCTGCACGGACTCTGTTGACTTCCACTGGAAACTTCTCACCGGGTGCAGTATGGGCGGCGACGAGGCTTCGTTTGATTCGGCCTCTGACTCAAATTCCGACTCAGAATTGGACGTAGGCGAGGAAGGTGATAGTGACGATAGCAGTCAGAGTGACGAGAAGGTGCCCGAGGGGCGCAGCAAGCGAAATGCGCATGTGGAAGAGAAAATCGAGGCAAGATCGCCCTTGCTTCCAGAGACGTCTATCTTTCGGCTACATGGTTCGCTCCCCCTTCAAACCCGTCTCGCATCCCTCCGCGGGTTCTCCGCAGTTCCATCAGCATTTCAGAGCGCTTCTGCCTCCACGAAGCCTGCGCCATCCAAAGCTTCCGTACTTCTGTGTACTTCAGTTGCTTCGCGTGGTCTTGATCTGCCTCTTGTGCGCGCAGTCGTGCAGTATGACTTGCCGACCGAGGGAGGAGCGACAGAGTATGTGCATCGCGTGGGCCGCACGGCGCGTGCGGGTAAGGGGGGCGAGGCTTGGAGTATTGTCGCCCCAAGTGAGGCGTCATGGGTCGAGTGGGTTGAAGGGAGGATGAAGGGGGCCGACAAGGAGGACGGTAGTAAGGGGAAGGTGATAAAATTAGACAGTGTGAAAGTTGAGGATATTCTCAAGAGAGGGTTTGGTGGTGCTGGAATCGAGTTTGAGGAGAGGGCAACTGAGATCCAGCTTGCGTTCGAGCGATGGACTCTAGCGGGCAAGACGGTACGTTGTCGCGCTTGAGCTGATTTCGACACATTGAACGATCTTTTTTTCCGCCTCTTAGAACTCTGACCTCGCGAAACGCGCGTTCCAGTCTCACATGCGCGCATACGCCACACATCCCTCTGACGAAAAACACATCTTCCACATTAGACACTTGCATCTGGGTCATCTCGCCAAAGCCTTCGCACTGCGCGAGGCACCGAGTGCAGTCGCGGCCTCCAATAACAAGGCTAAATCCAAGGCGCGCGGCCAAGCTAGAGTGAAGGCAAAGAAGGAGGGTGTCAGATTCAGGGATAACGAAGAAGAGGATGCCGATGCCGAGGGACGTATGCGGAAGGCAGTGCGCGCGCAGGGTAGGACAGTCAAGAAGGGAGGTATGATGAGGAGCATGGGTACGGATGAGTTTCAGCTTGCGTCCGGGTATGATTTGGAAAAGCTGGTCAATCGGACTTGAACAACCGGATACTTTTTTCTGATCTTTTATCGTAGTATTCATATTCCCCACATGGAACCCCGAACTTTAGTAGCGTAAAGAGTAGTATTGACCACCGCTCTGCTGCCGTCGGAGCCGTCCAGATCAATGTCCGAGAAGTAATCCTACCACCGTGAGAAAGTCATACTATTTTGACTCTTCCGGCATCATGTGGACGGATTGCAGTAAAGATAGCTTGAAATCGCAGGTTCCTCGGGTCGATCTTGACAAGAACGAGCTTGCGAGGCGACAGTAGCCATTTCTGTGAGATCGCCTTTGCTTTCTACTTGAAGGCTGATCCTGCGATCGCTCTCATCTTGGCACACGCGAAGGGCCCCGCGAAACGAGCCCCCGGCGGTGAGTCTTATCTAGGCCGCTGAATAAACATATGTGCCAATCCCCGCACGCTCATCTGCAACCCTCGTGCCTTACACACTCTAGTAGTATCTTCAACAACGAACTTTTTAGCCCGAGCAACTATTATGCCATTCGACTTGCATGCCCCCTCGGCAGCTGTCCATGCTTTCACCTCGGAATATTCAAGCACTCTTAAATTCTACATCAATGGATCTCCAGTCGTTCTCGACGGGAACACCATAGATCCAGAGGCGACGTTACTTGATTTTATCAGGACTCAGAGAGGATTGACAGGGACTAAGCTTGGTTGTGGGGAGGGCGGGTGCGGTGCGTGCACGGTGAGTAACACTTCAGAGATCGTGTTAGGTCTCCAATATCCATATTGGATTATCCGTATAGGTTGTATATCAGGTCAAACAGAACGGCAAGGTCCGTCATCTGGCTGTGAATGCATGTCTCGCACCGCTAGCCTCCGGTACGCTTATTCACCACTTTCCGCGGAGCAACCTCTCGTGTCATGTTTTACATGCATTACTGATACTTTCACTCCATCTATGAAGTTGATGGTAAACACATCATCACTGTCGAAGGTCTCGGTAATACCGACAATCCACACCCTCTGCAAGAGCGCATGGCTCGTATGCACTCCTCTCAATGCGGGTTTTGTACACCAGGTGAGCGCAACTTTCCAGCCTACCATCACATATCCATCCGTTAGTCCTCTCTTACCAAAATGCTAGGCATTGTCATGTCTATATATGCTACCCTCCGCAACGCCGCTTACGAGCACGGTTATAAGCTCACGGCTGATCAGGTTGAGCTCGAGGGAGCACTAGATGGTAATTTGTGTCGGTGTACAGGCTATAAGCCCATTCTTGACGCAGCGAAGACATTTGTCGGAGAGTATGTCGCACTGCTAGGTGGGAAGGATGCGGAGTATACTGTTCCAGTAAATGTGGAAGCTGCGCATCTTGTCGAGAGGCGGAGAAATGGGGAGCACGACGAACAACAAAAGCTTGGTCAGTGTTCACTAATTCTGCAGAAAATATTGTATGTTCACCCTTTACACTGGCAGGTGGCTGCCCAAATTGTGATGGCCAAGGTTGCGCCTCCGAAGACGATGGAACGACTAACACTCCAGTTGATTCGGCGGGCTCATCTCGTAGCGGAAACACAGATGACTCGCTACTCTCCACTAATATCAAGGACTCAACATTCGGGCAACCATCTTATGACCGTGCGGGCTGTGGACGGCCCGACTGCTGTCAGCTTAAAGCGAATTCTTCTGCGCCTCTCCCGCCTCTCCCATCTTTCCCACAGTTTGACTTCAAGCCCTACCATCCCGGTACCGAGTTGATTTACCCTCCTTCATTGAGCAAGCATATCTTCCAGCCTTTGGCGTTTGGAAACAAACGGAGGCTCTGGATTAGGCCAACAACGATCGATCAGATTATTGCAATCAAGCAAGCATATCCCGCAGCAAAGATTGTGGGTGGATCGTCGGAGGTGCAGGTCGAAGTAAAGTTCAAGGGTGCGCCGTACGATGTTTGCATTTATGTCGGTGATATCGGTGAGCTCGGTGGCTGCACGCTCCCTGGACCGGATAAGCATGTGCTTTCTTTTGGTGCGAACTTCCCCCTCGCAGACCTGGAGAAAGTATGTCAGGAGACATATGGCATCATGGGCTCAGATAAGGCATCTGTGCTAGAGGCAATTCGTCATCAGCTTCGCTACTTCGCGGGACGACAAATCAGAAATGTGGCCTCAGTCGCTGGGAATGTAGCTACTGCCAGTCCCATATCGGACCTGAACCCAGTGCTTGTCGCTGCGGGTGCGCGTGTCGTTGCACGTGCAGCATCTAGGGACGAGGGCAAGGAGTTCGCGCTCCCCTTACACGACGGGTTCTTCGTAGGGTACAGGAAGACGAAGTTGCCTGCGGATGCGGTGATCGTGAGATTCGAAGTGCCTGTGGGCGAGCAGGTGAGTAATGGAGAAAGAGAAGTTGTGAGAAGCTACAAGCAGGCAAAGCGGAAAGACGATGATATCGCGATCGTCACCGCCGGGATGTATGTCAAGGTAGATAGCTCTGGGGAAGTTGTGGCCGCGAGGCTTGTCTACGGCGGTATGGCGTGAGTCGAGTTATTTCTGACAACTTTTACACTGTTAACTAATTTCTCTTCAGTCCATTCACAGTGATTGCTACGGAAGCTTCCAATTTTCTTGTTGGTGAGCAGAAATCGATAAGCCCACGTCAGGAACCCAGAGGCTTACTTCGTGCGCAGGCAAGTCACTTACAGATCCGGACACGCTTCAAGGAACACTTGACGCTCTCTCTAGACAATTTAACCTCCCATATGACGTCCCAGGCGGCATGGTAGGTTTCTTTCTACTTTCCCACACCATCGTCTTACACATCCAATTCACCTAGCCAACCTATCGTCGGACCCTCACGCTTTCATTTTTCTACAAATACTATCATGAATTACTTCTCACGCTTAGCCTGCCTGCCCCCGGGTTGACCGCCACAGCCACGGAGGAGCTTACTACTGAAATCCATCGCGTCGTGAGCAGCGGTTCGCGAGACAACAGCGATCCTTATGCTCAGGAGATTGTCGGTCGCCAGATCCGTAAGCACTCGAGTTTTTAGCGCATTTAATCGCAATTAAATCCAACTCTTGTTTCATGAAGCCCATTTGTCTGGCCTCAAGCATACCACCGGTGAAGCTGTTTACACAGATGATATGCCGAAGATAGGCAACGAATGTTACGGTGCACTCGTCATCTCAGAAAAAGCTCATGCGAAGCTCAAATCTGTTGATCCTTCTGCGGCACTTGAAATGACTGGTGTCGTTGGCTGGGTAGATCACCACGACGTCGCATCGCCTGCTGCCAATTGGTGGGGTCATGCGCATGATGAACAGTTTTTTGCATCAGAGTTTGTGGTCTCGCATGGTCAACCAATAGGCCTGATTGTGGCGGACACAAAGGTCAATGCTCAGGCTGCTGCTCGTGCAGTCAAGGTTCGTCCCCCTGCAGAGTGGATACAAACAATTATCTGAATTGAACCTCAGGTTGAATACGAGGATCTTCCTGTAATTCTTACTATCGAGGAAGCGATCGAGGCGAATAGCTTCTTCGAATACGATCGCCAGATGAAAAAGGGGAAGCCCATAGAAGAGGCTTTTAAAGCGTCGGATTATATTTTCGAGGGTACAACGAGGATGGGTGGACAAGAACACTTCTACTTGGGTAAACCTTCGTCCCGATCTGGACCGCAATGCGTTTATTGACGATGGTTTCAGAAACGCAAGGATGTATTGTCCTACCAAAGCTCGAAGATGGGGAGATGGAAGTCTTTTCCTCTACTCAAGCATTGATGGAAACTCAGGTAATCCTATGCATCTGACCAGCATCATCTAGTGATATCTAACAATTACTCGCAGGCATTTGTTGCACAAGCTACAGGTGTGCCACGTAATCGCATCGTTGCTCGGGGTAAGCGAATGGGCGGCGGTTTTGGTGGTAAAGAGACTCGCTCCATTCAACTGGCCGGTATCCTCGCTGTCGCAGCCAAGAAACATCGACGGGCTGTTCGGTAAGTCCTAGTCAGACATGTAAGGAAGATGCCAAATATCGAAACACTTACAGGTGCATGCTCGATCGGGATATGGACATGATGACTTCTGGCCAACGTCACCCATTCATGACGAAGTGGAAGGTTGGAAGCACAAAAGAGGGCAAAATAATCGCACTCTGGTGTGAACTATTCAGCAATGCCGGCTATTCCCTCGATCTCTCCATTGGAGTAGCTGATCGAGCGCTCGCTCATATCGATAACTGCTATCACATTCCTAACGTTGATGCCCGCGCGCGAGCATGCAAGACCAACACCATATCTAATACTGCATTCCGCGGGTTCGGCGGCCCTCAGGGCATGTTTGTCGCGGAAGCTTATATCACTGTGGTTGCTGATAAGCTTGGGTTGGATGTGGATCATGTTCGGGAGGTGCGCGCGCCGAAGACTGGGCTGAAGATATTTCTGACATGCGCTCCCTAGATTAATCTTTACAAAGAAGGCGAAACAACGCATTATCTACAAAAGGTCGACGATTGGCACATCCCTCGTCTTCTATCAGACGTTCGCAAGGAGTCCGACTATGACCGCCGACGAAAGGAAGTTGACGCATGGAACGCAAATCACAAATGGCGAAAGCGAGGGCTAGCAATGCTACCAACGAAGTAAATTTTCACGATCGGAATGTTGCGTCTTTGCTGAAGTGTCATGCAGATATGGACTTGCTTACGGCCTGGCACATCTAAACCAAGGTGGGGCACTTGTCCATATCTATACCGATGGTAGTATCCTCGTTGCGCATGGTGGAACGGAGATGGGACAGGTTTGTGGATACTCACATGGGACTCGCGTAGGGTGTATTGACGCCTTCAATCATGATGCAGGGTTTGTATACTAAAATGGTGCAAGTTGCTGCCCAAGAACTCAAAGTCCCACTCGATACGGTCTTCACCTCCGAATCGTCAACAAGCACTGTTCCGAATACGTCGTAAGTGCACCTTCCTTTTTTTCTCACCTTTTTTCGACTTCGAGTATCACTTCAGCCCGACTGCTGCATCGTCTGGGACTGATCTGAATGGAATGGCGGTGAAGAATGCTTGTGAAAAGTTGAATAAACGTTTGGAACCATACCGGCAGAAGCTCGGCGCAGATGCTCCTATGACAAAACTAGCACAGGCTGCTTACCTGGACCGTGTGTCGTGAGCACCATCGCGATCGAGAATACTGTGTACATGCTCACATTCTCAGATTATCGGCAACAGGGCATTATCTCGTACCAAAAATTGGATATGAGTGGGGAAATTGTGAATATTATCCACCACTCAATGCTTGATTACTGACCAAAGCTTTCTTCAGTCGTGAATCCAAAGCCTTTGTACGGGCGATGTATCTCCCTCTCGCACAGTGTGTCTAATCGTATTCAAACATAGATTCTTTTACTACACGCAAGGCGTAGCGGTGAGCAGCGTCTACCTTTGCTGAATAGATTTTCAGTGATGTATTTGTTCGACAGGCCGTTGAAGTAGAAGTCGACTGCCTAACTGGGGACCATACGGTTCTCCGCACAGACCTCAAGATGGATGTTGGAAGGTCCATCAATCCCGCAATCGATTGTCAGTATTTCATAACTCTCTCTACCCCTGGATCCCGGAGATTTATATCAGTACTCTTGCGCAGATGGTCAAGTAGAGGGTGCCTTTGTTCAAGGATACGGCAGGTTCCAGGCTTTTGCCCAACTGCTGGCAGCTCATAAATGGGTTTAACAGGATTATTTACAATGGAAGAATCGCTTTGGCTGAACCATAATGGACAGCTGTTCACTAGGGGTCCTGGTCAGTGTGCAGTATAATTGACCGATTACAAGCAATTGACGGTGGTGTTGATACAGGCGCATATAAGATACCGGGGTTCAGTGATATCCCTCAAGATTTTCGCGTCAGCCTTTTGAGAGATGCTGAATGGCCAAACCTTGGTACTATCGCTTCAAGTAAGGGTGTTGGGGAACCTCGTAAGTAGTGTAGCCATCTCGATGCCACCAGATTCGTTAATCGAAACCTTTTTTTAGCATTGTTCCTCGGAGCTACTGTCCTCTTTGCCTTGCGAGATGCGCTGAAGTCGGTTCGCGCACAGGCAAATCTGACTGATATACAGGAGTTCCAGTCTCCGCTCACGGCCGAGCGCATCCGTCTTGCTTGTGGAGATGTGCTCTTGAAACAAGGGGAGGTGAAGCCAGTTGAAGGAAAGAAAGGGTTTTTCGCGTACATTTAGGGACTATCATTGTTCATGGATCACAGCTTATTGGCGAGCTAATCATGCAACTTGTTTATATCTTTGTGAATGCTTCATATGGATTACCACTCGATGTCACATTCCCTCTGATTTATCTTTTGAACTGGTGCATGTCTCGATCATTGCTCTGTGAGATATGGGAAAAAATCTAACCCACGAATGTCTCACCTGCACATTCAGGCGTACGAAGACTTACAGATGCCCCCAAATCATCCGCGAAATGAGTCGATATCTACGGCGAAGCGGCTCTAGGGTTTTGCCAACAACAAGTTTGCGACAAACCATATCTAGCACCTGAAGCCACGATATAGTCCTCAATGAGATTTTCCTCTCAAGGGAAATCCACCAGCGAGATGTCTGAGAGTGTGGGAAAACAGCGAATTGAAGATACGAATGACAATCTTTGTCGGGCCATGGAATGCGACTAGGTCGACGAGGATGGGGTTAAGGCCCGAAGTAAGTGTATATTAAACACACCTACTCCATTTATCAGTCTTATGAGGAGACCACGAAGTATCAGGAATGCTCGATTGTTCGACCTTCGAAGTTGGAGCAAGTCCTTGCAGGTGCATCATGGACTCTTCGAGGCCATGGCTGATAAGGCAACAAATCCAACGTCACTTCAGAATTTATTTGATGACAGTCTTCGTGGCTGAAGAGGGCTGAGGTTGACTTGATATGAGATGGCAGTGGATGCTAAGCGGTGCTGAAGCGCTGAAGAGCGCTGAGGCACGAACAGAGTCTCGCCTCGCGCTTGTGGAGTCGTCAGCCGTCTCGCGCACCGTTTGGGTCACGCACGCTGGTCGCTAGCACGCTGAGGCTAAGAAGCGCTTGCTGATGTAAGTGAGCATAACATACTCTACCGAACAACCCGACAGCTTCAAGCGCTAGCGCTTCACCATGGAACAGAACAACTGGTCTTCCTCTTCTGAATCATACACCTACGTTGATCCTCCAAATTCGAATCTCGTATGCTGTATATGTCGGTGAGCACAATAGTTCTTTGCAGCCGCCTGTGTGCTTATCTAGCTGCAGTATGCCTTTTGTAGAGCCTACCACTACAAGGACGTGCTCTCACACATTTTGTCGCGGCTGTATCAACCAAGCCCTGAAGACCTCGCCACAATGTCCTATTGATAGATCACCTCTCCAAGATGACGATTTGTTAGCTGCCAGTCCCATCGTCAGACATGTCAGTGCGCGCTCACTACATCAAGCCGAATCTGCCCGAACTAACATAAGGATAGCTCGTGGAAGAGTTGGTTGTGGAATGCCCTCATCGTCCAGACGGATGCGCTTTCACGTGTCAGAGACAGCTCCTCGCGTCTCACCTACAAGGCTCGTGTCCTTATGTGCATGTACCCTGCCCTCATGGCGACTGTGAAGAGCCAGTCCTGAGAAAGGACGCGAAGAAGTACGCCTCTGCATGTACACACCGTCGGATCAAGTGCAAGAGGTGTGATTCAGAATTCAAGGTCGTTGAGTTAGAGGTAAGTTTGCGACCGGCGTTCACCACCCTTCCCCCGTGTCTGACGAGGATCTCCAACTCCATTTCAGTCCCATGATGCCGAGTGTCGCGCGAAACTTACTGCTTGCAAATTTTGCAACTCTCAATTCCCCATGTCGGATCTGGCAGACCACGACGCATCCTGTATGGACCGTGTCATTGCTTGCACACACGAAGACAATGGCTGCCCGTGGACAGGCCCTCGTCGTTCTCTGCTGGACAAACATATTCCTGCCTGCCCCTACGAGGCAATAAAGGGCTTCTTTGGACGCAATAATGACCGCATCTCTGCATTGAGCCAAGAGAACATTCTGCTCAGGCAGAAACTTGAAGCATCAGATGGTATGATGCAAATACTCAGACGCGAATTGCGAGCTGTGAAGACGGCTCTCGGGCCATGGTATAGACCTGATGGCTCTTACACATTCTGGTCACAGGATCTTCTCACCGATGGTCTCTCTGACAGTCATCTTACCGACGGTTCCGCAGACACGCCCGCCTTTCCATACTATCCAGCCGGACAGCCATCATCGCCCGGTTTCAATCCTGCTCATTCACAATCTCCAACGTCACCCTTCGCCAACCTTGCCTTGTACTTCCCGCCTGCATTCCCTTCGTCTAATCCCTCCGACTCTAATTCCGGCGCCAATCCCTACCACCCCCATCCCACCTCCGTCTCGGATGCGCGTGCGGGCCCTTCGACAGCAATGCCGATTGCGCCTCTCAACTTGAGCACTTCTCTGACCGGGACGCTTGCAGGGCTGCATTCCACCCTTTCCACCCTTGCAGCGTCACATGACGCCCTCGCCCGTCTCACCGAGCTTGCACTGGCCACCGAGACGGCGCGCACAGCAGAGGAACTTGGTGCGCTTCGTGCAGTCGTCAATGGCCTCCGCATGCATGTCCACGCGATCATGATGGATCGTAACGCCCTTTTTGCCGGCACCGATGCCGGCAGCGCAACTTCGGGAACGGGAACGGGAGCGGGAGCGGGTATGGGTGCCGCGGGCTGGCCCCCGCAAAGATTCTACCCACACCCGTCGTCGGCGCCCGGCCTACCTCTTTCCGCACTGTCTTCGTCTCCTGCGTCAATTACAAAGCTCTAGACGGCGCGGTCTCTTTCCGTGGGGTCACTTAGGGTTACTTGCAGTGCGTGCACTTCGGCTTGGTGAGGAAGAGGGGTTTGGATTCGGAAGGACAGGAGCTGCATATGGAGTGGAAGCAGTTCGCGGAACCGAATTGACTATGTCTCAATGCTCGACTGTTCTGCAACCCCGTGTCTCGACTCTTCCCACAGCGCTAGGAGACAAATATCGGGTCTCGGCATCTCATTCGTCCGTGCGACAGACTTCCGTTCCCTCTATTCTTCGGCACCGCGTCTTGCAAGGTTCCGCCCTGTTTATGTGCGGATTGTGCTCGGTGTTTTGTACCGAAGATGCGGCCATACCTCGTCATTGTCTGGCCCTTTTTCGCACCTATACCGATCGCCCGAGATAGCCGGGCTCATCGATAGGACTGTTTCTTCTTACTCCGCGGTCGGTATTTTACGGTCAGCGCCCCTTCACAGCCCCTCCTCTTGCATCACTGCGACGACATCAAACCCGATCGGGCTCGCGCTCCAATCTCGTCTCGGTGCATCATCATGGATTGTAGATCAGCAACGCACAGCGCTTTTTCACAGTTCTTTACAGCCATCGTTCTCATCAATGATCAGTCCTTCCATTGCATCGACACCCATTCAAACTTAGGGCCTGAACTCAATCCTGCACTTGCCCGCCGGCAAGCCATTGACGGCTGCATGTGACGAGGACGACGACAACTGTACCCGGACCCTTCAAACCCATTCAAAGCCCCTGCCCTCCTGACCCAAACGTTCGCCTTGGTTGCCCTTCACTGCCCCTCCTGGAGACTCCAAACCTGTGTGGGTGCAACTGACAGCTGTCGTGTTATGTACGTGTATATCTGTGTATATGTATATGTACACGTACTGCGGAGACGCGCGCGCCGTCGACGTAAGAGTACATACATATTCACAGCAGGGCTGAGTCCAGCGGACCGCAGCCAGGGGTTTGGTCGCCGGTGCACTGCTTCTCTCGTTTCCCGCTAGGCCTGTGAGCGGCGCGGGTGCGCTATGTACGCTATGGGCTGTCGGCGCTCGGTGCCTCGGGCATGCACCTGTAGCCCGCCTCGACACAGCACGCACCACAGCGCCGCCTGTCAAAGGTGGACGCGACGTCGGGCGGTAGATACGATTCGGGGGAAGGGCCTAGCGATGCCTCTACGTGATCAGCTTGTTACGGCTGCATTTGTATTTCCAGCGCGAGCACATACAGTCCATGTGATTGATTGCTTCGAACAGTGTGTGATGTGCGCACTTTGCGTGCGGGCTAGTGCACTGGCAGTGCTGGGACTCGAGGACCGTAAATCCGTGGGGATCGAGCAATTAGATCCGAATCGTCAGGCCCGCACAATCGCTGCACCACTTGCCGAACGAATCAGACCAAACCGCCTTCGAGTGTGCGCCGCTAACTTATCGTCGCCAGAGCCAATGATAGCCATCCGTGATTAGATCTCAGAATTGGGTACACTCGATTCGACCACATTTAGCAAAACACCGGTGCGTACTGTACGATAAGTAAGTATGTATGTATATGTGTATGTGTGCATGTATGCCTTTTGAGTATGTAAGGATGGATGTATTTATATGCGATCTGTAAGGGAGGCGGCGAAGCAGAAAGGCAGGTAGGAATAAAAAGAAAAAGAACAGAGCAGTCAGCGGGGCGAGAGTATTCGGACAATAGATGCACGGGGGACGGTCTGTCTGTGCGCGGAAATACAATAGGTACTGGGAACCGGCGAGCTTGACAAGAGACGGCGAGACGACGAGACGACGAGACGGGGGCGCGTCAGATACGGCGGCGGCGAGCGGCATCTGTGAGGGGACGAAGGGATATCTATACGCCGCCCGCACACGAGAGGGCACGGGGACGGACGACAGGGAAGGACGAGGGCCAGGGGTCGTAGCTTGAGAGGGGGGGCCGGGATCGGAGGAGATTAGGACGGGGGACGTGACCGCAGAGCGCAAGATCGCGGCGCTGGCACGTGGACGCTACGCCAGGAAACTCGACTTTGACGGGCTCGGGCTCGGGGACGAAGGTCGAAGGCAGCAGATGGCGACGGCAACGGCGACGAAGCGGGCCTCAATGAATCGGACGGAGAAACATGGCGTGCACGCGGTACGGATTCGGGCTCGGCGCGCGCGCACGCCAAGAACACGGCGGTAAAAACAGAAGAAGGGGCGGATTCTGGGAGATTCTGGGAGCGTCGAAGCCGAAGCTGTTGGTCGAAGGTGGAGATGGGTGGACGTGGGGAAGAGCAGACAGGGGCGCGGGCGCGGTGTGAGTCCGAGTCGCACACACGCGCCCCCGCGCAACGGCACCGCGCGCGACAACAGGAGCCGGCGGCGACAACCTTCAGGTGCCGCGTGTAATCGACCCCGCTCGAATCCGCAGCTATATTGGGAGCACCAAAAAAAGGACTGACGACCGAGCGAGCAAGACCGAGGATGAGCATCGGCAGAACGTAACGGCGCAGAACCAAGAAGGACGTACAGTGAATCTGAGAAGAAACGCACCGAACAGGAACAGGGAATCTGGATGAAAAGAAAAGAAAAGGAAGGAAGGAAGGAAAGGAAAGGAAAGGAATAATGGGGGAAGCGTAGTGTAACAGGAATGGCAAGATTAAGCACAGCGACGCCGCGAATTCCGCGACGCTCATAGTAGAATACGCTTTGATGAACACACAGGCAGCGGATGCCGGCGTTGTCGTCGTCGATGACCACAACACGGACGGTCCCGTCGGTGCGGATAGGAGACCAAAAAGCTAAAAGTGGCAAAGTAGCAGTGGCAAAGAGACAAGAGCACTGTAGAGTACTGGGTACGATACTGTAATGTATGCAGCATGTGTTGGTTGTGTGTACGTATGAGCAAAGCCAGCAACTTTTAGCTGAAAGGCAGGAGATTTTATAAAACAGAAAAAAAAACAGAGAAAAAAAGAAAGCGGCCGAGAGAGACAGCAATAAAATAAAAAGGAACGACAGACGGATCAGTTCAGGAGCACAAGATCGGCGAAGAGCGAAAAAAGGGACGCGAAGGAAAGGACAGATTCAGATAGATAGATAGATAGGGTGCAAGGGAACATAAAAAGCCAACAGAAAAGGTGAGCGAGAGTGGGGAGCGTACGGGTAGGCAAACACAGCATCCGACGAAAGGGGCCCGACGACCTAGATAAAAAAAAACCGAAAGGATGAAAAAGCAAACCACAAGAGACCGACATCCGAAGCGGGAGCGAAGAAAGGCGCACAAAGGCGAAGCGCAGACGAGCGCAGAAACTTAAGCGCACGCGTGTGCGCGTCGTAGAGTAAAACAGCAGCGCAAGCGATAGGAATGAGGAAGGGAATAAAAAAAAGGAGTGAGGGACCGAGCGCATCGAAAAGCACAACAACCGGGCAAACAGAAACCGGGATTCGAGGGATATGATGAGCAGAAGGGGCAAGAGACCGCTGCTCGCACGCCTGGAGAAATCGTCGTCCTACACCGCTCGCTTACACCGCGCGCACCGACCCGGGCCCTACTGGAACTGCACCTCGCCCAGATCATGCGGCGCAAAGTACGGCAGGCCGCCCGTCCCAGGCCCATACGGGTGCGGGCGCACCGCGTAGCCCCCACCGCCCCCGTACTCCGCAAATTGCGGCCCCGGCGGGCCCGGAGGAGGCGGATACTCCGGCTCTGCGCTCCCGTGCACGTCTCGATGCCCAGGCCCTGGGGGCGACGCCGGTGCCGAGCTTGCCGTCAATGGCAAGGCCGATGTCGAGGCGGAGCCGGAACCGGACATGGACGTAGGCGCAGAAGCAGATATGGAGGCGGAGGCAGGCGTGGAGATCGGGGTGGAGGTGGACGGCGAGGAGGAGGCCGAGTTGGGGTTGGAGACCGAGGCGGGAGCGGGAGCAGATGGGTCCTGTGCCGGTGCCGAGACGAACGTCAGTCAACCAGTCAATCAGTCCGGCAGTCAAGGAGTCAGTCAAACAGATCAGGAGGCAAGCCGGTCAGCGAATGAACGAAGAAAGAATCGACCGAGCAAGCGCGTGTATGCGCACGCACGAACCACACGAGACGGGCGTAATGAAGACGGGGATAGAACAGCTGAAAGGGGGTACCACAGGACAGAAAACAACAGAGCACACGTCGGGGAACGAGCGTGCAAAAGCACGCGCCAGGTGCTTTGAAATGGGACGGACGAGGAGAAATGGCAGGCGCGAGAAGCGCAGGAAGCGAACCAACCATATGAAGAAACAGGAGAGAAGCGAAGCGAAGCAAGGACGGAGGAAGGACGGAAGGAAGGAAGCCAAGAAGGAAGGTGAGGAGCGGGGGGCTGGGAAATAGAGTTCCGCGCGGGGAGCTCGGAGGATGAGGTGCGGAAGGGAGGCGCGAGGTGACGCGCCGCGCTGCGCCGAGACGTGATCGTGCGTGTGCGTGATTCGCGCGACGGGACGTCGCGGAGCGCCGGAGGGGGAGTAAGAATGGCAATGTGATGGGGATGGGAATTGGGGGTGCAAAGGCGATTGAGGGGCAAAGAAGGCAAAGAAGGGAGCGCAAGTGCAGAGCACAATGGGCGGCGTGGGATGTAGAGACGGCAGAAGAGGGAAGCACGAAGTAAGAAACGATATCCCGAGAACGAGCGCACGCAGAGCCCAGAACCCACATCACGAATTCGTCAAGGGGCACGGAACACGAAAAGAGCAGGAAACCATCATGCTTCCTCCCCCCCTTCGAAGAAAGTAGGATAAAACAAAACAAAATAGAATAGAATAAAACAAGCAGTGGACAGGAAAAAACAAAAACAAAAACATAAAATCGCAGAAAAAAAAGCTCAACTCACCGACTCGTCGCTTAAATGCGGCTGCAGCGCGTACGCCAGCTCGCTCGAGGACAGCGCGTACTGCTGCTGATGCATCAGCATCGGCTCCGCTCTCCCGCTCGTCGTCGACGCCGGAGATGGGTACGTCGCGGTGCCGGCCCCGTCGTCCTGCCCATGACCATGGGCGTGTGCGTGTGCGTAGGACGGGTAGCTGCGGTCCGCGTCGCGCGGGTCGTGCAGGTCCTGTTGCTGCTGCTGGTGCGAATGCGGGTGCAGATGCTGCTGCGGGTGTTGTGGCGCGCGCTCGTCAGGTGGGCAGTCGACGCGCAGCCCTGAGAACATGTCGCTCGTGGACACGCTGCGATGGGAACGCGAGGGGGTCAGCGATCATACACACACACGAGGTTCGCACCTCCGCCTCTGCCCCTGCGCGCCAGGGGGTGCAAGGGACACGAAGACGGAGGCATGAGAACAAAAAGTGGCAAAAAATAATAAACAAACGCGAGACCGAGGCTCCGGGCGACCCGACACAATGGGCTGCGCGGAAGCGCAAGAAGCGCAGGCCGTGGAAGGGTGGAAACGCACAACGCACGACGACGCATGCACCCAGTGACTTCGCATCGAAATAACGCAAACACGAGCACACGACACAGAACCGATCGCCAAACTGCACGGCGAACCAAGGACGTGCCACAAAACACCAGAAAAAACACCATCGGAAAAGAAAAGAAGTACTCACCACGAGCCCCGCCTCGAATACGGGTCCATCTCGCTCAGGTCCGAGAGATACGGGCCCGCGCCATTGCTGCTGCTCGTACTCTCGCTGTATGTCACCGATGCGATCGAGCCCAGCGACCCCCGCCCCGCCCCCACCTCCGTCCCAGCATCCCCGCCGAGGCCTCCTAGACCGCTGAGGCCGCTGAGAACGCCTAATCCACCACCTCCGATACCAAGACCGCCTCCTATACCTGTGGATTCGAGCCCGCCGCCGAGCCCGGGCGATGGGTACTCCATGTCAACTTCATTCTCCTCGATCTTGGCGCGCGGCATCTGCAGCTGGCCTTGACCTTGACCGTGCTGCTGATCATGTTGAGAATGTGCCGGCGGCGCCGGGAACTGGTACGACCCAAGCTCATGCGAGATCTCGTATCCCTCGGCGCCCATGCCCATGTTCATGCCCATGCTCATGTCCGCCCCAACTCCGCCATGATAGCCATGCTGACCGTGCTGATGGAGCTGGCCGTGCACGGGCTCATGATGATGTTGATGAGGTCCGTAATCATACTCGAACGCCACCGGGTCGGGAGACGCGGACGCAGACGCGGATGGGTCGAGCGCGTAGCCCCGCTCGGGCATGTAGAATGCGAGCGTGTCGCTGTCCGCGCTGCCCGCACGAGCCGTGTCCGCGGAGCTGCGCACGTCGCCGCCGTTGCTGCCGCCTGGCGCGAAGGGGTCTGGATTCGTCCATTGGACAAACTCCCCCTGCTGCTGCTGCTGTTGCTGTTGCTCCCCTTGTTGCCCTTGCCCCGACATATGCAATGGCACCGACGCGTGGATTGCAGTCGGGACGCTCGCGCGGTGCATAAGTCGCGGACGGCCCGCACTCGCGAACGGATTGTAGCGCACGCCGGGGCCCATCCCGGCGCCATCGGCAGTCCCAAACGAGCTATGACGCGAGGATCCGCGGCTGCTGCTGCTCCCGCCGATGCTGCCAGGGCCAGTCCCCTCCGAGAGCGAGGCGCGCATGGGGTCAGCGCCGGCGTACGCGGTGCCGAAGGGGTATGAGGGGAGGTGACGCGGAGAGAGGTGGGAGTGTGGATGCAGGTTGACGGACGGCGCATGAGGCGCGTTCGCAGGGTATGCGAGTGGCGCGCACGGGTGCTCTGCGAGGGCGCCGATGGAGCGGCGGTGATGAAAGAGTGACGAGGGCTGAGCTGGATAGGGCGAGGGGGCAAGAAAGCGCCGACGGACGCTGTGGGACTCGCCGGGGAGAGAGGAGCGGCGGAGTTCGTACGCGGCAGGGTTTGGGTGGACGTGAGGATACTGGTGAGGGTGGAGGTGGAAGTCCGTGACCGCAGTAGAGGTAGGGAGAGAGGGGGCAGGGAGGGGGAGAGCGGGGAGGGAGGGCGCGGAGGGGAGGATGGGCGGCTGTTGCCAGGGAGAGTGGTGGGCGAGCGAGGGCGGTTGGAGCGGGGCGGGGGCGAGAGGGTCGATGGCGTCGGGGTCGGCATGCTGTCGTTGAGGGAGAAGGGGGACGGGAGGGGGATGGATGGCACGCGGGCGGGCACTAGAAGAGGGGGCGAGGTCGGTGTGGGGAGCGGGGGCGGGGGACGCGGAGGACGAGTCTGCGCGAAGGTTGGAGCGCTCGCTGTCCCTGGGCGTGTCCTTGTCTGGGGAAGACGCGTCGGCCTTGCCGGCGATCGTTTTCTTCTCCTTGGCGCGTCTGTGCGTGGGCGAGAGAAGGAATATCGTCAGCCCCGTCGTCGCTCACGGTGTTTGTTGCTCCTGGACCTTACCTGTTCTGGAACCACACCTGCGGGGCAAGCGACACGGACGGAGTGAGCAACAGAAGGAGGAGGGGGGAGGAACACTGGAGGGGAAAGGGGAGGGTGGAGGAGAGGGCGGGGCGAGCGCCTAAGGATGGACGGAGGACAGAGATGGAGAGGCAGGAAGAGAAGTGCGCGCACCTGGACCTCCCTCGGGGTCATCCTGAGCTCGTCCGCGAGGCTGCGACGACGGGGGCCATTGGGCTTCTTGTCTGTGAGAAAGACGTCCTCGAGGACGGAGAGCTGGTGCTGGGAGGTGCGCTTGCGGGTCTTGACGGCGTTGGGGATGTAGCTGTAGAACATCTTCGAGTCTACCTTTGCGGGGTCCACGCCGGGTGGAATGAGGGAAGGAATGTATGAGCGGTTGTGTTGCGTGTGAGTGTGGGGGAGGGGAGGGAGGGAGGGAGGGGACGGGAGGGAAGGACTGCCTCTGGACATGATACGGAGGGAGGGAAAGAGGCTGGGCCCTTCTCTTAAGCCTCTTTCCTCCCAGTCGACCCGGCAATCCGAACCACCCCCGCCCTTCCCACGCTCTCCTCTCCCCGTCGCCACGGCGATTCCGCCGCTCACCTGCGCTCACTCGTCCGTGACCACTAATGCATAGAGCGTAGATGTATCGTATCGTATCCGTAGAGACTGTACACTTCGTTTCCGAAACCCAGTCCGACTCTCCACCGTAAATAACACCGTCCGCGGCGAACCAACTTCCCGCGCCCGCCCCGTCCGTGTCATCCAACATAGATTAGGGTATCGGCCCCGCCCCGCCCCCCCACCCACCGCCCATCCGTCGCAAGCAAGAAAGGTCATCCCCGCCCCGCCGAACAAACACAACTACACTCGAGGCGAGGCGAGGCGAGATGGAAACTGGGCATGGGGGGATCGTGCGTGCGTCATGATGATGGAAATAGAGGGAGTGATGATGATGATGATGGTAATGACAATGATGGCAACGACGGCGACGACGAGGATGATGCGCATTGGCGGGTCCATAAATTTCGGTGAATCATAACATATCGTATAGCAGTGTGGTGGTGGGGTGTGTACCCATAAACAGAACGAGACGAGGCGAAAAAAAATCAAAAAAGAGATGGCAATATCGAGGGGAGGCAGAAAAGAAAAGAAAAGGTCATAGAAAAAAAAAAAGAAAAACAGGAAATCCAAACCGTTCCCGACTCCCATACATACACACATGTTCCTCGATGGACATCTACGGCGAGATGTCCATTGCTTCCTCCAGCACACCCATGCCCACCCGTCCCGCGTCGCCCAAGATCTCCTCCAAGAACCCGTCTGGAACGGGGCCGAGCGGCGATGCCGCAAACACAGGCTCGCGCGCCCTCAGTGCCCGCGTCCGCATCCGATCCATGGCCGCCCTCGTTCTTGCGACGACCGGATGCGCCCACACGGTGCCCACGTCCACTCGTAGCGCAGGGTCCGTGCGCATCATACTCCGGATCAGTTCGAACAGCACCCCGCTATCATCCATCTCTACTTGCGCAAAATCCTCCTGCCTCAGCCGCTGCCACGGTTCGCCCCTGCAAAGCGCAAGCGACCGAGCGATCGAAACGGACACAGGCGCGGATCGGCGAGGCGAAGCGAGCGAGAAGCGTCGATGCGTATAGGCGCGCGCACGGAACGCGAAATCAAAAAGCAAAATCAAAATCAACGAATGCAGTTAGCATTCGCACCGGAGGAACGCCGGTCATAAATCACGTACTGATCAGGCACCACGATGTTGGATGCGGTCTCGAGCATGGTCATCCCAAAGCTGTAAGCGCATGAATTGAGCGCTAGTCCTCCTCGTATCCAGGAGCAAAGACCGACAACGCACCTAAACATGTCCGCCGCCTTACTGTATCGTCCCTGTAACACCTCAGGCGCGAGGTACACCTTGTCACCCTCCCTCTCGAACCCGGTTGCGCGCACCATCTGAGCGTGAATGTCCCCAGCCACAGGCGTGGTCGCTAAATTCGGGCGCGGCCAGAGCGAAGCCATACCAAAGTCACCAATCTTGAAACGGCCTTCACCTGTGACGAAGATGTTTGCAGGCTTCAGGTCGAGGTGGATGACGCCTGCGTCGTGAATAAAGCGTAGACCCTGAAAATAGGCGCACGCGGACTTAGATCAGAAAGACTCGAAGGACAAAAAAAAACACAAGACAGCGGCATGAGCCGAAGGGGAGACTCACATTGCTAAGGTCCGCGAGGATCTTCCACACACGCGCCTCCTCCAGTTTGGGGAATGCCCGACCGTACTCCCATAGGAAATGCGCAAAATTGCCCAACTCGCAGAGCTCGGTCTGAATAAATAACGCCTCGTCTTGTTCCCAGCTGTCAACGTACGCAAGGATGTTCGGGTGTCGACGAATGCCTCCACGCGTAGCCGGAGGAGACGCGCGCGAGAGGTGCTGCAGGATGTCGACCTCCTCTCGCAAGCGGAGGCTGTGATAGGCAAGAGGGGATGTGGATCAGCGACATGTTACTCTGACGACGAGCAGGGAAGAGGAAGCATCGTGCTATCAATAATGCAGCGTGCCTCTGCCCCCAATGCAGAACCGGGGCACAAACGCAGCATGGCACGATCTCGGCCACTCGTCATCAGATCGATCACTCAAAGCGCGTTCTGACAGATGCCATCAAACGTGCCGAAATGGACGGGCGGCACTCACCGGTGCTTGACTCCTTCGAACCGTTTCGACTTTTTCACGGCCCAGACCTCGCTCCCGCGCTCTTTATGCCGCACCTTGAGCACCTTGCCAAACTGTCCGCTGCCCACTTCCCCGACTTCGACGAACTCCCGCTCGAACTTACCCGGCTTTTCGTTCTCCGATACCTTGGAGGCGCCAAAGCCCAGGAATCCAAGCGAGGGGCGGGGGCGCAGTGTGGAGGGCGCATGTGCAGCGTGACCCTGCTGCGGCAGGCGGGGTAGTTTGAACGGAGACACTTGCGGAACCATCTCGCTCTTGCCACGTCGATGGGTTGTCTGATGTGGTAAGTGCTCAATGGCGCCTTGTAAAGTTGGCGAGTTCGGGAATGACGTCGCTGTTGACGAAGACGAATTAGACGCAGTCCGATGCGGCGAAAGGTGGCTCGATATGGTCGGTTTCGATGGGGAAAGGCGGGGGATGCGAGGTGGAGGAAGTTCCCAGCCTGTGAGTGACGTGAATAGCGTCAGCGACGCGCATTACACTTATACGCCTATCACCGCATGCCTGGAATCATAATCAATCACTCACCAGAGCCTTTGCCAGCGGTCGGTGTACCAGGCAAGCTGCCTTCACCGCTCGCGCTCCCGGCACTCACCACAGAAATAGCACCACTACTGCTCCTGCGCAACAACCAACTCCCAACCCCCGCCTTACCCACACTGGGACGGCCGAGCCCGAGGCCCTCGTACTTCGTACTTGGACTCCCATCTTCCTCATCCGTACTCTCCTCAACCTTTCCCTTTTTGCTTTTCCTCGAAGTCCCAAGAATCGGGAATGCCGCCGGCAAGCTCTTCCTCGGCTTGCCCTTCTTTACCTCCTTGCGCTTCGTGCCTTCGTCGTCCCCGAAATCAAACCCCACTTTACTCGCCACGGCGCTCTGCCACGGACGTTGTCCGAACCCGAACCCACCCGCGGTCTTCACTCGCTTCTGCGGAGTTCCGGGCGGGCGCTTCAACGGCTGCTCCGTCTGTTGCGCTTGCAATAAAGTGCGAACGATGAATGCATCCACATCCGACTCGACCCGCATGCCTGCGAGAGACATCGCACCCTCGGAATCGGACGAGCTTACGATCCCCGGCGGTCCAAGCGGCCAACCTGACTGCGCGGACGGAAAGAAGCCAGGCGTGATGAGTTCTTGATCGGAGCTAGCGATGGTGCTGACACTCGTGGAGGCGCTGGGCATGACTGCCTCCAGCATCGAACCCGAGCGTCCGAAGCCTCTACCCCTATTCTTCCGGAGTGCCGAAAGTCCACTGTCTTCATCTTCTGACATAACGATACCAGAGTCGCGAGGTTTGTATTTCTTTTCCAATTTTGGTACCGACGGCACGCCCCCGAACATATTCTTGCTACGCGGCGACGGCGTGCTGGCTATAATGCTGATTGCAAATGACGTTTCCGGAGCACTCCCCCATCCAAAGCTGTCGTCGAAGCTATTGTTGCCCTCATCGCCCTTCGAACGCCTTTTGAAACTGCTACTGCCAAAGAATAGATCTTCTTCGTCGCCCTCGTCAGGTCCATTGTCAAGGACCATAGGGTGGAAGTCCTCGTCCGTAATCTCACCCATGTCATCATCAGTTCCCTTGTGGATCGACAATGGAGATGAGCTGCCCATGGGAGTCGCCCAGCTTCCGTGTCCGGATGTGAAGGAGGATCCCGCGTAGCTATGACGAGTGGCAGACTGTGGCCTTCCAAAAAGCGGCTGTGGACAACCAGAGGTAGATGGCGGAGAATGCAGGTACGTTGTGCGCGCGTTCATCGGAGGGGTGTCCGTGCGGGGAATCGGCGGCCCAAAAAACAATGTAGCACTTCCTGAGCTTTCCAGTCGCCGAGGAATTGTCCGCGGTCCCTCACGGGACTGAGAGATCGAGACCGTGCGCTGCCGACTGAGTGAGTTGCTTTGGGCACGGCCGCGCCTTGTGGTCGTGGAGACATTGCTAGAATTCATGGTCCGCTGGCGCGGAATTGGCGAGGTTGAGGAGGAAGACGAGGATGAAGGCGTCCTAGAACGAGCACTGGGGAAGGTGATAGTTGAAAGTATGCTGGTAGGGTTCGACGGATGCCGTTTCTTTGGGGACTTCTACAAAAGGAGCCCAAAAAGTCAGTCTATATGCGCATATAGTCACCTAAATAGACATACATGCACGTTGCGGCCCATGTCATCCATCAGTTCCCAGCTTACCGGTCTACTTCGCGCTCTCCGCTTCGTAACGTGGCCTCCTGGGGAAACATCTACCGCCTCTTCTTGTTCTACCTGAACCTGAGTGTTGAATATCAACTCGTCTTCGAGCGTCCCCAGAGGCTCCTCTATTTTCAACTGCCCCATCGTCTCTTGCCCACCTTTTAGGAACCCATCGGTCTCTAGACGTGAGTGGGCGGAACGAAACTTCGGGGCGGGAAGAGGCGCAAGTCGATCAAAACTGCCCTCTCCAGCGGTCTTTGTGACGCTCAACGGCGTCATCGCGCGCTTACGGTACGGGGTCGTAATTGGGAGAGCGGTTGGCTTACGCTTCGTACCTATAGTATTTGTGAGGTGCGTATTGACGGGGGTCAGCTGAGCGATGGGCGTCGATGTCTGAGGGGGAAGTGAAAATGGAGATGGTGACGGGGACGCTACAGTGAGGGGAGAGAAGGCTCTCGCAGGGGTCAGAGCGGGCGGTGCTGTTTGCTGTTTGATCGCGAGAACGTGGCGGGAAGGGTCTTGAGGGTACTGTACACGTGTATTTGATTGTTTGACGGGGGTCCTGAGACTCTGTGGCTGGGGCGGGTTCTGAGAGCCCAGCGACGGGGGCTGTAGTGGTTGCCCAGCAGATCGTCGCGGCTGCTTTGCCCTCGAGGCGTGGGGGCGCGCTGAGGCTTTCGGTGGTGCAGGCGTGGACGAAGAGGAAGAGGAAAGGAATATGCCTATTTCGTCGTCGTCGTCTACTGGGACGGGAGGGACTACGCTGGTTCCCTTGTCTCTCCTGCCCAAATTCGCCATGTTTTGAGATATGCGAGCGGAAGGCTGAAAAGGGGCTGAGAGCCGCCCGTGTGGGCGCGAGGAGCTGCCGTCTGCTTGTGACGGGTCGAGCGCTAGCTCGTCTTGTCCCGATTCGGTCATAAATAAAGACCTTCGACGTAGTGGCGAAGGAGTGCCTATGGAGGAGTCGTGAGAGGCAGCAGCGGATGAAGATATCAGCGGGGGTGGGGTATGGGTTCGATGAAGCTGATGCGCAGCGCGGCAAGACGGCGAGAGGCTTGTGTCGCGAGACGAGTGGTTGATGTGGGAAAGGTTTGGGGTTGAAAGAAGCATGACATGCAGATGGCCGTGATATGAGAGAGAGAGAGAGGAAGAAAAAGATGTAGTTAAGTTAGATGTGTTGAGCACAGCGGAGGCGATTTAGAGAGAAAGAGAGAAGAAGAGAAAGAAAGGGCGCAACGTGTGTCGAGGCTGCCAATTTTGAGGGCCCAACACCGTTGTGGCAGCTTGCATAAGCGCCCCGCGTGTGAACTCGATAAACAACACCACGTGACCGCGCTGCCCCGCCCTTTTCTTTTTCCCTTCATTTTCCTGCGTCTGCCGAGCCATGGCAATGCGCGTCCCTGGTCAGCGGTGCTTCCGCTTCCCCGCCCCGCCTTCTACGCTCCAATAAACTTTTTGAGTTGCTTTTGCTCGACGCATCGCCGCGCAGACGCGTCGCACTCGCGTCGCGCGCTTTGCTTCCGTCTCTCGCTTTCTCTCCGTGGCCGATCGCGCCCGTCCTCAGGGCGGCCGCCTCGCTTCATCTAACTTTCCGCGGCTCTAGATTCACGGTCAGCGCTGCGTGGGCGCACTCCAGCCACAGTGCAGCCACCCAATCCCATCAGCGATCTGCCCGTCTCAATTTCAAATCGTCGCGCTTGCCGAGCGCAATTCAAATCGCCCGCTCAACGGTTGTGGGTGCTAGTGTATTCGGTTATGCAGTCCCCGCCGGCCTGCGTTCCCTCGCTGTCCATTTGGCTCCCGAGAACCTCCGTTTCTCATGATACGACGCTCGCGCCGTAATTAAATTCTATGGGGTGCACGTCAACGGCTCGGGCGACGACGCGTCGACATCTAGGTCTGACGGGTCAGTTGCTCGTTGGGGCACGGTGTGAGTCCGAGCAGGTCCGAACAGCGCTGCGCCCAGAGCCAGAGCCATCGCGCGTGCAAGTTCGGTTTCTGATCAGAACATCGGTGCGAAAATCCTGTCCGATGTTGACAACTCGACAGCTCGATCGCCTGTCGCGCGCGACACAACCGCCCACACGTGGATACCTAGAAATCCCGTGTCTCGATGGGATGGAAACGATGCTCGCGATTGCTCGAGTCTAGCTCGCTTCGCAGCCCCATTGGAGCGTCGCTTCGGGGCTCCGACGGGCATCTAGGACGGCGCGACCGGAGTGCTAAGTAGAGGGCACTACTAACCAAGTACGATTTTCTGCCGGACCTCTCGGAGGAAGGAAACGGGGCATTGACGACGGCATCCAAATATCACGCTCGAGAGGACACCACCGCGACGGTCCGCTGCTGAGCGACTTCCAGTCCGAGCATACAGTACATACATACTCGCTGCAGATCGCTGTCACCCGTAAACAGCATCCACAATGCCCTCCGTGCTCGCGACGTGTGCGCCAGGAAACATCTCGCGCTCGGAGGCAGACACGATCAGTTTCATTACGGGATTCAATTTTGTGCCTGCACGGCAGCTATTCAATTATCGGTACCTCAGTCGTAAGAGCATACATATTATGATATTCCATTCAACACCCGGCGGCCGACACCCAGCTTTCCTATCCAAGAGCGTCAGTTCGACAACCCGTCCGTCGAATCCACTCGTTGAACGAGTGCACGTTCCACTCGTGCATCGGTATCCCATGGCCCTTCACGCCCTCACGCCCTCACGCCGCCACACGCACCCGCCTCTCGAGCCCACCCAGCAGCACCCCCTCCATCCCGCGCACCCCGCGCCCCTTCACCCCCTCCCTCACGCCCAGCCCGCGCGCCTCCAGGCCCTCCAACACGCCCCGCCACACCGCCGCCTCCGCCGTCGGGCCCCGCACGCCGCGCACGCGCACGGCGCCATCCAGCACGCGCCGCGCCGCGAGCGCGACGGGCAACCCGACGGTGCGCGCCATCGCGCTCGCGCGCGCGTCGCCGTACACGACCAGCGTCGACGTGTGCACCTCCTCTTCCGCGTCCGCATCCACGGGGGCGTGCGCAGGCCGCACGACGACCTCGTGCGCGAGCAGGACGAGGTCGCGCTCGTGTGGCTCATAGCGCAGCGCGTGGGCGAGGTAGAGCGCGAGCAGGTCCGCCGGGGGGAGCGGCGCGCGGGGGATGCGGGGAGGCGCCGCCGTCGAGGCCGAAGCGGGCGCATGCGCGGACGACGGCATCGCCGGGACGAGCGCGAGCCACTGCAGCGCGTCCACGAGCGCCGAGACGTGCTGTGCGGGCAGGGCATCGGAGAGTGCGGAGAGAAGTGAGGCGGGCCCCGCGGGGACGGGCGTGCCGAGCTTCTGCGCGAGCGCGTTGCGGACGAGGTCGGTCCATTCGTTGATCACGATCGGCTCCGTCGCCTCGAGGAGGCCGATCGCCTTGAACGAGTGCATGAGCGCTGCGAAGCCAGGATACCTACAGACAGCGTGTCGGTATAAGTTTCACTATTTACGGCGAAAGATGTAAGAACGTACCTGAGTGTCCCGCGCAGCATCGTACGCAGCTTGCTGACGTCCCCGAGCGCGTACGTCTCCGCGTACGGCAGGCTGTCCCTATTCGCGAGCCCCTCGAGCTTGAGCACATTCGACACCGGCACGTCGGGGAAGTGTTCCAGCAGCATCCGCTCTCCCGGCACCTCCCAGTTCTACGAGCAGAAAACAATCGTGAGCACCGAAGAGATCACCCCGCACAAGACGGACGGCCGCCGCTCACCTTCCCGCCGAGCCTGAAGCGCGCGCCCTCCCCTGCGGCGCGGAGCACCCCGCGCGGGCTCCAGCTGAACTTGTACCCGAGCGGCACGCCCTCGGCCGCCTCAGGAGCGGGGAGCCCGCCGCAGAACGACGTGAACGCGACGACGCGCTTGCCGTCCGCCCGGAGGCGCGCGAGCAGCGCGTGGGCGGAGCAGTGGTCGATGCCGGGGTCGAGCCCGATCTCGTTCAGGAGGAGGACGTCGGCCGCGAGCGCGCTGGGGGCGCACGGAGTCGACTGAGGTCAGCTAACGGATGACAGACGCGAGGGAGAAAGGGGACGTGCCGAGTGTGGAGCGCGCGCATCGCGGGCGAGATGTAGGATGCCGTCACGAGGTGTTTTTTATGCGCGATGCACATCTCTGCGACGGACGGGTGGAAGGGCGCGGGGAGCAAGCTGAGTTGCGGTCGGCCGTGAACATCGTTCCCTCGAACGGGGACAGCCTGCACACGCACCTGATAACCACGTCTGCTTCGCCCACCAACGCGTCGATGTGCGCCGAGTCCGCCATGTCGACCTCCAGCGCGCGCGCATTGGCGTGCCGAACCACGAGCTGCATGGCCTCGGCCAACGAGTTGCTCGCTGGCGAGCCCAGGTCATCCGGTCAGAAGCGGGGTCAGACAGAAGTGAAGGATAGGCAGACGCACCCACGACGACCTCCACGTCCCCTGTCTCCGCAAGCTCATCCACCGCCGGCCCAGCCACCATCCCGCTCCCCAACACCAGCACCCGCTTCTTCCTCCCAGGCACCGCCACCGCCACCGCCGCCTTCTCCCCCTCGGCGCGACTTGCCTCCTCGCCCGCTCTCCACGCACGCACCTTTTCATCCAACCGCTCGAACCCCTCCCGCACCTTCCCACCCTGCGCGACGCTCGCCCTGCCCAGCGCCTCCCCAATCTCCTCGCTTCCGTTCCCGTCCCCGCCGCCGCGGTACTCATCCACCAGCGCCCGCACGTACCGCACCACGCGCGCCCCAAACGCCGCGCTCGCGTCGCGCGGCAGGCTCGCAGGCAGGATGTCAACCGACATGACCGCGACACCGCCCGCGCCGACCGCGTACGTCGGCGCGTCGAGCGTCGTCGCGCGGTCCACGAACTCGAGCGCGCCGCCGAGGTCGCACGAGATATCGCCGATGGCCGCGAGGCGCTGCGCGAGCGGGAGCTGCGCGGCCGTGAGGAGGCGCGGGAAGGCGGGGGCCCAGCCGGCGCCGTTGAGGAGGAGTGTGAGGTACGGGACGATCTGGAGACCGTGGGTGAGAGGTGAGGGTGCGGTTAGTTGAGACGCGCGAAGCGACGCACCTTGGTGTGGAACTCGGACTGGTACGCTTCTGGATGCGCGTAGTAGTCCGCCCTGTCGTACGCGCCGCCGTCTTTGCGAGCGAGGTACGTCTCCGGCGTCGCGTGCACGACGTACACTGTTTTAAGGTTCGGGTCTGCGAGCAAAATGAGAAACCATACTGTGTGATGCGAGGGCGAGACATACCTTGTTGGGCGAGCAGCGCAGGAAGCTGCTCCGGTCTCACATCAACGACAGGAAGCTCGGAGAGAATCGAGAGCACGCCCTGCGTGACGTTGCCGCTCCTGCGACCAGTCAACGCCGTCGATACACATGGACAACCGCTAAAAGAACATGTGCACGTACCCTGTGATCCCAATCACGCAGGGCCCGAGGCTCTCAGGCGTGCCATACGCGCGGATTTGGTCTCCAACGACGCGCAGGGAGGCGCGCAACGCGTCGATGGTCGGGGATGAATGAGGGCGCGGGGTATACTGTAGGCGCATGCGATAGAGACGACGCGAAGAGAAGCCGGTCAGAACGCGTCGAACGGGAGCAGGAAAGGAAGAAGGGACGTACGAGGAACGGCGAAGCGACACCGCGCTCGAGGTGGGTATGCGCCATCGCTGACAGGGACTCCAACGCTCCAGCCACTGCAGATGAAGCCCTCAGAATGATACTCTACCACGCAATAGCACATAGCACGCACCTCCCGCGAACCACCCAAACGCAGTCGTGCGTCTCCCCTCCGCATCTGTCAACAGCTCGTAATCGACCAGCCGCGGCTCGAGCCCCGGATGTGCACTTCCGCCCGCGAGGAAGCGTGAGAGGAGCGGCATGTTGTACGGCTGGCCCTTGATGGTGTGGGAGAACATGACGTGGGTGCGGGGGACGAGGGCCGCGGGGGCGGGATGAGGGAGGGGGGAAGGGAGAGGGCTGGTGAGGAGGGTTGCGAGTGGGGGCTCTTTGACGCCGAGGACGATGTGGGCGGGTTCGAGGGTCGGGTGGGTCTCTGCGCCCGCCTGTCCAACGGCCAACGCAGAGTGTCAGTGATTGACGCGAGCGCGCCGAGCAGGGTGCACGGCAGACAGAGGACGGGACACGCACCGAGATATAGTCGGCCATGGGAAAGACTCGGCGTGCCGAGGGCTGGATGAGGACGCGCACGCCGTCAGCGGTGAGCTGGGCGACCTCAGTCGGGGTGAGCGGAGCGCGGCGCTCCCACACGCGAGCAGGGTCTTCGCAGCGGATGCCGACGGTGACGGGGTGCGGGGTGCGCGAGGCGGTGTGTGCACGGCGAGCGAGGCGGGGGAGGAGAGAAAAGGGCGCGCGGTGGAGGAGGGGCATGGCGAGTGTGCGTCTTGTCGGATGGCGAGAAGCGTCGAGGCAGGCGGGTACGCGGGGAGAGCGGGGGGACGAGGAAGATCCGAGCCGAGTGCGAGGTGAGCGCCTCGGAGCGTCTCAGTTATATTTCACCGCGCCCACGCGTGACGCCCCCGACGCAACCCCGCACCACACTGCCAGCAACTTGGCAGCAGCGGGTGCACCGCGTGCACGCGTCCCCAGGCGCGGGTCGAGGCGAGTGCGCACGCCGCACAGGCACGGCCGTCGCGACGGGCTTGGCGCATGCTCGGACGCGGACGCGGGTGCGGATAGGCAAAGCACAAAGAGGGAATGGGCTTCGATGCTATCGTGCACGGCGTCGAGGCAGCGCGGACGTCGAGGAGGACGATAAGGACCGCAGCTGGGACTCGGTCAGACTCGGTCTCCAGATGTCGGAATCGAGCGTGCCGCTGTGCCGGCCACATTGCGTCACTCCGCCGTCAGCTTCACCTCCACCACTTCCGTCCACGATGGCCACGGCGCTCCTTCTCTGCAGATAGACGACGACGACGACGACGACGACGCTGCTTTCGAAACTAGAACGCAACCCTGGTATTTATGATCCTCCACCCGCTCTCGCCGCGCTGCCTCTCTCGTTCACCCGCCTTCACCCGCCGCACCCTCTCCACCCCCGCTCACTCCCTCGCCCGTCCCTCTCGCGTCCAAGCATATGCTCGCAGGTCCGCATACGCACTCGCCGCTCTTGGCGCAGCCTACCTCGCAGACCGCGAGCTCTATGCGTCCACCGTCGCACGCAACCTCCGCACGTTCTGGACCGTACGTCGCCGTTCTACCACCTAACGAACTTGGATGCTCACCATTCAGCCGCCAGTGTGCGGTGATCGCGGCTGACTATAAGCTCAACTTCACCCCAGACGCAGCGGACGGGATCACCGCCCTCCACGAGCGCGTCGGCGAGCGCGTCTTCAACCTCCTCACCTCCAACGGCGGCCTCTACATCAAGTTCGGTCCGCCCCGCTCTCCTTTTCGTTCCTCTCTTCTGTTCTAATCGCCCGCACTCAAAGGCCAAGCAATCGGCGCCAACGCCGCCCTCCTCCCTCGTCCCATCCAGCGCAAATTCGCACGCCTCTTCGACGACGCGCCCCAGATCCCCTACGCCGACGTCGACCGCGTCTTCCGCGCAGAGTTCGGCCGCCCCCCGAGCGGCCCCGACGGCGTCTTTGCCGAGTTCGAAGAGCACGCCGTCGCTAGCGCGAGCGTCGCCCAGGTGCATCGCGCAAGACTCAAGCCCGCCGATGGGGGTGAGTGGGTCGCCGTCAAGGTGCAGAAGCCCGCGGTCGGGAAGCAGATGGAGCCCGACCTCGCCGCATTCCGCGCCGTCATGTGGATGTACGAGCACTGGCTCTTCGACCTCCCTGTCTACTTCATGGTCGGTACGTGCCCGCACCCCACCCGCCCGCACACCGCGCCTCAACCAAACTAAAACACGCACCACAGACTTCATCAGCGAACACCTCCGCCAGGAGCTCGACTTCGAGAACGAAGCCCGCAACGCGGACCGCACCGCCGCCTTCGTCGCCGCCGACCCGGCGCTCCGCGAGCGTGTGCACATCCCAAAGGTGCACCACGCGTACACGACGAAGCGCGTCATGACCGCCGAGTGGATAGACGGCGTGCGCATGAGCGACCGCGAGGGCATCCTGCGGCTCATGGGCGAGGGCGCGCGCGGGCTCCCCCCGAGCACGATCGCGCCCCCGCCACTCTCCCCGGACGCCAACTCGGCCCTGCGCGCGCGCTACGCGCCCCCGCTCAAAGGCGGCGTCCGCGCGCTGATGCACACCATGGTCGACCTCTTCAGCGCGCAGATCTTCCGCTGGGGCTGGGTCCACTGCGACCCGCACCCGGGCAACGTCCTCGTGCGCGCGCACCCGTCGCCCGCGCACCCGCACACGCCGCAGCTCGTCCTGCTCGACCATGGGCTCTACGTGTGCCTGCCGGACGCCTTCCGCGCGGAGTACGCGCGCCTGTGGAAGGGCCTGCTGGCGATGGACATGCGCGCGGTCGAGGAGGTCACGCGCGGGTGGGGCATCGGCGCGCCGGACCTGTTCGCGAGCGCGACGCTGCTGAAGCCGGTGAGCTTCGCGAAGGAGGAAAGGACCGAGGAGGAGCCGGGCCAGTACGAGGCGGGGGTGCGGATGAAGGAGAAGCTGAAGGGCTTCCTCCTCGACACGGACAAGATGCCGAAGGAGCTCATCTTCATCGGCCGCAACATGCGGTGAGCCGCTCCCGCTTCGCTTTTGACCGCCGCCCGCTCACGGTGCTGCCTATGACCCAGCATCGTACAGGGCAACAACCAGATGCTCGGCTCCCCTGTCAACCGCATCAAACTCACCGGCCTCGCCGCCTCCCGCGCCCTCGCAGATGCGCCCCTCCTCCCCCTCGCCCTCCACCCTCACCCCCTCCCGTCCTCTCCCCCATCGTCCTCGTCCCTCGCGCGCTCGCTCCTCCGCTCCCCTGCCCACGCCTTCACCGCCCTCGCCGCCCGCGCGCGCGCTTACTGGCACCACGCGCTCTTCCTCGCGGCGGTGTACGCGCTCGACGCGGCGTTCTACGCGGCGCGTGCGCGCCAGTGGCTGCGCGCGCGCGCGACGGGCGCCGGGGAGGGCGCCGGGTTCGAGGACGCGCTCGAGCGCTCGATGCGCACGCTTGCGCGGCGGCGGTTTGGCATCGAGATGGACGCCGCGGCGTTCGAGGGGTAGATGTCTGTTGCGTATCGTACGTGCTGGTATAACAATCTATGCTGAGATCGCCCCGCTCGAGCGCCTTCGTGCTGACCACGTCGGGCTCGGGGCGGGGCGACGTTGAGATTCATGTGAGGGCTTGTGTTCGCAGCCGTCGCTTTTAACCCTCAAGGGTCTGACGTGAGCACGGTTCGTTCGGGTTCGTCAGGAATGAAGACAGGGATTCATCGACAGTCTCGTCACCGTCTGCCAACCCCGACATACACCCGCTTTGCCTGCCACAAAGCATACTCTCTCGATGCCGATCGGGCTTTGGTTGGGCTATCTTCCGCGTGTAGTGTCAGCAGCGGAGACTATGGTTGGGCAGCGTCGCGAAAGACACGCGTAAGTGAGTCACGCAACAGAGGGACGGGATCTGCGACCATCCCCAGCCGTGCTTCGCCATGATCGAGAAGGTGATCATCGATTTGATACACCCGAGTCGAGGAGCTGTAATAGTTGTCTTGCCGGACGCCTGATACGGTTTCTACGGGTCTAAACACATCGAGGATCCTGCGAGCTTACGGGCGCTCGTCAAACACAGGATGGGTAACTTCTGCGGTAGGTCATGTAAGTCCTTGTGGGAGGCTCCTTCCTTCCTTCGGTTGTGTAGCACTTTCGTTCCGTCCACGATCAGGGCCACCGACCACAGATGGACATCCACCGATGGACTCCTTGTCCTACGAACTTCTCAAGATGGTCGTAGATGGGGTGCCCGATCGCAAGGACTTGTGCCAGATTCGAATGGTGAACAAGACATTCTGCGCACTCGCCACTCCACGTGTATTTCAACGGTACAGTGTCTATGGTACCGCCGAGAGCGCCACGGCGATCAATGAGATTGCACGACGCGAAACGTTGGCGCAGTGCATCAAGCAGATAAATTTCTCGCCGCAATTATCTTATAGCCTAGGAAGTGGGTTTCATTACATTGTTTCTGCGAGCAGAGGGAGACTCGATGTTTTTTTTGAGCGCATGGCACCGAAGGGCTGTCGGCCAGGCTGGAGCATGTCACCGCCACTTTTTCGTGTCTCCACAAGCTCGCGGCACTCAAGACTTTGAATCTGTCGCTCTCCCCGCCATCTTTTACTCTGGACCATTTATCCCATGAGATGTCACGTCTGCAACGGACCATTCTCTCGACAATCCTCGAGCAACCTTGCTTCCAGAATCTTTTTCTTTCGCTGGTCCGTTTCGAAATCACAGTTTGTCATGGAGGCCGGCGGCGGCCTTCTTTACTGGACTCTTTCGTCGAGTTTTGGCAGAACGTGGTGCAGCGTTGTATCTTTGGCACCCTCACATCTCACCCCCAATCCTTCACCAGGTTCTCTCTGCACAGCAACATTGATGTCGGCGTCATCGCGAAGATTGATTTTTTAGGGCCGCACTTCCCCGCGCTCAGATCCATCTCGTTGGGCTGCATCCTGTTCAACGAGGAGACGCACGTCGAGGACTTCATCGTGCGGCACAGGCGCACGCTCCGGAGTCTGTGGCTCCATTCCTGCAGGATCGCGATCCACGGCCCGGGCCAGGGGCCACCCCGCTTTTGGTCGGAGGTCTTCACTCGGTTTGCGGATGTCCTAGAGGAGTTGACGGGGGTCTTTGTAGATGATGGTCGTCATCGCCAGCTCAACAGGTACACGAGGTTGCACGAGCGGACGAGGTACGCGTATCTTCTCGATAGCCTTGTGAGGATCAAGGACGAGGAGGCTTTGAGGAAGATTGAGGACGAAGTTTTCTCGAGGGATGTCTGGAGGCCGAATTGGTGGTTTATGAAGAATCGCATATATATCCGCCTTGGAGAGACTGCGTCGAAGTCCAAGTGACTTGTTCTCTGCAGGAAATCATGATGCACCACGAATCGGTTTGGTCCTCGTCATCCGTAGTGGGCGCCGATGCGCAATGATGGACGATTGCTTGTCTCTGCGTCGGGCTCGAGGCCGTGTAATCCAGCGCACGAGTGCGATGGGCTGTTATGAATTGCAAAAACAAGTGTCAGGCTGGCGCTTCCAATACCCAGGCATAGAGCTTGCCTCCGGCACGCGCGGTGCTAGATGAGAAGAATCGTCGGGAACCAAGTACAGTTTCGCAGAAGAAGAGATTCAACGGAAGGTGCTAGAAAAGAATAAAATGCTTGTTGTTGTCACTCAGCCCGAGGGTGCTCCTTCGATGGCTAAAAAGCACTCGTCAAACAAGGAGGCATAGGCCGGTTGTGCCGTGCACTCTCTGAGCATGTATACACTGTGCTGTGGATAGGTTTCGAAAGTTTTGGGCCTCTTCGGGAAGTTCGGAGTCACGAAGTGTGAGGAACGACTGAGGAACGACTACAGGGCCTGAAATCTAAGATTCTCAGTAATGGCCAGTGGTACCGACCAGCTAGTCACCGTGGCTGACCTTACACAGAAGACAGTCGTTCTGTGTATACCAGCCAGGACCAACGCTTGAGCTGTGCAGCTGCATGTTCGCAGCTCGAGTCAGTTTCTCGGCGGCCGCGGCTAGCTATATATCGACCGATCGACCTTCCTTCAGTCTACGTGTGGCAACACACTTCCACTCAGTCTACAACCAAAACAATACTAGAGGGTCATCCACCATCCCACACAAGGATTGCCCCCCATCTTGATCTGCCATCGAGTTAAATAGATGCACTCCTTGCCTTATGAACTTTTGAAGATAATCATTGACGAGGTGCCGAATCACCAGGACCTGCTCCGGATTCGACTGGTGAACACAACATTCCGTGCACTAGCCACACCACGCGTATTCCGCTGGTTTCGCGTCTGCGGCACCGCACAGAATGCTAGTGCAATCAACGAGATTGCACGACATGAAACGCTAGCGGGATGTATTCAAGGGATCGTGTTTCCGGTAGATCATTCAAAGAGTGAGTTTCAGTTGACTCTGCTACGATTAGAAATAGACTTGATGGATTCTGCAAGTGAGCCGGGATTGGCAGTGCGACATAGAGCACGTCACTGCAGCATTTACCTGTCTCCACAGTCTCACGGCACTCAAGATGTTGTCGTTGTCATTTCCCGCATGCAACGCGCACAGTCCATCGACCGATCAATGGGCCATCCTCTCTACGATCCTAGGCCAACATCCATTACCTCGTCTCACTTTCCTCTCGATCCGCAACCTGACTCCGTTCCATGACCCGATGTTTGATGTCCCTGCCTTCCGGGATCTCTTCGTTTCGCTGGCCCATCTGTCTATATCACTTCATCATGGACGCTCGCCGCAACGTCGTTTTCAAGACTCTTTTGTCGAGTTCTGGCAGCATGCGGTGCAGCATCAAGTCCTCAACACCCTCGCATCTCACCCCCAATCCCTTACGGAGTTCTCACTGCACAGTGACATAGATGTTGGCATCGTCGCCAAAATCGATTTTTCAGACCTACATTTCCCCGCACTCACATTTATTTCGTTAACTGGGATCTTATTTAACGAGGAAACCCACGTCGAGGACTTCATCGTGCGACATAAGCGCACCCTCCGAACACTGTCCCTCCAATCTTGCAACATCGCGATCCACGATCCCATACAAGGACCACCTCGCTTTTGGTCGCAAATATATACTCGATTTGCGGATGTCTTGGAGGAACTGATGTGGCGTCCCATCCTCATCGGCAGATACGCGCAGCTGGACCCAGAGACCGGATATTCGTATCTCGTCCAGGGTCGTGTGAGGGACGAAGACGCAGAGGCTTTGAAGTTATTAGTCGCCCGGGTTACATCAAGGTCCGGGTAATTTGTCCATTACAGGAAACCATGGTACATTGGCGCTGTTCACCATGTTCGGTGCACCTTGTCCAGAGGAAATATATCGACTGCCTGCCTTCTGCGCAACGTCTACTGGATGATTTTATGCAATGTTAGCAACCTACTTACAGAGAGGCTCCGAGAGCACCTAACACGCATCGAATGAGTGCGATCTCGTCCGATAACGAACATGAGTATCGAGTTCTCTCGTAGCACCTAAGTATTCTTCGTGTCACCGAAAACAAATACATCTACTTCTCTACAGAAAAGTCCTGTGGTTTACGACATTGCAGCGGCTGAAGCACTTCTCATTGTAGAGATTTCTCGTCGTATAGGACGATGTGGTCCACTATCTTCCGTATGAGGTCATGTGGGCCGAGGCTGCGGGCTGTTGCGGGAGGTTGTGACCGGAAGCCTCCCTTTGTCGATGTGTGACAACGCACTTACACTTCATCTATAACGATCCAAGCCATCCACTTACAGAATAACTATCGCCAGGCGAATTTATGGATTCCTTGCCTTATGAACTTCTCGAAATCATTGTCGACGAGCTATCGCTATTTCATCGCAGTGACCTGCTTCGTATCCGAGCAGTGAACAAGACATTCTGTGCACTGGCCACGCCACGCGTGTTTGCATGTCTCCACACTACAGGTACCGCCAAGGATGCTATCGCGATCTGGAGAGTAGTGCGACGCACACCGTTAGCAGAATGCGTCAAATCATTCTTTTTTTTGGCGATCAACGTAGACAGTGAGTTCTGTTTTACACTTTTGCTAGCAGTGAGGGTTCTTACCGGCTCGATGTGCTTTCTGGAAGATTGGAGCCAGTTATACAGACTCAAGTATTTGGCGATAGCGTTTTACTGTCTTCACCGTCTTACGGCCCTGGAGAGCTTGAAGTTGGCATTCTACGGGTGCAATGCGCACGATGGTCCCGATACGCAGTCGCAAGTACAACGGACCATTCTTTCCACAATATTAAGACAACCACCCTTGCCTCGTCTCAAAAAACTCCACATTGTGAATATGGCTCCGTTCCATGACCCGATGTTTGACCTCCCTTCCTTCCGGAATCTCTTCATTTCGCTGGAGTCTCTGTGTATCATGACTCATCATGGACGCTCGCCACAACGTCGTTTTCGAGACTCTTTTGTCAAGTTCTGGCAGCACGCTATCCAGCGTCAAGTCTTCAACACCCTCGCATCTCACCCGCAATCTCTCACGCAGCTCATACTTCACAGTGACATAGATGTTGGCATTGTCACCACGATCGATTTTTCGCAGTTGTACTTCCCAGCGCTTAGGCGTGTGTCGCTGAATGGGTTCTTGTTCAATGAGGAGACCCACGTCGAGGAATTCATCGTGGGCCAAAGGCACACGCTCCGGAAGCTAAGCGTCAGTAATTGCAACATCGCGATTCACGATCCAATCCATGGGCCACCTCGCTTCTGGTCACAAATATACACTCGCTTTGCGGATGCGCTGGAGGGATTGGCGAATGGAATTCACGATACCATTTTTCGTAACAGATACGCGGAGCTAAACCTCCAGAGTGGATATTCATATGATGTCGTTGCACTTATCAGGGACGAGGATGAAGAGGCTCTGACGATGTTCAACGCTCGGATTGCATCGACATCTAAACACGTTTCCCTTCATACTCATCGCACGTAGATAATCCTCTGATGCGCAATAAATACTTGGACTTGCGTCCGGCTCGACTTTGTCGAAGCGCGCCTGAATCTTCCAGTCATCGACCATGAGCAAACCACAAAAAACTCAAAACACACTCATCGCCTCCCGCCCGCCTCGTCCAACACGCGCCTCGCCAGCAGCACGTACTCCGCCCCCGCCCCCGCCTCCGCGGCCTCCGCGGCGCCCTCGCTCTCCGCCATGCGCTCCCAGTGCGCGAGCCCGCCGTCGACGAGCGTGAGCGCCTCCTCCGCGCTGTGCTCCTCGACCCAGCGCACGTACTCCGCCTCCTGCCACCCGTGCAGCCGGTGCGGGAGCGCGATCGGCGAGCGCACGAGGATGTGGTGCAGCACGATGAGCGGCGGGAGGCCTGCCGTGTGTGCGCGCGAGGCGAGCGACGCGTTGTCTAGGAACAGGAGAGGCCTGGCAAGGACGTCGACGTGGTGAGCGCTCGCGCGCGGTGACGAGAAAGAGGAGGGGAAGGGGAAGAGACGGACCGCATGGCGCGCAGCGCGCGGTAGTCCTCGCCGATGACGTCGAGGCTGCCGCCGCGCTTGCTCTGCGGGCTCTCGAGCATGAACGCGCTCAGCGCGAACTCGAGCTCGGTCATGTCGCTCGTGAGCTGCAGCTTCCCGCTCTCGTTGAGCGGCTTCGCGATCGAGACGTGCAGCACGAACGTCTTGATCACGTGCGTCACTATCGCGATCACCCTGAGGCACGTTAGAGTCTCGTGCGGAGCGCGACAGGCGGCGGGGCTCACCAGTCGCGGCCGGCGGGGCCGACGTTGAAGCGGGCGAGGATCTCGGCCTTGACGAACGTCAGCTTCTCCGCGAGCTCCTTCACGTACGCGCTCGCCCCGCCCATCCCGCCCGACATCGGGTCCACGTCCGCCGCAAAGTCGATCTTGTGCAGCTTCGCGATGATCGCGCTCAGCTCGCGTCGCACCACGCCCAACAGCGGCTCCACGATCCGCCCAAACGCGTCCCCCAAGTCCTGCGTCGTCGTGCCCGCGCCCACTCTCATCAGCGCGCGCGCACACACACACACAGAGCAAAGGGGGCAAAGGGAGACGCACCTTGACCGCCGGCCGCAGGACCTCGTACACCGCCTCCGGGTACTCCTCCTCCAGCTTTTCCACGCGCACCCAGACGTGGTACAGGAACGTCGCCGCCGCCGCGTTCCCGATCTGCGCCGCCGTCGCCGCCGGGCCCGCGAGCGCGGTCGCCGAGCGGTCGCGCACGACCATCGCGTCCGCGCGCGCGAGCGCCATCTCGAGCGCGCCGCGCACGTGCTGCTGCGCGAGCGCGCGCACGAGCAGCGGGTCGAACTTGGCCGCGTCGAGCTCGTTCGCGAGCGCGCGCGCGAAGGCGACGCCGTCGGCCGCGGTTGGGGGCGTGCGTGCGCCGCCGTGGAAGGCGTGCCCGACGGACTCGGTGAGGCGTGCGGAGGCGCGGGAGAGGTAGAGGGATTCGAAGGTGCCGAGGGCGTGGAGGACGAGGATGGTTTCGGGGCTGGTGCGGTCGGGATAGATTAGGTGATTTGCGGCATAGCCGGTGGAGCAGTGAGGTGGAATTTACCTCTGATAGGTCGAGGTATAGACCGTGTCGGTGTGCACCGCGATGCTGGAGAAGAAGTCGTGAAAGAGGCGCAGCAGGCGGGGGTAACCCGTGCTGAGCGTCTGTTGCAAAAACGTCGACGCTGCCACGCCCAGATCAGCCTCTTCTTCTTTCTGTCCTTTCTGTCCGAAACAGGAAGAAAGACAAAGATCCATCCAAGAAAAGGACACGCACTTTTCGCGCCGTCGCGGCACTGCTTCTCGAGCGTCTGGCCCAGGGATCCCCAGAACGTCGAGCTAGGCTTGTCTTCGAGGAGCTGCGGGCGGATGCCGACGGGACAAAGCGACGCGCATATGGGGGAACCGAAGTGTAAGTTCAAGGCGGATCACGGCGATAGGATCTATGAGTCGTCACCTTCATCGCCTCGTCGAGGAACATGGCCTGGGATACAGGGTCCTTTTTGCGCTTCAACACTTTCTCCAGAGTGTAGACCTGATTATGGAGCGCCGCGGGAACGGAGGTTTTTCTTAGAGTGTATGGGAAGTAGGAGGTGGATTAGGTTGGTTACCTTGATGCAAGCGCTGGTGAGGTCTTCAATCAATGAGGTCAGCCGGGCCCATAGTGCGTTGGTCCACTGCGGGGCCGTGAGGTTCGTCGGCTCCATGCGCACGCGCGACTTGTATGCGAGGGAAGACGGTGCCGATTCTGTATGTGGTCGTCAATCCACAGGCCCCGCACCAAAATAGACAAAAAAAAGAAAGAGGCAGGAATAGAAATGGAAACGGCAACAAGTATAGCACGGGGGCTAAAGATACCTTTGGATATGAGCTCCTTGGAGATGCGCGACACGTCGAACGCGGACCGGATGCGGCTCTCGACGGCGTCTGTCAGATCGGAAACGAGGTTCTGCACGAGCTGTGGGAGCACGCGGAGGTTGTGTGCGGTCTGGAGGGACGACGCGAGCAGAGATTGGTTCTACCCGGCAGTCCGGCGAGGCTTCAGATCTGTGTGTGGAAGGGAGAACGAAGGGGGCGCACGATTTCGGTGAGGCCGGTGAGGACCATGGATTCCATGTCGGCGGTGACCCTGGCGCGCGAGGAGTCGATGAAGGGGATGTGGGCTGCGACTGGGCGCACCTCACGCAAGGATATGCGTCTGCTGTGCGGAGGGAGGTCTTGTGCGGGAGGGTCATTCGACGCGTCTGATGTCGCACCACTCTGCGAGCCCTCTAGGAGATCGGCTGAAAGGAGGACGGGTCAAGTAAAAGAGGCGGTTTTGATGAAGTAGGGCTCACAGAGCTCGGTGACGCTGAGCGCGGCCTGTGCTAGCGTGCGCTCTTTTTCACCTTCGAGGTCGAGTGCGGGAGTAGCGCTGCGTCGGCCGCCGTCGAGGGAGGGTCGACCCGTCTTCGTCTCCGAGGCCGTGCCCCGCTCGGGGGCGGTCTCGAGTCCGTCGCCGAGGTCGGCCATCTGGGCCTGCAGCCTCTTCGCGAGCATGACGAAGCGCGAGGTGCGGCGGAGGGCGTCGGAGACCTGCTGTAGGCGCTGAAGGCGGGTCACGTTCGCCTGGAGCGCCTGGTACGGGTCGCGTATTTTAGATCGGAGCCTGCGCGGGCGTGAGGGTAAGCAGATCAAGTGCAGAGCGGGTGGGCACACTTTGCGAGGGACGTATCGAGGTCGTCGAGGCCGGATCGGACAGAGCCGAGGGAGTGCTCGAGATCGCCGACGCCGGCGGCCTGGACGAGCAGGCCCTCATGGTGTGTGGTGACCTAGCGCTATGACTTTGAGCGGGGACGCGACGCGACGGGAAAGGGCGGGGGGGGACGTGCATACCACGTTCTTGATCTGCTTGTCGACGTCGTCGATGCCGTAGTTGAGCTTGGCGATGGCGACGGAGATGTCCTCCCTGGCGGGCTCGAGGGCGGACGGCTTTGCGGATGCGGCGGCGGACGGGGGCGGGGGATAGGGCTCGCCGGCGAGGACGGCGTTGGCGTAGTCGTTCGCGTCGAAGTCGGGGGAGGCGAAGACGGGGTAATCTGGGGCAGGTATACCAGACATGACGTTGAGGCGTTGGGACGGCGGTGGTCGGGGCACGTGCGGGGACCGTCGCTGCGGCAAGCGATGCAACTGCACCGTCGCTGCTGACTCAGCGAGGGGGCTTGGCTCGCGACCGCGATATTCGGTCCCCGTCCAATCTCTCCTTCGCTCGCTCACTCCAAGTGCTCGCAAGACTTGGCCCGCATTCCCCTTCGTCCGCCTCTGCAATGCCAGAAACACATTGATTTATTCTCGATAATCGCAGCCCGCACCCTCGAAGCTCTGGTAGTCTCTCTTCTTCTCTAATTCCCCGTCCGACGCCATGATCATTCTCGACCCAGAGGATGATCAACTCCCCAAACTCGCAGTCGACGCCGCCGCCATCCCCACCCGCCGCACGGCCGATCACTTTCCCCAACAAATCCCCTCTCGCCCCCGCAGCCCCGTTCTCCCCGACTATGAAACATCCGAAGCCCAGCAGCAAATATTCCAAAAGCTACGAGGCAAAAGTCGAAAGAGCTCAAAGTTCTGTCGGGGCGTCCTCTACGCCATCATCCTCTACGTCGGCCTCTTTGTCGTCGTGGGCCTCCCCCTGATCTTCCTCGTGAGTAACCCCGTCGCCCTCTACCGCTTCGCTTTTTGGCCTCAACACACTCGCACTCTCACAGCAGATATGGCGGCGCCCGCAACGCCATCCAATCCCCCCCTTTGAACGCCCCCCTCCGCCAAATATGGTCTCCCAAGTCGAACTCTTCATCCCTCTATCCGAAGGTGAGGAGGCAGCGTGCAACTCGTGGAATTCCGAATACTCTTCTCCGGGCTCCCGGAGGTACGCACTCATCCGTCCCCCATTTGATATGATGAAATCGCTCAGGGCCCTTTTGCCGCAGTTTGCAATTCGCCCTCCCGGTCGATAAACCCATCATCATCCACTCCAACGTCTCCACCGACCGCGCTACCCTCCCCGGCTTCTCCGGCCACTTACATGTCGACGTCAACCGCGACAGAAACGTCTCCGACGCCCTCGTCGCCGTCACCGTCCACTACTCGACCTACGACCTCTTCAGAGAGACCCACGTGTGTCTCATGAAAAGCGACAACCGAACCGCCGTCTCGCTCTACGTGCGTGCTTCCCCTCCCACATTCTCCGCCCACGCGACCTCAGCTTACCCGCTCCCGCTCCACCTAGGTACCCGAGTCCATGGAAGCTTCCGACGCGTTATCGTTCAACATCACCCTTTTGTTGCCCCATGTCGCTTCGCCCCGGCCACTACGCCTCGACCGCCTCTCGACGAGCCTTCCTTACTTCAACCAATCCTTCGGGCACCTAGAGACCGTCCGTTTCAAGAAAGTGCTCATTGAGGGCGCTTCGTCCAAAGTCACTTTTGATGTGAGTCGTCGTCTTGGCTTGCGCCCTCCTTCCTTCCTTCCCTTTCGTCCCTGCCTTCTGCCTTCCTGCCTGCCGGCTCAGACTTCCATGCAGTATATCAAGGCGAACAAGCTTTTGGTGAAGACAACAGAACAAGAGGTTTCAGGTACGTTCAATATATCCGATACGCTGACGTTGGACACCATCAATGGGTAAGCTTTTCCTCCTCCCTCGTACACTCCCACGCGCTCACGGCCCCGGGCCCTCATAGCCCCATCTACGCCAACATCACGCTCAAGAACTGCGGACGTGCCGACAAGCCTACCTTCATGTCTCTCGACACGGGCAACGGGTACGCATCCTTCCCTCCCCCTTATCCAGCGGCGAAGATCGGCATTGACCGGTCCTCCTGACCCTACGCAGGCCGATCACCGCGAACATCTCCCTTCTCGTGAGCGAGAAATATCAGCTCTTCCCCCCCGTCGCGGTCGAGTTCCACCCGAACTTCATCACCAAGGCGCGCACCTTCAACGCCCCGATGGCGCTCGCCATCGCGCACACCGGCCGCGCCTCGCGCTTCTTCCTCTCCGCGCAGAACTCGCAGGCGCCGGTGGACGTCGCGCTTGACGCGCTCTACGCTGGCACGTTCGACCTGCAGGCCAAGTCCGACGCCGTGCACGTGCGCACGAGCCCCGCCGCGGGCGCGCTCGGGGCGGAGAAGCTCGCGGTGGTATACGACCACGAGACGCACAGCCGGATATTGGGGTGGGTCGGGCGCGGCGAGCGCCCTGCGATGAACGACCGGAAGAAGGAAGGCCATGTGGAGGTCATGTCGTCGCTGAGCCCCGTCACGCTCCACGTCAACGAGTCGGCCTGACGCGCGCCCGCGTCCCACGAACGCCGCCGCCGCCGTCCCCCACTGACTCACTCATTCACTGACTCATCCATTCACATGCGCGCGGCTTGTTGTATCATAGTGTATACTGGGGGGATTCGGCCGCGCGCACTTCAACACTCGCACTCGCAACTCACATGCACGCACCTGCACTCACGCACTCACGCATTACTCTCACACTTTCGGGATCGGGAGATCATCTGCATCGCCCCGCCGCAGCCGCAGCAACTCGCTATCGGCCGGACTGGGGTCGTGTTCCGCTTTGTTTACTTATATGCGTCCTCGTCGTCCTCGTCGTGATCAACGCGATCGATCGACGACCGGGGACGCGACGCTCTTTTACTATCCTATTTGGCTGCGTACATACGGATGGGCAGGCACGACTGGGCCGCCCGACGTTGAATTTGGGTTACTTACATCACACTCTGCTATTTCTAGCTAGCTAGCTACTTACTGTTGCACGGACTACTAGGTTTGTCTCGAATCGCAAATATACATATCGCTCGCTCGCTCACTCGCTCGTGTGGATTGTGGACTCTGTCCGTCTGATTCGGTCCATCGTGTACCCGCCCTCGTCACGCTAATCGAAAAGTAACTTACACAGATATCGAACATGCGCGACGTGCATGTGGGGATCGCAAACGCGACTCTCTACTACTACCGAGTACGTATGATGCGTACACTGCCATGAAATAAAGAAATATGGAGATAAGAGATGGCCGAGGGCGAGCGGGGAGCTGCGGTGAGCGACGTCGGTGTGCACCGCAGGTTTTGGTAGGTAACCGCCGCAGCGTTGCGGTCTCGCTCGGCCCCGTGATCAGTCGGTCGCGGCGCATCGGTCGACGGACAGGTTCGCGGGGTTCCCCCACCAGTTCGGGAAGTCCACCGCGTTGCCGCTCGCGCCGAAGACGGCGAAGCTCTGTGTGTGGGACGAGGGTGAGTGTGAGTGGGGATGCGTGAGGGGCCGGGAGGGGAGAGGGGTTGGGACGCACGAGGATGAACATGATGATCTGGCTCCCGCCGTCGAGCGCGGCGGACGTGATGTAGTTGTACTGCGAATAGGACGGCGCGTCAGTTCGCTCGCTCGCTCGACGGGGAGATGGAGCAGCTGGACAGCGAGACGCACCTTCTTGAACCACCCGGGACGTCTCCTGCGCGCCCACTGCTGGGACGCGAGGCCGATCACGAGGCACGACCACCACATCCCGTTGACCGAGTACGGCAGGTAGCCGATGTAGAGCAGGATGATGGGCGTGTTGATGTACTTCGCTGCGCGCGCGACGAACGAGTCCTTGCGCGCGAAGCGGTGCACGAGCCAGAACGGGATGGGCATGAACAGGCCGAGGAAGATCGCGAAGGGGACGAGCCAGTACGGCTTGCCGTACGTGAAGAGCTCCTTACCGAGCGCGCCCATGGCCACGGAGCTCGAGTTGTACTGCTGGATGATCCATCCGGACCACTGGAAGAAGGTGAGAAGGTGAGATGGAGGCAGCGTGGACGGTGCGGGGGAGAGGACATACTATACGGGTGCCGACGGGATCTATCAGGACTTCACGGTTGTTCGTGACGATGGACTTCATCACTGTGCCACATGGTGTTGGCAGCTGCTCTCACCAACATCAGACAGGACGATGAACTTACTTGTGTAGTTGAAGATCGACCCGACGATCGAGCCCGCCATTTGGAAAGCGAACGTCCATCTTGGAGGAACCTTTGTATACTGCCCGAGCTTCAGATCTATGAATTATCTTCATCAGCAATTCCTTCCCACGGAATGCGGATGGAGAGAGAAGGTACCTTGGAGCAGGTATAATGTCTGGAACGAGGTGCTGTTTCCGTAGAGGTTGGCATACATGACGGGGCTAGACGCGACGAGTAAGCCCAGAGGTCGACTCCTGCTCTCATAAGATGTCACTTACATCGGTTGTCCGGGATGGATAAAAGCAGCGATGATCTGGATGGCGTACTTGATCGAGAGGTTGAACCCGGTGGTAGCACTGACTATCGGAGAGGTGAGAAGTGCATCGTGATATGGGTCGCGAAAGACGCACTGAAGCCGAGGGCAACGGCGATGATGGCACTGAGGAGAGTGAAGAAAATGATACTCCACGCGGGCATGAGCACAGTACCGTTGCCAGTGGCATACTACAATGAACGGTCAACGTTTGGAGGCAGACGGGAGTCAGAGAATGAGACCCACACTACACCCAATGCCGACGGCGAGCGAGCCGATGAAGAGAATGAGATACCACCATTGCGGTACTTCGGGGTATTTCTGCATGACTATAAAGTACATCACGAGATTAGTTCTCATGCGACGGAAGGAAAGCAAGGACGGGCCTCACCTTTGTAATGAGGATCATCGATTTCCAAATCGGTTTTCAAGAACCGTGTGCCTCCCAGTGCTGTGTATAATCTCATCAATTAGGTGTTGCGAGCAGTCGATAATGAGACCGACCTCTTTTCAGGTCCGACCAGTACCAAAGCACGACGTGAACGATTGCAGCTCCCAAGGAGAGGTTATACACCAGTTGCGAGATCGTGTAACTGGTGGTATATCTCGGCAGGCCGATTTCGGCCAACTTCGATGGGTCCAGCCTATGATCTGATGTCAAAACGGCACTCTGGTTGTATGTGCCGCCGTCGTCTCCAAAGAGGGAGGTTGACATGAAGACCAGGTTCCGGCCGTTGAACGTATTCGCGTAGTAACACGCTGTCAGGATAATGTAACCCAAAGCCATCCCAACTAGAAGCTCAAGTCAGCATTGCGAGCATACTGAACATGCAATGTGCAAGCGCGTACTGTAAGAGTTGATCTCTGCGTTAGGAACAGCTATCGGTGAGAAATTGATCGGGAAGCACGCCTCATGATGTACGCACGAGTTTGCCAAGGCCAGACAAGCGGGTTCCCCTGGGTTATAAGGGTCCACGATGTGCTGAAAGAGAGCAAGCCAATACCCTCGTTACTGGATCCTGCACCGAATAGATTGCGAATAAAAGTAGAGCGCCCGTTGCTGATGAGGCAGATCACCGATATCGCGCTCATGAGGGGGAAAGGATATTGAGGGATCCTGGTATACAAGTGGCGAGAATGAATAATAGCGGCTTAAAACGGAACGTCAAAGCTTACCATTCCCATAGGAAGATCGCTGTGAACTGTCAATGGAAAGAGCATGAGAGAAACCCGAAAAACAAGAGTAGCCTCAATACATACCACGATCCAGAAATACCGCCTGAAGGATGGGTGAGCCTAGATCCCACATGCATAAAACAGCTACTAACCTTTTCTTGTGATTGAGCATGCCCTCGAAATGCAGACTCTGAAGCAAGTTGACGACGGAGATGTAAAGCGGGTAGAAAGCACTGCGCAGTTTTCGTCACATTCCTGCAGACAGAGGACAACGGTGCAAACTCACTAGGTTGGGTACACCAGCAGGTTTCGCACTTTCGACGACAATGATTAGCACGATCTAAGATATCCGAGAGAAATCGCAACACACGTAGTCCCGCGATACCGTAGCCTATCATCTGAGTAGCAAAGATCTGGAAAATAGCAACGGCGGGGTTCAGACGTATGTCGTAAAAAAGATCTGAAACCCAAAGGTCAGATGAAGACATGCATATGGTACCAAGAAAACATTTACCCAACGCAGCAATGATTTCCATTGCTACAGCCACATTCGAAGCGGTGGAAGCCATCATGACGATCGCCGTATGTTCTGCACACGAAGGACATTAGAACACGGGGTGTCAAAGAATCCGAAATCGCCGACCTTTGATGTTGAACGGGCCTGGATTGAGATACCGCCATCGGCCATGACTTGGGATGACCGCTACATAGAGGAAATCGGAAAAAGAATCGACATGCGAGGATGCTTCACTCACCATGCATCGCGGTTCCAAGTACATACGCGATGATCAGACTGAAGAGCTGGGACACGGTAGCATTCTGCGGCTTGAACGTGTAGATTGTGCCCAGGACCTAGTATACACCGGATAAATAGGCTGACATGTGCGAAGAATGCCAGATGCGTACCGCACTGAAAGCGCTGAGACCGATACCGAGAAACACACTCCGAAATGTAAGGACGGGAAGACTCGGGTCGTCTTCTGTCGAGATGATCTGGAGATACCCCAGTCAGAGGGTCAAGGAGACGCTGTGCGACGTGGCCGGAACTCACCTCCACTGCGACATCTTCCGCTTTGTCAATCACCTTGTCTGGTACTGCATCCGTATCCTTTTCTGTAGCGCTTGTTGTCTCCTCGTCGACGTAGACATCTGTGATGGCTTTCTTCTCCAAGGAAGAGCCCTTGGAGCCCGTCCTCCTGAGCTCGGGAGTCGCGTCTGTTGTCACAGCAGACATGCGGTCGAGAGGGCGAAAGGGGAAGTTGCCCGTGAAATGGAAGATTGCTCGCGAGACCGTTTTAAGGCCCGTTATTCAAAGACCTGGAGAAACCTCCTGATAATGGGTTCTTGGAGCCCTTATCTTTCGGTACGAGAATGATTGTGATGTCAGAACATTGGCTGGCGCCGATAAGTCGCAAATGACAGCAAATGACTAGCGCCTAGGTGCTGAGCTAAAATAAAATGCGTAAATCAACCGTCGATCTGCTGCTATAGTTTTTCAATTCGTTGGGTGATTCAATCTCGACGATAAAGAATTTTTGTTGATAATGCACCAAGAAAAGCGACAGTCGGACATCGTGCCTGGAAATCAAAGCCAATCGGTTCGATAGAGATTGCCTTTCAGTTAGCTGAAGACATTTGAGCCTGTGGGACATTGGAAAGACACGCCGGAGCCGTTGGAAGTGAATACCGCTGCAATGAGAGCCAGGACAAGCAGCCTCCGACAGGCAAGACTTTGACGTTATCTAATCTCGGGCAGGATAAAAAAACCCAACGATCGAATCAACCCCGCAGCGGGCCTGAACGGGCCCTGGGAGGCACTGAGATCTGAGACAGATCTGAGGCTATCTGAGGTCTCCCCACGCCCTCCCACGCCGCGGCGGACGTTGACCGGTCCAAAATCGTTGGGCACCGTAGAATACCCTAGAGTACTCTTAGAGTCTCGAGTTCAGCGCTCCCAACCCTTCCCAACCTTGATGCACCTATGCGATGCAGCTGTGCCGATTCACATCAGGAGGCCGATTTAACGGGATGGACTTTGGATGATGATAGGGGAAGCTACTGGGAAGCTGAGCGGTGAAATCGGGCCGCTGCCCACGAAGGATCCTCAGCAGATTCGATGCGTAGCATCCTGTGGAAGTGCATGGCGATGTCGACTATGTGCAGAGCTGTGTCTACTAATACTTATACAGAACCCATCAAAGAGGTGAGATGGTGAAAGCCATTGTAATCGTCTGAACAGATCATGCATTATCATGGTGTGTGCTTCGTTTGATCCCAGTTCCGGACGTAAAATGTGACAGAAAAATAGAAGACCTTTTTCTTACGTACACTACCTTGGCAAAAGCCACGTGGCTACGCAACACCCAACTCAAGCTCAAGGCGGACGGACTTGACACGCTTCGATTTCGCCGTCGTTTGCCGTTGTGACTCATAGCGACCATTGATATTCGGATATTGACTTTTGATAGCAGTGTCAGACGGTTGTAGGCATAGATTTCACTCAACAGAGGTTAAGAGCAGCTGTGCAGCACTTTTTTTTGGCTTCACTTGAAGTCCTGGTGACTTCCAGATCTATGTCGAAATCGACCTCTTCATCGTATCCTCACTCGATAGTGCGTCGCTGAGCACCAAGGGTCCTATGGATATCATGTCTTGAGGCAAGTGAACTGCCGCTTTATAAATTGGAAAGCGGTGGCTGCATGAAGGCACGATACCAAAGAGAGCGCCTGTGAACCATCAATTCCTCATCGTGACGTTTAACGCTCATCACTCCTCCTGTCGCATATGTGTCGGTTCGTGCCGTATACCGAGTGATTCTGAATGACGCTGACATGGCAGATGGCCTCCCTGGATTTGTGTGTATGCATCAGCATTTTGTGTCGAGCTCAAGATGACGAGCACCGGCGATTGCGTGATTCAGGCCAATTTTCATCCTATAAGACGCCTTAGGCTGCCTCCCCACAATGCATCCTCGTCCACTGTCCCAGGGACATTTTCAAAGGCTGCTCTACCGTACTCTTGATAAAATCACGCCCAACTGACATGGCAAATTCTCCACACGGCGGCGTTCTCAAAGTCAGTTTTCGTCCGTAATGGGACTGCTCGCCGAGCGGCGCCCTCATATGCTTTTCAGGACCTCTTGGCCAGGGACGAGCACATTCAGCAGGAGCTCCGAGACGAAGCGCCTCTCCTTCATGACATCGTGTTAACCGAGGTATGCCAATGACCAATTTCGGCTTCGCCTTCACGGATCTGAATCTCGACCGGGCAGCGTCAACTCTGCGATCTCGAACTGATCATCAATGGCGGGTTCAGTCCCCTGGAGGGCTTCATGAACGAGGCGGATTATACCAGGTACCCGTCATCTTTTCTGACGTCCTCACACCGAGTAACCTTGCTCGGCCATCAGTGTCGTCGAATCGCTACGACTCGTCGATGGCACCCTCTTTCCCATGCCCATCACATTGGATGTCTCGCGGGAAGACATCGATCGACTATCATTAAAGTCCGGAGCGCGAGTTGCTCTACGGGATCCTCGGGACGATGAAGCACTTGCCATCATCACCGGTGAGAACCGTGTCTTCAACGCGTAAAGCACATCTCTTACAGGTCCTCCAGTCGAGGACATCTATATCCCTGACCGGGTCAAGGAAGCCGTTAACGTCATGGGCGCGGACGACCCGGCACATCCCTCGGTCGCCTATCTGCGCAACAGAGTGAAAGAGTACTACATCGGCGGCAAGCTCCAGGCCATCCAAGCACCAACATATTTCGACTACGTCGCTCTCCGCTGTGAGTTTTATAGAACAGGGTACCTGTATGCGCCGATTCTGACGACGCACTGTGCTCAGACACCCCCGCCGAGCTCCGTGCACACTTCAAAAAGCTCGCGTGGCGCAAGGTCGTCGCCTTCCAGACCCGCAACCCCATGCACCGTGCGCACCGCGAGCTGACCGTCCGCGCCGCGCGCCAACGACAAGCCAACGTCCTCATCCACCCCGTCGTCGGCATGACAAAGCCCGGCGACGTCGACCACTACACCCGCGTGCGCGTCTACGAGGCCATCATGGCCAAGTACCCGAACGGCATGGGCCACCTCGCGCTCCTCCCGCTCGCGATGCGCATGGCCGGCCCCCGCGAGGCCGTCTGGCACGCGATCATCCGCAAAAACTTCGGCGCGACGCACTTCATCGTCGGGCGCGACCACGCCGGGCCCGGGAAGAACTCGCAGGGGAAGGACTTTTACGGCCCGTACGACGCGCAGGAGCTCGTCGCGACGTACCGCGACGAGCTGCACATCGAGATGGTGCCGTTCCAGATGATGACGTACCTGCCCTCGTCGGACGAGTACCAGCCGGTGGACGAGGTGCCGAAGGGCGTGCAGACCCTGGATATCTCTGGCACCGAGCTCCGTCGGCGCCTGAAAACGGGCGCGGCCATTCCTGACTGGTTCAGCTACGAGTGAGTTCGTCGACGAGTCGCTGTGCCGACGCTTCCTGACCCGCTCGTCCAGCGCCGTCGTGAAGACTCTGCGAGAGAGCTATCCGCCACGGCAACAGCAGGGCTTCGTGATCTTCCTCACCGGTCTGTACAACTCGGGGAAGGACACGATCGCCAAAGCCCTCCAGACCGTCTTCAACGAGCAAGGCGGCCGCAGCGTCTCCTTGCTGCTGGGCGACACCGTCCGCCACGAGCTGTCACCCGGTGCGTGCATATCCTCCGTTGTCCGTGCCCCCCAAACATGTTCCGCTGACTCTGCCGCCCGCACCCAGACCTGGGCTTCTCCCGGGAGGACCGGTACAAGCACATCCAGCGCATCTCGTTCGTCGCGGCCGAGCTCGCGCGCGCAGGCGCCGCGGTCATCGCCGCGCCCATCGCGCCGCATCAAGAAGGGCGCGACGTCGCGCGCGACACGGTGCTGCACTCTGGCGGGCCGGGCGGGAACTTTTTCACGATCCACGTCGCGACGCCGCTCGCGCACTGCGAGCGGACGGACCGGCGGGGCGTGTACGCCAAGGCGCGGGCGGGCGAGATCAAGGGGTTCCCGGGCGTCGACGACGAGTTCGAGGCGCCGGTCAGGGCCGATCTGACCGTCGACACGACGCAGCAGAATATCCCGGAGATCGTTCACAGTGAGTCTCTCTCTTTGCGGTGCGGACCGTGGCGGGCGCTCATCGGTGCGTTGCGTTTTCAGGTATCGTGCTGTTGCTGGAGACCAACGGCCTGCTGTAAGATCTTCTTGCTGTTTGTTCACCTCGTCTGTCGTGTTTTGTCCCACCGTCCGTTGCGCATGTATCTCCTTATATATACACACTATGATAGAAGCTGGATAGAGGATCATTCTACGCCGTACGAGTTGAGGACGATTTAGCAGCCGATGCACGATGCCCTGCTCCCGATAGCCTTACGAGGCTACGGACCGTCGCTCAGTATCGGAACATCGAACGGGCCAGTGGCCAGCATGCGTGGCACGGGAGTACTTACCACAGGTATCTATGCACGTGAAGTAATCTGGTTGGCACGCGGGCGCGTCGGGGAAGGCGTTGCAGCAGACGATGCAGTAGCGCGCGCATTGCTAAACAGAGCAAGAACGGAAAGAGAGCCGGGCAGGTCCGTCGTCAGCGAGGGGAGGCGTGGGTGGTCTTTTGGGGAGAGGACTGGAGGCTTACCGAGCCGGAAGGCGGGGTGGAGCATTCGTCGGCGCTTTGGGCGGCTGTGAGGGAGGGGAGGAGGGAGAGGGAGAGGGAGAGGGAGAGGGCTGCGAGGAGGGTGCAGGTGAGGCGCATGGCGGCTGGTGGGATGGGAGCGAGGGAGGGCGGATCTGTAGTGTGGTTTATATGCGCCTGCGTAGGCGATGCGAGGCCGTGCGCGCTTAACGCGCTCGACGGCGAGGCATGTTGGAGATGTTGATCAGTCGCTCGTGAGCGCCGTGGTGCAGTTTATGGGATGTCGGTTGCTCGAGTGGAGAAGCCCAGGAGAAGCTGGAACGATGGCGGCGAAACGACAGGCCTGCGGGGTGTCTGTCTCGAGCCGCCGTCCTCGATTTCTGTCCCTGGACAGCCGTGCTAGAGAAGCGGTGCGTTGTGCAGACATGACGATGCGTTGTAAGAAGGGCGAATCTTGGTCAAAAGGCACTAGCCGAGGGGAAAGGCGAGCGCGCGCTACCGTCACCTGAGATTGCGCGTGAAGCCTACGTTGACGCTGGGGGCCATGGAGCCAGATAGCATCGAGCCAGCCGCGTCTATGGAACGCACCTGCGATGCTCGACTGGCGCTTGGAGGAGATGTGCTGGAATGCACGGACGGGCATCTCGGCGACGGGACCCACCGGGGCGCAGAGCAGAGTAGTACGTACTGCGGTCGCAGGAGAGTCGCACGGTCACGTGATGGATGGGACCACGTCTGCAGCGCCAGCGCACTGCGGCCGCAACCACACTCTCACTCCAGCACTTCAACGCGACCCACCGCTCGTCGCCCAGGTCTTTCGCCCGTCAAAGGTTCATCGCTCTCCGGACACCCGTCGCGTCTGCCACAATGGCCGCAGATCTTCAGGTCCGCTCCTGTCCCTCCTGCCCTGTCCACGCACCCGCACGCTGACCCGCCGGACGGTCCCTCGCCCTGCAGAGAAGGCACCACGAGCTCGAAGGTGCCGCGGACCCGTTCCCCTCGCTCTACGAGTCCCCCCCGGTCCCCTCCAAGCCTGCCGCCCCCGTCGCTCAACCCGTCGACACCGCCTCCCACGACGCCTTCCCCACCCTCGCCCCCTCCTCCGCCTCCGCCAACAAGCCTGCCGCACTCGCGTGGGGCAGCCCCGTCGGCCCCCGCATCAAGCCCGCGACCGTGCATCCTAACCAGGTCACCGAGTCCTTCACCCTCTCCTCCATCGACCTCTCCACCTCCGGCAAGGACGGCAAACCGGCCACCCTCGGCGAGATCATGAAGCAGGTCATGACAAAGTTCAAGGTCAAGATCGAGGCATCCACCAACCAGAAGACTCGCCAGACCACCTTCCACCTCAAGGCAGACTCGCACAAGGATCTCGAGAAAGGAAAGAGGTCCCTCCTTTCCCTCCTCAGCCCCACCGTGAGTCCCCCCCCCTCCCCTCCCCCTTTCCGTCCACCGCACCAAACATCTTTCTTCCCGCCCCTAGGTCTCTCTGGTCGTAAATGCCCCGACCTCGACCATCGCGTTCATCATCGGCGTCAAAGGTGACCGTGTCCTCCTACCGCCATGGGGTCTCGTGCTCATCCACCCCATCCCATCCCAGGTGCTACGCTCAAGCAGATCCGTGACCAGACCAACGTCAGGGTAGACATCCCCCCCAAGGATTCTCTCTCGGCCCCCAACGGAAACGGTCACCCCAACGGCTCCCCCCGCGGCACCACTCCCATCCCCGACGACGAAGAGGAAGAGCCCACCATCCCGATCACCATCACCGGCCCCCAGCCCTTCGCGTTGGAGGCCCAAGACCTCATCAAGGACATCGTTGCCTCTAAGGCTGCAAAAAAGACCTTGCGCGTCCGCGACATCCCCTCTCACATCGTCCCATTCATCAAGGCCCGCCGCTCCGTCTTCGTTGACGCAGCCCAGGGACGCGACGTGCAGCTCACCTTCAGCAGCGCCGACCGCGAGTTCACCGCGGTCGGCGATCGCGACGCCGTCCTTCGTGTCATCGACGCTGTCAAGGCTACCGTCGACGCGTTCTCCTCCGGCCTCACTCCCATCAAGATCACGCTCCCCAAGCGCCAGCACCGCCTGCTCGTCGGCAAGGCCATCGACGAGATCATGGCGTCGAGCAAGTGCTCCGTCATCGTGCCCCAGCCCGAGGAGTCCAGTGAGGAAGTCACCGTCTGGGGCAAGGACGAGGACGTTGCGGGCGGCCTTTCGGCCGTCATGGCCAAGGCGAATTCGCAGTACATTCACGAGTTCCCTCTCCCCGGACCCGCCGCGCTCTCCAAGCAGCTCCTCACCTACATGACCGTCACTGGCTACCCTGAGACCCTCGCCGCCGCCCACCCTGGCGTGTCGGTCTTCACGCCCAGCCCGGCCATGCGGGAGCGCGCGAGCGTGCTCAACATCGAGATCATCGGCGAGAAGCCCATCGTGGATGGCGCCGTGCGCCAAGTCTCGACGTTGATCGGCAAGCTCATCGGCGCCACCAGGGATGTCCCTGTCGACTGGCTCGTGCACAGGATCGTTCAGGCCAAGCACGCCAGGAAGTACGCGCGCCTTCCTCCCTCGCAGACAGTTTATTGACTTTCAATTTGGGCGATAGGATCAACCAGTTCTACGAGAACCACAACGTGCTCCTCTTCTTCCCTCCCGAGGCCGCCGAGCAGTCGTCCGTCCTCCTGGTGTACGACCCGACCTCGCCCTCCGCGTCCCCGTCCCCCGTCGAAAAGGCGAAGCACATCGACGACGTCGAGAAGGAGCTGCTCCAGTTTGCCAAGGACGCTGCGGACGTCAAGAGCGCGACCATCACCGTCGAGAAGAAATGGCACAGCGCCGTCATCGGCCAGGGCGGAACCACTCTCAACGCGTGCGCCCGTTTTTTTTTTTCTCATGGGTATCGCTCCTGCGAATTGACGGTGGATTTGCAGCATCATCGGCGACGAGAACGGCCTCTCCATCAAGATCGGTGCCGAGGTTGGGGACGCGTCCACCGAGGACGTCGTCCTCGTCCGCGGCGCCAGCAGCGAAGTCGACCGCGCCGTCAAGGAGATCCAAGAGATTGTCGAGAACGCGAAGAACGACCTGATTCTCAGCGGCTACGTACGTCCCCCTGCCCATCTTGTGTCTCGCCGCGCACCGAATCGCGTTCACAGTCCGTCGAGTTTGAGATCGACCGCGAGTTCGTCGGCAGGGTTGTCGGCTCGCAGGGCGCGGGCGTGAACAAGCTCCGCGACCAGCTCGGCGTCAAGGTCGACTTCTCGGACGAGGTCGAGGAGAAGCAGCAGGACAGCTGGAAGAAGAAGAACAAGACTGTCACGCATTCCAAGTCCAAGGTCACCATCGTCGGGCGCAAGGAGAACGTCGAGGAGGCCAAGCGGCGGATCCTGACTCAGGTCGAGAGGCTGGTGCGTCACGGTCGTCGACGTTGGCGTGCTGCGCGCGTTGCTGATCGTTCTACCCAGGCGGACGAGACGTCCGAGGTGCTCAAGATCGCGAGCCAGTATCACTCCGGTCTCATTGGCGAGAAGGGCAAATACGTCTTGCGGTTGGAGGAGAAGTACTCCGTCAAGATCACTTTCCCGCGCGAGTCGGCTGATAACGGCGAGGGCCGGACTCGCGAGCACCTCAAGGCCGACGAGGTCCTCGTCAAGGGCGGCCGCAAGGGCGTCGCGGGCGCCAAGTCGGAGCTGCTCGACGTAAGAATACCCACCCCTCGCTTGTGAGCCCGACACGCTCACCACCCAGACTCATGTCCTTCTTCCCAGGCCGTCGAATTTGAGAAGGAATCCAACAACGTCATCAAGTTCACCGTCCCCGCGCGCGCGATCCCCCGCATCCTCGGCAAGGGCGGCGCCACGATCAACGAGATCAAGGACGAGACCGGCGCGCAGATCGACCTCGACAAGACGACGCCCGACGCCGAGAGCGCGCAGATCACCTGCCACGGGACGAAGAAGGCCGTCGCCGCCGCCAAGGCCGCCATCCAGGCGATCGCGGACCAGGTCGGCGAAGAGACGACCGTCGTGGTCACCGTCGAGAACAGGTTCCACCGCGCGCTCATCGGCGCGGGCGGTCAGGTGCTCAAGGACCTCATCAGCCGCTGCGGTGGTCCCTCCGACACACGGGCGCAGGCGGGCTTGGTCCGGTTGTGAGTGTCCATCATCGCCCTTTGTCTCGCGACGCGCGCTCAGCGTCTCGTTCGCTCGTTTAGCCCGCGGTCGGGCGATGAGCCCAAGGACGAGGTGCGCCTGCGCGGCGACCCGAAGGTCGTCGCCAAGCTCGAGGCCGAGCTCGAGAAGGCCGTCAGCGAGCTGCGCGACCGCGTCGTGCTCGCCGTCGACATCCCCGCGCCGCAGCACCGCGCGCTCATCGGCCGCGGCGGGCAGAACCTGACCGAGTTCCAGACCAAGTTCGCCGTGCAGGTGCAGTACCCCGGCTCGCGCTCGTACGGCCAGGCGGGCCCCCCGGAGAACGCGGACGCGCTCGCCGCCGTCGCGCCCGAGAACGTCGTCAAGGTGTCCGGCGCGCGCGCCGCCGTCGAGGCGGCCATCGAGAACCTCAAGGTGCGTTTCTGCCGTGCTCGCGCCCGTGCTCGCGCTCACGCCCGTCCGCTGCAGTCCCAGATCAAGGCGCCCGCGCCCGAGGCGCTCGTCGAAACCGTGGCCGTGCCCCTCAAGTACCACCACGCGGTCACGCAGCAGGGCAACCTCTTCCGCACCCTGCGCACGTACGGCGTCCAGGTCGAGCAGTCGGCCCACCCCCAAAAATCCGCCGTCCCGGTCCGCCCCGAGCCCGACACCGACGCCGACACCACCGCCCCTGCCGCACCGTCCACGCGCATCGACGACGCCGACGACGAACCTGCCGCTGCCGCCGCCGGCGCAGCGGGCGCGCAGTGGGAGGTCGTGCTGAACTACCAGGACGCGGAGGAGGGCGAGTCCACGTGGACGCTCAAGGCGCGCGACCGCGCCGCGCTCGAGCGCGCGCAGCAGGCGATCGACGACGCGCTCGCGCGCGCGCGCGGGATGAGCCACGTCGGCTTCCTCACGCTGCCGGACCGCACGAGCTTCCCGCGCATCGTCGGCGCGAAGGGCTCGAACATCGCGCGCCTGCACGGCGAGACGGGCGCGGACATCACCGTCGGGCGCGAAAACAACACGATCGTCATCATGGGTGCGTCTCTCTCGCTTGTTCTTTCCACCTCGTCGCGTGCTTGTTGGCGCGGGTGCTGATCGGGTCGGCGATGCATCGCAGGTTCGGAGTCGTCGATCGTGGCGGCCAAGGACGCCATCCTCAAGACGGCCGCGGACACCGGCCGCCGCGGGCGCAACTACTGACCTGGCGAGCGCACGGACGGACGGACGATACACATTACTTACGGATGGATGGGGGCCTGAATCATTGCATTGTTATCCTACCACTCGCACTTTCCGTCACCGCATGAAAACAATATAAGCATCGTTTTATAATTATCTACGAGCCAGAGCAGGGATGGGCGTGCAGGAGCAGTTCATTCCCGTACAGTAGATGGAGAGCGGAGAGCAAGAAACTAGCTAAGCTGCGTAATGGTGGTGGTAAGATCACTCAGATATCGATCGGTGCTCCGTCCATGTCGTCGTCCATCGGCTCTCCGTCCACGTCACCCTCGTCTACCGGTGCGTGTTCAGCAACAGGCTCCTCGGCGAGAGGTTTGCCGTCCACATTATCGTCATTGTCGATGGGCTGCCCGTCCACGTCATCGTCCATCGGCTGTCCGTCGACATCGTCAGCCAGAGGCTCCCCGTCGACCTCTTCACCCATCGGCTCCCCATCGACGTCCTCCCCCAGCGGCTGTCCGTCCACGTCGTCGCTCATCGGCTGCCCGTCCACGTCGTCCACCGCCTCGCCGTCTATCCCGTCGCTCCCATCGTCCATCGCCTCGCCGTCGAGACCACCAGCCGCGCCCTCGGCCGCGGGAGTGGCGACCTGCGCGACCTCGTCGGCCGGCCTGAACGAGCTGGCCTTGAACCGCGACGTGAACACCGGCACGCTCTCCTCCTCGACCTCGGGAGCCTCGTCCTGAGCAGGGGTCGCCTCTCCCGCCTGCCCTTCGATACGCTCGCGGAGCTCGGCGGTGAAGTCGGGCGGGAACACGATCCAGTCTTCCCAGATGTCGATGACGGCCGTGATTTGCTTCTTGAACATGTCGGCCGTGATGCGCCCGGGGAAGGAGTGGTAGATCGTGGAGAAGTGGTCGAAGACGAGGCCCAGGCGGCCCTGGAACTCTTGCCGGAATTTCCAGGCCATGGGCAGGGGGGCGGCGGAGTTGTGCAGGATGTCGCAGATCAGGTGGAGGCGCGCGAGCTTCCTTGGCACGGGAGTACCGTCGACAACTAAGGATGCGATGATGATGTCTGAAATCTACGTGTGCTGACGGTCAGACCCGGGCCATTCAAAGCGGAGCAAAACATGAGAGTTTCACCTCATTCGCAGCTTCCGCATGCTCTAGACTGAATGCCATGCACCGTGCCAACTCCCCTCTAGTTCCTGACAGTGACCGCAGCATAGCTTCAAACCGTTTACGAGCCAATTTCCCGAGCTTCGTCTTCCGTGTTCGCTCCCTCTCAGACTCCTCGGCAGAGTCTGTTGAGTACACGCTGTTATAGCCCTGAAGATGCATACACCTCCATTATAAACACATATGTGGAGATGTCGTGAAGTCATACCTCGTCATCAAACTCGCGTTCGAGGCTGCGGTCCCTATCCACCAAGGACCTGTAGTATCTGTGCTTTCGATGCTGAATTTCTACGTGTCAGTTTTGGAAGCTGTCGGCATACACCGGACCAACCTGATGATTGGTCAAAAACGCATAACGTGCATTGCCCTTTTCCCTCTCTCGTAAAGTTTCTTCATATTTATCGTTATGCCCCTTTACTTCAGCGGCGACGGTGCGTATGAACATTACAGTCACGTCGTCGTCGTCGCTGTGGGCCCGGTCAGTAGGGGAGCGGTGCCGACGAGGGGAACGACTGCGACGATCATAGCGGCCACGACTGGGCTGTCGGCGTCGACGTGGTGGTGAACGCGATCGACTTGGACTGTACGACCTACTGCGTGATCGTCGCGAGGCATACCGGTCATGCGAGCGCGAACGCGAACGAGGACGCCGAGCTGGACTGCGTCTTTCATGTTCCCTGGAGCGCGAGCGGGATCTGTGAACGACTGCGTGATATAAATTTAATAGGAAAGCCACATGAAGCTATTGTCCAGCAAAACATACCATACATGGGTTTGGCCGCGATTGGGACGGCTTTACTCCAACCGACGCGTAGAACCGAACCGCCCCAGTCAAATCCGTCAAACTCCCGCAGGGCGGCTTCAGCATCCTTTCTTTTCATGAATGAGACAAAACCACTGAGCCCAGCATTCTTGGTGCGACGGGTGGCCGTCATGTCTGCCCCGGGACCGTGACCGACATCACCACGAGGCCACATCACTTTGACCTGTAACACGAAACGAAGTTAAAGGCGAGCTTTGAATCAAAAGAACCGACTGAAATCCTCACCGAACCAACCGGACCCGCGCGCGCAAAGAATGTGCCCAAGCTTTGTTCCGTGACGTGAGGGGGAAGATTGGCCACAAAAACATTGGATGTCTAAGACAGAATCAGTATGAGACGTCGTAGTAAAGCACCTCTATCCAAACCTCGGGGTCTCCGCGATCCTTACTGCCACTCTGGCCTTCATATGCTATATAGCATGTCAGTTGTTTATCGTTAACATGTTTTCTGCAACGCACCAGCCATAGCTGTCGCAGACCTTGCGTGAGCTGCAATTGATTATTTAAAAAAGATGAAGACATAGAGCACAAACACGAACCAGTCCGCGAAAATCGAGCTTCTCTTTCCGCCTGATCTCTGCTTTCACAATGAGTACCAATGCATGCAGCGAGTCGGCCATTACAACAAACTTTTTGATTTCTTCCAGAAAGGCATCCATGGCGCGCTTGCCTTTAGGCTTGGGTGCTAAAGGAGGAGTAGGTGACTATAGTGTGGTCAACAAGGTATCAACTCGACTTGCAGTCCATCTCACCTCAGACATCTCCTCTAGCGGTCGCATGCTGCGAGAGGACCCTTCTGCCTTGGACTGCACCGAGGGCGTATAAGCGATCCCCGAATCTTTTGACGAACGAACAAATCCTGGCCCTGCTTGCTTTTTGGCTACAGCCTCACCCTCAAAAGCGTCCAGGAATTCTGCGTATGCTCTGGCAGCATTCTCTTCCTCTTCCCTCTTCTTCGCGTCAGCTGCCTCCTTCTCTTTCTCTCTCCGGGACTTTCGCACAGTGCCCTGGGCATACTGCGACAATTTCTGATCATCGACAGGTTTTTGCTGTTGCATGAGAACGGTTGGTGAGCGTGAACTGAGGAGAAATAAGTTCTATCCGTCGCACTGGGAACGAAGATTCATCTTCGTCTTTGTCAAAAAAAGCGGCTAATTTGGACTTTGTTTTGTCCATGGTGTCCTGAAGAAGATCAGGGTATGAATGATATTAGATATGTTGGTATGATGCCTCAAGGAGTAGAAAGTGCTCGAGTTTGGAGTGCTGTTAGGTTGTGGTGGCTGTCGAACGCTGTTCACACAAGTGTCACATTGTTACCAAGTCACGTCAGTGTCACGGATGGCACCGTATTCGTTTTCCCAAAACAAAACAAAAACTTAGGGCAGCGCGCTACTCAATATTGGCATCGACTAATGGGCACCATCAAGACTACAACAATGAAATTTGCCTCGTATACCGTCAGAGCACAGAACGGCCTCCCAATACCTGATCATATTATACGATAAATCGTCAGTCACTCTGATTCCGACTGAGATATAGACGAACAGGTCGTCTACATCATCAGACCGGACAAGCCGCTTGATGCATAGGCCATCGGCTTCATTGCTGGGTGGGGTTGGGCTTCAAATTGGAAGTATTCCTGTGTGCCCGCGGAGTCGATGCGAATCTAATATGGTATTGTTGAGTATCTTGAATTTCGCTTGAATCCGCTCCAAAGGAAATAGCCTTACGAATGCCCCTTTGTTACCGGCCTGATCCACATAATTCGGTGCAGAGAATACCTATATCACGAAGGAGCAATGCTAAGTACCAAGTGTAGGGAGTTGTTATGAGATGGACATACAGTGGTGCATAGGCCGTTGTGTTCAATAGCATAACCATCTGAAGGACCCATAACGCATTAGATCGTGGATGCCCAAGTCACGGTCATATTCGCAAATGCCCACCTTGACGAACTTCATGACTACGCAAAATGCCGGTAACACCATTCAACTCACACCATCTGCGTGTCACGTCTGGGCCAAAAGCAATTCCAACACCCTGTAACACGATCAGGTCCTATGTTTTATAGATCGAATCGCTTAAGAAAAGACATACCCGTTTGCTCGGCCCTCTACCAGGCGTTTCTTGTGGATCGGTCCATAGAAGCTATGATAGAATGGGTCAACACGCTCTCAACGGACCTTGGTTCAGATGCAGACCCGGACATACCTCGCCTAGATCCTCGTGAGCCAAAGGGGTCATAAGCAAGTTGAAGAAATTACATACACATCAATCCCTCTGTCCCTGGCTGACGCCCAATCCTCTCTATTTTACGAATCTCGTCCAACGTAACACCATCCTTGCTAAAAAGACCACCATGCACGACAAAGTATCGCTTGAGTCCCTCTGGAGACAAGATAGAACCTTGGCTCTTTTCCGGTGGTCTTGTTGCAGAAATCAACGTCGCCAGAGGCACTACAAGAGTTTGCTTTCTTAGCACAGGTAGAAAGCACGATGATTAAATGCTTGAACGACGCACTCGTTGTGAATAAGTGCGCGAAGAGCTAGATGATGTCAGGATATAGATCTATACATTTTGCGAACGAGAAGTACCTTGTAGGTCTGATCACCATGTTTATGCTTTGCCTCGCCCTCGAACCCATATGTTCGATTCATTTCTTTCGTCTCATGATTGCCACGATTTATAAACATATTTTTTGGATATAGCCCTGTCGCAGTCCCGTTAGCCTAAATCAGCCAGATATCATACACAGATGCTCTCACATTTGTAGGCTAAGGCTGTGAGGATGACCTCAATCGACCATGAGCCTCGATCGACAAGATCGCCATTCATGAGCAAGCAATGCTTCTCAGATGGTGGCCCGGTCAAAGAATACAAGTATAGCATATCATAAAATTGGCCTAACCCAAAGCATGAGCATGTGATCCCAGGTACTTTGTGTTTAGACGTACCATGCACATCACCAATGACATCGCAAGTCATTCTCTCCTCGAGAGGCAATTCTACTAGGCTTTGTTCTTTGATAAAGTGGGAGTGTGCTCCCAGGACAATCTCCCATACATATCGACGTGGAAGGGACTTGCCGTCCTTGAACCACTGGATCATAGCCTGAATGAATTCCAGAGTTATCGTGTATTTCCCATCGTCAGCCGTCTCCAGCTTAGGCCCATCGTATTTGTTGTCAAGATCGCAACCACCTGTATGAAGGTAAAAGTGAGTTCCTGTATCGAGATATCGAGATGATACAAACCGTCTGCAATGATTTCAAGACATCTCTCTACGGCTGACTGCTCTTCGCCTACTTCGATGGCCTGTGTTGAAAGGATTGAAGGGCGGAAATATTCGATATGTAACATGTAAGCTACCTTTTCAAATTCAATCTTTCGTAGAAGCTTCTGCGTTGACTCTAATTGCAGCTTGACTTGGTTATTGTGGGGATCAAGCGCCATTACTTTCTTCAAGTCTGCCACGGCCAGCTGAGGCTTAAGAGTTTGTATGTGGCACATCGCTCGTCTATGATTGAGAGTTGCTCGAAATCATGCTCGGAAAGATGCGATTAAGACCATACCTATAATAAGCTTTGGCATACTTGGGGTTGAGCGCAATCGCCCTGCCTAGGAAGATCATCTCAGTTCAATCGCAATTGACTATTTGAATGAAACACCCACTGGCGTCTTGAAGAGCGTAGCCATGTTCTTCTATTTTCAACCGTGTGTATGCTCTGTTACAAAATAGTGTCGCATCCATCGGGTTCTTCTCGATAGCCTCCGAGTATAGGTGAGCCGCACGCGGGAAATCATGATCTACAGGATCAAACAAAATAAAGGGACCAAAAGCAGAGCACGTAGATTATGAACGGACCAATAAATGCCTTATTAGCCTGCGCCTTCAATTTCGATGCCTCTTCCTTGTCTACTTCTGAAACCTCCTTCGTATCTAGGCTTAATGTCGAAAGAGACGGCGATGGGATCGACGAGGGTGGAGTTGACTGTAATGGAGAGGAAGGAACAGATGATGAAGCGTCGCTCATGGTTCAAGATCAGTTAAAAGCTCGTTCTAAAGATGATTTGGAGAGCAATGATCTCTGCTAGTACATTAGCAGACCGGAGTGATTGTCCACTGCATGCATACCTTTCGAAAGGGAAGAAAACAGCGTGCTTGGGAATGATGACGATGAGATTTATGTACACGAGAGAGTACTTGTGTGAGGGTTCAATGAACGGACACTGTAGAATTGCGACCTTGCAGGAAGGGTAATGGCACTTACGTCACACAAACCTGGATATTGGGTCAGATTGGGTCTCAGTAGTGTCTCAGTGCTGTCTCAGTCCAAGCATGCCTTCATGAAGCAATAAGATGGACAAGACCCCCTTGGTCAACGGACCGTTACCCATACATGAACAGTATAGATTGCGAGAATGTTACAGGGCTACTCTTCAATTGAGCCATACTAGAACCTTTAAATATAGCACCACAGGGTATAGTAGCTGAAATTAATCAAACTCGATGTACGACAGCGGAAAAAAACGAGCGCTATAGGAAAAGAGCGAAAAGACGTGCAATATCACATCGAATGACTTCAGTCGCACTGGTCCAGGTTGAAGTACTTTCCAAGACGGGGCCTCATGGTGTACGCGTCTACATTCTGCAACCAACCATTGACGAATTGGTGCAAGCTGCGACAAAGACAATCAGATATGAACATTTGGCTCAGAGGTGCCACTCACTAGTCCAGGTTGTTCTGGCATCTGCAGCACGATGTGGACGCAGCGGCAGTTGCCTGACCCTGATGTGTACAATGTATGAGCGCTTTTTTTGTAAAAAGTCGGAGCACCACGTTGCTTACAAAAGTCAATTGCGGGGACCAGCCATTGTACTGACCGATGGTCTTCAGGACATCACCACCATTGCTGTTCAACGTATCAGAAAAAAACTGAGCGCCTGTGCGAATGTTGTAGTCCTGAAGGATAAGGTATCAACAAATGTGAGTGAGTTTCCTGTAGATCAGTCAACTTACGGGATCCTTGCAATTCCCGCCAGGCGCCGATCCACACTTGTCCTTGGTTATCTGCATTAAGCCCTGTTCACCAGCACCACCAACAGTGGCAGGATTGCAACTGCTCTCTTGCATGGCAAACGAAGCCAGCATGATAGGCGGAACTATCCAATCGGGATTAGAGAATGAGACCCCAACGAGCGACAAAAGTGCTCCTCACCATTAAATTCCCCACCATACTTCTCAAAGAGCCCTATATATTCGCTGCATGCTTTAAAGGGGCTGCTCTTGTCCTTGATCGCAGTAGACAGGTCGGCAGCGATGAGGTCAGATATATGGACGAATGGAGGCCTCCAACCGCCATCATTGAGTCCACAGTTTAACCAGTCGATGTTACCGTTAGGACCGCTAACAGCGGTGATGTCCTCTGCAGATAAAATTATGAGGGCTATCAACTAGACATTACAACTTCCTTGGACTCACTCGTGGCACCGATATCGCCACACTTAGACTTGACGCTGATCAAGCCTGCAATAGCCCCTTTTACGCTGCTTTTGCTGTCATCAACATAGTTTGCGACAGGGGTCGACGCAGGGGCGGCTGCAACAGAGGTCGTCGGCGCCACATAAGTAGAGGTCGGGGGATTGTTGGTTGTCGAAGTCGTGTGGGGGAAGGAAGAGGAGCTCTTCACTTTGCAACGCTTGCTGGATGAGCTTCCCCGACGGGCAATGTGGGCATGACGAGCTGAATGAGAGCGTTCTTCGTGAACGTTGCTCGCCTCGACAACGGCAACAGCGAGGACAATAGCAACAAGGCTGGAGAGGAGTTTCATGATACAGTAGTAACGAATGTGGGTTCCGCCTTGGGAGTAGTATCGAGTCTAAAGATGCGAAGAAAGGCTCAACAACGCGGGGTGTTGGTTTTATGGGAAAGACGCTCACCCAGAAGCACTCTTAGCGTTGGCGACGTGGAGTGAAATGCGTGGATATATCCTGATATATCACGTTTTTAAAAAACACCAGCTGCCAAGCGATCCAATCAATTCATTCAGAACCTCTAACCTTTAGGCTAGCACTTACCTTTTTTGGCAACCGACCGATCACCGTCCAAGCATGCGGAAATTATTTTCTTTTTCTCGATGTTCTCTCCGATAGACGGTTCCTCATCGACGGTTGAAAGCATGAAGCTCAATTCGACCTCGCATTGAAGCAATGGTGCAGGATGACGCTCATATTATTGTCCTCGATCAGCAAGGCAAGCTCATCCATGGCCCCTGGGCCTGTCTGCTGATACCTAACTCACCTGTCGCAAAGCGTGTATTGCTCCGAACGATGACTCTGGACCCTTACGACGGTCAGTCCTTCAATGCGAGGTACTCATGACCCCGCTGGGAGCCGTCGTAGGCCGTCGTTGGCGAGGTGGCCATCAGGGCACGGCATCTTTTGCCCGTTTTGCCAATAAATATCGGGTAGTGAAGGACGAGTTTGCTATGTGAGCTTTGAAAGTTCCTATCCAGACTCTGTCCAGCTCTGTCCTGGTCTGTGTCAACTCCAACGTATTTTCATATCGAATATGACTCGCCTACCTTCCAAACGCGTATGCTCCACCCACCTGAAGCGCCCCAGATTCACATCGCGCATGAACAAAATCATGGTGCTGGAAAGTATTCGAGGTAGCGCGAATGTCTTTTCGCTTCAACACATGGCTGACTGCCCAGACGTCGATGCTCGTGCTTGAAGTGAACATAACTAAAGAAAACTATGGTTAGGATTCCGCAGCACTGGCCAGTCCTGTCTAATCCCACGTTCTTCCCGTTCTGGTACATCACTTACACCAATCCCCCCCCCCGAGCCCCCCAGCCGCCACCATTCCTTAAAATCGCTGTACTGCCGGTGCAAGTTGTGTTTGGGGCGGACAGGTACCTCTGTAAATGTTGACGGCAACACTGCGTCTACTCAAATTGATCACATTGTCAAGTACCTTCATCTTTTTCTTGTGCCAGGAATCTCACGAACCGAGTCACAACAACAGATGTTATGTTGCATGAATCCGCTGTATTCCCGCTGTGTTCCATGTTGAATTTCTCAGGGAATCATGGATCCGTACCCAAACTTACATATACATATACGCAGGCCAGATGAATGTTGTTGATGCATCTCACAAGTCTGTTTCGTGATTGTTTGTTGTGAGTCACAATTCTAACTCTACTTCACTATGAAGAGACATTACGATCCTTATAGGAGATCTTGATAGGTCAACTTTCTTCGAGCTTCAGTATGCAAAATTTCCAACGTTGATGTTGAGATTTAGAGAAACCCTCTTACTAATTCAAATATGGGCCGTATAAGGAAACTGCTGAATTTGACGAAAATTAAAATGAACTCCCTTCATAGTGAGCAAGTGAGTTATTTTTGTTTTCCTCGCGGCTCTCATCCATCATGGACACTACTCATACTAGCAAAGAGTTACAAGAATCTTCTCCTGTAATCTCATTCCAGTCCTCGGGATGTACGAGAGCCGTTTCAGACGCAAGCCCCCCGACTGAGCATGCAAAGGGTATGTCTTTTCGGGTCCAATGTACAACAACATAGAAGTTGATTCGGTATCCCAGGCTTGTTCTCTAAACTGAGCATATCAGATCGACTTTTAACTCCTGCCATCCTGATAGCCATGATTATCGGCGTGATTATCGGAGTCTTCGCACCTAGTGTTCAAGACACATTTGACACTGTTAAATTGAACGGCGTCTCAGCACGTATGTATCTCGATTATCTATATGATGCATCTCACACATCGCATCCTCTCCAGCTATTGCCATTGGATTGATTGCCATGATGTGGCCGATTCTTACGAAAGTTCAATATGAAACGTTCCCCGCTCTCTTTACTTCACAGCGCCTCTGGACCCACATCGTCTTATCCGTCTTCCTGAATTGGATTATTGGACCGTTCATTATGCTGGGTCTTGCATGGGCAACTCTACCAGACCTCCCCACGTATCGCACAGGAGTTATCATGGTCGGGCTCGCTCGTTGTATCGCTATGGTCATGATCTGGAACCAGCTCGCGCGCGGAGACGGCAACTACTGCGCGATCCTAGTCATGATTAATTCCATTCTCCAGATTGTATTGTACTCTCCCTTCGCAGTCTTGTTCATCAATATCATCGGAAACCAAGAGTCCTCGATTCATGTTTCCTACGGCAAAGTTGCAATCTCTGTGCTTATTGTATGTTCATCTCGTCTGAACGGTGTCTCTCTTCCTAACTCCATTCCAGTATCTAGGAATACCATTAGTTGCAGGGGCCATAACACGATACGGCGTCTGGTTACTTACCAGCAAACGCTTCCTTAACGAGAAATTCTTGCCTCTCTTTGGCTATATTTCTCTTCTCGGGCTTCTCTATACTATCGTCGTCATGTTCGCCTACCAAGGACACCAGATTATTCATAATCTCGGTCCCGTCTTCCGCACCATGGTCCCCCTAATCCTCTACTTCGCAATTATGTGGACATTCGCATTCTGGCTGATTTGGCGTCTCAGCAATCGGTATCCTTCGATTTTCGGGTATGAGATGGCTGTCGTGCAGAGCTTCACAGCAGGCAGTAACAATTTCGTGAGTTGTTCGTAGTTGGTCCGATGACATCCCCAATTCTAATATATTTTATCTTCCAGGAGCTCGCGATCGCGGTTGCAATTGCAGTCTACGGTATTGACTCCGATCAGGCCCTTGCTGCGACGATAGGGCCACTTGTAGAAGTTCCTACCCTTTTAGCATTAACGTGGGTTTCGCTGTTCCTCCATCAGAAGCTTGCATGGTCTCCGACGGAGCTTGCGGAGGGGCATGTAACAGAGAAGAATTCATGAAAGGTACTATGTGTTGATCTCTTCCTTTATACCAAAATGAACACATATACTACAGACGTCGTAAAAAATCCAAAACAGCGCTGTCGTTCACATCTGTAGAGTCGATCGGCGGTCAGAAAGCCGCTGTAATATGATCATGTGCAAATCATCCTCCTGCTGCATGGGTTGCGCAGCCTCTTCCTCTTCTACCAGGCCCTCGCAATCTATGTACCCGCCACAGCATTCCGATTCTGACTCGTGATAGGAGCCTGCGGGGGTCAAGGCCGCTACCGAAAAGAGCGCGGAATTCTCGTTAAGCGTCAGGACTTCAGCTGTCCCTTGCACACGCTCTAAGCTTTTCCCTGGTGAATTGCTTGCGGTGCCTTGCGGGATCGTCTGAGAGAAGAAGGTGGCGAGAGTCTCGGCAACGTTATTGTCCCTGTTTGAGACCCTGTAATCCAGGCGCGATCAGGCGTCGTGCTTCTTTGGCTCTTGGCTCTTTCTGCTTGAAAAACACAGCTCATACCTCGATATTTTGGCGATGCTCGAGGCCATCTGATGAAACCTTGCCAACGTCGTCTGCGTACGCCCAAGGTGCTCCATAAGCTCTGAACACGCATTGATCTGTTTATTGTCAGTTCTGCAAGTCGCGCATGTAAGTCTATTGAACGTCACCATGTCTTCATCAAACCCTCCAGAAGAGCCTGCCTTTGCTATGGCGAGCTCTCGGCGCAAACGTGTATTCTCTGCCTCCGCAACTCGGCATCGCTCTTCCAGGTCGGCGACATACTTGGCCCGGCGGTCACGATATGCCCGTTGCTGTGCAAGAGAGCGTGAAGGGGGAATGGTCATGTCTTTCTTTCGGCCTCGCGTCATGTTGTACGATCCACGCGCTGTGCTCGGAGCGCAAGATTCTGCCGTCTGTGCTGCACAGTGCTGCACAGATATGGCCTATGTAGGGGTGTAGGTTAGGGCCGCGAACTTGAAAGTCAAAATCAAAATCAAAATCGATTTGTCACTGGTCGTCACCTGACTTCTGCTACTAGCGCTGGCGCCGAAACCGACTCAAAACCGGCGCCTTCTTGTGATGCACCAGCTCCCCCTGCCATATTTTGTGAAACAGTCTGCGTCTTCACGTTGGTATAGTATCTAAGTGAGGTAGAATGAGACAGTCTATTGCTGATATCGACGGTCACAGCGAACTGTCACTTGAGGCCCTTGTGTGCTGTCGTATCGGAAACACACCACAGGACTCATGCGACCGCCAACCATCTACTCGCCGCTACGTCATTAGTGACAAACTGATATTGGCGGCCCACTCGAAGAGCTTACCAGCTATCCCGGTCAACCTGTAAACAGCATCAAGCTTGACCATCAAGATTCTGATCCTGTCACGAGCTCCCCCTCTATCAGAAAGTATGTCCAGACCGCCATGATGTCATATCACCTTGGGATCTTGAGACCTCGAGCTTCACAATAGACCCAGCGGCGACATCGTTGTCAGTCAATATCGTGTTGGCAAGGTTCTGTTCTTGCCATATGCGATTATGTGGGCTCTCGTACCGACGCTAAGCTCGGCGCTGATTCTAGCCTTCAACCTAGTCGCTCAGGAGGAGCTCTACACCACAAGGTCTCCAAAAAATGTTGGCAGCCGCTCTTCATGGGTCTGACGGATACATTTTTGACATCCGCTGATTAGGGGCCAACAACAAGGCGCGCTCGATTCTCAGACCGTTCTTTACCCGCAAGGATCATTCTTGCTACTCTATAGCGGCTCTCTGAATCTATTGCTGTTTGATCTTGTTCTGTGCGCTATCAATGGGGCGCAGAAATTGGACGCTAAATTCTGTGCGTACGGTGCCGGCACCGAACTCAGCTCCTGAAGCAAACCGACGCCCGACGTCATCCGCACAGATCACAGGCACCTTGGCATAATACCCTTCTCCCGTCTTTTCTTACTAGCTGATACTTCGGCGTCCCATGCATGCATTCTCCATCGTCATCACCTGACAGATCCATTCTCGCCCCCTCCCGCCTGATAAAATTGCTGTTCACTGACTAAATCAGGGACCCTCAGTGATTTACTGACTAACTTCAGAATGCAGAGTTTCCATCAGGCTGTGATGTACGATCGAGATGGGACGCCAGTTCGTCTGTCGGCTCTATTCGCGGATGTGCGTGTTGTGGCCCACTCGGAGTCCGCGACATGATGTACGACGCGTCACGCCGATGATGAATAGTAAGTCCCATGGGTTCTCACGCTGCGGCCTTATCGACGTCGTCTTTGTGAAGTTGTTGTCACATAACTCAGTTGCTGTATGTACTGAGAGCCAATTTTTGATCAGAAGGAGGAAAGAAGGTGAGTGTATTTCTGTTTTGATCGTGGCTGGTACTTGCTTGAGAACCCAAGGACTTAGAGCTACATAAGGCCTCTTTCGTTATCCAATCTGCGTCTGCGGTTTACATCTATTTTGCATTCGGGGAAGTGGCACGGCCGCATTCTCGGTCATCTGGCGTGAGCTCTGACGCCGATGAGAACACCGGACTATTGGTCACAAGTATGTTTGATGCACCCTTTCCGACACCCGGCGCGGAGTAGGGCCTCGGAACAGCGCGCGTTACGGTGAGCTATGCGCCTTACTGTTTTGTGCTGGTTCCTCTCAGTTTGAGATCCCCGAAATATGCCTGCGGTCTGCGAATCAACGTTAGGTGAATACACAGGGCTTACACATGGGTCGGTGATAGGTAGGGAGAGAGTGTAGCCAGAGCGGTTGGCCTTTTGTGCGGGAGAGAGCTTAAGTCCGCAACCTACCTATGAGAGAATACCAGAAATCATGTATTTCGCCATAACATCGAACAATGGAAGGCACGTAGCCGACTATGATTAACAACGATCTCATCTATTGAGTTACAAATAAAGAACAGCTTGTCGATACGAGGGCTGGTATTTGTATAAAGTGCACCCCATTGAAGACCGACACAGCTTAAAGGGTTATCGCATGAATGGTAGCCCGCGCAACAATATGGTTACCCAAACAGGGGATCGTTTCCTTCGCATATAGTCCACTGTGGAGGGACCCGTGGCCTGTGTCAATTGATGGAGCGACGAAGATCCGAGGCTGAGGAGGGTGAACAGGTTACGGGACCCAGTGATCACGACGAGGATCTGAATTTGGAGCCGAAGACGACAGCTTCGCGGGTGAGAGCGCAAGGAAATGGCCATTGTCGTCCAATCGAAGTGTCTGATTTGGGCACTTCAGCCACAGGAAGGCCCATGAGACGCAGGTTGGCGCAGCAAGTGGGCTAGGCACACGGAGCTGTGAACGACAGCGATCGATCATGCGTCCGCTCTTGCCTTTCATGGTATGGAAATGAGTTGCGTGGAATGAGTCAACGGGCGTCCGCGCCACTATGGGACTCCAACCCCGGGAGGCACAGTAGGGGAGAGATGGCGTTGCGGATGCGTGCGAGAGACGACTGAGACAGGAGTCCGGACCTTGTGCGCGGGACGTATGCAAGGCGGAAGAGAACTGGAGGCTATGCGGCGATCGCGACTTTGGCTGATGGCGTCGTCGCGAGAGGCAAGGCGTTGGGACGGAAAGCAAAAGCTGTGAGCGTGGTTGGAAAGCGCGGGGGTGGACAGCCAAGGACGGTCCTGGTGCGATGAGGGTGCGATGAGCGCGAGTGCGCAAAGCGACGGGGGAGGAGAGGCCGACAGCGCCGGATGACTCGGTGAGGTGAGGCGGAGCGAGTCGTGACTCAGGGAGTGTTTGCGTGTGTTTGGCGGGAGCGTGTATAACAGAAGGAGTCAGTTGAAGGCCCACAAGGCGAGTGCGAGAGATATCGCGACCCCCTCGAACGCCCAGCTCTCGTCTTGACTCGGCCCTCCTTTATTTTCTCTAGACCGTTCACTGACTGTCTCTGACTCCCCCCCCCCCCCCTCCCCAGCATTTAAGGAGTCCTCCCAGCTGCTGCTGAAGGACGAGAATATCTAGTCGGGTCATCCAGGTCGTCTGACTCTGGAGATCCGCCTCTAACCTGCTGCCGTTAAAATGTATCCTCACCGGAAAACCCGCCGTTCATTCGTCCGCTCGACCACTCTCGCTCTCGTCTCGTCTTCGTCCCGTATCACTGGATCAACCTCACCCCTTGTCACCCTCGAGATGAATGATAGTCCCATCTGAATAATCCTCTTGTTGCCCGTGCTCCTCGACCCTTCCGACCGCATTTCCAATGCATGCCATCTCCCACTCTCTCACCCATCGCGGGTCGAGTGCGTCCCGCACTCGCTCTCGATGGCAGCCGTATTCTTCCGTCCCCTCCTCGCGGTCTCCATCGAGTGCATGCCTCAATACCCCTGCTACAACTGTATCAACACCCCCCTCAACTCAAACCTCTTCGTCTGGCGAATCAGATCTTCTCAAGTCTTCCTCAGCCCTACCCCTCTCACAGAAGGACGGAACACCGCGCGATGTGCAGAAATCGAGATGTGTGAACGGTTTAGTCGGTGCGGCACTGCTCTCTCCATTTCCTTTGTGGCGCGTCAGTCTCACTTTTCAATCAAGATCTGGCTGTCAAGTCTTTATGCGAGATATGGCATCCCCATGACATACCCGCTGTTTTCTCGGCACCCACTCGAACAATCGTCCCTGCACCTATCGCGAGCAGTTCCGTATCCCTTCCGTCCACGCATCAGACTAATATACACCTCTTCCATCCTCGATACTCCCAACTCCCTTCGCCAGTCTCTCCTGGGTGCCCCTTACCATCTCCATCCACACCTTTCTCCACAACATCACAATACTCCGACAACGTGACCGACAATTCTTCCACCTCCTCATCTTCCACCCCCTCATCCTCCACCTCCTCCAAACCAACTCGAAGTAATGTAGTTCCGCTGAAGGGTTTCGTGCACGAGGTCCTGCGTAGATCCAGGACCTCGTGCAGCGTTCTTCAAACAGCTCTATGCTACCTCGAAGCCATACGCTGCAAGGTACCCAACATCATCCAGCAAGAGAAGCTGGGCAACGGCGTGCGAGGCGAACCGGATCAGAGTTTTCGCATCATCCAGGCCGATGAATCTGAGGCGAACTTTGTAGATGAGGCTATGACAGACGACCTCATCGGAACCTCGTACTCTGCTGACTCGGATAGCTCGTGCGGGTCAGTCGAACCTACTGTTCGTATCATGGACACTAGTCTTCCCCCGACTCCTTCGTTCTGTTCAACCTCACAACCGGAAGTCGTGACCTCACTGAGGCGACCTGGACCTTCTGCGGAACTGCCGCCGTTACCGCCATTGCCATCGCCCCTTCTCTGTCCTCGCCGTTCGTTCCTGGCGGCTCTCATCCTCGCATCGAAGTTTACGCAGGACAAGTGCTACTCTAACCGTGCCTGGGCGAAGCTCGCTGGACTTCCTGCGCGCGAGATTGGGAGATGCGAGCGGGCTCTTGGCGAGGCCTTGGAGTGGCGTCTATGGGTTGGCAAGCTGCCTTGTCCCCGTGGTCCCGTATCTCGTAGTAGAAGCCATGGCGCACTGCTTATGTCTGGCTCTTCATCGTTCGCAGAGGCTCTGAATCTGGGTAGCACGCCCGGCTATTCGATGCTTCCGCCTTCGACACTGCGTCGCTCTAGCACGCTCCCCGCGAGTGCTTTTGCCTCTACTCTATCTCGAGATGCCTCCGCCCTTTCCCTCCGTTTCCCGCAGCCGCCACTTGAGATGGCGATGGTTCCTCAGACCCTCTCTTTAGATTCGCATCTTGCTACACAATTCGCGCCCATGCCTGCGCCGCCGATGACAACATGGTCTCATGGAGAGGCCGGCACAGATATCTCTTACTCCGCATCCTATCCTGCACCGCTTTCGGACGCTTCCTCGACACCAATGCTGAGTGTGTCGCCGACGTCGACCGTCTCGTCTCAGGACAGTCTGTACGAGGAGAGGACGATCAACATGGCGAGTTTCGTCGATGTTGCCTCGCCGTTGGCGATGAAGGTCGATCCTTCCATCCCAGCGAGGCCGTCTGGATACGCGTTTGCATACCCGGGTGAATGGCCGTCTACGGCTGGGGAATACATGAGCGAGGGAGGGATCAGTGGTTCTTGGGACGGTGTGGGATATTCTTTACGCGAAGATCTTCGTTGCTAACATCTCGCTGTCTCCCGCGTTAATTTTTTTTTGTCCCAATATCGTCTCTAGCGCTCGACTCTTATCTATTTTCTTGACTCCCTTGTACTCACTGTAACACTGTACATAGAATTTGGCAGGCTTTATTCTTCTCTCCACAGTCTGTTCATGCGGTCCTCATTGTTATCTTCTTTTGCAACCTGTTGGTCTACGTCTTTCTTCCGTGCCTGCGATCTTAAGGCTCCTCCCATCCGGTTCGCTTCGATGGACGACCTCGGTGCTGCTTAATTATGCCTACAACGCACGTATGATCTATTCTTTCTTGTTGTCCTGTTCCATGTTGCGCGGTTTCTGAGAGTGATATTGTCTGCACGCATACAGTTCCGCGGCCGACCATATCGTCGACATTTTACGGGACCCGACCGCACGTACGCAGTGACCGCGGAGCCGTCGTGCGCATCAAACTCTTCGAGCGACTTCTGCGGAGGTCTTCAGCGTGCACTACCGCGGAGGCGCGGGTTCGGGCTACGTCGTAAACGTTCTCGCCGGAATGCGACATCATCGTTCGTTCACCATCCGTACATGTGAACAGGCTCGGGAACCGTCAAGGGCTAAATTCTTGCACCCCATGTGAGTAGCTACTCGTGCCGTTGCTGTTATAGAAACTATGATGAACTTTCTGTAGTCACTAGTCACTGTCAGGGCGGATCATATTCGAACGCACGCCAGCCTAACATGTGCTGCGCTTCAGGACCCTGAGGCCTAAGTGCCTACCAAGTATCATATACGTCGGCGTCAAGTCAAGGGCTAGACTGGACAGACGCGCGCGTCGCTCGGTTGTCTCGCTTCTAATACAACAGATCGTTTTGCATCCTTCTTTCATTCTCTTGCACTTTTCTCCCGCTCATTGCCTTTCAGCTAAGTAGTGTCCTTGGATTCCGCACTCTCCCCGCAATATTTGAAACGGAGTCACACATCTGTCAAACGTCCCACTGCCAATACAGTGTGTAATCACTCGAGTGCCTCACGCGGAATTCGATGGTATCGATATGAACCGGATCCTCCCAGCCCGCGCCACCGCTTCGCGGACGGACAGCGTATCATCCAACAGCGCAACTCGCTCGCAGGATAAACGCAGGGTGATATCTGTATACTTAGTATCACAATTCAGTTTCGAGACGCTGATGTCTCATCAGGGAAAGCTCTAGAGATCTCCAAGGTTCACGTTCAGGACGCTCCGGACTGGCACAGACCTTGACGGCACCGCTCTGTGCTCTTGAAGGTCTCTTCCGAGGATGCGCATGACGCGGGCACTTGTCCGGCACTCACGCTGACATCGGCTCGATGTGATTTTTTTGGTGGCCAGCGCAGCCCTAGTTTCCTCTACCAATGACGCCCTCCAAAATTAACGCTGCGGTGTCCCGATTCTGGACCTGTGCAGGACTATATACGAACAACCAGCTTCTTGGAACTTTCCTTCGCAGCTCCCTCTGGGCATCCCTTTGGTAGCTCTCCAGGCCTTATCCGATACACCACGAAGCGCCCACTTATGGTCTGGAGCACCGATATGTACCTCCCGTTCGGAATTCTTTCTCAGAAGATAGAAGGATATGATAGATGTGACTCACTGTTCCGAGTTGACTCGTCTGTGGCTACGCTGGCTGAAACCGAAATTGTTACGCTGAGGGAGACAGCAAAGATCTCTACATTCATTGCCGTATCATGACGATCAACCGAGCGTCCGCCGGGAGCCGGTGTTTTGATCGTGTCAGAAGACTGACTTGTTCTCATACGATACGAACTGAACTGATGACACTCGGCCATGAATAGAAGACGTACATTCATACTCATATCAGGATAAGTATACACGGGACCATTACTCGTCACACGTTCGTTCTGCCAAACTTCCTTATATGACCTCCCATACATAACTTTCTTTAGATCTGTCCATCTTATCCAACATTATTGGGTATCATGACGCGTCTGTCCGTCTACTCGTTGAAGAACTTCAAGGGGGTCTCGGCTATCTGGACGGCCTGCCAGGTCGTCGGGTGTCCGTCTGCGTCCTTGTGACCTTCGTCCGTGAAGAGCGAGTGAAATTTGACATCTTCCGTTCCCTGGAACGCACAGGCGTGGTCAATCGAATCATTTTCGCTGCCAAGTAGATAAGCTTGTGAGCTAGGAAATAGACGCACTCTATTCGGCGGGTCGTGGATGCTGTACCGGGTGGTATTCATGAATCATCAAGATCGGAGGTACAAGTCGCATAGCAAGCGACGCACCGAACGTGAACGAAACCTTCTCCGAGGTCATCCTTGACCGCAGGGATCCTGATCTTCCCTAGGATGATGGTGCCGTAGCTGGTGGGTGCACTACGGACTTGAACGAGGTCGCTGCTGAGATCAAAGCCTACGAGCTCTGAATCGGAGAGAGATGACACGCGAGACCACATCTTGGGCTCGTGTTTGTCCCAATCGTGGCGAGATTTGACGATGGCGGCCTTGATGTCGTGGAGGACAGTGTGGAAGGCCTCGATCGCGTTCGTATGAGGGGCATGCGCTTCGTTGAAAACAAGTTCTTCTTCGGATGCTGTATATTTTCAGGAAATCAGCTGTTTTCCGACAAGGCACTATAGAAAGAGTCACCCATTGTGTATGCACTGTGAGCGATGGCGGGACGGAGGGCTGCACGGCGGGGCGATAATCAGTTTAGCGGTGGTTGCCTAAACGGGAACTGCTCTTTTCAAAGCACAGGCCAGGTTGTCGACGCCGTTCGGATTGAGCTCGTAACCTGTGGATGTCTCAGCAACAATCCGCTGCAAAGCCTTCGCTCCAGGGGGTCAGAATTAAAGCTAGGAAAGGTGCTGTAAAAGCCCAGGCAAAGCACGAACCCACAGGCAAGTCTTTTGACTGATTTCACCCTCTTTCCCAATCCGTTTCTGATACTCCTTTGTAGTCTTCCGAGACCAAGTATACAAGCACCTCGAGGCCGTACCTCAAGGAGACTTCGACGCCGTCGCAAACAAGCTCGTCCAAGCAGGATCTACCCTCGAATTTTTGAAATATGCTGATGCTCTCTTCGATATCCTCATCGTCGGCGGTTTGCTGCAGCCAGGTGGAAACTACCTCGATGAGGATCGCGCTACATCTCCATTCTCCATCTTCCAGGCGAAAGAGCCGCCTCAACTCGACGACATAAAGAACTACGTGGAGGTTTTCAACAAACTCATCAGAAGGTGCGTCTCGTCGCATGATGTCGTATGACCACACAACGCTCATGTATACGCGTGGACGCATAGGTACAAGTACCTACAGAAGCCCCTCGAGACCACCTCTCTACCCACCCTTCTTCAGTATGTGAATCGCTGGGATCCCGTTCAGAAGGAAAAGTTCGCTATGGCTACAGGCCTTCTCATGGCCCAAGGCCTTGCTGGCGCCGCTTGCCTTCTGAGCTTGACGAAAGACCAGCTTGTCAAGAACGGTGTGTTTTTTCTTGCCAGTCACCTGCATCTATGCATTTCTCAATTTTTTTTCCTGCGCGTAGACATTGCGGTCAACATCCTGACGCTCATATTCCGCGCATACCTCGCGGAACAGTCAATGGAGTCGCTCGCTGGAATACTCAAGCGCGGCGGTATTAAGGACCTCTCCGCCTTTTTCCCTCCTAATCGCCGAGATGACAAGGTTCTTGACGAGCATTTCCGCAAAGAGGGACTCCCACAGGTTGCAGATTGGTGGACCAAGAAGCAGAACGCCCTGATCAAAGAAGACATCACCAATGTCGTGCGCGAGAGTCTCGAGCACGAGGAGGCACCTTCCAACGTTAGTTTGTTAATCATTTACGGAGCATCATGTCATCGCTCACGGTTGTGTTGCCGCCGCTAGATTGTCTCAGCAATTAAGAATGTCATCGAGGAGAGGCCCCTGCCTGAAGCTGAGCTCATAGCTTGCCTCTGGCAAGGTCTGATGGCTGGCGTTGACTGGAGCGCTCGCGCCGATCAGATCGAAGGCCTCGCTCTTCGCGAAGTGACCGTGCGTCCTGCTCTTTCTTCGCCGTACCATCAACTGTACTGATTGACTATCCTTTGCTCAGAAATATGCACCTATTCTTGACCCTTTCTGCAACAACGCAAAGACCGAAGTCGCATTGATCAATACCGTACAAGTGTACTGTTACGAAGACACGCGCATCATGAAAGCATTCCCACAAATTCTGAAGGTCCGCGCTTAAATTCACCAATGTGCAAATCGTCGTAAAATGCTGACGATGACTTGATTCATTTCCGTAGGTTCTGTATAACAAAGATTGTATCTCTGATCAGGCTATCATATACTGGCATCAGAAGGGCTCCAAGGCTCAGGGTCGCCAGCACTTCCTCAAGAGTACCGAGACACTCGTCAAGGTCCGTTCCTTCCCATGTTGGCCGTACGTGTGGCTGATTTTCGTGATCCCTGTTGCAGTTCCTGCAAGAACAGGAAGACGACAGCGATGAGGACGAGGAATAGACATTGTTTTACTTCTTGCTTGCTACTTCCAGGGCGTTAAGGTGTATTCTTTTACGGTCACAGGATTGAGTTTAAGGGGACACCGGTAACGGTTGGAGTTGATAGTAGTGTATTTGAAGAGCCTTGAAGTACTGAAACCCAAGACGCGATATGTATTTCGATCGCAGGCGAATGTGCCTCGATACACGAACTTCAGTGTCGTGTGCGACTGACAATAGATCAATTAGAGACCCAGGCGTCAGCTTGAGCGCTTGAGCTGGCTTTTGAGGCTTTCCAATTCCTTATGATATCCGGTTCTGGGTTCGCGCCAATTGTTCTTCTAGACAATCTGTATGTTCTTCTAGACGATCTGTATCTACTTCCGTATTTAAGTCGAGCATAGCTTGAGGCCGGTGATACATTCTCCAACAGCTTCTGACTTTACGAGCGCAGACTATTCCGATCTGAAATCCAAACTTTCTCGTCGTGTCTGGTGAGAACGATGCTCATGAAGTGATGGCATGGTATATTTCAATGTAACGTGCTCATCTCAAAACGCATTCTGAAACAATCTAAGATAGGCGAAGGCCTGGTTTTGTTCTGGCGTACCGCGAGCACGGCGAGGGGAGCCTTCGCTGCTGGAATCAGCTTGAACCTACATAGACCGGCGCACGCCAAGAGGTTGGAAGTCCATGTATTAAATACAACATACGAATACCCGTATGGCGGCACTCTCGGTAGTAGTACAAAGAAAATACGTCGAACAACAAGACGCGAGGGTAAGCCACTTGCTAAGCGATAAAACCAACAGTGAATAGAGGGCGCGGGTAGCTATAAGGGCGAAGAATAAATAAAAGGCAAGAAACGTTGAAGTCAGTGCAATGTCTCAAACCACAACGAAACGTGCCTTTGTGTAAACCAAAACTCGCTGTAAACGTAACCCGTATCCAGAAACCGAACAATCTACCAAGCCTCGGGCATGGGCGCAAAGTTGCCAGGCCACCCGCTCGTGCGATTCAAATTCATGAAGATGCCATCTGAGCCGTTCACAGGCAATCCAAGATCCGTCAGACTCTGCAACCACGAATTACACGCACAGACACACAAAGAGAAAGGGAGAAGAGCGAGGAAGAGAGCGGGGAAGAGAGCGAGGGAGAGAGAAATTTCAGCACGCACCACACGGAAGCACAGAAACCGGACGGAAACGCACCTGCTCCTGAAGCCAGAGCGGGATATCGGAGGGGCTGAAATTCGCAGGGCTGCCATGTCCTTGGTTGGACCAGGGGAATCCGAGCTCTTCGAGCGTGAAGGGCGGCTGGACGCCGGTCGGATCGATAAAAGACGGCGGCGGAAGTACCATCGATTCTGTCTGGTGGGGACCAGGGCCCATGCTCGGGATAGGTGTGGTGGTGCCCGTGGTGAGCCCGACTTTGCGCCGCAGGTTGACGAGCATGATGCGCAGGGTGAGGGCATACCTAGCGATATCATAGCGAAAACAGTTCAGTGCCATGTACCGAGTATTAAGATTTAACACAATTGTTTACCGCTCAGCTGCGACTTCGGAGAGCAGTTGCGCGAGCTGCTCAACTTGCGCGGTGATCGCACCAAGGTCGAGTTCCGACGGGAATAGGTTTGCCATCTTGAGAAGAAAGAGCCCTGAGAACGCCGCGGTGACTAGGCTGTCGTGGACTGCGTAGCGAAGGGCGGCACTGCGCATGCAAGCAGTCGGTTAGGCGTGCACTGTGTAAGGTCGATAATGCATATACCGATATTCTGAAGAGTTTAGGAATGTTGAGAGGCAGTTCGTGGCAGCGTCTTTTGCCTGGAACGCCAGCTCCCGCTGTTCGAAGGGCATCTTGTCCCATGACACGCCGCGCAATGCAACGCAGACGAGCCAAAGCTTGGCATAGTGCAGCTCACCAGCGAGAATCTTTCTCAGTAGAGAATCGCCGTCCATGGTTTGTTCTACATGACAGCTTCAGCGTCACCTCGGACATAGTGTGACCACAATAGAGAGGATACGGACGGTGTAACTCATCGCTTTCGTGCCACCACTTATCCAGCGCTACATTGGCACGACGTATGAACGCCAGCGTATTGTGGTTGACCTGTCCGTCCATGGGGGACAGGGTCTCGTATATTTGGGCTGCGATTGAATCCGTAAGGCCGGTGCGTCATTGACGATGTCACAAAAATTCTATCAGACGACTCACTCTTCTGCGCGATAAGCTCGACCAGCGCGACCAGCCGAACGTCAGTGGGAGACGCCATGGGATGTCTCAAGAGGACACGGCAGTGTCTGATCGAGTTCTCATCGCGAAGAACAATAGGCCGGCCAGTTCCAAGGCTCATCCTATCGCGCGAACGATAGTCGGCTGTTATTCGGTAAAAGGGACAAGTAGTGGTCGAACATACTGGTGGTCAAACCAATACAAGCACAGCCAGATTCTAGACGAGACTACCAAGTCCCTCTCTTCTTCTTCGGAACGTTTTTTGCCTCCATCATCCGCCAATTTCTCGAGCGCACGATGCAGCCCCAAGTCGAGGGCCATGCGCATAGCATGACCGCTGGGTAACCAGCCATTCGTGCTCCATGCGGCCAACAGCAGCATTCCTAGGATTTCCACCGCTGATAAGCTCATATAGAATAGACTATATATGTTAGGGTAGAGTACCTTGGACAGCCTCTTTCCGGACGACGGGGCCAAAGAGCGAGGAGCGGGCTATGCCCTGTGCTTCTTCCAAGGCTGTATAGAACGTTGGCCCAGGAGGATTGTTACCACTCCTGATTTTGCCTGCAACCGCGAGGATTGCGTCGAACGTCCATGGTGTGCGTTCCATGAGCCCTTCATATGTGTCATATGAAGGATCAAAGAGGGGGATGAAGAGATGACATCCAGAGAAAAAGCTGCCGTTACTTGGTGAGTGGCAGGTGCATGAATCGGGTGAAGAAGCTTACATATGGAACAACTCCCTTGCCTCGCTATCTGACACGAGACCCTTGGTAAAAGCAGATTCATCAACACGAGGCGACGCCGTATTTATGTTGACTGACCTTCTCAACAACGTGAGGGAATGCGTTGCGAGGTATGGGTTCAGCCCTCTTGCGCTTTTTGACTCTATGAGACCATGATGAGTTTGTGATAATTTTGGATATATTGGTAACTACCTCGGTGGAGAGAAGGAAGGTACGGCGGCGGCCTCTGCAGCAGCATTGGCGAGGCCTTGGAGAGCCTCGATCGGAGCGTTCAGAGTTGATCGGGGTAGAGTGTCTTCAGACTCGTCGTCTGATGATGGAGCCGTGCTCGGGACAATGCCGTAAGTTGCATACTTGTGAGGCTGGCAACGTGGACGTGAGGTGGCTATGACTAATGGGACTATGATTCAAACACGAACCGGAGGCGCGAACCCAGGAAGGGGGGGAAACGTTCGCTGACTGCTCACGCGCTGATCCGAGGACGGCATCGATTCGTAGGGATCGAGGCCAGTGCGTGTGCCAGAGATGTTCGTGACGTATCCTGGGCCATCACGGAGGCCAACGGGGTACTGGGGCGGTTGCATGACCCCCATGTTGGCCTGCGACTGACTCTGGATGGCGGCTAAAATGCGGTCGAGAGAAGATTGCATGCCTATCATTTGGCTTTGCATGACCTAGGCGAGCGTCTTCTGAGATAGGAACACCGGTGGAGGAAGAAAGAAGGACTGACGACGTATTGACCTTCGAGGCGAGATAGCCGCCTGTAGCCGCCAGCGAGGGATGAGCGGCGGGTGGGGGGCGAGGATGCGGGAGGCAAACTCACTCAACGCTAGCGTTTGACATTGCCTGCGCATTTTTTTTCTCGGGTTTCTCAAAGACGCATTGTGTTCCGCTCAGTTGGCAGCGACGACAAGGAGCCTGGAGCACAGAGGGGGGTGAGGCCGGGCCGGGCGGTTTGGGCGGGGCTGCGCGGGACGGGATTGGAAGACTGACCTCGCCTTCACACCTGTTCTTTCCCTTGCGACAGGCAGTGCAGGCCCGGGCCCCTCTCTTAGGTATGTGCATCGCGGTGGGCGTAAGGCCCGCCGAGGTGTCCTGGGGCGATTGGGCCATAGCGCCGTTTGCGGTGGAGATGGAGAGGCTAGTTCTTCGGCGCTTGGCGGGCACTTCTGAGCTGTTGGACACCGATGTGGCTGGTGACAAGGACATGGAGGAGCACGGCGGGGCCGTTGAGGGCGAAGAGGGGGGGACTGGCCAGTGGGAACTTTGAGAGCGGGGACAGGCTCGACGGCGTTTCGTTATTTGTCACTGCCGTATGCTCGAGGAATCACTTGACCCCGCAAAAGCCATCATTCCCTGCGAACATCGTCCACCGCGAACCCTCCCCCGCTTCTCTCTTACGTCCCTCGCCCCGTCTTGCTCGACACCTCCTCGCCATCAGATTCCCTCTCTTTGGCCTTTCCGTCCATCTGTGCCCGTCGTGCACCGCAATTGTGCGCATACACCCCATTGCTCACGCACCAGCTCGTCGTGATGCCGGGCGCAAGACACTCCCTCGCCTCTTCCTCTATGAAAGCTTCTTTTCCCTCGCTCACTGACACCCCCGCCCGAAACTTTACAGGCCATTTCCAGCCGGAACCGAAAGAAATCGGATGAACGGGTCGACTTTCCTTGTTCGCCACGCGAAAACCTTGTATCGATAATACCCTACCTTCGCTCTCCGTAAGGAGATCGCTGTTCTTTCGAACTGTCAGGCATCCTGTAATTTGTCATATCTAAACCCACCCCTGGCCCATTGAATCCGAAAACGCCAGGGTCACGCGGATGAAAACAAAATCGCCATGTCTCTTTCTCTCCAGTTGGCTCCCTTCGACCCCACCGCCCTGGCACCGACTTTGCCTCGACTCACTGAATATACATCTCTGAGTTCTCCGTGCTACTCTCTCTGAGTCCGGCTCGACGAACGGCCGCCAACCTCGTTAACGCATTGACTCATGAGGGTCACTTCCGATGTCTCTAATACATCTCAAGTCTTAGGATCGACCATCGCTGCAACGCTGCCGGCCTCCGAGATCAAGACACTCACGAGACCGATTCAATATAACGACATCATCGTCTCGTTGGAAACGCTTCAAAGCTTTCATTGTGCTCACCATCAGCCGACTTTCGGAATGTCAATGGACCTCCTGCCCCAGTATGTAATTTTCTCACCGCGACGGTGCCAATCCTCGGTGACAATCAATTGTTATACCGATTATTGATCTCACAGCCGTTTGAAGAACGCCAAGCCCTCTGCATGAGCTTCAGCATGGTTCAATGGCCTTTTAAGCCCGTGGATCTTTACCGTACCATTGTTCTGATGTTCGTAGACGATTGGCTTGGATGTCAGGTACTTGTTACCCTCATCAGATAATCATGAACGCGTTTGCGGCGCATAGTGTAGCTCAAGACGCGTCCCGTAGCGGTCACGCGTCGACTGGAGGGCGCAGCTGCCACCCCACATCTTTGACTCTTTACCCCTTTCATCTATATCTGCTTTCCAGACGTCAGGAATCATGACAAGCACAAATTCGGAAGAGAAACAGCCGAATTGGAAGTGTCAATCTCGCACGCTCAGGATTTGCCACTGGTGCACGAAGAACAAGGAGCCAGGGGTAAAGCCTCTTCAGGCCTGCTCACGATGCAAAGAGGTCGGAATCGCTCGTTCCTGCCCGCTGATGGACTGACAGTAGTGTGCGGAGTCACTCCCAAGTGATATACTGCGTCAGTAATAAACATGCTTTCAATGTGGGCCGTCATTCGTAACGGAAATACCGGTTTTTTTTAGAGAAAGCAGTGTCAGGTCGCTAGTTGGCCTTTCCACAAGGTAAGCCGCGCACACGGGAGTGTTGTTCATCCATTAGCCTCCTCAAACTGCAGCGCTCTATCTAGACTGCGTGCAAAGCCTCGGCGGAATTCAAGCAATCTGTGGCCGGGAGCCCAGAACTCGCGCAGAGCATCGGCATCTTCAAAAATGGTGCGGCACAGTCGCGCCTTTTGCGTCTCCTGACCACTTCTGCACCATATCCGCTCACATGCCCCCGTCTTGACCGCGCCCAGGCATGCCTCCCACGTTGACCTTCTGCGCCATGCGGCCGTCTGCGCACTCGACCTCGGCAACACGCCCGCGAACGCGGACACGAAGCTGCTTCTCATCCAGTTCGAGCTCAAGCTCAACCACGCGGAATTGCCCTATCAGGACAAATACTTTCCCGTCGGCGGGTTCGACCTCACCATGGAGGCCCGCTCGATGCTCGGCGGGATGCCGAACGGGATTCAGCTGCTCGAGCAGAGCAAGGAGAATCACGAGTACATGAAGAAGAAGGGTGAGCTCGGAATCGCGACGTTGTTGTTGATGGCGCATAAGATGGTCTATCTCACTAGAGTTGTGTTGCCTTCGCAAGAGACTGCACGAACCATGCAGAGCGTCGACGATTGGGGCAGGATTGGGCGAGTAATCATATGCTTAGTAGGACAACGAGACAATGTGTTGACCTTGCTTTGAACTGTCAGGTTAATACGCTTGCCCAGAGGCTGGAGATATCTATCACAGACAAGCAATCGCCTTCGAACCCCGCGCCCATGTCTAAGCCGTTGGGTCACATTTTTCTAAATGCTGCGGGTTGATGCTAACGGACGATAGCATGAGATTCTCACACATTTGTCAAGTTGCCGGCCGCCATAATCGATCAACTAGCTTTTACGCAGGGTCCACTGATTCGGGAAGTGTATGGTATGGCTACATACAAAAGCGCTCTTGTGAGTGTCGACCCCGTTTGAGGCGTCCCCGGAAAGCCTAACAGATATCCTCATAATCGTCACTGACCCCAAGGTACTTACGGACTTCCTCGGCCTCAACGCCGTTTTGTCTCGTGAAGTGTGCTAGCAAGATGCTGTAATTGTCTGCGCAGCAAGAGTAACAAACGAGATGGGCATCCCCCGTCGTGACTCACATCGAGTTCAATAGAAGGCTCACCTGTCCAGCGCACGGCAGCCTCCTTCGCCAACGTAACCGCCCTCTTCTTCTCTTCGACCTTGGTCGGATCGCACGCGCCGTATGCTTGCAGCTCCGTCTCCAGCTCGGCGGCTTGCTGCTTCAGAGCTGACAGCTTGGCCAGCGAAGACGTCCGCTCAGCCTGAATCGCGCATTTTGTGCTCAGTTCTCGCGCGTCAAGTCGGAGTATGCTCACGCTTTCGATTCTCGCGGCGTGCTCAGTCTTCATGTTCTCCTCCGTGTCCGCAATTTGCTTCTGATGATTCTTTTCGGCTTCCTTCGCCGCGTCGAGTCGGTTCTGCATCTACGGTCGAACGGGGGTCGCGTCTGAAATTCACAAAGGGATAAATAGGATGGGGGGACATACGATCGTCCCCCGCTGCGACGGGAAGCTCCAGAAGACTGCCGGTGATCGGACGGGTGCATATATGCGCATAGCTCCGTAAGCATCCCAACAAACCACACACCGTCGATGCGCCGCAGGGAGCCAGACGCACAATTGGATGAGCCGACTTTGTCTGTCTGCACCAGGCCGTCGTCCACGAGGGACTGCAGCACTTCTTTCACCGACTGCGAGACTGCCACCGGCTCGGATCAGCCCTGAACGCGTGCGGACTCGCGAGTCGGGCGGGACGTGCCTATGCCCTTCATCTTTGGCCCGAGCTTCTCCAGCTCCTTCAGCTGCGTGAAAGGTCAGTATGCTCGTTCGGGGCGGAACACCGTATCCAATGGGGATGGACCTGAAAGAAGTCTTTCTGGGTGAGCGGTCGGCGGCCCTCTGTTAGGATGTGTCTGATTGAGAATGCAAAGAGCCGTGGACTCACTGTCTCGTGAAAGATCTCCACAAGCTTCACCCTCTTTTCCTCAGCGGAGAGACCTCGAGGAGCCTGCAAGCGAGATGTTAGTTCAATGACCTCCACACGAGGGCCTCCGCAACTTCCCATTTTTTTCTGTCAAGCAAAGATCGCGCTGTTTGCGCTAGGCCGTGTGCAAAAGAGTCGTGGATGCGTGGAGTCTCAGGAGAAGATGACACCGCACGAGAGCGCGTCGAAGTCCTCGACGCGCCCAAACACGCGACCAGATCAATCCAGTCTCGTGACCGAGACCGAGGCCGAGATTGATTTCATCCATCGCGAGCCCACCCATATCGCGACGAAGTATGAATCCATGAATTATGCAGAGGCAAGTCTATGCAAAACAGCGGATTCTAGTGTATACAAGGTGCGAGGAAAGAGCGGAAGGCGCGACGACGGCGTCCGTCAAAGTGAGAGAGAGAAAGATGTGCGAGAAGGGATGAGGGGATGCATGTACCGACAAGTCCGGGATGAATTCAGGAGAAGAGAACGAGAGGGATGAGAGGAGCGAGGGAGAGACAGAGAAAAGGAGACGAGAAGGACTGGTAGGTGGTTGTGAACAGAGCGCGAGCGATTAGTCCTGGTGATAAAGCGAGAGGACCGACCCGTGGAGGGCAGGGTAATCAAGAACGTAAAGAAGGAACGAACGCCAGCCGAAGCTCAATCCACAACGCCAACAAAGCCCAATGAAGTGAAACCATAAATAAATAAACGACAGCAGAGGAGCAGACAGCCGTGGCAGACCCAGCGCTCGCAGATCACCGCAACAGATCGATGTTCTGGTCGTTCGACGGATACCGGTACGCGACGAACTCGGGCGCCTGGTCGACCAGTTGGTCGATGTTCTTCCGCGCCGGCGCCGACACCGACATCGACATCCGCGGGAAGGACGGCGGGCCACCGCTCGCGTGACCCGACCCAGAGCTGCCCATCTCGTTCATCAACGCCTCGTGCCGCGCCTCCGAGCCCGACGAGCGCGTGACCGGGAACTCGACGCCCAGGATCGCCTCCCGCTCGCGCTCCTTCTCCTGCTGCGCGTGGCTTGACTTCTTCCCCAGCAGCGTCGCGAACCCAAACTTGCTCCTCCTCTTCGCCGGGGTCTGCTGGTTGTGTTTTGAGCCATCCAACGGACCCATCGACCGGGCGGCCCCGAACTCGTTGTACGCCGCGTCCTGTCCCCGGTCGCCGACGTATGCGCCTCCACCGCCCGAGCCCCGCTTCTCGGGCACCGTCCGGTATGCCCCGCTCGGGTGCGAGTTCAGTCCGTTGAAGGACTGCCGCCTGTGGTCCACCTGATGGAACGGCGCCTGCGGCGCCAGCAGCCCGTGCGCCTGCTGTTCCGTGACCTGACGAGGGTCGTACGTGAACAGCGTCCGCGGCCTCGGCTCGAGCTGGGTTTGGATGTTGAGCCGCGAGGTCGACTCTCCAGGCAGCGGAGGGAGCGACTTCTCTCGCCACGCCATCGCCGACATGGGACGAATGTTCGCCATGGAAGGAAGTCGGGGCACGGGCGGCGCGAACGCTGGGTTCGTGAAGTTCAACGACGACCGCTGGCGCATATCCGGTTCGGACGTGACGGGGTGGACGTTTCGCGTGGACTGCGTCTGTGCCACAGGCTCTTCCTCGGGTACCGTTGAAGGATGCTCTACGTCCATGTCCAAGTGAACGCTGTTCTTTCGCCCGTCGCTTCCGGCTACATCGGAGGCGCCGAGCGGGCGAGAGGACGTGGGAGAGGGCAAGAGGCTGGATGGGGCAGTGGGAGGGGACAGACCAGGTGATGACAAAGGATAATTAGGGGACGCGGAAGAGGGGAGCGAAGGGGTGGAGACGTGCCGTAGGGCAGACCCGCCGTGTTCGCCGGAGCTGCGGTTGACGAGATAAGAGAGGGGTGGGGGAGGGGCTAGGGGGATGTCGTCGTCGTGCACGCGGTCGAGAGACCGTGAGCGGGACTGTGCATTACTGAGATGTGTGGTGTTCTTTGATGAAGTGCCAGTGACCAGCCTCCATATTTTCGCAATGCCAGACTTTTTCTTCTTTGGCTTTTCCTCAACTTTTTCCTCCACACCACGTTGCGGCGCCAGGACGGTGCTATGTCTCCATCCACGTAGCGAGGGTGCGTTGCTGCCAATATCTATATGCGAAGGATGTTGCCGGGCGTTTTCTCGTTGGAGTGCAACGCTGCAAAACGAGTATTAGCAGTGTGCCACGGAAAGAGCAAGGATAGAAAAATGACGCACTGCATGTCGACCATGCTCCCGGAGAAGCCCGAAGGTGCCAAGCTGTCCTGGCTCCTCCAGCCCGAGCTCAGGTTCCTCATCCCAAAGAACCTCGTCCTCCGGTTCGGCGACGACGCCCCGAGGCTCTGCACCTCGGTGATGGACGCCGTCGAATAACCCTGCGGTATCGACTGCGGTGCAAAATCCGTCAACGCACTCGGCGGGCGGTTCGAGAGTGACTGCGAGTAGCGGTTCGGCGAGATCCCGAGGTGGAACCCGCTGTCTGTGTGCGGCACGGGGCTGTTGACGGAGTATAGAGATGCGACGTCGATGCCCGACCCGCGAGAGGACTTGCGCGCGCGCCGCTTGCCCTCGCGGCGCTTCCGCTCGCGCTCCTCGCGCTCCTCCCGTTTCACGTCGACGTGCTCGACGATCATGCCATTCTCGAGCAGCGTGACCTCGCGAGAGTGAGCGTTGATCACGCCGCCGCTCATCAATGTCGACGAGCGCGGGGCTTTAATGCGCACACCACCTGTGTCGTCGACAGGCGCGGCGCTGCTGCCGAGATCGTACGCCGAGCGCCGCAGCTGCGAGTACGTGTCCCGCATGCGATCGTCTAGCTGCCGCGACTCCTGCATTGCGCGTGCATGGGCAAGGGCTTCGGCCTCAAGCAGCGTTCGCTGAGACTTGAGATACTTGTCCAAAGTCTGCCGCTTCGACGCCAGCTCCTTGGGGTTCTATCAAGCCCGCAAAGTTATTTCAGAGTTTATGTCGAGGGGAGGCGCGGTGGACGTACCAAGCTCAACCACAGCTTCAAGTTTGGCTCCGTCAACCGCCCGCCTCTCGCGCGCGGGCGATTCGGATTTTCGGGCGCGATGCCCTCCTCCTCCTCCTCGAGTTCCTTGTGCAGGAGCTCCTCGTACGCTGCGTCGCTGTCACGCTCCCAAATTCCTGGGCTCGTCACGTCCACGTCCGCCATGTCCTGGTCGCGCATCGCACACTCCACGCAGACCTCTTCCATTGGGTTCGGAGGGCTCGGCGAGAAGACAGGATTGATCGGGTTTGGTGCAGAAGCAGGGGTGATATAAGTGGGCTGTTGGGCGGGGGCGCGGAGCTTGGGAGAGACAGGAATGGCGATGGGCTTTGGGGTGGAATAGGAGGGGGAGGCCATGGCGGACGCAGCAAAGCCTGTTGCGCTCTGGCCGGCGGCTGTGCCTGTCGCTGGTCCGAGGGCGCCCGGGGAGAAATACGAGTGACGGGCGATTGGAGGGACGAGGGAGCTTTGCTGGGACTCGCGAGGCGGGGGCTGCCACGTTGTGCGCTGAGGTGCCTGGGTGGAGATCTGGGTCCTCTGCGGATTGGAGGCGATCGTGGAGGGCTGCTGCGAGGCCTGCGACTTTGAGTCGGCAGGTGGCTTGGTGTTGGCGTCGGTGGAGTCGGCGGAGGAGGGGAAGAGCTGGAAGCTGTCGGTGAGGCTGTAGTGTTCGACGGCGTGGGCGCGCAGAGGGACACCCTGGGGGTATAGAGAGCGGGGGCTCTCGCTCATCGGCCTTTGTTGCTCCTGCGTCGGATCGCTGGACACCCGTCGAGTGCTCTCCTGCGCCAACGATATGCCGGGTGCCGAGCTGCCTTCTTTGGATTGCGCATCGGGCTGTGGCTGAGAATCCAGGGTGGAGTGTTGGGCGTCGTCGGGGGTGATGTGCCTCGCAGGCGCGTAGGGATTGGGCGGGAGCGGTGACTGGGCATGTGTGGGAGTGGCAAGGGACGGATAGCGGGTGTCTTTGAGGTCGAGTTCTGTGATTGACAAGCCTCTGGGGAAACGGTCGTGGAGGTTTGGAGCAAGCATGGTGAGGGAGGCTCTGTTGAGAGAAGACGGGGGGTCAGAGGTAGGCGAATGCAGGGCCATCGCCATCATAAGAGAGGCGTGGGCAGGATGGAGCGAGCGAGGACGATATGGACAGCGAAAAAAGAAAGGGCGGGTGGGTCGAGCAGGGGCACGGGGACGGAGGTGCGGGGTGCTTGGGAGGCAGAGCTGGAAGCGTCGACGGGCTCGAGTCGTTGGTCGTCGACTCAAACTCGGCCATCACTTCCCCACCTTCCATTACGTAACATCCCCTGTCTCTTTCACGCTCTTGTCCTCCCCTCCGATCTCCCAACACACACACAAGTGGAATGTATAAAATGGCTAATATATACAATGCAATGCATCTCCAATCTACCGTGTCCCCTCCGCCGACTTCAGCTACTTGCGGTACCTGGACAGCGCCCAACGTCAGCCTTGAGACCGCCGATGATTGATTGCAGTCGATACTCACCACATCACATTCTTCCTGCTCCGTCTCATCTTGCGCTGCAGCTGGAGCATGCCGTACAGCAGGGCTTCCGCCGTGGGCGGGCATCCCGGCACGTAGATATCGACAGGGACGATGCCTGGGTCCCGTCCATCCATCAGCCATACAGCGTATCTGACAGTCATCAATATGCAACGCACGATCACATCCGCGGACGACCGAGTACGAGTAGTGGTAGTAGCCACCACCGTTGGCGCACGAACCCATCGAGATGACCCAGCCTAGGGACAACGGTCAATCACGGCAGCGCTCGTGTCGAAACGGACACACGCACGGGGCTCAGGCATCTGGTCGTACACCTTTCGCAGCGCAGGCGCCATCTTGTTCGTGAGGGTACCCGCGACGATCATGATGTCCGACTGGCGAGGACTGGCACGGAACACAACCCCAAGACGATCCTGGTCGTACCGGGCGGCAGCCATGTGCATCATCTCGACGGCGCAGCACGCCAAACCTACGTGAATGATTCCTGAGCGCGACCCAAAAGCACGTTCGAAATTCCGTACCGAAGGTCATAGGCCACATAGAGCCTTGACGCGCCCAGTTCACCACCTTGTCGATCGTGGACAACACGTATTCTGGATGAGAAACGTTTAGCTCGTGTCTAACGAAAGCGGCGTGAAGCAGACACCGACCAGCCTTGTTGTTCGGGGTCTCCAGGCTCAGCTGATTCGATCCTCGCTTCGCAATTTGCGTGATGGGCTCGGTCGCAGAAGTGGATGAGGTAGGAATGGGGCCCTCGACGGAAGGAGAGCGCGCAGGTAGTGTGGTGTGCAACAAGCGGAACGCTGCCCCGACTATCAGCCAGGAACGACCGCATAGCAGAATCGCAGACGTACCCGCAACGCCCACTGGGGGACGAAGAGCTGCTCGCCGGCCTGCGCTAGCAGCTGCGCCTAAAGCTCAGCAAATGACACCGACGACTTTGTGGGCCATACGAACCTGATATTTTGAGAAAAAGCAGGGACATGACGCCGATGGGAGAGGATGGAGGAGGACGGTTATTAGCGAGCTGGCGGATGTTACGTCCGAAAGAATTCCCTCGCCGATGATTGGCCGGCCGTGGGGCGGATCGCTGGTCACGTGCCCGGCTCTCCCCGAACGCTGCCCCGGACGGGACGGGCCGAGTCCATACTTGCTTTCCCTCCGGAGATCGCAGTGTTGGACACTTGTGCACTTCCAATGTCCACGGTGGCGGAATCGCATATGGTCTGCGGCGTCAACGACGTCAAGATGGGTTGCTCGGCCCAATTCTAAAGTCAAACACGGTAGGATCCCGCATCAGACCTCGCGGCATCGCAGCGTGAATCGTCGTTCGCTTCACCTGCCCTTTGGTCACTTTGGCTCCCTTGGGTCATGGAACTCGTCGACAGTGAGCTTCTGTTCTTGAACACTCCACTCACTTTCACAGGTCCCATGCTCGATCCAAGGGGAATGCTGGGCCTTCCGGTGCTCTGCCTGTGGTACTCTGGCACTGCGGCACATACACGGCCCAAAGCGGCACTTCCCACCTGTCAGACACGGGTTGCGTCAGGATGCACGTCCCGTCCCGCAGCTCTCCCAAATGCATAAACAATCGAAAACCTTCATTCTCCCGTCGTTTTATGAACCGCTCCTTTCAACCGGGCGTGCTCCCCTTGCCGCCGTCCCTCTGCGTCTCCTCCCCGCCAGTCTCCTCTCCTCTCCCCCCTCTTCCTCCATCCGCAACGCATGTCTCCTGTGTTCCCCTACGCCTTCCATTCCGCCGTGACACCCTCTTCTTGTCTCTCGCCGCCCCCATTGATGCCCTCAATGACCATGGACACTGGCGACTACTCGTCTGATGACAACGAACCGGAGGCGCTTTACACGCCGTTGCAAGAGCAGGGGTATTCCGATTTACAGGAGCGTTCTGGCCATAAACCAGATCAAGCCGACTCGCTCGCCCATCTCTCCAACGCGCGACACCTACCACAACACCTGCTGGAGGCTCACGATCCCCACGCGTCCGGTTCAAAATATCAGAATATCAATGTACCAGACATATCACGCGCCCTTTCTTCGTTTTCTCCTGTATTCCATCCATCGGTTCAAGACGATCCCTCTGGGAATCACAAGCATACCACTCTCCCTCCGAATCTTGACGTAGAACCCTCCAATTATACTCTCGCTTCCTTTGACGTTGCGTCAGGCTCAAATATGCCGGTCTCCGCTTCAAACATCTCGCATGCACCTCCACACATGCCGAACACACAGAGCTTGTACTTTCTCGCGGAACCCCCTGTGCCACCTCACGAACGCTCCTTGACGTCTCCTTCAGGAGTAACCAGCTCTCGGCCTCGGCTTTTTCGGCCCGCCGCCTTTGAACGCACATACCCAACTAAAGGTTGCTTGTACTCTCACCGATTCCCCGCTGAGCACCATTTGAATGCATCGTTCGTCCAATCCTATCTGCTTGGGGATGAGCTTGGCGCTGGCGGGTACGGGTTTGTCATGACAGCGCACCATCGCCTCCAGGACTGTGAGGTCGCCGTCAAGTTTATCATCAAATCGAAAGTGCCGGAGCATGCGTGGATGGAGGACAAACATGGCAATCGCGTACCTACCGAGGCCCTACTTCTTGGCTTGTTGGATCATCAGAACATCGTAGGGTGTATTGATTTGTTTGAAGATCCGTTGTATTTCTATTTGGTAAGTCTCAGTCCCGTTGTGTGACCTTTGGCGTTCACAGCGGGCCACCCTGATATACCTGTCCTTGATAGGTACAAGAGTTGCATGGCACGCCTTGGGTGTCGAGGCGTGTTGGCAAAGGCCCATGCGAGCAGGCTACTGCGCCGAGCACTTCACAGGCTATATCGAGTTCATCGGCGACCACGCCAGCCCTAACGCCCTCACCATCAGAAGATTCGGATGTTCACTTTCCTCCCACCACTCCCCCTAACCTCTCGATCGAGGTAGACGAAGTGCACGATGCTGAAACGTCGCAGTTTGACGAGTTCAGCATACAGTCGCAACAAAGCATGTGCTCGGTCGATGATCTCCTCTCCGTATCCTGCTCGTCACCCTCGCTCTTATCTCCGGCCCTCCCTCCCCGGCCACACTTCATCCGTCGACCCTCACACGACCTATTTGAGTGCATAGAGCAGTCGCAGCACAAACGCCTCACGGAAGTGCAAGCGCGGTACATCTTCGCCCAAGTCGTCGACGTCGTGCACTATCTCGATAGCCAAGGCGTGACGCACTGCGACATCAAGGACGAGAACATCCTCGTCGACGCGCGCTTGCGGGTCAAGCTCGTCGACTTTGGGAGCGCCGTCGTCGTCGACCCCGCGCTCCCCCGGCCGTTCTACACGCTCTTCTTCGGGACGACGGCGTACGCGGCGTCGGAGGTGCTGCTGAAGAAGCCCTATCAGGCGCCGCCCGCGGAAATATGGACGCTCGGCGTGCTCCTGTCGTACCTCCTCACCGGGGCATCGCCGTTCCCGACGGAGCAAGACGCGGTGAAGGGTTGCGTCGTGCTCAGCGAGGCGGCAGGTGCGTGCGTGAGCATGGCCGCGCGCGCGCTCATGCTGAGGTGCCTGAACCCGGATCCCGAGGCGCGCGCGGACATTAAGGAGGTGAGGGACCACGTGTGGCTGAGGGGCGCGTTCGACTATGAATGCGAGACTGGCGGTATTGACGATTGATGCGCGCATTGGCTCCTTTTTTTTTCTCATCCTCATTCAACTAAACCTGGAAGATCGCTCTGCGCTGGCCGCTGCCTTATCATGACCTGCACCCGCTTTACATAGTGGATGGTGGGCTCTCGTTCGGACTCCTGTATTCCATCGTGTTCCTCTTTTTTGTTCCTCCGCAAGGTTTTTTTTATCACTCATGGTATATGGTCTGTTTGACGCATCCCACGGATTCCCTTTGCATCATTCCATATGTATAGTACGACACCCCAGCATTCCAGCATATTGTGTTCTCGTAGCCCTTGATACTTTTGTATTAATTCATCGAAATGTATCTCCCTGTTTTATTTGTACACGACGCGTGAGTCATTGCATAGTATATATACTCCCATTTACGTTTACGAAGTGCTTTTGAGAAAGACGATTAAGAAGAGTCTGTTTCAGGAACTTCTCCTATATCCTCGAACCACAACTGTACGATCGTGCCTCGTTAGAGGAACGGTTGAGTTGCTCAAAGCGTTTTGGGCGCACCTCGGGTTTCTCTCGGATGAATCTGGCCATGAGCTCCTTGCATGTATCATCATCTTGAACGATCACCTCGACCCCGTGGCTGCGAAGGAGATCCTCGCTGCCTCGGAAGTTGGCGTTCTCGCCGATGACGACGCGCGGGATGCCATACAGCAGGATCGCGCCTGTGCACATGCTACACGGGCTGCCCTAGTCCTCAGAGCCTGCAAGCTACTCGCCGTCGCGTGCGCACGCTCACCTTAGGGTCGTATACTATCCCCTCGCGCACCAAGATGAGCTATCATTGCGGTCCTGCGGAGGCAAGGTGCGCCGCACTCACCAATGTGCAATTCTTGTACGCTAGGGCCTTGAGCCGCCCCGCGTTCTCCAGCGCCGAGATCTCCGCGTGGAGGGTCGGAGAGTCTCTCTGAACGCGCATGTTATGCCCCCTGCCTAATGGAGATGCGGTGACTGCTCGAGAGTCGGAGACGTCGAGGGTTTGGAAGAGGGCAGAGCCGATGGGGATGCCTCCCTCTGCGTAGCCGATCTGCGCTTCCTCGAGAGCGGCTCTGAGACCGTGGGCGTCCATTTGGTGCATGATTTATGGATGATGGTGATCGGACGCAACAAGTGATAAGGAAAGCCTTCCGGACCCCAGTGCTGGGTGAATTGCAGCTACTACACCTTCTATCTTGGGGCGCGAAACCGTCTCAGGTTCTGTTCGTCACCTTGCTCTGACCGCGCCCCAAACTGTGCAGTATCATGATTAGAACATCGACGGTTAACACGAATTGTCAATCATTTTATTGACTCGGAAGAAGTGGTACAGTGTCAGAGAACGGAAGCATCAGGCGCATTGTGGCGGCTATCGGCAACAAGCGTATCGGGAAACTCCGCTAGGGCGAACTCAATACTCCTAATTTCGTACCGCCGTCGCCGTCAACAACGCCCTCAAGAACAAGATGAAGTTCAACCCTGGTTAGTTCATGTCCCTAATCGCCGCTGGAGTTCTTTTCTGGACGTCTGGATCGAAAAAACCGCACCTTGAGGGGTGAATTATGGATGGATGGAGAAATGGCTGCGCGGATGACTATGGGGAATCCATGTTGGGTGGAATGCGAGTATCGAGTTGCTGGTGTGCTGATGATATTATTGTTCAATCCACATAGACGTCTCCTCCTCCCGGCGCAAGTCGCGCAAGGCGCACTTCTCTGCCCCTTCCTCCGTCCGCCGCAAGATCATGTCCTCCTCGCTCTCCAAGGAGCTCCGCACCAAACACAATGTTTGTTCCTCATAATTCCCCTCGCCAATTGCATGCTCACGATCATACTGTGTATCAGGCCCGCTCCATCCCTATCCGGAAAGACGACGAGGTCCGGATCGTTCGCGGCAAGTACAAGGGTCGTGAGGGCAAGGTTTCCCAGGTCTACAGGAAGAAGTGGGTTATCCACGTCGACCGTGTGCAGCGCGACAAGGCGAACGGTTCGAGCATCCCCATCGGCATCCACCCAAGCAATGTTGTCATTATCAACATCAAGCTTGACAAGGACCGGTTCGCATATTATTTAGCTCGCGGCCCGAGCGGATTCTGATCCCACTTGTCTTGCAGGCGAGCAATCTTGGAGCGCAAGGATCGCTCAAAGTCAACAAAGGCTGCTGCCGAGGATGTCGAGATGGCAGAGGTGAGTCTAATTATCGTACAGACGATTACTTGCTGAGCAGGTATGAATATGACATAGTAAACCATTCTTTGGCGCCGCGTTGTCTTCATCCTTCCCTCCCCTTTCGCATGAGTACCCCAAAAGTTTTTCCATGTATCTATGCATACGGCCTCGCACATGATATGCCCCACGAGCAGCTTTCTGATGGAGATTAGACGGTCGCGTGTGCCAGTAAAACATCTTCCAACGGAGACGTTTTCGTGTAGGAGGGATTGAGTCGGAGGGCGTAAATCATAACACATGAGTGCAGCTGAGTACCATCGATATGCGGTGTGGCCTTCCAAGGTCCGGTTTTCTGCATTCGTTAATTCTGGGATGAAGTCTCATGTCTGCTACGACGGATAAAATTGTCAACGGACAACCACCCAATTTCCGATCCCTCCATTCTATCAGCATACACCATTCTATGCCATTTTTGCAAATATTGAAACCATGAAGAGAGTGAAGAGCGAACGGAGAGAATGCGAGAGAGTCAAAGAACGCCGTCCAGACACGAAGATGGCGCTGCCACAACAATTGAGCGGAGTCGCAAATTTGGCTGAGGCTGCTCTTCGACTCGACGGTCCTCTCAACTTCACTCCAGTTCTCCGTTACCCACCATCTTTTTTCTCTCACCAATGCTTGCCATGGAATCGCGAAAACGCCATAATTTAGAAGATCCAGGACCTCTACATCCAAAGAAACGTGCGCTGGCTAACGCTTTCGATTCTCCTGTTCACCTCAACGGCAATGTATCATCAACACCCACTCCCACCGCGGACGACGAACCAAAAGATCAGGATAGCCTTGAGGTGCGTTCCTACTCTCTTTACCTCTCGATCTTTGCCTTTTATCTTTCTCGAGTCGTGCTGGCCTTCTTCTGACACATGTTGGCACATTAGCAATTTCGCAAGGAGGCGATTTTTCGACGCATGCGGCACTATTCACGTGAGAACCAACGAAGCCAAGTGCGCATAGCAGAGCTGGAGCACAGAAAGACCTCGTACGAAGCCAGTCTTGCCGCGATAGAAGCGTGTTGGTCACAGGTGAATATGATGCTCTGTAGCGCGTTATCTATACGCTGAACGTCGAGGGTCACACCATAGCTAATCGACACGATTCGTTCTATATCTCCACCTGACAATGCTCTACCATTGAGCGAGAATAGTCACGGTTTGTCTTTCTCCTATACTTTTGTCCCTCTTACTCATTTCGCTAATGGTCAAGGTCTTAGACATCTTCGACCTTTCAAAGCAAGTCTCTTCCGATGCTGACCCACTTTTCGTTGAGGCACTCGAGAAGAAGGCGGAAGTCACACGTCAGCTGATCGCAGAGTTCGTACGGATGAGCGGGACCGTTCTGTCCCACGATGAGATGTACGAAAAGTATCAACAGTCACAGACAGAGGTGAGATCTTCACACCGGGTTATCTCCCTAGCGTTGACCGCAGCTTGTAGTGTTCCGCTCTTCGTTCAGAACTTGCTCTCACCCGCTCACAGCTCGCCGACTCGGCATCACAGTGCGACAAATACCACCTGGACCTTGTGACTGCCGAGAGCCGCCTCGATCGACTGCGAAGCCGGACCGTGCGTGCTGTCGAAAGACAAGCCTCGTCGCCCGCTGGAGTTGTCGAAGAAGTGGCAGTCGAAGAAGTGACCGAGGAAGTGGAGGGAGGAGAGAGCAGCGACATGGAGCCTAAGACGGGAGAAGATGGTGAGCCGAAGTCGGATGCGAAAGAGCAGCCGTCCCCTCCTTCAGTGAGTGGTCTGGTCAACCATTGGTGGGCGTTGCGAGTAACTTCTGATCCCTTGATTTGTCCGTCTAATTGCGCTCTAGGAGGTGTTTATTCCTAACGGAGTCACCATGCCTACGCTGGAGGGTTGGCAACAGTTGGCTGAGTTCCGTGAATCGGTAGTCCTCAACCTGCGCAAGGAAAATATCGGGTTGCAAGAAGATATTCGGAAGATGAGAGCGGAGGTAGGCGATCACTTGTCCGCAACATTCATGTCTGACCTCGTTTTTCTAGGCAATGGTTTTGGGAGAAAATATAGTGTCTAACTCCCATGTTTATCAGGCTCTTCGCACCTCTGCTTCCCAATTAGAGCTCATCAATCGAGAGTTGCGCGAGAAAATCCAGCAAGGCCAAAAACGGGAGGCCGACCTGCTCCAAAATCGCAGTCAATGGGAGGAAGAAGTGACTGTAGGTTTCGCGCCTGATTTCATCATCTTTCTCAATCTCATAGCTGCGCAGGCGAATCTGGAGCGGACGAAGGAAGATCTTCGTAACATGCTGGTGAGGCGTGACATTGAAAATGCAAGACTGCGCGAGCAGCGGGACCAAGCCGCTGCCGACGTACATGAGCGCAAGCAGAAGGAGCATTTTAGGCGACAGGCCCTTCAAGAATGCGAAGCGCTTGCTCAATCTCGTTCAGCAAGTTGACCGTTCCATCCTTCGCGTGGAACTAAAGCTCATACATGCGTTACCTGTAGGAACGACTGGCAGTGCTGCAATCTGAGGTCTCTCGACTCAAAGCTCTCATTGCAGCGCGGGCAGGGGACGCGGATCTCGCGGATTTCCTTTCCCAAGAGAAGGGTGAAGATATTACCTACGTCGACGATCTCAAGAAGCGACTGGAGTGCGTCTCAATCGTTATGTACGCCTGTATTAACGTTGATCAGATTTTTTTACGTTCTCAAGAGAGTCGAAGATTCGGGCCATGGCACTGGAAGAATCCCTCAGCCGCTGTCAGGGGGAGAATATCGAGGTCGCGCAGCATATACGGCGTGAAGCAGAGACGCGGGAGCAGCTAGCAGCAACGAAAAAGCTTCTCCAGCAGTATCAGTCAATATACGGCGAGTCCTCCAGCTTACCGCCGGAGATCACACATCTCTCAGAGCAGCTGAGAATTAAAGAAGAGGAAGTGACTCGATTGAGACTCCAGGAGACTCAGCGAGCCCAAGCAGAGGCACCGTTGTATGCGGAGCTGGATAAGCTATCCGCTGCATGGGAACAGCTGGATCGGCAGGTGAAGAGCAAAGTCTTTGACTTGACGGCCGCGGAAGATCGGATGGAGAAGGTCACCTTGGAGGTATGGAGATTCTTATTTGACGCGACTGTTGATCACGATCTTTCTTGCCATACAGAAAGCGAAGTCGGAGAACAAGTTCTATGCCGCGATGCGTGAAAAGGACGCTCTCGTCGCAGAGTCGAAGAACATGGCGCGGGTCATCGAGAAGCAAAGCAAGCTGGTGGAAAAGTTGACTAATTCAGAAAAAGAGCTCAATAAGGAGATAGTGAGTAACACATCATTCTGAATGCATTTGTACCACTGACTTGTTATGAAGATACACCTATTGCAAGAGCAAGCAACACGAAAGTTGACACTTGAGACTTGGCAAGTTACCTTCCAAGAAAATGAACGCATGATACAACTATGGCATGCGCGTGCAGAAGAAAAACACCTCCTAGTCTCTCAGGTATGTCACACACTCCATAGTATCTTTATTTTGTTTTTTTATTAGGACCTCCTCCTTTGTCGTAGATCAATAAGGTTTCCAAGACTCGAGAAGAGAGGTATGAGTTGACCAGGGAAGAACTGCGTACTGCCAATGAGCGGCTGCTGAAGGCTGAACTAGCGCTTGCCAGCTCAAAGGCTAAGCCGCTGACCGTTTCACAGAAGGAAGCAGCTTTGACGAAAGAAGTGGAGAATTGCATGGTACGTTGTAATTTAAGTCTGTCGTCGATTTCTTTAATCCGTCGAACACGATCACAGAAAATCCTCAAGTGTTCGATATGTCATTCGCACATGCGAGATACGGTTATCACAAAGTGCATGCATTCGTTCTGCAAATCGTGTGTTGATGATCGCATCTCGACACGACAGCGCAAATGCCCTGCATGTAATCTACAATTTGCCCAGTCGGAAGTGCAGCCGCTATATTTTCAGTAACCTTTCGCTCGATCTCTGTTTCTGGCGGGTACTTGTTGGTACCCCTCGTTGTTTATTCCTTCAGTTTGCGTTGAGTTGTTCTTTGTTGTTACTCTATACACCTGGTGCTCAGTTTGTTCCTTTCCCGTCCCAGTTGGTTTACACGCTCATGTTGATGTATCTCATCGTTCACTACAGTTGTTGCCGTGGCTTACCTGGCAGTGTCGTTCCTGCGATGATCATCGCTGCTCATCACTCTCACGCAGCGTTGAGCTTATTGGTTCTCATGACCTTCGCGGAAGCATGGTCAACACGATCAAGGGATGTTTAATCCCTCGAAGATGGCGTAAGTTGAGAGGAACATCCTATGAATTGAGCGAGCGCAAATAAATGATACTCCCATGATCCCAGAGTAAATTGCAGCCTTACTGTCAATGACCAGTTCAATCTTCTTGTATACCTTCTCTTACCAGAGATGCCTGGTTAGGTTGCGATGACATTAGGCAACTGCTTGAATATCTCTTCTACCTCCCATGCTCCTGCCCAGTACCGAACTTGACACTTGAGACCTTCCTTCTCGCCTTCCTTGGCAATGCGTTTTTCCAAGCCTCTATACTGACGGCAGAGGATCATATCTTGGCTGAAGATGGACATGCAAAGCGAGTCAGAACGCGTCATTGTATTAAAAGACACAGAACGGTACCTTCTCAGGCGGAGAATGGGGCAGAAATCGTTAGAGCCGTCGCCGACGTAAATTATCCGGTCGAAATCTGGTCGATGCCGCGCCAGGAATGCTTCAAGTTCGTCACCTGCAAGTATGAAATGTCAAACATCAAGATCGACCGTTGGCTGGTGCAACTGATGTGAGCGACCTTTGCACATGTTCGGGCTGCATCCGACTTTGCAGGAGTGCTGAGGGCCAGCGGGATCGACCCGGCGGCGAAGCTTGAGCAGGCCCGAAGGGTCCCATTCGGCGGGGTTGGTCACGATCTCAGTGAAGAGATCCTGAAGGCCCTTGGACTTCTCGCATACTCAGAAAGCAATTCGATAGGAGGATGGGATGATATGGCGCACCTGAAGAATAGTGGTGATGAAGACCGAGTTGGCGTTCGAGAGGCAGAAGAAGGTTGTAGCAGGCTTTGAAGCCGCCTTGACGGCCTTGACGCCGCGTACCATAGCAGGGTGCTTTGAAGGATCTATGTTTGAGCTTTGATGCAGGTGTAGACAGACAATTTTGCTCACGAAAGGCATGATCTTTAGCGCGCCTTCAATATCCTCCCTGGTCCCACCTCGTTCATGAAGCTCTCTTAGTGACTGAGCACTTTTGATAGAGATGAGAAATAGGATATGTGGAATACGTGACAGCCCTACATAAGATCTGTCCACTGAATTTCTTCCTTGAGTGTCTTCATCTTGCGACGAATGTCGGGAGCTAGGACCTCGAATATCCATCTATCCGTATCCTGATCAGCAAGAGACCTAGATGATGGTGGGTCTGGAGCGTGAGGTGATATTGTGGATGCAAAACTACCAGTCAAAGTCGAACACGATGAGCTGCCGTTCGATGTCTTTCGCCATTGTGGTCTAGTGAGAAACTGTGTCGGGATCCATAACGGGAAGGAGCACGGGCTTATCTAACAGAGTACGGACGCGTGGCGGCGCGAGCCACTCGAAAGCGTGAATGCCTCCCTCGACGCTCTGCTCAGCAAAGGCTTCCTACAAAAAATTGCCAGGCTTGCTCCAGCTCACTGCGTCGCACCTTCAATGGACTCAGGATGGAAAGAAGGCTCCATCAGTTCGCGTCGCTCATGTTGACGCCGCCTGTAAGCCTCCCCGCCATCTTCGCGTTCAACATTCAAACAATCACTCTTGCATTCTAGCTCTCTTCTCGAGCAAGGAGGGAGCCGCCCAAGTCAGGCTGAAGATCGGTCTTGTTGGTGATGATACAGGCCACAACTTCACCTTTACTTCTCCACAACCTGTCGCGCTTACGGAGCGCGAAGCTTTCAAACGCGAACTCACAACCATCATTGGGAGGAATCGTAGCATCCAGGACGCTGCCGCCCCCCAGGCGCCCGCTAGTGCATCTGTCACCCCTTCTGCAGTCTCCCTATCACGCCCAAAACTATTTCCGTCTTCTCACCCATCTAGTTCTCGCGCCGCGTCCGTGTCGAGTGACGCCCGTACTCCCGGGACTCCTATCAACGATCCTATCAACGATTTCCGTTTACGAAAGAAGGTCCTCGTGAATAATCCCGAACTTGCCGCGCTGCATCGCGAGCTGGTCATTACGGGCCAGATCACAGAAGCTGAGTTCTGGGATGGACGAGAAGTAATGTTGTTTGCTTTATCCTACATCATTGTGCAGTCTTTCATGCAACCGCTATTCTATATTAGCAACTTCTTCTCGCTCAAGCAGCGGCGGAGTCTCAGAAACGAGGGCGGCCTGGTCAGCTAGTCGACCCAAGACCGCAGACCGTAGACGGTGGCGAAATCAAGATCGTCGTCACGCCACAGTTGGTACACGACATTTTTGAAGAATACCCGGTTGTTGCCAAAGCCTATGACGAGAACGTTCCGAATAAAGTATATCTCCAGACTCTCATGCACTTCGCCAGCGATTTCTGACATGATGGTGCAGCTATCTGAGGCAGAGTTTTGGACACGATATTTCCAGTCGAAGCTTTTCAATTCTCACAGAGCATCCATCCGGTCAACAGCGACCCAGCATGTTGTCAAAGATGACCCCATTTTCGACAAATATCTGGAGAAACCAGATGATGGCACGTTCAGGACCTGCTCTGTAACATCGTCGTTGTGATGACACTTTACACAGAGTTGGAGCCTCGACGTCAGAGAGATGGTGATGTAGAGATGTTCCTAGATCTTGGGGCAACCAACGAAGATCATGGGGAGGTGGGCTTCCATTCTTGCCTTGTACCGGCGTCGAAGGCTTACTGTATCTGTAACAAAGGCTTGGAATGAGAAAGATATCACTATGCAAGCAGGAAAGCAAAGAGGTGCCCTGCCACTCATCCGAAAATTCAACGAGCATTCTGAGCGATTGCTCAAGTCAGCAATGTATACCTTCTCTCGACATCGCCTGCCAAGCATTTTCATATCTTTCGCAGGTCGGAAGGTCCTTCGGCAAAAAGAAGACGGATAGATTCTGCAGACGTCGCAGACGTGCGCACTCCTCCATCGTCCCATTCTCCATACTGTCATCTGATCCATGACCCAGCCTTGGAATTATTACTCACAAATAGATCTTCAAGACCTACACGATCCTAAAGCCTCAGCGGGTATCTTGTTAGAGATGAAAGACGGACACAGATACTTCGAGGGACGAACAGGAGTAACTAGTGCAGCTGAACAAGATGCACGGGCAGTAAGTCCATTTACACGACTTCCCGGTCTCGACGTGTGCGCATCAATTCCAGTCTGTAGACTTTTCAGCTGCTCTTCGAATGGCAAGGAACGATCTTCAAGAATGGAATAGGAACCTTGGGCAGGTCAGCACATCTCCGGAACGGAGAATCCATTCTGAGTTCACATCCCTGACACCGGGACACTTCTTGATTCAGTTGAAGATTGAGCGAAAATCAGGCGACGCAGCGCTGCTTTCAATGACTGAAAATGTAGCCACTCGTCTCGATGTTAAATCGCACAAAAGTAGTCCTTCTTTCTTTCGCCTTCTCTCAATGTGTTAAATACTGACTCGGCACAGACGACATCCCTGAAGACATTTTCAGTCAGATGCGCACCTGTCAAACGGCCGCCAACGAATTTCTACGACAATTTTGGTCCTCGATCTACCCGTCCGCGAACGAGCATCAGCTCGCGCCTGCTACGCCCGCACAGAAGAACGCCAAGGCCACGCGCATGGTGGGATACCTTGTCAAGACACCCCAAAAGGTCGACGCCATCGTGACTGCGGCCCACCGTGCAGGTGTAGATCGGAGCAAGATCACAGTCGTAAGCAGCACCTTCCGTCTCTGTCCTCGCGGGGCTGCATGGTGTCGGGCTGACGACGGCTGGCTGTTGGGGTCCTCAGGCGATGAAACCTGTGTTGGACGCCGTCGACAAGGCGCTGACATTCTGGAGCACACGCAAGGTCAAATGATGATGCATGGACTTCTCTTCGTTCGTTCTTCCAGCGAGTACGCATTGTTGACGTATCTTCATGCGCGAGGTTTTATGCCTATGCCTGCGATGACCTTAAAGTATATTACACACGTATCATCATATTTTGAAGAACACGGACTTTTGAAAGAAATGTTGCGCTTCGCCAAATATTCAGCACTTGCAATCGTCTAGTTCTCTACTTGCCAGTTATTCCAGTGAACAGTGCATCAATAAATATATTCCACAAGAGCAAGACAATGGATGTTAATATAGTGCATCATGAACCGTACGGTCCTGGCTGTCGTTGAAGCTGCTGTCCTGACGAGATAGTACATTCATAAGTCGTAAACATAACCAATGCATGCAATGCCACAGCGTAGAAAATGAAGGCATTGCGCGCCCGCCGATTGCCTAGGATCGACCGTGTGAGAACAAGTACGCCTCGCTCAAGTGGATTGAGATTCGAGTATGCCCGTGCCGCTTCCTATATCCAAGCGAAGCAAAGGAGATACCATCAGGGGAGGCTTCTTCGTGATACTGCACACGGACTTACCCGGCCACGGAACGCCTCGAACGGGTTCATTGACTCCTCGTATCGTGTCCGATATTTGGTCATTTCTGCCGCAGAGCTCGAAGGACCAGCGGGTAGAGGGTCAAGAGTCGAGTTCGTTGTGTTCTCGCGATACGACTGCATATATCTGACCTTCTCATACAGTTTGAGGTTGTCAGCTTGCAAGCTGCGAATCTCGGTGCGAAGCTCAGAGATAATCTGGAACTGACGACGCAGTTCCTATTCGGGGGGACTCGCTCAGCAAGAGCAGCATGGAAGAAGAGATGCCCGCCAAACATACCTCCTCAAGTTCAGCATTGCGCTGCCGGAAACGATCCCGCTGACTGGTGACAATGGGCAAAATGGATGTGTCTGCTGCTGACGTGAAGGGTATGGGAGTTGTCCGCACAAGGCCGTCCTACAAGAATTTAAAGCAAAGATTTGAGTACCTTCCCTCGAGTTCGGTTTAACTAAACACTGACGTCTGTGCCCTGCTTGTTCTTTCTCCTAAGGTCCAGCGTTGCAAGAAAATCTTCGTCACTGTCAGCATCTTCCAATGGTGTATGGGTACCATTGGCTTTTGCTTTCCCGTTCTGTTTATGACTTGGTTTGTGCTCATTGAGCTGAAGAAGGTCATCTTCGAGTCGCTCGTTCAATGTACGTTGCTTCTCAAGTTCAGACGTTGCCGAAGCAAGCTCTTCGCGAGCTTGTTGAAGCGAAGTCTCCAGTTCACCATGAAGAATCTGTTTGGATGTGTTCAAATATGTCAGCAGCAGGGAGTATAGGAACGCGACTGACTCGGAACTTTGTCAACTCTTCCAAAATTCGTTTGTTCTTCGTCGCAAGGAGGACTTCAAGTGAACCGGTCTGATGCGCGTTTGCCTTCGTAGCGTTGGGGTTCGGAAGCTGGAGGCCCAGCTGATTATCAGAGAATGGCCCTTCATCCTCATCGAAGTCTCCATCCAAGCCTGCGAATTCAACATACTTCGTGTAAGGAAGAGAAAGTCAGTGCTGAAAGGCATAAGTTCAGTTTGCACAAACCTTCATGATTTCAAGTTCGCGTTTGATCTCGTCATAGTCAGAGTATCCCTTGAGCACCTGCCGAAGTTGTTCAATCTCCACAACCTGTATGAATGAGGCAAGACTAAATTATGGATGCAAAGAAAGCGGAGGATGTGACTAACCTTGCCTTGGATATCCTTACTCTTTTCATCAAGGGATTTTCGAGCGGCAGCCTCTACTTCGGCAGCCAGCGTCTTCTGAGTACTTAGCAGATGGGAAAGCCGTTCAGTTTCTGCTTCAAGAGAGACAACTTGAGCCTTGAGAGCCTGGAAGCTGCAGATGATGCGGTCTATAAGTTGTTCAAGATGCTGAAAAACGAACTCTTACCCATCTGAAGTCTGATCTCCCGTCCTCAGAGATTCGATTTCAGCCCGCAGCAGCTCCTATGATGCCATACACAACACATCAGCCAACTCTCCCTCTCACAATACCAACTTACACACGTTCCGTCGTTCAACAGTCGCCACGCGCGTGTTTGCACGTTCTAAATCAGCCACGACCATATCAATTTCAGCTAGGTTAGTGAAAACTTCTTGGTCTGCACATAAGTTGTGAGCATATGATATGTATGGTAGAGAGGGCTAAGATAATTGACCTTGGCGTTGACTTTGGTCGAAAAGCTTGGCTTGGTTAGATTCGTTCGATGTACGTAAATCACGAAGTTGGTCTCGGACGAGGGAGACTTGACGCTGAAGATCTTGCTCCCTAAGTCATATCATAGTTGTCAATCAGCCTTCGTCGCGACTGCAAACGTATGTAGCAAGAATGCACCTTTCTTGATAATTCCTGATTTTCTCGTCGTAAGCGGCGTTGAGTTCACTCTCTTTTTGCACAACCTTCTCTTGAATCGCAACTTCCATCTATTCAAAGCCCGTTAGGAAGCAAAATCAAATCAAAACCAATGTGAGCAAGCAGATCTGATGTGACAGACCTTCTCCTCTAGTTGCCCTAGTTTCGTCTCAGCCCTTCTCTTTGCCGTCTCAATGCTAGCGAACTCGGCTATTCGCTTCTTCAGTTCCGCGTTCTCACTGCGGATGCGCTGCACCTCGTCTTCAAGATCTCGAGTCTCAGCAATCTTCACCGTTTGATCCTTTGACCCTCATAGACATGATTATCGTCAGGTAAAAGACACTGATGAGGAGACGCGACGTACGACGGCGGCTTCAAGTAGAGGGTAGGGGTCAGGAGCCTCCGCCAGCACTTTGTAGACATTGAGGAATGCGTTTTCCGCCGACTTCGACCGCTTTGTGAGACTGTCGATCTCGGTTTGGTAGGCTAAGACACAAAGGCTCCAGCAGCTGCGAACACGACCAGGGTCACTCTAACACGTACCCTTGAGCAAGCCTTTGAACGCATTGAGCTTCTCCTCGTCCGAGATCTTCTTAAACTCTAAGCTGTATATGTCAATCTAAGCACATATTGGTATGGTAGTGCTGGGAGCATACCCTTTGTTTTGTCTGCCAACGCCTTCCTGCCTACCACACTCTCCTTCTGATTCTCCACAAGCTCAATGCCCTGTGCATCTAGAGTCTTCTGTAACTCAGAAAGACCAATACCTGTGAAGACATTATCAGTTCTATCTCTCTGTGTCAGTATTGATGACCATTCACCCTTCCATGTTGCCAAAGCGCCGGAGAAATTCGTTTCCTGGAAAGCCATGACGGGCCAGGCGCCGCAATGCACCACGTCAGTTCAATGATAGTCACGTGCTTGAAATGATATCCCAAACGGGAAAATCATGCTCAATATTATGTCTCGATTCATGTCAGAATATTCAAAATTCGTGCAAAAGAAACTGAGTGAAACATAGTCTTTTCCGGCGCTCGACTAACATCAACCTCCCAGATTTCTTTTTGGCCCACTGTATTCCTCTACGTCATCAAAGAAACGGTACTCCACCCACTGATAGATCACCTAGCGCTACTTAGCGAATGTAGCGGGAGTTAGCTCGCCAAAGCAACATCTTCACTGCATGTTCATCCCAAGGAAGGAGCGCTTTGATAGAATTGCCAAATAGCAATGAGCTCTGGCTCTTCGGTTTGAAGCTTGAAGCTTTAAGCATGACAACTTAATGTGTATATAGATTGCACATAGAGAGGCAATCTCGTGGCTCTATGCTCAGCTTGTCTTCGATATGACCATCATAGCCCCATCTGTCCTTACTGACTCCATTATCATGAATGCAAAGAGAGGATCTGCACCTGTACAAATCCTTCCTTTCCTGACTCTAGCTCGATGACTTCGCAGTCGGCCTTGTCGCCGTTGCCAATCTGTGTCTCCACGCATGCAAGATCCATTACCTGATTAAAGAACGAAAAAGTCATGAGTTTGTATAAGATTCGCTGATTGCTGAGTATATGAACAATACATACTCCATCCAACACGGTCATTGGCTGATCTGTTGCATTATGATTCAGTAGTGCCATTTCCCACAAGCGCAAGTACTTACGCCAAACCGCGGTGCCATAGACGATCCCTTGCCCTGAATGAGCAAGGAAAGCACGCATACTGTGGAGGTCTGGGCAGCCGTCCTCCCCGTTCTTCGCGACTACGACTAAGTAATGATTCGCATCACTACCGCCCAAAGGCAGGAACGCTTGATTGGTGTATGGATGGCGCTCCAGCGCCCTCACCTCCACCTCACCCCTGGGACCCTTGACTACGGGCTGGCATCTGTACACTGAGATGCCCGCTGTCGCGCCAAGCGCAGCGGAATAGGTGCTCTCGAGAAGAGCGAGTTTGTGGTACTTGGTCGCTGTACCGAAATTGGCGGGAGTGATTTTCGTTGTGCGTGGATTTGGAATAGAATGCGGATCGGGATATGACTGGATAACTTGACCGAAGGGTGCGAACGCCTCAGGAGTCAAGGGCAAAGCAGGGATGGAACGCCCCTTTGGTAGTTCATCGGTTGAGATTGGTATCGGAGCCTTTGATTCTTGAATGTCAAATGCAGCGTTTATAACTGGAACTTCGCCTGTTCCATCTCCTTTTTCTCCGATGATTCGCACCCGTTTGACGCCACCGTCAGGGAATATAGTGAGCCTCACATGTGTAAACTTTGGTTTTTCAACATTCTGTAATTGTAAGGAGTGCTCTCTGTGAGGCCCAAGGACTGTCCGAGGAAGTACCAGTGTCCACTGATCTTCAACAGATGTCGTTGCATTAACCTCGGAGACTGGAAAGCTGGAAAGTGGTGGCGCATGCGACGGGGAGTGGGGTGGAATGTCAGAGGTGCTAAATATAGCGTGCAATTCGCAGGATTGAGGAAAATTGCCCTTGAAATGCGCAGTATCAATGACTGCGTGTGATAATGATCCAGGTGCGCCGCTGTGAAAATGATTTCAAACACTGTCAGTCATAGAGACTTTGTTCTTGAGGGGGATGGAACTGACAGCTTGATCACGACCCAGTCCTTGTGGCCTGGCTGCCGGCTTCTCTTTGTCTCCCAGCCGTCACCCATGTCCTTTCCTGGACAACCGCAGATGAAACTTTGTTCTCTTTTAGAAGATGTTACATAGCTGAGGTTTACTCACCTCGACCGGGAAGGATCAAATTGGAGCCTACACCGAAGTGTTGGTCAGATGTGTACACAACACGGCCTCCGGCAAAGACGTGAGCGAGATCAAACAATTCGTCTTTTGATACTGGATGAATGGGGACGACGTGACCATACACGCGGAAACGAGCCTGGAAATAGATACTCAATTAATACATCGCGGGAATATTCCGAGGACATACAATGCCACCGTCAGGATACATGTTGAGCTTGACATAATTCGCACTTTCGGTCTTTGGAATTGTGAACAGGTGCCTTGCGCTAGGACCTAGTTCGACCTTGGGAAGGATTTCCTTCCACTATAATGCTATCAGCATTGTGTTCGAGTGGGGAGAGGCACAGGGGCAAATAATAAGCGCGTGATACACACCCTGGAGTCATCATTGTTGGGAGGGTCTTCCCCGATGGACAGCTGCAACGCCTCTATAGAAACTTGCGGCGCTTCGTTTCCTTTTGCGACCGTTCATTTAAACGGTTAGAGCCAGCACCGCGATAGGACGTACCGTTGAAATGTGAGGTATCAACATCAAAGCCTGAGATAGTTCCGGTGGTCCCAAGCTTGATGATCACCCTAAAGCATTATGTAGTAATGGCATGGACCGGGTGCCAATTCCGCCAGCGGCGGAGGGACACAAATATATGTGACGTACCAGTCATGAGTCGGATTATGTCTCCGCGTTTCCCAACCACTGAATAATGCTCCCTTTGGGCCGAACTGACCTTTCAAGCTAGGAGCCGGCTGCGGACCACTCCATCGTTGTGAACATCATAATGGTCGGTTCATTGGCCTGGAACATACCTCTACAAGCAGTAGATGGAATGCCTCGGCAAAGAATTCATCTGAAAAGGCAACGATTTGTCCACCAATCGCCACACTGGACAATTCTTGTGCAAAAGCTCAGCGGTTCTGGCCTTGTATACGAGTAAAATGGCCGAAACGTACCGGTTGCATCAGAAAACGTCTCGGAGAATGTCTCCAACTTGACACGTTGAAAGGACATCGATTGTACAAGTAGGACGTGGGTCGTTAGAAGAAGTGTGGATGAAGCTGGAAGTCGAGTTGTTTGTACGCGCACAGATCGATAACATGATATTCGTCATTTGGATCGCGCACCGATTCGGCGTCTCTCGGCGGCGTCCCTTACGGAGAGATCTTCCGCCCGATTCCCTGTACGCTTCTTGACATATTCTAACATCGGTCAAATTTCGATGTTGAACGTTGAACATTGATACTTCACTGCTCGATCTTGAAGCAATTTGAACCACAAAAAGCATGATGACACACAGGACTAGCTTTGAACATCTTCTCGGAGTTCGGGAACATCGACGTATCACGAAATTTTTACTGATCTAGAGCTGAAAGGAAGCTTCACAGTGACCTCACTCACACTTAATCCGAGGATTCTTCGTTGAGGAATCATGGATATCAAGAGCAAACAGAGAGAAACAAGCGTACATGCAGTGCACTCGTACATGCTGTAGCAGATCTGCGGGGACGCCCGATGGCGTAATCAAATTTGGATCATGTTGAGGGAAATCACATGTTAGTGTTTCGTCCTAGAGGTCGTCTTGTGGCTTCCCAGCAGTGGTGCTACATCCCTCCCACCTTGACACCTACACACCACTATATTCAACCCACACTTGGCTCATAGCATCGCATGATTGACCACCTAATTGGTCGACCGAGTCCGTCATGGAAGCGAGCCCAAGTAAGCGTTGCGCCCTCGTTCTATGCAGGACATTCTGACGTTCTCATCATTCTCGCATCACCGTAACCGGTCCAGGTCTTCCTGGTTCTGTTCTTCTGGGTATGGAGAATAGTATGGGGAAACCCCACGGGGCCGCGTGTGCTCTTCTTGAGGAGAGCAAACAGAATGCTTCGTACGTGCTCCGTGATCATTAGACCACACATTCACCTAACCTCCACACCTCAGAGCGTTTCACGCCATGGCAGATCGTCGTCAGTACATTGACCACAGTATATGCTCTTCGCAATCTCGATAAGATCTTGGGCCTTGGGGGTAAGAATTTCATCTCCATCGATACTTCCGCTCGTGACTTCTATTTACGCTTCTCCGTACTCACAGCCCCCGAGCCATTAGCTCGACTTGTAAGTCATGGTATGCTTTGTTCGACGCATGCATATAATAAACTGCGGAAAACGTACTCGTATAATTACAGTATTCTCCTTCGTATTATCGAGCAACATGGATTTCCACAGGCATGGACGCGGGCTTCGCAACCGCCATGGCCATACGCCCGAGATGGCTCCGGGATATTTGCTCTATCTTGTTCTCAGCTTACTATATACTTTACGCGAATGAAGCCGATGAGAAGGTATGTGCACTGCAAAAAAGAAAATTTATTTTCCTGACCTTTCCGAAGTTGCGTAGGTTCCGTGCGGTGCCAACGGTAGAAATGCTCCGCGCCACATGGGAGAAAACAAGCAATCCCTATGTAGGCAGCTCCATATGATTTTTGCGCTTCCTGATCTGATAAACACATCGTGGTTTGTTCAGATACGACTGTTCGTCAACAAGAAACGAATAGCTTACTATCGCAAGATACTCTTACCTCGTCCACAGTCTTCGCCTTATACGAGGCCGATCACTGTGCACATATATTTCTCTCCCCGAGATACAAGCACCCAGCCCGAAGATCCAGTCGCGGCCTTGGCAATGCAGGAAGATCTTATTCTTGACATTCCAGGAGGTGGATTCGTGGCCATGACCCCAGAACATCACGAGGAGCGGCTGCGGATGTGGGCAATCAGAACGGGCAAGCCTGTGGTGTCCGTGGAATATGGAAAGGCACCCGAACGTGAGCGCCACGCTCTGGTGTTTCAGCCACCAGCAATTCGTTTCATCTGATATGCTAACCTCAACTCGCTGTCCAGATCCTTACCCCTTTGCCGTCGATGAAGCATTCGATGCATACCGCGTCCTTGTCGAATCGAAGGGCGAGGCAATCGGCATGTCCGGGAAAGCCTTCAATGTAATCGTATCCGGAGACTCTGCGTGCGTCTCTTCTCACAAATTTCGAGATTAACATGACATCAACAGTGCATTTATTAGTGGAGCAACCATTGCCGTCGGGGTTATGGTCAAAACACTCGAACACGCACTCTCCGTATCTGATCCGGCCTCGCGATACCCCCGACCGACCTCCATGCCCCCTCAGCCTCTCCCGCTCCCGGTAGCCCTCGTGCTGAATTACGCAGCGCTCGACTTTAACTTCACATCATGGATGACGCCAAGCAATCTCAGGGTCCTGAGGATAGAGACTGAAGCCGATGAGCACCGACCGCGCACTCGCTCCCCTGCCGTGCTCAAACGGCAGTCCTCGAGTTATTTTCACGGGTCGGACGGGGAGGAAGACGAGCCGGAGAGCTGGGCGAGCGTTCTGCGGGAAACCAAGGACCACCTATCCCATGTCAGCCCGCTGGCCGTCGTCGGGGACGAGTACAAACGGCTGAAGCTAAGACGCAAGAAGAGCTGGGGCGACACACTAAAGCTGAGCCTTGGATCAGCGGCGACTTCTCCCGTCGCAACGACCAGGGGTAAGATCGCTCGGAGACAGCGCTCGACAGGCGAGATGTTGAAGCACAAGCAGAGCCTCGCTTCCGTCACGATGTCGCGGTCGAAAACTGAGACTCGCCAGGGCCCGGGCGAGGACGAGGACACTGATAGCGATGAGGACGCGACTGTGTTTGATCACCTGCGCGAGGAGGAGCGACCGCTCGAGGCACGCATTCGGTGGTTCTTCACGCCAGACCATACCCCCCTCCACACACCAGATGCATCAGAAGGTGCGCATGGAGACGCCTTTTTTCCGTCGTCCCGTAGAAACACATTGGACGCGGCCGAACAAGCGAAGCTGCAGGACGCAATATCAGAGGCTGATAATAGGGCCATCGACCAACGGAAGCGCGAGGGTGTGCAGAGAAAGGAGGCGCCGATCGGGACGCGGTTAACGATGACGAGTCGAACTGGATACTTCCAAGACCGAATCATCTCGCCAAGCATGGTAAGCCTGCTTGTCGGCCCCGCTGTTGTCTTGTTGCTGGTCAACCGCTTAAACAACAATTTATTGTATGCAGATGCGCGCGATGGCGATCCTCTACATCGGGCCTCATCTGAACCCAGATTTCGCGACGGACTACCACATCTCGCCGATCCTGACGCCGCCGCAGTTGCTGGCGCAGTTCCCGCCGCTGCTGATGCAGTGTGGGGAGAAGGACCCGTTCGTCGACGACACGATCATCTTCGCGGGGCGCGTGCGCGAGGCGAAGCGGCAGCGCAAGCTAGAGCTGCGTCAGGCCATCCGCACGCAGGGCGCCCTCGACGAGGAGAGGCGGCAGCAGATGCAGCGCGAACTGGAGAAGCTCGAGGGCGAGATGGAGGAGGACTGGGTGCAGCTGCAGCTGTACTCGGACTGGAGCCACGGGTATTTGCAGATGCCGACGCTGATGCGCGAGGCGCGCACGGCCATCAACGACATCGCGGATTGGATCGACAATGCGTTCGGGTCGGCGGACGGGGCGGATTCGCCCACTGCGTTCGCGAGTGAATCGACGGCGGATGTGAGCGCGTCTTCGTCTTTCCGCCATGCCGAGTCTTCCATCATGTCGTGCCTGTGGCCTTGGGGAAAGAAAGCACAGGAGAATGGTCACGCTCCGCATGAGGAGACGCGTCCCACAAGCGAGGAACGGAGGACAGCCCGCGTTGTCATTTCGACACCCAAGAAAGGCGACGCAGGCCGCACTGGCGCGAACCCGCGTTCGCTCCTGTCGGGGACGGAAACAGAGACAGAGAACGACGAGGGGATTACATTCGTTCCAAAGGCCAAAAGACCTTCCGCAGGCACGAAGGCGTCGTCCGGGAGCGACGAGACGGTCAACGGCTTGACCAAGAGCCAGGGCCTACCACGCGCAGCGGTCGAACCGAGCCGAGCCGGAATGAAGCGAAGCAGCGACGTGCGAACGAGCTCGAACGTAGAGCGGGAGCAGACTGGCAAAGGCAATGGCCGTGGCAGCGGCAATGGAATTGACACTCGAGCGGCGGAGTTTCTGGCGGGATATGCTCGGCAGGAGAGGGGGAGCAGCCACGTCGTGAAGCCAGGTGCGGGCGCAGAGGATGACACGCAAAGGGCCAGGGGCGGAGAGTCTGCTGGTGCCCGGACCGAGGAACAGGCCCGCACCCCCGACAGGGAAGATGTGTGCGAGGGGAGAGCATCGCGGGCACTCACTCGGTCGCCGAAGGGCGTCGAGAGCGGGCGGTCCAGGACCCCTGCGCGCGGAGGACCGGTCAGCACTGCTGGTCAGACGATTTCGGAGAGCGAGCTGATGAGACGGAGGAGGCTCTTGGATTCCCATATTTTTGCGAGCGAGTCGTGATCAGAGGCGCAGGGCGTCATCGTGATAGGGTTTATTCTTGGAGATATATGGATCATGATACTTTAATGACTGTATAACAGCAGAGCTCGTGGTGATGCAGCATTCTTATAAGTTACGGGGAATAGAGTGGAGTCCAATGATGGGATCGGAAATTTGCGCCAAAGCTGGAGCGGCGGCACGATGTCGTTTGGCGCTCAGCGTGACGGAGCGTGGGCCTGATAGCAAACAAGGTGCGGTATCGTAAGAATGCGTCTGGGTGGAAGACCTTCGGAGGGGTCGAGATAAGGGCGCACAGAGGTGGTTTGGTTGGGCCCTCACGCCAAGCTGTCGGGCGTACGATGGACAGTTGGACGTTGTTGGCGGCGTATAGAGTAACAGGCTTCTGTTTACATTTGAACGATCATGGCAGTGCATGTGAATGACAGCTGTTACGAGAGAGCCTGCTCGATGGGGGAGAAAGAAATCAAGGACCGGAGGCTGGATGCATGCGTGGGGACGTCGAGGCGGAGATGGGCTGGTGGATTGGAGAATAAGTAGGGAGAGGCGAGAGGCGAGAGGCGAGAGAGAGGACGAGTGGGAGACTGTGTGTGACGGCAGCTGGATCTGTTCGCGTGTGACGATGTGGGAAAAAACGTGACGCGAAATGCCCGCTGAGTGCGGGAGGAAGAGGAGAGGATGTGCAAACACCGCCACGCGATCATTGGGCCGGCATGTCGGCTCGGCGTGTGGTTCGGTTGTTCTGGCGAGTCGGAGGGGCAGCAGCAGCAGCAGCAGCGAGGGGCGGAGGGGCTGGGGTGGCGTGGGTGCCGGGAGGGGGAAGGGCGAGACAGGTGGTGGGTATAAAAGCCACGGGCGGCAAGTGGAGGAGGCTGATCGCACGACGCACGGAGAGCCTCGCTGCAGTACGCCGGGAGTTGCCCGATATATACGTGCCCCATCTCGTCCGCGCGAGAGACCCATCCCATTCTCGCCTCCCTCTCTCCCCTGCGTTGTCACAATGCATGCCACCCTCCACAACTTCTCGCCCCCACACACCTTCTGGGACACCCCGGGCGCGAGCACCAGCGCGGCTGCCGCACGTTTCAATTCCGCCTATATCAACAACAACCAGCCCATCTCCCCTTCCTCCGTCCTCCACAAACACGCCTACATCGATCCCCAGCTCCGCTCTCCTCCCTCCAACGCTCCCTACCTCCTCCTTGACGACGACTCCCCGTCCTTCCCCAACCCCGTACCCCCAAACCACATGACAGGCACCGACTACTCTCGCCACAGCCTGCGCTCAGACCCCGACATCACCGCTGCCCAAAACCAGGCCTACAACGCCCTTGCCCACGCCTCAATGCAGCAGATGCTCAACCCCAATAACAACTATCCCTTCTACCCCGTCGCCCTCCAGCCTCCCCCTACCACCCCACCTGGCTCCCGCAAGCGCTCTCCGAGGCTCCATCCCCATGCCCTCGCTTCCCAGCCCTATCTAAATCCCGTCCGCCGTGATGGGCGACGCAGCCCAAAGCCCGAGTCCTTCTACGCCCCTAACGCCGCTCTGCTCTACAGCCACGCCCAGGTCATTCCCTCCGCCCCGCCGCCTGGTGCCACCGCCCTGGGATCCACCACCTTGCCCTTTGCATCTTCTCCCGCCGTCGGCGTCCCCTGCCGCCTCCCGCCCATCCTCCAGGTCGAGAAGCAGCAGGTCACCACCACTGCCACCCAGGTCGCCAGCGCCAGCAGGAGGAGGAACGAGGCCCATTTCGTTTGCCCTGTGCCCGGGTGCGGGAGCACCTTCACGAGGCGCTTCAATCTCAGAGGTGCGGGCGATCTCCGTCGCTTTTCTTCTCTCCTCTCCCTGGCGCTGCTGTGAGTGTCGCTTATGTTGACCATGGACATCGTTCTTCGATCCCCGATGTCCCGTCGCCCAGGTCACCTTCGTTCTCACACGGAAGAACGCCCTTATGTGTGTGAGTGGCCCGGCTGCAACAAAGGCTTCGCCCGTCAGCATGATTGCAAGTGAGTCTCGTCGTGTGCCCTCGTCTCGCACACCCTTTGCTGACGACTTCACCCCAGGCGCCACCAAGCTCTGCATCAGTCCAAATCACAGACCAACGCTTGTTTGGGATGCGGTAAGAACTTCAGCAGGCTCGACGCACTGAACGTGAGTCGAACCCTCTGCCACCCTCTGGCGTCGCTTATTGACCTGCCTTTCCGCCCTTCAGAGACATCGTACGTTTTGATCTCCTTTGGACACAGTCCAGGACCCTGCTCACCGTGCCTTCGCTCTGCAGTCCGCTCCGAGGGAGGCTCCGAATGCCGCCAAGCGGCCGAAGCCCAGAGCATGGACGTGTCTAGCCCGAGCGGTACAATCTCATCTACGAGCGGCAGCAGCGCGCCCCCCTTGAGTGCAGACTCGGCGGACACACCGCAGAGCAGCGTCGTTGAGGTCGAGGCCGGAAGCAGTCCATCCTCTGCTGGAGGATCCGACTGACGACCGTTCGGATCTATCCTCCCCTGGCTCATCCACCATTTTTTTTTATCTAAATGCATCCGTCTCCAATTCTCCACACAGACACGCACACACGTCGTCGTCTCGTATGATTGAAATTGGCCTTCCTCTTGTGTTCTGTGCCCTCCCTCGTCTGGTATTCTTGTATTGCGTTCTGCCTGCTATAAATGATCCGTTTCTGTAGCTCGTGTGTTCGCTCGCTGAGCACTGGACTGACGGTGCGGAGTGGTTCGTCTCAAATGGGGTGCGCGATGGTGAGCGCGCTTGTTTCGTTCGACAGCCCAGGCTGTTCCCGTCCACCGGACGACGCAGCTCGACCCACGTCAAGTGACTATGACATCAGTGTTCTGTTGGATACACGGGCGACGGCAGCTGCCACACAGGCTAGGTGAGCGCCGTCCTTTTTTCGCGATCTCTTTTCCTTTTTTTCTTCCACATCGCGACCACGGGAAGCCCGTCGAACTCAAGCTTGACGATGCGACGACGCTCGACTCCCCGCATCGGGGTCGGCCTCGAGGCCCTTACGTTTCTCCGAGCTCCTGATGCTCGTGGGCCCCGTGTGAGTCCCTATCCCTACATGCGCGTGCAGCGTTGATGCGGGGCGCGGGCGGTGATGATACGATGCGCTCTTATAATTTATTTATAGGTCCGCACATCAGGTGCCACATTGCATCTGCTCGCCCTGTCTTTTATGCGGCGAGCCAGGACGAGCCCCGCGGGTGTTTAGCGCACGCTTGTCGAGGGAAGCGAACCGGTATTCCTTGGCTTTGATGAAGGGGCTCACGTCGCACTTCTAGGCTGTCGCGAGATCAAGCGCGGTTTTCTTTTCTGACTTTGTGGGGTCAGATGATGTGCGGCGCGAGAGGCGCCTATAGACTCGAAGCAGCTCCCTGTAAGATGGGAGAATTTCGATGCCGCGAGGGTTGCCCTGCGCTGCTGTATGTAGACTGCGAACAGGCACTCGCGTCCGAAAGGTCCGAAGGAGACAGCCTTCCGTACATGGCATACGCACAGCGAGCGTCGTCTAGTACATATCCATATATCAGTACTGATTCAGAGGAGTCTGCCACGGGTCATACGTACCTTCAATTCATTGCGCACTGATCATCGCCACTGATGGTCGCATTGATCGGGCTCAGTTATAAGAAACGAATGCAGCCTAGTCATATGCTATCGTAAGTGCCACTCATTTCAGGCGCAAGTCGAAACGACTCGGTGCAGGCCAGACACTGGCCAGACCTGGCCCCGTTGCCGAATCGTCGCACACTACGGGAGGCCGGCACGGGTCCACGCCTCTGAATAGATCCTTCTGAGCCCGCTGGGAAAAGCGCATTTTCTGGACCCCGAGCCCGAGAGCCGTGCGGGTTTCGCAGCGAGCCTGGGGGCCGCGCTGGGAGCGCGCGAGGCGGCATTCGCGCATGCCCAACAGACGGGTCTGTGGTTGGCAGAAGCGTCGGCGGCACAGCACGACACAGCTTGCGGCCCAAATGGAAGCCAGCGGCGGCCAGCGAAACTGCGCATATGGGGGATGTCGTCGCACTGACGAACGCTCGCCGACCCAACCTGGGAGACCGGCGCTTGCAGGCCGCGCTCGTGCTGGAACCTATCTCTAGGGGTCCGAGGATACACATGGTCCGTGGTCCGTGGTCCGCTGGATCCGGCATCCAAAACGTAATCACATGACATTATCGTCCGACAGTCTGCCGACTGTGGGGGCAGGGATTCCTGGAATATAACACCGAGCTCGGTCGCTGTAATAGTCTGCGACCCTCGACCTATCCGACATCGTGACGGAGAACGATTCAAAACATGTCGCTTCCTATGCTGGTGAATGGGGCCGACTGTGGCCCGGTGAACCCGCTGCAGGGGCTTGCCAAACGGTTTGACCAGGACAGGGGACTCCAGCAGGTGAGTGTCCATAACCACGAGTCGTCTGCGTGTCCGAAAGTTCAAACATATCTCCAGGATTTTTTTGGTGCCGGCCGAGCGAGCTCGTCGCGCGAGGTACGTCGTGCCGCACTGCTCCTGAGCTGACACACGACCAGAACACATCTGCTTCCTCAGACATTCCGCACCGAGCAGCCTGCGCGACCGGGCCTCGAGCAAGAGGCAGGGCGGTTTTTCTCAGGGAGCCAGCCTTCCGCGTCCCCCTCGTTCGCTGGGCCGTCTGCCTATGATCTCGCGGCGCTGCACGCCTCGCTTCCCGCCTCGCAATCCTTCACACGTGTCTTGTCCCCCGCGCAACCCCCAGCCGCGCATGCAGCCTCGCCGCTCGCGTCGTGGGCCGCGGATTTTGCAGCGCTATCGCCCAAGAACGCCGTCGCTCCGTCGATCCAGGCGATGGGCCCTCAAATGAGCATGCAGGAGCAAACGCAGAGCGTGTCGCGTGCCGAGTTGGGCAGCCCCCAGCGTGCGTTCCGTAGTATCTCGTGTCTCCGAGTTCTCACATGACGTCACACCCTGATAGTGTTCCGCCCGTCCATGTCTGGTTTTCAGATGAATCAAATGTCGTTCATGCCCCCTGCGGTACACACGCCCCTACTACAGCAACAACCCGCCCCACCGATTGACGGTAATTCGGCTTCGTAGTCATTGGCAATTGCATGATATTGATTCCTCTCTGCAACAGACAAACTGTGGGACCAAGAATTTCGATCCCACGAGGCGTCGATCGTCTCCGACGCCCCTGCGAATGCAGTCGAAACGCAGTCTCACCGCCCGCAAGATGCGGACGAGCTTTCCCGGACCGCGGGACTACTGATTCAGTCGGTCAGCCACGAGAGCAACCCGAAATTCAAGAACAGTCAGTTTTTGGGGCTCATGCGGCAGCTGCGGGACCGCGAGATGGTCGTGGAGGGAAACGATCTGGTCCAGAGCTCTGAGTCTTCTGGGCTGGTCGGCGCCGGAACGAGCGGGTGGGCCTCTGATTTTACGTCCGCCGCGCGCGACGTCAAAGGCAAAGGGAGGGCCGTCGACTCTGGGCCTCTGCTTTCTGACCCTACGCACGCGCCGTTCCCGGCGTCGTGGTACCAGTCAGGTCAGGCATCGCGGCCGTATGTCACAGACGGCATGGATGCGAGCGCGACGAACATGGAAGACCCGAACGAGGCGTACTTTCGCCAGGATAACGAAGAGTACATCGAATATTGGAAGAATGCAGAGCGTGCGCGCGGCGATTCGGTCGTAGATCGTCAAAAGGATGAGTGGGCGCACCTGCAGAAGGACTGGGACCGGTTCGAGGCGACAGCCAGCGGAATCCGGCCCCTCGCGAATTATCAATTCCAGGCAGGCAACCCGTATCTGTTGGGCGAGGCGTCTGTGGACAGGACGCATACCCATATGATGCACGAGGGCACAGACAGGCCGGCGTCGTTTTACGAGGTGGGATTCTATATGGCGACCGCGTTTCATCGTCTGACGGCTCTGTGATCGCCTGATGTGGTGCAGAGCGTGCTGCAGTTGGAAGCCGCAGTCCAGCGGGACCCGACCAATGCACGGGCGTGGTTCGAACTGGGCGTCAAGCAGCAGGAGAACGAGCGAGAGCAACAGGCAATCCAGGCACTCCGCCGAGCGCTTGAGCTCGAGCCCTCGCACTTGCCATCCTGGCTCGCGTTGGCCATCTCCAGCACCAACGAGGGCGACCGCATGGGTACCTTCGCGTCGGTGAAGGAATGGGTTGACCGCAACGAGCGGTTCCAGGCGGCTGTGGCGGCGCACCGTGCTAGCGTGGGAGGCGTAGGCGCGGGTGCGGACACGTTCTCCGGACTGATTGACTGTTTGATTGCGATGGCGCGGAGCGAGGCGAACGGCAGTGTGGATGCGGACATCCAGATTGCGCTGGCGGTCCTGCTGAACACGAACGAGGTGAGCTAGCGTGTCATGTCCCGGCGGACGGGGCCATCTGCCAACCACGTCGCGCGACATGTTGTTCGACCCTGCCTGCGTTGGCCAGCGTGATTCTGACACAGCGCGTCTGTATCTTAGGAGTATGCGAAAGCCCAAGATTGTTTCCGTGCGGCGTTGGCTGTACGACCCGAGGTAAGCCCTGTGCTCGTGCACCTGACAGACGATCGGTCCTCATTGTTCGTCAGGATTGGTTGCTTTATAATAGAGTAGGTGCGACAATGGCCAACAGCGGTCAGGCCGAGGAGGCTATCCTGTATTACAACCGCGCGCTGGAGCTCAATCCAGCGTACATCAGGGCGAGGTAAGGGGTTCGGTGTTCCCCTGTCAGCTTTTTTGCGATGTATTGGGGCTGACGATCTTCACGCCGACACGGCTAGGTTTAATCTAGGTATATCTTATATCAATCTGCAGGTGAGCGCAGTCTGTCACGGCCGTCAACGTCCTGAGACTGACGGGTCGTCGTTTCCAGCGATACGAAGAAGCCGCATCGCACATCCTCGACGCGCTCGTGCTTCAGGATAGCGACCGCGTTGGGGGCCCTGATGACGGGAGAGGCATCATGTCGTCCGCGTTGTGGGACAGCCTGAAGACGACGAGCCTGCACATGCAGCGCGCCGACCTCGCCGCGTTGTGCGAGCGACAGGACCTGGAAGGTACGTCGCGCGGCGCGCACAATTTGGAGCACGAGCAAGAAGTTTAATGGATTGAACCGCCAGGATTCCGCACGGAGTTCGACCGTTAAGCGGCGAACGTCGATTGGGTTCCTGTGGAGAGGTATCATGCTGCCCGTACATTCCATGTGTAATATCACGACACCAGTGCTCTTCTGCTCATTCACTTCGTGCTCTGAGAATTTTGAATGATGCAACGCGTTGTATTTGAGCTGCACGTTACATGCATCAAGTCGTTTGCTGGTGAACAGAGTGCAAGTTGACAAAGAATCGGCTCACCACGACGGCGCGGATCAGAGCGAAGCAGGAGTGCACGAGAGTCGCGCTAGATGCCCAGCCTCTCGTCTCTGGACATCGCCTCTCTCTTCCTCTTCGCCTCCTCGGCCGCCACGAACGGTGTTTGAGGCTGCGGCATGTCCTTTCCCTTTCCCTTCCCGTTCGTCACAGCCGCGGCGGTGGCAGCCTCTGCTCTCTTGAGCGCGATCATGTCGCGGACGTCCTGGACGTCGCTGTCGGTCATGGTGATGAGGGTCGGGTTGCGACGGATCATGAGCGAGGCGGGACGAGGGCAGTGGGGCAGGCGGCGGGGGTTGTGGGACAAGTTGTGCTGCGGCGCAGACGCACAAAATAGGAATCAACAGGCCGGGAGTCCGCTCGGATCCACGCCACCGTCGGCGACTTGATACTGACCTGTGCTAACCCCTCGTCCTTCCTTCCTTCACCACAACACCTGTACAATCACCCACAGCACACCCCTCCTCTACCCGTCCACCACACGACCGCTCTCAACAATGGAAGCCGCACTCCGCGTCGCCGACACCATCAAATCATTCCGCGTACGTGTCCCTCGGCGTGTCCAAGGCGTGCGCCCGTTCAAACTTCGTCGTGCTTCCAGGAAACCCGCCTCAGCGCTCTGCGCCCGCCGAACGAGTTCTTCGACGCGCACCGCCTCTCGCGACCTGCAGACCTCAACACCGCCGTCTCGGTGCGCTTTTTTCTCACCTTTTTGCTCTCCATCGGCATCACGTCCGCCCCGCGAGCCGTGAGCCGCGAGCCATCGCTCACGCACGTCTCGACCCGCAGCGGATATCGTACAACACCCGCTACTTCTCAGGTGCGTCCCGTCCTGCTTTCGATACACGCGGCTGCGTCTGGACGCTGACGCCGAGCAGGCAACTACGGGCTCATCGTTGCCGTGTTGGCCGTCTATGCCCTGTGAGCGCTCGATCCGTCTGCGCGCGCTGGCGCGGCGAGGCTGACGTCCCGCGCATCGCAGCATCACGAGCCCCTTGCTCCTCATCTCCCTCGGCTTCCTCATCGGAGGATTCGCCGCCATCAACAAGTTCGGTGCGTCTCCGCGCCCTCGTCCCGAAGTCACGCTGACCCTCCCCCCACGCCCACCCCGCCCTCTGCCCTTCGCTCTCGCGTGCCATATCGATCCGTCGCGCAGCCCCCGAGCCGATGCAAGTCGGCGAGCACGTCGTCACCCAAAAATCGCTCTACACCGGCCTCTTCGTCATCGGCCTCCCGCTCCTCTGGTGGTCGTCCCCGCTCGGCACGTTCTTCTGGCTCGTGGGCGCCTCCGCGGTGCTCATCCTCGGGCACGCGATGATCATCGAGCCTGGGATCGAGAGCGAGTACGCGACCGTGCAGGAGAGCGTGTGAGCTCGCGCGGACAAGTGGGGCAAAGGGCGGGGTGGGGGCGGGGGGAGGACGGTTATTTGAGTTGGGTTGGCTCGGTGGGTGGGCGGGGTGGAGGTAAGTTGTGGCTTCGTGGTAGACGAGCGTATGGGACCGGCTATTACAGCTTTAGCACCTCTCGCTCGTTCGTTCGCTCGCTCGCTTTTTTTGTTTGTCCGTCTGTCTGCTCTTTTCTCCTCTCCAAACGGACCGTCTCTCGTTCTCTCTGATCTCTCTGGAAATCTATCTCTGAAGCAAGGCACGCGCGAGCACATGCCACCACGATCCGAACGAGCGCGCACACAGTACGCACACTACACGCACGCACGCACGCACGCACGCTGACCGGGACTGCGCAAGAGCACCAAGCGCTTGAACGATGGGATGACCGCACACCGGACGCTCCCAACGCGCGAGTCGGCCGAGGGGCATCCGGGCGGCTCCCGGAGGAGCCACCCCCGGCGTCGGCGATGCGTGATCGCCCTTTACGCTCCGACGGCAGAACCGCGCGGGGGACGCAAGTCCTGTGCGCTGCAACAACACATCAAGTACTGTCACGAATCGCGTCGGGCGGCCGCGTCCCGTTGGGCAGACGGACCGCTTGATCGCTGGACGTTTGTTCGTCGGACGCTCAACATTGGACGCTCACGCACGGGCCGCCCGACCTACCGCGCCCGTGTCAGTCGACACCGAGCGCACGATGACAATGACGCCGTGATCATTATCCTCGCTCCCGCCCCCGGCCTGGCGCTCGGCGGCGGCGAAGCGACGAGGGTGATACAGATAGTACAGATAACAGACATTCGACAGCGGAGGCGAGGGCCGCGAGGGCCCGCTCCGTCGGCCGTCGCATACAGGTCGCAGCCGGGCGGGTGCGCTGCCGCAACGGCGAGCGAGAAAAAGTGAGAGTGAGAGAGTGAGAGCGAGCGAGATCGAGATCGAAGAGCAAAGGGTAGGGGAAGGAGGTAGGGTGTAGAATAAGATTGTTCCAGTGGATAAAGATAGGGGTGTCACACCGGGCGGCGTCCTCGAGCGGGGACGCTGCTGCAGAAACGGAAGTGTTGCGCTCGGAGTGGTTCGTGCTTGCTTGTTTGCAGATGGCGGGGCGGGTAGGGGCGTGGGCGCGGGCGTGGGCGCGAACGTGGATGCGAAAGGCGTGGTGGCGGATATCGAACACAAGGGGATCCAGGGCAGGGGAAACGAGCGAGCCTGCGGGCGATCACAGCAACGGGAGCCATTGTCCTGCAGATGCAGAATACCCGCGCGCGGGCGTCAGAAATATGCGTTTTTGTGGGCGCGGCGGGGGACCTACCGATGACGAGGCTCGGGAGGTCGAAGATGTCGCGCCGGATGGAGAAGCAGAACGTGGCTGGCACGGGGACGCCCGACGGCTTGAGCAGGATGCAGTGCGAGTACACCGACTGCGTCGTGTTCTCGAACGCGTGCGTCGCGAAGTTCTCCCAGTACTCGACCACGGACTGGTTTTCGAACAGCTAGGTGCCGACGCAGAGCGTGCGTGAGCGGGGATTTTTTTTTCTTTCTGTCTCCTTCCGTGCGAGGCACAGAAGAAGCAGAGATGACGAGCGACACACCTCCCAGATGTACTTGCCCTTTCCCAGGAGCTCTTCCTTTGTCCAGTCCGTGAGCATGCAGAACTCGGGACCGACGAGGCAGATCTCGCCCGTGCGCCTCCACACCACGGTCGGCGTGCCGCTGTACGAGATCAGCTTGTCCAGCTCCTGTTCGTGTTCGCGCCGTCAGTCCGCGACCCCGGGAGTCACAGAAAGGGGAAGGAGACGCACGATGATGGAGCGCTGGAAGCACTTCTCGACGAACACCTCGTCCTCTTCCGTGAGCGGCATCTGCAGCGCAATGAGTGACGGCCGGAAGATGGCCAGCGCGCGGACGATACGCAGTATGTCATTCTTTTCAAATCTTGTCGGCCGCGAGGGCGGACATGGAAGCGACAATGATCAGACGGTGTATCAGGACACGGAAGGGAGGGGAGGTGGAAGGTGGAGAGAGGTGCCCGACGCGAACGAGCGTGGAGGTGGAGGAGGAGGGAGAGACGGGAAACAGGGATGGGACGAACGAAAGAGAGGGGGCGAGGCGTGTCTCGAGGGGAGTAAAGAACGCCGGACGCACGCATACTCACCGATACGGTAAATACTTCATCAGGGAGTGGTACCCCTCTGTGTAATCGTACGGCGTCGTGACAGTATCGTAAACCTCCTGCGCCGTCTTGGGGCGCATCAGCGCCGAGCCCTTGTTCGCGCCGTTCGGGAGCGCGGACGCGGCCGCGCTGCGCGACGTGCCCGTGTTGGCGACGGGCCCGGGCCAGAAGACGTACGTCGAGTCGGTCGTCGAGGGCGGCCAGCGCGGCGCGAGCGGGTGCAGCGGCTCGCCGGCGGGCTGCGGGGGTGGCTGAGCACCGTACATGTACCGTGGGATGACGTGCCCCGCGGCCACGGCGAGGGTCGGCGAAGAGCCAGAGCCCGTGCGAGCCTGGTCTTGGGACGTCGGTGGATAGGGCGAGCCGATGAAGTCGGAGGCGCCGTTGGCCGCGGTGCTCGACACGCCCTCGGGCAACGGTATGCCTATCTGGGACTCCTGGTCGAACATCTCGCTCGTGCCAGCGAGCGTGGTGGGCGACGTGACGAAGCTGCTGGAGGTGCCAGAGAGCGAGGGCCCCGGGTTTGCGTCGGAGGGCCAGGAGCTCTGGTAGTCCTGCTGGAAGGGGGGGTTCGGGGGCGGGGGCGAGGTCGTGGACTGTGATTCTGGGGACGGGTTGCCGAGGATGGCGGAGAGGATGGAGTATTCGAGATTGGCTGCTTCTGAGCCGAAGGGGAAGGAGGGGTCGAAGGGGACGTTGAAGAGGGGGTCGTTCGGAGGAAAGGGTTCCGCTTCGAGCAGAAACGTAAGGGGAGGGTAAGGTTTACCACTGACGGCATGTGAACGTACATGTCGGGATAGGTGTCGGGGCTTGTATTGGCAGCGGGGCAGCTTTTTGGGGTCCCGATTTCTGTTTTTTTAGTTGCTCTAGAGGACAGATGTAGGTCAGACGAGAGGTTCGGGAACAAAAGAACGAAAGCAGAAAAAAAAACAGGAAAACAACGTACCGAGCTCCTCTTCGTCCAACAGATACTTTGCTCGTTTCCTGTGTCCTTCAGTGCAGGTATCTGCGATCCCTCGCTTGACACAACGCTGGCACGGTCGAGCTGTGTCATGTGACCGGGTCCAAAATGAGTCCAAAAAAAAAAAAAAAAGATGGAGAGGCAGGCGGGGGATGGGACGTACAGTCGTCGCAGGTGAGATGAGCTTTTTGACAGTGTACACAAGCCCTGCTGGCTTTCTTTTTCTTGGAGCCGTCCTTCTTCCCGGAAGGGTCAGAAGGGTCATTGGGTCCCGTGGAGCGGCGCCTTTTCCCAGGTGCGGGTGCGGTTGCGGACTTTATGATGTGGGTCGTGGAGGAGGGGCCGGGCTGGGCAGAGGATGTATGTGTGCGTGCGGTGCGGTTTGCAGAGGCGGAGGTGGAGGTGGTGGAGGAGAGCAAAGAGGCAGGGTCGACTGCGAGTGATGGTGGGGGGTGGGGTTGTTGATTTGCGAGGGTGGGATGCATGGTGGAGTGGAAAGCGGGGGCGAGAGACGAGAGAAGGAGATGGTGAGCGGGGCAGGAAGGGTTGTTGGCCGGGAGGGCGAAGGGAGGGGGGACTGGAGGTGGAGGTAGAGTTCGGCAGCGGAGATAGCGCAGGTGGTGGGGGCGGGGTAGTGGAGGGCGCGTGGACGGTTATAAGCGAGCAGGAAGGAGGAGATTCGAAGCAGGAGGAGGAGGAGAGGATGGGCGGCCAGGAACGAGCGCTGCCGAGTCGCCAGAGCGGGCCGATCACGTTTCTGCGTCTGACCACCGCCGGGCTCTCCCTCTCCCACTCCGGCATCGTCCTCTCCCCGCCCATCCGCTTCGATTGCTCACCCCACCTCTCCTACCACCCGTAAACTCTCCCCGTCCCAACCCTAGCGCCCGTCAGAGCCATGGCCTTACGCCGCCGACGTCCGTCCACACGCACTTGTACATACGCTCGCACACATGTCACATGCCCAAATACATATGGCACCCATATTCCCACTCGCCGCCTTGTTATCGCTCCAAATCGTCCCTTCGTATATACATTCTGTGCTGCGCAGCATCTCCAAGTCTTTCCCGATGGCAAAGGCGTCATGAGTCCGGTCATCAACACCACTGTCAAGTGCATTTCATCGTGCCATCCTGCCGAGCACTCGGCACCGCCCAGGGCAGCCGCGCGCTCGAAAATTCAGTGCTCTCGACTCGCCCGCGCCCACCCCCCACGGGCCCCCCCACCTCCCCAAGCCTAACCTTCTTCAGCAGCATCGATCCATGCCGCGCTACAACGCCCAGCACCTCCTCCGCGCTCTGGAAGCAGCCATCGGCCGCGAGAGCGCCCGCCTCGAGTTCAAATGGATGACCCAGGCCCTGTCCTCTGCGCCCCCACCATATCCCATGACGAGGCACGCCCCCATTCCAGACCTCCCCACCATGATCGCGCGACGGGTGCGCGGGGAGCCTCTCCAATACATCCTCGGTGCGTGGCTGTCCACCTTCCGACCCCGCTCCCCAGGGCCCCAGCAGCCACTCAGCAGCCCCTGACCCCCGCCCCCGCGCACCCCGCACTCCGCACTCGCAGGCACCCAGCCGTTTGGCCCGCTCCAGCACCTGCGCGTCCGCCCGCCCGTCCTCATCCCGCGCCCAGAGACCGAAGAGTGGGCGCTCCGCCTCTCCCGCATGCTCGCCCCGTCCCCGCGCGCCCCGGTCCGCGTCCTCGACCTCTGCACCGGCACAGGCTGCATCCCCCTCCTCCTCTGTGCCCAGTGGCCCCCCGGCAGCACCCTCGCCGTCGGCGTCGACATCAGCACCGCCGCCCTCGAGCTCGCAGCCGAGAACGCAGCCGTGTGCGGCGTCCCCACGTCCACGCCCGCCGCCGCCGACGGCCCGCCACACCCGCCACACCCGCCCACGTCCACGAACGTCTTCATCCCGTTCCGCGGCGACCTGAGCGACCCCGACCGCCTCGCACGCGCGCTCCCCTTCCGCCCATTCCACGTCCTCACCGCCAACCCGCCCTACATCCCGCGCGCCGAATACGACGCGCTCCCGCCCTCCGTGCGCGACTTCGAGGACCCCGCCGCGCTGCTCGGCGACCCGCCCGGCGCGCCCGACCGGCGCGGGCTCACGTTCTACCACCACATCGCGCGCGCGCTGCGCAGCGCCGGCGGGCGCGTGCTCGCGGACGGCGCGCTCGTCGCGCTCGAGGTCGGCGACGGGCAGGCGCGCGCGGTCGAGCGGATATTGTTGGACGAGACGCCGCTGCGGCGGACGGAGGTGTGGGAGGATGCGTGGGGGAAGGAGCGCGTCGTGGTCGCTCGGGGGGGATAGGGAGCGCGTATCGCGCGTTTCGCTCGTTCGGCGGTTCGCTGGGCGCGCGTTTCGTGCGTTCGTGCGTTCGGGTCGTAGGTGTACGGGAGTGCGGTGTTTTGCTTGGGTTTTTTTTGCGATTCGAGGGTGGCTTCTCGGCGTCTGCGTGCGTGCTTCCCCTTCGCGTCTTCAGGCCCGTGAGGTCGTCTCGTCCCCGCGCACCCGCACGCAGCGTGTAAAGCAGGGACCGCCGCGCGATCGCAGCTCCTCAGTCGAGAGACGTCGGCTCGCCATAAGTATGCACACCTGCGCGCATCTGCACGCAAACCCTCGGCAGGCAGCCGACCAGCCAGCCGTCCAGCCGACTAGCCAGCGTTTGGCAGCTTTTGGCAGGCCGCAGATTGTCTCTCCCCATGGGCGCGAAGAACGCGCGCGGCCATTGGCCGCTTTTCTAGGCCCGCCGCTCGCCAACCGCGCGGGGCACACGCACGCGACCAGACACGATCACGCGCTCGCACACCCAGTCGCGAAGCCAGGTGCCCATCCAGATCCTGCATGGAAACAGCTGACGATGGGGATGACGAGCAAAGCACCCGCCCCCGCCCAGCATTCGCATCTGCCATCTGCCATCTGCCATCTGCAGCTATACCTATCGGTCGCTCTGCCATCGGGTCAGGCGACCCTGCACGAGTCGCAGCACCCAGCACTCAGCTGCCGACTGCCAGCCGCACCGCTCGCAGCACCAATATTTCTGCGCCCGCGTGGTCACGCGCGCGCCAACGCCGTCCGTCCGCCAACCAGCTCGCATTCCTGCCTTCGCGCTCCCTCGCGCTCCCTCGCGTCCTCACGACCGCCGCGCGACCCCAGCCCGGTGCCGCGGCCAGCCGCGAGCGCAGGCAAGCGCAGTCTGTAATGCGTGCTGAGTTCTTCCGTCGCGACGTACTTACCATATGTACTTAATTTATGACGGCGTATGACGGTATATGACAATGGCTGGAATGCTTAACTCCGCCGCCCCCACACGCATCGGCATCGGCATCGGCATCTTGCGCTCAGGCTGCTGTAAAGAACTTGTAAAGTGAGCGACGATAGGCGACGATCTGTGACGATACAGTAAACCGATAAAATTAGCCTGCGATACAGTATAATAGCCTTCTCGCGACCCGGAACGATCGGCCCATCGATGGAGGGACGGCAATGAGCGGGCCAAGACAGACAGACAGACATCGCGCGGATCTAATGCCACCCAACCTGGCTCCACCTGGCTCTGCCTGGCTCCACTGGTCGAGCCGTGAGGCGACTCGGGCGAGCCCGAAACAGTCAACGACTCAACGCCCACTCGGCCCCACAATGACCTGCGACGCGTCGAGCGTGATCCATGTCGCGGTGGCCGCGGCGGCCAGTTAGTCGCGGACGGACCGGCTCCCCAACTTTGACCTACTCTGACTCGACGCGCTCAGAAACGCACTATCAGACTCGAGAGCCTCGAATGCGTAGCGATCGGCGCGTCGGCCGTCGCAGTGCGGGTCATGAGTGTCGATTTATCTCCCGTGACGCACGACCTCGGCCGACGTGGATATTTTTTTCACAGAGAGATGAATCGATGATTGGTCGCTCGTCCTCCAGCCTCTAGGATTTTGCTTCCGAGACAGAGGATGCCAGGCCGATGATGTCCGTGCGCGCGCGCGCGGGTGTGCTCGGGGCGCCGCTCGTCGACACTCGAGGCGCTGATACCGTGGTGATCCCGAAGATCCAAATACTCAGGTTCTACTTCACGTGTACATAGGAAGCTCGCCCGGGGGATCCCGCGGTGGCGATGGCGGCTCAAAATCCACAGCGTCCGATAAGAAACAGCGCGAACGAAAAAGAGGAAACCACCATGCAGACGAGCAAAGACGATCTTCCTTGGTATTCTCACAGCGAAAGCGCCGCGCTTTCAGATCTCCTCCTCGACAAACGGAAGACCTCCCAGGACCGCGCTTGGCACGCCTCGGTACCTGAGATCACACTAGATCACATCGCCCGACGCTGAGTTCCTGAGATGTGTCTTCCAAGAGCGTCTAAGGCTTCCCCGGAGACGTCATTTGACGAGGCGTTGCAGGGCGGCGCCAAGAGCTGCCCTCGCCCTCGCCCTCGCCCTCACGCGATCGAGCTTCGAGCACGCAGAAGAGGAGAGAAAAAAATTAGAGCCCGATTTTCATTCCGACGATCTAATAAGTAAGCGTAACAGTAGTGAGTAAAATCTACAGGCAGTGCAACTTCGAGGCAGCCGAGAGAGGGAGAGAGGATCTATGGACAACACAACAGGGCAGTACGCAGACGCGCGACAGCATCAGCGAGGTATCCCGGTTCCGATGAGTAACAACACAAGTACAAGTAAGTGGATTTGAACGCGCGCAGATGAGTGATCCGACAGACGGTGAGACAGACAGACAAACAAACAGGAGAGAGCAAAGCAGATGCGACAACATTGTGAGATCGGGGATAGATAGGGTTGGAGGCTAGAAGGAAACAGCCAAGGAGACAAAGAAAAGGACAAACGGAGAAAGGAACGAGCTGCGAGAGACAGGCTGATGTCGGAGAGCCGAGGGAGGTCGTGAGCACGGAGGAGGAAGGAATCGGAGGCGTCGGAGTACCTCGGAAAGAACCTATGTGTCACTAAGCACGTGATACTGTCACAGCGCGACGCGGCGCGATCAGAATCGACGCGCGGGCCCGCCCATGTAGGCGCCAGACGCGTAATCCCCCCCTGGAAACAAAAAGAAGAAGAAAAGTAGCTGGTGCGGATGGATGTATGATGGAATGGAGGAAGATGATGTGATGTGATGATTGGCAACCAGTGGAAAGGGAGATAGTCCATGTGTTGTACAATGGTATGACGGAGTGGGATGATGGAAGAAGCGATACATCTCTATAACAGAACTAGAGATAAATGTTAGTCAACGGCCACAAGTCAAGAGAGCCATAGTAGTGCTCACCATAATGAAGAATACAATAGCTTCGCTCGCCCGCATGCGTAGACGAACGGCACACTACCCAATAACGATACATCCCAAACCACCACCCACCGACTCCAAAGACGACCAGGCGTTCATCGCCGTCGCACATTGCGCGCCTTGGTCGGTCGGCTGCGCTTTTTTGGAGGCTCAGGCGCTGTCTCCTCCTGCTCGGCATCCGCTGGCAGATCGGCCGCCCTCTTGCGCTTGGAGCCCTTGGTCGTCTTCTCCTCGACCTCAGGCTCCGGCTTCGCGACGGGCTCCACCGTAGCCACGCGGGTTGCCCGCGTTTGCGCCCTCGTCGCGCGCTTCTGCGGGGCGAGCTGCGTAACCTCCACAGGCTTGGGCGCTTCTGCGACGGCCATCTCCACATCCTCATCCGCGATAACATCCTTCGCCTTGCCTTTGCCCTTTACATCCGCGGGCGCGTCGATGGCGGTGGAGGATGAGGAAGATGAGCGCCCACGAGGTTCTGCACCAGAGGCGACGGCGGTGGATGAGGAGGTGGAGGCGGAGCGCTCCCTTGGCACGAGGCGGGCGGATGTCCGAGTAGGCACCACGGCACCCGTGGCTGCGTTCGCCGACTGCTTCTTCGCGCGTTGGCTGCGCGCACGAGTGGAGACGGATTTGGGCTGGACGGGCTCTTGCGGCCCTGCGGCGGGGATGTCGTCGGCCTCGGCGGGAGAGTTGGCGAGGGGAGACGGTCGCAGGGGCTTATTGGCCTCGCGAGTGCCCGTTTCCGATGGGCCAGCTTCAGCCGGCGTCGGTGGCACGGACTTCTCGAGGCTCGCCCGCAATCTCTCAGCCACACGAGCACTAGTCCGTGTGGGTTGCATGTCCTTGTTGATAGCGGGCGTGGGCCGCCGTGTCGTTGTCCGAGCAGGGGGAGGGGGCCTTCGCGTCGTCTTCTTGGCTGTGGGCAGTGCGACGCCTCTCAACAGTACGCTGGGCCACTTTTGAGGATCCATCAAGCTGCTCCTCTTGCACACCGCCTTCCAGTGAGCATCTAACGTATCTTCTTCCACCCCAGCTCGCCTGTCCGCGTGCGCATGGATCCCCTTCCAATTTTGGTACACAGATCTAACCAGGGTTTCCCTGCATGCATGTGCGTAGGGGTACATGATCGCCGACGGGGAGGCCTCTGATGCAAACAAAGTGAGTAAAATGAGAGAGTGTGGAGATTGGAAAAAAGGATGGTGGCACGCACCCATGAAAGCGAAGATGAAGTCGGCCACCTGTGCCCAAGAATTCCTTGGCCAAAACCACGACCACATGGGGTGGTTGGGCCATGTAAGGATGTGGAGGGCGGCCAGGACGTGTAGCATGGCGTGAAAGCCAACCGGTGACTCTGGTAGCCCCTCTACTGGGTTCTCCATGTAAGCCAGGACGTCAGGGTGGTTAGAAGTCCACCGCCCGTCGCTCATAACCCCAGGCCGCACTAGGTACGGGAACTCTTTTGGTGGGTGCTGGGCCACCATCGCTACCCTAGCAGTCTCGGCTTCGCTCACTTGGAGCATGCCAAGGGGATCGTATCGCTCGGCGGAGGCGGGGGTGGGTGCTGGGGGGTTGTCCAGGGTGGAGCGCTCGGACGATGTCGCGACGCTCCAACGAGGGGGTTCTGAGTCCATGTCTAAGTACATGAAGTGAGATTGTGGTGCGGTGTACAGTTGGTGTGAGGGGCGGGTGTAGAACTCCATCTGTGTAGCAATAGCAGGATCTGGCGTGGGAGGGAGGGAGGCGGAGGGGGGGAGGGCACCAGTGGAAGGGAGAAGGAGGAGAGTTGTCGTGGAGATGGGAGGATGGGAGGAGATTATATAGGGCGGGATGGAAGGACGTTGCACAAAGGATGGGATGGAGGCAGATGTACAGGCGAAGAGGAGCAAGCCCTTTGGCCCAGCCCTGCATGAGGCTGAGTTGCCAAAGCGGAGGCTTGTCCACTAATTGTGCCGTGGGAACCTGCGATCGGGCCCGCATCTCCCGACCACCACCTTCCCCACTTCCCTTGTCTCCCTCGCTAGGGCCCTTCAGCTCGTCGCCATCAGCACCGCTCCTCTTTTTGTACTCCACCCATTGAGCCGCACGCGTGCTCGCCCAGCAGACACAAATCACCCACAAATCATTCCCGTCCTCGACATCGCCCCGCCGATCTCCTGGATCTCATCTGAGTTGCCGACCGGTCAATTCCTTTCCCAGGCCCACCCTCTCTCTGTCCCTCTCAACCTCTCCGATTTCTCCATCTCTGCTCATGCAATCACACAACGATGTCTCGGGACGCATCGTAGCTACCACATAGACCTTCGAAAGCAAGGCGGACGCGCATGTCACGCGCCTGCGCAGCCTGTACATCGAAGCTTCACCTATTACGCAGATATGGCAGGTGAACCGCGCAGACCCGCGCAACGTGGTGGCCACCGTCATACGAACACCAGTTCGCCGTCCAAGCCGTGAAAGCACAAATTTCATCTCACTCTGCGAGCGTGTACTTGTGGACATTGGATTGCTGAATGCCGGCACTCGCCCCGGCGCTCCCGCATTAAACCAACGAAGCGAAGCTCAATCTCATCGAGGCCCCCGGAGAAATACCGCGCTCATATGTGCGCCCCATCAAGTCCTTGGATCACCATTCTAAAGAAATCGAGGAAGCACATCACGATCCCCAATGCACTCGCCTGGTCACCGGAAAAGACGGCGCCAGAAATAGCTTGCATGGCAGCCGAACCTACGAAGATCCTCCGACATCATTTACACGACAGCAGCTGGCAGCAGCAAGGACAATCGCCTTCATACCAAGTGCCTCGAGATCATATTATCAACATCTAGAAAGTACGTAGGAAAGACAGGGACGACGCGGGCATTGAGGACACACTTCGGACCTCACTACGCTATAGCTCCACCCGCTTGCACGTCTATCGTCTCCATTTCCGTAACCGTTTCGTTCCAAAGGCGCATGTCCAAATCCGGCGAGTGCAGTACCAGGATCGCTTGCAACTGCAGACGCGGGATCATCGTCGGCGGCGGAATACGGGAAGGCAACGCGGGTGGGCGAGGAGCGCTCTAAAAGCGTCGAGCACGGGCCCGCCAGGTTCAGCGGATGCGACGACTCGCGTTGAAATTAGAGGTAGATTACGTCACCTGTGGGGGTCGCTCGAGGTACGCGAATGCAGTCACGACGCTTCGGGCTTCGACGAGCCACGGAAGCGAGCCACCAGAGCTGAGACACAAGGATATGTCGACTGCGATGGCGAGGCCTTCATTCTCCAGGAGCATCGTTGCAGAGCCGAGGTCGTAGCAAAGCACTCTGTATGTTGCGTTATGATCATTGATTGGTCGGTTCAGTGCCGAGCTCGGTGATGTAGCCGCCGCCTGCAGACCCAAAGACGCACCTCCCAACGACTCGCAGCTTCCGTCCAATCATATCATCGCTGATGGAAGACAAGCGAGTCAATCGTGCGGAATCAACGTGTTTAGACATATATTATCCGCTAAATCTGGGCTGCCTATGGCATTATCCACCGAGACTTGGAGAGGGGAAGGCGGAAGATGTCAAAACGCGTCCGTGCGCCCTGCCCGGAACCGATCGAGGTGCCAATTACCAAAATTAGTTGTTTGGCAACAGCCTCGAATCCAAACAACCGCCGCGCTCGCCACATATCGTCGTCGGTCGGGCATGCCATGAAAGGAACAAAGCCGAAGAAAATTTGTTAAAACCTTTATCTGTCATGCCAAAATTCGGGTATTGATGCACAAATCGGCTTATCGAATGGTCACTTACTTTGTGCCTTGGCTTTTTCATGTGTGGATGGCCGATGAAGCGGACAGCGCATTCAGAAAGGCCCCTTTTGAGAGAAAGCATCCTAAACGCCGATTCTACTAGAGAGATAATACAACAAAGCAAAATTACCGATCAGAATCAATAGAAACACATAATACACGGCCAGTTGAGTCCAATCTTAGATATCAAAACGTCGCAATTCGACAGCTCCGATACCGGCGCTGACAATCCTCCTATCATCGAATGCGACAGTCCCCTTCGCTATCACGCCCTCAGACCTGTCCGCCTCATTCTCACCGTCTTCCTCGACTGAAGCATAGTCCTGTACCGCAGCGACCTCCGTGCCTGTCCCGTTCTCCAGATCCCACACCCAGACGCTCCCGTTAACACTTAGACTGACGCACCGGCCGTCGGCGACCGCGAGTGCGGCGACGGGGCCAATTTGTCCATACAGGTTGCGCACAAAGGTAAGCTTAGGGCCCGCTGAAGGGGGTGCGTGGAGAGAAGGGAGGTAGAGCCGGTACAGTTGGAGCGGATGGCTCGAGAGTGTGTGAGCGCCGATAGCCACGGATGCGGGTGCAGGAGGAAGAGGAGGGACAGCGCTTGCAGGTGCCAGAATGACCCACTTGCCGTCCGTCTGGGTACCTGCGACACGCGCGACTTTGCGGCCCCATTGCTCGCGCATGAGGCGTAGCTTAGTCTCGTCTATCCATCCTGCGGAGACGTCGAAAGAGCGAGCACTCCGAGAGGAAACAAGTCGTAACGGCAGTGGGGCGGGAGATGGTAGACTTGTGGATGACGGGGATGATGAGTGAGTGAGCATGAACGGGTCTGAGGGTGCACCTGACATGACAAGCTCCGTGGCGCCGACGCTCCAGTGGGCAGGATACACAGGGGTGGCGTAAGTAAGCACAAGTTTGTATGTCAACGGTTCCGGCATCGATAGCACGAGCGATGAAGGAGGAAACGATGTGAATGAGCTGAGAGTGTAGAGCAGTTTGACTGACCCACTCGAGAGATCGTAGATGGACAAATGGAAAGACTCGGACAACGTCACGAAGAGTGGATGGTGGTATGCCGCTTGAACTATGGGTACCGTTCTCGACGACCTTGCAGGCGGAGCGTAGGTGTGTTTGCATACTGATGAAGATGCGTGCAAGTTGGAAGAGTTTGCTTCATACACACCGAACTCGCCATTAGAAAGGCATACCGCAAGACGAGTGACTCCAGAGACAGGGGAGGACTGGTCGACGACTAGAGTAGTAATTTGTACGATTTGTTGTTTACCAGGTCGCTCGATGGGAATGGTGAGGTCCTGACCGATATGCGGGATGAATTTGATGGGAGGGGAAAAGGAAGGACGAGATGAGGCGAGAACTGTGAACGTCCCTGTCAAGACGATGTGCGTATGCTCTGCAGCTTCCAGAACCCGCCCTCTGGAATCTGTAGACGATTCTGTCTGCAATGGGGACATGTCGATGTGAGATATATGGCATCGGCCTTGGTTCACAAGCGTCCTGTGATAAGATTATTTCCTTGGCCGAGAGAAACAAATACCTTACCTATTCTCCAATTAGTGCTTATGCGGAACATCCACTTCCAATCTGTGATATCCTCTGTTGAGGCTCTGCTGGGAAGGGGCTTGATTTGTCTCCCATTATTACGCCCCACAAATCCCTTCCTTCCCCTCAACCTGTGTCGTCCATACTCACTCAGATATAGATTCTTCCAAAGCTACGATGCTCGATCGTTCAACAAGACAGCTTCGTCGACATCTCCAAGTGAGAGGGATATGTACCTGATTGTCAAGAGACAGACGAGCCCAGTTTCTATTTACTCCTTGAATAGAACAGAGGTCTGTCCACGAGAGGTACAAGAATATGTGGAGTATCAGCTCATCGTAGAAAACGCTGTCAAAATTGTAGACGGGGTTGTGATCGTAAGCCGACGAGTTGGTATGGCTGCGTTTGGGTGGAGGTAGAAGAGCTGGGGAAAGAGGTCTCTTCAACATGTTGGATCGTTGACCGCCCGGTTCACTTGGTCGTCAGCGATAACTTGGGCCGAGCGAGGGGTCATCATTCATCTCGACGTACCGGCCCGGGCCGAGAAGCGTCCCATTCTTTCCCGCTCTCCCATGGCTCCCTCTCGAGGTCCTCAACCTCTGGCTCGAAGCCTTCATCAAACTCTTAACAGCCACAAAGGTCCTGTGCACGTCGCACGATATGCAAAAGGTGGCGCGAAATATGTACTGACAGGCGGCCAAGATCGCACCGTTCGCCTGTGGAACCCTAGCACGGGCACGGAAATCAAAACATACTCTGCCCATGGGTATGAGGTGCTCTCGATATCCGTGTAAGTTTTTAGGTCATTTGTCATGCAATGAGAGATTTAATATACGTTGTTCTCGCAGCTCTCATGATAATGCCAAATTCGCCTCATCTGGAGGAGATCGGTCCGTGTTCTTGTGGGATGTCAGTACGGGGAATACTCTCCGCAGGATTTCAGGCCATATGAGCAAAATCAATGTCGTTGAGTTCAATGCGGATGCCACGGTTGTTGCAAGTGGTGAGCTTACTCGTACCTCGCACGCCGAGTTCAATCATGCTTACGATGCTATCAGGTTCGTACGACTCTACCGTGAGGTTGTGGGACCTCCGGTATGTGCCGATCATTTACACGCTGCATGCAATGTCTTACATCTGCCATTTTTAGTGCGCAAAACCGCCAAGCTATACAAACACTAGAAGAAGCCCGCGATTCCGTACAAACCCTGTATGTTGGTGCAACCATCGTCATGTCAGGTTCAGTCGATGGCCATGTTCGCACTTACGACCTCCGCAAGGGCGAGTTACGTGCCGACTACATTGGCCGTACGTTTCTCGCCGTTTTCGTATTCTGTCTTGCTCATTCATGCTTAGATCCCATTACCTCCATCATACCAACTCAGGACGAATCGACTTGCCTTGTCATGACGCTTGATGCGCGGATCCGGCTCATGGACATGTTCACCGGCAAAATGCTCAACGAATTCAAAGGCCACACACACACTTCTTACAGATGCCGTGCATGCTTTGGACATGGAGAGGCGAGTGTAGTGGCAGGCGACGAAAAGGGAGAGGTATGGGCTTGGGATTTGCTTGACGTACGTGCAATGTCAAGTTCGGACGAGAAAAGCAGCGAGCTGATTTTATGCACACCAGTCAACACCTTTGCAACCTAACCCTCCACCAAAAGTCCATCATAAAGTCATCACTTGGACCGAGCACCACCCGATAGAGACAGGGGAAATGATCACAGCGAGTGCGGATGGTACAGTCAAAGTGTGGCGGCATCCAGAACCAGGTGCTTGATGTGATGAATCCTACTCTTGTACATAATACGCATGTCTTTCGAGCACTCAATCTGAAAATGTGAGCAGTCTGTGATTATCGTACCTCGATAACCTGCCGACTCTTATGCGTTCGGCTGCCACCCGTCAAGAGTAATGCTACAATTGCAAGCACAGCGACAAACAAAAAGAGAGGAAAACTACATCAGCGTGTGGAACATAAACCGAGGTCACCGCTTGGTTTGGTTTGCGGCTTCTGTGAGTTCAAAGTAGGATTAGTACTAAATTCATCTGCTGATGACAGAAGCAATCGCACCGCGCCGTGTTGCATCCTCTAACAGTTGTGTGTCGACGTGTTCGGAAGGAAGCTGCACGTATCTGACGACCGATCCTCGAATGAAGCAATTTTTCACGGCCATCTGCAAGTATTGTCGGTTTGCGATGATCGAACAAAGTCCTATGGAACATAACCAAGACAGGTGGGACGCACCATGTGTGGATGTCTCCCTTGGTCCAACACTTCGATAGCATCCAGTCTGATATTCAAGAACCTATCAAGAGCCATTCATGAGCCATCCTAATGAGAGTGAAAAGCGCGAGAGTAACTCACTGGTCAACGGATTTCAACGTCCCTGTGATAGACAAGTCATTCTTGAGTTCAACGGTGACACGTTGGTCGGTCAGCGTTTTGAAGACGGAGAAAATTAACTTGTCGGAGGCTGGTGGTCAGCCGCGTGGCGGTAATTGTACGCGGGAATATAGATACGACTTACCATGGAGGTGGCGAGGTGGTGAAGGCGTTCGCTGCGCGCCCGCGATGAGATCACGACAATACGAAAAGGTACGAAACTTCCGATGTTTAGCCCAAATCCAGAAGAAAATCTCATTGTTGAAGCAAATCTTGTCCATTTAGGGATGATCCTCGATCATACCAGAGTCTGTCGCTAATGGACAGCCTGCGACATTCTTAAAGCATGAGTACCATTATATACTTGAGTAGTAAGGTTACAATCTCGAAGTATAAGAACGCTGTAGTAGGATATAACATACAGGAGCCGCTAAAGGGCACCCAATATTGAAACAAAGCAACGAAGGTCGTTAGGTGAGAAAAGATAGAGGCTTGCTACAGTGATGTGTACGTCGAGTGCTATGAGATGTCTATGTCGTCCATGAGTGCGTGTAGTTCCGTTATCAAGCGATGTCGTGAGAATTATGAAAATACAGCGGAGAATGTCTAGTCCTGACGATCATTTCCTAAACGGATTCTTCGAGTTTGACGTACCCGTGTTCACAGGTTCCAACCAGTACATACCTGGCTGAGTGCCTTCTGGTGCTCGAATAGACATAGCGTACTTCTGTGCTTCGGTCTGCGGTACCGGCGAAGGTGCGCGACGCACGGACGACCCAGCCGTCGTCCACGAGAACCTTGATGCCATTGGCGGAACGTCCTTCACAGGCTGTCGAGGATCCGGAACCCGTCTTGGCGCTCCCGTCACTTGAGAATACAGAGATTCTGAGATACCAGAATAACGATGCTGTGAGGGGCTGTCTTGATCATGCTCATAATAGGACGGTAGCGAAGAAGGTCCTCCCATCTTCTCCAGCTGCCTCTGATGCCTGCCTTCCTCTGCCGCATGCATCTTCTTCAAACGCAGCCCCTCTTGCTCTGGCGGAATGAAGCGCTTGGAGGGCGCGTGTCCGAACAACCGTTCACCAAACCGAAGCAGCCTCCAGCGCCAATTGCCACGCTTATCGATGTTCTTGGAGATGGCAAATGCGGCGGTCCGTTGAGCACGCTTCTTACGCATGCGGCGGCGGAAGAGCATGAGAATAACGAGGAAAATGAACGCGCAACCGAGGGCCATGAGCAGGATCTCCCACCACTGAAGCGGACGCGACTTTGTACTTGTTGCGGCAGCCGGCGCCGTAAGGCCTGTGATAGTGGGAAGAGGAACGCCAGAACTAGTCCCCGAGGCTTGAGGGACGTCAACGAGATTGGAGAGGCAGACTCCCAGTCCTGGAATAACGCTCGACGTGCCATTGCAATTGGCAGCCGTGCATGATCCGCCCCGGAGAACTTGGTTCGAATTCGAGCAGGCTAGGCAGTTAGAGGGACCCGCGCCTGAACAGCTTGAGCAACTCGAGTCGCAGGATTGGCATGTCGACGAGGTGATGTCGAAGAACTGTGATTTGCTGCATGTCGGAAGGCAGCGACCGTTGGTCAAGACGGGTCGGTTGGGGGGACAGCTGGAGCACTGATTGAAGGAGTTGCCTGAACAGGTTGCACAGTCTGGATGGCAAGTGATGCACGATCCCGAAGAGCTGAAAGTGTTGGAAGGACACGAAGAAACACATTTACCGCTTGAAGCGAGCTGATTGTTGGCACAAGTCAGACAAAAGTCCGCCGAGCCGGCGCATGCTCCACAGGATGACAAGCACGCTGAAATTGGTGCATAAATAGACGAGCCAAAGCTGCTGACACGAATAACTCACCAGTGCATGTCAGATTGTCCCGAGGAGACAAAAAGGTTCCAGAAGGGCAGCTTGCTACACACTTCCCTTGCGAAAGAACAAATCCAGGAAGGCATCCACTGCATTGGAGCTGGTCGACGGTAGACGCTACGCTGAAGCTTGGGATCTTACAAGAGGTGCACTTAGAAGGACAGCCTAGACGGATGGTAAGTTAGAGGAGCAGTACGCTGAAATATGATACTCACTGTCACATTCGTGCTTGTTATTGTTCGCAATCATGCTCGTACCTTGACATGCGCCATTTCCGTCTGTCGGCACGCAGGCCCCGCCTACAGAGAACTGCCCGTTCCCGCAGATGATGCAATCGTTCGATGTTGACCCAGAACAGGTTTGACAAGTGGCCGAGCAAGCAGCGCATGCTGTCCCGTTGCTGAAGCTACCATCGGGGCACACAGTACCTGATGCTGTCTTCGATTGGACAGCGTCACATTTTGTCCGATCGTTTGCGTCCTGGGTAAACCCACTCTTGCAAATCACGCAAATCCCACTACTGTCCTCGCACTGGCTGCACCCAAGCTGGCACACTGAGCAATCACCATTTGAATCCAGGAAAAAGCCAGGGGCACATTTAGCACATGCAGTCCCGTTGTCAGCTGTGGTCCAACCAGCATTGCAGGTGCACTGTCCATTTGAGCCACACTCGCCATTCAAGCAGTTACAGGTCGATGGGAGGTTGTTGACAATCGGTACGAGACACCGCCCCGATCCTGAGATGCCATCGTCGCAGGATGAACAGCCTGCAGGGCATGCTTGACACTTGGGACCGAAGAAACCGGACGCACAAGATTCACAGGATGCGCCTGTAAAACCAGCGGGACATATACATTGACCAGACGCAGAGCATACCCCAGAACCTGCGCATTGGGGCGAGCAGGCGTTGGACTGAATGTCTACGAGAGACAATGAAGGCGAGCCAGGAAGCTGCGCGATATCTGGAACTGAATCCCAAAGGATGAGGTGGTTCTGCGAAGAGCCGGATGAGACAGAAACCCATATGTCGGATGAGAGCGCGAGAGAGCTCGCAGAAAGAGGGGTGGAAGAGCTAGAGTTGGACACAGAAGCGTTCGGGAGTTGCGCGAACTGCGCGTTTCCGGAGTATAGAGCCTGTGGGAAGATGGCCAAGCCTGGTTCTAGAGCAACATTGAAGGGTGAAGAGATCGAGGAAATATTGAAACCAGGAGATGACGATACAGAAGTGGACGGCGAGGTGAGAAGCTGGTGAACGAGTTCAGGGTTGGTCGCAGAGGTATACAGGCCAGGAAGGAGCAGTATGTCTGTTGCTAAACCCGGTGCAGAGAGCTTTGCACCAACTATCAGTGGAACACGTTAATAAAAACCCGATGCGAATATGATTATTTCGTGCGTACTGGTTGTGTTGGTGAAACCCTGGAGGCATTGCCCTGCAAGGCAAACAACTGTGGCATTTGGCTGTGAGACTATAAGAGATCTTTAAGACCAGTCGCTGTGTTACGAGGGAATACACTCACCAGCAGAGACGCTGGATAGAACAGAAAGAATGAATACGCTCAAAAACATGCGGATTGGGTTACGAATGGTGATCATGACGGTGGAGGGAGGAGGAAGGGAGGGCGGAACGGAGTGCATCCAGCGCGACCGTTGTGGTAGATGAAGGAGATGGTATAATGGCCATTCTGTCCTTTTTCTTGTCGGATAATAAAGCGGATGCCCGAAGAGAACAATAGTTCACCATAGACCGTCGCCATGTGGCGGACACAATAGCTATGTGATGTTGTCCTATGTTTGGACACGGCCGTCGCTTCGGCCACTTTGTTCTTTCCGCCTGCGCTCCATACCTCCTCTCCCTGTGGATCCACGTATACTCATTACTAAAGAGACAAGGGTTGTAAATTACAGGACTTGTAAAATCTACTGCTGCTCGCTTCCATTTCTTGGATACCTATGGGGGAAACGAAGCATTTGGCTAGCGCTACGACCTCGGACCGACCACGCAAACATCAAAACACCGATCGTCCACTGTTGTATGATCACACATTTGGCGAGAGGCCAACCGTAGCTCTGAGCGATGTTGATACAGTGTTAGTGATTTCGCCGTATTGTTTTTGTTGAGGTCGTCGGTACGTCATTACTAACCCGGGAGATCACTCCTCCTCGCTCTCAGTGTCACTGCCGGTCTCGTAACCTTCTTCGCCTTTCTGAGGATATTGGGAATACCTTGATGCGTTGTTATTCTCGTGGGTCATCTCCACAACGTTCAGCCTTGCAACGCCGCCTGCTCTCGACCTCATGCCGTCTTGTTTGTTCTTGAACGCTAATAGATGCATGACCGATCTGTCAGAAACTCTCTCGTCATGCAAGTAGTGATCGCTGACCTTGTAACTCCTCCTGCAGCCCCGCCAGTCTTGTCTCTGCTTCTTGGATGAATTCATCTTGTCCTTGCTCGAATTTGACCTTGGCCGCTTTCCTTGCCTTGGCTGCTCTGGCTGCTGCCCTCTTTAATGCCGCATTCTTCATCGTCGCTCCCTGCGTCGTCACGCCCTGTATCGTCGCATTCTTTGCTTTCACATGTTTTGCTATGGCTGCCTTCTTGGCCTCATGAAGCTTTTTGAAGCCTACATCGCGTCCACCGCAATCCGGTAAGCTTCTAAGAACCGTCAAAGAGTACATCTGCGCGCTCACTATTGATCTCGCCTGCTATCTGATTCATCGTCCGGGTACATTTCATGGCCAACCCTTTGATGGAGGCCTTCGTGTGTCCTTTAGTCCGTGCCATCTTTGCGAGCTTGGTATTCTAGGGTTGTTGCGCGAGCTTGAAGGCGCGTATGTTTATTTTGCGGCTGTCGATGTCGGCGTCCGTTGAGTGAGAGCGGATGAGCGGTCAGAGGCGTTGGTGGAACTTTTGATCGAGCAGTGTCTTTTATTCTCGCAGGCCACTTTGTGGCATAGTGGCTCTTCTGCCCTTCACATGGGCCATTGTCGCTTTGCTGTGCTGTGCTTGCCGCCTCACTTCGTTCTCCGTCCAGATTCGCCACCCTTGCCACTCGTCATACTTAGAGCATCACTGCCTTGTCCTACCGCCACTTACATAGTGGTTGAACTCGTGTTATCTGCGTCGAGTTTTTCCCCACCTCAAGATGAACTTTCAGGATGGCGAGGAGGCTGACTATAAGGACATCGTGGTGAGTGTGGCGATGGACAAAGACCATCGATCGTATCATCTCTTAAGTTTTAGAGGTTGTCAACTAGAAAGAGCGTACAGAGGCAGGACATAAAAATATATTAAATGAATTTGTAATAGTCAGGTATATGTGCGCCCACGCAACGGCGTGCAATCAAACGTCGAACCTGACTACCTGCTCCCCGCCACCTCTGTCGATCTTCACCAACCTTTTCGCCACACATCCGTACAATACGCGCGTGGAGACCTGGTTGGAGAGGATTCCTGTGCTGCCTGAAGCTGCATTCTTGGCGCTCAGGACCTCTTTCAGCTTGGTGAGTGGCAAGGCGAAATTGGGCGGTGAAGAGAGGAGGGCGAGCAACATATGGGCGGTCAGGATCTGAGCGAGATTAGGTTTCCCGGATGGGTTGGTGGTGTTGGTCACCGAGGATAAGCTGGACGCGGTGGGAGATGGTGGCTCGGGAATTTGAGAAGCGAGGGATTGAAGGTGCGCGCTTTGGAAGAAAGGCAGTCAATGACATATCTAGGATGATATAAATACTGGGGACGAACATCGTTTCTTTCGCATGTGGTGGCCTGTGGACACCGCTTCCTGATGTGTCAAACGGGTGACCTGGCATGATGAGATCGCCGACTGTGGCCCATATCTTCGACTTCATCGGGGAGCTTAGTCTCAAATTTCATGAAAATGAACCAGAACGAAAGATGCTTACAGTGATCCGCTCGACTTCGTTCGTTATCCGTACCTTAGGCCTCCTCGCTGATCGCGATGGGGTAGTATTGGCTGGGTTGACTCGTGGTCGAAGGGGTGTGGGAGGCACGATCTCTACCTCTGACGGATCGTTTGCGTCGGGAGGTACAGATGGGGGCGGAGTGTTTTGTGTGTTGAAAATGATCGTATTATCGTCTTCGGCGTCCTGTTCCGGCTCCCCATTGTCCGAATCTGGAGATCGAGGCTGCATTGTAACGTCAGGTTCCTCGACACGTTCCGGTTCCGGTTCTTGAACAGGATCAATATGCTCTTCGGGCTCATCGACAGATAGTTCCTGCATCGACAGGGATGAAGACGGGCAGCTGATGCTTCGACCGCGGACAGCAGACACCGGGCTCGCAAACGACGACGTGACATCACCCAAATCCACTTGCTCATTCAACAGTAGATCGTTGAACTGGAGGGTGCGAGCAGGTGTGCGCAACGGTCCACCTGGAGTACCCCAGAACATGTCCTCCTGCACATCGGCCTTGGGGGTCGATGGCGACGGCTCTGGAAGAGGCGCTCGAGTTGCTTTCGCCTTCCCTAAATGACGAGGTGCAGACCGTTTTTTCTGAAGCGTTTCTTTCTGAAAGTGAAAGCATGTGATGAAGATGGGATGGACGCTACTTGGACCGAATATTACGCACTCGAGCTTGCAATTGCTTGATTCTGGTATTCAAATCGTGAATCCGTTGTTCCTCTTCATTCGCCAGAGATTTGGGCGAACCAGGGAGATCTGAGGGTCCTGCGGTTTTAGCCTTTACTTAATGGTTGGACAAAGATAGTATCGAGTGATCGGCGGCGACTGACTTGCTGCAATGCATGGTCTAAAGACTTCATGTTTTGTCGTATCTCGTACAGCTGCTCAAGGATGGCGGTCACTTGCGATTGAGCTCGAGGCATAGGACGAATGGACCAACTGATTCAACAAGGCATTGAAATACATGAATAAGAGGGGGCCAGGCGATACACTACCACTCACTAACGCTCCAGGTACTTCAATGCAGCCTCTGCGTATACCTCTGGCTCCGGCTCCTTAGGTCGGAGCACGTCTTCTCTTCGCACAGTAGGATGCTTCCGCAGAGGAGTGGCGCTGACAACCTCAACTCGCGCGATCTCTGCTGGGGGCCCCATAGGATCCGGCTCACGAGTACCTGGGTGTCGGGCCACAGGAGCAGGAGGCAGGAGGGTGAACAGCCCGAGCTCTGATGGATCGGCATCGCGGATGAGGTCGCCTAATGGGGTGTCGAGGACGGCGGCAGTGAACGCATTTCCGATGGGAGCAGCCGAGCTTGCTATGGCTGTTGCAGCAGAGCGGATGGACTTGGCAGTGTTGGCGAGACGGTCTATGTGATCTGATAGAGAGGGCATATTTCGTTGATCAACCTCCGGAAACTGGCTTCAGTCGCGCCTCATCCAAACGCGCTGAGACCTGCCCTAAATCCATCTACCCACTCCTTCCCCTGCCTGCGACTCAGGTCTCCTTCATCGCGCTCTTCAACTGGTGAGTTTCCTGTTATGTTTTTCTCAGATCTAAGATGCAACTCTTGATCCAACTGCTGTCTGAGTGCGCCGCACACTGTTGATCAAAATCATCAATCTAACCTATGTCCTCTGATCTTTCTCAATGCTGTGTTCTCACCCTTCTGAAACGGCCTCTAACTAATTGGTCTCCCTCTTGATATCAGGCAGGTCCCCGTATGGACATCGCGCTCGATAATCTGACGGTCGTTGCGAATCAACCGAAATTGCGATTTGGGTCCGCCGTTAGCCAGGTATGCGTGAAGTGTAGATCAGTCAGGGCTGGTGCGATTCCTGAGTACTTGGGTGATGGCATTCTGTACTGCTGTGTTCTCTGTGCCCGAATGAGACAAATGTGCATCTCCATGATCCTGCGTTCACCATAGGTCAAAATCACGATCACAGATGTATTGAGAATATTCCTGAGCCGCATCAGATGAGCAAGCGCTGTCGCTTAGCGCTAACCGTGGGGATGCCTTGCATCGCACGCCGTTGCTCGCTCCATTGAATATTCCGCGAAATTACCCCCTTCCTCTCCCCTCCTTCAGTCCGCCACAAACATCACCAACACACCCTTCGACTCTCTTTTCTTTCTTTCTTCATGACGCGGGGCGCTGCCGCCTCCCCTGGGCGCAAAGGCGCTTGGGAACCGCTTCCTGTCATTGTATACGGATATGCTGTGCATCCTCTCTCCCCCTCCCACAGGGATACCCGTATCTCCCACAAATATCGCTCGTCGACCGCAACGGCCTCGTCATCTGCCGACTCGCTCGTGCACAGGGATGTCGTTTCTTTGGAAGTCGGAGACCAGGTCTACGCCTTCGAGAAGTACACCCCCAAAGGCAAAGAGACGGAAGGGATTTGGTACAGAGGGTACGTCTCCGTCCACCGCTTTCTGTTTTCAATCATTCATATTGCTACAGCTATGTGGTTTGCACGACACGACGCCCTCCCGTATCTTGGAACGCGTCCTCGGACCCTTCATCCTCGAAGGCCCCCAAGGTCGAAGAGCCTCAGCAGGTTTTTATAGGTATCTTCCCTGCATCCCACATTTATATTAGGGATGAACTTCCAGATGCCGAGGGGCGTCTAGCCGACGTGGCTGCTGCGTTTCACAACGGTGCAGATGTTTCGCTGGATGTCTTCAAGGCTGGGGCCATGGACACGCTCCGGGAGGAAGAGGAAGATGATGCTTTAGCACAGAGGAAATCTTTCAAGCTCGGACCACCTCCTGACCAGGCGAAGTCTTCGCGAGCAGGCCTTCTTGTGTACACCCCTAGCATTCGCTCTGTGTCCTCTTCCGATTCGCACGAGATGAACAAGCCGCTTCCTCCTCGTCCATCTCTGAAGTCTGGAGACGATACAGCATCAGGTGCGGCACAGCCTATCATCGATGAGATCGCTTCCGCTCTTCGCGAATGGCACACCCTCATGTTTCAGTACTTGGCTCGCCGCGACTACAAACTCTTCCAGACGGTACGCGAGCACATAGAGGCGCTCCATCTGGGTCGCCGACAGCTACTTGCACAGACCCTCAGCACCGAAGAAACACTCAATCTTCGGCGCGACTGTGTTATGCGGTTGGTGAGCGGAAACATCGTACAGGGCCTTGATGTCATCGTTCGGCACCCCACAGGTGGAGGTTTGGTCACCGTTGATGCAGACGGCGAACTCGACACTCGAAATTGGATGAGTGCCGTTCGGATGTATGCCATGCAAGCCTCATTGGCTTATATGAATGCAGCTCCTGAACCCGTCAAAGGTCTGCGGTCTCATCTCAGTATGGATAGCCCGAACATGGCGCCTCTCCCTACTCCGGCTCACTCAGCATTTCCCGAATATACCCGGACAAGGAGCCATTCTCACAGATTCGATTCTTTTTCTAGTATGAAGGATTCAACGCCTAAATTTTACCATGTATTCCTCGAACTGCGCGCATTCGTAGCCTCCCTCTGCTCTCCTGGCGAGACAGCAGAACTCTACTTTTCTTTGTATAACAAGAACGAATCCCGGTTTGTCACAGAAGATTTCTGTGCCATCCTTAATCACAATGGGGTCCTCTCACGCGATCCTTCGGCTCGCATCCGTACTCTTTTCACAGACTTAGCCCAGTCCGACGTACGAGACCCGGTCTATCTAGTGTGTCGTATCGTCCGAAATGGGTCGCTCAAGATTGGAACCCACATGAGCAGCGGTGTACCACAGTCTATGGATGGGGGCAGACGGGTTTCGGATGTTTCTTCTAGAGATTCAAGCCCAGTTGTGTGGAACGAATCGACGCTCAACCTCAATTTTGGTGGTCGTCAGACAACATCGGACAATTATGCGACCTACCGGCGGCCATTTGGATGTGCGGTCCTGGAGCTCACCCAGTTGAGCAAACTCGCCGCTGATCATAGCGAGGTCTCTTCGACCAAAGAGTTCACAATGCCCATCTTTGTACCTGCCAATGAGGCTATCTTCTCGATGCTACATCAGGACATCATTGGCAACAACTCGAAGGAATTCGAGAAGTCCCCCAGGTGCGTCACAGACAGGACTGACAATATCATGTACTCCGATTCTTACAGGCATTGATAGGGCCGAAATGATTGCAGTCTCAGTCAAAATCTTTCACGGCAATGCTAGCACTATTGTGAAGGAAAACACATCCCTGCTTTCTGATGTACCGCCGACTCTGCGGCTTGGTTTTCCCGATGTCGTGTTCCCTGGCGATGTTCGGAACGAGCTCTACATCAAACTCTGGAGCGGCGACTTTCCTTCTTCTCACAATAGCACAGCACGGCGTAGTGTTCCTAATTTCGCTCTTGCTCGATCCGGGATGCCCACAACCAACAACATCCAAGTTACTATGGAGGTGCGCGATCGAGATGGGAGAATCATCGACGATATTATATCGCAGGGAAGTGGTGAGCCCAAAGTATCACAGTTTCACTCCATGGTGTTCCTTCGCAATAGCCAGCCAACCTTTGGTGAACTCGTCAAATTGAATTTCCCCACGGATAATCTTCCCCAGTGGCACCTGTTTTTCACTTTCAGATATCGTAGCTCAAGGGACAAACAAACTAGTCGGGGTGATAGCTCGGATCGGCCGTTTGCGTTTGCATTCTTACCTCTCGCGCCGGAGGGTCTCTCGTTCCTCGAAGATGGGCCTCACACACTCGTGCTCTACCGAGCAGATCGGCTGAACCAAGTCACGCCAGAGTTATACCTGGGCGCGAAATCATGGTTGGCGGCTAGTCAACGGCCAGAGCAGGTTGCTGTTCCTACTGAACTACAGAGGATCGCACCACCTATGCGGGACAACTTGGTGATTCGTTCTTCTCTCTGTTCTACTCGTCACACCCAACATTCCGACCTGCTGAGTCTCCTCAATTGGTCTTCTATCAATGACGCACAAGTGCTTTCAGCCGTCTTGACTAGGTTCACTTTTGTTGGCGAACTCGAAATTGTCAAGTTTTTGCGGAATATCTTCGACTCGCTGTTCGGCATCCTCGTTTCGAAGAGCAACCAGTCTGGCGAGATGGATCTGCTTGTTTTCAATGCTCTCGTGACTGTCCTTGGTATAGTTCAAGATCGACGCTTCAGCAATTTCCAGCCTGTATTGGACATTTACATCGAGAAACACTTTAATTGTGCGGGCGCGTCGTCGCACATGATACAATCTATGAATCGTCTGCTGGCCAACCCAACATCGTCCGAATCTGCCCAGCCCCTGCGTGCCGCTCTCAAAGTCTGGCATTATATCTTCAAGTTCATTGCTAGATCGAGGGAGCTGCAGAAGGCGAAGGAAATGGGTATGGGCGGCGGGGCTACCGCGGAACACTTAGAGGCAACATTCAGACGAGATCTGCAATCCCATTTGTTAGAGGTCACTCGAATGATGGCCACCACCTCACCCCCTTCGGTTATCGGCACTCAGACCATCGCACTGCAGCATTTCACATCCATCCTCCCGGAATTGGCCAAAATATTCTCTACTGTGGAGTTGGTGGCGATTGCGACCAGATTTGCCAATGCAGTCGTCGGGGTCAGAGGCAAAATCGTCATCTGGAAACTCATCATGTATCTTCAGATCGTCAAAGGTTTCTTATTCGATAACGCACAGTCGCGACTACTACTTGTCGAGGCGGTAGGCTCTTGGATCAAGCCTCATTTCGGAAAGTTTGATGAGTACGCGCATATAGTGCCGGGAGATGTCGATGCTTTACAGGACACGGCAAGAGTCAACTGGCTAGAGAGCATCAGGCTGTGCGTGACTATTATCGCGCTCATGCTGGACAAACTCCAGCAGTGCCTGGTCGATCCTGCTATCGTTGCGAACCACAACCATCTTCGTCAGGAACAGGACAACATAGAATATCTACTCTCGTTGATTCCAAGGTATGATTCTGTATGTCATCTCTTGTTCTTTGTATTGATCGTAGCTTCTCGCAAGGCTGCTTGCTTCATACCGAGAATTCCAAAATCCCGCAAACGCGAAGGCAGTGCAACAAATCAGGTCTCCAGCCACAACTCCTACACCCATCCCCGTGATCTTCCCGGAATCATACCCATTCTCGCTGGTTGCTCATCTCCCCAACACGTCGAAAAAGTTCAATGGTGCTTATCACGGAGAGGGCCAGATACTGTTTAGCCCTGCACAAGGCGAGACGGCCGTCACATTCCTGGTCCTTGTATTATCGTGTACAAAGAAGCACCTCCTGGACTTCTTTGCATCAATCTTCGAAATTGAAGGACGAGATAACTTTGCTGCTCTGTTGATGCAGTTCTTCGAAGTCGCCAGTTCGATCTTGGACAATGATGCGTGGCCAAGCAATTGGTTGAACGTCAATATTCTGGCGCATAAGGTCCTGATCAAAATGATGGAATCTGTCGCTGTTTTCTTAGAGAAGGATTTCATTCCCGGTCCGGATGAGACCTTCCAATTCAATGTCGATCTATGGAGGGACGGGATCCACATGCTGCTCAAGCTTCTTTCATCTGACCAATTGGTCATTGAAGAATTCAGCCCCCAGGTGAGAAATTTGACTATCTTGAGTATGGAATATGCATTTATGTTGTTTGGACAAATAGAAACGCCGAGCCGTGTGGCGGCTTGCTGGCGACATACGCGGCGATGGAGCAGCAATCTTACTACAGCTCTGGGATGTCCTTGGTTGGTCTGAGGAGCTATCTGAGAGGACGGGGGCGGTTACACGATTTGGCGTAAGATTCTGTCTTTTTTTCCTGTTCCAGTGGCTTAGCGTTCACATCTAGGGATATCAAACTTTGCTAAGTTCCCTCGTCGGTCATGTCGTCAATCTTTGCCTCAGCCATCACGATCAACTCCGTAGTAACGCCGTCCAAATTCTCTACAGCATGATCGTTTCGCAGTACCACGCTCACCAGCACTTCGACAACATTGAGAACGAACTAGTCAATAAACTCGACTCTTTGTTCATGTCCGATAGCAAAGGAGACGACATTTCACGAGCCTTTTTCATCAGTCAACTTCGCCAGTTGTTCGACTCGTCCTCTTTGGATGAACAGCTTCGAGAGAGGGTAGCCAACTTCTTACAATCCGTGGATGACTTCCTGGATCTTCTACTGAACGTCCGTGCGCTGCCCGAGGGCGATGAATTTGCCGACGATCGTGTCATCGCTACTGTCTGTCCTGGTTTTTCAAATACTGCAGGCATTTACTGACTTCCGGTCCTTCTTTGAAAGCTCCGACTCATGAACTTCATCCGTCGCATTGGTCGAAATGAGATCTATATCAAATATGTTCATCAACTAGTCAACGTATGCTATGAACATAACCCGCCTCTTGTTGCTGCAACTGATTTCTTTTTTTTTTTTTTGCTTTGTAGATGCATCTTCAGTCGCAGAACTTTGTCGAAGCAGCACTCACGTTGAAGCTACATTCCGATCTCCACGAATGGGATCTCAATTCGTTTGTTGAACCCATGGAGGAACTTGGCCTACCACAGCAGTCACAATTCCATCGAAAAGAGACTCTTTCGTTGCTGATATTAGATTATCTCGGTTCGTCTTCCAACGCTATTCATTCAGTCAATTTTTTGCTGAGTCCATTCATAGGCAGAGGAAAAGCATGGGAGAGTGCCATCGAGATCTGCAAGGAGCTGGTCTTTCAGCATTCAGAGGTCACGTTTAACTAGTGCGCACTGTCCTTGCTGCCAATGGCTGTGTTACTGATTCAGTGAACAGTGGACGTCTCGCTGAGATTCTGCGCCATCAAGCTGCTCTCTTGGAGCATATCGTCACCGATCAGCGCTACTATCCTGACTATTTCCGAGTTGCTTTCTACGGCGATTTCCCAGCTGCCATTCGCAATAACCAATTCATTGTAGGTCTAATCGATACAACTCCGTACTCTAGGCTAAATCGTGGTCACAGTACCGAGGGTTCGAGTGGGAAAAGTTTGGGGCTTTCTGCGAACGCATGCTCAACAAGCACCCAGGCGCACAGCTCCTCAGAACTGTAGGAGAGCCTCCTGTCGACATCAAGTTTGGGAACGACCAATACATTCAATGCACAGCCGTTACGCCAGAGCCAAATCAAGCGCTGCCCATCTTCACCAATCCTGATGTTCCGGTCGCAGTACGGACATACTATGAACACAGGCACGTATAATTTAACACCCTTCGCTGCCGGACAAGAGACTGACCCATTCTCGTCGTTTATAGCGCAATCAACCTGTTCAGCTGTTCGCGGCCAGTGCCCAAATTGGACAGCGAAGGTGTGGAGGAAGTATGGATCGAAAAGACCTACTTTACCACGGAGGAATCGTTTCCCACGGTTTTGCGACGATCCGAGGTCGTCGCGCGGGAAGTGCTAGAAATCTCGCCGATCGAATCCGCTCTTCAAGATGTCGAACAAAAGACAAGGGAGTTGGCGGCCCTGAACATTCGATACTCGGCATTGTCCAAGACAGCGCAGGTTTTGTCAACGAATCCTCTCGCCATGACTCTAAATGGCGTCGTCGACGCACCTGTCAACGGCGGCATTGCTCGCTACAGGCAGGCGTTCTTGACCCCAGCCTATCTCATCAGGTATCCCGAGCGTGCAGAGGATGTGGAGAGGTTGCGAAACAGCATCGACGAGCAGGTCCGTCGACACATCTTCGTCGAAATGACTGCTGACTTATTCGCACGTTCGTTCGTTTCCTCACAGGTCCGCGTCATTGACCATTGCTTGCGGCTGCATGGGCAGTTGTGCCCGCCGGAGATGCTGGCGTTCCACGAAACCATGGAGAAGTGGTTCAGGAAAAACTTCCAGGACGAGATCCGTCGGCTGTCTGTCGACGGACAGTCCGAGCGGCCGTTGTCCCGCATGACTGGCCTGCCGGCCGTATCCTCTTACGCGTCCTCCGTGAACGAGACGGCATCCCTCCAGCGCACGGTGTCCACAACATCCACCACGCGCCCGCCGTTCGTCATCCCTCCCCTCCAGCTCGGGCGTCCGGTCATGACGCCGCCTCCGGACTCGCCGCGGGAGAGCGCCAATCCTGGCGGCAGCGCCGCGCCGAAGCAGACGCCGCTGCAGCGGCACCTCGCGCACCTCGCGCGGCACGGAATGAACGGCGTGTCGTCAGCCCCTGGAGAGGGCGGCACCGGGAGCGACTCGGTCTCGGCTGGCTCGCCGCAGGGCTCGCTGTTGAACGTGGTCGGCGTGGGAGGACATCCCATCGCGGCTAGTAGTGGGTCGATCATTGGCAGTGTGGGCGGCTCCCTGAGAGGGCGCTTCTCGCGGTTGGGGAGCCTGAACTTCGGGCGGAAGGATGGTCCATGATGTGCGCTCTTGTTTTTTATTTTCGTTTCATTTCGTCCTGTTTTCCCGTTTTCGTTTCGCTCGGATGGAGGTGCCGATCTACTCTCGATTCGATATGCGTCGCTCATTTATTGTAGTTATTATCTGGGATGCGGTGCTTCCTTTCGCGCATTGTAGGTTTTCGATTAATCCAAGTAGGTAGCAAAGCGAGATACCAGCATTTGTTGTTGTATAATGCAAATTGACGTTCCCTTTTCTCAATTGCGACGCGGACTCACGACGCGCATGGCGGACAGGAGTGTGAACGGCGACTCGTTCCGGAGAAAGGCTACAATGTATGTGTGAAAGACGAAGGTGGGCGGGGACGGACGAAATATATAGTACAGATACTACAGGACGGCGGCGAGCCGGGTCTCGACGCGTGAAGGGGCGAAGGGCAAAGGGCGTGATATGTGGTGAGGAGATCGTGAAAGATAGATGGTGGAACGAACACACCGAATGATACAACAAAACGAAGAGAATAGGGAGTCACAGAAATAAGATAGTCAACTGGCGGCCTCGACGGTCCATGTGAGTAGTAGTAGGTGTGTGTGCGCACGACAGGCTCCTCTTTTCCCTGCTACATGTGCCCATAGCCGGCGGACAGCCGCTTGTCTGGTCTGAGGTACTTTCCGTGGCTCAAGGCGGCGTGGTCGTACAGGCTCGGACGCACGTGCTTGGAGCCGAGGCGGTGCGAGCGCTGGGCGACGCCGGGATGGGCGAGCTGCGGCTGCTCCAAGATGAAATCATGCGTGGCGAGTTCATCCGAATGACGGTAGGGCGACATCCCGCCCGGATACGGCATGTCCATGGCGTTTTCCTGGTCCCGGGCGTGCGACGGGACGAGCCATGGGCTGACAAAGTCCAAGGCGGGCGGCGCCGCGGGGGCCTTCGGTTGCACGAGGGTCTGGGAGCCGCGAGGATCAGCGAGCGCGCACAGAGGCGACGGGTAAGAAAGGGTGCTCACGTATTTCGCGAGGACCTTCCCCAGGGCTTCGGCGAGGCGGGACCAGGGGAAAACCTTGATGTCCTTCTCGATGTGCCGCGGCTTGGGGGCGGGGTAGTCCATAATTTGCTGGAAAAACTCGGAGAAGCGCGGCGTCTTGTTGATGGTGATGGGGTGGAGGCCCTCGAGGTTGCGCCGGATCCGGTTCTTCTCCTCGACGGAAAAGTTGTTTTGGACGAGGTATTGCAGGAGGGAGATGATGTCGACAGAGGTGATGTAGAACTCGCCGTCGTCGACGCGATAGATGCAGGAAGCGACGACCTGGCCCTCCGTGTAGTCCTCCGGCTCGATGGACTTGCACGAGACCAAGATTTGGTTGGCGTCCTGCGTGCGCCCGAACCGCACGAGGCGCCTTCCAGCGCTCAGCTCCTTGACAGTGAAGCCCTCGGACATGGATTCGAGGGGAGAGACGAGGACGAGCTTGAGGCTGTCCGATCCCTCGAGCTCGCTCCGGCGGAGAAGCTGGGAATGAGGCTGGCGCGTCGAGTGGCCTCGCTTATTACGAATCTGGTAGTGTGAGGGTTTCACAGGGCAGGTGGGGGAGATGTGGGTATTTGTGGCATCAAAGACAAAGTGTTCTGCGAGAGAAGGAACGTTTGCCACAAGATCAAGTTCGTGCTTCAGCCGAGATGATGTATCTACATGAGTATCGTTCGGGTGAATACAGCGCGGTATGGGGAAGCAACATGACTGACTCGCTCGCCAATACGTGAACTGGCCAAAGGTGACCGAGTCCAAGACTACATTGTCCGAGTCCAACGCCTGCACAGACACCGAGACGGTTGGAGAGGTTCTAGACTCACTGGGATCTGGGATAGAGCCCTCCAGGCGCCATTTATCCAGCGCGTCTTCTCGGAAGATGACTGTCTGGATGGCCCTGTCGCCAACGACGAGGCGGAGATAGACGTTATTCGAAGGGCGGTAGATATTTCGGAAGCAGGTGTAGACGGTGATGGGGACGCCGTGCTCGCCTTCGATGGGGGTGTAATCCAAGACGCGAAACATTCCCAGGGAGGAGATGGCGAGGCAATCGTCCGCGGAATCTGTGCCCAAGGGAAGTTCTGAAGTAGGGGAAAGGGAATCTGTGCCTTGATCTGATTCTAGCAGGGTGTAAGTTGTGGACTGGGAGGAGCGGGAGGTGGAGAAGGTAGATTGTGAGGGCGGGTCGAGGGGGCTGGGGGAGGGGGAGGGGGAGGAGGACATTGCGGACGGGGAGGAGGAGGGAGGGGAGTAGGATGTGGATGTGGGGGAGGTGAGACAAGGCCGAGGAGGGTCGGGAGGAGTTTATATACGAGCGAGAGGAGGATGAATGGTGGCGGGAAGAGGTTCAAGTGCCGGGGGCCTGACATATTGTCTGTGTCCCAAACCGGTCCCGGTCAGCACTCACTGTCTGCTCCCCCCGCGACCTCCCACCGCACCACATGGACCCCCACCGCCAGGAGCAGTGGCACCGGAGCCCCCGCGCCGTCCGCGCAGCCACGCAGCTGTGTGTGGCCGCAGCAGGGATGGCTGGCGGATGGTGTGGCTCTGAGGAAGACGATGGAGGTCGGCTACTCAAGCGGTCGGTAGCCTCGTGGTCAGCAAGCCAAACAAGACAGCACGATCTCAGATCTCCTCTCCACCCCGCCGTCCTCTCGGGCCTCCCTCCCCTCACACCACCGTCCACACAAACATCCCTTCCCGCTCTCGCCTCACCATAACCGGCGCGCGCCCCGCGCCCGAGGTACACATGGCCGCTTCATCAGACCCTCGCAAAATAATCAGCAACAATAGATCAGAATTCACGCCCTGGTTGCTTCGCTGCCCCCTACGGCTCAACTTGCTCCCTCATGCGACGCAACTGCCCGCCCGGGAACACTTCGTCCTCCCACATCCCCGCAGACGTCGCCCACCCGGAGCCAGCTTGCATCCCTCACAATTATCCTATCTCGCGAGGCACACAGGCTCGCACAAAAAAACCGCGATTAAACAAGTGCAACGCTCGCGGTCTAGACCCACCGATCTAATGGCCCGCTAGCCCAGCTTAGCACCCATTGGGCGCAATCTCCCTGTCCGGCAAGGACCACTTGGAGCTTCGCCCTCATCCGCACTCAATGGCTCGCCGGCCCCTCCATTTTTGTGACCGCCCTCCCCATTCCACAAAGTCGATCCCCCATATCCGACCGCCAAAGGTGGCCTCCGAGTCGGCACCGGGCAAAAGTCCCAGTCCGACGACAGGGCGGACCACCCGACCGCAGCCTATATGTTGAGATGACCCGTGCGCAGAGTGCGATCAACCTCGCTCGATGGACGGGCGGCCCGTCGATCATGGAATACCCACACAGCTCCGTCGTATAATGCGACGCCAAGCGACGGGCGAATACCCGAAGCGCAACCGTAGATACGACCAATAATCGCGCCAGAACCACATCTCAATTTGAGCGTGCCCTGGAGCAGAGGCGGAAACCATGCGTTACATGCAAAATACTCTGCCCTTCCAAGGTGAATAAAAATTGGCCGATAATGACTCTACCATCTGACCGTCAAATAAATGCGTGGTCAGAAGAAGGAAAGCGATAAGGGAAAGAAAAAAGTGCATCTCTGCTGCGCCGTTATGGAGAACTCATCTCAGACGTCTGCGCCTTGTCCAACGACTGCCACCAGGTCAGGACACGGTCCACACGCTAACCGAGTCGGGTCGCAGCACACGGCTGTGTGCCTTTTAAGGAAATACGGGATAGATTGTCCGGTGGCTGACGCCTCGGGAGGTCAATTTTGCAGGCACGTTACATGCCTTGGATCCCAGACGCCCTCTGCGCCCTCCCGCGCCCGCCACACACGCGCGACGGGCGGAATGGAGCCCTCTGCCGACAGCACGCGCTGGCAGACGGTGCACTGCGTCTCGAACAGGCCTTCGTAGGTCACGAGCATCTCCTGTCCGAGGCACGGCGGTCGGGGGCCAGAATCGACAGCGGCGAGCGGACCCATCGGGAGGCATGACAAGAGGAGGGTTTGAATTCCAGAAAATTGGGGGTCGTCGATGATCCGGCGGCGAGGGAGGGCGGCACAGGACGTCAGAGAATTAGTGTGGCAGGACGATCGAGTGCGCGCGCACCATGAAACATTGGAACGAGATCCGCGGCGCGGATTGGACCATCCGCGCAATGTACTGTGAAAGCTTCAAGAAGACTTGGTAGTCGGACTGTGAGTGGGGAGGTTTCTGTGTGGCAAGGGAGGGCGGTGAGCTCTCCATGACGTCCCGAGTTTCGGAGAGATATAAGTCAATGAGCCCTACCCTTTCTCGGGCCCCGAACGCCGTGACGGTCTCTATGAGCAAAGGTCGATCGTCGTACTTTTGGGACCTGTCCTCCTTCGGGTCCTCGTAATGTCCAAGTACGATGAACGCCTTGAGGACATCCGGAATCACGAACCGCAGCAAGAGCGGGACGCGCAGGTCGCGTGGCTCCTTCGGGCCCGACAGCCAGATGTGCAGCCTCGCCTCTCGCGACGGCGCCGCGTTGAACTGGCGAATGTATTCGGGAACACCCGCTATCGACAGCGGAAGGGCAGACGGCTCGGGAGACGGGAACAGCGACGCGGTCCGGGGGTGGAAGGAGGGGTACGGCCGTGGCGACTCGGGCGTCGACGAGCGCCTGTCCGCCGCCAAAAGCGCGCGGCGTCAGATCGAGAGACAGCGCAGAGCCGTGTGCAGGCCTACCGACGCTTGCGGGCCCCCGTGCGGCCACCGTCCCTGAGGCCCGAGTGGTCCCTGCGCTCGCTCTCGGCTGCCACCCGCAACGCCTCCTGCACCTTCGTCTGCAGCAGCGCCCTGCGCATCTCGGTCGCCTCGAACAGGACGCGCTTCATCGTCTCCAGGAGAGTGCCCGGCGTGGGGTCGGGGCCGACGTCGAGGCCCGGTGTGCGGAGGAGCAGGGGCGGCAGCTGGCGCAGGCCGGGCACGCGCGCGGAGAACTCGGTGAGCGCGTCTATCTGGGATTGCAGGGTCGTCAGCACAGACTGGGGCGCCGTGGACGATGGAGAGTGTGTGGGAGGGTCCATCGCAGGAGACGGTGGAGGAGGTCGCGGTCGCGGTCACAGGTCGCGTGTGGTGGTGCAGTGGTAGTTGCTTCGGAGGAGCAGCTCCGCGGCCGCAGAGCCGGGCGCGACACGGGCGCTAGCTCGACACGTGGGAATTGGATTACCGATGCGGAATCGAGTGGTTGGATCTCAACTCATGGCATCTGCTGCTTGATACCAATGCCCCTTCTTGTGATCTCGCCCTTTCTCTCTCGAAGCGTTGGCTTCGCTCGCTCGCCCTTCTCGTGTGCCCAGGCCGAAATGTCTGATATCTCGATTGCCACGTGGAAAGGCACGGTCTGCGGTCATATCTTGGAAGCCTCGCCTGTCAGTACAAGTACTACTAGCTGGTACATACAAATATCCAACACCAATATATACGAGGCGTTTCACGTCGTCGCGTTCGCGACTGGCGGCTCCCACAAATGCGCGATTAAACGCGCTCGTCCCACCGCGGTCCCATATGAGTCCACGACAACATGCCATCATCATCAGCCGGCCGCCTATAAATTGGGCAGGGTGTCGACACGCCCGCGCATCAGAAATTCCACGACCTACTTACCCACTTATTATGCGACTCCCGTAAGACAATAGCGGCCCAATTCCTGGCGCCGTCGCGAACGCCGCCAGATGTCGCCGCAGCTTTGCTCGCGACGCGGGGCCCTGATCACGGGCTGTTAGCCGACAATCTTACCACTTCAAGTCTCCCTCCATCTTCTCTCGGAGAGAGAGAAGCACGACCAGAACAGAACAGAGAACAGAACAGAACAGAGCGTCAGAACCAGGCAGCGCACAGTCCCCTTTTCTTTTCTCCGGTCGACGCCCTCGAAATCACGATATTCTTTCGTCGCGCCACGGACTGTGCGCCGTCCGACCCATCACCCGCCGTTGATTCTCTGGGGCTTACAATGGTGCTCAGTGGTCAGAAATTCGATACTTCCGGCAGTCTCCCGGTACAGCGATAAGCGCCCGACGTCCCCCTCTCGCACTGCACGGCATCGTGACGTACACCGCGACGATTCAGAGCCCTGTCGACGGTCCACAATAGCCATAGAAGGAAGGTATCGTGTTCGCTCGATCCTAGTCCCCAACTGCGTGCGTAAGTACTGACGATGGAAATTCCCCGTGACTCATTTGAATGCCCTGTCAAACCTACGTCCGTTCTCAGGACCGACAGAGCGCCAACAAGAGGCATTCGTCCTTATGAACGTCGATGGTTCGCTCGCTCCCCTCAGACGACGGAATTCAACGATGCTGGCGACGTCGTCGACGGCACGACGCGGGCCGGCCAGGAACCTTATTGTATCGAATGACTTTGTGCTTCCGTCTATGAACCGAAACTACTACTAATGGACAATGCAACGGACCCCATGTGACGACGATGCCAAAAAAGGTGGGAGAGTGAGGGAGTGAGAGAGGTAGGCGGACGGGCGCGCGCGCACCACGACACGGGGCGGCGGTATATAGATAGTGTGCGGGTGTGCGGGTGTGTGCAGGGAGGAGGAACCTGCGAAAGCGAAGAGAGGGCGAGGGTGAGGGCGAGGGCGAGGACGGGGGAGGGAAGGGGAAAACAGCGGACGGATGCCAGGGACAGAGAAGACGAAACGCAATCCCAGCCAGCATTACGATACCATAGTAGAGTACCCACGGCGCGGCTCAAAAAAGTAAAAAGAAAAAACGTAGGAAAAAAGGTCAAAGAAAAACACAGAAAACAGGTCAGAAGGGTATAGAACATGGCAATAGAGTGCGACAATATATAGAACGACAAATGTCCTTCGAAGGCACCGGCAGCCGATCGAGCCTCGTCCGTCTCTCGAAACTAGCGTCCGGGGTCGAGAGGGCCCAGCGGGCCGTAGTCGTCCGACCCCGCGCTCCCGCCCCCGCTGCGCCGCTTCGCGTGCGTCTTCCAGTCGCTCCCGACCGCCGAGCTCGCGCCCTCCGTCGGCCGCGTCGGCGACACGGGCGATTGTATGGGCGGCATAACCCCCCGGGAAACCGGCGTATACGTCCCTGCTGGGCCGTCCGACAGCTGGAACCGCGCCGCCGGGGCGGGGTGGAGGTAGTCGGTCGACGAGTTCGCGGACGGCCGCTCGTCCCAGCCGCGGTCGAGCATGGCCTCCAGCTCCGCGCCGCCCACCGTGGTGGCGCTCGCGAGGGCCTGAGGCGCGAGGCGCTGCAGCCCCGGCGGTGGCGGCGGATACTGCGAGTTGTTCTCGTTGTAGCCACCGATCTGTGGGCCCCACTGATCTTCGTCGGAGGACGCGATCGAGACCGTGTCAGACCCGTCGTACTGGCTGTGCGCGTCGGAGCGCACGCCGAGGAAGTCGGTGTCGCCGGCGTTGTATCCTGACGGGTGGGCGCGCTCGAACTCTCGTCTCCGCTTCTCCTCTCTCCGAAGTTTCCGCAGACGAGAGCGCTCCCAGTCTTCCCATCGTCTCAGAGGGATCGCACTTCCCGCGAACACCCCCTTGCCCTCCCCGTGGCCTTCGCCCTTTGCCTCGCCTTCCACCTTTCTGTAAAAGGAGTCAGCGACGGCTACGATCAGAGAGTGACAAAACGTGTATTCACCTCGTTTCACCCCACGAGAAGTCATCAAAGTGCCAAAACGCGTAGACGGGAAGGATGAAGTTCCATACTGGAAGCGCGACCAAGTAGATCAGCATCCAGAACACATAGACGACCTTCCGCGTGGTGATCAGGATCAGGACGGCGGGGAGCCCGAGGACGGCAACGAGCAGGAGCAACGGAATAGCCTCCTCAAAGGATTTCGGGGGATTGATTCCAGAGGAGATGACGAGCAAGTAAGTGAGCGAGATGGCGATGGGAAGGACGACGGTGCCGAGGAGATCCATGAACACAACGAACTGCATGCTGAAGCAAAAGGTGCCGCAGAGGTTGCGCACGAGGACGAGCTCCATGAGATTGTGGATGGTAGAGTTGATCCACCGACGACGCTGGGAAAGCAAGACGCTGAACGTATCTGGGACGACGGTGCGGCACCTCGCCTGTGGAAGGAACATCATCTTGCGATTGGGGAAGGTCCGGAGCAGGCAGGTGGTCAGGAAACGATCCTCGCCCAGGAGGAGCAAGTTCTTCTGGTGCAAGGTCGTCACCTCGCTCTGGCTGTACTCTTTCACGATCTCGGGCTTGGTGATCAGCGGCACCCAATCGTCGCCGGTCTGCTTGCGAGCCTTGAGGCGGAACATGGAGAAACACCCCGGCAAACAGGTGACACCGCCAAAGACGGACTCGAAGGCCTTGGCGAGGTGGTGGGAGATGAAGTATTCAAAGACCTGGATGGAAGTCACCCATGTCTGACGTTTGTTCGCTATGCGCGTCTCACCGCACACGCCCATGATCATCTGGTCGTGGTGCATGCAGTTGACGAGGTAGGTGAGGGAGTCGGGGAAGACCTTGGTGTCAGCATCCACCTGCGTGGGCGGTCAGCATCGGCTCTACGCAAACAGACGCCGCGAACGCTCACCATCAAACACACTTCAAAAAAGTCGGGCGTCACGCCCATCAATATATGCATCTTGCGGAAGAGATCAAAGTCCAAAGGCGTCATCCGGTCGTTATACGTGACGCGAGAAAAGAAATTCATTAGGATAAGTTGGCTGTCCCGCTTGCCTCGATTGCCAGGCTTCTTCTCCGTGGCAGCTTCCTGTTCAGTCCCGCACTTCACGACGATCACGGTAGGCGTCCTGCGACCCGCGACAGCTAAGACGCGAGGGGTCAGCTGGCGTACAAACCGCAAAGGGGCGATGGACGCACTGTAATGGCCCGCATATACCATGGCACGGTTGTCCTGCTTCGAACCCGAACCCACGGCGATGTAGCTCATAGGCATGGGGTTGCCGAACCTGGGGTCCGCCTCCAGCATGCTGACACAAAGGTCGGGCGTGCTGCGCTTCTCGCCGGCGCCGGTGATCATGCCGTCCGCGACGATGAAGAGCAGCTTGCGCGCGTCAGAGTAGGTGGTCGTGGAGATCGAGTCGAGCGTCGTCCGGAGCGACTCCTCGCCCTCGGAGTAGCACGTGACGAGACAGACCGCGAAGAGCTCTGCGCCGATCTGTGCCAGGCTGACGATCGGCGCCGCAGAGTCCGCCTGCGAGGCGAGAGTCGTGCTGGAGGCGTATCCGGACTTGGTCCCCTTGCCGGGCTTCGCGAGCTTTTTGGTCCCCCCAGGTCCGGCCCAGGGGGCGGTTCCGTGCTTGTTGTCGATCGAGACGTTGGCGCCCTCGGGCATGACGGAAGGGCTGATCGCAGAACGGTTGAGGGTCATGCTGTCAGGAGAGCCAGCGAGGCGCTCGGAGAGGAACCAGTTGAAGATGCAGGCCATGGCAAAGCGGACGAGGACGAGGGTGAGGATGACGATGAGACCGGCGTAGAGGACCAGCTGCGAGACGAAGCATCCAGGCGTAATTTTGTCGATGTTTCCCGCGGAATAGCGCTGGACAAGACACGGCATGGCCTTCTTGATGTCCGAGCGGCTGACGAAGAGGCGGGTCCCATCGCGACCGCCGGTCGCGTCTGCGAGGAGGGTTCGAATGGCGAGATCGACGTTGTCAGAGGGGATGGCGGTGGGGTGGAGCTGAATGTACGGGTTGAGGTTGAGCACGGAGCCGTCCAAGACGATGTAGTTGGGGAGGCTGTCGATCTGGTCCCAGTCGTAGCCGACGGGGCGGGTCATGTTGACGAGCTTGAGGGAGGAGAAGACGGCGGAAGAGTTGAGGGCGCCGAGGTCGCACTTGGTGGCGGAGGTGCATGGGCTGTCGAGAGCGATGCGATAGGAGAGGCCCTTGCAGGCGGGGTAGCTGTCTGCGTCACGCTGGAAGTGGGGAGTGATGTCTTGGCCTGGGAGGGACTGGGAGAGCTTGAGAAAGTCGACCGAGTCGGTGGAGAGGGACTGTGTGACGTTGAAAGCGAAGCCGCCGACGCCGAGCGTGCCTGAGGTGGAGCCGAGGCTGATGAATCGCTTCGTGTTGAGGCTGCTGGTCTCTGGACAGAGGACCTTCTGGAGGCCGACGGTTGAGAAGCCGACTATGGCGCAGAGGATGGCGACGATGAAGCAGAGGGCCATCTTCTCGCGCCATGCCTGAATTGTGTTCTTGTCCTTGAGGCCGCCGATGGACTGGAGGAGGAAGGCGGGAGCCCACCAGGTGACGACCTTGGAGAAGATGACCCAGGCATCGAGAGAGGAGGAGGAGCTGTCTGCGACTGTGCCCGAGGGGGACGAGAAGAGGGTGGACTGTGGGTTAATGAGGGGCGGGGGGGCGACGCTGCGTTCTGGGCGGGTGAGGGTCTTGGCGCGCCTGACGGTGGCTGCCGACTGGAGCTTTGTTGTCTGGACTGGGACGTCTGATGGCGCGTAACCGGCGGGCATTGGAGAGCAGAAGAGAGGAGAAAGGAGAGAACGAGAAAAGACAGGCCTGCGCACGGAGGCGAGAGGGCGAAGGAGGGGACGTAGCGAGGCGGCGCGCTCACGGTGGGTGTCGAAGGGGCTCTTGCTTCTTTCGGCCCTGCTTGCTCACTCCTCTCCACAACCCCTTCAAACTCCGCAAGCCGACTCACAACCCCTTCGGATGCTCAGCCCTTGAAGCTGCAGCCCCGCCGTCCTGCTCAGATGCTCTCTGCACCCGCACCACCGCCCCCGTTGCTCCCAGACTATCTCCCGAAAAATGCCTTTCGCCAGCCCGCGCTCTCTCCGGAAATGCTCCACGAACAGAGGCTCGCTAGCCAGGTGCGCGCGCACACACGCACACCCTCCCCCCATCAACGGCGCACGCTCACGTCTATTGCCCAGTTGATGCACCTCGCGTCCCAGTTCCACGGAAGCGAATACAACCAGGCCAAGTTTGGGCCGAGGGGCAAGTCTCCATCAGCCATCAGAGCCGCTCTGCCCTCTCAACTGAACTGGTCACACAGGCTCCCCCGTCACGTACATCCCGCTGTCCATCCACATCCCCGACCACTACAGGCAGCTCCAGGCCCGCCAGGCTGTACGTGCAGAAGCAAAGGCCTGGTGGTTGTACGACAGGACACCCTTCCTCGCCGCCCGCCGCACCGATGCGCAGACCCCCCACCTCCCCCCGCCGCCCTCGCTCACCGACACCACCTCCTGTGCCGATCTCAGCTGTGACCTCTCCGCCGCCATCGACACTCCCCTCGTCCCCGCCCCCGCCGTCCCCGCCGAACCCCGCCTCAAAACGTCCGACACCCACCCTATCAAGTGAGTCCCCCATCGACCACGCACCACCGTCCGTCTCTGACGAGCCCTCCAGCATCTCCCCGATTGTCCCGCCGGAGCTGCTGCCCACAATATCTCTCCACCTCTCGCCTTCCCAGCCCAACGCGCCCACCATGTTCCACATCCATCACGCCTTCTCCCTCGACCGGCTCACCACCCTTCCTTTCGCGTCCTCTTCCCCTCCTCCGCCGCCCCTGCCCACCCCCGCACCGACGACGCCCACGCCCCAGCTGCCCGCCGAATTCTTCGCCCCCTCACCGGATTTCCCGCCTCCCGTCTCGCAGTTCACGTGGAACAGGTCGTCCATGCAGCGCGCACTCCAAGCCGCCTTGACGAGCGACATCCACCCGCGCTCGCCCGCCGCATTCACAAAAGAGCCCAGCACCCCCTCCGTCCCTCGCCTGCCCCCGCTCAACCTCCCCAAGTACGACATCCTCGGTGAGATCCTCGCCAGCGCGGACGACAACATGCTCTTCGAACCGTCCGTCGCGAGCCACCTCGGCCACGCCCGCAACCTCTCCGCCCCTCCGATCATGTTCCAGACCCTCATCTCCGACGCGCTCAGCCCCAACCGCCGCGCCCTGAACACCGTCGTCGCGGGCGGTCTGCCCGCCATCCGCAAGGACTCGTTCCAAAGGTGACGCCTGCCCCCCGTCCCCGCCCCCGCGCCCTGACCCGACCCGATCTGACGCGCATATAGGAGGCACGCCGCCTGGAATCTCACCGCCATCACGGAAAACGCGCCCTCGAAGCCGGAACTCAGCCAGCTCTCGTCGATCAGCGAACGGCCCCCGCACGACGCTGCTCCCGGGATCCCGCTCCCGCCCACGCCCGCGCCCTCGGTCCCCACCATCGGTAACTTGTTCCTATCTTCGTGTCCCGGCAAAAAGGGTACGTCTCCGCACGCGTGCGCCCGTTGTGTGCCTCGCTGACAGCGCGCAGTCCGTCTAAATGGCCCGGTGCGCGGGCGCGGCGCGATCTGCCGCGATCTCAAGCAAGACCTCGAGAGGATGAAGGACGCGGGGGTCGGCTGCGTCGTCTGGTGCGTGCCCTCCCCGCCTGATCTCCACCGCGTCTCGCTCACTTTTCGACAGCTGTCTCGACGACGACGAGCTCGAGTTCCTCGGCGCGCCCTGGCCCGTGTACTCGCAGGTCGCCAACGAGCTCGGGCTGGACATCCTCCGGTGCGTCCGTCGTGTTCGCACCACCTGACGCGCGCGCGTGCGCTTGCTCACCTCGCGGCTGTGGCCACAGGATCCCGATGCCCGAGGGCCTCGCGCCCGTGTCGGCGCACACCCTGGACGCGCAGCTCGCGCGGCTGATCTCGACGTACACGCTCAACGGCGCGCACGTGCTCGTGCACTGCCGCGGCGGCGTGGGGCGCGCGGGGCTGATCGCGTGCTGCTGGATGCTGCGGCTCGGGCTGTGCGGCACGCCGCTGCCCGCGCGGCGCGGCGTGGGAGAGGTGCGGGCGGGCACGCTGCAGCTCGTGGAGCGGGTGGTGGCGATCGTGCGGCGGCGGCGGAGCCTCAAGGCGATCGAGACGTACGAGCAGGTGAAGTTCCTGGTCGGGTACGTGGAGTTCATGGCGGAGAGGGCGGCGGAGGGGGGGCGTCTATTAGGGTGAGGGGAAGAGACATTGGTGTTGCGCGGGGGACGGATGATACCACGAGGGGGGGGATACTGATTTATAGATATATACCTATTGCGCTGCGCCTGTCCATAGACTACTGTAATACCGTCGTCTGGTCCGAGGCCCGAGGGTCACGTGTGTGCACCTCCAGCGCCGATCTATTTCTGAGCCGACAGCGCTTCCCTGGAGTGCGAGCGAGCACCGCCGCATACGTCCCTTCCGCGCAGGCCGCCGCTCTCTCCAGCCCAAGCAGCCCTCCACCTCCCCCCCGATACCCACCACCATGATCTCGCTGCTCGCAAGCTGCTCTCTCCTTTGCCTCCTCCCCGCCCGGCAAGCGTACGCCCAGGTCGTGCCAGCCACCTCCGCCGCGTCCCAGTACTCCCTCGCAACCTCCACCTCCATCCCCTTCCCGACCGCCACCCTCGCCAACACCGACACCCAGTCCTTCCTCGTCGCCAACTGGGGCCTCAGCAAGGGCAAGATCCAGAACGGCGCCGCAGACCTCGCCTTCGTCGCCGACCCCTTCCCGAACAACCCCGTGCCGACCGCCAGCACGGGCACGAACGCCTCTGCGCCCGTGCTGCGCGTCACGTACCCCAAGGGCAGCTTCAAGGACGACAACTCGGGCGGCGCCCAGATGTACGCGCTGTGGAACGCGTCCTCGTCCGCCGCGGGGTCGACGGGCGCCGCCTTCCGCTCGATGATGCTCTCGTACGAGGTCGCCTTCGACGCCGGCTTCGACTGGGTCAAGGGCGGCAAGCTCCCCGGCATCAGGGGCGGGCCAGATCCGAACGGCTGCTCCGGCGGCCACCAGCCCAACGGCTCCGACTGCTTCAGCACGCGTCTCATGTGGCGCAAGGACGGCGCGGGCGAAGGTGCGCGCGCGTTCCGCTCTGCCTTTTGTTTGTTCAATGCGCACGGCGTTCTCGTGCGCGACGCGTAACCTTGCCGCCGCCGCCCCGCTGCGCGCGCGCGCTTCACAGTGTACGCCTACATCCTGCGGCCGAACAGCATCTGCTCCAGCGCGAACCTCACGTGCAACGACGACTTTGGGGTCAGCATCAGCCGCGGCTCGTTCTCCTTCGCGAGCGGACAGTGAGTCGCCCGTGTCCTCCTCCCCCGCCCCCGCCCCCGCCCCCGTCCCCTGCGGCGCCTCATGCATGCTGCCTCCCTCCCACCGCGTGCAGGTGGAACCGCGTCACGCTCCTCGTCAGGCTGAACAGCCCCGTCAACGTCGCCAACGGCCAGGTCACCGTCTAGTGAATACCGCCTCGATGCGTTTTATTTGATTTTTTTGCGGGGTGCCGGTTGACGTTCTCCACGCAGCTACAACGACATCGAGGTCCTGTCGCAGGATAACCTCCAGATACGCAGCAGCGACGTCGTCACCGCCGGCGGCCTGTATTTCTCGTGAGTCCCCGCGCAGCGTCGCGGTCAGCGCGCGTTCACCCCGCCCCCGCTTTCTATCCTAATCCCATCCCCTACAGGACCTTCTTCGGCGGTGAGTGCAGCGGCCCGTCCCGTCCCCGTCCGCGGGCGTCCTGACGCGCGCTCTGATCCGCAGGCTCCGACGCGTCGTGGGCCGCCACGAACGACACACACACCTACTTCCGCAACATGCAGCTCTGGGGGAGCTCCGCGCCGTCCGATCTCGCGGGCGCGACCGTGAGCGGCGCGCGCGCCGCCCGCGCGGGGGCCGCTGTGCATTGGGCCCTCTGCGTCGCGGCCGGCGGGGCCCTGCTCGTGGCGGGCGCGGGCGCGGGGGTGTTGTGAGCGAGTGGGGTTTTTTTTTTGTCGAGTGGGGATGGGTGGATGGGTGGATGGGTGGGTGGATGGTGGTTTGTTGGATTGGCTGGACTGGCAGGAACTGGCAGGATTGACTGGACTGGATCGACTGGGATTCGTGATAGTGATACCTTGAGTCGTTGTCGTCGTTGTCGTACCGTGTGCATAATGGCGATTGAGATTGGGATACGTGGACTCTGTCGTGGATGCTGGATTTTACGACGACCTGGCGATTATGGCGTTTCGGATCGTCCGTCGACACAAGGGTCGTGGACGGGTCTCATCACTCATCGACCGACTGGTGCATTGCATACTAGAGTGCGCTCGCACTGCTGATGGTCGACGGCGGGGCGGCTTCGATTTCTATAATAGTACACAGACAGATCGGGCACATATGAAGTGAAGCTACAGTGGTAGAGTGCAGAGCATCCGACGCGCGACCGAGGTCTAGCAGCATATGCAGAACCTCCAAAGACCCTCTCCCTCCTCCATTCCATCCATCCGGTCTGGGCACTCGATCGCCCCGCCTATGACATCCGGGGGGTACAGGTACCCGTTGACTAAGTAATAACATGTACTGTATCGGCCGCGCGCGGCTTCGCCTGGGCGAGGGCGTGATGCGCGCATGAGCGATCCACGGACGCCGACGACAACACCGCCACCACCACCGCGATTCACAGGTACACGCCCCGATGCCGCCTTGTCCGGTATCGTATCCTGGAACAGACTGGCGGGAGCGCGATCGCGATCGCGATCGGGCTGCTTTGGGATGCGTGGGCGTGACACTGTGGGCTGGCGTGGGTGGTGGGCCGCCGCGGTTCCGCGTCCGAGTCGGGCTATCTATGTATGTATGCATCTATGTATGGAATGGTGTGGTATGGTATGGTGTGCGCGGCGCCCGAGGATGCGTGGCTGCGTGGCTGCGTCGCCCCGGTCGATCGACGCGCTCGGGAATGGAGGCGGGTGGGTGAGGGGATCGGTGCGGTGCGGTGCTCGGACGACGGACCATGTCAGGGGCGCGCGGGCGGCGCTGACAGAGTCTGGCAAGTCTGTGCGCGATGCGCCGTTGGGCGCATTTAATTGCCTGGTGCAATACAGGCCCGGGGGCGATGGCAGTACTTGACACAATGGCGCCTTGGCCCCAGTTGGCCGATCGTGCGTTCCCAGCGGTCCTGTTCCTGTTTCTGGGCACCGTCTCCGAGGCTTGCTCTTGACAGCCGCGGATGACGTTCATTATACTGTGGCTCGCTCCAAGGGGCACGAGTTTGACGTCGGACGGGCCAGCGTCCTTGCGTTAGTGCCTTCGTTCCCCGGGGAGCACTTCATTCTCCTGGTAGTCGCGGTGGCCCTCGAGGGAACTCCAAGTCCTGGTGGACACGATGGTGAGAGCCCCAAAAGCCAAAATGACTGCGCCTCAAGTCGCGGACATGGGGATTCTGCGTCGTGCGACTCGGTCGGAGCGGGTATCTATTTGTTTAAATTTTGAAAGGGCCTCCCCATAGGCCTATACTTGCGTGTATGAAAGCGTCAGTATTGAAGCGAGACCATTGAATGAGTTTCACCGGGCGCCCATATTGGGAAATTGCTGAGGACGTGGGATGACCAGAAGCAGTTGCTCACCGATCGGCTTATTTATCAGAATCTCTTCATATATTTTTGCACGGAGGGATGTATGGTTGAAAGGCCTGTGAGAGTTGCATCAAGAAAGGCAAGGCGTTGGTTGGGAGTCACCGTCTGGGGTCACCAACCCACAATCGAGGTTAGGTTTTGCAGGTCGACCGGCCGAAAGCCGATGGAGAGCCGCCATTGCCTCTTACAGCAGCCAAGTTTGAATCGTCCAGTCATCGTCCGCTGAATTCACCTCGCCATCTCGTGAAATCGATCCACAAGGTCTTCAGATTCATCCCCCTATTCCGCTTGTCTCGACGCTCAAATATGGCCTTTTCAGGTGCACTCGTGAGTCCATCCCTGCGTCTAGGAGAAAATGCTGCGTGTTCCGGTGCTCACGATGTTATCGCTCGACGTCAGACTCTCACCGATCTGAATGACTACATCACGCCCTCGCAAGCGTGCATAAAGCCCGTGGAGCAGACGAACAGAGAAGAGGCCTCTTCCAAGCCCGGAGCGGCAGCTGTACGTCTCCAAACCGTGGCGCCCCATCACTCACAATGATCATGAAACGCCTTGATAACAGACAGAAATTCGCATCGATGAGCACGGGGCGTACTACGAAGTATCGCAGGCGGCGGCGTCGTCCAGCACAGCGGCGGGCCCGAGCTCAGGGAAGAAGCTCCAGACAGCGGAGATCAGTCTGAACGATTGTCTGGCGTGCAGGTGCGTCGCAACCCACTCGCCCAGCGCCACATAGGAGACGTGGCGTTGACGCATCACACTTGACCGTGCGCGTGCTCACAGCGGATGCATAACGTCTGCCGAATCCGTCCTCATCACCCTCCAATCTCACACCGAAGTCCTCTCCTTCCTTTCCTCGAACCCGCCATCGCCTTCTCCCTCGCACAAGACCCCCGTCATATCCATCGCACCACAGTCATTGGCATCTCTCGCCGCTTCCCTTGCACACTCATCGGGCGAAACGCTCAGCCTGGACGAGGTCCTGAGTAGAGTAGAAGCGTTCTGCAAGGAGTCCCTTGGGTTCGAGCATGTCTTCGACACGACGTTTGCTCGACACATCGCGCTGCTCGAACATGCGCGGGAGTTCGAAGAACGGCGCGCTGCGTCCGCCGCTGCGCCATCTTCTACGACAAACGGCCACGGCCACGGAGGATGCAGAGGCGATGGCGGATGCCAGACCCACGGCGAGGGATCATGCAATCACGCCGGGACGGGATCCGGGAAGCTCCCGATGCTCGCGAGCGCATGCCCAGGTTGGGTATGCTACGCCGAGAAGACGCACGCAGAAATGCTGCCGTTCATCAGTCGCACGAAGAGCCCCCAGCAGGTGATGGGCACGCTCGTGAAAGAATGGCTGGGCGCGAAGTGGGGGAAAAAGTGCGTCATGCCCGCCTGCTCCGCGTCGTGTCGCTCATCGGACGCTCTCGTCGCAGCCCGGACGAGATCTACCACGTCACGGTGATGCCCTGCTACGACAAGAAACTCGAAGCGTCTCGCAGCGATTTTTACAACGACCTGTTCCAGACGCGGGACGTCGACTGCGTGCTCACGACCGGCGAGCTCGACCTCCTCATGCGCGAAAAGGGGTGGGATCTTTCGTTGCCTGTTCCCTCATCCTCGTCCTCGTCCTCGCCGCCACCCACGCCTCTCATTCCACGCCTCCTCGCGCATCCCGGCACATCCTCCGGCTCATATCTGCATTCGCTGCTCTACCACATCACGACCACGTCGCCTTACCCGCTAGCCCTCACCACCAAAACCATCCGGTCAGCGGACTACGAAGAATACGTCCTCACACGGGAGCGAGAAGCACCAGAAGCGCCAGAGGTCGTGTTTCGGGGTGCCAAGTGCTATGGCTTCCGGAGTTTGCAGAACGTGGTCAGGAAGGTGGGGAAGGAGGCCGGGGTGCAAGTGGGGCGCGGCGCGGCTGGGCGGCTGGGCGGCGGACTGCGGGGCAGAGTCAAGAAGACGGGAAAGGGGGCGGGAACGGCGGAGGAGCGGCCGTACGACTACGTGGAGGTCATGGCGTGTCCTGGGGGGTGCGTGAACGGCGGCGGCCAGCTGCGCGCGCCCGTCGCTTCCAAGGACGAAGAGGGGTTCACGAGGGATTGGAACATGAGCGGGGTGGTCGAGGGCGGAAGTGCGGGGGCGGGGTCGGGGTCGGAGCTTGCTACGCGCTGGGGCGACAAGGCATGGACGAAGCAGGTCGAAAGGGCGTACTGGGACGGCGTGGAGGTGGCCAATGGCATACCAACGCCGCCTGCATCGCCGAAGATGAAGGTCGGGTGCGTCCCAAACCGAGACGAGGCAGATCGGGTCGCAGGGCGGGTCTTGGCGGATGTCCTTGCGGGCTACGGGGTAGACCAGGAGATCGACTGGTCGACGCGGATGGGCGCCGAGGCTGAGGAGAGATGGCGGAGGTTGTTCAGGACTGAATACAGGGCTGTCGAGAGCGAGGTGATTGGATTGGCCGTGAAGTGGTGATTCAGGCCTGTTCGATTGGTAGTCAGGTTGTTGTATTTTATGGTCTAGCACTAGACACGCCGTGAGCTGGTACCAGTTGTAGACTCAAGTTGTGTGCATGGCGGGGACGATATCTTCTCGCGTGTAGAACATCGTTCCTTGTCTTGAACCCCTCATCTGCTCAGAATCAGACTAGATATGCCGAAACACGTCACTGTGCATCATCACTGGATACCGTCGCTGCTTGGACGAATGTAGCAGGCTTATAAGCTGGTGAGAGATGGTAGGGGCCAGAAGCCACGCAAAGATATATTTTTGTCGTGTCACAAAGGCTGGAAGGCCCGTTTCCCCCCCTCCGAGTCCCCCTTTCTCCTCTACTCTCGGATGTCGTTCTTGCCCCGGTGCTCATGTTCCACTTGTGAGTCTGGTAGTATGCATCGTTCATTTCTGCGCGAGCATAGACCCCCGATTGTGCATCGATCGATCACAGCCATACCCCGCTATGATGATGGAGCAGCCGTCGGTGCATGGCCCTGGAGGAGACTACGGTAACTACCCAACAAATGGTTGTATGGTGAGGAGATGTCACTTACCTGATTTTTCCGCTGGATGCTTTCTCAGAGGTTCCTTGTTTAGTCTGTTCTGTCGACATCATCTGCGGACGCGACGAGCGTGGGCGTTCCGTCTCAGCCCATCCCTTTGCATGCCCAACAACCGCCTACTTCAGCTGCATCACTGGTAGCGAGTCATTCGCCGTCGACATGCTGTCAAAACTCTCGCAGTATGGTCTTGAAACCATCCAAGGACTGGATATAGTGGAATGCTATCACCACGATTCTGGTGCCAGGTTCTCATACACCTCCCGCACGTCTGGCGAGAGGGAGTGCCATTCTAGTCCGGTTTGTCGTTCGTGAATGTCATCGGGCAGGCGTAGTGCTGGGCCAGATCTCCCACTTCTTGCTGCCAAGAACAATCACGAAACAATACAATGGGCGGAGAGGACCTTGAGTGCCAGGGAATGCACCGATACCCGACCACACTCACCTGTTGGATGCGTGAAAGGCCGATGTCGCAAGGGGTTGGGGAGAGGGGAAGATCGATAACGCGGCCGCCTTCCCGAACGCACCTGGTGGTTTTAGACCAGGCGCATCAGCAAAAGTTCTAGGGATAGCATCTGTCAGACGTACCGTGCTCGCGCAAGTTTGCCGTTTCTTGAGGACCTGCGGTGTCTCGGGAGCCTCCACCGCGGACACCGCCCTTTCCATAAGGGTCATGTCACCGACTACCTCAACCGCCATGATGATGCACGACCGGTGTGTATAGGTCAAGGGAGCTAGTGGGCCCGCTCCCGTTTCTCGCGCCTTTCCATCCGACACCTACGCGCGTACAGGATGGTGAGCGTGACATACGAGAAGACGAATCCGACCAGGCTCACGCATCCTTTCTGGCAGTTCCCTGCTGCAGTGGTTTGGAGGCGACGTCGATGCTCGCAGAGGATATTACAATGGACTTGTATCCGGAGGCCTGCACGATGTCGGTCCCGCCTCGCGTTTTCTGTCCCGACAGTAAACATCGAGCAAAAGTGGGGTTTAATGTACGTTTGACGCTGTGCGCTGGGGCGATACAAGGTGAGTGGTGTGCACCCTTTCGTTTGAAACAGCTGGTTATATACTCTCTCGGTGCAGAGCCTGTCCGCATTTTCGCCTTGTTTCCTCAACCACAAAGTATGAGATATATCCTCATGCATTGTTCGTTGTAAGAAAGGCCTTTCGAAGCGCATCGCGCTCTCGATACTTGTCCAACACCCAATGGAAGTAGGAGGGGCTTGGGCTGCACTCCTTTGTCTCCCGCCAAGCTCGATGGGTGGCGAAAAAATATAAGACAGGGATGTTCCGCTCAATGGTTCCTTGTAATGCGCAATCATAATCTCTAGTCGTAGCCTGCACCTCGTGGCCCCAGCACAAGGATTCTGTACATCGGGACAGCCCCTCATACACGGCATCCTTTGTCCGCATCATGCCTCGCCTCCTCTAATCGCGACGCCTCAGCCATCAGCGCAGCCTTCCGACCCACACGCCCACATACCCACACGCATACGCCCACATCCGCGGCCTGCATCTGCATCTGCATCTGCACCCACACGGCGACAGCGGCGCACACCCGCACCGCGGCGAGCCTGACGCGCGGGTGGCGCCGCAGGGCACACATCGCCGGACGCCCGTCCCATCAGCCAACATCACGTCGCCCCGTTTCCGTTTCTCCACCCCGCTCTCCACTCTTTCCCTCCCCATCAACTCTCGGCGCGCCGGATGCCAAACTCCCGAAAACCTGTGTATACATATATATATATATGTGTGTGTGTGTGCGTGCGCGCGCGTCTCCTCTAGGGCCGTCCTCCCGGCCAGGTCGACGCACGCACGACTAGATGGGCTGTCAGGCTCGGGCGCGCGCGCGCGCGTCTTGTCTGGTCACGAGTGGACTCTGGGTCGTCGAGCACTCTGGCTTTGTGCGCAGCCGCGGGAGCAATGGATGGGCGCCGAGGAAAGCTGCCTCCACGCGCCGCTCTGGAGGGCACGGTCCTGCTCCTCGGGCCCGCTCGCGCCGCGCGCCGACGTGCAGCGATGTGCGGGCTACCGTCGTCTCGCGCAGAGACCGCGCCAATCCTGCGGCGAGGCGGGGCGCGGTCTCGCACCGCACAATGCGGTGTGCGATGTGTGCGCGCGAAGAGGGATCGGCGCGCGTGTGGGCGATCCGGCAGGTCGCCACCGCGTCCCGCGGGCTCTTCTGTGTCCCCTCCCTCCCAAAGAGGGAGAGACCCTGCATACATACATACATACACGCATACCACTTGTCCTATGAATATATTTTTCCCCCATTCGTCGATAAACTGGGGGTTGTCGAGGCGTGCTCTTCATGTCCTTGCTTCGTTGTCCGCGCCTAGGATCCGCAGAGAAGCTGGATCTGCGGTACGTGCCAGCGTTTACGTCCAACGTTCCACTCACGAGGGTGGTTCTCGTTACCAAGTCTCGCGTCGCGCTCAGAATTAGCTTGCCCCGGGTCGGCTCGTCCGTCCCGGTGGCGATCTCCATACCGACTTTAATTTGGCTCACGACTGTCGAGCTTCGGTGCGACGATGCAGTAAGAACCTGCTTACTTATAGCGCGCGTGTCTTTTTATGTCTAGGCAGGCAGGCAAGCAGGCAACGAGACTAGCCTAGGGTCGATCTAGTCGGTCGACGACGGCGGGAACAATAATAGACGGACGGGGACTCGGGTGGCCAGATACAACTAAGTTATTGTGCGGGTACGACTACGAGTACAATTTGGATACGACGGCTTCGGGTTCGGACAGTGTAGTAGCGGCGTGGCCCTCGGGGCGATATCGGGTGGGGAGGATCGATGGGGAGGGTGGAGAGAAAGAGGGGTAGATGGGCAGATCGATGGAGGGAGGAGGAAGCGGGGCACGCGCGCCAGGCGATTAGATTCGTATGCGATACGGCGATAAATAATAGGCACAACTACAAGGGCGGGGCGGGGCGGGGCGAGGAAGCTCGAGGATGGGGATGGGAGGGTGGGGTGGGAGGGGGTGTGTGCGGTGAAAGCGAAGTGCAATAGCGGGGAGTCATAGCATTGTGGATGCGGACGGGGGCACGGGCGCGGATATTGGATACGGCGTATGAATACGGGTGGGGCGGGTCGATTAAGGGAGGGGGTGCGGTCGGTCTGGTGACCTTAGGATCGCGATGCGGATTATAGTGTGAGAGGGAGCCGCCGGCAGCAGATAGGGGGTGGGAGGAGGCATGTCGAGGGGTTCAGCAGGGTGCGCGCTAGCGGCGGCGGCCAGCGCCTCTGTACCAGTAGTGGCATTCGGAGCAGTACTGTTCGCTCCGAAGGGTGACGGTTTCTTTGGCATCGGGGCCGAGGAACTGGGCGAGGCAAAGGTGAGATGGGGCGAGGAGGGAAGGGAGAGGGAGAAGACGGATGGACGAGGGAGTGGGTGAATGGACGGGGGAGCAGACCTTTTCGCACAGGCAGGGGTGGCAGGTGGGAGGGTGGAGCGAGGACCAGATGCAGTAGCGGTTGTTGCAGTCGAGCTTGCGGAGCTTCTTCGTCTGGGAAGGGAGTGAGCGCGGGGAAGAGGGTTTGATGGGAGAAGGAGACGCACGATCACGTAGTGCTGTGGGACGGGGGCGAGGGCGGGGGCGAGGTGAGCTGGGGAGACGGGAGATGGGCGCTGAGTCACGTACGCCGCAGCCATACTTGGTTCCTTCACTAAGCAGGCAGGCGGATGAGAAAAGAAGGGGGGGCGATCAGCGAGGATAAGGCTCACGTCTCGAGGTTGCACATGATGCCGATGGCGCAGATGCAGGGGGTCGGATCGGGGGTGGCAGTCGCGGAAGGGGTTAGGGCGGAGACGTGGTGGGCGCAACGGATGGGCGGGATGGGGAGCGACGAGGGAAGGGAGGATCGGGGTATTATAGCGACCACGGACAGAGACGATATTAGAGCAGAGAGCGGTGCGGAGGGATCAGAGGCGGCGGATAGGATAGGACGGCGGGAGATGGGCCAGATTATAAGGAGAGGAGGGCGAGTGCTGGATGACGCGGAGCAGAGGCTCGGACACAGCGCCGCGGTCGACAGCTCATCGGATCCCGCGCCTCCACACAGGACCCTGGCGCCGATGGATCATCCAGATAGCCCTCGCACGTGATTCTGCCCCTCCCACGCCCCCTCACCACATCTCGGCGCTGCCGAACCGCCCCGGCCGGCCGTCGGCATCCCGGCTGCAGTCCCCAACGTCGTCCAACACAGCGCCCACGCACCCTCCTCGTCGTTCTCCGTCCACCGTCCATGTCGTCCGCCCCGTCCACCTCGTCCGCCGCTTCAGCACCCACAACCCGCTCTCGCACCCTTCTCTTCATATCCTATCGCGACTCGAGCGCCCGCTCCTCGCGCTTCGCCCGCACAGCCCATTACGACGACGCCCACGACGAGCGCGAGGGCCTCATTGACGCGGGCCCCGGCCACATCTCCCTTGACGTACAATTGCCCCCCAAATGGTACGTGTTCGCCGTTTCAGTCTCCCGTCTCCAAATGAAATACACATGCACCCACAACCAACGCTGACGTCCGCTCCCACCACGCACACGCAGGGTTGACCTCGCCGAGCAGGTCGAGGACATCCTCGCCGGGACACAGGCCAAAAGTGCGCACCGCTCGTCCCCTCTGCGCTGACGCAGCCGTTGATTGCTGCGCCAGCTCTTTGGCTGAACCGACCCTCTCTTCTCCCTTGTCTGCACAGTCTCCGCGCTGGACCGCCTGCACGCGAAACACGTCTTGCCCGGCTTCACGGACCGGACCACAGAAGAGCGGGAAATCGAAGCCGCGACGTCCGAGATCACCAAAGTACCCGCTCCTTCCCCCGACCCCGACCCCGACCCTCGCTCACTCTCCTCCTCAGGACTTCCGCCACTGCCAGTCCCTCATCCAGCGCATCCTCTCCGACGCCGCCCATGCCTTCCCCCCCGCCTCCCTCGACGCCCAGCGTCACCAGGCCCTCGCCGCGAAGAACGTACAGCGCGGCCTCGCCGCAAAGGTCCAGGACCTCAGCGCCGCCTTTCGCAAGAAACAACGCGTCTACATGGAAAGTGCGTCCTTGTGCCCTTGTCCTCGTGTTCCCTCCTTGTGCATTAGCCCTCGTCGCTGATGTCACCCGCCCCGTGCGCCAGAACTCCAGGGTCATGCGATCAAGAACCAGGACCTCCTCATCGCGTCGGGCGTCACCTCCCTAAAGGGCTCAGAAGGCCTCTCGGCCGTCGATGACGACGTCGAAGCGGCCGTAAGTCGCCCCCCCTTTCCGTCCTCACACGTCATATTTACATCCTCGCCCTCTCTCTTGCACGATCACATTCCCCCATCCGCCCGTGCAACGCGGCGCCCAGTCTCGCACAGGCCAATACACGTCTCAGCAGCTTCTCGAGCCAGACCTCGACCTGCGCGCCCGCGACCGCGAGCTGACCGAGATTGCGAAATCTATCGGCACCCTCGCAGAGCTCTTCAAAGACTTGTCGGCGCTCGTCATCGACCAGGGCACCCTCCTCGACAGCGTCGAGTACAACATCGAGCAGACCGCCACCCACGTCAGCGAGGCCGCCAAAGAGCTCGAGGTCGCGACCCGGTACGTGCCCCTTCTTCCACGCAGTCGCGACACGCGCACGCGCACATATACCGCACCCCTACTCCCCCTTGCACCTTCCTTCGCCTTCTTTTTCCCCACACTTCCCCACTCCCATCGAGCGATTCCCCATGCAGCGATCCCCCAATCGCGTCCACGCGCGCGTGTCCATTTCCCATCTTGCCCATCGCATCTCGATACTGATCAGCTTGGGAACCCTTCCTTTTCGTCCCCCTCCTTCCCATCTTTTCCCTCGCGCGTGCTCCCCCTTCCCTTCTCCCACCCCCCTCCACGGCTCCCAGGTACCAGAAGAACACGGGCAAGCGGAAATGCATCTTCCTCCTCCTGCTCATCATCTTCGGCCTCGTCGTCGTCCTCATCTTCAAGCCCCGCAGCCACGGCGCCGTCGCCGCTCCCATCGCTTCTCTCGCACCCACGCCGGCGCCCTCGGATCTGCCCTCCCCATCATCATCATCATCCTTCGAGCAGCAGCCGCCCCTGGCCCCGCGTGCCCGTCCGGGCCCACACCCAAACTCTATCCTCGACGCGAACCTTAACCCTCCCATCGCCCCCGCGCGCCATCGCCTTCCGGAAGCGCGCCACGGGCTTCGCGCGAGGCGACGGGCGCCGCGCTGACCCGCCCGAGCCAGTGCCGGGGCCAGCGACAGGCCGACCTGCGCGCATCGCAGAGCTGGGATGGGCACGTGTTGGTGCGGGCGACGCGCGTGTTTCTGCGTCCGCCCGGTATGATACACATGTTTTTGCGGGACGCGCTGGGGCGCCGGAATGCGCCCGCGCGGCGCGCTGCCGTGCGCTTCGTGGCCTGCCTACTACCTACCTACCTACCTACCTACCTATCTACACCTACCTGCTTGCCTATGCGCTTTCCTGCTGCATACCACATACCTATACATCCGCATCTGCATCTGCGTGCGTCATCTCAGTCGCTCGTTTCTACGCCTCTGAAGGAGGGACTTGACATATCGCGTGAATTCCGGTCATGCTCGTCAGTACTTGGTCACGCTCCCCCATCGTATCGTATCGTATCGAATCGAATCGAATCGAAGCACGACGGCCGCCGATTGCGCTCGGTCGCGTGCGAGCTGCACGAGCTGGATTAACCTGAACGTGGACAAGGCGCGAATTCGCCCCGCGGCGCGATGCGGCTAGCACAGTTGGGGCAGTAAGGAGCTGGAGCGGACGCTCGTCGGAGGCGGCGGCAATTGGCGCCACAGCCCATGTCGGACTCCAAGACTCGTGTGCCCACTAACGTGCTTCGGGATGGGCTTGGGGTTCGGTGGGCGGTCACGAGGCGGCAGCACGCAGGGATGGAAGGACTGGGAAGGAGCGCACGTCTGTGGCTTGCTGCGGGGCGAGGGGCCTGCTGGGAGCTGGAGTCTGTTGGAATTTCGGGGGACCGGTGAGCGTGGCGCCCCTCGAGAGACGATTGCGTCAAGGGGATCTATGTAGCGGCACGATGCTCAAGGGGTCGGTCGACGTCACCGCCGGACGCCCTGACACGGTGCACGTACTAGTATTGTAACACCGACGAACGCCCGTCCGTCGGAGGAGAACAACGAGCGCGTATCACGCCCGCACTCGTGGGGTGTTCAGTTCTAAATTGATTATGTCTTTTGGTCTGCTACATACGGTGTACAATACCCTGCTAACAGCTAACAGCTTCTCGTCCACGTTCGGCCACACTCGACCACGGCGCGCAATGTCTTCCTACTCTGTGCCTCGAGGATCCGCGAGGGTTAATCCTCGGGAGCTCGGGACGGAAGGGATTCGCTTGGTGACGTCGGGATCACTGCTGCCCGTCAGGCTTGAGTGAGCTCCGGCCGGCTCGCAGGATTTCGTCCGTCGACAGCAGGTTGACGGCGATAACAGAACTGTATACAAATACGCGTGGAAGGGTCAGCACGATGGTAACGCGGCGGTAACATGGAGACAAAAGAGAAGGGACCCGCTGGAACGTGTGTAAAAAGGCTAAACGAGATGAAAGGATTACGGGATGGATGAACAAAGCAACGAGGTACAGGAGACTCGGAGGTGTGGACCGGATGGACGGAATAGGCAATTGCAACGTTTGACGGGGCCGGATGACGGAATCGACAAATTCGGAGAAAGTGCAAAGGTGAAACAAAGTGGAGAGCGACGTACCAAGAGTGCAGCATCTGACGCTTGACCCGATAGTTGTCCCAGATGCCCTCCACCGTCGGATCAAAGGGCTCGCCGGACTGGAGATCGATGCCCACCGTGTTGCCCTCTGCTTGTTCGTCCTACAGCAGGATGTGCGTCAGTATTCATCGATAACGCTAGCGTGAAGCGTGGACCCCCGCCTTCCGCGAATGAGGTGATCGCGACGCGGACGCAGGTAAAAACGTACCTGGAGTGCGACGACGACGTCCTGGACGTCGAATCCGCCGTTCTGTGCTAGCGTCTTGGGAATGATGAGCAGCGCATCGGCGTACGCCTGCACGCCCATCTTCGCGCGGCCCTTGGCGGCCTTCTTTGCGTTTGCAACGAGGTGCGCAGAGCATGCGACCTCAAACGCACCCGCGCCGGGCACGAGTGCCTCATCCTCGATCGCGTTCTTCACGGCCCGCAGCCCGTCCCGAAGCGCGTCCTGAATCTGCTGGATCGTATGCGCGTTCGGACCCTTGATGAGTAACGTCGCGCTCCGCGGGGTGCGCACTTCGTCCACGAAGGTAAACTTGTCCTCGCCCAGGGTCTGCTCATACACGAGGCCGGCCCATCCGAGCAGATCTGGCGTCAGCTCGTCCACGGAATTCTGTGCGATTCCTCCACAAACTAGTTGCAGCCTATCGATACGATCAACCGGTGTTTTTCTGATAAACGCAAGCCAGAGTATGAAGGCGCATTACCTCTCCATATTCCGTCGCTTAGCGCGGCGGAGGGCCAGGATACCGTGTTTCGCAAGAATGTCGAGACTGAGTGGATCAATACCCTTTTGATTGATGACAACGAAACCCTTCCTCTTCTCCTTCGAGTCGACGGCCTGGTCACAAACAAGGTTCTTGAGCTCAACGATCTTCTTGACCTTCTCGTCAGTGAAACGCCGTTCTGACTCTACGAGCTTTTCCCGTTGTTCAGCCGACGAGTAAAAGAAGCCCGAGTTGACCTCCCTGAGGCGATGTCAGCGTGTCTGTTGGGATCAGTATTCAGAAATAAAATCCGCACGTCTTTTCATACTCCAAGCTGACGTTGAGCGTCAAAATGAAGGCATTTTCGACGCGTTTCGGCATGTCTGGATGTCTAGCACCGTGGTCGAGCACCAGGCCGCGGATAAGCTGAGTCTCCGATGCCGTACGGTGCTGCATTTTCATGATTTCCACCATGTGCAGGTCAATAGGCTCTCGCCATTGATCCTTCGCATCTGCCGTAAACTCATTAAATCGGTGCGCATATAACAGTGTTGACTCTTGACTTTACCCTTTTGTGGAGCAGCCGGCCGAATTGTAAGCACAGCATCCACGACTGATGCAGCAAGCTGCTTGGCCAGAGCTACGTGAAGCTTCGTTGCAAGAGAGGTGTGAGCGACATTGATTAATGTAGCGCGGTCTAGATTTATTGGCCGCTTGAACGTGTCCAAAAACTGTATTGGAATCCAGACCCCATCGGTTTGAAAAAAGAAACTCTCAGTTTCACGCCCAAATCTGAAACAAATCGAAGACTCACGGCGAGAGCAGCTTTTTTGGCTTGATCAAAGCCCTCACCAATAACCGACGGATGCACGCCCTCGGAGATGAAGCGATCTGCCTGTTTCAACAACTCCCCGACCAACAGTACCACTGACGTTGTCCCATCTCCGACCTGATCGTCCTGCGCGACTGCGGTCCGTGCAATCATCGCCGCCGTCGGGTTCTGAATCTGCATCTCGGACAAAAGCACCTTGCCATCCTTGGTAATTTTGATCATCCCTGCACCATCTACAAGCATCTTAAGCGTCCCTCTTGGACCTGGCAGCACGTCAGCTGAAGAGTTTCACAAGAAAGCATCACCGCAAAGCGCACCTAGATTGCCTTTGACGACGTTCGCGAGACCCATGGCTCCCGTCGTGTTGACCTACAAACGTGAGGATTGCAAGACAGTGTGATGTGTAAGGTCTTACCTGAAGGGCCGCGGCACGACGGACGCTCTCCGCCTTGGGGTTGATGAGTTCGATACTCGACATATTGCCGAGAGTTGGGTATGAGATCGCAAAGGGAGCACCGCGAGCTCTGAAAGGCAGCAATTCACATAAATCATGTCACGTGGGACCGTGAGAAATGTGTAGCGTCACACAATTCAAAAATGAGTCGAGCAAAGTCAGTTGCTCTGAGGTCTGCACAAGATGTGCAGGACGATATATCGATGATATGTAAGTATGCGACAAGACGATCAGTTTCCCGTATAGATAGTAGGGCTTCATGAAAAAAGCATAGAGAACACAGATGCGCATCCACTCTACTTCAACGCCTTGACCGTGGCAGCCCCAAGAGACCAGAACTCCTCCTCGGTCTAGTGCCAGCCCCAGCCCGTCTATCTTTCGGAATATGCGATTGCGGTGCATCGGAGTCTGATCCAGTATCTGAGCTTTCATCGTCCTCATCATCAACGTCAGACTCTATTAACTGTTTGGTCTGGGTCGATGGCGGGGGATGCAATGGATTGGGGCTAGGCGATGAGAATAGCATGTCCTGACTTGCCAATTGTGTCAAACGACGGTATGGTGCTGCAGCGGGCTTCCTTGCCACGGCCTTTAGCTTCCATTTAGGAGGAGCATCGACCTCGGCGTCAGAGCCCGACGCCGCGGACTGTGCAGGTAACCTTTGTTTATGCAAAGGGCGAACAGCAGTCGGGAATTGACTACTGCCAGGGAAGAAAAGCGGCGTCATGGGTACATCTTGACTCGTATCTTGAGTGGACTCAGGGGGCGCCTCAGAGGATGGCGGCAAATGTTGCATAGGGTGATCAGGAGCATGAGGTATTCGGTCTGGCTCCGGGCTGCTGGTCCTGAGCTCATCGAGGATTGACTCTGAAGCTGGAACAGGGGATGACAGTGTGGGAAGAGACGTCCATTTAACCTGCGAAACCTGAACATTGGGGCCTGAACGGTGTGGCTCTGGTGTCTCAACTAAGATACCATTGAGGCCTGGAATGTGTGGCACTGGTGTCTCAACTGAGATACTAGGGGCATTGGAAAAGGGACGAGCAGTGGAAGCTGCTGAAGCAGTAGGATGTGCAGATGCAGATGAAGGATTAGAGCCTTGTTGCTTTCCATTCTTCTTTTCACGATCGACGCGTGCCCTCTCCCGCCGAAGCCTTGCCTTTTCTTGCTTCTCCGCCTCGCGCTCCCTAGCTTTCTCCTCTTTCTGCCGTGCCTTCTCTGCTTGCTTTTCCTGGCGAATGCGCGCTTTTTCGAGCTTCTCGGCTTCTCTGACAGCAGCTTTACGTGCCCTTTCTTCCTCTCTGCGGGCTTTTTCCTCCGCGGTCAACCGATTGCGGCGTGAAGGCACAGGAGGAGCGACCGGTTCTGGTTCAGGATCTTGTACGACATCGGAATCAGGATCAGGAGTGGGTGTGTCCCGCTGACGACTTGCCAGCCGACCCGATCGGCGGGTCGTATGATTGTCAGAATCCATGGTCGGTAAGGCGAGAACTGGAAGAAGATCCCCAGACGTTACAAGCCTCCCGTTTCGATCCCTCATGCGTTTGGCCGTGCCAGGCTGAGGGGTGTTGTGAGGTGACAAGGTGCGAGGCGGCGTATGCTCCGTTTCAATGGGATCCGATTCAATGGGATCCGATTCAGTACGTGGTTGAACAGCCTTTTGCGATTCCGACTCATCAGAATCGATGCTTTCTACTTCATCATTCATGCTCGGTTGCGCAGAAATCTGTGTAGAAGCACCATTGGTCCTAGATTGGCGCGTAGGCGTAACATTCGCTACAGAAGATATATGGGATGAAGGGCCTATCTCGCTTTCTGTCATCTTGATAGAGAGGTCAGGTGAACCGTGCTGTGGAGCATCCTGAGATGGTGCGGACGATGGTGAATGCGCTTTAGATGCTTCAGTATTGATGGCTGTAGCATCTGTCTCAGGAGATGAAACACGTCTATCTTCGCGATCCACGCCAGCTGTCTCCTCATTGGTCTGGGTTCCTGCCTTTCCTGATGATAATAGCTTTACCTCTTCTAGGAATGGCGGAACTTCGTGAGAAGAGTGAACCTCAGCTTCCGAGTTATCCTGAGGGGGCTGCAGAGGATGTAGAGTGTCGTGCAGCTCTAGACTCTCAGAGCCTCTGTCGAAGTCGGTGGAGAGATCAAGGGGCTGCAGTCGTATGATTTCAGAGCCGTGTGATATTAATTCAAAGAGATACCCACTGGGTCCGCACGCGGTAGCTCTGGGGGACCATCCATGAAAACGTGGACGGAATCGTCGACGTCTTCATCATCGACGACCATACCCGCCTCAAAAGACAAAGATCGGTCCCTATTAGACTTCTTCGACAACCGACGAAAAGCACGCTCATCGACGTCTTCGTCGTCCTCGGAAGCGGGTATTTCCTTCTCTGAATCACTATATTCTGTGTCGCTGCTGGAAGGTATCTCGTCCAAAATGCTCTGTCTGGGACCAGTCCGAGCAGGCCCACGCATGATAGCTTCCAACTGTTCCTCGTACTGAGAGGGATCCATGATGGAGGCCATGTCTTGTGAGGACATGATGGAAGGCACAAGTAAACCTCTCTTCCGTGAACCCTTCTCGTCGCCTTCTCCATCGTTCGCCTCCTCATCTTCGTCAGAACTATAACTGTCATTGCTGCTTCCTTCATCGGGTGTCTCGACTGTCACCTCGGAAATAGTCGATCCTGCAGGCATAGTTGGCGCCACGACGGTGCGACGAGCCGTTTCGTCGACAGCGGCTGCAGTCAAAGACTCGTCACGAGTGACGGCGCCAAGAGACGTGGTGGTAGTACCCTGACTAGCGCGTGAACGCTGTGGTTCTCGGTTGTCCACCAAGAGGTCCTCTGAAAGCACGTTTTTCGAGGGCGCCACGCCCTCTAGGTAAGAATCCTTTCCCTGCTTCTCAGCAACAGCTGACAATGGCGACTGCATCGTTTTCGAGGATGTCGCGTGATCTGGGATGTGGTAGTTACTCTGCTTCGCATGAACAGCTGCCTCCGATGGGACGCCTTCGACCGATGCACCAGGACTAGAAGGGATAGAAGAGTCCTCAGGTTCAAGGTCACGAGGTCCCCAAGATGTGCTTAATCGAGATTTGCTGAGCTTCTCTTTCAAGCGTGGCCTAGGCTTCAGAGGTATCAAGCCTGAAGAAGTACCAGGAATATCAGTGGAGGCAGGTGTCGAGGACGGCGGCATGTTCGACCCTGCAGCGGCGAGCGTTGTGTCGACAGCCGCACGGAAGTCACGCTCGAAAGCATCGCGCTCAGCTTGGGTCATCTCACGGTGCTCTTTCTTCTTCTTAGACTTCACAGATGATCCTATATTGTGTCAGCCTGGGTCGAACGAGAACTGAAAACAGAGATACTCACCTTTGCGGCCATGGTCCATGAATATATCTGTCGACACATCCGTAGCCAGCGCGGACAAAGCTTGTTCTATAAAAATGGTCAACTACAGTCACGTAGCAAATTAAATATCACAGTCACCAGGAGAAGCAACAGTTTGCGCTGTCTCTGCGCCGCCTAAAAGCGTGGCACTGTCGCTCAAGTCATCTCTCAGTGATACTTGACTGCGCTTACTTGAATTGGACTTAGACACTTTGGACATCATTAGGACATCGACGGATCGAGGCTCTTCTGATACATCCTTAGAATTTGGCCGCTGCATCTTTTCTGCCATTAATCAAAATATGAGGAACATATAGTTTGCATAAGACGAAGACCGCACTGATTTTGTTTGCAGAGACTGCTGGGTTTGTCGATGTGGGAGCAGGTGCAGTTGATGATACAATTGAAGCTAAAGATCGTGAACAAATTGTGATACAACCCATCAGAAGTATTCACCTTGTATTGCTAGCGTAGAAGCTTCCTGACTAGAGCTCGTATTGTCGACTTCAATTTTCTTCTTCGACTTTTTCTGCAGAGTCTCACGAGGAGATGGAGCATTGGTAGCCATAGAGGGCAGAATGTGACCTGAGGAGACAGACGCTGTTGTGCCTTTCGGTGACTTCTCAAGAACCGAATCTCTTGGAGGGGCTGGCCGAACAACCGATAGTGAGGGAGAGCGACCACTTGCATCAGATAATGCCGCAAGCAGTCCACTGCTCTTTCGTTTCGCTTTTTTCCTCTTACGTTCTCTTGAAGCATCTCGTTGAGACGATTCCCCAATAGCCGGAATTGATGGCTCAACCGGTAAGGAATCGGACCGTTTCCTCTTTTTTGAGGATTTTGAAACCTTGGCTTTTGAAGCCTCGGAAGGAAGTGAGGACACTGCATTCAGAGAGGGCTGTAACTGATTCACTGCCATCACCTCTTCGCGCTGGTCGCGCGAAGGCACAAAGGAATGTAAATGGACAGAATCTGATAAGCCCGTGACTGTGCCTTTCACTTGGATCGAGCCAACTCCGGAAGGTGTCGGTTCTTTGGTTGCAGAATCGTCATGTACATCGGATCTTGACCTTTTCCTGGATAATCTCGGGGGTTGAAAGGACGGAGATGGAGAGATGTTATGAACGGAAGAAGAAATCGGAGCGTCTGAGGAGACTTTAGCCGGTTTCGATGCTAGGGGTGTGGAGGGTGATGGTCTTCCAGCCGCAAAAGCTTCAAACATATGGGATTTGGATTTTGGCTTGGACTTTTTCGGCTTTTCGATCGAAGGAGATGAAGAAGCTTCATGACTGAAAGAAGGAAGGGGAGTATCAGAGGGGACCTTGGCTTGTTTTGATATCAAAGCCTTCGATGTTATATCCTCCAAGCGGGAACCATTGCCGAAAGCACTAGAACGATCTGGAGAGGTGGACGGCTCGTCGAACACAACCTTCCTCCTTTTCCTAGTGGGTGAAGACTCGTTTGGTCGCGTGTCGTGAGTGATATTCAGCGCAGTTGTTTTGGAATGAGGTTTCGCTGCCTGCTGAGAGGGTAGTTTGGCCGAGGCGACAATCAACCGCTGCTCCTCCATCTTGCGCTTCTTTCTTTTCTTCTTTTCCTAAAGAGAGTGTGAAGAGCGACCTCGTAGGATAGAGGGGACAACTTACCGGCGACTTAGCACTAAATCCCTGCAGTTCGTTGAAAGACCCCAGTTGACGTGCATGCCCTCCATCTGCATCCACAAGAACATCTGCATGAGAGGTAGCATGGGCGAAAGCACGAAACGCGTCGAAGTCGTCATCTGGTACCTTTTAGTTCTAGCATCGACGTGGGAGACGTGACCGCACGCACCATCCTCTAGGTCAATCCTTTTGTTTTCCCGTAGCTGGGCGAGAGTGATTGTAGCGTCCGTATCAAGTCCAAGCTTCCTCCTGACGACATTCTTAGTTTCCTCCAAAGATTTCTCTGCAGACAGTGAGTGAGTGCAAGAAGCAGAACACGGTAAAGTGTTCGTGCACATGTACCTTTGAATAGACGATCGAAAGTCCTGCTCGATGCATGATAGGTAACTCTTGGAGGCTCGATCTCCCTTTTCCTTAGCTTGCTAGAGAGTTTCTCATCCATGAATGAGGTTGGGAGAAGGTCGCCGTCGCGCCTGGCGGAAGAAACTGGAAGAAGCAAGCTAAGCGGTACATCGGTAAATCCTCGAACGCCACAACTCGACCAAACTCCTTCCTCTTCCGAACGCATCATCTGCTACCATGGCTGGCCCCACTGGTAAGTATCTTGCAGACACTCAATGTTATTCATCTCTTGTCTAATCATCATTCGACCACGCAGGCCCTGGATTCCACCCTCACCTCCCTGGCTTCAAACATAAGTTCCTCGCCAAAGCGCTTGGCGCATCAATGTGGTTCTTCATCTTCTATCGTGCAAGGTTCGTCCCCACGGCTGTTAAATGCCTACTCCTGATGCCAATCGTGAATATAGGCAAGATGGAGCGAAACTCTTGGTGTGTACTTTGTTGACGTGTTGTGGCTCGCTGACGCGAACGACATATGTAGGGTTTGAGGCACCCATGGGAAGGCCATGGTCATGGTCATGAGCATCATACAGAAGAGGCACATCATTAGTCTTCCTACAGTCGTAGGCAATTGGTGTCAACTATGTAGTCATTCAGTCACTCAATTTGTCAGGGATCCAATCCAGCCAGCTCCCAGTGAGTCTTGATACGATAATGCCTGTAATTCCTTCAACCTGTTCAATGATGGTATTTTTATCTAGTCGTTTAATATTCCGTGAACGCGGGCATCTCTTGCGGTACTTATTTGAGATCAGGCTCAAGTCATCTAAATAAGGACTCTTTGGACTTATATCTTGACTGCAAATATTTCGTATGCAGTGAACCGGCAGTGACCAGTCCTAAGTGAGCAAGAGTTCAGAAAATTGACATACCCTTCATCTTGCTTTAGGACCTGTGTATCGTCATCTTCTCACTGGCAGATCATCGATCATGTCTTTGTGCTTGCTCGCATGCCGCCCTATTTTCTACAATGCGAGCGTCCCAAATTTGAACAAAATCATAGCGCTTAGGCGAATAGTATCACCAGAACTGTATTCTGATAGTTTATCCAATCACTAGGTTCCTGAAGCGCTCACCCTCGTGGCTATTGTCCCGCGGTCTTCACCGTGCACGTCGTTCTACCGCCCTCCCCACTCTGTTGAACGTGACGGATTCGAATCTTGCATCGCAATTTCAGGAGATCTGATAATCGGCGCTCACAAACTACAAGCGAGACATCAAGCGCAACTATCCTGAAGGAGGGCTGGGGCAGACTCCCCCGCTACTCTTCTCGTAATCATCGAAAAGGAGTAGGAGCGATTCAAGGAATATCGGAAGAAGGAGCAAAGGGTCAGAACCGCTACCAACTCTCAGCACGTTCTCAGTGACGGTGGGGGAGGTGCGCATTACATCTGCTGCGCGCAATACATCTACTTAATCGGATAAATCATCAGGCTCACCCACTAGCGAAAGCGGTACTTGTCGCCATTCGTGTATGTGCTATCACAGTCAGTCGAAGACGAAGTCCACGGGCTTATCGATCTTCAACTGCGAAGGATGTCAGTGCGAACTACGATATGATCATCCAGATATTTAGGGACCTCAAGAGCTCTCTCGAGCGGCTGAGCGTTTACATCCAACCAGAGATCACTACCTCCTTGAAAGAAAATGTTGTCGATACCCTTGCGCAGCTATCTATGGTGCTCAGAGTGGTTACGAGGTCGATAAAGCAGAAGCACCCTGGTGATGATCGATGATCTCATGATGCTCCATTGGATATCTTGGCTGATAATGCTTTCAATTCAATATAGGACAGCGTTTTTTTTTTTTGCAAGAATACGGATATCAAGGACGCGATAAGGAAGTTGCTGGACCTATCGAGCCGGAAGGTTCCTATGGTCACTGCCGTCATCTTAGCGACGACGACTATAAATTCTTAGCTCTTGCAAGGCGAGCCACTGGCAGACCTTGCTTTTCAGACCACTGATCTCTGTCTGACGCATATACTGTAATACCAGCTCGGACGAAGTCCTCCGAATGGAAAAGTCGCGCGTGGCTCAGCCCATCTGGCCCATCCACGAACCATCACATTGCTTTGAGCACACGACATCCGAAAACCGGAAAATAATTCCTATACAGAGAAACGTTCCTGGAATGGACGAAGGCTTACAACTCGTTTTTCGGGATCCATGGCATACGTATGTTCCAGAACTTTTATGATAGCTATCCGGATGTGGTCTGACGAGAGATTTTCTTACAGCTGGCAATGTCAAAACAATTCTTTGGCAAGGTGGTATCGAGATGGAGATGCGTAGCCACAACTGTTCCGCTCGTTTCATGACAGCTCTAGCGTCATTGAAACGCTCCGATGTGACTATTCTCCACCTGACTCGTCTACTGATTTCAATGACTCCAGGAAATTGCTTTCGGGGCCTCATGCACTCGTTGGTCGCTCAAGTCTAATTTCAAATGGGACTCCTGTAGACCTGAGGGTTCTCTGTGCACGGAATCATGATGGCACCCAACAAACGAATCCGGATGATCTGATCACGAATCTGAAGGCCATGATTGGACTATTTGACCGCACCTGTATTGTGCTCGATGCGCTTGACGAAAGCACTGGCTCAGAGCGCAAGGGCACTCTAAAATTCTTGGCCGAAATGAAGAGTTGGAACCCCCAAACCCCGCGCGCCCTGGCCACCAGTCAGCCTGTGCCAGAGATTGGGGAGGCGACAGAGATTTTACGCTTATCGCATTGATCTCCGTGGCAAAACGTCTCGCATCGAAAATGACATCGAGCGGTATCTTCAAGGTACACTAGACAGCGACCCTCAACTGCGGAAATGGGGGACTAGCGAGAAAGTGTTGATCAGAGAAATCCTCGTCAAACATGCAGATGGGATGTAAGTCAACCATACTTGTCCAGTCAGATAGCTTTAATACTGACGGGGACTTGGCATGTAAGGGTTCAATGGGTGCGCTGTCAGTTGGACGATTTACGGCATTGCGTCATGGTAAACGACCTCAAGATGACTTGAGTATCTCTGCCGAAGATGCTGGACGCAACGTATGGATACATACTGGGAAACGTCCCGGAGAATAACCAAGAGAAGTTCCATCGGATCCTGCAGTTCCTATGTGTCTCAGAGCGTCCGATGCTTCTTAGTGAACTCACTGAGGTTGTCAAAGTGGCTATAAATCCTGAAAGAAAGGCGCATTACGACTCCGGGAACCGCATGCGCAATCCATGGGATGTGCTCACAATCTGTGGCAGTTTGGTCTCTCTATCGGCCAGTCTAGTTGGTAGCGCTTTGCAGTTCGGCCGGAGGCGCCATGAACCTCTCGAAACTGGCGCAGTACGAATCATCCGGTTATCGCGCTTTTCCGTTGTTGAATATCTGTTCTCTGAACGGATTCGAACAGGTAGAGCATCAGTCTATAGTGTCAATGCCGAGCTGGCCCATAAGTCTATTGCCATGGCATGTCTTGCCTATCTGATGCAAGTCGACACAGACGAGCTGGATGAGAAAGAGATGAAAGGAGGGCAGGATGTCTCCCTAGCTTCATATGCGGCACAGTATTGAGGGCTCCATTTTCAGCGGCTGGATCCAGGCGCTCGTCGGCCTCTTCTAGGTTTAGTTCAAGGGTTCTTCCATCCCCCTCGGCGAGAACATTTTCTGAATTGGGTCAGGATATATAGTTTGGACAGGTCCTGATTATCCCCGGAATGGCATCGTGAAGCTAACACCATTCCTGACCTTCTGTATTATTCGTGCAGTACAGAATTTCCAGATATCTCATGGTGGTTATTAGCCGAGGACGCTAAGGTCACTGGTGAAGCTCAGTAAAAACGAAAATTCAAGTGAACATCATGCCCAGTCAAAAAATTGGTATTTTGTCATATATCCGTCATAGAGGCAGTGCAGAAGTCGCGTAAAAGTCGTGTCCAATTTTAGCAGTTTATGACTTGTGTATGACTTTTCGCGCCACTTTCTTGACGGATACATGACAAAAGACCATTTTTTTTGACTGAGCTTGACTTTCACCTGAATTCCGTTTTTACTGAGGGTGAAGGAGGAGTTCATTGGAAGGCACAGGCGGCATCTCATAGTGGTCACGAGGCCATCGCGCGACTGCTGCTGGACCGAGGTGCAGAAGTCAATGCACAAGAAGGAGAGTACGGGAACGCATTGCAAGTAGCGTCGTAAGGTGGTCATGAAGCGATCGTGCGATTGCTACGGGATCGAGAGGTCAACGCGCAAGGAGGATGGCTAGTGAACGCGCTGCAGGCGGCGTCTCCAGAAGGTCGCGAAGCTAGATGCCGAGGTCAATGCACTTGGTGGAACGCTCGGAAATGAATTGCAAGCGGCGTCTCGAGGCGGTCATGGAGCTATTGTGCGACTGCTGTTGGATCGAGATGCAGAAGTTAATGCAGAAGGTGTGAGAACGCACTGCAGGCGGCGTCTTGTTTCGGCCGCGATGTCATGTTGCTAGAAAAAGGTGCTGAGGTCGACGCAAGAAGAGGAAACGGCGGGTTTGCGCTGCAGGCGGCGTCTCAAGGTGGTCACGAAACCGTCGTGAAACTGCTGCTGGATCGAGGTGCTGAGGTGAATGCGCAAAGAGTGCACAAGAGTGCGTTGTGCGGCGTTAACTCCATTTCGGTCGCGCTTTGCATATCGCAAGCTGAGCAAAGCGGTGGCAAAGATGTTGTGGGATGTCGGTGCCAGGCTCTATGCCATGCCGTCACAGGCACATTCGCAGCAGCACATTACTCGGCTGCTAAAGAGGGAGTTGATGATGTTGGAAGGGATTCCGGAAGCGTCACAAACGTGCAGCCGCAGGCGACAAAGCTGGTCGTGATTCTGGAGATGTCTTAGATTAAGAGTTCAGCAACAAATTTCAGGGATCTGTGCCTCTGCTTTAACAAAATCCATTGCCGTGATGCAGTGAGCTCGCGATTGTAGGCAACTATATCAACCTGAAATGGTATAGGATGACTTCGACGTATAAAGAGTCCGAATAAATGGGAACAAGATTGGGAAGGAATGGCAAAGACATCCGAAGGAAGGAAAGTGAATACTGTGCTAGCGGAGGTATCAGTGGAGACTGCATGGATTGAGATTTCAATAGTCAATCACCGAGTATGGCGATCGGCGGGTACCTTCTAGTTTATCCCATAGACAGTTGGCTGCGCGCCCCGCAGGCGAGTGCGACCGTCCTTCAAGCGCTCGGTGATAATAGGGCTGGCAGCAGGACGGAATTTGTACTCCTTAGAATACCTACACGCGTCTGACCCCTTCAGCGTCATTTCAAAAGACGAAGATTCACGAGACAAACCTATTCGCATGAACGACCTTCGGTGGTTGGTAAGACGTCCGCAACCAGTACGTGAGCCAAAACAAGAACGCAATCAGAAAGAGGAGGCCAGCGCGCTTCCACGGAGAGGGAGTGGGCTGCTCAAAGCGTGGATCTGGAGCAGGATGGTCGTCCCTGACCTGCTCAACCTCGTCGGATTGAGGAATAGCCTCGTATTTGGCTGTCGACTGCGCCATGGTTGCTGTGAGAGCCAAGAGAAACTGAGGTCAAGAGGAAGTTATGGTTATGTAAGCAACAAGTCTTCGTAGTCACTTTCGTTCCACCTCATCTGCCGACGATTCTCGCAAGACCGCTTGATTCAATCATTCACTCCAAGCCTACTGAGCCTTAGAAGGTCGCGATGACTGCTTGGCTAATTCTAGGACGTGTTACTCGTGCCTCTACTCTCCTCTATATCATTGTCTCCGTTTTTTACACCTCGTCTTTTCTCCTGCTATGTCCTTTCGTGCCCAACTGCTCAGAGTCACTCACTCCGCACCTGCCAGACGTCTCTAGTATAACTTGGACTAGTCTCTTCAATAAGTTTCTATATCCAAAAACAAAGGGAACGCGGCCTTCTTCGGACAATACAGACAGTGACGGCGCATCTCTACTTGACTTGAGCGAAAATGAGTTTCTGTCGCATTTGGATGCTATCACAGAGGAGTCTATGCTTTACTGGTCGTCTTCCAACACGTCTGGGCAACAGATCGATTTCTCTGAGCTCGGGTCACGTTTATCACACCGGTTCGCTATGTCCGAATCGCTCTTCCTCTCCAAAGCCTTTTCGAACTCCATGCATCCAATGAAAATACTCCCGTTCTTCTATAAAGCGTCTGACGTGTTCGACGACGACGACATCACAGTCACCACTCTAGTGACTAACAATAGGTTTCATGTCCTCAGGGCACTCGCTGAGCGATACGATGGCCCGCTCTCGGTGACGATTCACCTTCCCTTCTCTCCTGGAGACAGTCTATCGTCCCTGCAGGCAAACTTGGCGACCCTGCACAAACTTCTTCGCTCTTCCCCAGCACTCGCTTCTCGCGCTGATATTCACCTGGTCATCTCGCCCTTTCCTCGTGCGTTCAATGCCTGGCGCAATCTTGCCCGCCTGGCGGTCCGCACAAAGTACATATTGCTGTTAGATGTTGATTTTGCCCTCTGCACATCATGGCGTGTCCCTGTTCAATCCCTCCTGCGCGGAACAGGAGAGATAGCCCGTAGGATGCGAGAAGGGTCTGCGGCGCTGGTGATACCGGCATTCGAATACGTCCGTGCAGCAGAAGGGAGAGATCAATCGATGTTTCCACGCAACAAGCAGGTATGTCTCCTCCCTCTGCATGCGTCTAATTTTATTTTACGCTGATTCTACATGTGATAATCAGGATCTATATAACCTCGTCCGTGTCAAAACAGTGGCGCCGTTTCATATGCAATGGGCCCCAGGACACAACAGTACAGATTACGAACGATTCTTCAAGGCGCGACCCGGTGAAATTTATAGGGTAACACAATACCAGTCAGCTTATGAGCCATACGTTATCGTAAAGAGTGATGCTGGGGGATGGTACGTCACCTTCTTTGACACAGGATGCACTAAATTGTACCTATGACTAGGTGTGACGAACGATTCACTGGATACGGGGGTAACAAAGCGGCTTGTCTTTTTGAGATGTATCTTTCAGGAATTTCCTTCTACGTGCTTGGGGATCACTTCCTCATACATCAGAACCACCTGTACGAGGAAGAAGCGAGACGTAGTGAGGTAAATCTTTTCGTTATCAACTGCAATGCATTCAGCAGCTGAGGTGATCACAATATCAGCGGAAATACAATCGCAAAATATATGCGGACTTCAAGGAAGAAGCATGTCTCCGGTGCGTCCCTTTACGTTCAATGGTATTGCGTCGTTGGACGTGTCCGGTTATCCTTAAATCTATAGGTACATCAGACGGTTCTATGATGAGGGGACGTTGAACACGACCCGAGGGCATAACGCTCAAGAAGAGTGTCAAAAGATCAAGGGAATAGGCAAGATTGTTACACAGGTTCTTTGCACAGCAAATTTACTGCAGCTTTCTGGATTTGTGATCACCATTGCCTTCTTAGGTTTTATATGGCCGTTAAAGCAGCCTCCCGTTGGCTGCTTCTCGGGTAGAATTTCGCCAGTTTCATGATTTCAAACAAGTACAGAATGCATGAAGAATCGATAATTGTGGGCTTTGCCGTTTGTGTGCCAGTCGACAAATCAGACGTTCTACAGTGGGCTTCCGTGTATGCGGGAGTCGCTCTGAAACGAGGAGTGACAGCTGACAACAACACAGCCTGTTCCATTCTCAGGCTGGACAGCCTCACCGGACCGCGCGTCCGCTGTTCGTCCACTATGTTGAGTTTGTGAGAGGCCCGTTCTCAATGCACGAAATGGGAATACTGCGAAGTCTACAGCTAGGGTTGATATGAGAATAGGGGTGGGGTGTAGTACTAAGGAATACACAAGGACCCACAGTCGGGAATTTGCCGCGGAGTTGCTGTGTCTGTGCACGCAGCGGCGTGTTCACCGCCCCGAGCTCTCATTCTCCAAGGCACAAAGCAAGGTGCTGTAGCGGTCGCTCCGTGTGCTACGTCCTTGTCCTTGTGGCATCCTTTCATGACAGTCTCTCTACGCCATTGAGGCCTCGGATACCAGGTCACGGTGGAATCAAGATCCACGCTGTGACACACAACATATATAGTTCCATCGATCATTGAGCGGCGCCTATCCTCTCGTTTCTCTTCAACCACATCCTGTCAACATACGTGCCGTCTTCAGTGGAAGGAATGGCCATGATTGAAGAGGCCGATTCCATACAATCCTCGTCCACGACCCCGAATGAAGCTGGACAACAGCAGCCTGAAGGCCAGCATCGACCAAATGATTCTCTTCGAACCCTGCCTGAGGATCATTCCCAACCAGTATATAGTGATCTCGCCTTGAAGCCACCTGAAGCAGTGCACTTGGTGGGCGGCGTCGGAGGGCGGGAGACGACACAGAGTGAGACAGACGATTCATCGACGTCAATGACTGCCCCATCAACCCTCCCACCTCGCTCTCGCCAGTCGATAAGTTCTGCATCTATTGGTGAGCTGTTGAGCTATCTTGAAGACAGACATAGAGTTTGATATGGATAGCACATGTAGACGGCATCGCAATCATGTTCGAGGATACCCGCACGCCTCTATCTTCATCTGTACCAACACCAAACTTTCATCGTCCAGGTTCTCCTGTGTCACCACGAGCTCCAGGATCCGATACAATAATTGAAGATAATTTGGCATGGTCTAACACAAGTAAGCACAGCAGCAAATGCGACGTTGCAATACACCTCTCATGTATATTAGTAACGTCGATGGCCCAACATGAGGTTGAAACAAGACATATGATGCTTGCTTCCATGAGAGCAAGACGCCCGCAACGCCCTTTAGTGGTGCGGGTCTTGAGATTTTTTGGTTGTGGTACAGATAACAAAGCTCGTAAATCTCTCGTGTCACTATGCTGGACCTTGTCCATTGATGGCGCTCAGGTTCGTACCGCTCTCTTCCGCTATTTTTAATGCTCACCGACTTGCGAAATTCATAGATCATCACAATCATCGTTTTGCTCGCTTTTGCAGCACACCATCGTAGCCCAGTTTTTCCAGATCAGAATGAGTGGCAAGCTTGTCACAAGAATCTAGGCGTATGGAATGCGTTATGGATCCCACGCTGTCTCGTCAGTACCTGCCTCTCTTCGTGGCGTTGGCGGTTCGATCGTGCAAAGCGCCTAGAAGAGAACGAGTAAGCGTCCTATCTCGCTCATATGCACCCTGGCGACAAAGTTCATCAAATCTTAGCAGTGAGGAGAATAGTCACAATCCTCAATGGACAGCGAACTTAGAAAATGGACGCCCCCGTTCGTATCAGCATACTGGCGTTAACACACGGTCTTCGGGACGTCGCACAGCTCCGGTCACAAGAAGCAGGAACAATGCAACTACGAATGGTGGCGATACGGAAAGACAGACATCGTACCCACGATCGTACAACCGGTATGTTAACACTTGACGAAATGGGTAGCGACCTCATGATCACATCTATTCGCAGAATAACCGTTCTCTTCACAATCTATTCACTTGCGTGGTTCCTCCTGGCTCATGTATTCGCCTATACATCGACAAATACTTGTCGATTTGCGTCTCCTCATATATGGTGGCTTACATTTTCTATCCTCTCTCTCACGTATATCGCCATTGCCGAAGTGCTTCTGATGATCGTTTTCATCTTCATCGTCGGACCGATTCTTCTGGTGAGTGCATGCATCCTTGAATATGACCCTCTTCTAATATCTTCGTGTGTAGCTTATCTACAGCGTAGCCATGTTCTGCCGTGGACGCCACCCTCTACAAAGCCGCCAATACCTTAACCCTGATAAGTTGCCCAAATCTGTCGTTGACAAGATACCATTGGTGATCTACATCCCTACTCCCCCCGATGAACCTGCAAAGCCATTTACCATTCCAGAGGCCGCCCACATGTATCCGCCCAAGCCCGCAGCGCTCCCATCCCCACCTAAGCGGCGCTTTAGATTTTTGCGCCTCAAGAAGAAATACAAGGATAGCAAGGAGGCAGCAATGGCTGCGGAGGCCAAGGATAATGAAGAGCCTCTGACGTGGGAGGATCACTGGGAAAAGAGTGAATATCCGTTCGTCAGGCTTGAGGAGAATCGCGCAGCCTGTGCGATTTGTCTGCTAGATTTTGGAGAGCCAAAGCGACTGTTTCCCATCAAGACGGAAAAGACGGACAGTAAAAGTAAAAAGGACGAAGAGGACTATCAAGACCAGGTAGCTGAGGTAGGAGGCATGGCGGAGGTGCCGCCTCCTGCTCAGGGAAATGTCCCAACAGAAGGTACACCCTTGAAACTGGAGGACGCAGGTGAAGAAGCCCAACCTTTGCGCTTGCTGGAGTGTGGACATGTCTTTCATGTAAGTTGCAGTAGTGAAATTCTCAATAGGAAGTGGGTTGATGTCCAACTTTGTTCTCCCGCAGAAATCATGCTTAGACCCATGGCTGCTTGATGTATCGGGGCGGTGTCCGGTGTGCCAGAAAGCTGTGGTGTGGCAAATCGACGAGGCAAAGAAAGGTAGACACGGCCGACGAAGACAGAATGCGCGGACTCCTTGAACAGCTGTGCGGAAGTGTTACTTTACCTGTATTGGATTGTGAGTGTATGAACATCAATATGTAGTATATACTTCTCGACCTCTTTCTTGTATTTCGTGCCCGAACGCGTCCTTGCAATCAAAGTTTGTATACGTACTTGTCCCACGCCGATAATTTCCATCGTCAGCCTCAGCCACACTACTCGAGTAATTTTCGTATCCAACAATAGGGCGCTGTGTAGAACTCCTAATTTTTAACCGGGTTAATAACAGGTGTTAATAACGCGTTATTAACGCGTTATTAACAGGCACGTATCGGACCCCTTGGTTTCTAAGGTTAATAACTAATTTCCCAAAATAGCTATATATATCAAATTTGTTGTTATTCAGCGCAATCTCTGTTTCTGAATGATTGTCAAACTCACCTCCTTGTCCGGAGGAGGCCTCTAAGGTGGTGGGGGCAGAAAAGAGGGCATACAGTGCCGTTGTCGTCGTCCCAGCACTGTTCTTGTTGGTGGTAGCTGACACGTGACACATGAGTAAAGTATTGTTAGTTGACTGAATTCTGGAGGCATATGAATGATTTTTTGGATTTTATGGATAGTGCCTGAACCTGATCAGGTTGTGGTGTATTATTTACAGAATGTAGGAGCTTGAATGATGTCCAACTTGCATCATGGTGGCTTCTCTGGTTCTGCCAACTCCACAACCGCTTGCTCAAATCATCCTGTCTATGCTCCAGCCATCCAAGCCTCTCCAATTCATTTAGGCTTAGTTTACAGAATGTATAACACTGAGTGAGCTATGAGCCATCATTTTGTTTGCCCATTTTCTCGATATTACTTTCATTTTCCCACGCTCACAATATGTAGTTATTAACACTGGTTATTAACGCGTTTTAACAACTCCTGGTTAATAGCCGGTTAAAAAGCCCTGCGGAGTTCTACACAGCGCCCTACTCAGCAAGTACTCTCGGCCGCGGGTGAAGGAAAGCCAGCAAGTAGAATTCTACCCTTTGTGTCTGCCCATGATTTGCTGAATGTAGTCATGCAGTATTGTCATGAGGCTTCGCTGGACGCCGATAACATCGAATCACAATATGCGGCAGGTTCTGTGTGCTGCCGAGTCAGCACGATCGAGCAAAGTAATAGGCTGTAATAAGCTGCTGATGGATGCCGTGAACACGCGTCATGACAAAGATCCTTGAACAGTGCCTTAGCCAACAACCTCGACAAGTCATCTAAATTCAATCTAGTGGTCTGCTCGCCATGGTTTATAACCGATTTGTTTCAGCCCGCGTCGAGTCCCCGTTCGACATATCCCCCCTCCCCTCACAAGGGCCCTGTTCAGCTTCGCTGGTTCCTTCGTCGTGCAAGGCATAGGGAAGGGTTGATCGAGTCATCAACAACGTATAGGGGTATGTCCATTCGCAGTTCCAAGCTCTACGCCAACCATAACCTGTTCTGTCTTCCACAATGCCTTACCTCGCTCAAGGCCTCATTCTGTCTGTGCTCTTATCGATTTAATACAGGTCCACTCTCGTACTCCACTGGCCCCTGTTGGTCCCCAGTTTCATCGATCATGAGCACAAATCACTCAGTGCAGAAACGTGCCTCGAATTCCGATTCGATCTCTGGGATGACCATAAGCAATTCTGGTATCCCAATGGCAAATGTGTCCAACAGAACGAAAACTCTTTCGGACGACACTGGCGCGTCGTCTGCGCCTGTCGTGCACGACGATGACGATAAAGTCTGGTTTTCCGAAAATTTCTTTTCGAAGGAGCCTTCTACCAGCAGAGCGCGCGCATTGTATCTGAAAATCGTGTTTGGTACAAGCTTCATGATCACCGTTTTTATCATGACAGTTCTGCCGATCTATTGGGGCGCACTGTGGAAAGTGCCTTCGCATGTGCACAATTTGAAAGGATGGATCGTCGTGCGTGGTCTTATTTATACTATTGCTGTGCACATACTCAAATTCGCGGTAAACATGTTTGTAGGACTTCGATGGCGCTCAAATGGGCCAATTTGTCACGCAAGCTTTCATTTCGAGCTCTGGGTTACCAACGAGGATGACATGGGAGGTGGTTTCACCTGACCGATTTCCGAACGGTCAAGCCGACATAATTGATTTACTTGTGCACGAGCACACTTGGGCGATTGTTGCTAGTGAGTAACCAATCTGATTACCGCCTTGTCTGAGCTCATGAGCGTATCATCCGGTAGTAAACCCTGGTGCGACAAACTCCTTCAATAGTTCCATCGCCTCAACCAATGGATCCTACAATGGATCGTCGGCTGTCACGATCTACACAGAGGAAGCGCGAAGCGAAAACGCATAGTAAGCGAATTGATTTCCTTGAAATATCTCATTCACAAACATATAATCATTGCACAGCAATCAAATTATCAAACCTAATGTATGCTCTCACACAAATTGCACTGTGCAACGGTCCTCAACTTCAACTTGTTATACAGGTCGAGATAGTCATGAAGAACGCTTCTTCAATTTTTGCCGCTAGTTCCACAAACCAGTTAGCGTTAGGCGGTCGCAACTTGAGCAATATCGCTATCAATGCGCCACAACTGCTCTCAGCCCCATTATATTATACAGTTTACAACACGCGACCTTTTGATGTACCTGTGTATGGGCTGTTCTCTAATCATTGCTTTTTCTATAGTTTCACAAACTAACAACTTAATTCTCAGCGCAGCTGCGGTGGATTTTGTTGGACTTATCTATTTATTGATCGTTGCCGTGCGTTCTCTGTTTCTAATTGCTTTTCAAGCTCAACGAACAAGGTTGACATTGTTGTATAGTTCGTCACCTCGGTTTGCATCAATTTTCCTTTTATCCTTTTCTGTTCTAATGCCATATTGGCGTGCACAGCTGGTTAATACTGTTGCGCGCACCGATGTAACCCATATTGAAGATCGCCTTCGGTTCCGCTCATTGATGCTCGCCCGAGCCATCGTCCCTATCTTGATCTATTTCTATCTCTCAGTGCGTCCGTCTCAGCTGTCTAACGAAGCGCTAGTCATCTGAACCCTACACTACATTCAAAGTGCTTCTTCTCTATGATCTCGCTCGCCTTTCAGGCCCCATTTAACAGGACGTATGCCATCTCCTTTTGACTGTTCTGATGTGTCCAGCCTCCTGATCACGTATCATTTTATCTTCCAGATTTGGTCACTCGGGGTTTGTGATATATTGGATGCTGTCATGGATAGCGATGTGTGCTCTGTGCGTGCTACGTACTCTCTTTTCTCTCATCAAAAATTCAGTCTCGATGTGTAGCGGTTTGGCCGTGGAAGCAATGGTCACACTCATTACGGTCCGATTCATCCCGTTTTTCCTCATCTTATGGATTATCGGCAGGTTGCTCCTCATTCGTCGTTCACATCTTCATTGATCGCTCTATGGGTGTAGCAAACGTATCCGTGTGCTTTATGCCCATTTCGGTCTTGCCAAGGGTCTACCGCTACGGCTACGCAATGCCGTTCTATAACGTGCAGCGTGCAGTACGCACCATCGTGTTTAATACTAAGAATGACCGTGCGTTGTCTTCCTGAAATTTGGCCATTTGTCACTGAAACACTTTTCATCAGTGGGTCTGAACTTCGGTGTTCTAATCGCATGGTCACTGATCTCGCTGATGACTATGACGCTCTTCCAATATATGGCACGACGCCGCGCGATCAAGCAACACGTAGAGTCGATCTAAAAGTCATACGTATTGGAACGCGACATTACTTATCTATTATCCCCTTTTTGGAGGGGGGCGGACAGCCTCGACAGCATTCTATCAAGGGGCTTCTCATTAACTTGCTCATGTCATTATGACTGGACATATGATCGTTCGTTTCAAATGTAGATGGATGTGAATGGCACTACATTATTATGCCCTTTATTCATAGCTCGATGATGGTCATTTAATTTCGAAAATGGACACGGTTGTCCACTTGCGAAAGCGAGAGTGAGAGGCTGCTCAATGTTTATATGAGGGAACCTTTAGGCTCCTATAAATCAGGTTAATACTAGGATTTTTGAGATTGTAAACCGAGCTGGGGTGGTCTGTGCGTGGGACCGAACAATGACTTTGAGCGGAGTTTGAATGGACGGCCTTTCCTGAGAGCACATCATCTATAAAAGCCTTCCTTGCCTCTCCCCCATCAGCATCGTCCCCGCCGACGTGCTTGCCGAACCCGACGACGCTTGCACGCAGCCTCAATCATGTCAAATAAGATAGTGGTGAGCTGCTCACCGCGATTTGAGTACGTCGTAGATCATTTGGTGACGCGGAAACATTGCCATCCACCTCGATGAGCCTGCTATATACCGCGCAGTCATAGACGACGTGATCTCCTCCATAAAGTCCGATTTCGATGAGTATGGTGTCAGCGAAGATGTGCTCGCAGAGCTGCAGAGCGTAAGTTGTGTCCCTTGCGCACAGTCCCTCACTCACCTCCGGCTCGAATCCATGCGCCTGCTGCACCTGTCATTTAGAAATGGGAGAACAAGGTCATAGCATCCCACGTTGCGGAATTTGAGGCACCCCCGCCTCCTGCACCTCCTCAGTACCCTCATCATTCTATGATAGTATCGCACCCGCATTACCACAACCCTTACGCGCCACCTCCGCCACCCGTTGTAGCTCCAGGCCAACCACACATCAAGTCTGAGCCCATAGACAGCCGATACATCCTTGGTGCTCAACCACATTATGCTGTTGCCCCTCTTCCAGGACCGCAAATCCCTGGCATTCGACAACCAACATATCATCCAGTTCCTGCCGCTCGACCACCTGGCAATACACCAACACCAGTGCCAGTATCTGCACCCGCGCGACCTTACACTATACAGAACGGGGGCGCTGTTCTGCCGCCTCAAGCTTACCAGCAGCCTCCACCCCACCAACCACAGCAGCAGCAGCAACAACAACAACAACCGCAGCCTCAGCGCATACCGCAGGTGGACGGGCCATCGTCGTCTGGCTCTGAGTCGCCTTCGCCCTCACCGCCACAATACGCGCCGCGCTCGTCGCACCCGTCGTTACCACAGCCGGTACAGCAATCCCCAAGTAAGCCCGACGACGAGGCAATTAACAGCGATCTGGACGATTCGGACTCTGAAGGCGAGGACGACCCTGATGAAGGCGGGCCAGGCGAAACCGACATCGTGTTTTGCACGTACGATAAGGTACGTGACCCCCTCCTGATCTTGAGGCTTTTTTGCTCATGGGCACATCGGGCGCCGTGCGTGTGATTAGGTCGCACGAGTGAAAAACAAGTGGAAATGCATCTTGAAGGACGGAATGATTCACGTCAACGGCAAGGACTACCTCTTCGCGAAGTGCACAGGGTGGGTCCTACGTCACGATCGTCTTGTCCTTATTGAGACGGAGCCAGAACTGACCTCGATTCTCTCACTGCTACGCCTTCCACAGCGAATTCGAGTGGTGAAACACCTGCACACTACGTCATCAACACCCCGCTTCTCGCCACACACCTGCACACACGCACAACCTGCACACACGCACAACCTTGCCCTCTGCCCGCTCTATCTTCGTCGCGCTTGTCTATTCCATGTTTTCTTTCCCTCGTTGTCGCACTACACAATTACTGTACAGATATGACATGTCTCTCCATCCCTACATGCTTAAGCAATCCATCGTTCGCCATTGGGTTGGTCAGACCTAATCATACGAAAGTCCGTGTAAAAAAGTCCAGATCAATCACGCCACAGCCTTAGAAACGCCAGTGTACGGAAAACATACGGAAGATCGACTAATAGTACAATTACACAGTTTCAGTCAGGGGATATGATCCGAGGACACGTCGGGCGTACAACAGCCCAGGTATGGTAAATGTCTGAAGAAGCAGTATATACCTCCAATGGGTATACATGTGAAGGCGTCGCATAAGCATAAGTAGATGAATGAGCATATGTACGTAAATAATGCAAATCAGCAGTGGTACGTCGAATCTGTCGGCGCGCTAACAGAGACGGTAATCCTGAGATCCAGAAACGCAACATCAGCGGAGAGACTGGTAAGGCGGTTAAGGCACCACGTAACAACATAGCATGGATGAGTCAAGAGCGATTGGCTGGCGGTCACCTATATATCGTACACAACATCTTCTGGGAAATCATGGGTGAAGGCGAGCATTATATAGCTAGGGCTTACGCGCGCCTCGAGCCTAAGATCTGCAGGGCCCGGTCATCAATGGGGTCCCTGTGGTACGGGTGATGCCTGCGTAGAGCGTGCAGGGGCGCCAGGTGCCCAATGGGATCTCCGTCGCTATCCATTTCGATTTCTTCGATGGGTCCATAATTGGCATCCATCACCGCTGGGGCTTGCACGAAGGTGAAGTTTCCTGCGTCAGCGGACATATCGCTCCCTTGCGAAGAGTATGACAATTCCGAGTCGGTCACTGAAGGCGATGATGGGACGGAATAAGAGCTTTGTTGCAGTGTGGTCTGGATTGGCGCAGGAGCAATGGGGTGATATGCTGTGCTCGAGACGTAGCCCTCATGCACCGCCAACCAACTTGAATTCACATTCGGAGTACGTTCCACAGTCAGATCAACGGAGATAGGATAGTTGTGGTATGTGAGCTGTGTTGAAAGCGGGCGCATGTTCTCATCTGTGGTTGCTGACCAGAATGAGTGAGATTGATCTTCTCGGTACAGGGTCTCGTCTGCAGGCGGATAATGGTATACGAAATGATTCTCCGTGGTGCACTGGAACGGCGCGGGGAGGAATTGTGACTGCATGCGTGCGGAGGTCAGATTTATGAAGTTCTCGGATAGAGAAGCTGGTGGATTCTGGTCTCCACTCGGGATGGATGATTTGGAGCGGGCCTCATCAGCAGGAGCAGTAGCGCCCCTTCGACCCTTTTTGGGGGTGCGTGCAATGGTGAACATGCCTGGGGGGACAGGGCCAATGTCATGTAGATCAGGGATATCCTTGACGGGTATGAGTCGGTCGCAGGTTCCCTGTGAGAAGTAGTGGGCTAAAGCGAGATTGTAAGAACTCCAGGGATGGAAGGAAAAATCGAGTCGCTCACTGAGGCTCCATTTCCGCTTTCCGAGTGGAGAGTGGAAGTGCATTGAGCATGTTTGTTTGATCAATGGGTCCCAACCCCGAGAGCGGATTCTGAGACGATGTCTGGCGCATACATGCAGCTCAGAGGATAGGTTAGGTGCTGTTCTGATCAAAACCCACGCACGAGTTGTTCGTGTTCTTGCTGCTCTTTTTCGGCTCATTCTTTTCGTAATAGAAAAGGAAATCCTACGGAGAGAAGAGATGTACGTGGCTTGGGATCGAGTAAGATCGGGAGGGGGGAACGGAAAAGAAACTGACGTCTCGGACGCGAGAAGCACTCCAGCGTCTGCCCTCCGTGAATCGTTCGATACCAGGGCCCGTAATTGCGCCTGCTTCTTCTCTTTGGGCCCAGACGTAGCAGGAGCCGGAGCGCAGCTGGCTACGCTCCTGGGCATCGAGTCGCCTGCTTATCATGGGGAGGATTCCGAGGTAGACGGCGTAGAAGATGAGCTGAACATCCTGGACGGAAGAGACGTGGACGCCAGAGAGGGTGGGCTGCTGCATGGGTGGGATGGTGGTGGTGGTGGAAAGGAAGGAAGAGGAAGGCCAGGCAACGGCCGTTGAATGGAATAAGTACTTTCTCCCAACTCAATCCAAGGCCTCATCCGGCAACGTCATGTGCCTTTCCTTGCCCTGCGCCCGACTGCCGGCCCTCGATCTCCTCCCCATCTCGATGCACACTCACGTCAGTCTGAGTCTATCACTCTAACCCATCACCTCCCTCTTCGTCCCCTCACCTCGCCCTCGCCCTCGCCCTCGCCCTCGCCAACCCTTGCCTCGCTCTCTCGTCTGACCGCGTCGCTGCTTGTCTGCATATACGAGCACCACCATGATGACCTTGTCCTCGACAATTCCTACCAACTCTCTCCAGCTTCTTCGTGGTGGCCGCCGCGTCGGCATCCCGCGATATATTCTTCCGTTATCCTCTCTCCGCTGCAAATATCACTGGCCCCACCCCGCAGGCCCAGCTATCGAAAGCTTCGTTTCAGGGTGGTGAACGCATCACCCTGTGATGCTCCACTGGCCCTTCGCACCGTCCCCTGACAAATCAGGACCATGCTCTCGTTGGCGCTTGCAAGCCGTTGAAGGCCGTTGAAGGAAGGGGAACAATCATCACCCATCGCCGACGCCCTCTGTTGCACGTGTGCAGCTGTGTGCAGCCATATCATAGAAAATCCGTCAGCGAATTAGCGATACAACTCTCACATGACCATGTATCTTGCACCCAAGTCTGACACAGCCCAGAGCTGCTGCCGACCGAAGCATTCGAGACCGCAAATCAGCCGTCTCATCAGACCGGTGGGCTGCTTGTTCTGGTGGGAATAATGAATCTCGGCAAATGGCAGCGACGTCCTGGCCTCGGTCTCAGTCATATTGAACGCCGAATTTGTATTCCGGGTCGATGATGAGCGACGGCCGAGCGCGACTTCGCGACTCGATAGGACTCGATGCGAGTTCGATGCGAGCCTGGCGAGCCGTAGGTATGCGCCCGCCCGATCACGGGGAGCCAATCTGTGTCTTCGATCTTAATAAAGGCATAGATATTTACGAGCCTCGGCGCTTTCCGTGCGCCAATCGACGCCGCCAGTCCCGCAGTAGTCAGCCGGCGCACGCCTTGAGGACGTCAACGATGAGGAAACCATCGCATGCAGGCGCAGGCTTAGACTTATGGAGGAATTGACCATGACGAGCGACTTTTCCGGCCTAGTTCCGCGCCTCTTGGTCACAACGCATGTCGCACTTTAATGTGTGTTGGCAGTGTGTTGGCGTGCATCGGGCCATCATATAGACTTTAGAGGTATCGCATTTTGGTCGAAAGATGATCCGGCCAATGTTGATGTTGCATAGATTGCATCCGTACCCCCTAGGCCCGGAGATGATACGCGGTGCCTCACCATCTCTTCTCCATCTCGCTTGGCCTGGCGTTGCGTTTGGACGTAATATTGAATGTACATACGGAGCTAGTCACTGTGCGCAGAGACTGGAACGCCTACAGGAGACTATCGCCCATGGAGTCCGCGATAGGTCAGACGATTCGTCTCAGGTTTGTATTCAGCAAGCGGCAGTCGCTTCTGCGTGGAGACACCTGTCACGACTGGAATGTTGCGTACACGCATGTCTCATTCGATAGGTTCACCCAGGATCGTAAGGGCACAGACAAGGCTAGACTTCCTTGCGAATGTTCTCTTCTATTCTTGAGGCCAAATTTGAAACGACGGAGCACTTGCCACTTCCAGATGCAGCGTGTTCAGCGCCGCAAGGGACTAGAGCTGTCGTACACAGTGAGGTGTAGGAAGGTTGACAGACGTGACATGCGCAGAAAGTCAAGAGGACACATTCATCTCTTTCACGTCAGGGGACAGCGCCGGCTCGCAGCTACTCATAAGTAACACAGGGGGGATCAGCATCCGCACAAGGTTTAAGTGTGCTTACTCCCCCGCTCCGTGCGGCTGGCCGAGACCTCGTCTCTTCAAGAAGGGTCTCGCGCGCTCTCTATGACGCACCCGGCCACCTGACCTGCGCAGTGACGGCGAGATGCGGTTTCCAAGTCGTGAATAGTCTCCATGGCTGACTCAACGCGGAAGGTAGTCGTTTGGTGTACAGAAGTCGTGGATGGCTGCGAACCATGCGATTGAGAGACCGCTTGCAACGGGACGCACTTCCTGATGTACCTGGCGCGTGTCATGAAATAAAACTTTACGAAACGCTCTCCGGAGACCGCAAGGTGCGGGCTCGACGCCCATGAGTGCTTTGCCGTGGAGTTCGCCCGTTTCCTCGTTTGACAAAGAGAGAATTTGGACAAGAGAGATAACTAGCGCTCGCTATGAAATCAAGACAAGTATGGTCAAGCATGCAGCCTCATCGATTGAGGTAAGAGGCACGACATCCCCAGCGCCAATACGGATCCAGAAAAAAGTGGATCGGGATCAGATCGGGAAGGTCGTACGAAACGGCTAACGAGATATGGCGGACTGCGGTGGTTGACAGCGCTTGACCTCGTTTGACCCAGGACTCGATGTTGACCCTGGCCCGAACACGATAAATTGACGATACGCGTGTTTACCGACTCAAGCGACCATCTAGAACGTGTGCACTCTATCGGGACGGGGAGTGGGAATACACGGTCCATGGTATCGGTCATTGTTCGTCGTTTGAGCATACATATCGCTTGCCTCGTTGCGATTGATACAATACAGGATCGTACACTAGATGCAACAGTTCAATAGCTGATAGAAAAACAGACAAACAAACACCAACAACAGTCCATCTTTGAGAGGTGTGAGTAGGGCGGGTGGAAGCTGTCACTTCATCTGGAACCTTCGTTCAATGATACGGAGACAAGTTTAGTCCATCATGGACTGCGTGATTGACATCGCACCTCGGGCGAGACCGGCCGCTGAAGCACAACCGAGCGTCAATTAAGCCACAGGCCTCATCAAGCAAGAAGGCGGGGGTGGGGGCGGGGGCGGGAGCTATAGCTAGATTCTGGCGCTGGCGAAGCACGGTTCAGGCGACACTGAAGGAACGCAATGCTCGGTCATCGACCGGATGGCGCTTGGGGATGTGTGTATTCTCCAGGAACGCGAGAGGCGCCAGGATTTGTGTGCCCTCGGGCGTGTAGTTGAAGAGGGTTCGAATCTGGGCCTCACTTTTGGGTGATGTGGAATCGGACATGGACCGGGGCACCCGCTGTTCCTTGTCCTGCGAAAGCACGGGGTGCAATGGCGACATAGAATGAGGGCGTATCAGGTCTGGGGGAGGCGGCGTATAGCTGTATGGGGCGTAGACGGGGGATGAATAGTGGGGAGAAGCTCCGTGTCGCTCGACTGTGTGTTCGGAGTCCCGTGGCCGACCCTTCGCCGATCGTGCACTCCTAAATCGGCCCTGCGGCACGCGCAAGCGAGCAAGGTCAGGGAAATCTTCGACTGTGTACAGTGCATCAATGGTCTCTTGCGTGAAGTATGCGACTGAAAAGGAAGGTACGCGGATGCAGTTAGCATGGAACCCCTAGTTCTTTTAAGGCAATATTACGGCGCGACGCACTCAGATGCCATTTTCGTCGTCCTCGGGGTGTCTCGACGAAGACAGAGTACGTCTGCTTCACGAGACGTTCTCGTGGGCGACCGAAGTACGACCCGGGGGGAAGATGAAGGCTGAAACTGGATGTGTAGCGTCAGAACGGCAATGGCAGACAAGGAGGGACAGCGCTGACGGGTGACCGACGATGTCCATGTCCTTCTCCATGTCCTTCTCGTGATAGAAGAGGAACTCCTGAGTGGCTGGGATCAGCGCTCTGGGGCGCAAACAAAAAGAAAGGCAAGGACGGGCTCACATCGCGCACACGGGACGGGCCCCACCGAATGCCGTCTGTCCAACGCTCAATACCGAGCTGTGTCGCAGAAGAGTGAGTGGGAGGGCAACGGAGGGCCTATCATGGGCTACGAACCCCCGTTGCCTCAGCGTCTGGTCCTCGTTCTTCCCATACATATACGGACCCAGAGCGGATGCAGCGTCGTTCTTCGCTGTCGAGGCGGCGAGAAACGATGGGAAGAACGCCGTTGGATACGGCGTAGAATATGACCTGTGCGTCGGAGATGGACTTGACTCTGAGGTCTGTGCACGTAGGGTGCTGCATTGCAAGGAGAGGGATGAGGTGAAGCACGGCGGGATTGGGTCTTATAGCGATCTGGATCGGCGTTTATGATAAGAGGAAGAGGCGCTGGCAGGGATTGTCTGATTGGGCTGCTATTTCTGTTAGTAGGCCAAAAATCGAAGAAAGGCATTCGGTTCTTGGCAAGATACATAAAAGATCTCTGGAAGCGTGGGAACGAAACTCTATACGTCTAATCATGAGCTATGGTCTCTACAGCACAATCAATCAAGGCCACACCAAACAGGAAGCTGTCCCTGCGCCCTCCGCTTTCAGAAGAACGGGGATCCGGTGAGAGTTTGGGGCCAGGCAGCACAGCGCTCTCTCGTTACGGGAACACTCCCGGGTCCAGATGCGACGCTTCTGCCCGCGTCTGCCCTATCTGGGTCCGCTTTCGTGACTCTGCATCCCTTTCATCGAACCCGGGCGTGCGACTCGCCACGCACATCCATTGCTGGCACTTGGCACTTGAAAGCTTGAAGCTTAAAGCTGTCCAACACCTCTCGTCATTGGCCGCTCCTGCGACGGCGGTCCACGCCCACCGCTGTGATCAAGGGCCTTGATCCGATACCACCGAACGCCCTAGATATTCTGGAGTGTCGAAAGAACCTCGGAGTGATTCACAACAACGTGCCGGCATGCGCACTCGCACTCAATGCCTCCTGTCACCACTGCACTTCTCCGCGCTCAACTGGCATCACCAAAGAAAGGATTGGGGGGGAGCCCATCGCGTCACAGTCCCCACAAATCGGTGTTCTCGCACTGGACCCTGAGATAGGGGATTGCCCAGGTATGTTCGCCATCACGATGGGATTTCCACCAGACTCCGGAGTGCTGGGGGGACATCAGAAGCACAGATGCTGTGGTGGCTTCTTGGGAAGCCCGTGGGGCTCTGCGGCGCCTACGAGGCAGCAGAGGGCGTAGAACCTCTGACCCCCCCCGTCTTTCCCATACCAGGTGGAGCTGACGGAGCTTGCCGTCGTGCGCAAGGGAGTACGTATAACGGAGGTCGCAAATACAGCAGTTGATGTATTGGACGCACTCGCTAATCTGTATGATACCCGACCGTACGTTTCGGGCGAGAAGTTCACTGGTTGACAGATCCAACTTCCAGCGCCCGTAAGATGAATGCACGCCCGGCGGATGTAAGTTATCATGCTCAGCGGGTTTAGATGCATCGGATTTGGGACTTGGTCATTTAGGATAGGTTTTAACGTACAGCCATCCTGGGAACTCCGACTCGACTTGCTTCAAGGCCAAAGCAACGCAGCTGCGGCATAAATCCAAGTGCCGCCCAAGAGGATCCCTGTCAATGCATCATGATGAAAGAAGCCAACAAGGACGTCAGATTGCTGGATGCAAGCGAATAAGCGGAGAAGCCAACGACACGAGGCGGACATAGGAATCACGAAGGGTTCGGGGATATCCATGCAGTGTACACCGCAGCGTGTATAAGTAATGTCCTGATGCCTCTCGATGAAGAGGGGACGACGTTGAGAGTCCGAAACGCTGACCACGCCAAGGCCCTGGCGCAGTGCCTTGGCTCGATCGAGGAGAGCACGTGCTTGAGCCCTCTTGGGTCGGTTTGCGTGACTCGAAATCTCGTTAGATTCGCATGCGTCGTGGACTCGCTGTTCTTGTTCATCATTTCAGCCGTCCTTCAAGACTTCCTTCTCTGTCTGCAACCTATATATCCCGGAGACTGTGTCAGGCAATGGCTGCTCAGCAACCGCCGTGGGCACCCCCCATCCCAAAAGCGCAAACGCCGGTCCTCAAGGTCTACAATTCCTTGACTAAGTCCAAAGTTCGTATCGTGGCAGGATCGCAGATGGATGGCCATCACATGATATCTTCTTTCAGACAGAGTTCGTTCCACGAGACGGTAAGCGCGTAAAGTGGTACAACTGCGGCCCCACGGTCTACGATGCATCCCACATGGGCCATGCAAGGTACGATCTGCACTGTTCTGCTCACGCATGGCACTCACGGGCTGCCCGGTAGGAACTATGTGACACAGGATATCCTGCGCAGGATCATGGTAGACTATTTTCGCTACGATGTTCATTTCGTTATGAACATCACGGATATCGATGATAAGGTGTGGTCGTTCATCACACACGCGTCCCACATGCAATTGACTGTTCGTGAAGATCATCCTACGCGCGCGGCAGAGTCACCTTGTGCAAAAACTGCGCGCAGAAACAGCATCCCTTACGCCGGGGCTGCTGGCCCAGGTACTCGCTGCCTGGACATCCTATGTGCGCTCGAAAGTTTACAAAGGCCTACTTGCCAATGAGACACCAGCATTTGATGCAGAATGGGAAGCATGGCCAGAGTTGGTCAAAAAAGCTCAGGATAAATTATGGAAATCAGAGTGCCTGAGAAGGGATGAGAAGTTTGATATGCACTTCACCGCAGCCGTGCGTGCACCACCGTTCAAAAATACACCATGTTATTCTGATGTTTGGTTCAGGCTCGCACGTTCTCAGCGCTTGAGGTCGCCCGAGGTTTGCTTGATTCAGGTCACAACACGGTCGATATCGCCCATCAGCTCATAGACGCAGCTACAGATGTACTCGCTCTTTCTTTGGACCAACAGGTATTCCATACCATCTTTCCATCTGATTGATTGATCTTACATTTTGTGGAAGCACGGCGCGACTGTTACGGATCCTTCTATCTCGCGCTCCCTGTCAGCGTTCTGGGAGCAGAAGTTCTTTGATGATATGTCCCGGCTGCGGGTACGGGAGCCCGATACCTTGACCCGTGTGACGGAATATGTTCCAGAAATTGTTGCCTTTGTTGAACGTATAGTTCAGAATGGCTATGGCTACGAAGTGGACGGCAGCGTCTATTTCGACACACGTGCTTTTGACCAGAGTAAAAGCCATTTTTACGCCAAGTTGGAGCCCTGGAGCAAGGGAAACCGAGAGCTATTGGAAGAGGGCGAAGGTGTGTCGGCTGTGCTTGTCATGTTCACGAGACTTTCGAACTTGACGGCCTCTCATCGTTAGGTGCACTATCCAGCACTACTGGACGTAGATCCCCAGCCGACTTCGCCCTTTGGAAAGCATCGAAACCTGGGGAGCCGTACTGGCCTTCACCCTGGGGTCAGGGGAGGCCGGGATGGCATATCGAATGCTCGGTCATGGCTTCGGCCATCTTCGGCGACAACATGGACATACATTCCGGCGGCATCGACCTTGCTTTCCCTCATCATGACAATGAGATGGCCCAATCGGAGGTAAGTCCATTGATGAGTTCTTAGTTATGGTTGTGTTTGTTCATCGCCCTGAAGGCATATCATGATTGCGAATCGTGGGTCAACTATTTCCTGCACACCGGCCATCTACACATTGAGGGGTTAAAGATGAGCAAGTCTTTGAAGAACTTCATCACCATCGACGTGAGAAACGATCATTTTGTGTTCGACAACAAGCGCCCATTGACATGTCAATAGGAAATATTGCAAAAATACTCTGCAAGACAACTGCGCCTTGCCTTTTTGACTCAACTTTGGAATTCTAAAGTCGACTTCTCCGAATCACTGATGACTGGAGAGGTCCGGAACATCGAGGCTACCCTGAATGTGTGTTCAACATCTTTCCTACATTACTCGCTCGTTACGCCTTGTAGGAGTGGAGCCTATCCTTTGGAATCTGATGTCGTTCGCAGAACTTTTTCACCATCGTCAAAGCTCTCGTCGCTCAAGCGCGCGCCGATGGTCCTAGGCTAGACGGAAAGCACCGATTTGAAAATCCGGAGATTGACCTCACAGACGTGTACGTTATTCTCAATTCGACGTAGCCCTTGATCATCTTTCTCACATCATAAATTTACTAGGCTACACAAATCCCAGGATGCGTTCCGGGTCGCCCTTTGCGATTCGTTCAATACGCCGAGTGCGTTGGACGTCCTTCGAGACTTGGTATCTCGCACGAATGTCTACATTAACTCGCGGGGAAAGGATCTCAACGTCGATCTTGTGGAGCGTGTTGCACGTTGGGTGGGAGACATGTTGCGTATGTTCGGACTGGGCGAAGGAGAGACCTCGGAAATCGGGTGGGGACAGGAACAAGGCGATGGGCCGTCTGCGGTGAATGTGAGTGTGGAATCGCGTCTTCTTGATAACGCCCTTCCTAAGATAGAAGTTATGCTGACTGCCCTATCTCAGCGGGAGGAGGTTCTCATGCCATACCTACGTGTTCTGTCTTCTTTTAGAGACGGGGTACGCCAACTAGCTATCTCCAATGGTGATGGAGTTGCGAAGGATATTTTGGCCTTGTGCGACAAGCTTCGCGATGTGGACGCAATCCCACTGGGAGTAGCTTTCGACGATCAAGAAGGTGCATTCCAGTATGGTTCCATGCATGAGTGTCATCACTGAACTGGTCACATTACATCAGATGGGAAAGCTCTTGTCAAACTCATGCCTCCTGCCGAGCTTATTAGAATCCGCGACGAAAAGCGCGCCCAAGTCGAGGCCAAGATCGCAAAAAAGGCCGCCGCTATTGAGGCCGAGCAGCAGAAAAGAATGCAGAAGCTGGAAAGGGGTCGCGTAGCCCCCGAAGTGATGTTCAAATCGCCGCAGGTCCCTGACGGCACTTACGGCAGCTGGGATGATGCGGGCGTACCGCTTACAGATGGCACGGGAAAGGAGCTGAGCAAAAGTCAAGGGAAGAAGGTACAGAAGGAATGGACGGCTCAGAAGAAGCTTCATGAAGACTATTTAGAATGGCAGAAGCAGCAGAAGTGACTGGGGGGACATAGTTTATGGCTTTGGGCAGCTTTGGGCAGTTTACCACCCTGTTTTGTATATCGAGGTGCCAATGCGTTTTGCTACAAACGTTGCATCCGCAATTTGTGAAGGAAGAAGTTGCGATCCCATATCAGCTTCCTCGGCTCACTAAAAAAAACAGTACGTGATGGATCGATGGGGAGAGTCGCTCCTGTATACGCATCTACTGGTGTATACGCTGTTCGGTCAATCACGATCGACAGGAGTTTGTACCAATATTCGTATACGTGCTACTCGTGCAGTATTCGTGTACACGGGAGCTGTTGTACGGACCCCTGGGAAATTTTGCAGACGGTCGTCCACTTCCACGTTCCGTACCCTTCGAGTGTGATACTTTTCTTTCTTTCTATAAGCCTAAGTGGGCAACGGCCAGCATGCGCAGTTTTCCAGGTACAACAAAAACGGCTTGTAAACTACCAATCGCATGCCCGTACTATTAATGCTGTGATTCTCTCCAGGCCCGCTCTGTCCTCCTCTGTGAAGCCGCCTACCGCCAAACAATCCAGATCCAAGACCCCGAGAGTGACTTCTCTGCCGTCTAGTTTCAACACAAGAGGACACACGACTTCACTATTCGTGTCACCGTCGCAGGCAATATGTCCAGGATACGCAGTCACATCGTGAACGAGGATTGTTTTGCAAGAAATGAAGGCATCCGCACACACGCCGCGGGCTTTTCCCGGAGTCGTATTGATGAACTGGCATGCGGGTTTACCACAGAATGGACCTAGAAGCAATCGACTGGACCCCTCTGAGACATTTGCCGTGCGAAAATGTCCAAACTTCGGGGAGGGGAAGATGGCTGAATCGAGATAGAAACCTATAGGTATGTTAATATAGCTTGGCTTCGATCTATCGCAGTCACAGAGAAAGGACACAACCAGCTCTCATTCTCTCATGGGCACAACAAGCAGCCGATCAAAGCACCTTAGAATGCAATCTATACGCGAAGAGACGTACCACACCAGTTCACAGACGAAGCGCCTTGTCCGAAAGCAGGAAAAGAGAGTAAAGCGTTGAAAACAAGGGAGGATGCATTGGCGAGATTGGTCACCTAGATGAGTCCCTTATAAGTCAGCGGGGTTGCGCTCTCTGCAATAGGTATATCAAAGAGGCGAACCCAGTCTCTTTGTCCTTCAAGGAGGGAAGCGAGTTGTTTATATACATGTTCCCAAAAATCGGGTTTGCTCTTGACACTCGAAGGCAGTAGAGAGGCATCTGCATGGGGCATGTTTACTTGATGAGTGGTCCCAGTTGGCTATGTCCTGAGTGGAAGGCTCCGACAACGTCGCGGTCGAGACAGACGATGGTGAAAGCCAGTACGATTGCAGTCGTAGACAAGATAAGATAAGATGTTTTCACCGCACTTTGCCGCATCGCTACATGATCAGTGATCTGGCGGGATGCCAGCCAGATTCCTAGTGAATTCCTCATACGACCCTTACCTACCTATCGACACCCCTCTATCTTAACGCCCATGGCTCCGTATCTCGAATCAGTAAAGGTGTCGATTTCCAGAATATACGGGGAATGAACGGCATTCTAATGGGGTACGGGCCAATGCACAGTCGTTTGCAGATGTTCCTATCACCGACGCAGGCGTCGACACCGTGGCCTTCCTTGAAGCCTCAGATGGTCTGGTTGGGCTTTTCGGTAAGCCTGCAACACTTGGTAGCGAAACATCTATGCTGGACACAATGTATAGATATCCTCGGATCGACCGCATTCTCCGTCGTTCAAGCAGACTTAAAGGGCAACATCGCCGTAAGACTAATCTATGATCGAGTTCCGAACCTATCTGATCTGGACTCGGAGGTATAGAAAGTTCGTGCGCGCTACGAAGCGACACCAACACTTTCGGACACGCTCGAGAAATTGGTTCAGAACGAGAAGGGCGAAAAGAAGCGGACAGCAACGGAGGGTTTGATTTGGCTGTTGCGCGGAATGTCCTTCACATGCAAAGCGCTCCAGAACGTGCAAGAAAACAAGAATGAGGAGCTCTCGATTGCGTTCAGCAAATCTTATGAGGGCACGCTGAAGAAGTTCCATAATTTCGTTGTGAAGGGCATATTTGCGGTGCGTCTTCGTATTCTTAGCTGGCGATGCGGAAAAGTATCATAGAACATAATTCATTGCTCAGGTGGCCATGAAGGCGTGCCCCTACCGCGCGGATTTTTTTGCAAAGCTGCGCGCTGACCCTGCTGGAGGACCTGCGGCTTCTGAGGAAAAGTCGAACGAAGAGCTGGATAAGTGGCTCGCAGCCTTGGCAAGTATCGTGACAAGACTGGAGACATTCTACGAGAAAGGTGGATACGGCAAGGGATTCTAGAAGACTCATCACTTGTCACCTTGACAATCCAATCGTGATGCAGATGAGTCGCAGAAGATCTTCGGAGACGAATAGAAGACTCATCACCTGATCAATAATTTTGGTGTGTTTCCACGATCTGTTGTGTTCGCTCCGAGCAATGTGTGGTATGTCTTTCAAATCGGCTAACATAAGCAGACTCGCTTGAGAAATGGAGTCCCACACCGCGAAACTGGTGATTGGACCCGCCCGCTGTCGTCGTGGGTTCTCGATACAATTTAGATTTGAGCTAAATAGCCTGACCAGGCACAAATACAGAAGGAATTCAGCCCTCCCACCAATGTACCGTGCTTTAGAGAGACTGATTGAACATTGCGAGTTCCAGTCCAGATATATGTCAAAAAACATATGTCGGCATGTGGTGGGAGAGTCATCTCAGACCGAAAGCATCAGTCAAGATTGTCCGAGATAGGCGTGTTTTGCTCAAATTGTGCTCAAATTGTGCTCAAATTGCACTCAAATGAGAGACCGTACTGGAAATTTTACCATACCCTCCCTTCTCGAGTCCAAGTTGCGATCCAGGGGGTTCTCTTTGATTGGCACAGTGGACCGGAGGGGATGACGATACTGACACCGATACGGTTTCAGATCTGCACCTAAAGTATATAATTTTACACACTAGGAATCTGCGACCTTGTCCCGAAACAGGGTCAAACTATAAACCGGTACCGACCGAGAGATGAAATTATAGCGAGCAGAGACGCTCATGAACAAATAGTCGGCTTCTTATAGGCGGCAAACTGCTGTCCAAGAGGCTTCGCTGATCATCAGACCACGTTGTAGGTTATAATTCACCTTTATATAGATCGTGTGGGTATCATAACGTACTCCGAAGGCATTCACGTTGCAGCAGTCAAATCTATGCAAAGGACGGACCACACGTTGTAGAACATGTCGATAAAGATGACTTAATCAGGGTATATTGGTAGAGCCTCATGAGAGATTATTAGATTACTCGCCGCACAGCCCTCCCTCCGGGGAATGAATGACATTATGCCGCAGGGAACCCCTCTCTGTCGATGCTTCATCCCCTGAGATGTAAGACAATTGTGTGAAGATTGAACGGATTTTCAAAAAGATGACGCACCAAGTAGAAACAACGAGAGAGACCCGAATCAGCGAGAGCGGGTCGTTCATCAACAATGATAGCCATCGAGCTTTGTGCGGTTGAAAGATACATGTAGAAACTCCAGCACACAGCATAGATCGGCTGGTGTCAGTCGAAAATTCCCTGTTGTGAGTTGCACTTTTCTTCAAGCCCAACCGCTGCGCAGACTATGCGCACTGGAGCCACTACGTCCACCACGATTGTTAGTCTGACGAACCACCTGTGAATCATGTCGGCACACACTGATACATTCGACGGCAGGAACACCTGGTATGTATCAAACGAGTCCGCCCCTGCTATCGAGAGATGCGAGCTGCAGAGTTGGTCTGACATTGGATCAGTTGATCAATACAAGGCAATGTTGAACAAGATCTCATCGGTCAAACCAGGCAACCAGGTCAATGATGATGAAACTGCCATATCCACGAATAACCTCACAGCACCTAGATTATTTGTAGTCTTCATCAATCATACAGTACAAGCTTTAATATGTCAACTCACAATAACGGTTCACAACAGCGCGCTGAGCCTTTTGTGTCTACTCCTTGCAAGTCCGATGCTGATGTCTGAGACAATGCATCCTACCGAGGATATCCAGTACAGTGTGCGCAAGTAATACACATAAGGAAACCGTCACAGCAGCGTTCACAAAGAAAGCTCTGGCTTACAAGAATTGTCGCACCACCGATAGAGCATTCTTCGACGTTTAATCACCAGCGTGTACCAGGAATAGGGTAGGACAATTGGTCAACGAATTACAAACGAGAGGCATCCGTGCGATCTGGGCAGCATACGTGTGGTTCCCTGTAGTGTTTAGGAAGGGCAAGAATGAGTAACAGAAAGAACGGATCGTCAAGGCCTTGGGACACGTTCGATCCGAAGCCGCGAGTTCATTAATCATGAGTCAAATCATGAGTCAAGGACTTTGACTACTGAGGAAGATCATATCTAGGATCTCACAATTGCGGAAAGACGTAGGTCCAGCAACACAAGATAGCGGCGAAGCTTGAAATTTATGTGTACTTCTGGCGAAGGGTTCCAAGCCGGCTGTGATACACGGAAGAGCCAATCGAGTGGGACGTACACGCCGTAAGGCGAAAGCGATGTAACAATTTGAGAACAAGGGGTACCCCGCGGCCAGGGTGGGGAGGGGGGTCAACGGCCTGAAAACGAAAGGAAATCAGGGCATTTGACAAGCGTCCTTCAAGCACTGATGTATCACTCACTCAACCGACTCGAGCCCAATTAAAGCGACGGTGTCCATACCACATGTCGCAATGCGGTTGCCGAGAGACCGTAACCACAATGTAGACGCTGTCTGCGGGCGTATTGAGTGCGAGTCCGAGGAAAGATGAGCTTCAACAATGATCCTAGGCGTCAGGAAGAAGCACATGCGTACTGATAGGAGCCACAATGATAGATCGAATGCTGCAGAATGCTGCGCCTTCGAGAAGCTTTTCACGCACGAGAAAGCCAGAAGCGATGTGATGATGCCAGACAGATGACGCCATTCGCAAAGGCCACAGAACTGAAGGAAATAGTGCGCCTTACAGGGCAGCTGAGGATTAGACGCAGCTTGTGACACAAGCACATACTACAGATCGAGTAGATAGGAGGAACATTGAATCGTCAGCCTTATGAACACATGCTTCGTCGGCCCCATCCGCATATTAGTGCTTCGTCAGGTGATTGTCCCTCAGTTTCCGTATGTCGAATTTCGGCAAGGAGGTAAAAAGAAGGTAAAACATACATCAGATGAGCAAGACACATGAAATTTGGTCCATCCTGGCAGGCAAAGTATTGTCGTTACGTTGGAAGAAATATTATTAGCTGTATGGAGGAAGAAGAAGATCTCAACCATCAGGTACCGAAGAAGGCCGAAGTTACTTACTACTACGGAATGATATGAGTAGGCCCGCGCAGCCCAACAGAAGTCCATTGCTACGGGATATGAACCGAAAACGCATTTCTGACTATTACTGATAGAAAAACAAGGATGTTCTGGAACACGCGTGGACGTGCACGATGGTGAGCCCCGTTGAGCATGTCCAGGGTCTCAAAAGTTGACGTGCGACCGCGAGAAGCAGTGTACACAACTGACGAAAACCCAAGGTTCACAGTGAGTGTGTATATCGAGTCATCGTTGATGAACCTTAGGTTGAGATGATTGCGCTTACAAGTATGACGAAGACGCTTCAGCTGGAAAAACAAAAATACGACAGCGAGTAATCGCGATCACGTACACGTCTGGGAGGGCACGACCACTTTATCACAATACTGAGGTATTTTGACACTGAAGCGACATGTCAAGCTGAATCATATAGAGATAAAAAAAACTGAGAAGCAAACACAAGAGTCCCGGAGAAAAATGATGGTGTATGTCATACAATGATCTAGTGAAACCGTCAACCTTCTGCGCTGATAGCAAAATCCATAAAACACACATATCCACTGCGCGTTCGTCTTTAGCGTCCCATCATCTGACTCATCATCCGTGCGAGAGATCTACAAAAACGTGTAAATCCACCGATGAACCAACATTGTACATACCCCGAACCCAAATATAGCGCTCAAAGAGGGATTGCAAACACGGCGTGCCAGCGCATGCGCTACCAGGCAACACTGTGCTTCACAAGCCCAGAATCTTGCCCACTTTTTGGCATATTGGAGCTCCGGGACATCCTTGATGGAAGCTGCATAGCGGGTATTGGTTCCATCTGCACCGTCCTCACCGGACCCACACTCTGCACAAGCGCAATCTCCTCTGGTACCGGAGACGAGGCATCCTGTCCGGTCCGCGGGCCACGCCTCCTTCTCTGAGGCGCCACGAATGGCACAGGTGAGGTGTACTTGGGGCGTGAATGAGGGGTTGGAGGGACTGTAGTGAGCTCAAGATCATCCTCGTCGCTCCCCGTGCCTGTCGTTGACGTAGAAGCGGACTCGAAGGAGAGACGAGAGATAATCTCGTCACGGGTAGACGCGGAAAACGGAAGTGCGGAGACCAAGGAGGACAATGCATGCGGGCGTAGCGTTGCGCCTACGGCTGTCGAAGACGAACGCAAGAACGATTCTCGTGCAGGGATCTGCAAGGACTCATGTGGAGGTACGGGAGACGCGCTGGGATGGGCGGCCGGAAAGGGATACAACGAGCGAGCAGGTGAAGTGGAAGGTAGGGTGGGTTGAGAGGGAGGAAAGAAGGAAAGACGTGTAGCGGGGATTCGTCGGACGGTGTAAGAAGAGAACGTACGGCGAGCTCCATGAGAAGCTGAGTCTGGGCTGATGTCCTCAGGAATGCTAGTTGCAGATCGAGACTGCAAATTCACCGTTATGTTGTCCGGTGTCACAGCAGCATCGAGAAAGGGAAGTTTCGCATGCCCCAAGGGAATATAAAGCACCTTTCGAAGGTGTATAGAATCGGATGCCCAGAGCTGATTTGAGCGACGTAGCTCAGCAACAGTAATGCCGTACTTCAAGGCTACTCCAGCCAGGGAGTCTTTGGGCATGACCTAATGGAAAGGTAGGGCGGACGAGATTCGTGAGAGGTGGTGGGTTACCGTATACGGTTCTGAGGTTAGGAGGACATACCTCATGAACCAATACTACCCTCTCTTCTGCGCCTCTCCCCAAGCCGCTAGAAGAGCCCGCGTGAGCCCCCTCGAGCTTATCATGATTAGCAGGAGATGAATCCTTCTCCCATAATGAGAGTAGTCGAGCGAGGTGTGGGCGAGTATCGTGATGACTCGTATCCCCTAAGGTAGAGGCAGACATAGAGCGCGAGGAGGCGGCACGCAACGGATGGTGCCCGTCGTGATCATCTACGGTTCTTGATCTGGAGTGTGCGGGACGGGTAAGACCACCCTGCACAGGTGACAGATGGCCTTCTGAGACCCGTCTCCGTCTTGATGTAGACGTGTGCGAGAGAGTCGAATCAAGCGCAGAAGTGAATGGCCTGCTCTGACTGTCCCTAAAGGGGCGAAGATACGAATTTGGTTCATCATAAAGGACGGTGGGCGAGGATGTTCTGGATGGACCGTCTCTGGACGGCATGAAGGTGAGTGCTAAGGGGATAAGCTGTTCATGTCACGAACGTCGACAACTTTCACAATCAACTGGCATGAGCTGGAGGGCCTCAGGCCTCACGTCGCCACCGTTTACCTATTTGGGCAAGAGGCAAACAGTTTCATCATTGCAACGGTTCAAGGAACATACAAGATATACCAAGAGTGGCGATCATGAAACATAAGTAAGTAAAAATATATTCTGCTGATTATGACTGCAGGTATCCAGTGTATCGCTTCCTCTGCTTAGACGCCTTTCCCCCCTCATACCAGGATGTCATGATTAGATATCACTGCCATCAGGTGAAAATGAAGAATATAGTGTTACAGACCCAGAGAGACGATGGAGGATACACGACCTCAAACAGGGCTACAGGGCCTGTCATCCAACCTGCCGCTCTTCATTTGCTTTCCAATTGTTCCACGCTTCCCTCGCGATGTCTCTTCGATCCCGTCTGCGATGACTGCGCAGCGCCAGCTCCAGTCACGCCAACAACAAGGCCCTTCAGCCAACCGTTCTCCCTTCTCAATCCCTCGCACTCTCGCTCCAGTTCCGCAACCCGCTGCTCAAGTTCCTTTGCCTTCGTCTCCAACGCCACCTCTCGCTCCTTTTTTTTCAGCCGGAACCGGGCCGAAGCGGCCGTGTTTCGTCGGCGCTTATCTTCCGAAGCGGAAAGCGGCGCAGAACCATCGGGTGTGCTCGGCGAAATTGGAATGTCGTCCGCAATTGTAGAAGTGGAGATCTTGCGGGTGCGTGCACGTTTAGCAGGGGGTTGAGCATGCGATCCCGGTGAAGCGGCGGCTTGAGCCGGAGGTGGTGGATAACCGAGCGCGTGCACGGGGTAGAGAGAGAGAATTTGGGCAAGGGAGGGAGCTGCTGCAGGGAGCGGACTCTGGGGGAAGGAAGGAAGGGCAAACGGGTCCACACCCAGCCCTGCAAGGATGCTGTTGATGTCGAATGGAACTTGGGTCGCTTGCGTGGACGCAGAGGAAGAGATGTTATTAACTGGGTTCGCAAGAACGACATTGTCGTGTTTATCAGTGGGAGCCGGTCCGGCGACGGGATCCTCATCCTCTTCGTCCTCCCCATCACCAGAAGGGGACGGTTGGCCAGCACCGCCGTTGGAAGCGGAAGAAGTCCTACGTCCGAGAGGCTCGTCCGACTCGAAAGCAAGGGTGGTCCATAGGTCGAGTTGAGCATTGAGCTCGGGGAAGTGTGGGTTAGATAGAAGATCCTGAGAGTCGGAGAGATAAGGGTTGGACACAGTTGAAGGGACTAGATTGAGTCCTTGCAAGTTCGGCGGAGCCATGGCGGGACGTATGCGACCTAGGACTTGATCCTGGCACGTTAAATAGACGAGCGCTCTATCAAGATGCGAAAGGACGGTAAGATGAATGGCCTAGTGAGTGGGCGGTCTCAGGCACATTCGATGTCTACAAAAAATTCCCACTGACAAATGCATCACATGATCTCTTGCTGCCATTCCTTTCCCCTATACTTAGAACACAGCCGTCGCTTTAAGCCGCCCGAGTCGCCGTCCGTATCCTCCTCCTACAGTAATCTTTGCACACAATTTAGCTCAGGCCTCTCTCCAATTCCGCTCTTTCCAACTTCTTTATCTCGTCTTTCTGTACTGATGGTTGAAGCGTGGGCATGCGGTTATCATGTCTCTGCCTGCGCCAAAGGTGCATCGGAAGGGCTTCAATTCGGAATACTAACATGAGGCCATCACTAGATTACAACGCGATCAGGAAACAGCAGCGCCACGACAACGCAAGAGTTCAGATGCGGGCCATATATATCATGGTCGACCGCTCTATTCCTCCCCGCCGTGCATTGATATGACGGTGCACCTACAGTATCAATATAGAAAATGGCCAGTGCACCCACTAGTCCAGTATCGTGCTGGTTTGGTGTCTCGCAGAAATATATCGTCTCTATCAGTCGTGATAGACATATCTGCTCATGCTTGAGCAACGTCAAAAGCCCAGCCACCGACCCCGCCACGATCCCCGCCACCGACCCCGCCACGATCCCCGCCACCAACCTCGCCACTGATCACTCCATCTTTCTTGGCCGTGCTGACCGGACTCTTGAATATTCTGGCTAATGCTCTCAAAACAACTGCCAATATTCGAGCCTTCACAAGCCTCCTTCTCTATGAGGATCAAGATGGACATGATGGGGAGAGCGCGAGCACTGTGTTTAGCGCTCTTGTCAGTCTCTTATGCTACTAGTCAGTCAATGTTTATCTTACGCACGAACGGCAAGAGGAGGCAAGAGTGGCTCTCAGGATCTGTCGGGGTTTCGGTCTCTGTGAGAAGCTTCCCGCAGCTACAAAGGCACACTACGCGAGCGCCTTTGAGCAATCTCAAACAGATATTTACTGGTTACACTACGTCAGAGTATATACAGATTTCTTCTACATCTTAGAGCCATCCACAGTGAACAGAACAAATATCGTGTTTTGTGGGGAACTTTCTCAGCCTGAATGACAAAGGAACGATCGGAACTCAGCGAAATTTGCGACCCACTCCAATGACTCAGCATATTGGTGACTGAGTCTTGCCGTTGTGGCTTAGCTTAAGTCACTGATCAGTGCTAGACCCATATCCCTACAACACTATTCACACTAGACTTGATGGCCTCTACTCAAGATACCAAGGTGCCTTTCTTCAAGAAAAAACGCGCACGGCCAACAACGACACGCCAACGTTCCGCTTCACCTCCCACTTCCGCTCTCAGCGTCACTGCTCCAGTACCATCTTCATCCAAATCCGAGGTTATTCTGCCATCGCGCAAAGGCACTTCTAGTCTTCTTAGCGCCGGTACTAAACGAACTTCATCACAACGACATGCGGAAGAACTCGAAGACGGTGGGAACGGAGAGGGGCCAGGGATCAATTGGACCACATCTGGAGGACACGTCAACGCTGCTTTAGAGATACTGCAGGGGGACGAGGCAGAGGAAATGGTGTTGAAGAAAATGAAGAGAGCAGAGCCGGACGCGGATGAGGGTCCTGATGATGGATTGTACCGTGGCCAGAAAGCATACAAGTCACATATCAAGAAGAATCAAGAGGTACCCAAGGCGATGCGTGTCGGTCCACAACGGAGCAATAACAGCACGATTCGCACTGTCACTATAGTAGATTATCAGCCAGATGTGTGCAAAGACTATAAAGGTGCGTTTGAACTCCTTGATGGCATGCTGAGCCTGAGGCCGATGTGCTGTGCCGGGTGTTGCAGAGACTGGATTCTGTGGTTTCGGTGATACATGCAAGTTTTTGCATGATCGTGGTACATGTGAGTTATATTAAATCACTACCCTGATAGCTGGATATTAAGGATACTCGTTACTCGGCAGATCTAGCAGGGTGGCAGCTTGACAAGATTGCCGCCAACCCCAACAAGCAAGTCCAAGATAATTCCGGGTCAGATGACTCGGACGACGAAGACATCCCGTTTGCGTGCATCATTTGTCGAAAGCCTTATACGGATCCTATCATGACACGCTGCAATCACTATTTCTGTTCCGCGTGTGCCATCAAGCGCTTCACGAAGACGCCGAAGTGCGCCGCCTGTGGAGCCCCCACGGGGGGGATTTTTAATAGGGCGGCCAAGGTGATGGAAAAGCTGAAGAAAAAGCAGGAGGAGGAGGGCGGGGACAGCGAGGACGAGAAGAAGAGAGAAATCAAGATTGAGGGATTGGGACAGGACGATTCAGAGGAAAATTCGGGAGATGAGACATGATTCAGGCTACCGTCAGACTTTGAGACGTTGCTTCTGTATGTTGTTTGGACATCTTTAATTCGATCGTGATTTTTCGCTTCCCATTGACAAACAATTCTGCATCCAGCAAACGATAGGCCATAAACACAAGCCGTGCGGATCGCACTTCTATCTTAAGGACTCCCCGTGCTTATCTGCGAACGATTGGGGCGATCCAAATGCTCAAGCCTAAGAAGGGGGCGCCACGGACACTTAATAGTAGGCCTTCTGTGATGCTACTGCAGTTCTTGTGAAAAATCGGGGTCGGACTCGCCGGGATTCACTCGTCAGTTGTCTAATGATCTGTCGTTGCTAGCGCTGGCTCGTCGGATGTACTCTACATCGGACGACATTGAGCTAATAATTCAGGCAGTACCAAGTCCCGGAAAGGCTCGCAAAGATGCGCTTTCGTGGCGAAAAGAAGATCGAACGCTATTCTGGGAAGGTCAGTGCTGCCTGAGCATATTGGATCGCCAGGTGATTATCTTGATAGTCTCTACGTCTTCTCCACGTGCTGGAGAAGGGGAACGTACGACTTCATGCAAGAAGAAGGGAGAAGAGTTCCATCTTGCCTTAGTGTACGTGCATGACCCCGATAACCTGATGAACATCTTCTACCAGATGGACGGCGACGGCATTTCAGATAACGAAAAAGCATAAATCGGGGAATGATGCCCTTGAGAGCACAAAGGTGGGCGTCATTGCACGGGGGAGGGGTCCATGGAGGATCATCAATCACTGATTCTAGCACTGCGGTGAGACACATGTCGTCCAGGTCGAGGATCCCATTGCTCAAATGCTGCAGGTGGGCTCCATTTATCTTGTATTGACATCGCGTTTCTAGTTCCATCAACCGATTCCATTCTCTGGCCGAGCTGAGCACATAGCAAAACCCGCCCGGAAGCTTTAGTCAGTGGTGTGTATAGGAAGACCGGGGATGGTTATTCCAGTTTGGTAGAAAGGCCGAAGAACACGGTACATGGAATACCTCAACTCTCAGCGTGGACCGACGGGAAGAGGGTAGAAATACTTGAAGTTAATTGGGAAGAGGTTCATCATGTGCAGAAGTTGCGAGGATAACGGCATCTGAGCTTGGTGTTCAACCGTTCTAGGTATCATAGCACTGGCCTTTCGCCTCTCAATTGAGATCGTGAGACGATCATATCGTCACAATCGGGCTTTTGACTTCAATTGCAATCTAGATGCTTTGAGAAGAGAAGCACAGAACGAGCCATTGAAGTTGAATACTGACTCCCTGATTCCCTGATTACTTCCCACCTGCCTGCGGCAACTCCCGTCCTGCTCCCCCGGATCGACAGCACGTTTTGTACTGCACCTGCATGCTGACTTATGGTTATGCGGAACAGTTAAGCGGATTATCTACATGTGGATTCATAGTCAGGGATCAGTACTTCAGTGATGATCAGTTGGAGACGGTCTTACTGAACAAAATTGCGAATCTGTACTTGATTCGCTGGTTCTCCCAACTCAACAAGGGACGGATCACGGCCACTATTGCATTCACACTACAAACGAGAACACTACATATTCGTACACGACTATTGAGCGAGGATCTGCCACGACACATAGGAACAGCCCAAGAAATTCAAGAAATGCATGGAGGAATCCTACATAGCCTTCGACTCTTCTGCAAGCAAGACAATCCCATCTAGATCGGTTGTGTCCTCACTCCGTCTGCATGACTCCACCTATCAGCCACCCCTGGGCGCCTGAGGACAGCTCTTGGAGTGCCTCTTCAGCGAATCCTCGCGGGCATAAGTCTTGCCGCAATAGTGGCACCTGACCTGGAAGTCGGAATGCAGGCTCTGTATGTGCCTCTGCAAGTCGTGGCGGCGGGCGAACGTGACTCCCGGGCAGTTTGGGCACGTATGCGGCGTGGATGAGGAGGCATGGGGAGACGTCTCCTGGGATGACGAAGCAGCACCTCCGCTATAGGTGGAGGAATAAACATGGGTGCCTGTGTGCTGAGTGGGCATAGCCGTAGACTGCTGACGTGTGGGGGGATAAGAGCCGTAGTGAGAAGGTGGAGCTTGCGCATAGCCTTGGTACGGAGCTTGAGTCTGTACGTGCCCGTAGGCATATCTCTGCGGGGCAGCCTGGTAGCCTCCGTACACCGGGGGTGGTTGAGCATCATTCAGGCTTGAAGGGTCCTGCGTGAATGGTAAAGGGTGGAGTATCACGGGATATCCTTCCGCTAAAAATCGATGTCAGCAAGTCAGCAAAATGAGAAGGAGGTAGGAAGTACCACGGGACTGGAAAGAACCTGTTTGCTGCGATGAGGATGCAGGCGCTCCGGGGGTATTCCCAGTAGTATAATTGGTCTGCTGGCCGGTCTGGGCATTGTGGGCAGCGGCGTATTGCTCTGGGGAAACTTTGTCAGACGAGCGAGAAGGATCGTTGGGGTTCTGCATTGTGTTCGAGAGGATTGCTGAGCTACTGGAGACTCACGGGTTTGAGTGAGGTGCCTTTATACTTCCCTCCGGAGGGATACAGGGCAAGAATGACAGGTACAGGCGGCATCGAGTGATGAACGGATAGAGTGAGCGAGGTGGATGCATCGAATCAGACATGGCGCACACACGGGATGACGATGGTCAAACCGTAGACATCCAGGGCAGATCTAAGACATGGTAAATGAATATCGAGCGGCCAAGTGGTCAGTGGATACGCATGAAACTCTTTTCGGCAACAAGGAGCGCTGGCGAGCGTCCAGTTGGGATACACCAACTCAGGCGCGCTTCTGACCCAGCAAAGACAGACATGCTTCTTCGATTTTCGCTCCATCGATGTCGTCCGGCAATTCGACCTCCGTGCAGCAGTTTGGGCTTGCGCACTACGTCCCACGGTCAGACAGATCCAAATCTGATTGGACTCTGGATTTTGAGCACCGTGAGCACCGACAATTACAGCCTTGCCGCTTTGAAGGCCAAGTCATCAACGGTCTGGCGTCGGGAGCTGCAGATCACACAACCTCAGTGCATGGAAAATTTTGCTGGCCAATCGAGTGTTTGCGATGGATTCGGTAAATAATATTGAGGGGTAATCCATCACGATGGTCTGCGGCACGGAATCCTTTGCGATCGATCTTGCGCGACTTTGGCAGGCGCCCCTGTCGTGGGCCACCACGCATCAATATTGTCAGTCGATGTCAAAGCGAAGTATCCTGACAAGATGATACGTTCGAGCTTCAAACACGCAACCAGAGGTTATGCAAAACAAAACAGGTAAGGAAAAATCGACAGAATTACCTACAAGTTTGAGGTGCGACGCGTGCATCCGATCATTTTCATCGCCGAAATTAGGCACACAGGTTGCTCGGACATTCGTAGTCTAACTGTCTCCGTCATTCGTTCCAAGCCTGGAGCAGCGGCGCAAAAGAAATTCTGAGGTCGTTGTTGACATAAAAGTGATTGACGAAGGTCATCGGTCAGATATAGCCATGTACGTGAGTTGGACATGAACCGTGAGAGATCGCTTAGGACAGTCATCGCTCATCGATTAAGGAGCTTTCAAGGCAATGCATCTGAAGTGGCGGACAAGTTGAGCGTGGCGAAAAGGAGAAATGAACTACATGTACCTTTTCGGACACCCTGGCTTTGTGTAGAGCTCGGTGAACAGGTCAGAGCTGCATGAGAAATATAATATACCGTCTGTATGATATGATACATATCGTGCAGGAGAAGCTGAAGTAACAATCATCGGCGGATTGTTGGTCGAAGTCCCTGTGGCACTTCCCAAGGTACCTGTCGACGGATGGATCATGATATTAGCTGTCCAGGAAGAACAAGGCAAAAAAAACACGATACAACAATCGCTACATAGACTTCCGAATGACGTTAAACAGTTGCCTTTTACATGCACGAAGACGGCGTATATTTATGGACCCACAGTTGCCTAGATAGTGAGGCGATCTTGGGGCTCCAGCGAATGTATGAGAGCCATTCTGAGCGATACAAGCCTCTTCCAGGAGACGACCCGCCTCGCGAGTCGCTGGCAATCGGAGGTTACCGGACTGAAACGGATCCTGCAATTATTGTGTGCCTCGTATGTGTCCGATCCGCTAATTAGACCGTAAACCCGATAGAGAAGACAAACGTACACCGTAGCCCGCGGCATCGCGAGCGGTATGCTCCGGCCAGTGAGCGGAGGGCAAGATCGTTGCACGCCGCATAGGTATACCATATATGACTTGGAGTCCTGTCCACCTGTCTGTCTGATAGTGGCACTTGGATGAAACCAGTTACGTTGTATCGTCGAACAGGCCATATCGAGACAAGCGAGCTGGAACATGCACAAGCTCTGAAACAATTTCAGCATCAATGAGAACGGCAAATTCATCTTCACAGTTGGACGTGAACTAGCCTGTAAAATTGACGGCATAAGCGGCGGCGAACAGACGAAACATTGTAGCTGGAGCTCCACGCCTGAGTGCAGGATCGAGGGGGTCGCGAAACCATATGAGCAGTCACTGAAATTTGGAAGTTGTGTGGATAGCAAAAATGGAGAGATGGTGTTGATCCCCAAGTTGAAAAGGTGCAGATCGCACGGAAGGCTCCACGACGGTCGGTCGGCGGTCGGACGGCGGCGCGGCAGCACGGTGGCCGTGGGTGCCTCGACTGGGCTTTTCCCGCCACACTCGACTTGACTCATTGAATGGCTCCCTTCGACCTAGACGCATGCATCGAGCAACTGCTTCGAAAACAACTCCTCCACGAGGCGCTCTTGCGCGAAATATGCGAGAAGACCAAAGAGGTCCTGATGCGCGAGTCGAATGTCGTTCACGTTAGTGCGCCAGTGACCGTAGTGGGCGACATACATGGGTGCGCAGCTTTTCGATCTTTCGCACACTTACCCTGATAATTTATCAACTATCAAGACAGTTTTACGACCTTGTAGAGATCTTCCGCATAGGTGGCTATGCTCCACACACGAATTATCTGTTTCTCGGTGCGTGTGCTCCGTTCGGCCATTTCACACATAGGTCCAACTAAACTTCGCAGGTGATTATGTTGACCGAGGGCTCTTTAGCGTTGAAACCATATCTCTCCTCACATGTCTCAAGCTACGCTATCCTGACAGGGTGCAGCTAATCCGAGGCAATCATGAGTCGAGGGCTGTTACTCAGGTGGGGAGGTATATTTTCGCATGAGAATTTCCATGCCTGACATCGAATAGACATACGGATTTTATACTGAATGCGTACGAAAGTACGGAACGTCAAGAGTATGGACATACTTTACCGACATGTTCGACTTCTTGACACTATCCGTTGTCATTGATGATCAGATCTTCTGTGTGCATGGTGGTGAGTGCAAGGAGGCTACCCGCTCTCTTCGCATAAATTACAAATCCGGCCCTGTTCAGGTCTGTCACCTTCGATACATTCCATAGATCAGATTAAGGTCGTTGACCGATTTAGAGGTCAGTCAAACGTCTCGATACTCGCTTCCCTAATTAACGACAACGTCTCGATTAGAAATACCCCACGAAGGTCCTATGGCTGACCTGGTGTGGTCTGATCCAGATCCAGAAAAGGAAGATTTCGCAATATCTCCTAGGTTCGTGCATCTCCCGATCCTGTGTACCACAGGCTTATCATAGGCCCGTGGCTCCTGAAGGGGCGCAGGTTATACTTTTGGCTCCGGCGTTGTGCACAAGTTTCTAGAAACCAATAACATGTCGCACATCCTCCGCGCACATCAGTTATGCATGGAGGGATACGCCTCCTTGTTCGATAGACACCTCTCCACAGTGTGGTCTGCCCCAAATTACTGCTACCGGTGCGGGAACTCGGCTAGCATACTTGAAGTGGGCCCTGGAGGCACAATGTTTTTCAATGTCTTTGAAGCAGCTCCAGAGAACGAAAGGGATGGCCCTATGCACCAGGCTGCCCAGAACGCCGGAGGAAAGGTAGGCCATGTATCACTTAATCGTCAATACCATCATCTTAATATGTCTCCTTCTCACCCCGCCACGAAGCTGCCGGAATATTTTTTATAGAAGGGGGGCCTTCACATACGCTACGATCGCTCACGATGATGTTACGAGTATTTTTACGAGGTTGGAAGCCAATGAAGCAGCATTCGATTCCACAGTAGGCTTGGACGGGCGCTGATTCCCACACATTAATCATGGTGAGAAGTTCTCTGTGTAACCTCTGACGTCCCCGTCAGAACCAACGTGCTGACAAACGTCGCTGGAGATAAGACTGCTGGGGGTGAGAATGTCAACGCGAATATGAGCATTGGCGGTATGCAAGATGTGAGACAACGCCATACCGGGATTTGACCGTCCGAGAAGGACTACTGAACATGCCATGTACCATAAAGAAGGTCAATTATGCTTTCGCCAGTCTGTTCATCAACTGGTGAGAGCGAACAAACACCGGGTGAGTCAAGAGTCTGGCCCAGTGCCATCTTTGACTCCGCGCCCCAACACAGCATAACGCTAAGAACAAGTAAAGGCCGAACACCAATGGCGTTTTCCACCTCTTCCACCAGAGAATTGTAAGTGTTCTCGCAAGATCCCGCTTGCGTCGGCGCCCGTGATGGAGGTGTGGTATCGAAGACCCTGACGCTGGGGCATGAGGGCTGATAGGGTAACCGAAGAACGGGTTGTACCGTGACCTTGGGGAGATCCGCGGAGCAGCGGCAAAGTTCGCCGGTGGGGATGGGCGGTGCGCATCTGTGTGTGAAACTGTTCGCCCGTCTAAAGAAGGCGATGAGGGTTCATCAGGTATGGTGACGATATTTGTCACGTCCTTGAGCTTTGGAAGCTGTCCTCCATATTCTAAATAGATGGATGAGCCATGAAAGGAAAGGCTTCGTGGTAAGTCAAACCGACCTACCCTGAGGAAGTGACGAAGTCGGGACTACGTCATGCAAACCCTTCATGGTAGGGAATAGCACCTTGGAAAGTGCAGGTTCAGGGAGAATGCGCCTACGATGATGGACCGTAAGCTCTGGCTCATGGGCGGTTACTGACGGAGAAATGCGCCCACTTGACAAGATTCCATAGGCTTGCATGAGTCCATGAGAAGTTGATCACGAAAACTAGTCACAAAAACGGATGTCAGAGAGATGGAGCTGAACTGTGACATGACCAGAAAAAGATACCTGCAGCTAGCATTCCTGGAAAGCGGGGGACAATTTCTCGGATATACCACTTTAAAAGATCAAGATTCTAGGAGTTGATGGTGGGAATCATCAGATACTATGACCACGAGTCAGGTAATGCGTGGAACACCTACAATGTTCCGCATGGATACATCCTGCATATCGACTATAAGGGTATATTGCAGGATAAGACGTTTTTCGCCGGTCCGCATTTCTGAATTAATGTCCTGTAAGTGTCCTCGCAAAGTCTCAATTACATAGATAAGGTAGCCTTTCGTGGAATCGGATGAATCGTTCAGGCTGGCAAGGCGAAGTATGAGCACAGGTCGACCAAATGTATCACTTGTGGGCGGGGCCAGACAGTAGATAAGGTCCGATGGTCGACTAGTGGGTGGCTGTCTTGGAATATTGGTCAGGCGCCAAAGGATTGTGGTACGCATCGTTTCCAGTGCGAACGCACTCGTGAACTTGTGCCTCTGATGAAAAGGGTTAACCTCGTTCGGGGCAAGCAGGCCTTCTACTTTCTATTCACCTTTAACATACGAAAGACAGAGCCTGTAGTTCGATAGAAATCATCAAGCTTCAAACCGTATTTGAGAGTATGCTTGAAGATTATTTACCGACATCCTGTAACCATTCTCTTGCGCCTTTCACATCCTCCGGATCGATTTCGAGTTCATCTACGACATTTGGCAGTATCTGGTCAAGCAACGTCGTCTGTAAGGACACTACCAGACCCGAGTTTTCAGACCAGAGGGCGTATAGCTGTTCATTATTGGCTTGGAGTGAAGCAGATATATCCATGTGCACTGAACGACTCGGACAACGTCAAGGGGGAATGGCCGCGTCGTACTTGCCAGGGAGAAACATGTGACGATGTGTCTACCCTAGCATAAGGTTAGGGGTTGACAACATCAGCAACGATTCTAGCCTTGTCCCTTCCTTCCCAGGTTCCAAAAGTCGGAGTGCCTCAATCGTTGGCTGAAGCTAAAGCACAGTCTCCTCATGTGTCAAAATTTCTCCAGCTGCGTCCGTACAACTGGTGGTCAAAGTATCGTTGAAACGGTTGAATCCAACATTTCTCACGGCACATCGCTAAAGACAAATAACATAACAACCTCTCGATATGCTTGACGTTCATCTATCCCACTTGGTGACGATCCTCGACTCTTCATTCGACAATGCTCTTCGATTGGGTAAGTGTGCATCATGATCCATGCCAGCATCCTATCGCCGACCCCGCCGGCTTAGAGATGAAGCCTCCAGCCTATTCAAGCCTGGTCATAACACACCGGACGATTTCATCATTAGAATCCGACGAGGCCTTGAGGTCTGCATCCTTCTCCTTAACTGCCGGATACCCCACGGGCAACCTTCCATCTCTTTGCGGTTAAATGGTATGCGCGAGCGCCTATGGTATCAAAGTTGCTCATGTGACAGTGTTAGATGTTGATCTTACATTAGGCAGAATAGACGGGGCCGTAGCAAGCCGACAAAACATTCAGCCGTGAACTGGAATGGGACATGGACATTTACCACCTGTGCCATAAGTAGCGGAACCTTGCGTCCTGGGATGACGTTCATCCCCGTATGAGTGCAGGAAAAATGGTAAGCTAGAAGTCTTCTCATTCTCCACTCGCGCCTATGAACGTAGGCCAACTTGACGAACGTTTACAGGGCTCTTCGACATCGTCACGCGAGAAGCAAGGCTTGAGTGTAAGATAGCCAGTATGGCTTTGGTCCCCGTGCTGACGAGAAACAACTTTGAACAGGATGATTCAATTCGTGTGGGTCGGAAGGCGGCTCTCTCTCTTCATATTGTCATCGTAGGCTGTGGTATAGGTGGTCTGGCAGCTGCTCACTGTCTCGGACGAGTGGGGCATAAGATCACCCTTCTGGAACAAGCTCCTGCCATCGGCGAAGTGGGGGCTGGAATTCAAGTGACACCGAATGTGTCTCGTTTGCTCAAGCGATGGGGGGCTGGGGATCATCTCGATAAGCTAGGTGTTCGCCCGCTAGGGTTTTCCTTTCGCAGATGTGAGTCACATGTACCGTAATCTATCCCAGTAATTGATCGCCCTTTCCGCCCAGATGAGAATGGGGAGGAGGTGGGGTGGTCCGCTCTAGGAGACCAAATGATAAAGGATCACGGCGCTCCTTATTATCATATCCACGTAAGTCTCATCTTCCTTTGCAGATCGAGGATGGTACTTGATGCGTATTCAGCGTGCCGAGCTCCATCGCGTTCTTTCCGATCTAGCCCTTCCCTATGCCACCCTTCGACTCAATTCTCGTGTAGTTTCACTTGACCCATCAACAGCAACATTGATACTACAGACTGGAGAAGTCATCATCGCAGACTTGATCATCGCAGCCGATGGTGTTAGGAGTATGATTCGAGAAGTCGTCATAGGCGGTCCCGATAAACCAATGCCGACCGGTGACGCAGCGTATCGCGCAGTCATTCCTACGACAGAGATGGCTAAAGATCCGGACTTAAAGCCATTCCTTGACACGCCACAAATGAACGGCTGGATGGGTCCCAAAAAACACGCCATGATGTACAAAATTGTACGTATAATCGATCAACCACATGAGTTAGTCGGCATCATTGACAACAACAACACAGCGCCCTACAGAATGGAACGTCGTCTTGATACATCCAGACCGAGGTTCCACCGAGTCATGGACCGCAGAGGGTGATGTCGAGAAGATGCGAGAAGAGTTCAAAGAATTCGAGCCACGGTATGTGCTTTCCGCCGACGAATCCTACAGCGATTTGAGAGCCGCTCCAGCGTTCAAAAGATATTGAATCTAGTGGAACAAACAATGGTATGGAGATTGGTCGATCGTGAACCCTTGAGTAAATGGGTGCACGAAGATGGAAAGATAGCACTTATGGGCGATGCTTGTCATCCTATGCTTGTAAGTGTGTCGGCATATACTTCTGAACGAGAACTCAGACATGATTACGCAGCCATATCGAGCCCAAGGGGCAGCCATGGCTGTAAGTAACATGATCTCATTAGATATATATCGCTCAAGCAAAAACCTCTGCTATAGATCGAGGATGCGGCTGTCCTAGGTGTCCTTCTATCACATTTATCCGAACGCTCGCAGCTGCACCCTCTTCTGTTGGCCTACGAAAAGCTTCGTTACCCTCGAACGACTGACACACAGCTGTCCTCGCGGCTTAATCAGAGGATTTTTCATTATGAGGACGGGCCGGAGCAGGAAGCACGCGACGCTTCCATGCGTGAGGCCATGCTGCAGACCTCCAAAGGTGGTAGCGCCGAGACAGTTGCGGCGGATTACTCTGGAAATGCGAATCAGTGGGCTGATAAGCGGAAGAACGTAGTGCAATTCAGCTACGATGCCGAGCTGGAGGCAGAGAAATGGTGGCAGGAGATCGGGCGAAATAGGTTCCTTTCAAAGTGACTGATGCAGGATGACCAGGATTCAAACGATGTATGCATGAATGGTGTAGATATGTGAATCGTAAGGCGCTCTCTTCATAGCTCCTTGTCTATATTCATTGACTTTTCATATCAAAGGTTTTGTCTTTCCAATTTACGTTGCAGAATCGAGTGACACGTTGTGCCCTGATTGCATAGTGTCTATGCATGGAATGTGACAAACAGGGCCTGCATTCCGCAATACATGTGACTTTTCATATGCGCCAACGCGTTGTCTGACGGCCATCGTAGTACTCTCTCACAGCAATGAAGTTGAGGACCGGTTTAAACCTTGCACGGGTAGATACTTCCAGCTTCCCGTCTCCGCTCAAATAAGGTCTGTCTATAATAGAATTCCGATCCTTGTCTCTCGCTCTGATTGAACCAATGTGTCTGAACAATTTACATCACGTTTCGTATTCATAGACTTCAGAGTCTAACAGTTTTACTCTGTTGCCAGCCCGCCCGTCGCGTTTCGAACTGGCTAGTGTACTCATCGAGTCTTCTCATGTAGCATTGTTCCTCATTGCACAGAGACCTCGAGCACACACATCCCGTCACACTATATCACCTAACATGACATCTCTCGATATCAACGCTGGCGTTTCTCCAGAAGACAATGACGCTGGTCGTCGTCTCTCCAACAACGGCGATGATTCTGAACCGACAGAAGAGTCTTACTACAAGTATCCCAGCGGGCCTGGTCATCGCTCTTCAAGAACCGGACAAGGCAGTCTCAGCAGTCTCCTACGACAACAGACGTCCCAACAATCACCTTGCAATGAGTGGCAGCCTTCACGTCAATCCCTCCCGGTGGATGCCCTTCATGACGATATCATGCCTTCCCACATCCACGGCGACCCACAGTCCCAGCGCACTCGATTCACTTCTCTCCCATCCTGGAATACTCCTGATCCTGCCTCGCCTGTACCCTCGCCTTCCCCTTGCATGCCTCATCGTCCAACACGCCCACGCTTTCCCCATGTAGATAGCGAGTATATTCGCCGCACTGTGGGTAACGTGCGTCCATCAGGGGGTCCTATGGTCTACGAGGATGGACACGAGCACCAGAATAGTGAGAATGGTTATTTCGGTCTAGAGGGGGCAGTGGGACAGCCGGTTGGTATGTCCTCATGGGCATGGCCGGGATCGAGGGAAACGGATACAATGTCAGGGTCAGGTGCGATGGCCAAAGGGAAAAAGGTCACGTGGACAACCGACGAGAGGGTGAAGGCGAAGGCGAAGGCGAGGCCATCAGCCTCGCAACAGCACAATTTTCTCCCTGAGAACGAAGAGGCTCGTCCTGATAGTACGTAGAATCTCAAACAGGGTGACCCTATAACTGACATACATCATAGAATATGGCGGCCCATGGTACGAGTCAGCTATCGACCTCGATGATCCTTTCTATGCGGAAAATGAAACGGACATGAATTTCAAGAGCAGGGAGCAGCATCCTGGAAAGTGATCGTACGGTCACCTCTGTAAAGGGTCTACCGAGATGGATATATTTTGATACCTGGTGACTATATTTTGATGGCTGCTGATTGTACGACTGCTGTTTCTGGTGTGCTGTCAAGATGATAGATCAACTTGGGACAAATGGCGTATTTCGTTCAGTTTGAAAGCTGACGGTGCCTGCGACACGTCCGAGCAGGCGACGCGTCTGTATGGCCATCACATGACTCGCGTGACCAATGCGTCTGACCCTGACCGTCAACCACAGTCTCTTGTACAGTGTACGGAAACAAAGACCGGTTTGCGAGTCCAAAACATTCGAGCTCCATGGCCCTGATCACGCTGTCCGGTTACCCGTCCTCTGGCAAAACAAAGCGCGCGCACCAGCTCAAAACCGACCTCGAAAGGCGCCTTCACGAGCCCTCGTATGCCGGTCCAAACATGAAAGTCGTCCTCCTGTCCGACGACACGCTAAATGTCGACAGGAACGCATACGATGGTATGTATTGTCGTGCCCATTCACCCGAAACGGACTCCTGTCGCTCACGCTGCTCCCCTTTCGCCTTCGTATCTGTGCATGTCGTTCCGCTGCCCGCGGCGCAGACAGCCGATCGGAGAAGCCAGCCCGCGGCGCACTGTTCACTGCGATGCAGCGCCAGATGGGCCTTGACACGATCCTCATAGTGGACGCGATGAATTACATCAAGGGCTTCCGCTACCAGATGTACTGCGCCGCCAGAGAGCTCAAGTTGCGCGTCTGCACTGTGCGTTGACACCCCGTGCGCCCACCGGTCCATCCGCTCACCGGACCCTCTCACACGCATCAACTCTGCTGCCTTGCCGGGACTGAACCGAATCAAACCGATCGGATACGAATTAGGTGTACGTGGTCGCGACCGCGGAGCTCTGCGTTCAATGGAATCAGGACCGTGAAGACGGGAAGTCATACGCCGCAGAGACGTGAGTCTTTCTCTCCTTGCATGTATTACTCCCTTGATCCCTTCCTCGGATCATCTCGACATTGGCCGAACTTGATTCTGATGACACCTGGTGATGCCGCTGTCTCTCGCACAGCCTTGACAACTTGATCCAACGCTTTGAAGAGCCCTCGTCGATGGTTCGGTGGGACTCCCCCCTCTTCACCGTCCCATGGTTGGAGGAAAATCTCCCGGTGGACGACATCTGGAAAGCCGTGATGGAGGGCAGCGTCAAGCCCCCAAACGCAGGCACGCAAGCGGTACGTCTCACGAGCAGTCGCAGCGCCGTCTGTCTTTCCCTCGCACACCCCTCCCACCCTCCTCTTCGCTATTCCACTCATTGATTGTCGACCCAACGCAGGTGGCAAAAGCCCCGACCGACGCCCTGCACACGCTAGAACAGACGTCCGCGTCGATGGTCTCCGCCATCATGGCCGAGCAGGCGGCCTCGGGCGGCCTCGGTGGCGCCGTGACGCTGGCCGTGTCCGCGACGACGCGGCCGCGTATATTCCTGCCCGCGCGCAGCATCACGCTCTCGGAGCTGCAGCGCCTTAAGCGGCAGTTCGTGACCGTCCACAGGAAGGCAATCACGCTCGGGACGGTAGAGAAGGGGGCCGTGGACTGGGGCGAGGAGCGGGTCGCGGAGAAATTTGTAACATATCTTGAGGACAATCTGAGACCCTGACGTGAACCGAATATCGAGAGCAGGCTGCTGCTCAGGGGCGCGTCGTCCGTATTCGGTGGGCGCGCGCTTTGAGGGTGTTCTGCTACGCATGATGCTCTGAACTTAAGCGTTTTCAGTCGTGGACTCTGAGGAAACACTCGCGAATCACAGGTCAGAAAGTCTGTGGGTGTCTATTTATTTCTGACCTTTGTTTGTATGATCGGGATCTGACACAGTCGCCATCGTCACACTACTTAGCAAGCGAAGTTTTCTGCTATGGCAAACGAATGACTGCTCTTCGCGTCGAAAGTAATTTGACACGGATCGACCACTCCAATCGAACAAGCCGTATGTTGATATGATCATCTGTGGAAGTTGCGCTGCTCAGCAGAAGCTCGAACCTCCACCGCATGTCCTTCGGCGTCGTACAGGCAAAAAAGCGTGACAATTACAGCATTGAAGCGTTTTCTGAAGATATCATTAGTCTCGCCGGGACCACACTGTGTACACTGATATCTAGCCGCTTTCTCCTCTCCTATCCAGAGATGAACCCAGGTTCTATACGCCCCAAACCCTCTCCATGATGATATTCACCAGCGCTTCAGACCCTGGTGTCCCTATGACGGTCGGCACGCCACCTGTCTTCGTTTTTACTTCCGCATTCTCTTCCACTGCGACCTGCGCAGGTAGAGCAGTAGACTCGAATGGGCCGTGCTTCAGATTTTGACGCTCAAGCGCCGCCTGCACCGCAGCACAGTTTGCTCCGGGCGCGTACGCGCCCTTGTCGTCGCGACGGTCTACAACGCACATCCCGCGCGTCAGTTCTCCCGTGCTGGTTACATAAAGCCAACTGTCGTCAGAGTACCAGCCGATAAAAATGTAAGAGATGATTGACCATTCCATTTCGAATTTCCTCCACGCGACGGTCCATCTAGGGGCCAAGCCTGGATCCTCTGTTTCATCTGCATCATCCTTTACAGGCGGGTTCAGCACCGCGGCCCACACCGCAGCGACGTCATGAAGCTCCATGGCGTCCTTACCAAAGCCGCGCATGATCTCACGGGTGCGCTGGAGGAACGGAGACGTGAAATGCTGCATAGGGCCTTTGTCCGCCGCAACTGAGATCTTGACGGGGTCGAACGCGCGATCTGCGCGTGAGGTGTAGAGAGGAAAAGGGAGCTCGTGTACGGTCGTGATATCTAATGGGAGCATGAGGACGCGTGAGAGCGGGAGGCCGGACTGGGGCCTGGTGGGTTTGGGAGTGAGGAGCTCGGCGACGGCGTAGGGATCCGCGAACCAATTAACTTCAGAACCATTAATAAAATTTAATCAGTCATATAGAGGAACATCAGATATAGTAAAGACACACATTCAGCAGAGAGGCTCGTGTTCCCGGGGACGTCAAGTGCACCGCCCATAATGACAACACGTCCAATGCGCTTGCGCACGCACTCGGCGTCAGTGCGCATCATCTGCGCGAGGTTTGTCATAGGGCCTAAGACGACATATATGATCTCTCGAGGCTCGTACTTCCGAAGTGCCTCCAGCGCCACTTCGTGACCTGGGCGATCCGTGGGTTGTAAGAAGGGATGGGATGAGGAATCGAGAACCGAAGGTGCGATGTTCAGGTCAGGGTGCTTCTCCGACAGACCGCCGAGACCATCGCTGAGTTGTGAGGTGATACGTTCGTCTTCAGCTGGAGAAGGACAAAGTTAGAAAGTTGGAGATATAACTGACCGGCCGTGGAAGTATTGTGCACTGTGCAACTCTCCACTCAGTGGGCCCAGAGCCCCTTTGGCGACGAAAGGTTTAATTGCCTGTTCTTAGTTAGGGAAGGTCCCTGGGTGCTTCTCTCTATGCCGGGAAATAGCTTGGTACATTTTGAAGATGTTGGCACTGCAGGGTGGTTTGATGTCGGCATGGATGTTTTGAGAAACAGTACTGTCTAGTAGCGGCACTTACGGGGCGGCAGGAAGATCGGTGTTCCCTAGAACAAGAGAGAGAATGTGGTCATATATCGAGCCAATCATGACTGGACGTACCAAAACACACAACGAATCCTACGATCTCTATTTCGGGCGACGCCAGTGCGAGGAGTCTTTGATACTTTCAGCATTGTCGATTGAAGTGAACCGAAGAAATTTTACATAGCAATAACATCGTCGACACCAGGATCAGTGTCAACTAGAATTCTCAGGTCAGAGCTCGCCCGCCGGGATCAAATTCGGCGGAAAGGTCTCTGACTGATAACGGGTATCTTGCGAGCTTCGAGCATAGTTAATTATAGGATATCTATCTCGGAAAATAAGAAGCCTCAAAGGATGTATCACAGTTATGAGGCAAGTCTGTCGTGGTTTGTTGAAGAGATTGTAGCCGTCTACGCACATGGCGATGTGAATATGGAGACGAGTGAACCTTCGCCTTTGTACCAGCACGACGCGACGCGTCACAACTTTCCCATCACGGGGCAGCGCGTTCTTCAGGCCACATTGATGTCACCAGCAAATATTGTTCGAAGTATATAGCATTCGGCATGATGAGACTGGATTAAGGTGAAGTACTGATGAAGATTGAAGCTTGATGAAGTTCGCCTCAATGTGGCGATTGAGCACTAAGCATGATGAACTGGCGAGATTCACCAGTGATTCACCTGGACGTGGAGAATCGTTTTCACCGTGCAGCTTTCACTGCTCTTGGGGGCAAACATCGCCAATATACCATTTGCTGCAACACTGAGGGAATAAACGTGTATTTGAAGTCATCTACATATGTAAATGCTGTGAAGTCAGGACCTCTTATGTCCACTCGAACAGCCAATATGAGAGTAGACACGTACACCGATTTGAAGATCTGAAGAGCATCGCATCGTCAGTAATCGACGACGTAGCAAGATAGTGGAATATAAGTCAGAGATCTTGGTGGAAAATTAGTCTCATAGGGTTTGGGCCCTCTGAAGTAGCAAATATAGAAGATATAACATCATACAGGAACAAAGGAAAAGGGACTTGAAGGAGCCAAAACACTCACCAGGCTGCTTAACGTTGCAACACGCTCAACGGGTGAGCAGGAACAAGAGAAAGCTAAAGTACCCCGGCAACCGCCGGAATAAAACTGTACAGCTAGTCACGGTGGCTGTCACAGTGACAGTGCGCCGGCTGGAGGACACGCACAGACGACGACGACGACAGTCGGTTTCTGCGAACAACATGGCCGAATCATTGCGCTTCCTTGGCTCCCTTCCCGGTCACTCTGGATGGGTCACTGCAATTGCGACCTCTTCAGAGACCCCCGATGTCATTTTGACCGCTTCTCGAGGTATGCGCGGCTCCCGCGCACAATCAGTCGCAACCTCTCGTTAACGCCGAACCTTTAATCCAGACAAAACCATCATCGCATGGCAGCTCACTCGCGATGAGGACTCGTACGGCTACCCAAAACGCATTCTCCGCGGACATAACCACTTCGTATCCGACGTTGTCATCTCCTCCGATGGCCAGTTTGCTCTCTCTTCATCCTGGGACCACACCCTTCGCCTGTGGGACCTTAACACCGGTCTCACTACCCGCCGCTTCGTTGGACACACCTCCGATGTCTTGTCTGTCAGCTTCAGCGCTGACAACAGGCAGATCGTCTCTGGCTCTCGTGACAGGACGATCAAGCTCTGGAATACGCTCGGGGAGTGCAAGTATGACATTAAGGACGATGGTCACTCTGAGTGGTGCGTGTGCATCCTTATCATTTAGTCAAAGTAAGACCTTATCATCAGTTGTTTTTAGGGTGTCTTGCGTTCGCTTCAGCCCGAACGTTTTGAACCCTGTGATCGTGTCGTCTGGATGGGACAAGGTGGTGAAGGTGAGCTCTCGCATCATCTTTCTTGATCACTTCCCTTCCCGGTATGATGCTACAAATATATATTTGCTACTTCAGAGGGTAACCCCAATGAGACTACACATATCACCAAGATCTCTGACCTCTCCCATTTTCGATGATACCCCTGAATGTAGGAATGCTTATCTGTTGCATAGGTCTGGGAACTCTCAAAGTTCAAGTTAAAGACCAACCACTACGGCCACACTGGCTACATCAACACTGTGTCTGTTTCACCCGACGGTTCCTTGGCCGCGTCCGGCGGCAAGGATGGGATCACCATGCTTTGGGACCTCAACGAGGGCAAGCACCTCTATTCGCTCGAGGCCGGCGACATTGTCAACGCCCTCGTCTTCTCTCCCAACCGGTACTGGCTCTGCGCAGCGACTGCCAGCTGCGTCAAAATCTTCGACTTGGAGAGCAAGTACGTCTTCATGTAGGCTCAGCTTGTTGAATCATGCTGACAGCCTCTCAGGTCTATCGTTGACGAGCTCAAGCCTGACTTCGTTGATGTTGGTGCCAACTCCCGGGAACCCGAGTGTGTTTCCATCGCCTGGTCTGCTGATGGTCAGACCTTGTTCGGTGGCTTTACCGATAACCTTGTCCGGGTCTGGACCGTATCCTCGTAAAACATGGTTGCCACACCATTTTGCGCAGTTAGGAGTGTATAGGAGTCTTTCGCATCTTTTTTGTTGTATTTGCGAACACAAAATAGCCTTTGTGCGCCCAAACTCTGCTGCGATCATCATGAATCTTCCGAGTCATATCATCAAGATTACCAAGAAGGTACAAGCTGAATTCGGCATCGTAGCAAATTCAACTCTCCAGCTTGTATTTTATCGGATCAGAAGACCATAGACTTGGAACCCTCCTCCAGATTTCGCTTTCGTTCGGAGTAATCCCAGCGGTCAAGTCCCCCAAAATCAATTTTCATTGCTCCGGATGCAAGATTGACTTGGAGTTCAGTGATATGCGAAGCACGCGCACGCCAGCTATCGGCACTACTCGATTTCGGGTCGATCAGTCCACTGTTCGAGACTGTGAGGGATAAACAATATGAGAGACGTACGTAGCAGTGCCATACAAGTTGGAGCCCTGTTGGCTCACAAGGCGCACGCACTGGTCTTCGTTTGATCGGGTATCGTATATCCATAGCATCTTGCCGGTGTAAATCTCTTGGAGGCCATCGAGGTCGACGAGGCGATTTCCGGGTTTGATGCGCTTCGTCCCAGTAGGGACAGACGGCGCAGAACGGATAGAAACGCCATTGAGGAGGCGGAGGGCACTCAGGTTTGAAAGACTGGTGAGGCGTGCTTGCTCGCGAGGCTCGGATGGGGCGAAAATGGAGAAGAATGCAAGGGACTCCTCCTCCTCCTCCTCTTCCTCCTCCTCCTCCCCCTCGTTCTCATTTTCTGGTTCAGCCATATTGGTGTCTATATAATTTTGGGGTGGCGTGGATGGGGAATACAGGGAAAGCCCTGCGAATGATGCCAAATTGTCGTCCACATTAGACGCCGGTCGTACGGCATTATCACCAGGAGGTAACTCGACGTCAGACACGAAGTCCTTTTCGGCCTCAAGGAGCGTTGCGTAGAAAATCTTCCACGCGACATCGTTTGTGTAGTCTGTGCGCACGATGATGCCGAGCCATGGTGCATCGGGCGCGGCGATTGCATCAAGCGGGTCTACGTCGGTTGAGAAGGGCGCGGATGCGATCTCCTTCTCCGAAAGAGGCTACGGGACGTACATGATGAGCGAGTGGGCAATGTCCCAAAAGTGATAAATTGAATGATAGAGATGGAGACATACGGCTATGTTGGGATAGAGCGCTGAGCGAGCTTCAGATGATAAATTCCAGAACTCCTCGACGATGCGCAGGCGGAGCTGATGCCGACCTTCCTTTGGGTGTTGACTTTTCATCTCAAGGTATCTATCCTGCGTGAATAGACCATGATTTCGAATCAATCATCGAGTTGATAGTATCAATCTGAAGACTGAGCTCACTCGAAGATAGTGAAGAAAGGTTGAGGACTCAGCCATCGTTATGTTTCAGCTAAATGCTTTTCGGCCGTCTATCGACACATACAGGCTCAGATTTCCAAGGAAAGGCCCACACTGCTTACCTCGTCAGGTTCTATATGTAGTCCTTAGGCCTCAGGTATTGATTCGTGATGCTCAATCTGATGTTCGACCTTGCACCGTTGCACGACGAAAGTACAAATTGTCACACCCGCTGATCGACACCATGGGTATCGAAGGTCGCGGAGCTCAAAAGCACTTACACTGCTCCAATGCGTGTCCTGTAATTTCCAGGACACTGGAGAGCGAACAAATACACGAGCGTTCAGAGATTGAATTCCACCTGCCATCCTTTTGAGACATGTATCGGCGGATGGTCCTCTCATTGCATGTAATTATTTTAGTAAACTGCACCCACAACGACTTGTTGAAGAGCACTAGATTGAAAGTGTTTTCTAATTCTCATCTGGGTACTCAGGAGCATGTGGAAATCCTGCATGCGAGACTGATCACTTCTTTGAGCGAGCGGATTGTACCTGTCGAATGATAACGTCCACAAACAAATTCATGGGACGAAAGATCCAGCTCAAATAAACATGACCGCCCCTTCAAGACTGACCTTCGGCGTCGTAATGCGAATTAAAATTCACGGAATGATCCGCTGTATAGATGTATAGCTTATCTTCATTACACAGCATAATCATACGATAGACGTTCTTGAACCTGCAAGACGATCTGCGGCCTGCAAATATCAAGCCTGAGCACAATGGGGGGTAGGCAAAATATATTGTGCAGGCACGACTCACGTTCCGTATATAAGGCATGTTGAGTACTTGACCTATGAACGGCAATTGTCGCAGGAACGTGAGGATGACAGGGAAGAAGTCGCTATGGTGGCAGAGCCGTTTAACCACATGTACAATGCAGGCCCCACTCAAAGGGACAACGTATAGAATACTTACCCAAAGAGGTTGAGGAAACCGAATGTCTCCAGTATCACACCAAAAAAGGGCCATTTGATGAAGACCAGCAATATGCCGCCGAAAAAACAGAGGGTTCCACGCAGCTTGTTTTTGCGAGAGAAGAAGTAGAAGGTCTTCTGAGGCCCAATGATGAGGCCCAGTCCGCCAAGAAAGAGAATCTATGGAAAGGAGATACTCAGCCGACACAGGTCGCACGAATGTCTAACACTGCATACGTTTCCCAGAGCAAGTAGTGCACCATCAAAGAATAGCACAACACCAAGCAGCATGAATATTCCTCCAAATGTTGTCAACGCCACGCCGATTTCTGTGTAACAGAGTATGAGTGTGTAGGTATGAGGTAGTCAGTATTCAATTGCCAACCATGAAACGAGAAGACTGACTTTGCATGTCCGTCAACCACATGGTGGGCCTCTAAACCTCAAGCCGCAATATTTCTTTAACAGGGGAGTCCGCCTCACAGAGAGCAAAGGGGATTGAGGAAGAACGAGCTCGGTGACGGTAGGCTGTGAACGACTGGCGAGGTGGCGAGAGCTGGACACGTCTGCCCACGTCATGGCTCCCTTGTCATTTCGATTTTCTCCAATTGTCGCGCGGCTGCTGCTGGTCCACCCTCCAAGATTGATCTTTGATTCATCATCGCTCCCATTCACGAGTGCAGAAAAATGCTTTGAATACACATACAGAAGTAGGCAAAGTATTCATCAAAGATCGACTCAAGAAAGCTCATTTGCATCCCTCCCCGTAACGAATTCTGAATACTCTACACGCTATTCACACAATCAATCGAAAATTTATTGTCACGGCCGCATATATGTATCGTATACGCATCGACCCGTGTTGGACAGAGAGGGTCAGAAATACTGACGACCGGAGGGTTGGCCAGGTGAGTAAGTATGAAATCAGTCAGAGAGGGCAAAGAGTACTCAAAGAGTACATCGCGAGTATGGCATCTGGGAGGGGTATAAACCTGTATAAACCCTGCGACTCACCAGTCTTCGCCCTCCACCCATCTCGCCCTCTGATCCACACGGCGCATGTGCCTCTTCAATGCGTCGTCACGAGTGTATGCATTGACGCACCCCGCTTCGGTGCACTTGGAGGGGCAGCTGGCCTCGATTGTCCCCTGCTCGCCTTCGCTTCGGGTCCTTTGCTTGTGTCCGACACCCCCTAGGTGGCGAACATAGTATTGTTTTCTATTGAATCCTTGCTTGTATTCTTTGCACTGATGCTTTGCGCTCTCAAAACATGTCTGCCCCTGTCGTCCATTGTCGTCTTGTGCATCGCTCGTCGACCGCGATAGGGGAGCTCCTTGTTCCGACACAAGTATAGTGTCGGGAATTGATCCAGTTTCGAGGACATCGCCCATGGAATTGGTCGTCTTTGATATATTTGTGTTGTGTTTGAGGACATTGTCCTCGTAGCCTGGAGCATCATGCTTTCTTGGCCCCATGACCTGGGCTGTTGGTGTGGACACATGATTGTCCTCCCTCCGCGTATGGTGAGGAGGGCTCGTCATCATGATGACTGTTAAATTTGTTCTAAAATCCCAACAAGAACGAGAGGCTTAGACCGAGTAAGGTATTATAGAGATGTGAGAGGATTCCCGCAAACAAGTATTACTGTCTATATTAAATCAGCCATCCCCAGACCGAAGAAAGATAAGGAAATGTATTGGAGGTCACTTTTTGCAGGCTTGAAAACAAGCAGCGCAGTGGAAGGACGAGAGGTCCAAAAGGAGAAGTTGCAAATAGAGAGCAAACCTGGAGATGAAGCGATCCAAGGATTAGTTACGGATGTAAGTAAGGTACTCCAATTAGTCGTCGTACCGCGTTAAATGAGATATGGGAAAATATAACAGAATCTGAAACACCTTGGAGTTTCAAGACCAATTTTCCTTTGAGATGCATCGTGCCGTTGCAGCTATGCGAAAATTCCTAGGAATAACCGTATGTCTTTACACAAGCAAAATCAGCTGCAGGGTGCTGAATGATGAAATTGGACAAGAGAGGGAACGCACTCGTAGTACTTCTGCACGTCAAGCCCGTCCATCACGACAATATCCCCCTACGTGACAAACAAAGATGGTCGATTCCGAGCTCGTTTCCAGATAAAAATGGACCATACATGTTTTAGAACGATTCTCAATGCTTCGCCTTTGACCGACTTCCCTGTTATTTTGGATTGTGCATGCTGAGAATGTAGGCGAAATGACATGAAGGCCACGGAGCCGAGGGAAAGTGCTGCAACAACTGCACCGAGGCCTCGTTCGCTATCACTGTGATACTGTTCTTTATATGAGACACCAACGTCTTCGAATCAGAAGAGGTATACCTACAGCCATACTTTGCTTCTCCATGTACGCAGCACTCAGAATTTCGTTAAAACAAACGTCAGATTTGAGCGCGTCCTTGACACGCTGTCGAATCAGGTTCAGAGCGCGCCGAACCGCCGAACATGCATCTTCGAGGGGGACAGTCTGGTCTGCGCTCCCAACGTACTGCGATCCCATTAGGAATGCATCATCTAGACCAAGAGAAAGTTTACCTGATATTGGGCACCAGCTGTGCCGAGACAAAACATGAGCTTTGTATGGCTATTTTGGAAATGTACGCACTATTTTGGGAGAAATAATTCGTCAGAAGCCGACCTCGACCTAGAGCATCTGGGTCAATCGGCCCTCATATTGCTAGGTGACTGTATTTACATTTGTGCTACATAGAACGAATGTTAACAATACGGATATTCTGCATCGATGAGGTACTCACACTTTTCATAGGAAACCGACGAAATTTGAGCTGACCGCTACTCGCTTGTTCTTGATACTCCTGGAATATCTGATTAGCCTCCTCATTGATTAGAGGATGGCCTTGGATCAAGTGAATCTTTCCTCTGATAAATTTTTAGACAGAAAGCCTTGCTTTTGTTGACTAGCCACAGACCTATCCTCAGGTAGAGTGTATGTTCGGTAAGAGCATTGCTTGTTTCCGGAGGAAAACGGCAAGGGCCTAGACACTTGGATTCCTGTCGCTGAGCTCATCAAAACTGCCACTCAGATAAGATGTCAGACGCATATTACCGTTATCTCCAAGACGATGATCACGGTAAGGAAGCGTATCTACTTGCGACCAAAAGTCCTTTGGATCGCGAATCTGACCCGAGACCTTGTGAATCAACTGAATAACAACATAAGCGAACAGGGTCAAAGCACTTGTCGTGATAACCGACATACCCCGCAGGATTCACATTCCCAACATTCCCACTTGGACCTGCACGGATGTATGAGAGATACACTGGTTCAATGAAGGCTTTGATTCACCTGCTTGATAAACGGCCACACACTCGGCAATGCATCCCCTTTGTAAACCTACGATCCGTTACGATCATGTTCTGACAATCTGGAAGGTTTTCAGGTAAAATATCTAGTAAAGCTTGGCAGCCTTCCGTAGTATCTGTGAGCTTCAAAAAATCTTCTTCGTAGAGCAGTGACTCTGAAAGTGGTTGTTTACCGTCAATAACCCAGAAGGATGAGCACCTGGGGTTCAGACACATCCATCCCTTGGTATAGACGGACGGTGAAATCGACCCACAAACTATACACTGTGGAGAGGTCGACAAGGCGTTAGTCCTGATGATCCGTTAGTGAGTCCGAAGATCGCGACGCGACGACAAGATATAAGAGACAGACTCAGTCACAATTTTCACTATGGGCTAGGAGATCAGAAAAGGATCTGCTGACCGGTTACGGCTCACTCACTTGGCTCTGGCCTGCTAGACGGATCGTCTGAGGAGGCTCTGCCATTGTGAAGGCACATTTGAGAAAACGGCAATGGTACTTGAGATACTCTCTATGTTAGTCGGTAGATGCAAGATAACAAAACGCGCGAGGGTTTACCATCAGTGGGGCTCTTCTGGCACCACCACGGAATTCCCTGTTGGTCACACCACTGGAATGCGAACTTGTAGCGCACCACTCGCTGTCCAGTTGGGAGAAGTTGCAGATCAGCTGCGTGGAAAATATCAGCGTAAATGATACTTTCAAACAAGTAGATTTACCCCAGGCATGTACGATCCTATAGAATCCAAGGACTACGTATGTATACTTCCCAGCAGCCAAATCGAACGGGAATAAGGAATATCGATCGTCTATCAGGAGCACAACAGGCTGCCCTGTCTTGAAAGTGTTGAGAAGTGCCTTGACAGACTTGTCTTCCGCAAGTTGATCCGACGCTGATTGTTTTTCAATCTGGCCTTTTTTGGTATGTAATGCTTCCGACTTGCCCCCTCTGATGACTTTTTCTTGAACAATGAGCCACCATCAAGAACGAAGCCACCCACCCATGCGATATGATCAGCCTGCCGTCGTGATGACATATATCTCGACTAAATGGAGTACATCAGATGACTTTTGCATAACGAAAGGAATCACTTACTCCGAAGAGTACGCGCTCAACAAGTAGCCTTTGACGATATTATGCAAGAAGTAGACACCGCCTTGATAGCTACGGAACCAGTCGAAAGATTCGCAAAGCTCTTGTCGAGACTTAGTGATATGTGTAGGATGAGTCCCTTAACGTTTAAAGGAAGGTGAGCCAACAAATATGCGCACCTGAGCCCATATTGGCGGCTGAACGGGAAGTGGCGGCCTCTGCATGGGGGCTTGAGGTACAGAGTCCTTGAGAGTGGAGGGTTCAGGTCCAGAAGCCCCGGTAACAGACATTGTGGGCGCATCATGCTCAAGTGCAGGATGCTGTGATGACGACGTTGCAGGTGCAAAGCGAACCGCATTCGCTAGAGGTGTATCCTCCTCATCGCTTACATCATCGCTATAATACTGGCCCTCGGATTGATCGTCCCAGGTATCATCAACAACACCACTACGAGGTTTTGGATTCGAAGCAACAATCGTATGTCGAGGAAACTTGTCCACACCTCTAGAGTTCAAACGACTATCGGCAACGGGTAACGAAGGCGCTGATGCGGAGGCAATATTTGAAGGTGTGGGTGTTGGTGCTTGACCTTGCCGAGTGCCCTGATTGCATCTAGATTTTCGCCTAGACATCACCTTCGCTGAATTCTTCTTTCCAGAACGAGAGGATGATGCAGATTTATCCGCGGACACCTTCGAGCCACACTTTTCAGTGATCTTGGACTTGTGTTTCTCTTTTGCGGCGCTACCCTGTGTCGTGTGGTCATTCACAGGGATCGTACCATCATTCGTTCGCATGCGTTTTGCAGGTTGGTCTGAGAAATCCCGCTCGTATTGTTCGGCGGCCTTCGTAGGATACGTTGTCTGCTGACTCCCGACACCCGCTCTACCAATTCGATCATTCGTAGACTGCACCTGTTCTATCTGATCTAGTCGCCGGTCCACAGTCGTAATTTCTGCCCAAGGATGCTTGGGGGCACGTTTAACGCCATGTTTCTTTGTTAGAGCCATCGAGACTGGCGGACAGTCGATATTGAGCGCCTCCTCAGGATGAGAAGCGGATTCGCCGACATCTGATTTGTCGGTCTTCCGCCTCTTGGTCCTCTTCGCCATTTGGTGGGTGGAAGCAACTGCGTCAGCAAGAAATTTAGGCTTTTTGGCCTTCACTCGCGTCAAAGCAGTCTTCTCGAAAAGCCCCATATCCTCTTCTGTGCAGATGATGAAGTGATCAACAAAGGCTTATGAGGAAAGGAGACGGAGTCAGACCTTGTTGGAGGGCGGCTTCGATATCTCGTTTTCTCTTTTTCCGGGCTTTCGTGTGTTGCGGTTTCACCACTGCTGCAATAACCTCCGGCAGTGGGCGACCATTTTTTGACGAAAATTTGTCTCTAGTGAAGCATTCCGAAGTGACTTCTTTCTCCTCACTCCCGCCCTTCCCCTTCCCTTCCTTCTGCGGTGTAGGCTCGAGAGTGCGCTCGGAAGAACTTCGAAGTAAGGATGGTTCGCGTCGGGCATCAATCCGATGATCTTCCTCCTTTTCGTCTTCGGAGACAACATGGATGGTAGGCGATCCAGAACGAGGACTACGAGAGGAGTGCGATAGGCTGTCGATCGTGCCACCAGAGGATAGGCCTGCGTGTTTCCGCGCGTTGGACTCAGATTCAGGCCTCTCGATGGTGGCGACCTCGTCTGGCCTTTTCCGATCATATCTACGTTTCCGTTTACATCTTGTCTCTTTACGCCCTCTCCTATCATCCCCAATGTCGCTGACACGCGCCTTGGACCAGGAATTAGTCAATTGTCGAGTATACCCCCAATCTTTGAGTTTGCTATTGGCTTCTATAACAGCAGCATCCGGGCGATCTTCAAACATACACCAGTAGAACTCGATGAACAATTTGAGTGGGCCATCATTGTCAGTAGTGATTCTTCGAGAGCTGGTGGGAAGTTCTTGTTCTGTGAGACAAATGCAGTCCAGCCATCCTTGAGCTGCTTTGCGCTATGAACCTCGAGTCAGTCAAGATGTAAAGAAGTAGAAATTGCGAAGCGCTCGATTGCAACACGCGCAACTGGGGAAGGACGATCGGAAGATACGGGACGTGATCCACTAACCGCACTCTGGTCTGCACGTATGAGGTCTACAGCACGTTTTGGCCAAATGTTCGTGTTCTTTCGGCCATTGTGGCCCTGCCAGGACTTCCGCACGACGAATTCAGTTAGGAAAGGCTCAAATTGCAAGAGGTCGGTGTCATGGAAAGTTTTTGGCAGAGGCATAAGTCCATCGCTGGGTGGCATGACGGTAGTGTCGTGCTTGCAGCAGGGCACAAGGAAGGCGATGAAGAGAGCAGGTAGTTCAAGTGCGCAGGAGTTTGCGTGGGTCCCACGTTCGCAGGTGGGACCGTGCGGAAGCCACTGATATTTGGACTCTCAGTGCCGGCTCTTTCTAGGCTCAAGTTTGTTTGCTCTCGCTGCACGCTGCCGTGATCCAATGTATCGCCAGAGACACGTGTAACCAACTCTACGATAATAATAGAATGGTCGATTCGTCTACAGACAGAGCAGAACCGGACGCTGTCATGTCCATTTATTTTGAGCCGAGCGCGTGCTGCAGGGCCTCGTACACATCTGCCTCGATACGCGCCTCTGCCTTGTCCTCCTCTGACCCATTGCCCACAAGAACCTTCTGTGCCTCCTGAAGGTTCGCGCGGACCGCCTAAGACATGGAAGATAAGTATTGCGCACATAACGGTGAAACACATGATTCATACTTCTGGAGAGAAGTCCTCTAGAGGAGCGGCCTCGACGACATTGATAGTGAGCTTGTTGTTGGGATGAACATTGGCAAACCCGCCAGAAACTTTTGAACAGCATGGTTGAGACATGCGTTTGAGTCGCAGCTAAATGACACATAACGCACCGAACCACTTCTTCGAAGTGTTCCCAGACTCAATGACCTCTACAACCCCTGGGCGGAGCGGCTCGATAGAAGGCACATGGTTCGCGAGGATACCCATGTCACCAGTCGCAGCAGACAAGTTGACCTGAACGACATTCGTGGAGGTGAAGATGGCCTGCGCAAGAGCAGATTTCGAGTTCGCATTCGCGAGTGTAATTCGTGAGGTCGTGCAACCTGGCATAAAACTTCGGACATACTTGATGGGGGAGAACCAGAGAAAGGTTGATCTTGTCAGTAGCCTCGGCGTAGCCGCGTCTGCCGAGGGTGGAGGATGCTCTTGGGACGCGTCGAGCGGCAGAGGCGAGGAGACGGAAAGTAGACATGGTGGAAGGAGGTGATTTGAGCGGACGTCACGACGTGAATTCGGGCGATTCAGCTCGGACTGTCCCGGAGAGAAGACGCCTCACTCGAACCGGTTACATGGACCATGGACCGTGTACCGAACCGTACTCTGGGGAGCGGATGCGGACTTGCTCACAACTTCGATGTCTCGATCCTCAGAAATTTGACGTCGTCACTGCTCTATAGAGCCAGTGAATCGCGAAAGAAATATCTATAAGGATGGACGAAACTGCACAAGCTTGCTCTATCTACTCCCCTCATTTACACCGTTTTCTGCCATGAACACAGCCCTCAGGACTTCATATCATTTTTTGAAGAGTCCCGTGTGGGTGAACAAGTACGGCGGGGTGCCTCAACGGACTCTCATGACAATCGAGAGTGTCCAGGTATGCTCCAATTGCGTTCATTTTATTATCATGTCCCCATACAGCATTTGTGCATAGTACACTGCACATGCTACTGCTTCAGGCAAGGGACGAGACGGGCAAGTCACATCTGACGATGACGACGGCATTCAATTGCGCCTCGCCAAGCCAAAATCTCTCGGTGGTAAGGGCGATGGCCAAAATCCCGAGCAGCTGTTCGCCATGGGATATGCAGGTGAGAGTCGTATTGTCTTTATATGTCGTCAATCTATCTTCAGCGCTCATGCCGAATGAATGGACGACAGCCTGCTTTCTGACTTCGCTCCAGCTCGCGGCGGGAAAAATGAATAAGTCTGACGCAGTCCGGGGCGCAAAGGTACATACCGAGGTGCATATCGGAAATGCGAAGGAAGTCGAGGGGTATGGCCTTTCTGTTAATATCAAGGTCGAGGGCGTTCATGACCAGGATCTCATCGATGCTGGACATCAGGTCAGTTACGATTTGGTCTACATGTATCTGTTCTGATCGTCCGTTTCAGACGTGTCCTTACAGCCGTGCACTGGAGCACGGAGCCGTGGTGAACGTGTCTAAATTGTAGAATGATGTCATGCCTTGTTAAATTGTGTCGTAAGGACTTTGCCCTTTTCGTGACCAAGCTTAATACATTCTCAAGGCCCCATCTGTTTATTTCTTCCCTTGTACTTGATGAACTTCTCAGCTTGGGCCTTCGGTCTCTTGCAGAGCTTCGATGTCCTGTATTTGATCGCTAGGGCTGTTGATATAGGTTCCGGTTATCAATCATGAATGACAACGCATCATTGTACCTCTCGATGCCGCGTGCTCGGGTCTGAAACGCCTTGGCTCGCTGCCAATATGCTCTTGATACTTCCTGCCCCATACATTGACCTCGTTCGAATTTTCATCACTCATTTTTGTCTATCATCCAAATCTCGGTCATGTCTTCTCAACTAAGATCGGCACTCATTCGCTCCGCTCGGCGCACATGCACTGGCGTGACGCCATACACTTCAAAGCGAACACTGATCACCTTGAAGGACCACATCGTGCGTGACCACATCCTTTTGCGCTCGAGCCTTGCGTATTGAATGGAACGGCAACATGTCCCTCACAGTACTTTGCGCGCGCGACAGCCGAGGGTGCCGGCCGCGCCGGGATAGTGACGTCTGACGGTGACGCACCGCTCGAGCTTAAGCTCGCGCTGCCCAAGGCCTTCGGCGGCAAAGGCGATGGGCAGAATCCCGAACAGCTCTTCGCGATGGGCTATTCCTGTGCGCTCGCTTCTCCCGCTTCTCAACCTTTCCCACTCCCATCACCACCCGACACGCTGACTGGGCTCCTCGTGCAGCCTGTTTCATCGGGGCGATCCAGCTCGCCGCCTCGCGTGCAGGGAAGAAAGAGGTCGGCGATCGGGCGAAGGTGCACGCAAAGGTGTACCTCGGGCACCCGACTGATCGCGAGGGCTTTGGGCTGAAGGTCGATATCAACGTCGAGGGCGTGGAAGACGATGCGATCATTGCTGCGGCCCATGATGTCAGTCTTCTTTCACGTCAATCACTGAAATTTCCGGAGGGGACTGATGACACTGTGTTTTGAATTTCGCCAGATCTGCCCATATAGTCTGGCATTGCGGGAAGGCATCGAGGTCAATGTCGCAAAGGCTTGAGACAGCGCCTGAGATATATTCACTGCCAGAGAATTGCTTGTTCCACTTTTTCTCTGATATAGGATATAGAAGATATCTACAATACTTTCTTGGTTTTCGACATACGTAGCATTTCCTGCTTGACCTTCATCTCAACATGACCCGTTGGAAACTTGGAATATCACTAGAATGTCGTTGACATATGAATTTTACAAGTACAACTATGCATATACACGAACACGACGCTGCGACGAAAAGAAAAGATAACCACGATAACTAGTGCCAACCAAACAATCAATGCTCGAATAAAACGGAACCCTCACAGCGAGCTCTTCTGCCACTTCGCCGGCACTCCGTCCGCCGCCGCCAGATATGGCATTAAATCACTTGTCAAGAACTCGCTTGGCCATTGCTTCCTGACTTGCGCCTTCAGATACTCCTTCACGATCTTGAGGTTCTCTTCTTTGAGCGCCGGGACCGCCTTGCGCACCTCGGGCTCCGTCTCCTCAATGAGCTGGTCGACGTACGTTGCGGTGATAGGCTCGCCGGTATCAAGTCGCGAGCCGTAATGTACCCACTGCCAGAGCTGCACGCGCGTAATCTCCGCCGTCGCGGCATCCTCCATGAGCCAGTTGAGAGGGATGCATCCGTTCCCGCCAATCCACGCGACCGAGTATGCGATCGCGGTCGCGACGTTTGAGCGTACGCCCGCAGCCGTGATCTTTCCTGGCACCTTGTTGTTCAACAAATCGGCAGCAGCGATGCGGACCTCCTCGCGGCGGATGTGATACTGGTCGTGGGAACACTCGTCAGTATCCGACTGCGACAACAGCAAGACGACAAACCTGGTTTGGCCCAACCATATGTTGGTCGAAGACCTCCCGAGCAATCTTGTTGATGAGCGGGTGTGCGATCCAGGTCCCGTCATGCCCGTTGGTGACTTCGCGCAACTTGTCCGCGCGCACCTTCTCCATCGCAACCTCATTCGCCTTGTCATCGCCCTTGATCGGGATCTGAGCGGACATTCCACCCATGGCGGCAACTTTTCGTCTGAAAAATTAAGTCAATATGATCCATTTCAAAAAGATAGGGGTTTTCATCTACTCACTTGTGGCAAGTCTGGATGAGCAACCGGACGTAGGAATCCATGAATCCCACCTCCATGGTGACGTCCTTTCTGTCGGGGAGCACGGCGCTCCTGTCGGCTCTCCGCTTCTTGATGAAGCTGAAGATGTAGTCCCATCTAAAAGTCAAGACATGATGAGCATGTAATTCTTGCAGGGATCAGATATTCATTTACCTTCCGCAGTTGAGGCCTGATGAGTGATTGCGCAACTCGAAGAGGATCTCCTCCATCTGGAAGGCGGCAGGCAGAGTCTCAATTAAGACAGTCCCACGGATGGTGTTGTGGGGCATGCCGATGTAGGACTGTGAGAAGACGAAAACATCATTCCAAAGGCGCGCTTCGAGGTAGTGTTCCATCTTGGGGAGGTAAAAATAGGGCCCGAAGCCGCGCTTGACAAGCTCCTTCGCGTTGTGGTAAAAGTAGAGGGCAAAATCGAAAAGAGAGCCAGAGACCGGCGCGTTGTCCACAGTGATACGAGGCTCGTCAAGGTGCCATCCTCTTGGCCTGGATACAATTCATCAGCTGCACGAGAGCTGATACAATGCGCATACACTGACCTTACAATGAGGACAGCGGGATTCGGAGAAAGTTTGTATTGTTTCCCGTTAGACTCGAAATCAATCTGGCGACGAATGGCATCCCTGAGATTGACCTGACCCTCGATCATTGCCTTGAATGTTGGTGAGCTGGCGTCTAAAAGAGCGGGGACGTGATGAGCATGGCAACACGACCAACAACCCGCCAGACACGCACCTTCAAAGTCAGCCATGAATGTCTTAGCCCCGCTGTTGAGAGCATTGATGACCATCTTGCGATCTGTAGGGCCAGTGATCTCGACCCGCCTATCCTCAAGTCCAGGAGCAGGGGGTACGCAGTGCCATGACGGCTCAGCGCGGATGTGTGCGGTCTCAGAGGGGAAGTCGAGAGGGATGCCGGAATCGAAACGCTGCTGTGCGAACTCACGGGCGACGAGGAGGCTCTGTCGGGTGGCCTCGAACGTCCTGTGAAGCGCAGCGAGGAAGGCAAGTGCGCCGTCAGTCAAGATTTCAGCCTGCGCCTTTTCTGCGACTTTAGTATGAATTTGTACGGCGGCGACCATGATGTTCGCAAGACGAGAGGTATGGGAAGGGTGGAAGTGTTGAGAACGACGGAGAAGAGGAGTTGGACATTTATACCACTCTGCGGCTCTCCGACGCATCCGTTTCGATTGACCCACAGGACGTCATCAAGGAGAGTTCGCCTGCTATCACATGCCCGACATGGAAAGCACTCCTCGGGGTCCCGTCCCCACGGAGAGGCCGACCGCCAGCAAGCGCACTCGGCAGAGATCAGCGGAACAAACGGAAGATCCCCCGCATTCTGTCGGGCAAATCCTTCTCCCATCTAAGTCTTCGCAATGGCCCCGCTTTATCGTCGCAGCGTGACAGCCAGATTCATAACGATAGGCCCAGGCTTCAGAAAAAAAGACTTGGTCGGAGTGTTGAATTTGAGATCCAGACAGAGTGCGATTGAGGAGAGGAGAGCGGACAACAAGCGGAGAAATCGGCATCTAGCGGACAGAGCCAAAATATTCCAGCGCCGACGCATTTTGCTAAGTGTGTTCTTTTTTGTCGCGGCCCATCGTTATGAATATGGCTGTAGGAACATTCTCAACATTCACTCGGTGCCCTTACACTCACCACGGAAAAGACCACAGTGGCTCCGCATGTGATAACGTACGGGCTCACCCGTTGAAATTAACCCCGTCGTTCGCATGCAAATGAAGCCTTTGACTGCCCGGACCATGCGATGCCGCCAGGATGCATTGCCGTCCTGGACCAACGTGTTTGAGTGTGCTCGTCGTAGGCGTGTCGGAAATCGCACCCATCTACAAACTATCTAATCTTATCTGCGCTGCACTAATCTCCTACATCAGCCACAGAGGCGAGGCTGGCCGCAGTCCACATGCAGACAATCGAGACGCTAGAGCAACAAGGATACAGGGGCATGGGCAAGAAACGAAGCGAGCGGCGTCCCGATCGCCGTAAGGCGGTCCGCCGTCACTGCCGCTTTTGATCCTTGCTAGCGGGCTCCGCTCCTCCCATCCCAGTGGCGGCATCGGTAGAAACGGGTTCCGCTGAAAAGCCTGACGCCATGAATCATCCCGTGAACACGTCGCGCAAGGTACCGAGGAGGCAGAAGCCGTGCATACCTACAAATTCCACCGCCGCTCGTTCACCAATCTTCACGACCCGCCGGCAGGCCATCTGCCATACACCGCAACTCACAGAGCCTGGAATTCGACCGCATGATGAACTTCATTGTCACCCCGCACGCAGGGTACCGCTCACCTGCAGGCGCAAATGGAAAGGACAACCACCAAGTCACCGGGCCCATCCAGGTAGGCGGAAGGTAAAACACCGCCGACTTCCTATACCACCATCCCACCACAAACTGCAGACCCGTCGTCAATATCCATACCACAGAGTTGAACTTGACAGCGAATGCCGATTTCGAGGAATTCAGGTCTCCATCTGGGAGCATCACGCCGCGAGACAGTAAGCATGGGCAATGCGAAGTCCTCAAGGGGCTCGAGACGGCCCTGTGGGGACAGAATAACAACAAAGTGTAACGCAACTCAGCTTCTCGAGCTCCGCCAGCCCCTTATCCACACTGCGTCTTAGTTTCGCCCAACGTGCAAACTGGTCCTGTGCACTCGTCTGTAGTAGCTCTGCCTTTTTCGCGAGGATATCTGCTTTAAGCTGTCGTTGGCGTGCCACGGCACTCGGATTGAAGATGCGCTGGTACGCAGCCCATGCCTGCGAATTACGTGCGTGTCAGTGGTGGAAGGGAACCATAACAAGGAAACGATGCTATGCATACGAATGAAAGGAGGACAGATTGGCCAACCCATGATACAAGTTCTGTTATGAATACAAGGGCGAAGATCGTCAGGATGAGTGACATGGCGAGCGCGAACTGACGAAGTGCTAAATTGGCGCGCGTCTGAGATTTACAGATGGGGGTGGCCGGGGTACCTCCGACATACTCTTACTGGACCTCGGAAATGGCTGTCTGAGGCTCTCACAGCTCATTCGCATCATTTAACACGCAGCAAACAATTCCGAGGAGATCTTAGATTAATATAATATCAGACAAACAGTCGCCTTAAGAGCAAGTGGAGTTTTGCGAGCGGCGAATGCGGCAAATCAAATCATACCATACAAGAACGTTCAGAATACTCAAGCTTGCATATGCGCATCGGTGCTCTCGGTGCCCCCAAGCGTGCTTTGGCTATGACCTAGAGCTAGGTGGCAAGCATAGTTGCACGAGCAACCCGGCCTTATGGCATTGTATATGCTACTGGATGATCAGTGACAGGCCAACGCAGGCGGTATATTGGGACACAAGCAGGATGAAGGAGTTGATGTCTTGCGAAAGGCCAAGCTAACACGACGGGCTGTAGGGCATGCGATCGATTTTCGAGGTCATATGTCAATAGCGGAGCAATACATGCATGCGTGAAGTGATGGGGATAAGGGTGACATCGGTGGGCCCTTCCACCGGTAACCGCTCCCCTCCGTGAGATCGAAGCCCACAGATGCGAGGGACGACAAGCGAGTAAGAGAGAAAAGCGAATCAGATGTTGAGCTTGGTGCGTCTCCAGTGACGGCGCTTGGCGTTGTACTGTCGGGACGAGAACAAGAATCAGTCAAGGAATCCATTGGCGAATAGAACCTCTGTGTGCAATCTATAGGCCGAACGAACCTGGATCTTGGTGTCGGTCTTCAGGCGGAACCACTGAGGAATGGGGCTGCGTTCATAGCAGAACATGAGCGAGGTTTATTAGGATCGTAGGGTATCTACACACCGGTTCTGGCGCGAGGCCTTGGCGAGGATGCGCTTCGTTCTGAAAGTCTTTTGAGAAGGCTACGAAAGCGATCTATACATCAGCCAACGCCATTCCAGCAATAATCGAGGGAATAGACACCATTTTAGGGGACTTGAGAGGGGCGTGCTGAACGTTGACGAAGGTGAAAAAATAAGGTTGATCAGAGTCGCGGCGCTGTACAGTTGATGACAAAGCGGCAGCACGGCAGAGGGCTGCCATTGAATCTGAAAGGAGTCTCTTGTTCCCACGGCTGCTACTGGTGACGCGACGCGACACGTCGCACTTGATCGCACACTGCCAGTTCTCCACATCATGCAGCTGTTCAACTGGCTCTCCGCCCTTGCCTTCGGCTTGCTTGTCTCTGCTGCTGAACCCCCCACCGAGCTCAAGATTGACACGACGTATCTGCCGGCAGACTGCTCCACGAAGGCGCAGAAGGGAGACGCGATCAAAGTCCATTATGTGAGTCAGGCGCGGTCTGTCAAGGCATACGCGTGCCCATTGACTGGGATGCGGGAACTGTAGACGGGCACGCTTTTCTCTAACGGGAATAAGTTTGATTCAAGGTACGTTTCACTTGAGACTACATAGCAGTGTGACCGTCTGACTATGCTCTAGCGTCGACCGTGGTGAACCGCTGCCTCTGACACGTATGAGCCTCATATTATCTGCCTTCAATCGTCGAACTTAAGCTTGATTGATCCACGGACAGTGGGTGTCGGACAGGTCATTCGCGGCTGGGACGAGGGTCTCATCGGCATGTGTCGTAACGAGAAGCGCACCCTCACCATCCCGTCCCACCTGGCTTATGGTGAATTCTCCCATCTTTGCCGTCCAGCCTCCATGCGAATTCTGATCATGACATTGGCCAGGATCTCGCGGGTTTGGAAACGTTATACCTGCCAACTCTGCACTGGTCTTCGACGTGGAGCTTGTCGGCTTAGACACCAAGGGTCCTCGTGAAGAGCTCTAAGTGGAATGTCAACGTAATACCGTGATGTTATATCGGTACTTCACAACTACTCCAGTTGGCACCTGCCCACTCGTTACTGACTGAATTTGAAGAAATGCTCATGCTTCATTAACAATGCCAGTGCAATACACTGTCCCAGATATGAAAGCGAAAGTTGTATCGCATAAATTATACAAAGACCATTCAGTAATAGAAGCAAGCATATGATGAATCCCACAACCCAGTTTACCCAACCCTTCCTATTTCTGTGTCCTTGAGCTTGTCGTTCAAGAGCTCCTGGAATTCCTCTCTCAAAATTGCCTCCCTCCTCTCCCGCTCCTCCTGCTGCAGTTTCAAGATTCCTCTCTTCTCCTCGGCACTGATGACTTGGTTTTCCTTCCGCATACGGACGGCATTCATGCGTCGGTGTCGACTTCCGCTCATCACATACCCGACCGACTCGTACGCCGCGATCTCGTCTGAGTCCAACCCGATCTCACCACGACGTGGAATGCGCATATCTGTCCCGTCCTGCAAGAACGCTGCCATGGCGCTACCTTCGCCGCGAAGCAAAGCTCCACCGTACGCGCGCTCGTCGAGTTTCTTTGATGAATTTGCTCTCATCACCGGCTGGGGTCCCATTTCGTCATCGGACCCGTCAAGCTCGCCTGCATCGTCGTGAGAGATAGCTTTGGGAACCGGTGGTGGCCCCATGCTACCGACGACATGCGAGCCGACATTAGAAACCGATGGAGCAGACGCGGCGGGCTTCTCCACCCACTCCTCGTCCACCTCATCATTTGGTGGCGAAGGAGATCGAGTTTTCGTTAGAGTGGGGCTGCGACGCCCTCTTTCCTTGCTTTTTGTCCTGCTTCTTTTCCGCCGCTCCCTGTCCCTGTCCCTGTCCCTGTCCTCGTCCTCGTCGTCAGAATAGCGCTTGTGACTCCGTGTCTCCTTGTGTCGTTCTTTCTTCCCCGAGCGCTCCTTGTCTTTGCGAGCACGCTTCCTCTCCTTCCGTTCGCGCCGTCGGCGTTCATCTTCACTGTCTTCAGACGACGAGACGGAAGAGGAACGACTGCGTTTGTGTTTTCTGCGGGACTTGGAACCACGTTCCGGAGACCTACAATTAACGTTAGACTAGTTGAACACTGTAGTAGGATTCTATCACTCACAGTTTGCGTGCAGGAGCCTTGGGCGATGGTGGCCAAATACTGAATGTACTATTAAACCTCTGCAGCCTCCGACTAAAATGCGCGAATTAGTTACTGAGACCGCGAACAAGGTTGAGAGGATTGCCGTACCTCTCAAAGTAATCACTCCCTCCTCCGTCCCCACCATAAGGTCTATCTCTGGCCCCGTCCCCACCATAAGACCTATCCCTTGGCCCATCTCCACCGTAGGGCTTGTCCCTCTCCCCTCCCCGCCGTGGAGGATACATATTTTCCTGCTGCCGCCATGGTGCCTGCACAGCCGGAGGGCTTGCCGGACGACGATACTCCTCGTACTCAGGGCTTCCTCGCCGTACACGCCTTGAGCTGCCCTCGATGTCCTTTCTATTCTTCTCTATGCCACCGTCTTTTCGCTCATACCGTTTCACTCCATCATCATCCCTTTCTCGGACGTGCTCCCTGCTATGATGTTCACTTCGGCCGTTTTCCCGGCTCCTGCTGCGACGACGTGGCGAGGGCGAGCGGCCTCGCGATGGAAATCTCTGCTTCGTATCCTGAGGTACAAGGCCCAAACGAGAAGGATGAATCGTAGCCATGTTCAGGGAGACTGCTGGGTGGTAGACCTATTGAACCTACAAATGGCGCAGACTCAGACGAAGGCGTGGGAACCTAGGCAAGTGATAACAGCTATTGATCATATGACTTTGGGCACGTCGCATTATTTATCTCTCTCGTACCTCTTTCCTTCGCGATGTTTCGAGCCAATGTCAATGAATCAGTACTCAGTACGTGCTACACAAGTACCACCATAAATTCGCCAGATACCTCAGAAAAAGAGCATAAGTAAAGGGAGGCTGAACAGACACATATCCTATCTTACACAGACAACCATCTTGTCGGAGAGACGTGAACCATAGGTAGACTGGGGCACAATACTAATGATTATAAAACTGTGAGGGGGAGGCGCTTGGACATGGGATTGAGTTGTGTTGATATATAATTACATTGTAAGAGCTTTGGTACGACGAATGTCCGCTACAGTGGGTATCTGGGTTGAACGATTTCAACAGCTACAAGGTCCAAAACGGACAAGAAAAACCAGGTCAGACAAAACTTACCAACTAATCCGTGATCATGACTGTATCCTCCTTAAATAGTCTTCTCCGCTGATCCCATTTTTTCAGGTACTCCCTGATCCTACTTTCGAATAAAACACATCCGTCGAAAATATCGAACGGCAACAGATCCCTTCGCTGGTCCCAGGGCTTGACGTCCACTAGCGTCCAACGCTCGATGCATACAAGGACCATCCCAAAGCTATAGGCATCCGCTAGCCGTGCGTCCTGGCACTCGCCGCGCAAGATCTCTGGGGCCGAAAATGGTCGTGTGCCAGGGTGAATCTGCTCGACTCGCACCTGCGGCGCACCACGAAATGATGGCGTTTGAGTCAGGTGAGCGAACGGGTCGACGGGCCCGTCATCGGGTGAACTGATGATGGACTCTGCAGAAACAGAGCGTCCAAAGTCGAGCACTTTGACTGTGCCGTTTGGCATGACGTGCACATTGAGCATAGAGAGATCACCATGGCTCAAACCAAAGGCATGGAGATGCGTGAGGCCGTCGAGGAGCTGATTGTGCAGGTCTTTCTTCAGAGCTGGCGCGGGCTCTGGTTGTTCTCTAATGAAGTCGTACAATGTGGGTCCCTCGACGAACTCTAAGACCATACCGACGCTTTCCAGGCAACCAAGAAACGCGGGGATATTCCGATGTTTTGAAACAGTGGTATACACGCGAAGCTCAGCGAGAAACTGCGCAGCGATGTCATAGGCATTGCTCTCCATCTCGCCATTAACCTCAAGTTGCACAATCTCGGGTTTCTTGACGATACATTTGAAAAGCTCCGAGGCTGATCCGGTCGCGATAGGTGCGAGGGACCCTGTGGGGTTTGGCGGGGCAGAGTAGGTCGCGGGGATGGGGAAAGAGAAGATGGATCCAGGGTGGCGGGGAGGATTGTAGGGAGGTGGAGAGGCGGGGGGTGACGGTGGCGGGTGCGGCGGGGGCTCGGTATGGGGAACATAGTCATTATAAACGGTATCATCGAGAGATGAGAACGAGTGGGCGGAGGGCTTCAGCTTCTCCTCTTCCTCGTCCAACTCCACTACAGGTGCGCACGATTACAATTAGAAGATGCATCTAGTTCATACAGCGCTGCGACGCACCCATCCACCAATTCTTCTTCGATGTAAGAGTGAGGCGTTTGACATGCACAGTTGGCCGCATTGGCAAGTTTGCGGAAGGGTGGGGTGTCCCTGGAGTTGTGATGGGTGTGTGGGCAGACCTCGGAGTGACGCTGATTGGTGTCAAGGAAGTCGAATGGCTCTGAGAGCGGGAATAATGCGGATGTTTCGCGTACATCTTGTGTCGAGGACAAGAAGAGCGATGTGGTTATCGACAAGCAAGGCCACTGCTAATAGCAGACGTCCTAGCCGCGCACGTTGCTGATCGAGATGGAAGCCCGCGTGACCGCGTCCGACGGAAACAAAGTATAATTTTGTTCCAACATCCCTTGACGATTCAAGGCCTCAAGCTCAAGGCTGCTTACAGGTAGATAATACCTGTCAAAAACGTGTATAGTCGTGTACACTCGGATATACGATAGCCCGAATCAAACATACATCGTGATCTACAAGAACGACTCGGAGAAGATCGAGGCGAAGAGTCTTTGGGTTGGATTGGGTCAGTGATCTGAATCCAAAATGGATAGATTGTCGAGATCCATCATCCAAACGTTAGCATTATGAGAGTTCACGTTCAAGTTCCAAAAAACCTGGCTGTAGTCCGAGCAATCACAGTGCCAAGAAAACAAAGCCCAAGTCCAAGAAGTTGGCTCTCGAGGGAAGCTGTCCATGACACCTCCACGACCTGTTCGTCTGACCTAAAATAACGCACCCAACAGGAGTATCAGCCCGCCCAACCAATTTCCCCACGTCGGTCTACTCCTATGCAAGGCCCCACTAGTCTGGTTGCCCCCTTTCGTCCCGCTACCTCCATCTCCGGTCGGACCAGCCTGGAGGGCACCTGGCTGCGCCACGCTCGGAGGCAGTGGCACAACCTGCTGTACAGGTTGCTTACCAATTTCACCAGAGCCCACCATAACCTGGACGCCGACGGATGGGACGCCATTGATCACTACAAAGAGCACTAACAGGAGAAGCATTCGGAAATCATCAGGTAGCGAGTAGATCAAAGGACGAAAAACTCACATGCAGGACCAGGCGGCATGATCGCAGGGTTTGGAGGAAGCTGACTACAATGAAGCACAGCTGACCCGTCTCTGTCTGAGGTGTATGTTACCTGAAGCTCCACCAACCGCTGCCCCATATTCTTCCGTTCACCATCAGTGGCCGTGTCCGAGTACTTGCAGGGTTTCGAACATACCATGGTATGTGTTGAGAAACCAGGTCTCAGCAGCACAACCTTGGCGTCCTGTAGGTAGTCCGTATCACCGAACATGTCATCCTTCTGTATCGACACGTTGAAATATTCGCCGCCATAGGAGAGCTGCGACGGTAGCCCCCGGGGCTCTGGGCGACGCTCGTTGAAGTATGATGGGTAGAACTTCTCCACACGGTACTCAGTCGGATACTTGACACTTTTATTGAAGTCTGCGTTTGGGTTTGATCCAGTCACAAAGACCGAGCCTGCATGATGTGGGATCGAATCAGAATTGAATAGAAGAAAAGACGATGACACGTCGCGAGTACCGTCGGGTAGTATCGTTGCAGTCGAATGGTACATCCGGGGGATTGAACTGGGAGAGAGCCCATCCCTTGACCATTGCGAACCAGAGGGGGCGCCCGGATTATACATAACAGGCTCAAAAATCGGTTGATCTGCGTAAGACATGCCAATCGCCCAGGAATCTGTGCCGTACCCAGCAACACCTGTGATAGCGAAGGTGAGAAGGTGAGACAAATATTTCTTCGTTCAGAGCATTTACCTGTAGCTGCACCGTTGAGGCAAAGGACTTGGCCAGTAGGTAAAAGAACGAGGTTTCCCATTGTGCGGGCTTCGGGTAGCGGATCGACCGACTTGTATGAGTTGGAGATATCTGGCGAGATTTGCACGCAAGATGAAGACGCAGGGTACTGTGCAATATCCCAATTTGTCTGCCACCTAAAACGAATATCAGCCTCGATCTCATCACCTTATAAGAATCGATCTGAGCATACGAGCTACTCACTGATTATCTTTGATGTTCGATCCCCCACAGAACATCACTGTCGCGGTCCAATTATTCTGCGGTGTAAGGGGCAGCATGACAGTGCCTCCGCTGGCAGGATATGTCCTGACCGCATCAGGAACGTCATCAATGCGGCGCTCATTACCTTGGTCGAGATCCAGTATAGTTGTTTGCCAATTCGACTGCACAAGAAGCTTTCGAGACGGAAGCAGAAATGTCAGAGGGTATAGATTTGCTGGGAGCGTATTTTGAAGGATAGTTGATACGATGGGTTTGCCATCTCCACGTGGGGGGTAGAATTCATACGTTGGGTTGGTCTGTCCTGCGTTGTTGACAAAGCCGCCCCATTGACAGCCGCCAATCTAACGTCAATCACCCGTTCAGATGAGCGCAATTTTCCTGCAAACACTGCCTCAAGGAGTCGATCGAAGGTGACACTTACGATGAGGATGCTGCCATCATCAAGCGTTTCACTGCGCGGGGGGGTAAGTCAGTAGGTGGCAGTCAAAAATGCGATGCCAACTGTGCTAGACAACGACACCGACGACACTTACAGGGAAGGATACCAACGCCGCGTTGACATGTCAGCGACGAGCGTCCAATCACAATTCCCATCGTCACATGGAGTGAGAATTCTTGAGGGAGGAAGAGCTGTCAACGAGTGCAGAGGACGACACAGTATCGAAAGGACACACCGAATCCTAGCAGAATTGCATGTGGAATCAACATTTTCTTCATTCCACAACTGAACCAGACGTACGACTTGGCACCGTCTGGATCGTGATAAGGGCCACTGGCACCGACTTGATCGGGAGCAGCCGCACCACCGGTCGTGATGGCCTGATTCCCTCCAACATTGACCCATGTACCGTTGGCTGTGAAACATTTAAAACTGCGTATCAAGAAGAAAGAGCAAGCATCTACCTAGGACACTGCCGCCCTATCAAAGGCAAAGCTGCACTCAATGTAGAGATCAAGGTTTGGACTAGTAAATTACTCACTGCACAAAACGAGTTCGTAACGATGTCCATTGGTCGGCCGGCATTCGAACCCAATGAGTATTCTGATATAAGATGAAGATGTTATTCTGGTGGGCAGCGTACGTTGGGGAAAGCCGAGTGCGGATTACCTGCCGCCCACGCCGGATGTCCCTTGATAGTTGAAGGATTGTTCTCTGTTTTGTCAACTATATACACTTTATCTACTGTTCCAAGGAAGAGCTAGAATACCATGAGGAGACTTTCTGGAGGACAATCATAACGCGAGTGTCACGTACCTGCTGCCCACTCACGATACTATCCCCGACAACTTGGAAAGTGCCCACAGTCCCGCTCTGGGCTGGTTGTCGGGGGGCCGTGGGTGAGTCGGTATTGGCGGCAAAAACAATTGATGCATACAAGATAGCAAGGGCGTAGGAATGCTGTGGACGCATGTGTAGATAGAGTGTCTGATGTTCGAAATCGTTGAGAAAAGAGTGTTATAAACAGTGATTGTGAGAGGTAGAATGGAAACCCTGGGTATACAGCGGAGAAGTGGTCTCGCAGCGGCGTTGAAACCCGGGTGGGGCTAGATGTTGAAGTTGAGGTGAAAGTACGGCAGGCATGGATCCCGATGCACGCCATGTTGAGGCTTGTTCGTCGCAAAGACAGACGGGAGAAGGTCCTGGTCAACAGCTGCTATTACTCGTTATGGCAATTGGGTTGCCCAATGCAGACCAAGAGCGACGTTTGAACGATGGTTTAGGCAGCGCTCGGGCACTTTAAATGAGAGCTATGGGTTCTCAGAAGCGGCCAATGACCGCACGTTAGTCTTCTAGAGGCAGACCTTTCAAGGCGAGACCGTCGTTCTCCTACCAATCTCGGCATTGCTGTCCGTGCAATATGACGACACCGTTATCCGTGCCAGAGTCAAGGTGCAGATCCTACGGACCATCGGTCAGTGTTCCGAGCGAGCTTGAGCGACTGGATTCAGCATACAACCAAAATTACATCCTATATAAATACCGATTGCAACATTGAACATCAGGACGTGAGGGTGCATGACAAGGCAGGAAACGGGTCGAAAAGAGTCGAGAATACAGGCGAGAGCCTTAAATAAGTTTTGCTTCGCGCTTGGCTTGTTGTACCTGTGCAAGGCGGTGGCTTCGCAGCGTCATTTGGGAACCTTGTGTCCCCTTCTTCGTGCCACCAGGTGGCGCCGCGGGTGCTACGCTGGGTTGGGAAAGGGTTATGCGTGTTTCATCTGACGAAAATCCAGGGACGCGTATGTTGTGGTTCCGTTCTGCACACCCAAGAAGCAGGTGAATCCTAACGATCATCGTTCGAAAATTAAGCTCTTACCGAGGTGTAGTTGCAGATCCCGCACTTCAAGGGTGTCTCCGCCTCTATGCTTGGCGAGCCGGCAGCCAAAGTTTGTGACCGAGTCGATGAACTCGTCCGCTATGTCCAAGAGCAGCTGCAAAACCGGAGCGCGGAGTTAGGGCCACCGGTGTATGATGAGAATATTCATGCGGGCTTACATCCTCGACTTCGGGTTCAATCTTGACGTTTGGATCAAGGCTGGACACTAGGTCCTGTATCGAGCGACGCATACTCTGATCCCCAGGCGTAGGCTTTCTCCGCGATCGTGTATCGTCTGCTGCAAACACTTCTTCGCTTGATGGCTTCGTCTGTGATGGAGTACCTGAACGAAAGCCGAGTTAGCATATTGCGCTATGTATGCTCAAGCCACAAAGAAAAATAGCCGATGAAGCTCAACGTACCTGCTATTCTCCCTGCAGCTGCACCACCAGTGAGCGTAGGTCGACCCTGATGTGCCGTCGGCCACGCGACAGGTCCAGGATTCTGCGTGTTCAGCGTTTGGCTGATTGGGTATGTATCCTGGGATGTGGATGCTGAGCCGAGCATCGGGGTCGGTGAGGTGCCCTTGAAGGCAGCGTGCTGAGGTATAATTGTGGCGGGCTTATATGCGGAACATGTGGCAGTTTATCGAGGTTGTGCGAGGGTGTTGATGAGTCCAGGGGGATCAAGATGAGATAAGAAATATAAGAGAAAACAGAACGCACCTTCGGCGGTGGTGCTTGGCTTGTACTCGTGCTGGCAGTGTTTAGCTGCGGCGGGGGCACACCTTGTGTTGGAGCTGTTGTATTCGAGGTGAACGCCGCTTTATGCTTGTCGGCATACTCTCTCAGCTAATAAGACGTATCGCAAGTGCATCCATATCCCCGTGTTATCACGCGGAGGGTGCGCACCTGCATGATCTGCTGCTGGTTCAGCTTGCCCTGCTTCGCGAGCTCCCCGAGTTGGCCCATGTTTTGGAGGAGCAGCTGCGCAATGCGCTCCCCAGAGAGAGGGTCTCCCGTCTGCGACTTGAATGCATTCCCTAGCGCGGTGATGATATTGGCAGCCTGGTTGGATTGGGTCCCGTTGGTGGCCATGATGCCTGGCGAGGGTGTCAGGTGGGCGAGGTCAGACCGTGAAGGCGTCGCGGATTCGTGCCACGTGCGTCAGCGCCGCTTCGAGCGTCGGAAGTCCGACGCTTTGCCGCCTCGACCCATGCAAGAGCGTTGAAAAGACCTCATTATGGCCTTGTTGCGCATCTTAAAAGCCCCTCGAACACTGCATATGCATTGACTTCGCCTGAAGCAATTTTGAAGCTCCAAAATAGCTGTAGCGTACAACAGCTCGACTAGCTATGAGTATTCTATATTCATCTTCGAGCGCTTGTTAGGGCATCCACCCCGTCTCCTTGGACCTTGGCCACTTTGTCACTCTGCTCCATACCACATATGTGATGCTTCTAAAGACGAGAACCCTATATGGGCGGTCCGTCGACGGCACCGTATCCCCCATAAGGCTCACATGGCAGAGTCACCAATTTCGTCAGCGCTGAACAGGCTGATCCATCGCCATGGTCGCTCCTAATAATCATGAACGTATCGTTCTCAGATCTACACGCTGCGAAGAATCAATTTCCAGGGACATGCGTGGCTTGAACGAATGCATGTATCGTCTCTAGTACAACGACCGTGCGCCTGTAGCTAATCAGTGCGCACCTGAGGATACGGATAGCGCCTCCAGTGAAAGGGGTGCATTAGATGGATAGGCTTCTTGTGTCGTTTATGAAGCCGCGTGGGATGATACGATTGGGCGATGCGCGTGTTTGTGGCATTGGAACGATTCTCAACGCCCGTCGCAGCTTCCGAAAGAGCCAGGCCTATGATATTTGTCACCTGAGTCTCGTGCAGCGTGTGGATTATAGAGACAGCTTGAGAACTGCAGACATGTTGTGGCTTCAATTTAGGGCATTGATGTATCAAAAAGCTCACCTGGAGAAAAGCTCAGCAAGGAATGCATCCCCAAGGTACCAAAGGATATGTGACATTCGCCCAAGTACCTGCAAGGCCTCGCGTTGGGGATCGGCGTCTGAGATACACAGTCGCTAACCAGATCCCCCTCGGGACAATCTCTTTGCTTGGCTCACGAATATAGTCTGCGTGACCAAACTTACAACGCGGCCCATGAACTCTCGCCATCCTGCTCGCGATGAGGGGACATCACTGGGACATCGGACTTTCAGCGCCTTGACGACTAGCTCCAGCCTCAGTCTCTGTACACCAGATCCGTCCGCAGCCCTGCTCGAGCTGCTAGAGATGAGACCACCCGTGCGCCAGGACTGCGCACGTGCTCGTCGCTGATTCAACGAACGAGGTAGCCGATCGCCCAAGATCAAATGCTCTGCTGCGACGAAGGCGCACGGCGGCAGCGTGAGTGGGCTAGAGACGACGGGGATGGCTGAGAACGCAGCCAGAGTGCTAGGAGAGCTTGCGCCGATGAGCAGTGCACGTTAGTGACGACGAACGAAACGATTTCGAGCAGGCCTCGACTGGACGACACAGATGTTGGAAATCGCGCGTGCGAGACCATGCGCCGCTGCGGCGCGCGGTATATTTCCAAGGTCATCGCTAGGTCAGCTGGCTGTCATGCATGCACTATTTGAAAGCACCATTCGAAGGGGGTGCACGAGAAATATCACCACACAGACAAGGGAGGTCAGCTCTCGTGCGATTGCCCGGTTGCTAATAGAGCGAGACACGGACTCACACAAATATAAGTCTCCCGGGACGAGCTCTAACGCGGGCGAGTGCTGTGGACCGAGGTTTCAGCTCTTCGCTTCCAGGCCCTCGGTCGTAGTACGCCCACCACAGCACCCTGTTTCGGGATCCTTATCGTCGACTTGGGCATGGCGGGGGTAGAGATGGCGGGGCGGCATCCCCGGGATGATAGGGGACCGAGAGACTGGCAATAGCTGGCAGTAGTCGCGCCGACATATTGCAGGATACTATCTAGAATCAGAGCCCTTGTCCTTCCGGGGGAGGAGTTCCCGCGAGATGGACCGCGGCGGCGAGCAAGTCGCTGCAACACGCGCACGCGTCCGAACGAGTCTGCCTGTAGGATATGCACGCCAGGCAGCAGAGGCGACACTGCGACAGCAGACACGAGAGGATATTAGAGCTGAGCAGCATCGGCTGACCCTGCTGCGCCCCGGCGAACGCACGAAGCGCGGCCAGAGCGCGCACGCACGATAAGCCGCACGCAGGCGCAAGGCGCATTAGGGCGCGTTGCGCGACCCTGCGCGACCTGGCGTAACGGGGTTCCCAAGTGGTTCCCGCGCGCAGATCAGATCTGCCCGAAATCAAACGTTCAGAGTTTTCGAGGTCGGGGCCTGTCGGCACTCGGAGCGCCAGGTGGGGATGGGTTCTGGTTATTGGTGGGGATGTGATCTTTGTCCTGATCCTGATCCTGATCCTGATCCTGATAACTTCCTGATATCGCGGTCCGAGTGCACACGCGGCACGCGCGCGCACCCATATCCGCTCCGACCGCATTCACAACCCCGACATCGAGTTGAACTTCAAGTGCCAGAGCCCGAAGGGAGCAGGGAGGAGGGGACTGTAAAGTCTGCCGCACGTCGTGCTCTCGAGAGACAGGAAAACCACCAACGCAAGTGCGGTCGAAATCACGAGTCGGAGCCCGGAGTCTCGGGGGTCGGGAGTCGGCAACGCGCCCCAGCCGCCCTGCGCAGCACCCGATTCGTCGTCCCAACGCAAAACGCTAGCTACTATCCCCAAAGGGTCCGCGCCAAAACAGAAACAGACGATCCACTCAAGGCGGCGGGCAAACAAAGCAAGCAAGCAACCAGGCAAACAAGCAAGCAAGCAGGATACAGTACTAGGACGGCCTGCGGCGCTCTGCGCGACATTTCAAAGGTCGGACCGGCGCCATCGTTCGCACCGCTGCCTGCTCCCGGATGTGGCCAACGGGCGTCCGTCGACGGCGGAATCGAAGAAGCAGCGTGGTGGATCGATTCGGCCACGCAGTGCCCCCGAAGACCGAAGCCCGAAACGCATTGACCTCAATCAGCCGCGCAGCAGCACGCCGCGCCGCGCTCGCGCCTCGCACGAACACGGCGCGCGCGCGCGCGACCCCGGTCCTCGCTCCCGTCGCGCCAAAACAAGGAAACAAAGCGTCTGCAGGCAGACGGCACCGACGCCATCGTCGCACGCCGCAGCACGGCCAGCCCATTTTTTTGGGGGGGGGGTGTAGGGTCCGCCAAGCGCGCCGTCCCCCGTCAGCGTCCCCGGGCGGTGCGCGGCGTCGCACGCTCACGATACTGCCCGTGCCCGTTGCGGCGCTCAGCTCAGCGATCCACCGCGATCATGGAGCAGTAAGATAGCCATTCGGACGCAGCGGGGAGTAGCAGAGCGAGGGGGTACTAGAACAAACGTATGCGACATGGAAAAAAAAATCTGACACCGAGAGCGACGGCGGCGGCGGCGGCGGCGGCGGCGGCGGCGCCTCGGGATACAAACGAGTAAGTAAAGGAGCATTGGGATAAAATAAATAAAAAAAGAGACGCGAGAGACACAAAAAAGAGAAACATGAGTGCAAAGGAAGGACCAGGGGAAAGAGTGGGAGAAACCGCAGGCCTAGCCCTCACGGCAAACGAGCGCCTCGACGACCAGCTGTTGGAAAGCGATGTTCGGGGGTTCAGAGTAGCGAGAAGCTTATAAGAGGCCGGATTAAGAACTATATATCGTAGGCGAGCCGCGAGGCGTGCGGGGATAGGACAGTCGAAGACCAAGAAACATGTGGAAAGAGCCAGGGAGGTGTAGGGACAGCGACGGCCCAGGAGAGGATGACCACTGGGTGATATATATGTACGAAGGCGAGGATGGCATTATACAACATTCGGGGCGGAGGAGCGGGTACGGTAGATATTCAGGGTACGGATACGATGAATGGCGTGATGTCGATGAAGGAGGCTGATGGCGATGATCGGATATGGTAAAAATAATAGGGTGGAATAGAGGGCACTTCGTCGCACCACCGCTCTAAATGTCCGACCGACCGACTGAGTCTGCCCGGCCAGAGCCCTAGCGCAGGATCGGACCCGCTCTCTCCACTGTGGCTATCGGCACAGGGGGCTACGGACCTGTCGGGCCTGCCCTAGCAGAGATGCGATACGGAATGCGCGGTGGCGATCGGCGGAGCACGGCGGCGAGAGGGTAAAGCAACACTGATATAGATAGACTGTACGGTGTACGAGAGAGGGGCGTGTGTGAGAGGTGTTGTATGCATCGCATCGGCAACGCATCGCGCGCGAGATAAAGCTCCATACATCGATCGGGGACACCGTGCGTCCGAAGGCGGCGAGGCGACCTGGACGGGTTGGTATAGCATGGCGCGTGGTGATATTTGAACAGTAGGTGGACGGGAGAGGAAGGGGGAGGAAAATGGCAAAAAAAAAAAAAGTGAGTCAGAGTGAGAGAATGAGTGAGTACGTGGTGTGAAAGCAACGACAAAGCACGGCGGTCTGGACGAGAGCGTTCGCGGAGTGGAGTGGGTCGTAGTCGTACTATCGTGTGTCCAACGGTACGGATACGGTGGGGAAAGGGAGTTGCACAGAGAGAGACAGGTCCATAAGCCGATTACGGGGGCGTTTTCTTACTTCGATTTTCGTCCGTCGTCGACGTCGGCAGCCTGGCCCATGTCGCGCTCGTGAGAGGTCTTGCGGGGGGAGAGTGGAATGGCGTAGCCGTCGATCGTGACACATAATAAGTGGGGTCACTCCACGCCGGTCGAAGCACGCCGCGCGCAGCGGTGGGCATTCAGGCGGGGGTGGAGGTGAGCGAAGGCTCACTCGCGCGCTTCACCGTACCAGGTGATCGCCGGGGTTCGACGCGGGATGATCACCCGGAGCAGCTCGCCGTCAAACTCGGCACGAACTTGCGCCAGATCGGCGTCGTAGCCGAACGAGATTCGTCTTTCGAAGTGACCTGAGCGGTGGAGCGCGAGCGAGCGAGCGAATCCACGAAGCCAAGAAGCGAGCGCGCAGTCAGCACAACGGAGACCGCGAGCGAAGAAGGACGCGCACCTCCACCCGGTTCCCACGAGTCCGCCACGAGATGCAATATGCGTCTCCTTCGCGTCGCCAGTGTTCTGCGTAGATAAGACAAATAGCACCGGGAGTGAGCCCACGCCGAGAAGACCAGAAAGGACGGCCACGTACATTCCGTCCCGTCCAAAGCCCGGTAATCGTACAACAAGAGTATACTCTCTGGGCATGGTCTCGACCGCGATCCAACTGTCGGGGGGCGGCGGAGCGTGGGCTAGGAAGGGCTCGTGCGGTGCACTGCTGCGCTGGTTTCCCGTTGGCGGAGGGGCCAGGATGGTTGGCGGAGCGGGTGGGGGGATATGGCGACTTGGGTTTGATGGGGGAGGAGAGAGCACACGCTCTGCCAATGGAGCAGGGGAGAACTCTGACGCGGATGCGCCCATGAGGGGCGCGCCCAGAGAAGGCGTGTAAGGCGGGGGTGGAGGAGCATAGCTTATGGTCGATGCGGCGGACGAAAAGAGCTGTTCCTGCTGCGAGGAGATCGGCGGCTGGTGGATAGCCGGGTCCTGTGTCCACGGTGCGGAGGAGCTCTCGGCGGCCGGAGCGGTGTCGACGACGGCTTCCGGGGTTGAGCGGACAGCGGGCAAGGTGTAGAAGGGGGTCTGGGAGGCGGGGGGCAGACTGGCGGTGGACGAGCGGTCGTACCTGGTGGTGGTGGAGGACGGGGGATGAAAGCGTCCTTGGGGGACGATGGGCGGTGTGCCCGCAGTTGGGGTGGAATAGGGACGGGCGAACGGGAGGACGGAGCTGGGGGATGCCGAATGCGGGTCCTGATGGGCATGTGATGACGAGGCTGAGACCTCGCGGGAGTGGGGTGCGATGGAATCTGGATTGGGGGTCTGGTCGGAGGGGGGCTGGTGGTGATTGAAGCCGTTGCCCTGGTTGATCATCGTGGGAAGTTTGCTGGGGACGGGAGGGAGGGGGCGGGGGGAGCGGGGAGGGGTTGACGGAGCGGGGATTGCTCTGGGATCATCCACGTTTTGGTACGCGGGGGGGCGGTCCGGGAGAGAGAGGCTCTGCCTGTCAGATGGAGCCTGGGACGGGATGTCGGAGAGGCTCGGGGAAGGGAGGGAGCCCTGCTGGGCGGTGGGGGAGGGCTGCTCCTCGGCGTGGGAAGACGTATTTGAGAAGGTGGACGGGGCGAGGAGGCGGGAGTAGGGGCGGGGACGTCGGGGAGGGACGTCGTGGCGCTTGGAGTAGTCGGGGCGGGGGGGACCTGGGGTGGAGGGAGAACGAGAGACGATCAGTCACCGCTCGACCGCCCTCCTTTCTTTTCGGCTAAAGCGCGCGGAATGACACAACCGCGTGTGGTTTTTGCCACCGGCACGGCCATGCCGGACGCGTCGCGACTCTCTCCCCCCGCGCAACGCCCAGCCCCGCCCCTCGCGACCCGCGACCCACGCGTGCCACACCGCCCGCCGCGCTCGCGCTCGCTGGCTAGTGCACGCAACGCATGATGCAACACACGCGCACAGACACGCATATGCACACACACACAGACACAGACACAGACACAGACACAGACACAGCTTGCGGGACTGGGACTCGGACACGGGGGCGTTGTTCGAGGCACACGCACATCGCGGTGGGAACAGAGAGCAACGAAGATGGGATAAAAAACCCGCGGCCGCGGCCGCGAGACTCACCGGAAGACTCGTCGCTCGCGTTGTCCTCGTCCCAGTCCATCATGACCGCATCCTCGTCGATCCGTTCTGGCATCATGTCCAGCTTGGAGTAGAACGGGGCGTCCGCCACATCGCGGGACGAGGCAGGGACGGCGGGGTCGTGCGGGTGGAGGGCCATCTGGTCAAGGGAGAGAGGCAGCGAGAGAGAGGAGGAGGAGGAGGAGATGGAGGCGGAGGAGGAGCTGGGGGCAGAAGACTGGGACGGCGAGGAGGGCGGGTCGAAGTCTGGTGACATTGATGAGCATTGGTTCGATAAAGACAAGGCGAGGAGTGAGTGGCGGCTCTTGGGAGGAGAGTAGGGGAGACAAGGCCCGCGTCCGTAGCCGTCTGGCTCTCCGTGGCCGTGGGTCCCAGTCTCTTTCGTCCTTCACACCCGTCCCCGGGGTCCCGCTGCTCTGACGTCACGTCCGTGCTCCAGAATCCCATCAGATGACCCCCACGCTCCCCGTCCCCATCTCTGCCACAGCCCGCGCCCTCTGTCTCCCATTCTTCGGCATCAACGTGACCTCGGCCAACTCCGATCCCCGAAACGGACTCGCTTGCACGCAGACGTCGCGCCCCGCCCTCGGCCACCCCCGCTCCACAGCAGCCCACGCCCTCGGCCCATCGCTGCTCATAGCACGCTTGCGCTTGCCTCCAGGCGTTCGCTCGCAACTCATCTCCCTTCGGGCCCAACGTCATGTCCCCGTGGTCCATGCCCCACCCAGCTTGATCCTCTCGCGGCTTCTGGTCGAATGCATCCTTCCGCTGCGACAGGTCCTGCCATCATATTCATGTCAACAGCCTCCAGCGCGTTTCTTCACAGCTGTGACTGACTTAATTAGACGCCGGCGCTTCTCGATCGCCCATGCTCCTGATGTCATGATGCTCCACCCGCGTCTCACCGCGCTTGCTTTGCTTTGCTTGCCCCGGTCGTGGCCTGCCAAACGGGACCCACCGTGCCCAGGCGAATCTCCAACGCGCCGTCGCATCTCGCTTGAAGCCTTTCTCGACCCCGCCTGGGTGCGGGGACGCAGGCCGGGGAACATGTCATCGCGGGTCGATGCACCTCGGCTTCCGAATTTTGCCTGCATCCGGCCATCTGAATTCGGTGACGTTTTGCGTCTCCAAACTTGACGGCGGCGGCCCCCAGCTCCCGCCCGCACGTCTTCCTCAAACGGTCCAACAAGTCCCAAATCCATCCGAAACTTTTGGGCTCCGCGTTCCACATATCCGAGTACACCCATCCTCGCACCAGCTAGGTCCTCGGCTTGCCCCGTCGTCGCCCGCGCTCGCCCGGCGAAAAACCCCTGTCGTATGGGCGCCTGTGGACAGCCTTCATAATGCTGATATATGCGCGTGTAGGGATGTTCGTTCCATAGGAGTGTTTCATCCCCGAGTGCTCTCCTGCGGGCCCGGGTGGGACCTTCGACACTTCCATTCGGCCACCGGACGCTTTTGCGATTTCCGAGGAGTTACGCGAGGGTCTGTCGGGGCGGGCGTCGCCGAGGTGTTTGATAAATTGCGCTCGGCACGCCCGTCCATTTTGATGGAGGCGTCCACCGTCGCTGCTTTCGGCGCGCGCATCGCGTGCGTAACGTATCCTTCTGTCCCGTTCATTTTTGCTCGCGCTCATCAGCGGACGGATCAACAGACCCCCTACGTCGTCCCACGTCGTCCCACGTCGCCCCACGACATGAACGTAAGTTTCTCTCCGCAATGCCCGCCCGCGCTCCACTGAAGTCCACAGCATCTCGATGGCCGCACCCCGCCGTCCGGTCGCGCCACCATGACACGGCCTCACGCCTCTCATTCATTCATTCATTCACGTCGTTCCACGTTTTTCCCCCGCCAGCCCCGCCGCCGAGAAATCGCTCCGTTTATTAGAGCTGTTGGCTGGCCCGTAAGCGACCCGTCTTCCACTCCGGACGGGCTCCACACACTTACGGGCCTAATCCGTTTACGGCGTGGACCTATCTGACGGTGTAGGTACGCGAGCGGCAGCGTCGTCTGCGCACACCAAACGGCCGCGGTGGCTCCGAGGTCCGACGGCGCGCGACAGGCGACGCCGCAGTCGCTCCGTGCGTCCCTGCCGGCCGAATGGCGTTCAGCGCGCCGATCCCGCCTCTCGAGGATCGCGCGTGACCTTGCAAAGTGCGCGCTCACCCGCGGCGCCTTCGAAAGGGCTCCCAGACACGCGTTGCGTGTGGAAGCGTGTGGTCCTGGTGTCTTTGAGAGAGTTTGGTTCGGAACCGCGTGTCGTTTTTTTTTTTGCCTGGTGATACTTGTGTCTCTTCCCGGTGCTTGCGGTCAGTTGTGGAGAAGTTGCATGGCATCGCAGCTGGTGTGGGGCAGCCTGCGTTCTGTGCTTCTTGGGGGTGAAGCCGTCGCGCGGCGCAGTCCCGTCGGTGCCGGCTTTTGATCTTCCACGATGTTCACGTCTTTTGTCTTCCGTGCTCCGGCGTCCAGTTTTCGAGAGCTGCCCCGTCGTGGATCCCGCGCATGTCCCTCGTCGAAGCCCCGTCACGTGTTTTTCGTTCCAATGCTTTCCTACTGCACACCCGCGGACGGTCGACCTCCCAATCTGTTATCTCCCCATATCGATCTCTGCGCTGTGGGCGGATCGCGGCCTGGGGCAGATCTCGCTGCTGCCGCTGCCGCTCACTGGCACTGCTGTACTTGGCAAGGGTGTCGCGATTCGTGGTCTTCTGCCCGCGCGCGACGATGGCATATGCCGGTATCCTCGCCATCTTATCTCTGGGGTTTCTCTGGGTCAATATGGTCATCGAGCCGGGCTCTACACCGACCCCACCGGATTTCGTCCTGCCATGATTCCGCTCCGTCTGCGCGTCCGTCTTTTGCACGGCCCCTATGTATCGTTGCTCCATATGCGCAGCGGGAATGTATATAGGAATCCCTCTGACACCTCGCCCCACCGGCGATTCCTGCCGTCCATACTGTATCCTCCGGATCCCAAGACACACCCAACGTGCTCTTCTGTCCGTCGAGTGCTTCGGCTTCGGCTTCGCCGCTCGCGATGCCGCACCGAGGCTCCGAGAGCTCCGAGCCGGTGCTCTGCTATACAAATTCTGTTGCAGGGCGTGGGTTTCGCAGAGACGGCGACTGTTGCGCGTACGTTGGGTTGAGAAGGCTGCACTTGTCGGTGGGGCGAGTGGCCGATCGCCCGGCTGATCAGTCGGGTTTTGGGGCGCTGTCGCTGGCGGATTTCGCGCGAGCGTTTTGTTATAGGCCGTACATGCATGCATGCATGCCCTTGCGGCCGCTGAGGGCATTACGCCGAGTCGACAGAGACCATTTTTCCCAGCTCCGGATCTGGTGTCGGTTCTTGAGCTAGGATTGGAGCCGGCGCGCTTGGGCTTGCAATAGACTTGATCTTGGACGCGGGACGGCTGCCTGCGCTCGTCACGCTCAATCCAAAACTCTGGACGTCTGTCAAGAGCCCCGTGTATCGCCGTGTATCGCCGTCGCCGCCAACTCCTCGAGATATACTTCCGCCCACTCTGCGCGGACCTAATTCGACTGCCGCCTGCCCAACACAGCTGCTGTCTATTACCCCACATTGCAGGCGAGCGACTATCGATCGCGCTATCGCGCCCCGGCAGACATCCATCCTTAGTTCGGGATTAGCTGCCCTGGCGATGTGCATATAGATCGGGCAGCTGGACACATGCGCGTCCGTTCCGACCTCTTATCTGGTATCGCGCTGGCGGCGGTCCTCGCCTGGTGATCACGATTCGCCCGAAGGGGGCGCCGGAGTCCCACATCGCAGCGCCCACGGGGGATGCCCTCGGGCTCAGGCCAGGGATCCCAGGGATTTCTGCATCTGGCGTGGCAGCGTGTGTCGCGTTCGGCCTCTAATGGAGTGTAAGTGGTAAATTCGCGCTTGGTCCCTTAGTGCGTCACCACGCGCTGGCTGTCCTGCTCTGCCCTATCTTCGGCCTTGGGCAGCCTTGGGCTTGATCCTTACAGGGATCGCCCTAGCGTCGCCCTGCGTATCTAGCAGAAGCTCCTTCCTACCGTGCCTAATGCTGCACCAATTACACTGATGGCCGTGGTGATAGATGATAGGTCAAGATCCTATGGTGCGTCGGCCTGCGTCGGTGCACTGCGGCGTCGCGTGCCCACGATCGCTCGGACGCAGATCTCGCGGCCGCGCGCGTGCAGGCGCGCGCTGATAGCGTCTAGCACGCTAGTAATAGCGAAGTGCCCTGCTTCGTCGCGCCTCGGCGTCTTCGAGCGTCGATTCCGATCCTTCGAACGTCGGATCGAGCGCGCTGCTAACTTAGCGGGCGCGCTACAGAAAGCCGTGGGGCGCGCGCTGGCGCGTTGGCGTCACGGGTGTTTTTTGAGATGTACGTATCGGCGCACGTATCGACGCACGTATCGACGGCGCGCGGCCGGGCTCGGGCTTTGCAGCAACGTGCGTCGCGCTCGTGACCCTGCGGGGCCTCGCATGACACGCTCGGTGCTGCTGCATCAGAACCACGATGGGCCTTTGTTTTCGGGAAGGCCATTCTGAGGGTGATCCTCGTGCCCGATATCGATCGGCACACAGACGTCAGGTTCAGAAGTATCGAGGTCGCGGCGTAACTTGGTGGTAGTGCTCCTGCGGGACCCATATCGGGCTAGATACGATAGGATACGATGAAAATGCACGATGTTGATGTTGAATTGAAATGAACCTATGATATTGCGACATTGCGTACAGATTGCGTACGTCAACGCAGCGAGGACAAGTTAGCAGCACGCTATAATGTTCTCCCACAGTCGACCCATGATGAAGAGGGAGACGGCGGGCTGCTATCAGGCTGTCGTCCATCGAACGCGACGCAGATAATCTTGAGATAAATGCACAATAAAAACATGGTGTGTACACCCCTCCCCGTGGTAAAAATAAGAAAAATCTAGCACGACAACTACACAGAGTTCACGGGCACCGAGACTGGATCGCGCGCGGGGCAGCCCGAGCGCGACCCGGTTCGAACCGAGCGCATGTCCACGAGATATATACGAACATATACGATTCGTAGGAGACGCGGCTCACGACCAGCACATGGCGGCGCCCGGCTCGACGCCGCCGATCCCGTACTTGAGGAGCCCGAGCGCGGCGCGGTGCTGGCTGATGGCGAGCACGATGAACGCGTGCCAGATCGCGTGCGAGCCGCCGCCGAGCCACGCCGCGCGGGGGGCCCAGCGCGCGGGGAGCGCGCACTCGGGGAAGTTGGTCGCGTAGAAGACGAGCCCGGCGATGTAGGAGAGGACCGAGGGCGTGACAGGTCCTGTGTCGGGTACGGAAACACACACAGTTATGACGGGCATGTAGAGAGAAGAGTGAGTATGAGAGACTTACGGACGAAGGCGAATACTTGTCGCGCGGAGTGGATGACAGAGAGGTGTGTGAGGGGGGCTAGAGCAGTGAACGCGAGGGAAAGGAAGAACACAATTCGCCATTTCTGCGCGAGGTTCGGTATTCAATATTCATTCATTGCGATCGAGTGTGAGGGTGTGAAGCGACTTGCCTTGTGCTTTGGTTTGTTGAACCAGTCCATGAAGGGGAGTACGCTGCCGGCAAGCCCCGTGATGAAGCAAAGGCTCAGGAACAACGTGCGCGGGTTGGTATGGCACTGGAAACCGTAGTAAACGACGGACCCAACGCTGGCGCTGATCAACCTATGAAGGCACAATACGAATTCATCGTCAGCTAAGAGTGTCCTGACAACATGTGCACCTGCCGGTAACATACCATCCTATGCCAACGTAGTCAATCTTGGCGCACAATTCCATACCTCTGTGGTGTGCACATCCCGCCATGGTGTGCCAGAGAACGCTACTAAGAAGACACAGGAGTGCGAATGCGGTGAAAGCAAGCAAGGGAGCATCGGAGGATATAGACGAGGCGCGCAGTGAGGGTATAAGGTTAACAGTCCATAATACAAATGGGATCAGATGCGTGTGGATGTTGACTGGGGTCGCAACACATCAATCGATCAGTAGGCGCCGCGAGACTGGATAAGGAAGTGTGCCTACGAGTTTCATTGTGCAGAGCAAAGATGGACATGATAATGAGTGGCCATTTGTTGATGGGAATAAAGCTACGGCGCCGACGTCACAATCACTCTGAGGAAAGGTAGGTTGTTTGTGGAGCTCACCGATAGCCGTGTGTAACGAACGGGTTGTTGCGCCACTGCTCAGGCAGATCAGCGTAATTAATAAGTCGTGCACCATGCACAGACCGCTTGACGGCCATCGTCACATCTCGGGCAGCTCTTCCGAGCTTATCTTCTGCCTTCTCTACAGAGGGGCGGATATCCGACCGAACCTTGTCGATAAACTCGGAGAGCTTGCCGTTGGGGGCAAAAGAATGAAGAGCGATGCTGGATGAAAGCTGAATAGACGCAAGGTGAACGTGCAAAGATTGCAAGTGACTGGATAGCGTAGGAATATAGTGCATTGGCTGGTGTAGGTCTATATCATGAAAACGGGAACGGACGTCGTCTAACGAGAAACGGACATCGTAGAGGTCGAGTTGGGGGAGGCGGGATCGGACGTCAGGAATGTCTGGGAGACGCGACGTGACGTGCTTGAAGCTAGGGACGTCGGGAAATTCTGGGAGATGGGACGAGACGTAGTTCTCGACGGACGCAGAGGCTGAATCGATGTTGATATCTGGGAGGTGAGAACATACGTCAATGCGTATTTTGTTCAGCATCTCGAGGCCGTCGCGCGCCCATGCTCGGGCATCCTCTACGGTGAGTTCTCCCTTGGATTTCAGGCTCTCGGCAAACCCGAGGTCGCACAAGGGCGAGTCGATCTGAGACAGCCGAGTCTCGAGGTCAGCAAGATAAGAGAGAACAAGGACACGAATGGACGCGAAGGTGGGTGCTGGGGATGTGAAGGATAGGTCGAGCGCTTCGATGGAGTGGGGAAGGGGCTTGCACGTTGTGCGAGGGACATAACGGGGACCGTGCACGGTGGTCAGGCGGCGTCTACCCCGGGTAGACAGGGCGGTAGTGAGCGTCGTTGTCGTTGTCGTCGTCGCCATTGTAGAAGAAGGAAAGAAAGAAACGGGCACCGACAGCGCCTGCTGGGGTGCGTTATTACCAGAGAGTGCCGACACTGCAGACTGTCAGTGGGGTTCACGGTTTCACCTGAGCGCGCCTCTCGCCGGTCTCTCGGCACGAGCTCCCGTTCGGTCATTGCCGACCACCCCAACTCACGAATCTAACTCGAACGCAAAGGCACATCAAACCCGTTCCAGTTCCAAAGCGTGTGCGATGGGCATTCAAATTCTTCTGGCTGGCCTTGGGAACATGTCCCATCCCCTCACTCGGCACAGGTGAGCTCGCAGTCGATTTTGAGTATCTCGTGGTCTCAACATGCTGCTGGCAGCGCAGGACAGCTCCTCATTGAATCCATCGCTGCACGATTGGGCGTATCTATGTCTTCAAGCAGGAATTCTGGCGGGCTCTTCGGCCAAACAGACGTCACAATCGGCGAAAAGTCGGTCTCTCTGGCCCTGTTCACGCCTGGTTCGTACAGACACGCTCGTCATCCCTATTTAAATCCGTCGCTGACCTCAGTGCTCGTCAGAGGCCGCGATGAACATTTCTGGTCCGTCCGTGGCCGCCGTGCTTCGCCGGACCGCTCGCTCGCCTTCTTCTCTCGTTGTTATACACGATTCTCTCGATCACGTCCCCGGCACGCTCTCCCCAAAATTCGGCGGATCTGCGAATGGCCACAATGGCGTGCGTAGTGTCATATCCGCATTGGGAACAAATGACTTCCATCGTCTGCGACTCGGGATCGGTCGTTCGTCGACGTCGGTGTCGGAGTACGTTCTGGGCAGACTCAGCTCCTACGAACGGCAACAATGGGGTGCGAACGGCGAAGGGGTGGACCGTGCCTGGCAGGCAATTGAGAAAATCGTCGCCCAGAGTAGTGCTGCTCGATAAGCCGTCCGGCGCGCACTATCTCAACGTGAACCGTTCTTTGTTGTCTGTCGTCTTCTGCGCCTGGGGCTCACCGTGTCCCCGTCGTTCTCTCAGAGTCGTGACCCGCGTCACGCGCGAAGAACCGCAGGCCTTGCCTTTCTAGAGCGTCATGTCAAATGCGACGCACATTTCCCTGTCTATATCAGTCTCGCGTCGCCCCCCCGTGCCTGCACTCCGCTGACCATCGCGGCAGTGTTTGCTGTCGCCCTTCGCGCGTGCTCAACCGTCTCTACACGACGCATCTAGGCATACGCGATCACGGGGCACATGAATGCCGTATCTGCACTTTTGTGAGTCTGTAGAACCATTGCAATGCTATTGTCCGCACCAGCTGCCTGTGCTTCTGCCGCTGCCTATCGACGTATGGCATGCGTCTACGTCAACCCAGAAGCCTGTCGAGTAACCGTTAAATACGGGGCGACGTGAATTGGGGATGTGCATTGAGCATGGCGCACCCGTCTGTGTCCACCTGGCTTTTTGCTGCTGCTCTTTTCGCCTTCATCGGAGTCCGTGTCCATGCCCAGCCTTCCCCCGATGTGCAGAAGAGAATTTCCGCTGCTATTGCGACTGCAGGAACCGGATCCGGGATTGATTATACTGCGTTTGTGAACCCTTTTATTGGAACAGGTATGTCTGTACCATCGGAAACCTCGGATTGGATGTGATGAGCAATGTTCGTCATGCATCAGATAATTTTGGCGATGTCTGGTAAAGTCTCCGTTGTGTTATCTGCGCGATGGTGTTGCCTCATTGTTCCACCCAGCCCTGGGGCCTCGGTCCCATTCGGAATGGTACATGATCTATGACTTGTTGACCTGGATGAGTTCAAGAGGTTTTCTTTTTCGCGTGGCTGTAGGTCAAGATCACCACTGATATGACTGGATATGCGCCTGCTGGTGCGTTTTTGCTTCATGCATTTCATGACCAATGAAATCTATCATTCGTTCTAGGCTATGTAACCGACAACACTCAGTTCGTCAGAGGCATGAGTCCCTTGCATGACAGTGGAACAGGTTCATCTTTAGGTCGGTCAACTCTTCTTTTGTGTGCACTGCATATCAATCGACGTCATCGCCATCTTGCTGATTAGGCACGTATGGAAACTTTGAGATCATGCCCCTGCTCTGTCCTGGCGGTTTCGACACCTGCACAACCCGACTCGCCGCGCGTGAGCGTCTGCGCAAGAATAACACTGACGGTACGCGTCTCGCGGCGTATGTTTTTGCGGGCCAGCGCATGCTCATCTACCGTTGTCCATGACTCCCCGAATCCGACCACGAACGTAATATGGAGCAGATGCGTCGCCCGGCTACTTTGCGTTGACACTGGACAACGAGATCAAGATGGAGGCGACGACGACGCGGCGGGCCGGCCTAGAGCGCTTCACGTTCCCGAAAGGCTCGACGCCATATTTCGTACTCGACCTCGCGAACGATCTACCCGCGTCGTTTGCTGGCGGGTCGTTGGACATCGATCCGGCCTTGGGAAGGATTACGATTGGTGGACACTGGGGCTCGAGGTCTGCGTCCTCGATCTCCTGCGCTGATGTGTTGTGAACATTTATTTGTAGCTTCGGCCCGGGCGCGTTCCACTACCAGGCCTTCGCTTGCTACGATCTTCTGGACGGTGGTAGTCAGAAACTAGACCAGTATGGAGTGTGGACCGGAGATCCGTTCGTACCGTCCCTGTCCATGTGCAGGGAACCCACACTCATCAACGCTCCTCAGATACGGCCTCGATGCAAAGGGCCTCGGCCTCACGCACCTCAACCTCTCTGTCGACCTCATCGGCGGGACGCCCTACGAGTCTGGTGCGCTCTTCTCGTTCGCTGGAAAGCCTTCCGAAGTCACGCTCCGCGTCGGCGTGTCATTCCTCTCTACGGCCCAGGCGTGCGCGAATGCGGAGACCGAGATCGGCGGCGCGAGCTTCGAGCAGGTTGAAGCGCAGAGCAAGGCACTGTGGAACGAGAAGCTGAGCAAGGTAGAGATAGACGTTCCGAACACACCGCCGAATGTGACGGAGATGTTGTATTCGTCGCTGTATCGCGCAGCGCTTACCCCAGTGGGTTCTCGTCTTCGCTTTTTTCCATGCAACCGTTTTACGAAGAGTACTCAGAACAATGCTACCGGCGAGGCTCAAGGCGTTTTCGAGAACACAACATCGTTCTACTTCGATTCGTTGTACTGCAGGTGATACCTCTTCGTCGTTTCGTGAATGCATTCAAAGCTAATACTGTTTCTCTGACCATCAGTTGGGATACCGTAAGCGGCACGATGCCTCCGAATTTTACAGATTAGCCATGATCGGGTGATTTTAGTTCCGGACATTCTATCCGCTCATGAGCTTGCACTCTCCCGTGGACTTTGCCCAAATAGTCGACAGCTACATCGACGGCTACCGCAAGAACGGCTGGATGCCCGAGTGTCGCGCGAACAATCTCCCAGGCTGGACGCAAGGAGGTGTTCTTCTCCCCTATGATCTTCTTATACCGCTTCCTGCTCACGAGAGGCCTTCATCCTTCTTTTGCCTGCAGGCTCAAGCGGAGATGTCATCGTGGGACATTTCGCGGTTAACTACCACAACGAGGCTGCTGCCCTCGGAATCGACCTCAATGAGCTCTACGCCGCGCAAGTCGCGGACGGCGAGGTCAACCCTCCAGAATGGAACATTCAAGGTCGGCAAGTGAACGTGTACAAGTACGCTTCTGTGGTACTTTTTCGAGATCAGGTGATTTAGGGAGGCTGATAGATGCTCCCAGGCAATACGGATACGTGCCATTTGAGGCCCTCGACACTATGAGTACCGGGCGGCAAACACGAGAAGGGAGTAGAACACTTGAAGTTATTCTGATCATCGCGTGGTGTATTAGCGTGTCGTGCTGACATCAACGCCGCAGTACGCATTTGAAGATTTCGCCATTCGCCAAGTAGCTCAACTACTTGATAAACCGAACGATGAAGCCAAATATGCCAACCGTTCTCTTGTATTATTGATCTCTCCGCTCATTGAGACATCCTCCAATATAGTGACTTTTCATAGTTCTATAGGAATATCTGGGATCCAAGCGTGAAGAGCGATGGGTTCTCAGGCGTGTAGATCAAGACTCTCGGGATTGCATGATTCGCTGACTAGTTTGCTGAACAGGCTTCATGCAAAAGCGACTCATGAACGGATCTTTCGCGTATAACAACCCGATCGACTGCTCGCCGAATGATCAAAATGACACACGGTCGTGTTCGTTGCAAGCGAACAACCTGAATGGATTTTACGAATCGTCTTCATGGGAGTATAGCTGGTACGAATGTCACATTCGTGTCTCTGGATACGTATAATTCGCTGACTATTGGTGGTTGCCAGGTTTGTTCCACACGATACAGCGCATCTTATTGAGCTCATGGGTGGAAACGTGAGTTATGCGAGACTCCAGTACTCATGCAAAATGATGATGCACGGTGCTCCGACAGAAAACGTTCGTGACGCGGTTGGACCATTTCTTCGATGTGAGTTCTCATGTTTCTCTTGCTTGATTTCAATTCATCGTCAACCAGGCCGGATATTACCTGGCGGGAAATGAGCCGTCCTTCCAAGTGCGTCGACCAACATACTTCGAATGGGACCTATAAGAACCTGAGAATCGCCCAGACCCCGATCGGTTACCATTATGCTAACCAGCCCACTAAATCCGTGGACCGCGTGCGCGATGTCGTGTTCTCCAACTTCGATATCAGTATGTTGGTGTACATATGCTCTACTTCGACTTTGCTTGCTAAACTCGTTGAACAGCTCCTGCTGGCCTTCCCGGCAATGATGACCAAGCAGCTATGGCCACCCTCCTCTCATTTCACCTTCTAGGTCTCTACCCTGGTGAGCTTGGCAGATTCTCCGAGGTTGTTCTTTCAATCACAGTGATTTCCACAGTGCCATCGACCACTGAATTGCTTGTGCTGTCCCCATTCACCCCGAGATACACCATCCACAACGATTACCTCAATGTCAGCACGACAGTCATTGCCAAGAATTTTGACCCCAAGTCCGTCAACGGCACCATCCCTAAAGGCACGGCGGCGTACGTCAAGAGCGTCACCATAAACAATCAGACGTCCGCCTCCCATTGCCACTTCGACATCTACGATACGTTCAGAGTCGGAGGCGAGATTATCATCGAGCTAACTGCGGACAAAAATTCTGTGAATAATTGTGGCGCTTCCGTGCCGCAGTCGCTGTCTACGGGTGGGTTCGCGCAGGCAAGGTGAACTGGATAAATGATGGCAGTAATCGATTGATAGCAGTAAAGAAAGCAAGTCAGCGGGCAGTAACAAAATATATAGTTAATCGTACATCTGTTATCCGTCCACGAGGCCACCGGTGCAGCTGGCAAGATACACACAAATGCAAAGCTACAAAGGAGCGCTCGTCGTATAACATAAGAGATCGATCGTGAACCCAAGCAAGTCATAAATCACATATATTACCGTTGAAATGTCATGATGAAGGAAATCGGATGATGAGCACACCAGGATTCTGCGGATCGACTGTCGTTGGGATCCTGTGCCTAAGATTTTTGTCAGTAGAGAGATCAGTTGTAGAGGAGACATATACGCACTCATCCATCATGACCCGCATGATGGCAAGCTTGAGAACGGGGATTTTGCCCGCAGAATGATTGCCTCGGCCGGTTATAACACGAAGTGTCGTGCCCCCGGCAACCAACGTATCTCGAATAGCTATCTCGACTCGTCTGACGGCTTCAGGAACTTTGAGACGATGAAGGTCTAGGGTGTTGGGTTCCGGTGCTGCGTTGTGTGCTGTCATCGTGGGTCAGCGAGATATTCTAGGACCACGCAGCGGAGGACGCATACCATGGAAATATCGATGCTCTGCTCGTTTATGCAGATTTGTAACCCTCTCATGAGCCTCCTCGTACTCAACCTTCAACCGCAGCGCATCCGCATATCGCCTCTCGCGCAACGCCTTTTTCCTCTCCATTCCAAACTGGTCCCGTCTCACCTCCTCGGCGCTTGCCTCGTCGCGCATCATATCTGCGCGGCGGATGATCGAGCTGCGAGAGCCGGTAGAGATGACACTACTTCGAATCGTCTCGTTGTCGTCCGACCGGTTGTCCGCGACCTCTTTGCCTTTGTCTTTATTTTCGGACAAGACGGGGACGTCCTCGTAAGATGGGGGATTACGTTCATCGGTGACATACTCTCCTCCAGGATTTATCTCAGGTAGGTTATCCATAATGATTCTGAACGCAGGTTGGGATGGTTCGGGGAACGAAGGGGTCGTAGGGGGTATCTCGGGTATAGGCATAGAAGTCATTGCGTCGTGCATGAAAGGTTCGGGCTCAGGCATGGACATACCAGGGGGTGGTATAGGAAGGGGAAGTTCAGCTGAATGCGACGTGGGCGTCCTCTCACCGGCGTCCTCGATCACGTCCTCGATCGTTGGAAGCTCGGTAATGGGGGGTATGTTTTCGATCCCGAGAGACGATGCTGACTTAGGCGCCCAGCGCGAGCGCATAGTGCTGGGTGGAACGGACGATGCGGCGACAGGTCTTCGCGACACGCTGACATCCGTGGCGGATGTCTCTGACCCATAGCCTGGGAATGCGCCAGGCACGGGTCTGCGACTGACCCGCACACGAGGGCTGACGATGGGAGTAGATGCTCCAGCACCGGAAGATGTTGTAGTAGATGAGAAGGAAACCGTGGAGCGAGCGGTCGTGGAACGTGGTATCTCGTAAAATCGGACACGGGATATGGTGTTGGAAGTCAAAGGCCAAGGTAGCTTCAACGAGCCGAAAGACAGACGCCTGAAGAAGCGTCTCGTTCGTCTGTACACCCTCCTGAGCCCTTTGTCGTACCAAAACGCAGGAGTGATGTCGGAGATGAGCATGCCCAGGCCTGCCCATAGCAGAACGATGGTTAAGCGCGTGAGGTTTTCGGTGAAGAGGAAGTCGACAAAAAGGCGAAATACAAAGGCGATGTAGGGGTCGAATGATTTGGGCCATTTGTCGAGGAAGTGGTAAAGGACTGCGCCCTCCCAGAGCCCGATCAACGACCCACCAAGTCTGAGATCATGTTGGCTTGCAGCGTCGACGACAACGCGCAGAGCGAGTCCTAAGCCGATTGCGAAGATGCTGTCCATACCAAAGAGAAACATGTGAGCATTGCCGGGGTACAGCGGTCGCGAGGCAGTAGCGTGTTGTGTTATGGCGCTGCAGTGGATGAAGACGCGCGCACAAAAAGCCTCCGCTGAATTGATAACCTCGTGGCCAAACAATGCTCTATTTGGCTTCGGCGCCAGATGAAGATAAGTCAAGGCAAGAATGCCATCAATTATTCGTGCATTGGCGTCGTCATACATAGCGTACAAGTAAGAAGGGTCGGAAGGACACAGAACATACTCAAAAGCAAGGCGCAGCATACGCCGTAATGTAAGTAAGAAATCCGATTTCCCAAAGCAGGGGATAATCAAGCGAAGTCGACGATCTCAATTCTGCCATCCCGGCGCCCAATGGCAAGCCGCCCTACCGTATCCTCCAGCGCAGAAGACAAAATTCGGTACCTCATGCCCAATATTTCACCCATCCCAACTCTCGACGCATAGACCTCCTTCTTCGTGACCACCATCTCTTGCCTCCAGCACCCTGCTCCAAGATCCAACGGGGTCGTGCTGGAAGGCTCAAAGCGACTCTTCACCTGGAACCCTACAAAACACAGCGCATGAAACGTATTCCTGCCCCGTGTCACATTTCTATTCTCAAGCCAATACCCCTTCCCGTTGTGCCCAGCGGTTAATTTCTTGCACGACTGCACGACTGGAATGATCTCCGATGGGCCAGAAGAGAGACTGCATGGCAATGACTTGGGAAAGTGAACGTCCTCGTATCCTGACGGGGGCGCAGGCGCATCGACGGGGACCGGGAAGAGGTCATACTTGTAGACTGAATCAACTTCTTGGTGATACATGCGCACAAGGACTGTAGTAGGATCGAATTGCCAAAGATCCCGCTCATCGCCGGTGAGAGGTTTTGTGACGATGGTTGCATCACAAATTGGGGCCGGAAGCAGAATGGTCCCACCTCCATAATCTGGTTTCGTTGAGACAGTTCCATCGAGGCTCGGTAATGGCAGCAGTTGAATGTGGTTTTGGCGGACGATGAGGAGGTGATTGCGAATCCTCCTGATGGCTATAGGGTATAAAGCCTTAGAAACGCTCAGTATGAAAAGGCGTGCAGGAAACAATAAAGTCATAGACACACCCTAGTATTGTTTTGAATGGAATTATTCAAGGTGAAGTTTTGACCCTTCCGTTTCCAGTTCCACATTGAGACAGGATGGCCCATGATGATCCAATCACCAGTGAAATGGCTCATTGATGATGAGCTGCCGTTCGGGATGTTCTCACACCTGAGAACTGTGAAAGCTCCGTGGAACCTGTCTAAACCCCACAACTCGATGATAATCGTACTACAGGCGCATGAGTTTTAGCACATCGAAGTTCTTCGTTGGGGAAGGTACTCACAGATCAGCCGTAGCAGGTCTATACATGACAGCCAAGACAGCCTCATTTGCGCTGTCAGTATTGGTCATGATTTTCATCAAGGTATGATTTGGAGGAATGCTACGTTCTGCTAAAAGAAAAGCATTGGAACCGGATAAAGGCACCTCCCAGCAGACGACTCGTCCCGCTGCTTCAGACACAATTAGTTCTCCGTTAAATCCTGGGAGGAACATGATATTATAAACGGGGTCATCGTTGCCGTAATCGAGTTCATCTCGTTCTACTCCGGCCGTCGGTCTTTCTACATTGACTTCGATGCGGCGTGTGGTTTGTGGGTCAGTTGAGCACCAGTTCTGATGAAATCGCAAAGCATGGACCGCTCTCGCTTCGAGCTGCTTGGACGACAACGACCTCATGTCTGAAGGGGGGGCAGGGACTGGGAGCCTTTGATCTATAATGTGACGTTTGAGAGCATCCGCCCATATCCAGCGCAGGCGTGATATTGCTGAGAAGCGCTTGGAAGTCTGTGCGGTCTCATGAGCATTTCCTCTGAAACGCCCTTCAGCACTGGGCCACCCTACGTACCAAGCGAAGGGCAAGAATGTCATCGATGTCGACATGTATGAAGACGAGTATCAACACATCATCTGGGAGAGAGGCAAAATGAAGGTTATTGGATCGCTTGATGACAGTGCCGCTGGTGTGCTTCAGCTTCAAGAGTTTGCGAGGACGAAGAACTCTGCCAGCGCCCGCAGCCGCAGAGCGTATAGACGTCGCTTGGGTCATGGATGGTGGTGGTATGGGTGTAAGAAGGGACAATAAGAGCAGAAACGCGCAAAGGTCTGTTCTGAGACTTGAACAAGGCCGTATGGACCTGTTTAGACTACCTGATAGGCGAGGGCGAGTATAAGGGCCTTTACGAACTGGGAAGAATGCTCTGGGATTGATCGGCACGATGAGGGCACGTGCCTCAAGAGCGCTCATCCCGTGGTCGCGGCGCGTCGCCGACACATTGGCGCTGACTGCTGACGCTTGGTATCGCAGCTTGCAGGTCTGCCGACTACTTCTGCGCCCGTTCGAGAGCATTGAATATTGAAAAGATTCAGCGTTCTAGTTCTAGAACATTGCGAGTAAATCTGGTTGTCTTAACACAGAACAAACTTTGTGACATTGTCACAAGTGTCAGCGTCGGGTCCGATAGTCAGTGTATAAAAGTGTAGGGGGGGCTCTCAAAAGCAGAGCCATTCAACAAAGAGCGACTTACCTACCACGCAGCCAACCTACCTTTGAGCCCGCCAAGCTGACCCGCTCCACGCCAAATGCGCTCCTCCATCATTCTACCCGCCCTCTTTGCCTTGAGCTATAGCATGCTGGCGCTCGCCCTCCCTGTATCACACGTTAACACGCTCACAGACCCCTACGCCCACACGGTTACGAAACCCTCCACTGAGACAGACAGTGTCGACCAGCCAATCAACTTCGTCTCCCGCCAGCTCAGCTCGATGAACAGCCCGCCCACCCTCTTTGGCCGTCAGATGATCAGGCCGGACTGGAGGAATGCGGTTGCCCCAGCAGCTGTAGGCGAGCGGGAGTGAGCTAGGTCGACGTTGATGTCACGGTCTTCACACATGGTCTATGATTTTTGTCGCCTACATATCCCTACATCTTGTGTTATTATTGGTACAAAAAATTCCTTGGGCGCCCGAAGTACCCCTCGAATTGACGGGTGACGCCATATGCCCCGGATCTATAATAATGTAATGTAAACCCGACAAAACAGACATACCATTTGCAGAGAGAGATCGGACATTCGGACGTCTCGGTGATCTGTAAAGGTCAATGTGCAAGCTAATCCGTCAACGCAGACGTATAAAAGGCGTGAGCACCGCTGAACCTCGTACCGAACTGAGTTTCTCAACCCAGACACATCCTAAACCTCTCACCGCGCCTTGCCCACCATGCGCTCCATCGCTACCCCCACGCTCTTCACGCTCCTCATCCTCAACCTCCTCACCCCCATTCTCGCCCTTCCCGCACTCGGTCTCCTTCCAATCGATCTCGACGATTGCCACAAGGCCGACAAACGCAGCCTCTCCATGTCTTCGACCGCTTGTCAAACCGAGCCCGTCATGATGTCTCACGGACAACGCGTGAGGCCCAGCGGCGAACACTCGGAGTCTCGACGCGGTGGCGCACTTCCCCTCGTCGGCGGCGTGCTCCCACATATTCCCATCGGACCCAACGTTGAATCTCCCCCGCCGACTTTTATGGGGCTCGGGAGCCGACGGTTAAAGAAGGGGCCGAGGAGTTTCGTCGAAGAGACGGAGTAGCCAACTCGTTGGGTCGCGAAAAGTTTGCAGCATCAGCGGGGCGGTCTCACTGCGGTTTTGATAGCGAATCGGAGTGTATCGAAGTGTATTCGATGGTTTCGTCCTGACGTAGAGTAGAAGATTTGAATGACAGTGAGTACCAAGGTTCCAGCTTGAGACCGGGAAGAGAAAGTCACGCCGAGTTGCTGCTACGACATGGGATAGCGGTCAACTCTCTCGATGCTCGTATCTGTTGACATTGTTCTTGGAGTGGCTTTGAGGAAGCAGCCTGTGGCGCTTGCTTGTTAGGCGCTGGAGAATCTCTTTGTTGCACAGATCGGGTGATCAGTCAGTAAACCAGAGATATCTTGCCACACACGTATTACAATACAAGTTCCGATGAGAAAGAAGATTATCAGTCGTGCATAAAGAAGCCTAAAGAGACTAATTCAACAACGTATCACCGCTCCTGGACATTGTTCAAAAGGCGTAGGATGTTGAGGACTAGAGCAAGTACGTCAAGAGACAATAATTTAAAACATTGTGTGAATACTCACAGAGATTGATGAAACTAGTAAGCGAGTGACATGTTCAGTAAGCACCTCTCATTAGACATGTGGACAGGCTTACTCGAGGTACAGACTGATAGCGCCCATGATGTACTCGTCAGGGGAAAGTCGGCTGTTGATGATGTATGTGTCGTAGACGACATATCCACTGAAAAGGAGCGTTCCGCCAATGGCAAAGACGAGATCCATGGTGCGGCTGAAAGGCAGGAACACTCCTACGAGCCCAGTCATCACTGAAAGCGGTTGGTTAGCATAGCGATGCGTAACAGGTGGTCAGTGCATACGCAGAGCGATAAGACCACCGAACAACCATGGTCCAAGTCCTGAGAAGTCATACTGAGGCAGGCGCACATCAGATCCAGATCGAGGAACAGCAGGGACGAAGCTCACCTTGGACTGCAGAGTGAACAGCGTTAGGCCTAAAAAGACGCCAGTCGTGATCAACAGGGCCTGCATCACGATTACATTGTCATAGAACGCCGTGACAACGCCAAGCGTGAACGCTTCCAGAACAGTAAAGAGAGATAGGAGGCCGATGTTGAGAGGATGGTTGTGACGCTTCCAGTAAAGCAAACCTAAGACGACGAGGGTACCGAAGAGAGGGACATAGAACGACCAGGCACTAGTAAAATTTGAGATCTATCTTCCAAAAGAAAGGGGAGCAGCGTACTGTGTCTGGACCCAAAACACGGTAGACTGGGATTGAGAAATCACACCGCCTACAATGGTGGTAGCAAGCTAAAGTGAACGCATGAGCTGCAGTCCATCCAGGAAGTGGATCCGAGACTTACGATCTGTGAAACTGAAAACCACGATTGAACGATTGAGACACGATGGAATTAAAAAGGCGGAGAGGGTGCTCACAAAGGATCGTGTACACCTTTCTCACGAATGCATTCCTGATCTCGGGGGAACTCTCTGAAACAGTCACACCATACTATGTCCCGTAGATATGAGCCCTGAATCTACGAGCAACCACTAATCCAATACACGCACTTTGAAATCATCAGGGAGTTCTCCAGGACTGGGCTGGTTGTAGATCCCTCCAGAGCTTGAACCGGCTTCGAATCTTGGGCTACCCAACAACGGCTCCCTGAGGCTATCGCCAGCGGTAGGACTTTTCGGTGAAGGTACAGTGGCGCCGTAAGAAGGTGGAGGAACAGGATATTGACTCATGTGTGAATTGGTGGTGGTGATAGAGAAGAGATGGCGATGCGGAGTCGCGAAGCCTCTGCTAAGCTCGAAGAGCACAGCATTACATCTGTTGCTTACGATGGCTCGACAGTCGTTTGCCGTGAGTAATATCGGCACGTGAAGGTCTGTGAAGGAGAGAGGTCGTTGGTTCCATGCGTGCTCGGTTCGGCGGTGACTAGTGACTTGAGCTGGAGACGCTTCCTGATTATCCGGCAACCTTCAATTCCAGTCTGTCCACCGATATCACCACAGTATTCACATTGCCCGTCCGTCATATCAAAGCAGAAATTGCCGTGGCATCTGCTGGCCCACCCTCGCGTTGAACGTCGAATATTCAGAGCTGCTATGTCTCTTGATTGCCGTGGTGTCAAAGTCCAAATGATCTGTGAAGAAGAAAGTTTGCTCTTCTATGACATGCAGGAGCAGTCCAACAAGACGACCGCTTACATTGCCAGTATAGCAGGCCAGGTGCTTATCGCTATAAAACACCTGTTACGTTTCACAGACTTATGCACTTCTTCTACTCAGACCTTCCAATTTACTATCTTGAGTAAGATGAATGCAAGTGTTACATGCCATATAGATGGGCGTCGCATGCAGCATCATCTTGTTCGTGCGAACACTATCACCGCTCTGGAAGGGCCTACTATGGGCGATCTTCTACAGCGGTATCGATTTTCCACCTTATCTACTATTGGTATGTGCAATGTTAAGCGTACTTCTTGTTCCATTCACCACTTACCTCTCGTGTAGATTCAGACTCCGTTGACGCAAATACTCAGCCTGATCTTCATAAGCTGGGCACGATAGAGTTAAAGATTCTGCGATTGTCCAAAATTGGTGAACCCTATTATGATTCAGACCATGTAAATGCTCGAACCAAGAATATTGGTGCGGTCTCTGAGAGAAGCAAAAAGAATGGCTGGCATGTTGTTTCGTAAGTGTTCGCCGATGATCATATGTGATTCGTACGTTGAGAACTTGTATGAAGGCTAGATCAGGAGGTGAAGACAAAAAGCCGAAACGATATTGTCATGCTACCTACATTGACAAGGTGGAGAATCCGTATGCTGAATTTGTCATCAAATATCAACCATCCAGTAAGTTCCCGCCTCTGCCTTGAAAATGAGTTTTTTGAAATCTCATTCGGAGTCAAGTTCTACTTCGTGCGAAAGGCATTATCAAAGAGCTAATAATTCAGGATTCTAATTCGAGCAACTCAGCATCAGGGTCCACTATGTCAGAAGACCATAGCAACAATGTTTCCGAGCGTCGAAATGCACCACAGGCAGACGCCGACGCGCCGAACCCGAAGCGCAGAAAACTCCCTCAACCCGAGGGGTCATCTCGAGATGCGACAGCAGAACTCAGGGTATGTCTATCATTGGCATTGAGACCATCAACTAGATTAAGTAGATTTCATAGACTACGTCTAGAAATGTCACAGGCACAGTTGGGGTTAAGAGAAAGCCAAATGAAGATTCTCGGGAACAGGGTGAACGGATCCAGTCTCTAGAGGTAGGCCTGATCACATCATAGTCATACTCAATCTCACAAGCATATAGAACGCCTTGAAAGTGTCACAGGATGCGCTCAAATCCATTCAATCTGAACTAGATCGTTTGAAGTCGTTGAAGTCGACGGCTCCACAGAATGCATGCAAAAACGAGGGAGCATCCCCAATCAGTCTCGGTTCCGATGATGGCGACATCATCGATCTGACTTTGGAAGACTGACGCACCATTTCTAAGTTCCTTTGGGATTTCAAGTTATCTATTCACGTTTTATGTTGATTCTCTAGATACGTTCGTTAGAGCAACCTGACCAAGACTTCGGATCCATCATTCAAGGCTTGTCCAGGGCTTGCGGCTCAGAGAATTCCGACGCGGCAGTCATTCATCTTTCCGGCATAACATTCTCTACATTCGCTCGTACTAATGTTTGCGTGCATATTAGTTCTCCGTATGCTAATCACTGTTATAAATGCAGTACTCTTCCCATCTCCTTTCGTCTGCTCTTTACCCTACGGGACGCTGGTCGCCTTCCTCTCGCTTTCGAATTGCTATCGTAGTTGCTATTGCGTGCGTGTCAAGACCAGACTCCGCATTTGGACACGTTCATGTAACCGGGTTTCTCGTTCTCAACAGAATGCAGTATTTATTATCCATTTTCCTTGCCGTGCTCTCTGTCCTGCAGGCTCGGGCCAACAGCAGCGACGGACCCTCATTAGCACGAAGATGCACTGACAGGTGAGTCGTTCCGCCCTATGATTGTTGAAATGTGTCGAGACGGTCTCTGATTCCGTCTAAATGTAGTTATGGAAACATTCGACATCTAGTCTCCTCACACAGCTATTGTGCTTCCCCTAAATTTCTTTGTCAGTCCTTGGGCTCTGATGAAGGAACATGTACATTACTTTCGTTGCGTTCTCTACACTGAAAGTCATAAAGATGTGTTGTAGCCGTCATTGACACAGCCATTTTACATCGGACAGCAGGCTTGTAATTGCTTCGATGCAGATGGAGGCGTCTCGCAAATTATCGCAAAACGTGCAATTAGATGCCGTGAACTAGTGTAACCTCCTTACAAATGTAACCTATCCATAGCCGACATGCTGCACATAGAAAGATAAAACCGTATCGACTGCTCGCGTCACCTCATTAACGAACCGTCAGAATCACAGACCCATTGCAACCCCCCCAACACCGGCAGCGACAGCCTCCTGATATATATCCCGCGCCTGCACCGTGACGGGATCGACGACATTACGGAGCGCAGAGAGCATTGCACTGGCAGTCATTTGCAGGCTCCATAGACCGACCGCTTTGATGCGGTGGTTGAAATTGGCTTGGGTGACATGGTATGCCAAAGCATCGTAGACCTAAACATACACGATGAGTTCTGGAGGAAAAACATAGATCAGAGGGAGTGAGTGTACTTTGATAGAGATGTCGTCCATCAGGCCAGCTAGTAATCAAAGGTCAGCGAAATAGAATCACTGCGATGGCACAAGCACGTACTCTCCCACATCTAAGAAACGAAAGGCTCAATCTCGTCTTTGTGACATCGGTAAGAATCAGCTCACCGTCCAGGAACCATCAAAATGGTCCAATCCTTTGACCACTCGACAACGAATCGGAACCAACGTACGATTGGCACTATCTCACAGCAATCAGCGCACTTTCCTACCCGCCAGCCGTGGACGCAGTGCGACTCACTTCATAAATGCCACGATCGGCCGCACAAGCGCACTTCCGCCATAACTGAGGTCGTTTGTCCAAATCGGCACCGCAGCCTTCAGGTCCCTGAACCGCAAATCGATGTCTATGATAACATGCTGTCCTAGCGTTCCGCCGTCCCCGTCCTTCCCAGCGTCAGTAGGCGCCGTTAGGGGCGGCTTCGCCAACGTGCGCTGGCCAGGAATGCGTTCGGCAACCACCGCCGCCGCCGTGTTCGTGAGAGCGTCGATGAGGACGTTCAGGGTATCATCATCAGCAGAATCTCGAGGAAATTTGATGTCGAGGACGGCATCGAGTTTGCCCGACGTAATCCATGATATGGGGCCCTCTTGTGTTGTCATAGATTGGATGTGGTCAATATTTACGCCGTCAATGCGGAAGCGCGACTGCTTGTGTGTTGAAAGGTAACATAAGCATGAAACAAGGCGAGCAAAAGATACAGTTCACTTGCCATTGTTGACCAGCCGCCATCTTTCGCGTCTTGCTCGTTTGTTCTCCCAATACTCTGCGGCCGATGTAAACTGAACAGACAATTGTCGAACTGTCCAACTACCCCCTTGGCCTTCATGAAATCATAGAACAACCATTGTTTCCTCAAGGTGCCAATATCCGCACTAAATATAGAGCAGGTGTACGGCCGAAAATTGCCAGGCTGGTACACCGTGAATAGGACATCTTCTAGGATGAGTGATTCAAGTTCAAAGTCACCCTGTTGTGCGACGTGTCGAAAAGACGCTGGGTCGAGATTTGGAGACCACCCCACCGAGCGTCGGTCTACAGAGAGGAGTCTGAGTCAAGGCAGGCACGATCCACAAAGGGTGAAACGTACCAAGAACGCCCCGCACACCCTTGACCACAGCATCCTTGATCATCCCCTTGCCGTCTAACCACCGCCATAGACTGAGTGTTACGTCGATACTATCGACATTCATGTCAAACATTGACCAATTCACGTCGTCGTCCGCGTGTGAATGATCCGCCTTCGCACCCTCCTCTTCTTCGTCTCCAAGCCTATGGTTTGCAGGGTGGTTGCTCACGTCATAACCCAAAGCTGCACTGTGTGCAGAATGGCCGACGTGGGACGAAGAAGTAGACACGGTAGGTCGACGAGAGACGTAAACATTTTTGAAAGAGATGCGGGAATCTTTCCATTTTGGCACAATTGCGGACTCAAAGATGATCGTGACACCCGTTTCAGAAGTTATATAGTCGCTGATGGCGCGTGCAACATAGACTATAAGATTCAAGGTTTGTGATGTTCCTGGAAAGAGAGTCGACAAGTACAACAAGCGTACCTTGTAAACGCAAGCTATTCGCTATAGCGAAGATGACAGAAAAGAATGTCGTTCTGATGCGTGAATATGATTCATTCTGAATTTTGATATCGTCATAGTTCTGAAATGCTCACGTTCCAACCAAAATCCACAACCCCTGACCAACTAGAAACCAAGTAATGAAAGCAGATATATCATCCGCATTGAATTTTCGGAAAGCGCGAATGAAAAACCATCGAAAGCGAACGCGCATTCGTTGCGAGAATCCGTTTGCAGCACTAAGAAAATCATCACGGGTCGGCCTGCTAGGAACATGCGGAAGAGATTGAGCGAGCCGGCGGAAGAAACGAGGGTAATTGTCGTAATTGGGTGGCGGTCCAAGATCGACCATGCTTTGAGGCTTGTCTGCAGGCTCTATAGGTGTGGATGCCGATGCTGACGGCGTTTCCGGCACGCGGGATTTAGGTTGGCTATTTTGGTGGGGACGACAAGGAGTAGCATTGAAGTTCCGTGAGAATATAGAGAGATTGATAGGACGAGGAAAACGCGAGAAAAGATGGTACGAGCTAGTATCAAAGCGCTGCAGCTTTCTTTTGGATTCTTGAGCGGAATATGGTATCGCAGCGACGTGTGGTCGCGTGAAAAATGAGCGTATGGCGGCATAGCGGTCAAAGCTGGCCATATTCGCAGTAAGTCCTGAGTGCCTGAGGCTCAGCATTCTCGAGGCATTGAGAGATTTTGCTGGAAGCCTCGACGAGGATATCATCAGTGACATGAAAGACGCCGAGGGACAAAGAGACCGTCAAGCCCGTTGAGAGCGATGTTCAAGACATGCACACGACCCGTGGGCAAATCAAGCTCAAAGAATTGCCTGCGCGCGGGTGACGTTATTTGCTTGTGCGTATTTGCTACGCCTTGTAATGGCACTTTCAGGACCCTTTGGCTTCAACATCTTCTGTTCCACAATGCTTGCGGCACGTCGTCGCTGTTTGGAATCCATGCCACCTCTGTCCGGTGCCATCTGGTGGATGTCAAGGTCGATGCCATGATGCAAGCTCGAGATTTTTGCGTATTTCTTTCGCTCTCCAGATGGCATGGAATCATCGACCACACACTCATCCCTTCACGGACCACTCAATCTCACCAACCGTTCCTGTGATGCCTCTCGAGGGCTGTCTTACTGGCACTGCCGTTGCCAATGCCTCTCTTCTTTTTCTTGAGCGCTTTGGAACAGGGACCGACAGTACCGTGTATCGCGCCATCGACAGTTTCAGCTGCTCCCCTCAGATATGTGCTGTCAGGTGCTCGCCCAAGTCTGAGCCTTACGCTTTGCAAAGTGCTCGAAGACGTGGCGCCTTTCTCCATAGGGAAGCATCAATGGCACACCCTCACATCATCCGTTTCCGTCGCTTGGTACAGGAGGATTCGCGCATCTTTTTGCTCATGGATTTCTGTCCCTCCGGTAATCTGCATGACGCCATTCAAAGACGGGTCTTTGAAGGGGACAACGGCAAGGTGAAGGTGGCTTTCGCCCCGCTTCTTGATGCTCTCGAGGAATGCCATCGATTAGGCATCTATCATCAGAACATCAAGCTGAGCAATATTCTTTGCTCGGAGGATGGCTCGCATCTGTGGCTTTCGGGATTTACCTATGCTACAACGGACGAAACAAGTCCAAACTATAGGTATCTTTCTGGTCCTCATGTTAGTCCAGGTATGCTGTCCTCGTTTCTTGGAGCGAACTTGCCTTCTCAATGTCAGCATCGACAGAATCTCTTCAGCGTGTCCCATATTCTGTTGCAAGGGGATTCTCGACCGCAAAGAACGATATCTGGGCGCTAGGGATAATCCTACTGGGCATCCTGACTGGAAGCTACCCTTGGACACTTGCCGATTGCCAGGTCGAGTCCTTCAGAAAGTATCTCTGCGATCCCTCGGATTATCTACACAGGACATATCCTAACATCTCATGCGAGGCTCGCGATCTTCTTTGTCGCATCTTGACCATATATCCTGGGGATCGTATAGCTCTTCTAGCCCTTCACGCAAAGTTTTCGAACATCAAGACCTTCTTCAAAACTCCTCAATTTGATTTTACCCAAGCTTCGTCCTCGTTTGTGGAAGTCCTGCACATGCCGCGTGTGGTCTCCGACTTCGATAAATCAGGTCTTCCGTCAGGTCACGGAGAAGTTGATGGTGACTACTCTCACTACATCTACGTCTGGCCTGGGGTACACACGGACGGGCCACAACCGGAATCACAGCAGGAATCGACCCAATCCTCGAAACCGACAGGAATGCCGATCCTTATGAGATCTGGGACTCTCAGATCACTGCACAGGGGCTTCAAGCGATTAAGGACGAGTTTCAGCTCCTGAGTATATGTAATTGGGATAAGATGTACTAATACGTAGCTGCGCGATGATTCTGCTTGTTCATTATAGTTGTGTTAACGGACCATCCTTTGTACAATCAGCGTGGACTTGTATTTTTTTTTGCTCGTGATGCCGGCATCTCGTTGAGCATCTCTATCCTTCCGGTGCAGTCAAAAATTCTTACGTGAAATCAAAACGGAGTTACCTTAGCGCTGGCCGGGAGCTGCCAGGACCATTATCCTTGTGGCTCTTCTTCCGTTCGATCTCGATTCTACTCCTTTCTGCTCGCCCTCTTTCTCCACTCCTCCCCGGGCTGTTACCCTTGAGGGCCATCTACGGGATTGAGCAAGTCTGGGTATGTTCTGCCTAGATGATTCAAACGCATCTGTTACGATCGTGCAAGCTAGCAGCCGTTGTTAGACAGAAGACTAACAAGCTCGCCCTTCTCGCTCCTTAGTCAGTCTCAAATCATCGCTGGGATATGCACTCTTGGGAGGACTGAAGAAGAATCTTTCAGCGCTCAAACCCCAATCACGACACTCCAATGTGAGGGGTTAACATCGGGTTCGTACTACATAGGCCTCATGTATGAGGTCTGCGATTCTCATTTCTTTGCTACCATTTGCTATGCAGACGCAAATAGGTAGGTAGCGTGAAATGATACTTGGCACTTGGGATCTCGAGAGCTTGAGCTGAAGGACCAGACTTTATCGCTCCCTAGTGAGTATCGCAGCATCCTTGCAGGTCTTATTCGCTGCATTGGCTAGTACTCAGATTACAGTGCACATTGAGAGCTTCCAACCCTGCATTCATAACTATGACCGTCAAAATCCACATGGTGGCAGTCACCTGCACCGTGTTCACCCGGCACACGTCTCTTGTTTACTCTTACCGCTACGTCGCTTGTCTTCTGTCGTTTTGAACGATTGCCGTTTCCGTCCGCTCGGTCCCGCTCTATATTAAGATGACGGACGCCACCATGTCTCGGTCGGTCTGGGTGCTCGCGATACCTATCTCGCGGATATCAGACGAGCATCTGGAATTGTCTCGATTCACTGCTGAAGGCTAAGTTGAGTATAGTTCATTCTTAGGCAGGTGGTTTGCGGGGAGGGGCAAGCGATTTGTAGTAGATTTGTTGTGCAACTTCACAACTACGGCTCGCCGTGTTTACAGTACAGCCAAACGGCCTCTGGAACACCCGCCCGGAGGTGCGCCTCTCTGAACTTTTCGCGGCTCCCTCTCATTACGGATTTGCATGACCGCTTGACAACGAGGCGTCACAAGATTTTGATAGATATCCCCACGTATTCAAGCTGATCCTAAATTGTAGTGTTTCCTCATGGTCCTTGGGAACACTACCCGGACGGCTTCCACGATGTATGTAGCAAGTATAGCAGAAGTGGGACCACGAATTTTTACCCACTAACTTGGAAGAATTCAACACAGCCTGCTAGTCTGGAATGTCTTGGCGAGGCTCGACTACGGCTAGCCTGTGACGAATCCCCATATATCCAAGCTTTGGCACTGAATCTTTAAATTGGTCAGAATGTTGGACTTCTTTCGGAATAGTTTGGCTTCTCCAGGAGCCCCAAACGGTTCTCTACCTAGACTCGGCTGGCATCGCTAGGGTTCCTCTGTCCGGCACACATGTCATTTTATAAAAGGACAGCTGTCCGTTCAGGACCGTCATCACGCCCCTCCTTCAACCTCACACTCATTTCTAATTGTCTCAAGACCGCTTCGGGCGACGTCCACGCCTTAGACCCTCATCTCCCATATAATCAGTCCTCGACCACTTCTGCATACTGCAATCCTTCCACTCTTTACAATGATCTTCTCGTCGCTTCTTGCGTTTGCATTGGCGAGCGCCCCTTCCGCTCTCGCTGCGACGAAGGGCGGCACTTTCGAGGAAGTTGGTGATACACTCGTTAGTGCTATGATGGTGAGTTTTCAGTGGTCATAAAATTCATGGAACGTGAAGCCTGACGCGTCGTAGGTGTTCCTCGGGAACGAGGGCAAAGTGTATATTCTTGACAAGGCCGAGGGTAACCCTACCCAGGTCAACGGTCACCCTGCATGGGCTGCGGTTTGGTACGTTGCGTTCCGCACCTGACAGTGCTTAGAATGAGGTCACTCATGCGTTTGTGCAGGGATGTCGAGACCCGGAAGGCCACCCCCATGGACGTCCAGACCAACCCGTTCTGCGCTGCTGGCATGCACTTGCCAAACGGCTCGTTTGCCACGTTCGGTGGTAACGGCGCCACGTCGCCTGGTGAGCTATGCTTTGCTTTTTTTTCTGTAGTTGCCATGAGCTTAGGCCTTCCACAGGTGGCGAAATTGGCTCGGTCAAGTACGATGGTGGGTACGCCGCCTCGTATGACGAGACTTATAAGGACTACGATGGGCGGACATCGATTCGTATCATAACTCCATGCGACGGCGACATTACATCTCCCGAATGTCTGTGGTACGATGGCAACGACGGCCCCAAGATGCAGAAGCAGCGTTGGTATCCCGGCGCTGAGTCTCTACCTGACGGCAGTGTCGTGCTGATCGGCGGGTTTGTTTCGGGTGGTTACATCAACCGCAACACCCCCAATGTGAACCCTGCCGGTGACGGTTCCGAGCCTACTTTCGAGTTCTACCCGTCGAGGGGTGAGGCGAAGGTTATGGACTTCATGGTCAAGACTAGCGGTCTCAATGCCTACGCTTTGACTTACTTGATGCCCTCCGGCAAGATGCTTGTCCAGGCCAACTACTCGACCAGTACGTACAAACGTTTTTCCTTTCTCCCGCCTTGTACGTCCTCTCATATACTGAACCTTAGTTCTGTGGGACTACGATAACAATGTCGAGACGCCCCTTCCCGACATGCCTGGCAAGGTTATCCGTGTTTACCCCGCGTCTGGTGCCAACGCAATGCTGCCGCTCACGCCTAAGAACAACTACACCCCGACTGTCCTCTTCTGCGGTGGTTCTGATATGCCGGATTCTGCTTGGGGCAACTACAGCTGGCCGATGATCAACACCTTTGACTACCCCGCATCTGCCGATTGCCAGCGTCTCACTGCCGAGCCTTTGGACGGTTCTGCACCCGCCTACGAACAGGATGATGACATGTTGGAGACTCGCACCATGGGTCAGTTCGTTGCACTCCCCGACGGCACGATGCTCGTTCTTAACGGAGGCAACAACGGCACCGCTGGCTACTCTACTGCCACTGGCCAGACCGCCACTTACGGCGAGATGCCGTGGGGAATGTCCTTGGCATCCGGTCCTGCCGGGCGTCCCGCAGTGTACAACCCGAACGCGCCCAAGGGCAGCCGCTGGTCCAATGCCGGCTTCGCGTCTTCCAAGATTGCTCGTCTTTATCACTCCTCCGCTATTCTGCTCGCAGACGGCTCTGTCTTCGTTGCTGGGTCCAACCCCAATGTCGATGTCAACACTAGCACCATCTTCCCTACCACCTACAAGGCCGAGATCTTCTACCCGTCCTACTTCGATGCCCCCACCCGCCCCAAGCCTACCGGTATGCCCAAGACCCTTTCCTACGGCGGTGACCCCTTCGACATCACCATCCCCGCTTCGTCTTACTCGGGCTCTGGTAACGACGCTGCCGCGAACACCTCCGTTTGGCTTATCCGTGGTGGTTTCACCACCCACGCCCTCAACATGGGTCAGCGCTCTCTCCAGCTGAACAACACCTACACCGTTCAGGATGATGGCTCGATCACTCTCCATGTCGCCCAGGTCCCGCCGAACCCCAACTTAATCACACCTGGCCCCATTCTCATGTTCGTCACCATCAACGGCATCCCTAGCAATGGTACCCAAGTCATCGTCGGTAACGGGAAGATCGGAACTCAGCCCACGTCGGCGGCCAGCGTGCTCCCTGCGAGCATCAAGTCGGACAAGGCTAAGGGCTCGGGCAGCCAGAAGACCACCTCCACAAGCCAGGACAGTGGTGCTGTCTCTCTCAAGGGCAGTGCCCTCCTTGGCGCCCTTATGGCGATCGTTGCCGCTGTTGGCATGATCGGTAAGAGCTTTCGCAACCTGCTATATGCAATTGTCTGATGTCGTGCTCGATAGGCTTTTGATCATGACGATGGAGTATCTGGACATGTTCATAGGTATTGGATTGACGACCGTTCCACGGCGTGGGGTTCATGACGAAGTACAATATCATAGCCAACGATCCCTCCTACATCGCATTGCCGTCAATGGATCATTTGTTATTCTTCTTTTTTGATGAGGGCGCGATTGCTATCGAATTGCTGAATATCTTTCGCTTGAGCGCATGAACGCTCGCATTTATTGCATGGGGAAGGACTTGGATTTCTCATGACGCATCTACCACTCGCTTTGATAACCAAGGACATTGCATACTGCAGATAAACACGTACGATACCAATAACTTATTATTCGCATCCAAACATCGTCGATCATCATGTGAGAGGATTCGTAAGAGATTCCTCGGGCTGGCTTCAACAGTTGTGATTTTGGCTTGATTGGATTGATTTGTTTGAGCCGTCACGCCGGTCCTTCTACTTTGCCTTCGACCTTGAGCCTCTTTGAACTCGCGGTATACAGGCCAGACGGCTTCTTGTTTGGTATCAAAAGTACCTGAAGTCAACAGACGAAAATGCGCATGGTAGACGATCCCATCTGCTCCCGTTGACGGCTATTGACATTATTTCCAGCTCGCGCAGGAAGAAGAGAACGACGATGGTACCGATGTCTCCTGGGGTAAGCACCCCGCCCCACGCTGCGCCTTGTTCGTCTCCCATGTTCCACAGGCTGACGGAGGGCGGCAGAGGACCAGCAGCGTATCAACACGTTCTCGAAGCTCAATTCGCGCGTGCGGTCGATAGAGGAACGGCGCGAGGAGCTGAAGGTGCGTGTGCCCGCCTGTTTGCGTGTGCCCGGGGATGCGCGCTGACTATCCTTGGGTCGGTCTGCCTCGCGAGCAGCAAGAAAAAGAGGCGCTGGACGATCTTGCGATGGAGCTCGAGCTCGCAGACGAAGACGAGCCTGTTCTGTGCGCCCCATCCCGTCCCATTCTCTTGTCGCCCGATCGGCGCTCCTTCCACACACTAACGCATGCCTCGCGTTTGTCCACGCACACAGCTACAAGGTCGGCGAAGCCTTCCTCCACATGCCGCACGCGCGCGCGACCAAACGCCTCGAACACGACCAAGCACAGCTCGACGCGGAGCTCTCTGCGCTCAGTGCGCGGGCGGAGGCGTGTGAGACGGAGATGAAGGAGCTGAAGGTCATGTTGTATGCCAAGTTTGGCCGTGCGATCAATCTAGACGAGTGAAACAGGTGGTGCTTGGCGGATGGGCTGCGCTACATGCTGCGTACTTCTAAGCTGATAATAAGAGGAGCGTCGTCGAATTTTGAGGTATGTGATGTGAACACTCCGTTCTTGAGTATCGTGCATCGTCGGTCACAGTCATGAAGATATGCGCATGAGCTTTCTCTGGTTTGTGCCTCCTCAGATTATAAGAAGCTATCGATCCATTACGAGACCTTCATATGGTACTCCACTTCACTCCCTCTTCTGTCCTCCTGCAATACCACCCGTCAGAACAGTTGGCAGTTCCTGGCCTCCGATACTATACAACAAGCCCACGGAACCTGCGATCATCAACAACAGTGCTACAGTGGTACCAGCCAACAGCACGAATGGCCTGTTCAACGTCCATTGGTTGAGTACACGGACCTACGAGTGGAAGAGATGAAACAAAAACGCACCCGCTGACGTCCTTGCGTTCGCACGACTGACCCGCCCAGTTCTCCGTCCTGCCTTTGCTGTCCTTCGTAGCAGAGCACGCACAGACAAAGCACGTCCTCCCGGCCTTCGAGGCGCTCACGCACGAGCCCCGCCCAGAGCACGCGCTCGTCGCATTCCTGCACACCTCCTCTGTCGCATGGCACGTCGAGACGGAGTTGATGGGCTGTTGCGGGATGGACGGCGGGAGGGGGGACTGCTGCGGCTCTCTCTTGCGCAACGCCTCTGCACGTGCCCCATCGTAGGTGAGCAGGACGAGGTTGAGGTCCCCCTTGGAAAGCGCACTGTGCACTGCGGCGCGCAGTGTCTCTGCAGCGAGCTGGTACTGCTCGCTCGCACGTCCATAGGCGCGCGCGATCTCAGAGAGACCTTTCAACTCAAAGGCGCCGAAGCGGTCGGTGTAGAAGGCATCGTCGGATTCGAGGAAGGAGATGACGCCGGAGAGCTCGGTGAGGAATGTCTCGGTGGCGGAGGAGGAGACAGAGAAGACGTCGAGGAGACGAGGGACGGGCGCGTCATACGTCGGGAGTGAGAATATGTGCGCGTATGCGTGCGGGGCACGGTGCAGGTACGTGGAAATAATGGAGGAGAAGGATGAGACGGAGGGTGCGTTGGAGAGGGTGAACGATGGTCTCATTGACTCGGGGAGAACATCTATTGGAGGGTTAGGTTGCGACGCTGTTAGTGACAGCGCTCGCGCACCTTTTGCGTCTGTTTCGTCGATGCTGATGAGGAGACCGTTCTTTGGGCCTTGTCCAACGAAGGATGTACCCGCAGCGAACTGCTCATTGCCTTGGAAAGGCTCGAACTCCTCTAGACCGAGGTGATGAGAGATGGCCGAGCTTGCATGGGATGGTGAGAGGCGAGAGGGGAGGGATGAAGGGGGATTCAAGTACACATCTGCTGCGCGGCTCAAACCCGCGAAGAAAAGACACAAGGCGAGTCCTCGCATCGTGCTTGACGGCGGGAGCTTCGAGCGGCACAGCGCGTCGTCCGTCACCTCGTGTGACCAACATTGCAGTCACGTCACGTCGGCGCCGCCAGCGACACGCTCGTTCAGCTCCAAAAATTATGGCTGCATCAAGGAGCGCGGTGAATTGAATGGGAGGACAGGAAATGGCACACATGTCGTCTGAAGAGATGCCAGGGTCTTCTGGTTTTATTTTTTTACCGCTGCTGTGTGTCGGGCACGTGATGAGCCTCTTAACTGTCGTCAGATATTGCTGTCACCTGTGCGGTGTGCGGTCCACTGTCGTTCGTCTCTCGCGCCTCGCCTCGACGACGTCCGCAACGATGAACATGCTGCGCCAGCCCCTCAGGGCGTCTCTCAGGCGCTGCTATGCTACGGCGACGACGGCGTCCACCACCACGCCGCCCTTCGTCCCCCCAGCCTCACTTCCAACAATGGACGGCCCTCCCCGCGCCCGACCCGACCGCGACCGACCCGACCGCGAAAAATCCATCCCCAGCTCGCCCACCTTCTACACCGGCCGCTCCGAGTTCTACGACCACATTGCTACCCTCGAGTCCGCCGTCGAGAATACCCACAGCGTCCTCCGCTCCCTCCAGCTCCTCCCCCTCCCTGCCTTCGCCCGCGACTCTCTCCCTCCCGCGCAGCCCATGTGGAAGTCGCGAGACACCATGTCTTCCATGTTTATGCGCAAGCTCACCACCGCCCGCTACCGGCGCCTCATCACCCTTCTCGCCCAGCTCGATGAGTATGAGCGCATCGCCGACGCCGCCGGCCACATCGAGATGCAAAACGGTATCGCCAGCATACTGAGCTTGTTCGAGCGCCCCGACAAGGCCGCGCAGCTCGCGCGCAAGCATATCAAGCTGGCCAAGTTTGATAAGTATGGGCGCACGCACACCGTCGGCAAGAGGAAGGAGAGCACCGCCCGCGTGTGGATCATCCCCGTCCAGCCCACGCAAGAGAAGAAGTCCACCCGCGCCCCTGCCCCTACCCCTGCTCCCGCGCCCATAGAGGCGCTCTCCACGGAGCCTGTAGTGGACAACCCATTCGCGCGAACAGAATCCTCGCACCCGAAGGTCGATGTGACCATGTCGCAGATCCTGGTAAACAACATCCCTCTCAACGAGTTCTTCGCCTCCCCCGCGGACCGCGCGCGCATCGTGCGGCCGCTCAAGCTCGCCGGCGTGTTGGGCGCGTTCAACGTCTTCGCCCTCGTGCGCGGAGGGGGCACGACCGGCCAGTCTGGCGCGATCACACACGGCATCGCGCGCGGCATCGTGGCGCATGTGCCGGAGGTGGAGATCATCCTGCGTAAAGGTGCGTCGGACCTGCCAATCCGCATCATGTCTCGCCTGACGGGCGTGTGCTCGCGCGCGGCCTCTCTTCAGCGAAACTTCTCAGACGTGATCCTCGTATGGTCGAGCGCAAAAAGACCGGTATGGCCAAGGCGCGCAAGCGGGTAAGTCGTCCTTTTCGCTTGTGGTTTTGCTCGTCTCATGCCTCGTCTGTCGTCAGTATACTTGGGTCAAGCGGTAAATCTCCTCGTTTCGTCGCACATCTATACTGTCTTTCGTTCACTTCAATGCATATTGCATCTTCATCGCCACTCCTCGTCACATCTTCGATGTCTTCAAGGCGTCACCGTACGTGTTCCTTGAGTACCGCGTATTACAATTTCAGGATTGTCAGAGTGGCGATCCGATTATACAAGCTCTATAAATGAACACGAGCCCCCCAAGGCCATTATCAAGTAAATTATATATCAACATCACTGCTGCTTGCGTCTGACGGCCTTGGGTGCTACGGCGATCGGAGCAGGCGCCTGTCTCATCGCTGCCTGCCCTCGCTCCATCAATAGCTGCTGCATTTGCAGCTGTATCTGTTGTTGTGCCTGCCGTGCCTGCTGCTCTGCCGGGGCTTGCTGCTGTCTTTGCGCCAATGCTTCCTGCCTTTCCCTGTGAAGCGCCTGCCGTTGCGCCTGCGCCTGCACCTGCGCCTGCAATCTTTGTCGCACCACCTCTCGATGCTGCTCCAGCTGACGCAGATGCGCTGGCTCCAGCTGTTGCTGCTGAATTAACACGTCCGCCTGCTGCCCCTCCTGCAGAGGCCGCTGCAGGACTTGAATATCCGGGTTGGCCGGGAATATGTGCCAGAAGTGTTGGGGCCCGACAGGGGGCGCGCGCGGCTGGGGAGGCGGCGCTGGCATCCGCGCTATGCCTGGGGCGGCGGCCTGCATGAGGTGCTGGTAAGGGGGCGCGTGTGCATGGTTCTGCACGCCTACAGCGCCGAAAAGCAGGCCTGCAGCGCCGGCGGGAGGGGGCGGCAGGTCGACTTTGATCTCATCCTCTTCGATATCAGGGTGATCGCGCTTGTAGTCGTCCAGCGCTTTCTTCGCCGCCGCCGCCACCTTGGATAATGGGCCTTGAGCGGTCATCTCTGAGGATCAAAGGTGCTAACGCACCTCGTCAGCATGTCTCTTTTCAACGGGGTCCCATAGTGGACACTTCGTCGACGTGGAAGCTCCTGCCAGGGGCTGGCCGTTGGTATTAGTCTGAGGCAACCGCGTTAATATCCGTCATGTTCATCTATTGAGGACAGGTTCACCTGTTGGAAATGATCATAACCGGAAACGACCTCCCGGCAGACATAGCATGACAAGGTACGGCAATTGGGACATGTCATCTTGTTGCACTGCGGATGATGGAAGTAAGCCGGCGTGAATGATGTCAAAAGATAGATACCTCTCACCCCAGACTCCTTGATGAACCCTTAGATACGGATATAGGAAAAGAGTTAGATTGGGAGTTTCGACGCGCGTAAAAAAACACGGGTCGGACCTTTCTTGCAACTAGGACAGTTTCGCATGAGGGCTCGACCTAGAAGAAAACAGTCAGCTCCCCGCTCATTCGTTTAAAAGAAAATGACACACTCATTGCCTCCTCGATGGCATGCTTGCCGTCCAACTTCTTGTCTTCTTCCATCTCTAGAGAGTGCAACAGGTTAAGTCCGATCAAGACTGGGTGACTGCCGCGTCACGTAGCGCACCTTGGCAGCTTTTCGGCGTGTGATCCTGAGATGGACAAGTGAATGAGCATTCGATCCCGAGATGAATGCCGACGTCCGCTTACCTCCTTTTTACACTTCCTGCAGCTGGCCCTCCCACATTCCTCGTTCTGACATCTGAACAGCTTGTCGCTCTCCACGTCGACCTCCAGGACAGCCTTGAACTCGCAGAACGGGCACTCCTCCAGGCCCTCGAGGCAGGCTGCCTCGACCTCTCGCTGTTGACGCACACGTTCATACAGGCTGTGCAACTTCTCAGGTAGGATGCGGCGCAGCTCCGAGTCGGGAAAAGGAAGCTTGCAGCCGGACTGGTCCATGCAGCACATATCTGGATTGTGCTCGCCGAGCTTGGTCGACGCATACGAGATCACACATTCGTTGCAGAACAGGTGGGCGTCTTCACATTGGATCATCTGGTCCTGAGACGATATCAGGGATGCGTTGTTGAAGGAATCTTCCGAGAGAAAAGCTCACAAATGGGTACTCCGTGAAGCAACAGCCGCACTCGATCCCGTCCACTTCTTCGACGATCTCTTGCGCACTCGTTTCCCCAACCGCCGGTTCTTTGCCGATGTTGGCAGCGTCCTGCGCCAATTTTGCAAGAAGCCAGGTTCTCTCTCGCAGGAACTCAGCATCGTGCAGGGCTGCCTTCCGCTTCCCTTTTTTCTTCGCACTCACTCTGCGCTTTCGATTTTTCGGCAGTTCTGGAACGTAGGGCAGCTTTGCGCCCCGCCGCTCCTTCTGAAGATAGAGGTATGCAGGGGCGTAGAGGTTAAGGTGCACGGCAAGCATAGCATTGACGTGGACTTGTGGAATATCAGGAAAGTCAACGTATAGTTGCTCCTGAGGGTCTGTTAGCAAACACATGCCATCCGAGGAAGCTGGCATCAGACTTACTCTAGCTAGCTCTACGTAGACGGGGCCACCGTTACGATCTCGATCCACTCGGGAAAAGTCAATCTCCCCGGTAGTTGCTTGTGCAGAGGGAGCCTTCCGTTCGGGGAGAACTGCCTTGGCTTTACCTTTGGAGTTTATTCTCGGATACGTCGGGTCCTCAAAAAGGGCGTGAAGGACCTCGCCCACCAGATCGCCCTTTTCTTGGAACGTCTGGATGAGTTGCAGTACGTACTCAGGGAGAACATCCGGGACGATTTCGTGCACCTGAGCGAGACAGAGCTGGAAGGGGTCTTCGGGCTCTGGACTCGGAGGTGGCTCTTCATCGAGTACGATGGACTGTAGCGAAGGCTCGCGCGGAGGCGGCAAATCTGGAGGAGTCAGACGTTCTGGCAATTGCACCTGGGAGGCCGCAGTGATTTGTTCGTCCGCACGTCCCACGGCTGGCTGCTTCGATGTGCTGGTGTGACATTGAAATTGAATTGTATTATACGCCGCGTGGTCAGAGGCTATGTGACAATGACCATTCAGCTGGCGCACCTGGGTGTTTTCGGACGTGTCGATCCGCGTCGTGTCGATCCGCGTCGTGGCGCAGGCGTGGCCGCCTGTGGGTTGATTGCGTTCGAAGGCCCCGCTTGGGGCTGCTCATTTCCGTGCTCAAGCTTGCGTCTCTTGCGCGGCGTGCTCGAATCCGAGTCTGTGATTTCTATAATTTCTTGTTCCTCACGTTCTGGGAGGAAGAGTGGCATGCGCTTGCGCCGCAATGGACGCGAAGAGGAGGACTCAGGAGAAGACGAGATTTCTATGATGTCCGACATTGGTATGTCTCCCGTCCAGGATAGTAGTAAGTAGTCGACGTGTTGATACAGGAAGCGCGGCGGTTGTCAATGTGTGAAGGTTTGCGTTGTCAGTGGCGCAGCAATGGGCAACAACAACGCTCAGCGTGCCCGCGTAGAACTTGAAAGGCTGAACCAGGGCACAAACAAGCAGTTCTGACTTGTTCGTCGCGCACGAAGCACTGCACTCTCACGAGAGCCGTTGAGGACAGGAATGTAGGTGGCAGCAGCACGAGAGTATACAAGAAGGAAAACGGGATAGACTGTGCAGAATGTTTTGTTACGGATCTTGGACGCTCAGGCTGGCGCAGCGGTGTTGCGGTGGCGGAGCGTTCAGGCGCAAGCTCGCCACCCACAAGGGGCGAAGAACCACCGACGTGCGTTTACGTAGTGCACGCGGTGGCCACATCACCGGGCTCCATGCGTCGACGCAGCACATCAATGCATCAATTTTTCAGCAAATGAGCTGCAGCCCGCACGTACATCACGAGGTGAGTTGATAAATAAAATAAATGTACTCCATGGCAAGCAGCCGTGATGGTAAACAAGAGCACGCAGCGCCCACGCCTGACTCGAACATCGTCCCAATGAACTATATGAATGTGAAACGCACTAGCCAGCACTCAAGTCCGCGACGTCCCTTCATCCTCGTTCATGGCCTTGATAGCGTCCTGCATCGCCAAAGCAAAATTTGACGCGGTTTCTATCTCTAAGCTCGTGAGAACATATTCGCTGGCAGCGGGTGACGACTCGGACGGACCCCGCGTGAATCCGAACGTCGGCGGAGGGCTGCGCGTCGTGCCACCATCGTAGGGACGCATGGGGCGCAGCGGGATAGACGAGGGAGGCTGCGGAGCGAAGGGAGTCGACAGGGTGAGCGACGTGTCGTTGAAGCCTGCCTCCTGGTTCGGCAGCCGCCGCGCCTTCGAGGAGCTCGAGTTCAAGTTCTCCAGATCTAAGTTGTTGTAGCTGCTGCCCGGTGACGGCCGGGGGCTGACGATGTCGTGGAAGGTGCGCTTCAGGCTGCAGAGAATGATGATGAGAGTGGGGTATATGCCCTGTTCGAGAGAATCAGGATGGCACCGCCACTGCTCAAGCATCACTCACAGTGATCTGGGGCACGGCGTTTTGAAATATCTGAAACACGAGGCTTCGCGAGGGAGCCCAATCACCATGAAGCACGTCCAACGCGATATACGTGACCTGCAATGAGAGATCAATAATCGGCACTCGAGATGCAGTACTTTATATGTCCTTACCCACACGATGCAATATAGTGCTCCTGATTCGATGAGCAGCAGCAACACGGGGAGACATCGATCGGGCCCTATATGCCACCTCGAGCCACCACAATTAGACGTGAAATACCTTGACACGAAAGTGAGCTTCCAGCAGTGCCGCAGATCCAGAGCGGTGTTGAGGCTCTCACCAGGCACGATACCCAACGAGAAGAGTCACCAGCGCGTTGGTGCAGAGGGTCAAGGCGATGCACAGCGTGTGCATGATGATCAGCGCGAGCCCGACGCCCGACTCCGCAGCCAAGTCGGCGCCCGACAGCACAGCTCGGATGCTCAAAACGAGCACCGTCGACACGTCTGCGACGGTGGCGATGATCAGGAACAGAGGGAGGACGAAGACGTGCTTGTTGCGGCCCCAGAGCACCCACGCCCGCCATATCACGATCAGATCTCCCAGGACGAACTGTTCTGATCAGCCTGAGGACGGACGCGCTCGGAGGGGAGGACGGACGCGCGCACGTTTAGACACGGGAGGTACTCCGCCAGTACGCAAGAAATAGACGGGCAGAACCTGCTCGGCGGTGTCGGGCCGATTGTCAGGGACAGAACTACATGCGAAGTCACGATGCCAAACATGACGATGGTCAGGACAGTCAGGACGATATGCGACATGGTTTTCCGTCTGGTTCTGTGTGATCGAGCATGAGACGCGTAATGCGAGTGGTGAGATTGAGAGAGCAAGGCCGGACGAACAGGAGGATGTAGAGGGTGACGCAAAACAACGAAGTATATATGCCTGTTATCCCATCAGCTGTGCACGATCAGGGCGCGGGAAAGACGCACCATAGAGAACGGATTCGGTGAAAAGAGAAATCGTAAAGTCGTCCATATTCGTAAAACCGAGAATTTGTTTTGAAAGAAAAGAGTGAGCAGATGTAGATGTCCTGGCAAAAATGCCAGCAAGACATTTATACGACCTAAATCTTTCATGATAGAGCATCATCAAAGACCTGTTCATCAGGCATCGAACCGGTGCACATCCAGTATAAAGTTAGCACTGAAACCGACGGACGCGATGCGGGGTGAGCGCAGCGCGCCTGAACTTTTGATCTAGAACAACTGCAGGGGCTGCACACAGCTACACACCATCAATTTAGCCCTGAGACTGGCCACACGGGGGGCCCGATGCAGCACAAACGCGTCAGCGCCTTTAGGACAATCCAAGCACGATCACATGTCGCCACCCGCAAGCCTGAGAGCACTGAGCAAAGATAGCACTAGATAGCGGTGCACCGGTGATTTCTTCCGTAGGCAGCAACGATGGCGAAACTTCCCTCGGTTTTGGACGCGGATATAGGTTCCTGACTGCACAGGCCCGCAGATCCGTGGGTTGTCTACAAATAGCCACAACTCGACGAAGAGCTGGCTAAGGAGATCCCTATAGATTGACTGATATGCCCACATTGTCGAAGTGCAAGCAGCAACCAATTAATCTGCTCTAAAAGCTCCCAAGCGTCAAGATAAGAAGAAAACGCCGAAGATCTGCAGAGAACTAACTATTTTCACAAAGTTCGTCCCCGTCCTGAGACAGCGACAAGCATTCGGAAGCCAAATCTATCAGGCAACTCACGATAGATGGCAAATCTCGCGGTCAGGCTGTTGCATCTTTGAGACTTCAGTCAATGCCTGTTGCGTCACACCAATACGTGGTGATAGCGAAGAAGAAAAGGACTAGTCAGCGCTCATTACTGCAAAACCAAGCAAGAGTGGTGGTAAGAGAGGGGAAGACGCGATCGATGCGCGTGCGCTACTCGGCCAATGCCGACGTTTAAAGCGGAGTCTTTGCCGCTGAGCGCGGCACTAAACAACTCAAAAGTCTTCATTTCTACTTGCCCGCCCAAACATCATATCGTACAGGATGAACAGTCTCCATGATTTGCAGCCAGTATCCCTGTTCCAAAACTTCTAACATAGTCAGGAACAAGATTTAGTGGCCAGCGCCGAACCCGCTTAGTTATTATCGCCAGTCCCCGAGCTGCCAAAGCCCATGGCGTTCTTGGCCTTGTCCATAATCGAGTCCTACAAAATAAAACACCCGCCCGGTGAGCACGCGAAAATCGGCTGCCGAGGGCACACGCACCTGGTTTTCGTTGGAGTTTCCAGATATGGCGTCGCCGGCCTGCTGCGTGCCCGATTTCTGGCTCTGCGTGCGTGAGCAACGCGTTACGCATACGCAAGAGACAACAGGTCAGTGACGGGGCCGAGATCGTGGTCGGCTGTGCGGAAGGGTACTGACCTCAGGCTGCACCGTGGACGCGACGTTTTCGTACATGCCCTTGGCCTTGTCGCCGAGCTGCTCGGTGGCCGACTTTTGCGAGTCAGGCTGCGGGTCGCGCACGCTAGGTCAGCATCATCGCGGCATTGCATCCGACTAGGCGGAGAGAGAGGCGGCGCGCGGGCGCACCTTCATGCTGCTCCCCATCTTGTCGGTGAAGGATTGACGGCCGGCGTTGGACATTGTTGTATGTATGAAAACGGGGGAGGAGCTGAAGAATGTTTGTGTGTGCGTGTACGAGGGAAGAGGCAAGTGTGGGGATTGGGTTGGGTTGAGCGTGTGCGGGGGCCTATTTATGCGAATTGGAGCCAGGTCTGCGTGGGGCGTCGGGCGACCGATGGGGAACAGGGCGCTGCATCGACGCCGACGTCATCTAGCAAGAGCAAAGGAAGCCACAAGGAGATTTCGACGTCGATGTCGAAGCGCTGCAAATGTCAACGGCGGTGCTGGAAATCTCACTTCCATGTCTTAGGAGCGAGAGGTCGGTGCGCGCATGTTCTACACCCGAAGATGCATGTGCGCATTGAGGTAGCCGTCTGCAAGAGGGACTGATTGAGGTTAGCTTCTACAATATGTGCACGCACTTGTGGGGCGATGGCGGGCCTTACTCGTTCCTCGAAACATGCAACATCCTTCCCTGTCATACCTTTGTGAACTCGACCAAAGGGAGGAGTGAAAAACATGTTTTAAGTTTCGGCGCTTTTGGTGACCCTCAAATATTCCTAGCAAGGACGTGAAAGAATGTTTCACACACTGCAGGTGGTACATTCATAAAAATACAAGAGCGACAGAGATATTGTTACATAGATCGAATTCGTATATGACCAATAGCCGTGGTCGATAATCCTCGCTACTCTGAGAGCGTTGACCCTCAAGTTCTGTTGCCAGAGCCGCCGAGACCAACAGCCTCCTTGGCCTTATCCATCAGGGACCCCTGCGTGAAGTACATGTCAGCGCCGGCGACGAAGATACGAGGAGGCTTCTCATACTTTGTTCTCATTCTGGTTGCCGGAGAAGGTGTCGCCGATCTGCTGGGAGGTCGACTTCTGACTCTGCAAAGGTGAAGAAGTAGTCAGAAGGGAGGTCCGAAGGACATGGAGAAGGGAACGGACCTCTGGCTGCAAGGACGAGGAAATCGAGTCGGAGGTGCCTTTCAGACTGTCGCCGGCGTGCTCGGCGAACGACTTTTGAGAATCAGGCTAGGTCATGGCGATGACAGCGAGGAGCAAGCATGAGTATGTATGCTGCACAGCAGAGGAAGAGCACCACCTTGAGAGCCGACCCTGCCTTGTCGGTGAACGATTGGCGGCCTGCGTCGGACATTGTGATATTGAAAAGTTTGGAGAGTGAAAGGCGACGAGTTTACTAAATGCGAGTGTGATTGAGTTGATGAGTGCGTGAGTGCAAGATGCTGAGAGAAAGAGTGGGGAGTGGGAGGGTTTATATAGGGCTGGCGGGGGCGCGGAGCGACGAGTCGAGTCGATCGTATGCGCGCGTCGGGGAGGGCCAGGTGACCTGGGGACGACGTCATGGGTGTGCGGGTGCGTCACCGCAGTGGTCACCGCGCAGGCGGGGGGAGATGCGCACCCGCGGGAGTGACGTCCTTGGGAGGCTGCGGGACGCGGGTGCGGCGAGACGAGCTGTCAGCGTCACGGTCACCGAAGCACTAAGCACGGCCGCTCTGGCGAGACTCGCGTCGCGATCGCGCGTCGTACGTGGGTCTCGTGACCGATCTCGCAGTCCTGTGAAACAATCAAGGGGGGGAGATGTGGGGGTGCCAGTCTTGATCTTGATGTGTGTTCGTACAAATGTAGTGCGTGATGCAGATCATCAATGGACCCGTGATTTCATCGAGTCGCCTCTCTGCAGAAGGCGACGACGACGACGACGACGGGTAATGATACCTTCTGTAGTAGCAGCTTCTGAGCGGCGCGTTGCGCAGTCGGCATGGGCGCGGATTCGGATTGGTCGAGCAGGACGCGTACGTGGTCGCGACAGCCGATTGGCTGAGGCAGGGGAGGCTCGGTGCAGGTCACGGCAGCACGCCCTGCAAGTTGAGGCAGACGCATCGCAGAATGATGGATGTGCATCGCATGATAGCTGACGGCTGGTGTGAACGATGTCGCAGGCGGGGGTGGGTATGAGATCAGTGATTGGGCGGCTGAGCAAGGCACGTTTACGTGGCAGCGAATGGGATTGCGGGAGAGAATAGCAGGAGAAGGGGAAAGATACTCGATAGCGCTGGGTTGCGGACGACGGCGTGGTTGCTTGGAGACTCGCCCACTCTATATAACACGGGACCATTCTGCGCGAGAACAACGAACAGCCGACTCTCCAGCTCAGCCATGCCTGCCCTGGCCGCCTCTCTTCTCTCGCCAGACACACAGGTCTTCTCCACGCCTCCCACCAGCCCCATCTCCATGGACGACCTCGACTACCAGCCCGAGATACAGCCCTCGCTCTCCAGGCGCAGCAGCAGGCCCTCCAACCTCCTCATCGACCACGTCCAGTCTGCCTGGAACTCGGACATCATTCTCGAGGAGCAGTCCCCGCGCGTCCTCCCCAGTGGCAGACTCCAACCCATCCCCCGCGCGACCACCCCCCGGCCCTCCAAACACGTCCACTCCAACGGCAGCCACGTCGATCCCTCCCACCCCCCCGCTGCGAACGGAAACGGCCTTGCGCCCCCGATCACGATGACCTCACCCGACCCCCGCCCCGCCGTCGCCTCTCCGTCCACAATCCAGCACACCCCGCGCTCTCACCAGAACCCCATGTCTTCCCCCTGCTTCGTACACTCCCACCTAGACAAGGGCGCGTCCTTCACAGAATGGCTCAAGCAGCGCCACGGCATCGCACCCGACGTCGGCGTCGCACGCGGCCTCCAGCACTCTGCCACACCCGCTCCTGAGCCCGCCCCGCCCCGCCCCCGCCGCTATAGAAAGTTAGAAAACGGCCAGGTCATCCCCGTCCCGTACGACGACGGCTCCGTCTCAGACTCGTACGCGGTCGATGCCGAGTACGAAGAGATCGACGACGACGAGACCGGTGGCAGCCTCACAAAACAGCTCGCAGAGACCGCCGTCGGCGTGCGCGAGATGAGCAAGCAGCTCGGTGAGTCCCCCACTCGCCCCACCCCCGCTCCGATCGCTCACGATTTTCGCCGCCCAGGCCGCGCGCGCATCAAGTCCCACGTCCAAAACGTCCTCATCGTCACCAAGGCGCGGGACAACCGCCTCATCCAGCTCACCCGCGAGCTCGCCGTCTACCTGATGACGAAACAGCGTCACGGAGGGCGTGGTCTCGTCGTGTGCGTCTCAACCCACCTCCACTCCCCCTCCCTCCTCCTCCCTTACCCGTGCGCGTTCTCCGCCGAGCGAGGCCTGACATAACCCCGCAGTTATGTCGACCACCAGCTCCGCACCTCGCGTCGCTTCGACGCCGCCGGCATCGAGCGCGACCACCCTGAGCTCTTCATCCCCTTTCCCCGCCGCCGCACATCCAGCAACAACTCCTTCTCGTCCTCGACGACCTCGCTGAGCATGAGCAGCATGAGCGAGAGCGGCCCTAACGAGGACGGCCAGCTCAGGTACTGGACCGCCGAGATGTGCAATCGCAGCCCCCATCTCTTCGATTTCGTCGTCACCGTGAGCCAGGCCGTTCTATTCCAATCTCACGTGCAACATTCAAGTCCACTAATATAACGACGCACAGCTCGGGGGCGACGGCACCGTGCTCTTCACCTCCTGGCTCTTCCAGCGCATCGTGCCGCCCGTGCTGCCCTTCGCCCTCGGCTCCCTCGGCTTCCTCACCAACTTTGACTTTGCGGACCACCAGGCGGTCATGGACAGCGCGATCGAGTCCGGCATCCGCGTCAACCTGCGCATGCGCTTTACGTGCACCGTGTACCGCGCGGTGCCGGCCGACGAGCTGCGCCGCGCGGGCAAGGGCCGCCGCAAGGCGGTCAAGAAGGGCGAGACGGGCGAGATCATGATGCGCAACCTCGAAAAGGGCGGCTGGGAGGCCCTCGAGGGAGGCTGGCACGCCCACGAGAAGGAGCGCGAGGGCGGCCGCGCGCAGAAGGACAAGGAGATCATGTGCTTCACGACGCGTCCGGTCGAGAGCTTCGAGGTCATCAACGACCTCGTCGTCGACCGCGGACCCAGTCCCTATGTCAGTATGCTGGAGCTCTTCGGTGCGTCTCAGGCCCCGGGTCCGCATATGTGCTAGCGCGAGCTGACCGATGCGACGCTAGGTGACGAGCACCATATGACCACCGTGCAGGGCGACGGGCTGACGATATCGACGCCCACTGGGTCGACGGCGTACTCGGTAAGGCCGTCATTAACGCGCGTCCCCGTCGTCGTGGGCGCTTACGCGGGTCGGACCCCCAACAGGCTTCTGCCGGGGGGTCGCTTGTTCATCCAGAGATCCCGGCGATACTCATCACGCCAATATGCCCCCACACGCTCTCGTTCCGGCCCATGCTTCTCCCCGACACGATGGAGGTCCGCATCTGCGTCCCTTTCAACTCGCGGAGCACGGCGTGGGCTTCGTTCGACGGGCGCGGACGCGTGGAGCTGAAACGTGCGTCTTCTTTTTTTATACCTATCATCGCCTTGTGGACGCTGAAAAAAAAACTGCTCCATCCATCTTTTTTTCTCCTCTCCATCTTGTGTTCGTACGCGCAGAGGGCGACCACATCAAGGTGACCGCGTCCAAGTACCCGTTCCCGACGGTCTGCGCGGACAAGCAGTCGACGGACTGGTTCCACGCCATCTCGCGCACGCTCAAGTGGAACGAGCGCGAGCGGCAAAAGTCGTTCGTCGTCGTCGAAGAGGGGCCCGTCAAGGCGCGCTCCAAGAAGGAGCGCGAGCACACGTCGAGCAGCTCCGAGGCGACCGTGCTCGCGAAGCAGGCCGGCGACCAGGACGAGGAAGACGAGGTCTCGGACGAAGACGACTCCTCGTCCGAAGAGGAAGAAGAGGAGGAGGAGAAGTTCGACATCGACGACCTCTCCCCGGAAGGCACCCCGCCGGACGCGAAGAAGCCTTCCGACAGCACGCTCGAGACGGCGCAGCGCAAGGCGCTCGCAGAGCAGCAGAGGCAGCAGCAGCAGCCGCGCGCGGAGGACGACACGCGCGAGGCCCAGCGCGCGGCCGAGGCGCTCATGGGCTTGAGCGTCGAGGACGGGCGCGCGCAGGCGCGCAGCAAGTCGGGCGTCCGGTCCGGCGTCGACAGCCCCGATCGGTTCGCAGGCCCGCACCCGCACCCGCGGCGGCTGTCGCCGCGGCACGTCGAGTTTGCGAGTCCAGCGGGGATGTCGGCGTCGTCGAGCACGGCGTCGCTCGATTGGGCGCCGGGCGCGCATGGAGGCCATGGTGGAGGGGGGGAGGGCGCAGGGGTGGGTGGGATGAGCGGGATCAGTCATGTGTTGAGTCGAGGTGCGCGCGACGAGATGAGGACGCCGACGGCGAGCGAGCATGCGGCGGGGAAGCGGAAGGCGCGGTCGAGGTCGCGGGGGCGGTATGTGGAGGAAGCGCCGCCGGTGCAACCAAGGGCATTTGCGGTGTGGGGTCAAGACGAGAGCGACAGCAATGCAAGCGATAGCGACACATAGTTGCGAGTCGCTCGGTGGGGATTGGGTGCTGGGGATCAGGTGCGAGAACTCGTGACGAGGGTGGATCAGACGCTGAGTGGAGCATGAGAGGCGATGAGGGTGGTGTGAGAGAGATAGGGAGGGGGTTGGAGAGGAAGCCTGCTGTGCTGGTGAGCTAGATCTGTTGCGTCATGATACGTGTTTCTCTGCTTTCGGAATGTTTTCCCTGACAGGCGGCAGGGAATCCTGTCGAGGAAATTTCCCTGCTGCCCATGCCCTAATAGATTTATCGTCGTTCGCTGTATATTTTCCCTCTAGCTCGCTCGCGTTCGATAACCGGTCACTTGCTCATACAACATACACACAATACACACAATACACAGCCGGCAATTGTATTTCTTTTCAAGGGTGGTCTTGGGCATGGTCCGGTGTTCTTTGGCGTCATAGGCATGGGGGTCGAACGTCAACGTTCGGTCCTTCCTCGACCAGCGCCCAGCGCTCACAGGGCGCCGTCACGACGTAGAGCGTCATGCGCGCTCGCGATTCTAAGAACACATGTTGTTGTGCGCGCACGTCAAGGTGGAGGGAGCAGATCGATACCCCGCTATCCGAACGATCTCGGCGGCGGACTCGTCGCGCAGCGCCGGCCATGGCGTAAGTGGCAAATGCGCACCCCTAAGCGCACGCCACCCGTCGCCCACGTTCCGAATACACGTACACCCGCGCCGACCTCGTGTCGGAAACCCGGATGTAAAATACGCGAGGCGTGCGGGCGGCCTGTGACCGCCACCCACCCTCGCAAGGGTGCATGGAGTCCTGAGGATGCAGGGGCGCGGCACGGGAGTTTGGCCTCGCCTCGCGTCGAAGCGAGGCATGGGCCGCTGCAGTCAGCTGCAGGCCCGAAGGATCAGTGGGGACGAGGGGCGCGGTCGCGTTGATTGGGGGCAGGTGATAAGGTTCTGCGTTGAACCTCGGGAGAACGCAGTCGACCGCGTGGTGTTCTGGGGACGCAGTGCCTTTTACTAGCCAGAATCAGAGAAGCGAGCTCGCTATTTCACTAGCCATCACTTGTACATCGCATGGGAAGGCTTCAAATACGTATGCGAAGACCAGAAGGGCTACTACTCGTTCGCACGCAGCTGTAGATACTTTGTCATAGCCACCACAAGATTGCGAGCGCTGTAGGAGACACGAAACTAATATAGCTCGATGACAGTGACAACTCCTTCGAATTCGAAGCTGGTGCTGCCAAAAGAAACAAGAAACAAGAAACAAAATTTTACACGTCACGGCGAGTAGACAATCTTTCAGAAAAAAAGGGTGTTGCGCAGCACAAACCTCTCGAGCTTCCTATAATCCGGCCGGTCCTTCGCGACAGCCCATAGCCAAGTATCCAAGTCAGGAAGAGTGATTTCTCGGAGCCACTCCAAGCCGCGATCCTCCGGCTCTGCCACGTCCATCGAGTGTGCGTATTCGACGATCAGCTCGCAGGCATCGATCGCCGCTGCACGCAAAATGTATGCTTGTTCCGCTGTAAGCACGGGCCCTTCTTTCGGCACCTCTTTTCCGTTCTTCACAGCCTTTCCCGATGGCGTCTCCGGCGACGCCGCGAGGAGCTTCTCCAGACTCTCTTCTGATCCCGCATTAGGGAAAAGAGAGGAGATGGATGGAGCTGCGGTGGAGAGATCAATTACCCCTAGATGTATGAGGATCGAGGGAAGTACGTTGTCTGTAAAAACCGGGATGGAAGACGTGCGAGGGACCGGGAAAGGTGGGGACAAATGCCCGAAGCGGATGGCAATACCGTTGACGAGGAAAAGAGCTTTTTTGAAGCAATAGATCGCTGCAAGAACACAGGATTCTCAGCAGTTTATTGTGCACAAGGAATGTTGCCAACGCACGCTGGCCATCTACAATTCCCATGTCCTGGAAGCCTGGAATTCCCCTGACAAGCTGAAACGAACGAGAACATTGTTAGAAGAGAGCCAACTCGACAACGATGCGATAAATACCCGCTCCACAATGACATCCACCGCCGCTTCATCGCCGTTGGCCTTCCCGGCTCTCTCGCCTTCTTTCAAAGCCTCCACAACGAAGCTGCCCAAGTCTCTGTACCGATTGTTGACGAGGAAAGCTCCTGTCCCGTTGAGGAGCTTTCTCAACAGCTGAACCAATTCCCATCCAGGTCCTCCGACCTCACCCACGGTTATTGCGGGCATACTCTCGTGCGGTTTCTCAACATGGATGCTCACGCCTAACAACTCCGCTATCTTTGTGTCGCCGATGTCCCTCATTCCGCGGGCGCTAAGGAGATCTCTCTCATCGTCGGCAGATGAAGATAGATAAAGACCAAAGACGAATGCGCGGATCGAGTCCCATGCACCGCGTCCTGTCTGTTGGTGCAAGGGAACACGATAACCCGATGCGATGTTCAACAGCGATAATATTGCTAGAAGATTCAGTTCGGCGAGCGGCGAGGGAAAGTTGAGAGGCAAAGCAAGGCCATGTGAGGTCGACGCGATACGATGATAGGTCGTCGTGAATGCCGAAGAAACGAGTAGGCGCCTGATGCTCGACGGCTTGATCTATATCCAAATTATGGTGTGTGAGTCTCCCAACACATCGTGTCTTCGGATGATAAATAGGGGAAACGAAGGGGCTCAGCGCTAACGGTCACGGCCATCTGGCGAGGAAGAAGGGTCGGAAAGACTTGAGGCCGACGGGAACGACCACAAGACCAATCCTACAGTAAGACGCGATAAAGCAACCGTACAAACGAGCGCCCATATACCGACGACCTCCAACCCACCGCTACCGGGAAATCGGCAGGTCCAGATTCCACCGCTCAGAATCTATCATTCAAGTGGGAAGGACCCTTTGTCTAAAGAGCCCAAAAGGGTTTACAATTTTCTAGAAAATTCGCCTGAGGTCTACCCTGTAATCTGATGAGAGCATCGGCTCAAAAATGGCGATTTTGTAACCGTGCATACGCATACCCAAAGAACTTTCGAAAGGACTTTATATATAACTTACTGTAATATTCGCTATTTGACGCACAGACCGGGAGGACTCGCGGATTGACTTGATGAAGCTTCCTGATGATGGGAGTGGAGGGACGAGGGACGCCATCTCGTAATTATAAGCAATGGCAGCGGTCAGTGACGCAGTAGTCGATCAGGGATTCAGGTCAGAGCTATACGTCGGGCACTTTGGATCCGATAGTCTGAAAAGAGGCCATTGTCACTATATAAAGAGTGCGTGAGATGGCAATGGTCCGATTGGATCCACTTACATGTTTCGTTGACTGACTTGGGTCGAGTCGGCGTTTGACGCAGGAACTTGGAAGAGGAAGGGACAACGGTCGTGCGAGATCGTGACTCAATGGACCTGATTACTATCATAAATAACGCAGGACAAGACAGTTTTGGCGGGGGTGATGAAGAGAATCAGACTGTTTGCGATGGGATCTCAACACAATAGGATGCGTATCTTGTAGTGATGGGTCGTATGGCGTCTCCGGGTTTACGCAAAATCAGAATGAGCGGGACCAAGTTGCCTTGACTCCCCGAGGGTATATCGGTGTCTACTTACTTGACTTACCTATTAGTTATGTAGGTAATAGTGTTACTTGAGATCCACTTATCTGCACGGAATCTTGTTCTTACTCCAACCACACCTCCAAGATGTATCGACTGCTCTCCAACATTAGTGGTCCCGCTCTGCGGTGCACAAAGCAACTTCAATGGCGACAGTACACAGCTTCTGCAATAGAAAGTGAGTTTACGCCTCAACTGTGCATGTGATGTCTGGCCTATTTTGTGTGCTGATACCCAAAGCCAGCTGATATCCGCACCCGTCTTTTGACCGGCTTGAAGACCTCCATGAAAGTAGGGTTTGATACCATAATTTTGGAACTTGTTGTGATGAATCATTACTTCTGACAGAGCAAGGACACCTTTGCCTCGACCACGATACGTGTACGTTGGTTCTCGATCGTACGTGTACCAAAGGTCTTATATTTCTTATAGTCAATTCTTTCGGAGGTCTACTCAGCAGACAAGGCCTCGCCCGAATCGAAAATACCTTCCGCCACCATCGTCTCGATTATCAGAAAGGCCACTAACCGCCGTGTATGCTGCCAGTGACGTGACATGGATGGATGGCTGACTGTTCGGTAACCCATCATTACAGATCGACTCCGCTGTCCAGTTTACCCAAGCGCAACGCCCGGACCTGGCTGAGAAGGAGCAACACGAGGCTGATTTTCTGTCATCCTTTCTCCCGCCCCTACTCCCTGAGTCTGACATAGATCACATCCTGGGAGAGGTCATTTCCGAGCAAACCGCTGATGCTCAGAGTCATCCTGGCAAATTGCTAGGAAAGGTTGTCAAGGCATTCTATTCCAAGGTTGACAAGTCCAACGTAGACCCTACTCTGGTAAAGCGAAGGGCAGAAGCTTTGCTATCTAAATGATGATACTGCATCACCGGTGTTCAATCGAGCGCTAGGCAAATTATCTCCTTCATAACCGCATTACTCTTGTTCTGCACGAACGCCCTGCGTGCATCGCCTATTGGGTTCTCCGTTCAATACGCCTTTTTACTTCGTGAATCTATTGGCGCCTACAGCATAACGTCGGACTTGGCGTGGCAGTAGAAGGAATGGCAGAATCAGAAAACCAGCCAATTGACATCCACTGAATCCGTAGACTACATTCCTTTCATGCGCAGAAGCCCGCCAACATACAATGTTATAAGTAAGTTCATAGCCGCGTGCCATTTTGAGGCACTTCGGCATTTTTTTGACGTATACAACGTGGGGAGCATTCGGAGTGACTTACCGGTACCTTTTATCAGACTTATTTGGACATCCATCGAAGCAAGAATTCGTTACAGTCGATGACAGCGTCCCAGGTAGTATGTATAAATAGCTTGGTACATGTCTTCATAATGGAGAATGAACGGAAAGACCTGCAACAAAACGAGACAGAACGACGGAAACTAACGTGACAAAACAAAACCTTCATTCCACAATTTTTATGCCTACAGAAATAACGTCTACAGATTAGGCTGCGGAAGGCAAACCGACTGATTCCGAACCGACTGATGCGTCTCGTACCGCATCGTCTGAGACTCGGACACTATGAGCCGCACCGTCATCTCTCGTTGTTCTGGACAATGGCTCGGGTGTAGCCGATGAGGCTGAAGCACCCGAGCTTCCGCTGCTGGAGGCCTGCCTGCTCGAAGATGCAAGGCTCACACCTGCGCCCTGAGCAGGCACAGGAGGCAAGACACTCCTCACTCTCGTGAGTTCCTCGATACAACGATAAACGGCTCCCGAGACACCCTCTAATACTCTCAGCCTCTCGTCGATAGCGTCTCGGGTAAGTCTGTCCAAACGAGTCAGCTGGTCCTCTGTCAAGGTTGGAGGCAGCGTCGACATCGAGGGACGATCAGCAAGCGCAGTGTCCTGGCCCCGACTTCGCGAGTCACCCTGTTGTTGGTAGGAAGGAGTAGGACGGAGCGAGTTTGGAAGTATTGGACGCCCTGCTGTGTTGTGATGATGCCACGATGGCCCATGGTTCGTCTCAATCATTGGTGGTGGGGGCATGTAATGGGGTTGAGTAAGAGAATACACGGGAATCAAAGAAGGAACGCCATTAGGTAGTCCTGCTGGGCCGTCTGGTGTTGAAATTGCTTCTGTTGAGCTTGGAGGAGACTCGGAAGATATGCTACGATTTGAGTCAAAAGGCTCGTGGCGTGAACGATCAGAAGCCTCATGGGAGGCACTTGTTTGATTTGTGGATGAACTGGACTTGCCCATCCTTCGCAAGGCAGCAAGAGCAGCCGCATCTCTTGGTGTAGACGAACGGCTCTCTGTGGAAGACTCGGTGGTGGGATGAGTTGCAAGCCCAGGCGAAGATAAAGGCTGTTCAGATGGCGGGGGAGCTGTGGACGAGTGACCGTCCGTGGAGATGATGGGTGGGGGTGGGGTGTTGTCAGGTGTATTGTGTTCCTGTGGGACCGGTGCCGGCCATCTGTCATCAATACCCCAGGGATGCCACTGACCGCCAGGTCCATAGAAGCCCTGAAACATCGGGGGTGGATGGAGTTGGTGTGGAGCCTGAGGATATGCATAGCCTTGTGGAGGAGGGGCAAGCCCCCAGCCGAAATTTTCACCGCCATGCTGTGCAAGTTGCTGGTATTGAACTGGGATATACTGAGGAGGTTGAGGAGGTTGAGGTTGCGGGATTCCCAGTAGTCCCCGCAGTAAATTGCCAAACGGTTGAGGAGGACCGCGCAGGCCAACTGGTGGTCTAGCATTGCCAGGGACGCCAGCCGGTTGGGGCACGGCGCCCCGAGCGGCGCCTCGCCGGCCGGCTCTCCCAGATGACGCCTGGCCGTCTGTACCTAGGACTGCACGGCGACTAAACACAGACCGTCAGGTTTCATAATCAAGAGAATTCGATGGTCGGGACCTACCATGTGGGACAACTTTGCTGCCGTTCAAGCCACGAACGAAGGCAGTGGAAATGAAAAATGTGTCCACAAGGAAGTTTCTTCGGCGTAATGTTTGGACCGTCTCGAGGTGTATCAGATGTATCAGGATGATCTCGATGCTCGTCATCCCTGAGAGTATCACGCACTATCATCTCTTCACGACAGATGATGCAAGTTCGGTCGCTCATCTCTACCATCTCCGCTTCGGTTGCATTGGGGTAACGTTCGTCCATATTTCGAGTTGCGTTGTGGTAGCGGATGAGCGTACGAAGGCGGGTGATGAAAGACCGAGCTGTAACATATATATCACGAACAACATTCAAAGGCATCCCATAGAATGTGAGAATGAAAGTGAAGAATGTCAGGTACGTCGTCAACTTGAGGAAGTCTGTAAGGTGAGCAAGGTGAGTTCGTAACGCCGGCGGTCGCAGAAAGACGCTCACCTGTCATCAAATCAACGTAGAAGACCCACATGCTTTTGTTCTCCCAAGGAGGGGCATTTTCACCACCACGATATGCAGCACGACGAAACTCCCAGATAGACAACGCATATTTCGCCATTGCATTCAAAGCGCTTGCCATGAGAATGGCATACTCCAGGCGAAAGATATTCAGAAAAGGAGATTGTACTCTTGGCTTTCATGCTGCTCACCTCGCTTGCAAACAGCACCATTGCCCCCACACCATTAGCTAAAATGCTTTCCACAGCAAATCCGAGCATGACGAAGTTGGTGATCCACAGAAGGACAAAAAGGCTGTTGATCCTGACATGGAAGAGCGCAGGTGGTCCTGGATATGGCATTTGATCCATCTACGCATATATGAACCTAGAGCTTGAATAAAGAGTGACGTTCATACATACCCATTCAACTCGATCAGCCATGAGCCAGTGAAATGACTTGACGAAGAGAAGGAAGCCAAACATGATAGCAAAAGGAATGTCGAACTCATCTCGAAAGATGGTGAAAGCGAGCAGTGACTCCGTAACGAAGAACCACATTCTGTCGTAAAGTCGCTGGCGCCGAAGAGAGGGTGTCAAGAGATGGATTGCGTCGTGAGGTTTAGACACTTACCTCCACCTCCAATGGTCTCAGCGAGCCAAAGAATATTTGCTGTACGATCCTCCCTATGACCAAGGCGACAAGGAGACTGAAGTTCGCTAGCACCTTGAATGTTGTGGCACCGACGTCATTCTGATGATACATCTGGAGAAGCTGGAAAACGCACGAGTATGCTTCTGCTGCTCTTCGACAAGTAGACAGTGACGGAATAGAAATTGCTGTGAATCTGCAGAGCATTGGCGATCACAACGGAAATCGCGACTGTCGAGGACAAAGTGTACAAAAGAACTCGGTGAGACACTAGTGTTCCGGCTAAAGACTGCAAGCGAGGGCGGAGAATATCCATCATGGACATGACTGCTATCAGACAATGGCTCGTAGGTTGTGGCCCTCTCAGAGCGTCGTCGATTCAAATGATTCGAGCAGCGAGCAAGCGATGGTGGTGGTCACAGCGCATTGGGAGACACGACAACAGTCGACGTGGCTGACGGAATAACACGTGGGGCTAATATTAGTCGGTCGCTTCTGTAGCCTTGTACTCTCAACAGATCGCAGAAAAAACTGCAAAAATACGCTCTTATGCTGGACGTCATGCAGCAAAGTCTCTCTCCAATTCCGTTCACATCGGTCGTTGCGAGATGAGTTTCTAATCGCAGTACAGGATATGCGCGGCTGGCTGTCACAGCGTCCTCAAACGTTGTTTTCTGGAAATTTCACAAGCGCCTAGTAGGCGAAGAGCGCTGACACTTCGCTGCAACGCACGTATGCCGTTTTTTTTAAATGTTTTTCCGACGCCTCCCAACATTCAACGTCGACCCTTCGGGTACGTGGATCAGGTTCAGAGCACAGTTGCAATCTGGTGCGATCTGTAACGATACCCACGGCAATAGACGCCCAAAGCGTGTGTAGCGCTCATCCGGATATCCGGATTTGGGCGCTCCAACAGGGCCTAAGCGCCTGTGACGAGACCCCAAGCACAGAGCGAATTTTCGTATGTCCTCCTCTGTCACACATTTGCCACACTCGAATCTCAATTGATGCCTTGCCGTGCATTCTCAGATTCAAATCCCTATAAATTTGGCCTTGGCCGTTCGTCAACTCCGTTCCCATCCCTCTTCTACGCTAGTCGCAAGTCATCATGTCCGACTTGCGCCAACGCTCTCCGTCGTTCGGGAAAGCCGACTTGAAGAACGAACGCAATGGTTATACTAAGAGCCCGACCATATCGCCTACCAGCGGAAGGCTTTTCACTCGAATTCTCTATGCTATCTCCGCAGGAGCTGCTCTCTTCTACATCTCATCCCTTAGCACCCGAGGGATCGATTTACCACACACCTATGCGCTGTGTTCAAAGGATGGTCCTAACATCTACACTGTCGATCCTGCCAAGCCACAAGTAGATTGTATTACCATCCAAGGCTCCGAAATATTGAGCATCGGCTCGTTCGGTGAGTTATAAGGTTCCCTGAGTACGTGGAAGCGTAGTTGTAACGTGAAATTCAAGAGGAGATACAGAGAGACTGGGCTGCGTTCACTGCAACTACCCAAAAGCGCGCCGGAGTATCCATTTCCCAGCCCCACCTTCAGACACGCTTCATCAAACCGGGATCAATTGTCGTACCAGGCCTGAGCGGTAGGAACTGTCTTTTCGACCTGATATGGTTGTATCTGATTTAAAATCATAGATTCGCATGCTCACATGCTCGAGTATGGTGCCAGTCTTCAAATTCCGCTTGAAAGTGCGAAAACGGAAATAGGTGAGTAAATTTTCATTCTAGTCGTTGGATACAGCCATCAAATTTTATCTACTCAGCCGCAGTTGCCTCCGTACGCCAGTATATACTTTCCGACTCGGATATCCGAAACAACAAGGATAAATTTGTCGAAGGATGGGGCTGGGACCATACTAGGTGGCCTGGTCAGGAATTTCCGACTGCAGTACGTATATTCTGTGCACTCCCCTTCAGGGTCGGCTTAAACTGTTAAATAGGCTACTCTGGATGCGGATCCTGTCGTTCGAGAACATAATATTGTCTTACAGAGCAAGGACGGCCATGCCATTTGGGTCAATTCCAAGGTTCTCGATGCCATCTCCCCTCTCCCCGATTCCGTTGAAGGGGGCGTCATCGTACGGGATGCTGCTGGCAACCCGACAGGTAGCTATAAGCATCGAACTCTTTGTCACGGTCTATTGACAATGAATTACTAGGCTGTTTGCTCGACAATGCACAATATTTGGTTCCTGTTCCTCCGCCTACCCAACGAGATCTTGAGAAGCGTTTCAACAGTGTTGTTCATTACGCCGTGTCACATGGTTTAACGTCTGTCCACGACGCTGGCTTTGACCCAAAGTCTTTGGAGTTCTTCAAAAAGTTAGTGGTTGCTGCGATCTATCATTTGGCTGTGTTTGACCATGATTTTCAGCCTCGCAGCGGCAGGAAAATTATCAGTATGCCCGTAACATAGTTTCACGGTCTCAATGAACTTATAACTCCTTCCAGCTTCGTATCTATGGAATGACTTACTTCAACGAATCGGCCGAGTACTGGGGGGACAAGGTTAAACCTATTATTGGAGCCGCCAACGGTCGTTTCACCGCACGAAGCGTCAAAATCTTCGCAGACGGTGTGTAATTGTTTACGACGTCAAGTTCGTGTGAATGTTCACGTCTTCCACAGGCGCGCTAAGGTCCGGCGGTTCGGCAGTAAGTCTATTGACTCTCCTCTGACGAGCCAATAACTGATCTCATTCAACAGCTGTTCGAACCGTACACCGATAATCCAGAAACAAGGGGATTCATGCGAATCGAGCCAGAGGTTATGAATTCATTCATCCCGCGCTTCTTGAAAGACGGTTGGCAAGTAGTGCGTTTCATTCTTTTTTTGGCGTCCATACATGCCCCCTTATCGATTGTTCCAGAATGTCCATGCTATCGGAGATAGAGCGAACGCACTTGTTTTAGATGTATTTGAATCTGCCCTCAAAGGCATGGATGTGGCTGCCTTGAGGCCTCGAATTGAACATGCACAAATGATTCGGCATGTCGATATGGCTCGGATGGCACGACTGAATGGTGTGCAGATACCTCTCCTTTTACTCCTCGTCTGACCTTAACGCCCTAGTGATCGCAAGTATCCAACCTACTCATGCGTGAGTTGACTGTCATTTTCTACTCGAGATTATTGACTAACATAACGTCATAGTCCGAGCGACATGTACTTCGCCGAAGATCGCTTGGTAATACGATCATCTTGCTGCTTCCAACTCACAATCCTGAACCCGAGCTATCTTAGGGTCCAGAACGTGTGAAACTGTTATACGCCTTCCGTTCCATTGTTGACTACGGCGCAAGAATTACTCTGGGCTCAGACGCTCCTGTCGAAACTTTGAACCCTATGAACGGGTTCTTTGCTGCGGTCACGAGACTGGCCCCAGATGGCACCTCTGTACACGGTCCGGACGGCTGGTAAGTTTGCGGACCACCGATGAACTTTGCGTGAGACCCTCAATCTTCAAACTAGGTTCCCTGAACAGCGTCTATCTCGTGAAGAAGCTCTAAAAGGCATGCTTCAACATGATTCTGATACGTATGTTACCGTAGTGCTGACTTTCCAACTCTGATAAAGGAATGACGATCGACGCTGCGTACGCGTCGTTTACAGAGTCCACTTTGGGCTCCCTCACTCCAGGCAAGCGCGCCGATTATGCGGTGCTGTCCAAGAACATTATGACTGTCCCCGCAATGGAAATCCTCGATACCGAGGTGCTCGTGACTGCTCTCGACGGGCGGCCGGTGTATGGGGGGCTCTGATTGCGGATGTATGAATGAAATGATTCTTTCAGCTTCAGTGCTTATATTCGGCCGTTGAAGAGTGGTTTCCACCGCTGTCGGAGGCCCTGTTTATCGTTCGAAGAAGCAACTGTGTTTTCGTTGTCTTATGAAGATCTTCTGTGGTCTATATACCCTGTCTTTTTAGTTTCCTCCGTCCGGTCTCTGGGTCGCACAAATCTTTATCGCAGACGTGTCAGAGAAATGATTGGGTGCCTGTATGGTGGTACGCAAGACACTGAGTGCCTCAAATATCGGCCGAAAAATAACCTCTTTATGCCACTGTCATCTCATTTCTGGAATGTCTTCTCGTTGACTACTACTTATACTAGCCCTTTGACAGAAATTACATCTATAGCACGTGACACGAAAGAGAGCCTGTCAGACGCGTCGCGACGCGACATTGCTTCAAGTTTATTCTCCCACCTCCGTTTTGTTAGCTATGTCGTATTTCCAGATGCCAGCCCATACCTCCACTGTCTCTTTGAAGCGAAAGTCCGACGTCGAATACAGCAGTCGGAAACGGCAAATCATTGACACCGATGAACAGGACTCACACGCAAACACTGGAGTAGGGGAGAGATATTGGATGGTACAATGGTAGGTGTAATAGAAATGCCACTCATTATGACTTACTTGAGCGTCTCATTTACATATAGGAGAGCTCCGCAGTCTAAAAAGCACAAGACATGGCAGGGCGACGGTATCCTCGTTGTGAATGGACCAAGGGCTACTCTTCTTGATCAGGATGGCAAGCTGTATGTACAATGTCTTTCGTCGCTTCAAATTTGGACTCAAAGCCTTCTATGAAGGCTTACAACAGGAAAAACGGGCTCACAGACGATTTCGGAGGACGCTGAGGTGCATATAGGCAACAAAGAACTCCAAATTGACCGCGTCGTTTCTCGGTCGGAATACATGTCTGGGAAATGCTTTGGGCGCAATGCTATAAATGCCTCCGAAGGGCCATCGACAACGAACCTCGGCACCTTTGCGAAGAAGTTTGTTCCTCTCAAACCTGTTGCCATGAACGCGTCCAGAGCGATTGCCGCAGGGCCAGGCTCCAAAAAGAAGGGTATAGAGTTGGAACCTGTGAACCTTATGTCCGGCACTCAGCATTCCCCAGCGAGCGGTCCATCTCAAGAGAAAGTTCTAGAACAAAGCTGGACTGCCAACTGGTACATCTAGCTTATGGATATATTGACACAACTGACTTTCCATCAGGAGAAAGCCTCAACAGAAGAAATACAAGACTTGGGAAGGAGATGCCTACGTGATCTTTCGAGACGGAAAGCTGACCCTGATCTCTGAGATTGGTAAAGTGTAAGATATTCAAGATTTCAAGTGTAACTCCATTCAGGAACTGATATGTCCATTCAGCCTTGGGACGAAGTCATGGGAAGGCCTACGGCTATACTCTGGTCATATCATGTATATCGGTGGCCGAGAAATACAGCTGGATGCGCAAATTCCATCACACAGACTACCTACGATCACAGGAATGTCACCGGAAATGGAGAACGGATGTGATATCGAGCCTGCCGAGTCCCTTAGCGCCGATATAGTGTCACCCTTTCTTGTGCAGGCGCGCGCCTCAGTCCTGCAGTCGCCCATAAAGAATTCCAGCTCTTCGATTAAGCAATTCATTCCGCCGACGTCGTTCTATGGAAAGCCTTCGCCAAAGCTGAGAGCGAAAGGACCATTGTGAGCATCTGATCCGTTGAAGGACCATGGCTGACCTCTTTTAATAAGACATGACCCTGAAATGGAGGGCGCAGTTGTCATGAAGGCGCCTACTCCAGAACACATCGCGCGCAATAATAAGAAGTAAGCTTGTAAATATCATTTGCTTTTTATATTAAAACATATCGTCCATTTTTCAGAAACTTGTCGGTGGTCCCTGTTGTGATAGATCCTATTCTTGCCCGCCGACTCAGGCCTCACCAAGTAGAAGGTTCGTTTCACAATGGCTCATCAGCAGACATGTGTTCTATCATTCCTGTGTTGATCAGGTGTCAAATTCATGTATGAGTGCGTCATGGGACTTCGGGAGCATGATGGTCAAGGATGCATCCTGGCTGATGAGATGTATGCAGTTATGTTGCATATGTTTGAAATTGTCTAATTCTCATGTTTGTTACTCGTGTAGGGGCATGGGGAAAACCCTTCAGGTGGGATTGACTGAATCACAACCCATGAAATCACTGATGTCATTTTTAGACGATCTCTCTGGTCTGGACCTTACTCAGTATGTTGTGACTGTGAATCTTTCCGGCTTTGGCTCCGAAACTTATATAGTTTTAGGGCAAAATCCGTATGCTGGGGCTGGTCCCGTAGTTGGAAAGGTCCTCATAGTGTGCCCTGTCACATTGATCACTGTGCGTGTAGATGTAGACTCTGTTCGTGCAGCCAGATTCTCATTTGTCTCCCGCGGCAGAACTGGAAAAATGAGTTTCATAAGTGGTAGGTCTGCTATCGTTGCGGATGATTGCTTCGCTGATTGAATTCAGGTTGGGAAGAGATAGAGTGGGGATATTTACTGGCGACAAGAATAAATCAACGATCAAGCAATTCATCAATTCGTACGAGTTCGGTCGCTAGTGTACATTCAATGTCTGACGAGCTTATAGGAAGATCCACCACGTTTTGATCATAGGTTACGAGCGTCTGAGGAGCGTTATGTGCGCATTTTATTGTCACATCCACACTCGTCATGATGTTGATCAATCGAACTCAGTGCCGAGCTGGCTTATTGCATGTAAGATATTAAGAAAATAAGACCCGAAACTGCACCTCATACTGAACTACAGGCCGCCCATTGGCCTGATAATTGCAGATGAAGGTACGCTCTAATCTAAATGCTGGATATAGCATTCACGGTCTCGCAGGACATAGACTCAAATCGGCAAATAACAAAACATCCACTATGTTTGAAGCGTTGAAGACGCAGAGGCGTATCATTCTGTCCGGTACCCCAATCCAGAATGACCTCAGCGAATTCCATGCTATGGTAAGAACATGTCCATAACTATTGATAATGTATTGAGTATCATAAAGGCCGATTTCTGCAATCCCGGTTTACTGGGTAAGTATCGGAATGAATCCGGACATGTTGTCCTTACGCATGATCACAGATGACTACAGCAAATTCCGCCGTAATTATGAGACGCCTATCCTCCGCAGTCGCGCACCAGGCTGTTCCGCCAAAGAAGCTGAAATCGGCGAAAGCCGATCGGCCCAGGTAGGAGATTACTGAAATGTTTTCTTCAGAAAATTGACCGCGGCAACTAGTTACAAGCCATGTCACGCAGTTTCGTTCTTAGGAGAGATGCCACTATCTTGAAAAACTACCTACCTCCAAAGAGCTAGTATCTCACCGATCTCTGTATGCGTCACGCTGACATATGACTGTGCTCTAGATGAATATGTTGTCTTCGTGACGCCAACTGCTCTTCAGTTATCAATATTCTCCAAGATCCTGAACCCTGACAAACTCGACAATATCATTCAAGATTCGACAGCCGAATCTCTGGCCTTGATCAATATGCTAACAAAGATTAGCAACAGCCCAATTCTCCTGAAAGCGGTCGCAGATAAAGCGAAATCCAAGGTAAACCATAGTGGAGATAATGTCGCCAAAACCACTGTTGTCCAGGAGGCTGTGAAGCTACTTCCAGAGGGAGCTCGGGTTGAGGATGTGTCATTGAGCGGTCAGAATTCTAGGCATCATCGATATGGCACATGTCTGACTGTGGCTTCCAGGCAAACTTGCTGCGTTAGCCAACCTTCTGCGGCTTATTCGCAAGGTATGTAAGGCTGGTTATAATTAAATTAGGGCGTGCCATGATAGCCTGAATTGAACCCACGCAGAATACGGACGAAAAGTGTATCATAGTCTCACATTACACTTCGACACTCAACATCATAGAAGCTTTCTGCAAGAAGAAATCCTACACCTACCTCCGGCTCGATGGGTATGTTCGCGATCAATGGAGCCTGAAGTAATGCTGAACAAGGCTACAAAAGGCAAACACCAGCACCGAAACGCCAAGAACATGTCAACACCTTTAATAAAACAGTTCAAGAACGCTGTTGTGAGTTGTTATCCTACGTTGTGGGAAGATCATCTGATTTTTTTGGTTCTATCCCGAAGTCATTTTCCTCTTAAGCTCCAAAGCTGGCGGTGTCGGATTAAATCTAATAGGTGCATCGAGATTATGCCTCATTGACTCTGACTGGAATCCCAGGTAGGATCCTTCCATGTTTTGTCACTCCGGATCTGACTATCATACCTCTAAGCCATGACCTTCAGTCTATGGCCCGAATCCATCGGTATGTACCTCAGGCAGCGTCATCATGCAGTGATGGTGGTTGACTAGTTCCCGAAGCGATGGCCAAAAGCGCGAGGTTTTCATTTACCGCTTTCTAACTGCTGGTACTATCGATGGTGTGCCCTTTACATGTTCTGAAGGTTATGGAGCGACCTAATTCTTGTTCAGAGAAGATATATCAGCGTCAAGTGACGAAGCTGGGACTGAGCAGCAGTAAGTCCAGCTCTCAATTACTGTTCCTCGTGTTTCGAGGTTGACCTTGACAAAATCAGCACTTATCGGCAATGTAAGTATTTCTCGACAGCCATTTTTCGGAAACAATCTTATTCGATATCATCAAGGGAAAATCGGAATCTAAATCGGACTCGTTCACTTCAAAAGAGGTGAGTCTCCGAACGGAGAAAGCGACGTTCCGAGTTTGATTCATTCTTACCAGCTCAGAGATATCTTCACAATTCACCCTCATACAACCTGCCACACTCACGACCTGTTGGAATGCACCTGCGATCGTGACGATGTATCTGCTGGAGATATAGACCTAACAACCTCTGACATCATTGTAGACGATGAGGATGTCAATATGACCTCTGGGTTCACCGCCGCGTCCAATATCAAGGTAGATAAAATAGATAGAGCGGTAGGTGTCAGCCAGATCCTATATGGCGGTTTATGCTGAACACCGCTTTAGTACATGAAGAAGAAAAAGGCAGATTTAGCGGCGCTTGGAGAATGGAAACATATCAACTGCCTCCAGGCGGGTGCACGCGACAACATCAAAGACGAGATACTACGTCGACTAGTGTATATTCCGGAGCCCAAACGTAACAAGGCTCCCATAACTCAGACAAACGACTCCAAGACCAGAATCGATTCTCTTCTCGAGGCCATAGATCTGGAGAATGTCACAGGCACCGACATGAATCTTGAGCTTACAGTTGATGACGTTCCAGGAGGTACACTTTCTTTCTTGTTTGAGAGAGGTTCTATTGTATCGATGGATGACGACGAGTCGGAAAGAGATGATTCTCAGTGATTGACAGACACAGATCATGATTCATCATCTTAACCAAGTACCCCTCTGCTTTCCGAGCCTCCATTTCATGATCGCAGACGATACACCTCTATACGTACCATATAGCACTACACACTACGCTATAATGCAAATTTGGTGAAACTCAATCAATGGCTATCAAGCTTTTAAGACGCGATGAGAACAAACGCGTCGAGTCACTTATCCGTGACGTGTGACTCTTCGCGCATATTGATCGATTGACTTCGATTGATCACTTGCGCTGCGTTGCAGCCTATGAGGGACCAACCCGGACAAAAGTCAAAACTTTTATCTCAAAAACACCTGTTTCTCAACAAATCTCAGCAATTCCATTCTACTGAACTCACAAATTTTCAACCTCTCGAAAACTCTTTCTAGATACTCAACAGTTGTCAATATTTGCCAACAATCTTCAAGTCTGCAACATAGCCCTTAACCCAACAATATCCAACAATTGCTAACAATCAGCTAGGGCCAGATCAGGAATCTGACTGCCGAGACCTAGCTTTTACTAGGTCCACTAGAGATAGAAGTGTCTAGAGATAGCTAGTGATGACTTGATATTTCAGTCTCAGTCTGTGTAGATAATCCAAGCTTGATCCTTTCCAAAACAGGAAAGTAACTCTAGTCAAGTCTTGCAAGGTAAGCAGGTGTCTCTTAAGATACCACTATCTATGATCAGAGACAGCTCTAGGATTATCTTGTAAAACAATAGTAGGCACAATATAAAGCATGGAATAGCTTGCTTATTCCAACTCTTTACTTTATCTGATGTTTTTAAAAGGAAAATTTGAAACCATCATATTGTCAGAAAGATCATTACAAGCTATACTAGAGTATACTAGAGTATACTACAGAATTGAAGGCCCTTTGTATGAGAGCAGAGGGCCTGCAATGGAAAGGATATGACCAGCACTAAACATGAGCAAAGGAGAGTGTAGGTGAAACCTGTGCTAGAATAATAAGCCTGTGGGGGAAGGATGGGCCTATGCTCATCTTGAACAAGTGCAGGCAGAGATGCTTGGTAGCAGTGGTAGTAGGGGCCATTAGAGAAAAGCTCTGTATTAAATTAACCATAGTTAAGCATAAATATAGCTATATACCATTAAGGATTTTTAGCTAACTCCCCCTCTAATCCTGAAATTATAAGATCTAATTACAGCTAATTAAAGCCAATTTATTATGAGGATTTTTGGAAAAAAATCAACCAACCCACTTCTGTAGTTTCTCTACTACTACTACATCTCTAATCACAGAATATGTATAGAGCTTACTAATCAAACTAAAGTCACATCTTATTATAAACTTGCCCATTACCAGAATTGAACCAATAACCTCATGCCTACATACCCCAGACTAGTGCTCTAAACCACTGAGCCATAAGATCTAAACTATATACCTGGTAACCTAAATATGTTAATATAAATAAGGCAATCTCAATATTTCTGATTTTCTTATATATTTATCTTTCATCTATTTTATATATACAAAGGTTAATAAATGCCCTAAAAATCAGGGCTAATATTTGAATTTGGGCACTAGACAATAATATAGTAAACTAATAGAAAATAAAGAATATGGTGAAATAATATTATAGCACTTATATAATTTGGATTTGGAATATATAAAATTATAATTGGGTTGTAGATTCCAATGGGACTATAGTAGTATAGACATAATTACCTTTACTTGCAGATTTGATTATAAAGTAAATTATGGATAATATATTCTAATTAGCTTAGATTAGTATTTTGAATAATTAGATCTAATTAAGAGAGGAGGTTTTTCTAGATGTTTATATGTGCTTGGATGCTCAGATAAGAAGTGACATCTTAGAAATATACCTATCCACTAATAAGGCAAGTATCCTACAATGGCCTTATCCTCTTATTATGGCTGACCTCTTTTTTTCCCTATTTTCCATTTAGATATCCCTTTTACTACATGCTGAGAAGCCTTATAGGCTTTCACCCACTCCTATCTCTTTGTCATGTATTTTTGCTTAGACTACTCCTCATTCTTACACTGTCTTACTGCTTTTAGTTATTATATTCTGCTTACACATATATACTCTTCTCATAATGTTAGTTGTTTGATCTGCCCTCATTCACACATGCATCAAACAACTCCCCTTATCCACAAGGATCACCAAAAACATAGACTCATATTGTAGGCCATGGCAAGTTTCTTATCTCATTTCCTTACCTAGCATATTTCTTTATTCTTTATGCACATATTCTTTTAGCTTCTAGTTGTGATATACAATGACTTCAAAACTGAAGTTCTTGTAAGGTATGGCATTAGCCCCTCATGTCACACCACAATTTTTTTTTGTCTCTGAACCCAGATTTTTGGACTTAGGGAAGCTGGTTTTAGAACAAATCTGCTGTCTCGAAGGACAGGAAAAAGTCTAACCCTAACCCTAAAGATGGCGAAAATCATCTCGAAGACCCAACATCTTTGTGTTTATTGCGATGACCAGATGCTTTCTTCTTCATTGCAATGACCAAATTCTTTATTTAAACGGAGAGGCATAAGAAGTAGTCCACAGGTATATATCATAGCTGGGCAATCACAGAAATTGTACAATTATTCTGAATATTTGCTGCTGCTGTCACACATCGCGTGATGTGACAAACGGCGAAATTTCTGGGGAAAAGTCCCCACCAAGAATTTTTGAGGATTTTGAAAAAGTGCTCCAACCAGTCAGAAGGGTTCATATTAAAGGCCCTTTTTGTACATTATCATGGCCAAATAACCACTTTTGAAAGAGCCTTAGGCAATCTCATTTCGCGCCGCAGATTTGTCACGAAGTGGCTAACGCTATCATACTTGTAAGCTAGTGGGTTATCACAGGCATGATTCGGTTTCTATACGGTATTGACCGCAGTCACTCTATTAGCGAGGGCGGCTTCTGTGCGGGGATGCCTTCGATGCGAGGTCAGGGAATTTCCCTTTTGGCGGGCGCAATACGCCTAAGCACTATTATAGCGTGCCGTATGGGCAGGGCCGCATGCTCTTAACCTCCTTGGGGCTCACTTTGGCCCATGGTGCAATCACTCTTGAAGCTCGAGTCTGCATAGCGCGAAGACGATTGCTCCTTGAAGCAAGCAAGATTGCGATTAGGGCTGCTTAATTTCAAATTCAGTAGCGAATCAACGACGAACGGAAGTATATTGAAATTCAAGTCTCTACGTTCCTTTCCATCACCGCGCTTATGTTCGACACCTCTGCAGCCTGTGTCGTTACACCCATATCTTACTACAGGCTACCATCATCGACATAATACCTCGAAGGCGAACTGTGGGTAGAAGACATACCAGCATCTACAGCAACAAACTTATTATGTCTTCACAAGGTACGGTGGAGGCCAGGCAAATACTAATCAATATGTCCGCGAAGCGCTTTACTCTGACCGCCTGGGCACAACCTAAGCGCTTCCTCCTTGATATCTACGGAGACTCGGGGCTCAAAGAATCACATCGACTTGAGCATTGTGAGCAGTATCATGTCATCGTCTACTGCGAGCTTGCTTCTTCACCAGTGAGTTCCTTTGTATTACGCGCCTATATGACCACTCGGAGACAAACACGGACAGGTTCAATCATTGTCGCACAGGGGTAAGGGGCGAAGCACTGGCGAAGCTCGAAAGTCAGAATGCAGTAGGTGCCCTTGACCGTCGGGTCTTCGTTACGTTTAGACGAAGGATATTGGCAATACACTAGCCGGGGATATAGTATGTAAGTTTCTGTATATGCACCTGTATTTCTTTGGCGCATAAATAGGCGGGGCTGCACTTGCAGTTTCAACAACATTCCATATCATGGGTCTCACTTACAGCTCCTTGACTGCCTTTTCAATCGCTGTAGTTGCGGTGGCCGCACTTGCACTGCTCAAATCTCTTTTCAGGCGCCGTCTGCTCAAGGACATCCAAGGCCCTCCATCCAATTCATTCTGGTTGGGCACGTATCCTGTGCACTTGTTCCTCGGTCTTTATTCTGATTTGTTTCTTCCTAGGCCACGAGAAGGATCTGCGCTACCAGAATGAAGTCGGTGACCTCGACTTCCAATGGATGAGCCAGTACGGAACCGCTTGGCGTGTAGACGGTTGCATGGGTGTAGGAAACGTCTCGTTGTCTAATCGACGCCTCATTTCTGATGTTTTGTAATACTGCAGGAAGATATCCTTATGTTGGTTGACCCTAAGGCTCTGCAACACATCCTGCAGGCTGCCGGTTACAAATATCCCAAGAGCGCCGAGGATCGCCAGTTCTTGAGGATGGTGACCGGAGAGGGCCTCGCGTGGGCGCATGGTATGCATACTCTTGTCTTGTTTACCTCACTCACCCACGAGCCACGGATTGCAGGTGAGGACCACAGTCGGCAGAGAAAGATTATGAATCCCGCATTCTCTTCGACACAGCTGAAGACTTTCCTTCCCCTGTTCCATTTCCGAGCTTCGCAGGTATTTTTACACGGTTATCCCATATCTTCTCAAGTCTCACACCGTGTCCAAGTTGGTACAGAAGTGGGAGAACTTGATCGCAGGCGATGTGTCCAACGCGCCTGTCCTCAATGTCGCAAGCTGGCTCTCGCGTATGACGCTTGATGTCATCGGAGAAGGCATGTTGCATCCTGTTGACCACGTTTGCGGCTAGTCGCTGACGTGCTTGCCCTGCAGCTGGCTTCGGCTTCGAGTTTGGAGCTCTTGACGACACTAAAAGCGAGTTCATGAACAACTGGGACAGCCTTTTGTATGTAATTTTGACTCCGTTGCCCTCTTCGATAGTCTGCTCACCTGTTTGCTTCGGTCACAGCATCGACTCGACTTTATACCCCGCGCCGCTTGACCTCCTGGCCAAGTCGTTCTTCAATTCTATTCCCACAAGTGTGTTATATTATACCCGCTACCTCCCATCGCGCGAGTATCGCAGGTTCCGCGAATACCTGGATTTTGCGAGGGTAATCTCGCGAGATATCATCCGAAAGAGCGAAGCCCGCGGCGATGGGAAAGACGTCATGAGCGTCCTTGTGCGTGCGAACGCGTCGGAGAACCCGAAGACCAAGCTTTCGGAGCCGGAGGTCATCGACCAGATCTCGTGCGTGTTTTTGCCGTTCCTTCAAGTTTGACGTCACCGTTACCGGCGATCATCCTTCTGCAGGACGCTCATGCTGGCCGGCCACGACACCACGGCGGCCACGGCGTCATGGGTGCTCTGGGAACTCGCCAAGGACCCAGAGTTCCAGAGAAAGGCTCGAGAGGAGATCAGAGCTGCGCGTGCACAGGTCACCGCGCGCGGCGATGCCGACTTCTCGATGGCAGACCTCGAGGGGTTGACCCTGATGCAGGCGGCGATGAAGGTGCGCAGGCGCATCGGACGCTGTGATTTTCCAATTCTCAAGACGTGCCACGAGACTTAACAGGAGGGCATGCGCTTGCACCCTATTCTCTGGCACATCTCTCGGTACGCCGAGAAAGACGACGTCATCCCGCTTGCCCAGCCCATCGTCACGAAGTCGGGGAAACAGATTTCGTCGATCCCCGTCAGCAAGGGGACCAAAGTTAAGCTCTCTCTGTGCGCGTACAACAGGTGAGACGTGCCGGTTCCCCCCTCTCCCATAGCACCGCTGAAAAATAATATTTTGAAACCGCTAGATTGCCTAGCATCTGGGGCGAGGATGCAGACCGGTGGAACCCCAATCGCTGGATCGGCATGGACAGCTCGAAGCAGACCTCCGTAGGCGTGTATTCGAATCTGTAAGCCTTCGCTCTACGTACGTTTCGAGATCGATTGACAAGCGGAGTCCCCTCTAGGCTCACCTTTTGTAAGTCGAGACAGCTAAATATGGTGCATTTTCGATGACTGACAACCGAGCGATAGCCGCTGGCATTCGTTCTTGCATAGGGTAAGCTCGAGACGTATGACCTGATTCGCTGCAACGTCCTGATTTTTCCTCCCTTCACAGATGGAAGTTCGCGTACGTGATTTGATTCGCATGGAGTCTGAGACTGCGTTGACCCTGTCCGCGCTTCTTTCCAGGGTGATCGAGCTACAGGCGATTTTGGCGAGCGTGCTGGAAAAGTTCGAATTCGCGATGCCGCCCGACGCGGACAAGCACCCTGTTTGCAGGAAACCCACCTTGGTGATGACACCGATCGTCGAAGGGCACCGGGGGACTTGGTTGGGTCTGACGGTCAAGAACGTGGCGTAGTAAGTGTGAGACGCCTGTGTAAATGGCCGTAGTACGTAGTGCCATGCGCCTGTGTAAATGGCCGTAGTACGTAGTGCCATGCCATAGACTTGTTGTATATGATCCGTTGTGTCATGTTAGTTGCTTTGCCGTTACGCGTGCGGAAGGTGAAGGACTGAAGCGTCGGTGAAGGACTGAAGCGTCGGTGAAGGACTGAAGCGTCGGTGAAGGACTGAAGCGTCGGTGAAGGACTGAAGCGTCGGTGGATGATATGGCGCGCGGCGGGCACGCGTGGAGTGATCCGGAATAGGAAGTGAGCTTGGACGCGACGAAGGAAGTAGCAGCAGCGCTTGAGCACGTCCGATGTCGCACTCCCCTGCCAAACCTCGTCAGTTCTCCGCCCCAATGCAGTCAAAGTCCACAGGCATACCCACCCCAGGCAGGCTGCGCTCCCCCTCCACAACACACATCCCTCTCTCCCTCCCCGACAACGACACAATGAACGCAGCCTTCGCAGACGCTGTCAAGGCAAACGACCCCGCCGCACACAGGCCCATCCAACCCCACAACACCGGCCCCGCATCCTACTCGCACCTCCCACAGTCGGGTCGCAGGTCCGTCGTGGGCCGCCCCCCCTCCGTCGCGTCCTCCTCCTCTGCTGCCGCCTCCATCCCCTTCAGAGCCATCCCACCGCGCTCGAAAACACCAACAACGCGCCCGGCAAGTCGCCAGTCGGCCGCATTCGACAAGGGCCCTGCTCGAGTCGACAGATCGTTCGACGTCGGGGATAACGTTCGCATCGAGAGTCTCGGCTTCGAGGGGACGCTCAGGTTCATCGGCGAGATTGATGGGAAATCAGGCCAGTGGGCAGGCGTCGAGCTCGGCGGCGGCTTTGCGGGCAAGGGAAAGAACGATGGCTCCGTCAACAAGTGAGTTCGCGCCCTTACCCCCTCAAAACATGTTTCCTGTGCGATACGATGCCACGCATTCTGTCTCGTTTCGTGTTGGTCATTTATACATTCATTCAGATCGACCCGTCACTAATCCCATCTAGCTTCGCGCACAATGCCCCCAGCGATCTCCATACATGCGCCGTGCTTCTTCGTCTTCTGCCCCATCTAACAGTCTCTCGTTGATCGTCTCGCACGATGACTGATTTTTATTGGTTGTAGTAAACATTATTTCGTCTGCCCACCGAAGTGCGGTGTCTTCGTGGCGCTCGCCAAACTGTCCCCCCCAACGGTCGGGCCTGGTAGCATCTCTCGACCGTCCTCGGTCGCCTCGTCTCGCAGCGGCCGAGTCACCCCGTCAGTTTCGGGTCGCATAACGCCTTCGTACGGCCTCAAGAACAACGGCCGCGTCACCCCGTCCATGTCGACGAGCAGGGTCACCTCAGCCGTCACGCCCGCCGCCCGGACACGCACAAAAACGCCAGCGTCGGCAGCGACGCCCAAGGCGCGCACGTCCCCGAACGGGTACGAGGCCGTCACCCCAGGCTCCCGCGCGTCGCGCTACGTCGGCGTCACCGCAAAACAGCTCACCTCGCGCGCACCGGGGGGGCCGCCCATCCCTCCGAGCCCCACGCGATTCGCAGGACGCGCCTCACCCCCATCGTTGATCCACGCCGGCAAGACCCCCCGAGCTGCGCAGGGAACCAGACCTATGGGCCTCGGGATCGGCTCGCCAGCCGGGACGCCGACAAAGGGCCGCACATCCCTCATGACCCCGCGCGGTCGAATACCGAGCGCCATCGCGATGCCTCCGCCCCCCTCCCCAGGCGGGAGCTCGACCCGGAGCCAATCGGTGTCGCTGAACGACTACCCCCAGTCGTCGCCCATCCCGAACGCGTTCACCTCCAACGACCTGGAGATGAACGGCCGCGCCATTCAGGATCAGGTCGCCCAGCTGCTATCCGGCCGGGCGTCGCACGTCGCCATGCGAACGCCGCCGCCCCATTCTCCGCCGGCGTCACATGTCGCGTTCCCCCTGGCAGATTCGGCCGAGTCGCTGCGGCCACTGCAGCTCAAGCTCGAGGCGCTGCAGGCCGAGAACGACCAGCTGAAGGCGCTCGCCGAAGCACGCAAGAACGGGGAGCTCGAGTCCGTTCAGCGCGCACAGAGCCTGCAGGAAGACCGGGATCGCACGGTTGCGCGCACCGCGGAGCTCGAGATGTCGGTGAAGACCGCAGAGCGCGCGCTGAGCGAGCGGACGGCCCAAATCGAAGGCCTCGAGCGCGCGGTCGCGCATGCCGCCGCCGACGTCGAGAAGGCGAAGAGCGACGGCGAGGCGCGGCTCCGCGACCTGCAGTCCCGCCTCGACGACAAGGAATCCCTGATGAAGGACCTCAAGGGCGCGATCGAGGCGAAGGAGGCCGGCGAGAGCGAGACGAACGCCGCGCTGAAGGCGAAGAATGCGGAGATCGCGCTGCTGGAGGCGCGTGTCCAGAAGGCTTACGCGGAGCTCGAGGAAGAGCGCAGGGAGCTCGGCGGGCAAGTCGACGAGCTTCGGCAAGCTGGCCAGGTATTGTTCCTTCCGTTCACCTCATTATTCTTCTTTTGCCGACGTCGTCTATTGACAGGAAACCATCGCGTTGTACGAGGAGCGCATGAGCGCCGCCGAGACCAAGCGCTACGAGCTGGAAGATGCCATCGCCGCTCTGCAAGAGCAGTCCCGGGCCCAAACCCAGCCCCCCTCGCCGTCCGTAGCGCGCTTCTCGTCGTCTGCCGCGCAGATCGAGAACGAGACGCTGCGCGACCAGGTCGTGCACTTGCAGAGCAAGCTCGCGGCGCTCGAGGACACGCTCGAGGACGCGCGGGCGACCGCGGACAAGGAGGAGGCGATGGTGCACGACCGGATGAAGCGCTTCCGCGAGAAGGAGGAGGGGCTCCGGGCGCAGGTCGCCGAGGGCGAGAAGGAGCTCGAGCGCGTGCTCAAGTCGGAGGAGGGCGCACGTGCGCGGATCGAGGAGATCGAAGAGGCGTTCCGGGAGGCGACCGTCGCGCTGGAGAACGCGCGGGCCGAGATCGAGGTGCTGCGCGCGGAGATCGCGGTGCGTCCCGTGTTTTCTGCTTGCCCGTGTTTGGACGTGTCGCGCTCACCCGCTGTCTCCTTTTGGGGCAGAACCTCGAGGGCTTGGCTGCGGACCCGTCGTCCCCCGATGCGTCGGACAGGATCGCGGAGGTCGCGCAGCGCGCCGCTGCCGACCGCACGCGCGCGGCAGAGGAGATCGCACAGCTCAAGGCTACCGTCGAGCAGTTGCGTCTGTCCAAGGCCGAGGCGCAGCCCAACGGCGACACGAGCGATCTCGAAGAGATCGCCGAGCGGCTGTTCATTGAGAAAGATCAGGTGAGGCGACTCGCCCATTTTTTTTCTGAGCCGTTTCTTCTGAGCGAAGCTCGTTTCTCTAGCTCGAGGATCAACAGACGAAGCTGCAGGAGACGATCGCAGAACTGCGCGAGCGTCTGGAGCAGCAGGCCTCAGAGATCGAGTCCTTGCGCAAGCGGGCACAGCGCGATCTTCCAGTTCAGGACATTTTACCTGACGCGAGGCCGGCGCCCCCACCGTCGCCGTCGCGGTACGAGACCAGTGCCTTGCGCGAGGAGATCGCAGGTCTGAAGTGAGTGTCTGTGCGGTCACCTGCCCACTTTATACGCTGATTGTTGGACGACATCTCTAGGCATATCGTAGAAGAACTGCGGAGGGAAAGCGCCGCTGCGAGCCAGAGGAACAAGCTCCTCGAGTCTGAGAACAAGCTTTTGATCTCAGAAACGGACCAGCTCCGCGACGTGAGTCTTTCCAACCTCGAGATGACACGGCCGATAACTCATCGGTGGTTTAGGAAATGAAGGCCCTCGAGAACAGCGTCGAGCAGAGTTTATTGCGCGAAGAGCAGGCTCTGGAGGAGGGCTCGCCGACCATCAGCGACGACGTGGCTTCATTGCGGAGAGCACTGAAGGAGCTCAAGGCAAAGCACGAGGTACGGGTCAAGTTCGTGATCGAGATGGTGATTCAACGCTCATACGCGCGCGACGTAGACCGACATCGACCAGCTACGGAAGAAGCAGGCGGATGCGGAGCTGAAGAGCGCTCGGACGATCCACGACGTAAGCTGTTCTGGTCCCTGTTCGATCTGTGTCTGATCGTGAGGGGGGGCGCGATCTGCAGCTCAACAAGGAGGTCAGTGAACTGGAGAGTTTGATCGAGTCCAAGGTGAGCCAAGCGGCATGGCCCTCCGATTAATTCCTCATCTGACGTGCTGTATCTAGATTTATCGAGAAGTGGGTTCTATGTTTGATCTGCGCGATGAGGTTTGCTGACGAGCCGTAGGACGAGTTGGAGCAAGAGGTGGACCGGCTGAAAGACAAGCTGTCGAGAAGCCACAAGAAGTCGTCCACGCGGCTTTCGGACATCCTCAGCCACACGACCGATTCCGAGACCGTCGTGTCGGACGACACGCCCGTCGGGCCGCACGGGTCGGACGTGTGCGAGATCTGCGAGCAGCCCGGCCACGACATCTTCACCTGCGACGTGCTGAAGGGCAACGCGCCGGCGCCGTCTCGGCCACAGAGCTCCGCGTCCTCGCTGTTCTGCGAGGACTGCGAGGGCTACGGGCACACGGCGGCGGACTGCCCGCACTCGATGGACGTGTTCTGAACGGCTGTTTTATGGGTATGATACGACTTATGCAGCGCACTTTGCGATTTGTGCTTGTTCTGGTGGGCGTGTTTTCGGAACGGATTAAAATGACTTCTAGGCTCTATACATACACCTATATACCAACTGTAATCACAACAAGCTATCGACGTGTTGACTGGAAGCCTTCGCAGCAGCTGAGATGACCCGGAGCAGCGGTGACGTCAGTGACGTCATGGCTCGCAAGGTGCGTCCCCGCCCTGAAAAGGTTCGTGACACTTGTTCGTCCTCGCCTGCTCTCATCCATTTCTCAACCATGTCTTACGCCTCTGTTGCTGCACAAGACGCACCCCCGCTTTCGGAGCAGGTCCGCTTTTCTCTATTCTCATCGTGTCTGTTGGCTGAAGTCTTCCGTTGCCGTTGCAGCCCAAACCCGACCCCGCTCTCCTCAACACTGGCTCGTCTAGGTCCGACGCCGTAGCAGACGACACATCCAAAGTCAAAGTCGTCCCCGCAGACTTCAAGGATAATCTCTCTACTTTCACGTCAGAGACCCGCGAGACCATAGTCAGAGACGCCGAGCCCGCGGGCGACGAGGCTCGAAGCCATGCCCACAAGGCAGAGGCGGAGGGCCTCCACTACTGGGAAGTCGCCAAGGATCACCTGCTCAGGCCCGCTATCGCAGGCGGGCTCATTGGCATTGGTGAGCACACCTCAGCTTCGTTGGGTGCGGCGCAGTCTGCTGACAATCGAGCGTGCGCAGTGAACATTGGACTCTTTGCGGGCGCGAGCTACGCATACTATACACATCCGCCCCTTCGGCGGGACGCCAGGGCTATCGCGTCGACCGTTGCCGTCGCAGTCGCGCTCTTGGGTGGAGAAGGCTACGCCGCGGAGCAATTCCGCCAGACCCCACAAGGAAAGAAGGAAGAGCGCAGGGCGCGGGAGGAGGGGTCTCTCGTCTACAGGCACGCGCGCGAACACATTCTGAGGCCCGGAGTCTTGGGCGGGATTGTTGGCCTAGGTCGGTCATGTCCTGTGGTTCGACGCATCGCGCATGGCGCTCATGACTTACTTTTTTCCGTAGTCAATGTAGGCATCCTCGGTGCCGTCGGGTACCTCGCGTACACGAACTGGGAGAGGCCCAAGTGGGATAGACGCGCCGTGTCGGCCATTTCTGTTGGGCTGATGACGCTGTGGAGCGGCGAGGGGTGAGCTCCCTTATACTTGTTCGTGGTCGCGTCAATTCCTGACTTGCGACCCCCCCAGCTTTGTCGCGGAACGGTATCGCGAGGGGAAAATTCATCCGCCGCGGTCTTGATGGTCAAACTTTGTAGACCTTTAACATCCATTGTCGGCTGTGACTGATTAACTGTGGTTTCGTCGTATCTTACGCACAATCAATTCTTATTTCTTTCGGTCGATGTCAATCTCGCCTGCCTTCACTCCCCACTTCCTGAAACAACGGGTCAAATGGCTGCGCGGGAGAGGCCTCCATTTGTCCATATTTTTCACCATACATCGCAGCATCTAGGTCCTGTACGACAATGCGTCCCGGGGCAAACGACAGGAGTGGGCGCAGAGGGTGGACATTCTGTTATGAGCTTTCGGTCAGGTGTACTCTCTCTCTCGCATCGTCTCTGAGTGGGCCTGGAAATTAGCCGGTGTGGGAGCGGAACAATGGCGGGAAGAATGTCAACGCCCTTGTGGGGCTCTGTGGAGCCTGGACGTCTGTACGCCCACTATGAGAACGATCCTCATCATCCTTGAGCACGTAGATGCATTGGAGAGTGAGGGATGGCTTATAGGCTCTTGCTTCAACACCGCCGTCGCTGGTGACACGCATCCATCGAGGAAGCCCCGCGATAAGTCCTCGTGAAGCGCGCGCAAAAATGGGCATATGATGAGAGAATTTAAGTTATACGCTTGTAGGGGGTCTTTGATCTCAAGATCTCAAAAGTCGTCCTGCACCAGAAGCTGTGGTCTCCTCAGCGGACTGATGAACAGTCGATGATGAATCGATTGAGTGGGTCTATCCTATATGCACAGAAGCCGCAGAGTCGGCCGTAGCCTGGGTGACGTGCAATTAAGTGATATCAGTCAGCAAGACAAGTACCTTTAGTCATATATATGTTCTTAGCGGATCTGATAGGACACTTGACCAACGTCGGATGACCATGTAACCATTGATAAGTCTTCTGATAACTGCTTCCATCTCTGCGCTGCGTCGGCATGCGGCCGCGATACGATGGACGTCGCCATCTTGGCAGCAGAAAGGCGTAGATCATGGCCTCCGACAAAGATACATCACGTAGGTGATACTTGGGGTCCCGGAAAGATGAAATGCATATATACGAGGAGCAAGGGATCGTCAATCCCCCTGTCAATCTCACTTGATCTCTATATCCACCAACTTTATTAGGTCGAATGCCTTTCAGCACTTTTGCCATCGCTGGTGTCGGTAACATCGGCTCCTTCATAACTGAAGAGCTCCTCAAGCAAAAAGATGCTGGCAAGGCTGCCGAGGTTGTTGTCTTGACACGATCTGTATGTCTTGCATCTATATACCTACAATGAACGTACTGATCCTAATCGGCATAGACTTCCACCAACGATGCCACCAAGGAGCTCGCCGCCAAGGGCGCAAAGATCGCTCCTGTCGACTACACATCGAAGGCATCGCTCACCGCGGCGCTCGCCGGTGTCGAGGTTGTCATCTGCACCTTCTCCCACTTGTTTCTAGAGGGAGAACAGATTTTGGCAGAAGCAGCAAAGGCGGCCGGCGCGAGGCTTTTTGTTCCTTCAGAATTTGGAAACCCCACGGAGAATGCGGAGCATGGGCCACTAGTGGCGAAGAAGAACTTCCAAGGCAAGCTGCGCGAGATCGGACTTCCTTACGCCCTGTTTTTCACTGGTCCCTGGACTGACTTTTGTTTTGTTGGGTATGTCGTCATTCTCTGTTGGTCTTCCGTGATAGACGGCTGACGACGATCGGACGTAGGTTCATGGGCTTGGACCTCACCAGCGGCAAAGTGATCGCTGGTGGCGATGGCAATGTCCCTATCTCCTGGACTTCTCGGCGCGATGTCGGCCGTTTCGTTGCCTATGCCTTGACCACCCTTCCATCGGAGAAAATTGCTGGACGGACTTTCCGCGTTGAAGGCGAGCGTGCGGTACGTCGATGTCCGCCATTTTGATCTGCCAAGGCGGCTCACGATAAATGCGAACAGTCCCTCAACGAGATCTACAAAGCTTATGAGGCGAAGACTGGGAAAAAATTGGAAGTCACCTACAAATCTATCCCCGACCTGCAGACCGCATTTGCTAGCAATCCCCAAGATATTGCGAGCATATTACACTTCGCATGGGCCCTGGGAGGTGGAGTGGTAGGAAAGGTAGAAGATGTTACGAACGGAGAGTTCCCCGCTTTCAATCCAGGCAAGGTTCTCGAAGTGTTGAAGGTTTAAATAATGTTGAGCCGTTTGTACAAGTGTAAAAGATCTTGAGGATTTTGAAGTTAAAACCTGTGTTCTTGAGCGACCTTATGATGCGGGCTGCAAGTCTGAAGGTATAGTTCTTCTAAACGAATAAAGATAAAACCGTTTGTTTGCTCAGAGTTGTGGATTACATCCAATTTGGTCAAGATGTTGCGTCGGCGCTTATACTTACTTGGGTGTGGCTATACAGGGTACACACCATGCGTCGTGATTGGCCGTCAGGGTCGAGGGAGCACTTCCAGCACCTATCAGTCAAGCAGTGTTTAATAGGGTGCCTACTTTTGAGCTAGAACGGCATTGCGCGGTTAACAACGCTCATAGATGTAAGCTGAAACCGTTCATCCGTAGAGCTTATATTGGGAACCTAGTTTCGACGTGTCTCTGATCAAGACAATAAGGTATGCATGGGCGTGCTGATGATCATTTTGATGCATTTCAAAGTTGGTCCCACGCCCTGCAACACAATAAAAGCCCCCTGCCTCCCCGTCTCCACGCACCTTAACCTTTGAACCCAACACAACTACATTGCTGTATAATGCACGGATACTACTTCGACAACCTCCCTGGCGACGAGCGCCTCCCGCACGACTCGGGACGACCCGTGTCGATCGAGACCATCCAGGCGTTGAACATCCAGTACTGGCATGTCCCCGTCGACATCGAAGGCGGTTGGGAGAAACGCATCGAAGAACTGTCCAAGGAGAACAACTTCAAGAACCAGGACACGATCAACGTCACGGAGCAGGGTCTTGGAGACGCCTATGCCGACATTTTGAAGGAGTTCTTCGACGAGTTGAGTGTTGATTGTAACCCTAATCTCAGTGCGGCGGGACTAAGACGATGATAGGCACCTCCATGAAGACGACGAGATCCGGTATGTAGTGAAGGGAGCAGGCTATTATGATGTCCGAGGTAGGCGGTGATGCTATTGTCTGCGGTTCCGAGGCTGAATTATTGATGATATGTGTCAGAACATCCCACCGACGAATGGATCCGCATTCACATTGGTTCGGGAGACCTTATCGCTATCCCTAAGGGTATCTACCATCGCTTCATGCTTGATGAGTTGAACGAGATTGCCGGGCTGCGATTGTGGAAGGTAAGCAGCTGCTCATGCAAGTACAAAATATCAGAGCCTTGTCTGATGTATTGGATAGGACGTGCCAAACTGGACACCGCTCCCGCGCACGAAGGACACAGACACGAATGCCTATCGCCTCAAATATCTCGCTTCTCTGGAGAGTTCGAGCACGTCGAGCTCAGAGAGCTGGGCCAGCTGGATCGGGAGCGTTATCGGTCGGTTTGTCTTGTGGAAGTAGGCGCATGATGACTGCAGCTCCTGATATGTGAGATTTTTGTCTTCTATGCTTTTTCCGTCACGTTCTGTTCGCTCTTGTACCTACTACCGCCTTTACGAGAGCGTGGCGTTGTATCTTGTAATTGATTCGTTCTTTCTTCCGACTCTCACTGCTTAGGTATGGGACGGAAGCAAATAGTATTAGAGTCAATATCGTGAGTCCGGAGGCAACTCCATTGCGTACCATTGATCGATCTTCCTACTGGCGTATACTTTTTAAGCGAGCGTATATGATCCATTATTATTCGATGACTGCGCCAGAAGATTGAAGTGACAATAAGCAAAACAATAGGGCATGTCGAAGTTCTTGTCAAAACTTCCAACTCTGCGCCTGTGACTATATCTATCGTGACGGAATGTGACAATGTGGCTGCCATGGAGCTGAGGAAGTCTCCGGCCGTTGCCGATAACTCAAAGTTTTTGTACTCACCGACGCCCACGACGACGCCGACGCCGCTCAAGTTATCCGGCTGATCCTCTCACTGCCATCTTGACCACGATAACATGTCTCGATTCTTTAGACAAGCTGATGACTCCGACTCCGATACCGAGGAGTCTGAGGAGGAGCTCATGACTAGCGACGACGATGCCGCTCCTACAAAAGCGGCACCCGCCGCAAAACCAGCGATGTCTCGATTCTTAAAGACAGCTGCAGGATCGGAGTCCTCCAGCTCATCGTCGGAGGAGGACAGCGATGAGGATAGTGACGAGGACGAGAGTGATGAGGATGTGAAGAAGGTGATCAAGAGTGCTAAGGATAAGCGCTTGGACGAGATGGAGGCCACGGGAAAGACTATGAATAACGCTTTGAAGATCGACGATTGGGTCGCTGTGTCGAATGGTAAGCTTGAGTTATCATTTGTCTGCCCTTGATGTGTTTATTAGTTATTCAGCGTTCGACAAACTCGTCCGCATGGTCCAGCGTCAACAAAATATGGCGCAGCCCGTACCGCCCTTTTACATTCGCACTTTGACCTCGATGGAGTCGTCTTTGAATGCTGCCGTTGCGAACGAGAAGGGAGCCAAGAAGTTGAACGCTAGCAATGCTCGTGCTCTCACAGCTATGAAGCAGAAGGTGAAAAAAGCCATCAAGGAGCACGATAAAGAAATCAAGCAGTACCAAGCGGTATGAGAGTCAGACGATTAGTTGTCATGCGCAATTCCTGAACTCTGCGCAGGATCCAGAAGCATTCGAGCGCAGCTATACCGCTGCCTCTGCGCCAGTACAAGAGATAGCTCCCCCTAAGGCCAAAAAACCGAAAAAGCTTGATGAAGACGATCTTGACGACGATTTTACCCAGGTCGGCAAGGGCGGAAAAACTGTGCAATATACTGCTGAAGGGATCTTTAAAAATCTTGCCTCTGTTCAGGAGGCGCGCGGAAAGAAAGTGAGTTATGTGGATTTGTGGATCTAATGGCAGCCGACCTCCTATAGAATACAGATCGTGTGAATCAAATCCGGATTTTGGAGAGTCTGCTGGGGGTCGCTGTTACTTCCTATCAGCGTATCCGTGTCCTTTTAGGCTTGATATCCGCCCGATTCGACTATAACTCATCAGTCACATCATATATGCCTACCGAACTCTGGCTTTCGGCACAGCGCGAAATCGATTTGCTTGTTTCCATCGTCACCACGGAGCCATCATACTCTGTGCAGGAAATAACAGAGGACTACGATGAGCTTTTGGATCGCTCGCCCGCTACAGAGAAGGACGGCGTCGTGCGAATCCGAGGGAGCATCATCAGCTTTGTCGACCGCTTGGACGACGAGTTCACCAAGAGCCTGCAGCATTTCGATCCTCACGGCACAGAATACGTCGACCGACTTAAGGACGAGAAGGGCCTGTACTGTACAATCTGCCGGGCTCAAGCACTTTACGAATCTACACAACAGTTGGAGCCTCTTGCGCGTGTAATCATGCGGAGATTGGAACACATCTACTCGAAGGTATGCACACCGGCCATCGTATCTCGTATCAGAAGCTCATAGCATTTAAAGCCTGACGCGGTGTTGAACGCTCTCGAGTCAGCAGTCGCTGCGTCAGATCTGAAACCAACCTTGATCCTCAGCTCTCAGACTGGCCCTGCCGCCCTCATCCACTCTCTCTGTGTACATCTATATCAATCCGGCAACACTATCCTCCGGACGCGTGCCATGCTCAGCCACATATATCATCATGCCCTGCAGAACGACTTCTACACCGCCCGCGACATGCTGCTCATGTCACATTTGCAAGAAACAATATATTCAGCTGATGTCGCCACTCAGATCTTGTATAACCGTGGTGTGGTGCAATTGGGTCTCTGTGCCTTCCGGTGCGGCTTGATCAAGGAGGCTCAGGCCACATTGCAAGACATTTTCACAACACAGCGGGTAAAGGAGCTTCTGGCGCAGGGTGTACATCAGCAGCGGTTCCAGACTTTGACACCCGAGCAGGAGAAGGCAGAGAAGCAGAGACAGCTGCCATTCCACATGCACATCAACACCGAACTCCTCGAGGCGGCGTTCTTAGTCTCGAGCATGCTTGTCGAGATCCCCATGCTTGCGAGCATCGAGTCTGAGGAGCAGAAGCGGAAGGTTATCTCAAAACCCTTCCGTCGCTTGTTGGACTTTGCAGACCGACAGATCTTCACTGGCCCTCCTGAGAGCACAAGAGATCACATCATGCAGGCCAGCAAGGCGCTACAGAACGGCCAGTGGGAGCTCTGCCGCGACCTGGTCCAAGGCATCAAAATTTGGGGTCTTATGCCTGAGGCTGATTCTGTCAAGGAAATGTTGGCCAAGTGAGTTGGTCCTGTTATCGTTCATAGCAGGCACTAATATTTCGGCACAGGCGCATACAGGAGGAAGGTCTGCGTACTTATCTCTTCACCTACGCACCCCACTACAAGACCCTCTCACTCTCCCTCCTCTCCCGCACGTTCTCCCTTCCTTTGCGCACTGTCACGTCTATCGTTTCGAAAATGATTTGGAACGAGGAGCTTCCAGCATCCTTAGATCAAGCCGCTGGTGTAGTTGTTTTCAACCGTGTCGAGATTACACGGCCACAACAGCTCGCACAGATGATCGCGGAGAAGGTCGGTAACATGGTCGAGCAGAACGAAAAGACGCTAGACTTTAGATTGGGTGGGACTACAGGATGGGGAGACAGAGGCGACGGCGCAAAGGGCGACAAGCGCGGCGAACAAACGCAAGGGGAGAGACGGGGCCGTGGGGAACGGAGAGGCGGTTCGGGCGCTCGTGGTAAGCCGAAACAATTCTTATTGGTCAGGAATATCCCACTGACCTTCAGGTGCAGGTGCTCGTGGTGGACGAGGTGGACGATTTGCTCAGGGACTGGGGAACCAGATGCCCGCTTCCCAGAGGGCACGATGATTGGATGATGTGTTTGACCGATTGTTTCGTTGGAAGTTTTGCTGCATTCTGACGATTCATGTATAACGCGGTTATTTTATACATGTTTTTTTCCTCTTCTTTGACCAATGCAGGTGAATGTTTGATCTTTATATGATGGTCTTCAATCGTACAATCTTTAGTCACGCTTCGATCGCACAGGAGTGTATTTTTGCTCATTCTTCGCTATCGTCGCTGCCGTTGCCTGACTCGTTGCTTTCTCCTTCTGAATCAGAATCCTCATCGGGTGCTGCAGTCCAATCAGACACTTCAAGCTTCTCGTTCTTGTAAGTTCCTGAGAAAATGTGATTCATTATATGTTCATAACTGCCATTTTTCCAGCGAAAGAGAAACCGCTTACCGCCAGCGTCTACTTCGTAGCCTGCCTGGGTTAGACAGCGCACAAGCTCAGCTTTTGCGCCAATCTTCGTGTCCTTCCCTAGAATACATCCGTCGAGTTTAGCCCTTCGTTCCAAAAAAAAAAAAGAGCAAATAGTCAGCAATTGATACCACACCACGTAGAATACCAACGGGCATACCCATCCTCGACAACACAATGGTCCAGTAAGACACATCCGACGATCTTAGCCATCTTTCCGATGACGCAATGATTTCCGACAACCGAACGCTTGATACTGGTGCGCTCACCGACACGCGTCGAATCGCCGATCATTGAGTCACTTGAAATTTGTGACTTCGCGTCGATAAGAGAGCGATTTTCTGGGTCTGTCGGCAGAGCGTAAGGCGACTTCCCGAGGAACTGAAGATGTGGCACAAAGGATCACTATGTCAGACATGCATTTCAAGGGCATAAAGTGGGAATGCGTACGTGGCGATTGAGATCGAGTAGTGTCAGTAGGTCGTTCGCCCGCCCCACGAGCCCGGCTGAGCTGCGATGAACGACGAGCCCAACGCGCATGCTCGCGGGTAATGCCTCGTCGTCGTCTGTGTCCGTTGGCGAGGGAGGCATGGATAAGGAGAGGAGTTTTTGAGAGGGGGAGTCGGATTGATTTGCAAGGCCCGACATATGAGAAACCTTGACACGCGTTGCGCGTGGTTGGAGGGTAGAATGGCGCAGAGACATCGCTTGCGAGACGTTATTAGAAATTGGGTACATGACTGTACCAAAGATTGAGATTTTGACATGGGAGAGAGAAAATGGGTTTTACCACGACTGTATTTATGGTGCCTCGTCCGTTGATAATGAAGTTTACACAGCCATGGGACAAACTCTTCTCGGAAAGATTCAAAACCGGGTTTTTGTTGGAGCACGTCGAGTACTGCGCGCCTGCAGATGTAGACATGCGAGTCTCGATAATGTGAGGATAGATTCGTCTTGGGATATCTGATAAGCTCGTCAAGATGGTCAGAGGACAGCGAGGATTCGGAGAGTACGTACTTCGACAGGAGAGCCATTCGAATCTCTAGCTCCTCCGAGTTCCGGTCAGCATCATCTAGCGTGTCTACGTGCAAAAGTGTTCCAAGATGATCTTCCCAGATGATAGGTGTTATCGAATCTGAAGAGCCCCATTCCTCCGGAACGGTGCTCTTATCAGGACGCGACCCCTCAAACCAGCAAGAAGTCATTATTGAGCCATCCACGTTAGATTCTATTCGAAATTTGTTAAGGAGGGTAGTCAGAGGCAGAGACTCTGGCGGGACGAGGTCACATGGAAGAAGAATGAAATCTTTGTGGATGCGACTGGAAAAGTGTCGGAGGATGGCACACGTTCCGGGGGAAGTTTCCTCGGACTCATCAAAAGTCTGTAGATCAACACGGAGCGACGGGTATGATGATGATGAAGTGTCGGAGTGAATGTGATGAGATATGGCCGACCGGTGAGCAGTAGGACAGATAAGCAGGACGTCTGCGAGAAACATGAGAAGAGACAGAATATATACCCAAAAAGATACACACCAGTGATCCCAGCCTGTTCCAGCCAAGTTAATGGATAATCGATCATGGGCCGGTTGGCAATGGGGATGAGGGCCTTTGGACATGGTTCATCGCCGTGGTTGCTTGTGAGCGGGAGCAGCCTGTAAACATTGGTGAGCACATCTTATTGGTAACAAATTGGATGTCGAGTGGACTTGCTCGTTTCCAAAACCCGCAAGCACAATGGCTAGAAATTCACGAGAGGCAAGTTTTGTGGTGGATAGCTGGAAATCCATGGTTTTGTCCAAGGCCGCTTGAAGTGACTCGGGCTCCTCGTATAGCTAGGGTTTGCAGCAACTAATCTGGGGTTAGGGTTCTTCTAAGAAGGCGTCATGCTCGAAACGCAGCGGTTCAGTGGCGGTTCGATGTGTGTGCGCTGCCCTGAACGATGAACCAGCCCTCCGTGCATCAGCTCTACCAGCGCCTCGAGACTGTCGGAAAAGGCGCATACGGTTCCGTTCACAAGGGAAGGCATATTCCTACAGGAAACATCGTCGCTCTCAAAATCATCGACCTCGACACAGCAGACGATGATGTCGACGACATACAGCGCGAGGTGGCTCTCCTGACACAATTGCGCGACGCCCCGAACATCACAAAGTACTACGGGTGCCATCTGGATGGTCCGCGCGTATGGATTGTCATGGAGTTTGCCCAAGGAGGAAGTGTATTCAATCTAATGAAGGCCTCCCCAGAAAACTGTCTCGAAGAAAAATATGTTGTCATCATCGTTCGCGAGGTCCTCCTCGCTCTCAGCTACCTCCATAAATCGTCCATCATTCATCGCGATATCAAGTCTGCCAATGTGCTGGTCACTTCCTCGGGCAAGGTCATGCTATGTGATTTTGGTGTTTCAGCGCTTCTCGCGACCACTTCTAGCAAACGGAGCACCCTTATTGGTACTCCATATTGGATGGCTCCGGAGGTGGTTCAGCCTGTACCTGCATACGACACCAAGGCGGACATATGGAGCCTGGGCATCATGATATACGAGATGGTCAAAGGCAGTCCTCCACATTCGAACATGGTCGCCGCACGCGCCATTCAGCTTATTCCGAAAGTCAAACCACCCCGCCTTGCCGAAACGGAGGGGTCGAAAGACCTTCGAGACTTCATGACATTCTGTCTCACAGAATCTCCAAACGATGTACGTGATCTTTCGGACTTTCTCGCTGCTAATACTCATTATTTTCTCAGCGATTACCTCCCGAGGAGCTATTGAAGACGAAATGGATCAAAATGGCCGCCAAGATGCCCGTCTCCATTCTCAAGGATCTTCTATTGCGCTATGAGACTTGGGTTAAAACGGAAGGAGGCTCGTCAAGCCTTTCAGAGCCTCTTCCATGGGAGCAGGAAGAGTGAGTATGTCCATTGAGATCCGACGAATTACTTCTAAAAATTTTACTGTAGCCTTGATGATGTTGACGATAATTCTTGGGAATTTGACACCGTCCGTGGGCGCTCCTCGATGCTTCAGATCGAAGACAATGACAATCTAGCTAGCTTCGCTACTGTTCGTCCGTCACCTGCCAAATTCCCGACATCTCTTCGTGTCCTCTTTGACAACGACGTCTCAAACACTTCTGATCCATTTCGAATACCTGGGTTCGGCAACAGTGGGGGTGGTCCCTCTGCCAGTCCATCCATACCCACCCCGCCGTTGGCGCTTCCAAATACTATATCCTCTCCACCTGCTCGTGATAGAGGGGCAATAAAACGAGCAATGACGACTGACGGCATTCTGGATGATGTACCCGCATTGAACAAGGCAACGTTCGCCTTCCCCCCTCCCGTCACCCCTCGTGCACGATCGCGAATGGGTACAAATGCATCCAATCCCGTCGAGGGAGGGATTTCTGACCCTTTGGAGTCAAACAGAGAAAAGTCTTCCGCCCCAACATCTCGACGGGGCCGTCATGTTGGCGATTCATCCTTGACTGATTTTAACTTTCCAGCTACAGGTTCAAATGCTACCAAGGCCGGTCAGACATTTCGTGATATTCGGTCGAGCCGTGGTCTCGCAGACATTGAGATCCCCCCTCAGTCTTCCGAAACATCTCTCGAACTCGGGCCCTCTCCGCTTCCACCTGTTTCCGACTCGAATCCTACGACAGCATCATCTTCCTTAACCACCACTGACAGCCGTGCCTCTTCTCGGAATCACTCCCAGAGCGGCATCCCAAATTCTCGCTCGCTGCATCCTCTAGCAACAGATGATAAAAGAGTCAATGAATTTCACTTTCCTGCAATCCCTTCACCTTCGCCCCCTGGTTCTGGGTATAACTCTGGGCGGGATGAACACAGTTCGACCCTCCCCCCCGCATCAAAGACCCACGACAGAACATCCCCCACACACGCTAGTGTGTCGAGCTTGACGACATCTCCGCAAAGCGTTCATCACCCCACGCATTCGTTGGATGTCCCGCCCTCCGTCGGGCTTCCGCGTAGAATGCCCCCTCCAGGATCACTGCCTCCACTGAACTCGATTGTTCGCTCGCGCTCGGCGACGCCGTCTGGTGGCGATGTCGCTGATTATAATATCTCTCCCCACCCCGGTAGATCAGTCCCACCTTCGCGCAAACCAAGTCTTAGCCGGCTGGCGTCGGTGGCTGTTATGGAGACTGTCCAGCCGCCGATGACGCCGCCCACGAAACCGTTCGCGACTCCTGTGCGGAAGAGAAGTGGAAGTTCTACTAGTGGTATGAGTGACATTACGGGCCTGCCTGGATTGAAAGACGTATTGAAGGTACGTATCACGTCTTTCACTCTTTCGATGCACTTTTTCTCTCTTCACGCGTGGCGAAGTGCCCTTGTCTTTGCTAATACGCTCATCCCCCAGATACCGTCCCTCAGCTCAGAACACCACCTTGGAATGTCTGCAGATCTTCTACCACCATCACCTTCCGCCGTCATCACCAACATCCGCCTGTACAATCACACTGCGAGCAATCTAAGCACATTCACAACGCCGTCCGATCCGACACCAACCTTAGCATCATCGCCCTTACCGAACGTCGCCAGCAGTGAATCATCAACAGCTCGTGGTCTGCCAACAATTACGACTCGCTCACCTCCGCATTCTTCCCATCCGACAGATATATATTTTCCAGCATCTGCAGCGCCCTCATCTTCTCCCAAACCTTCCGACATACATCGGCGGAATGGATCGCTAGCTACAAACTCTTCAATATCAAATTCATTGCGAGGTCCAACGGTGCGCCCGCTAGATTTTGTGGCGCTCATGTCATCGCACGACGAGACGCACGCAGAGTTGGCGAGGATCGTTGACGATCTGGCGTCCTGGCTCAGTGTTACCGAACAAGGTCTGACACGTATGCTAGAGAACGCGAGCGAGGACCGCATCGAGGAGGAGCAGGAAGAATTCGCGGGCACTGATATAGAAACGACGGACATGACATCTGGCCGAAGTTCTCCAGCATTGGCTCTGGACTACTGACTCGGACCGCACGCAACGGGATATTCTTCTGCCTGAAACTTTGACTGCAGGTGCGCGCAAGTGTAACAATCATCATCTAATCATACATCCTTCCACGATTCGACCTGCATGTCTCCATTAGCATCTCATTTACATCCACATCCACATGTATTCTATGTCACGAGATTCTCATGCTCGAATTTGATCTACGGCTCTAAATGTAGTTGTGTGCCACCAGGTAGTCAGCGATTATCCGCACGGCCTCGGTGATGTCGCACTGGTCTGTTTTGATGTGGATTTCTGGGTTCTCAGGGGCCTCATAAGGCGCGGAGATACCTGTGAATTCTGAGCGTATCACGTTCTGTCAGCGATCGACCACATCAAGTGAGGCACGCGAACCAGGTGCACACCTTTGATCTCTCCTGCGCGAGCCTTTTTGTAAAGCCCTTTCGGATCTCTCTGCTCGACAGTGCTGAGCGACGCGTCAACAAAAACCTCGACGAAGCCCAGGCCCGCTTTATCGTGGATCTCGCGCGCGACGAGGCGATCGACGCGGTACGGCGATATGAACGCGGTGAGGGTAATGCACGACGCGTCTGTGAAGAGTTTGGATACCTGTGGAAACACAGGATGAGCGCCTCGTTCTGAAAGACCTTTCACAGACGATGCCGACGCCCACCCACCTCGCCGATTCGCCGAATATTCTCGTTCCGCGATTTCTCGTCAAATCCCAGATCTTTGTTCAAACCAAACCGAACATTGTCGCCGTCAAGGCGGTAAGTGAACTTGTGCAGATGCAGAAGGTGCTGCTCGAGAGCGCAGGCGATGGTGGACTAGAGTAGGCCAATTCGTGGTGAAGATCAGTTCAGGTCAAATTGTGAAGTAGAGTGTCGGAGTCAGCATACCTTGCCGCTCGCACTTAGTCCGGTCAGCCAAATAGTGACGCCCTTCTGTTTGAGAAGGTCGACGCGTTCTGCAACGTCCACAGAGCCTGTCGGAGTGGTAATTTGTTAGACAATTTGTCTGGAAGGCAAAGTCCGGACAAACCAGGATGAAAGGTGATGTTCGTAGACATGGGCGATGAGAGGGGGATATTGATGTACGGTAATACAGTGATGGTAATATTTATACAATTGGAGTGGACACTGAAGCGCTGGAGGAGTGAATACAAGGTCCAGGGAGTGATCAAGGTCTTTCAGTGGAAGTGCACGTGCCCGGCCCGGCCCTACGGTCGTCGTGAAATCTCCCGCTGCCATCATCGCGCTACCTAGACCTGTCTATTATGTCGTCCAATCCCTCCACCCTCACCTTCGCCGGCGACGCCACCGTTGTCTCCGAGCACGGCCCTGACGCCTACGAGAGGACGTCCTATTATAACGGCATCACTGGGGACGGCGACTACCCGGACCTCGTTTACCGTTCGGACTTCCTCACTACGCCCTTTCCCAAGCCCGTCGGCAGACACGCCCACGTCCCCGTCAAGTCGCTCCGCGGAGTCTTCGACACCCCGCTCAATGATGTCTGGGACGCTGTTGGTCCCCATATTCGTGACCTGATCAAGGCATACGAGATCCACTGGTCGTCCGTCGGCCCAGGTCGGCCCTGCCCGCTTCTTCACTCAGGGGCCGCCGGGAGAGGAGGCGAAGGGGAGTCTCGGCCCCGTCGTCATCTGGGTCGGCATCATTCTCGGCTCTACTTCCCCCAATACCGCCCACGATGTCTCCCAAGAGATCCTTAAGCTCCTGCTGAAGAACGGAGTCGAGGATGCTGTTGTGGAATGGCGCGAGGCGGTCCCGCAGAGGTTGGCAGGCCTCCCCTTATGCGCCATGTCGGCAGCGGCAACGCCACTCATCACGTAGGTCACTTCCTCACTGCTCTCCTCGGCGTTCTCCTTGCGAATGAAGAAATGGAGGAGGGCACTCTTACCCTCTGGTTCCACGAAAATAAAGACAAGGACGGCAACCCTAGCAACAAGGTTTATGGCGTCAGCAACTGTCACGTCCTGCGCAAGCACACTAACGTCGATTATGAGCACAGAGGCGGCACACCCATGGACTACGTTCGCCTTTGCGGAATTCGTCGATTCCAGCGCAGCCTCGACATCACAAAGGCCATTGCTGATCATGGCATTCTCGCAGACCTTTGGGCCCGAGATATCGTCGAACTGCAGGCACAGGAGGGGCAGAACCGGGAGGACGCGAGAGAGATGCTGCGGATTCGAAGCAAATTGGACGACGAGAACGAAGCTATCGCCGATCTCGAGGCCCTCTACGATCAAGTCACGAAGGAATGGTCAAACATCAAGCTCCACCGCAACATTGGACACGTCCAATATGCTGAAGCCATCACGGTCGACGAAGACGACACACGATATACCTCGGACGGCTGCGTTCTTGGCTGTTGAGGCGAAGGTCAAGGATCAGTTTGAGGGACAACGTCGTTGATCTCGGTGAGTCTCGACTTTTCTTTCTCGTATTTACCTCATCAGACGAAAATAACTTTATTCAGGGTCCAAGTATTCACCTCAAGACCTTACACATATGTTATATCCTCTCGGTAGTGCTCCAACTACGTTTCAAGTTTCCCGAGGAGAGAAAGCTCCGGATCGAGGGCTGCGCCTCGAAAGAGGACCTCGCCAACTCTGCCGAATTCGACAGCGAACGCTAGCGCTGCCTTATCGTCGGCAAAGACGGTAACGCTACCGACCTCACCGTCGGACGTTACGCCGGCCTAGTTTTGTTTACTCGGAATGAAGTTGGCATCGAGTCCGTCGAGCTCGGTATCTACAACTCGGGCGTCAAGTGTGTCGAAGTCTTCTCCGCTAAAGGAGACTCGGGCTCCCTTGTCTGGCACACGAAGAACGGTCAAGCTCGCATCGTCGGCCAACTCCACTCTGGACACAACAAAGGCGGCTCAACCAGCAACCATGTTACGTACTGCACCCCTGGGTGGTACCTCCTGAAGCAGATCAAGAAGAGATTCAGGCACGCCGACTTCTACCGTACGACCCGGTCAGCTTGAGAGCAACATTTACGACCGTAAAGGTTTGTCTCTTTCTTCCGCCTCATGCTTCCGTGCATATGGGCCGACGAATGTTGAAGCCAGCGTCTTTTTCTGCGGCCCTCCACCTCCGCTATGCCCCCTTTCTTTGGTTCTCAATTGTCGACTACGAATCATCTCCTATCCCACATCCCTGACTGCGTTTCTTCTCCATTCCCAACTTGTGCCGGAGAAGTATCTAGTGAGGAACAGATGAGTGCACGGCCCCGCAAGGACTGCCATGGGGATTTCACGGGGGAAGAAACCGGGGGGAGGGGGGGGTTCTCAAGGTTATTGCGAAACGATCAACTGGGCTTGTGACAGCGGGGGCAAATGCAACCATCATATAGAGGTGAACATAGTTTTGCCGTAATCTCATTACCATATGGTGCATACTCCTCGACTACGTAGCCTTGTAATGTCTCTGATAAGATATCATGCCTGGTAATGACCGTTTACTCTATAATTGCGTCAAGATTTCCTCACTCCCAGCTCGGGTTAGGTCCCGTGCATGGTTGATGGTTGCGTCAAAATTGCCAACAGTCTCCTCAGCAGACTGATAAAGAGTCGATGGCGAAACGATTGGGTCTCTACAAACATCTCATTGCAATTGGTTGGAGCGATTACCTCACTGGCCAAACGACTTTCGTTTTGAAATATCATTACATTCTCATAATCTACCGCGAAGATACAACCATAGCCCGACGTCATCCGATCATAAGTAAAGTGTTCACAAGCGCAGTGTGAAGTCAGAAATCTGGTCGTGCGATGCATTTCAGTCAGTTGCTTAGCTATGAGAGGAATGAAGGTAGAGACTGCCATACAGAAGTAATGGTATGACGCAGCGGATAGCGGAACATTTTATCACATTATTGGTTGTTATCAACCGTGAGCAGTGCCCTCCGCCGCTCCACCGGTGCCTGTTTGGGGGTGCTTTCCATCATCACGTCGAATCCCAATCCCTCTGCAGACCCAATGGTACTGATGTCGCCCATCATATGGGTCGGCCAGGTGGGAGGGGACCAGCATTCGGTGATGTCACCAAAGTCTGGGCCGGAGCGAGCATAAGATTGTGGTGGTGACAAGGGTGAATGTGGGGTGAACATGAAGCCCTGTTGGATTGAAGACACGAGGCTGGAGATCGGTGTTCCTCGCATAAGCACGCTAGGATCCGATGAGAAGATACCCTTTACGGAAGCTTTCCGTTGGGTAGGTGTCTGATCGGTTTCTGGTGACATGGGAGACGTGGCAGTCAATGGTTCAGACGGCGCGGATGCTTTAGGCGACGGTGGAGATGCAGTAAGTGGAGATGCAAGTAACGGAACAGGCAGCAGGTCTTGCGAGGGAGCATTTGGAGCGGTTTCTTCGTGCACCGGTTGCACGGGGGTAGAAGAGAGATCACCTGTGGGAAGAGCAGTTTCTTCAGAACCAAGGGGAAGTGGCGCTGAGATAGGTGTTGTCGCGTGCGAGACATTGTCGCTGACTGCTATGACTCGTGTATCCTTCTTCTCCACTTCTTTGTGGCTGGCCGATACCACTCGCTTGCTCGCAATCTTGGACTTGACTGAAGAAACTGCCAAAGCCTTCGTCGCGCTGGCAATTCTTTTTGTTCTCGTCTTCGGATCCATTACCGACGGCTTTCGGGCCGCTACAGTTGCTTTCACGCGAGCTAGCTGGGAAACCGTGGGCTTCATGACACCACCGCCACGTGTGGAAGCAGTCTGTGCTTTGGAAGATGAGGTAGAAGATGCCAGAGCGGTGCTGCTTGATTGAGATCGAGAAAGCACGGAGGTGCCACGGGGTTCTACACTAGATACAGACCTCGATAGCTCGGGGATAGGAGGTTTCCTTGCAGTAACGAGTCTATGAAACGAAAATCAGCTTAATTTATGAGTGAGGCACCGAAATGCAGGCGTACTTCGCGGTTGACGCGGTAGCGCCTCCTTTCGGTATGTCTGCAACTGGTTTTCGTGCGTTTGGTGCTTGCTGCGGTTTGTCCGTCACGGGTCTTCGTGAGTCCGGTATCAATTTGCGCGGCTGGACTTGGACTGGCTGCGTTTGAGGAGGAAGCGGCACTCTTCTCGCACCACCTGTAGGACGTTCCTTCACCGGCGGCCCTGGCACCACAAGGTCTTGTGCAGGTCTGATAGGCCCACTAGTGGTCTTTTGGCGTGGAAGTAGTTCTGTGGAATTCGTAGCTCTCGAAGGACCCGATAGTGCGCTTTCGGATTCGGTACGTTGAGGCTGCGCGCCTGTAGACGGTCCTGCAGCTGGTGCAGGTTGTGAGGTTGATAATTGAGCACTGACAGGCCTGGCTGTAACTCGATCAGGAGGTCTTGATGGAATTTGATGCGCCGATTGCGAGCGTTTCATAGCATTAGATGAAGGAAGTGCGGGCGGGGGCATTGCCCGTCGCTCAGCCGTATGCTTCTCTGTCGCAATCTTGCGAGCTTCGTTGCGGGAATCCGCGCGTCGAGAGAACGTGGGTCTATTTGTTGCAGAGCTGGTGGAATGTGTATCGGACGCTTGCGAGACGGCTGATGATGTCGATGTGGTGCGTGTACGAGATGATGTGTGACCTGTCCGAGGCGGAGGTTCTACGTGCTTGGCTACCATGGCAAGAGATGAGGCGGGTCGCACAGATGTTGAAGTAGATCTCGATCGTATCGACTGAGATGATTCTGGTCGGGGAAGTGTCGGCACCGTCGTCAGAGGCTTCGGCTTGATATCAAGATATTTCCTTGCTGTGGGGGAAAGTGGGGCAGCAAAACTGAAAACAGGTGGCAAACTTGAGAAAGCCAGAAACCATCAGACGACGGATCCACTGACCTGTCCACCCGATTTGGAAGGAGGATCTTGTATGCACCAAACACCTGTTTGCTTACTTTTCGAACATCACCACTAGCATCTTGGGCGGTGATCTTGATGGCAGTCTCTATCTCACGAGCACGAGACTCCTTCTCCAGGTCTGGAGGGTTAAAGCAATTGAGGCAAGCTAGCAGGCCCTCAATGGCAATCAACCTCAGAGAGACTGACTTATCCTTGAGTGGTTCGATTAGAAAGGAGAGGATAGCAGGGAGCTGTGTCTGCTCAATGATGGTAGCTATACCAGTCTTGGCGCGGGCTATGAATACTTTGTTGGGGCGAGCACAGAGAGATAGGAGGGTGGGGAAGTAGAGGGGGAGTAAAGGCTCGAACGCCTTCCCTAACCCCATGGCTGCGGCACAGATAAACTGAATAGATGCAGCAGAGAGACGGGTGCGTTCTGAAGAAGCTGCGCTTGTGACTGCTCGCGAAAGAGGACGGAGAGCCGATGTAAAGGCAGTGGGGAACTCGCAGGCACCACCGTTCGCAAGAGCAGATAGTTTCAGGAGAGCAGTTGCAATACGCTCCCAGCTTTCCTCGGTCTCCAGCCTCAATAGGTCGGTTTGTATATCATCGATTTTAAGTTTGAGATCCCACTCGGAATCACACTGTAGAAATGATTTAGCAGTTGGATAGAAGAGCAAGAGATACCCTCGTACCTTTATGATTTGTGGAATTTTCGGAGGCATAAAAGGTGAGAAGGAGCTCCAGCGGAATGTGTCTATGCGATAGATGACCGAAATCAAGACGGTTGGTTCAACTCGAGAAGCTAGCCGCCACACGACCAACACGCGTAAGGCATGTCACGTGGACGCGTCACGAAGACACTTACACGTGACTTTCCTTCACTGACTCGAGTCGAGAATGCGAGCAGCTTTCCGCTCAGTGCTGCATCTCGCCCATCGCTCTCCTTACAGACGCTTATCGACCATGGCCAACACGACAGGCCCATCAGATCAGAAATCGTGGACGGCATCCAGGATCCGTCAAGAGTTTTTCGATTATTTCCAGGCGAAGGAACACACTTTTGTGCCTTCATCGTCTACGATCCCATATGAGGACCCAACGCTCTTATTCGCTAATGCCGGCATGAACCAAGTAAGCACGTACGGGGTGCTATGTTTTGACTCTCGCTGATGTCTCGTATCTTAAGTACAAGCCAATCTTCCTCGGCACGGTGGATCCTCATTCCGATCTTTCAAAGTTAAAGCGTGCATATAATAGTCAAAAGTGCATCAGGGCAGGGGGAAAGCACAATGGTCAGTCTATGATTCTATTCGCTAAAGGACATATATCTTTATCCATGTGATGCGTAGATCTGGACGATGTCGGCAAGGACTCGTATCACCACACCTTTTTCGAGATGTTAGGCAACTGGTCGTTCGGGGATTACTTCAAGGTAATTGCAGCTCTCTCTCTCGATCGCCTTACAGGCGCGAACTGATCTTGTACCCCCTCAGAAAGAAGCAGTTCATTACTCTTGGGAGCTCCTAACCGAGGTCTACAAACTTCCCAAGGACAGACTGTATGTCACCTATTTTGAGGGCGACGCCAAGAATGGCCTTGAGCCAGATCTTGAAGTTCGCGAATACTGGATAAAGCAGGGTGTTCTCGAAGATCACATTCTTCCTGGCAACGCGAAAGATAACTTTTGGGGTACGTTGTCTTTCGGCATACCCGATGCAAGCCCTTACCATATTCTTCGTAGAAATGGGTAGCACAGGTCCCTGCGGGCCATGCAGGTTACTTCATTTGTTTCCTTCGCTGTCCAACCTCTCATCAATGCTCCTCTATCAGTGAGATCCACTATGACCGGATCGGCGGTCGCAACGCGGCGCATCTCGTGAACCAAGATGATCCTGACGTACTCGAAATCTGGAACAACGTTTTCATCCAATTCAACAGGGAAGACGATGGCTCTTTGAGACCTCTACCTGCCAAGCACGTTGACACAGGCTTGGGCTATGAACGACTTGTGTCAGTCATCCAAGACAAGAGATCAAACTACGACACCGACGTTTTCTCTCCTATCTTCGCCAAGATTCAGGAGCTTACGGGAGTTCGTGAATACCGAGGAACGTTTGGAGCAGAGGATGCCGACGGCATTGATACCGCCTATCGCGTTGTTGCAGACCATGTCCGTACACTAACCTTCGCTCTGAGCGATGGAGGTGTTCCGAACAATGTTGGACGGGGATATGTGCTCCGGCGAATTCTTCGTAGAGGCTCACGATACGCTCGCAAAAAGTTGGGCGTCACGATCGGTTCCTTCTTCTCATCTTTGATGCCTGTCGTCGTCGAGCAATTGGTGAGCCCTATTGTTTTCATATCATCGTATCTTGAGCCTCAATTGTCACAGGGAGGCGTGTTTCCTGAGCTCACGAAAAAGGTGGACGACCTGAAAGAGATTTTGGATGAAGAGGAGGAATCGTTCTCTCGCACCCTAGATCGGGGCGAGAAACTATTCGAGCAGTATGCTGCGAATGCTCGGGAACGAGGCTCGACGCAACTAAATGGAAAGGACGTCTGGCGCTTGTATGACACATATGGATTCCCCGTCGATCTTACTCGTATCATGGCCGAGGAGCTTGGCCTGACAGTGAACGAAGAGGAGTTCATCGAGGCACAAGCTCAGTCCAAGGAAGCTAGCAAAGCGTCTCTGAAGAAGGGCACGAAGGACGTAGTCCGCCTCGATGTGCATGATATAGCAGCACTGGAGAAGAATGCCGACGTGCCCAAAACCGACGATTCGCCTAAGTTCTGTTCGTATGGTTGTTGTCTTGACCTTGACTCCCTAATTCTGATTTGTCGTCTTGATCAGCAACCGGCAACACTGATGCTACCATCAAGGCCATCTACTACAACAAGGCATTCATCAATTCGACGTCTGGCGTATCATCTGACTCTACGTTTGGAGTCATCCTCGATCGAACCAGCTTCTATGCGGAGGCAGGTGGACAGGAGTATGACACCGGAAACATCGTCATCGACGGCGTCGCAGACTTTGAAGTAACCAATGTCCAGGTTTTCAACGGTTATGTCCTCCACATAGGGCATCTGAAATACGGTCAGCTGGACGTCGGAAATGCTGTGCTTTCTTCATATGATGAGGCAAGCCTTTCGTTACGACGTTTCGTACATTCAACCAACGCCCTTCTTCGTTGTACATTCTACAGTTACGCCGGTGGCCTCTACGCAACAACCATACCGCCACGCACATTCTGAACTTCTGCTTGCGTGAAGTCCTTGGTGACCACATCGACCAGAAGGGTTCTCTCGTTGCCCCGACGAAGCTGCGGTTTGACTTCTCCCACAAGGCGCAGATCGCCCTTCCGGAACTCGCCAAAATCGAATCTATGAGCAACGACTGGATCAAGAAGAACGTCAAGGTGTTCAGCCAGGAGCTGGATCTCAAAACTGCTCAAAAGATCCCTGGTCTGCGTGCAGTTTTCGGCGAGTCATACCCAGACCCCGTGCGCGTAGTCACTCTCGAATACGATGTTGCTGAAATGGCTCGGGACATCGAGAACCCAAAGTGGCGCGGTACGAGCGTCGAGTTCTGTGGCGGAACGTAAGTCTGTTCGAAACATATACGCGATTCGTTCTGACTGTCTCTAGGCACGTGGCTCGGACTGGAGATATCAAGCAGTTCGTCCTCATCGAGGAGTCAGGCATCGCGAAGGGCATTCGTCGGATTGTTGCGGTTACCGGTCACGAGGCGCACGATGTGGTCAGACAGGCGGAGACTTTCAAGTCCAGGCTGCAGCAGGTTGAGCAGTCCTCTGGCAAGGCCAAGGATGCTGGTCTGAAGGAGCTCAGCGTGGTATGTCTGCGCCTTATGAATCGGTGTGGTGTCGCTCATCTCTACTTCAAGGAAATCGGTCAAGCCGACATTTCTATCCTCGTCAAGTCAGAATTGAAGGACCGTTTGACCACCCTCCGTAAAGCGTTTGATAAGGAAGTGAAGGAGAAGGAAGCTGCCGCGAGTAAAGCCGTACGTCACTGTCCTCACCGCCCACGTTTCTGTCGCATGAACATCTCCATTAGGCGGTCGACGGTGTCATTCGGTACTTTGAAGAAAAGCCCAACGCAACAGGCTACTTCGCTGTCCTTGATGTGCAAGGAAACTCCAAGGTCATTAGTTTCGTGTCTCTCCTCTTCATCACGCGTTCCTCACACACCACGATCACAGATCCTTCAAGCCGTCGTTCTTCAGGCCAAAAAACTAGGGAAAGCGGTCTACGTGTTCAGTGTCGACACTGACGCACAGAAGGTTGCCCACGTCAACCATGTACCCGAGGCATTCCGGTCCAAGGGAGTGGATGCCCGCACTTGGGCCTCCAAGGTCACGGAGATACTCGGCGGAAAGGTCAGTGCATGAATCGCTCCTTCGATTAAAACCTTGCTCACGACATACGACGACTAGGCTGGTGGCAAGGAAGAGGGTGCTCAGGGCGTCGGCTCTAACCTCGACAAGGTGCAAGATGCGCTGACTGCCGCGGAGCAATACTTCAACGAGATCAAGCCATAGTAGTTCGTGTAGGTTTTGCTTTGTATGATTGCTTTGAGGTTTTCGAATGTAGCGTAGTGTTGTTTTTTGGGCATCTATATACACAACTATTCTAGACTCAAATAATGGGTGCATTTGTTTGCGACTGCATAGAGTGAGTAGTAAAATTGAACAGTGACTGCATTGATCGGGTCCATGGACCCAGGTTGGTGCGTGAGAAGATTGAAGTCCGAGCGCTCGGCTGCAACGCACGGACATCAGTACCGAGGTCGACAACTGCGCCGAACGACAACTTTTCAGCAAGGTGAGCCCTTTCATGGTAATATGGTGCATCCAGGCTCGTGGATGGGACGATTGGACTCGCTGGGTGGCATTTTGAACGAGCTAAAAGGGGTACTTTGGGATGGATGGGGAGGATGATTACTGGATGCGCCGTACGTATGCAGACACGGTGTACTGACCTATCCAACGCACAGACTCGCCCACCTCCTCTTCCTCCGCCATGTCGCTTGTTCTCCCTGAGGCCCATCAACAATTCCAGGTGCGCATCTACGCGTCTCAGTCCGCTTAAACTAGGTGTCAATCCGGTTCGATCTGCAGCACATTCTCCGTCTGCTCAACACCAATGTCGACGGTAAACGCAAAATCATGTATGCCCTGACGGAGATCAAGGGTGTCGGTCGCCGTTACTCCAACTTGGTCTGCAAGAAGGCCGATGTTGATCTCAACAAGCGGTACGCCGAATTCCGCCCTGCTCGATATGCTTTATCTTTTCCCAGAGTTCCTCAACCTCCTCCTCTTTCCACAAATCTCCAGTGCCGGCGAGTTGAACTCCGATGAGCTCGAGCGGCTCGTGACCATCATCCAAAACCCCACGCAGTTCAAGATCCCAACATGGTTCCTGAACAGGCAGCGGGATATCGTCGACGGCAAGAACTCGCAGGTCCTGTCCAACGGTGTTGACTCGAAGCTCCGTGACGATCTCGAGCGGTTGAAGAAGATCCGGGCGCATCGTGGTCTGCGGCACTCGTGGGGCCTCCGCGTCAGGGGTCAGCACACGAAGACCACCGGTGAGCATCTTTTTTGTTTTTTTTTGGCACAGTCGAAGTACGCTTGCTGAGGGCATTTGCCACGTGTCAGGCCGTCGCGGGAAGACCGTCGGTGTGTCGAAAAAGCGCGGTTAAACGCCTGCTTTGTTGGACGGAGGATCGGTGGATGGTCCTCAGATATGTTGTGTTTTTATCGTCTCGAGTTCTCCTGTCGCAATTTCATTGCCATATGCTCCGTATGCCCCCACGCTGAAATACAACATCATGCATCGCGGACCCGTTGGATCGGTGTGAGGACTTTGCTGCCCTGGGGAACGTAGCGCTCACGTAGAACACTTGTGTGCGTCCGATGACACTCCGGAAGCGGCAGGGCGGAGCACGTGGCGAGACTTTGCCGCTTGTTCTGGAATGTTCACCAGGCTGCTCGGGGAAAGTCCCATAACTATTATAAGGAACAGCGAGACGCTTGCCCGCAGCGAAAGTGCACACTCTGCTCCCACACATATACTCTGCGACTCATCACCAGCCACCACCAGCCACGATGACTACCTGGGCGCAGCCTGCACACCATCCGTGGTTCAAAATGAACTCGCTCAAGCGAAAACAGTCCCCCGACGACGTCGACGACGCGCTGCCGATCGCGTCGACGCCGACGCGGCGGGACCACAAGCGGCGCAGGTGCACGGGCCTCGAGCGCGGCCTCGCGGGGCTCACGCTCAGCATGTCCTCCTCCTCCGCCGTGCACACGCCCGCGTCCACGCCTTCGCCCAGCCCCGAGTCGGCGTTCGCGCAGTACTCGAACCACCCTCCATACACGTCCGAGTATCTCGCCTACCAGCAGCAGCCCGCGCACGCGCCTGGCCCGTCGTTCGTGTATCCGGCGCCGCTGGCGCCGGTGCACGCGCCCGCGCAGGAACGAAACGTGTACGGATCGGCATACGCGCCCGCGCCCGCGTCTGTGGCCATGCCTGCGCCTGTGGCCGGCTTCGCTGCTGTGCCCGCCGCTGCCACGCGCGCGCCGGTGCAGGTCCTGCGCCCGAGCGCGGTCGAGTCGCCGCTAGATGAGGAGGTGGCGGAGGTGGGGCGGCCGGAGGTCGCGGACGTGAAGATGGGCGTGTCGTCGTGGTACGAGCCCGAGCGCGATCGTGAGTGTTTCGGTTCCACCGGTTCTGGCGGGGAGAGGCTGACCTGGCTTTGTGGGGTCGCGCGCGCAGGTATCGTCGTGACCGACCTCGACGCGGCGTCTGACGAAGAGGAGGAGGACGATAGGGACGGGGAGAGCAGTCGGCGGAACGGCGGCGGGGGCGGGGAGGATGTGATCTCGATCGTGTCGCCCGCTGTGCTGGAGCGCCTGCGCGGGACGGGGGCTGGGGGCGCGCGATTGTTTGGCGCGCGGGTGGGGGCGGGGGCGGAGGCGTCGGTGGTGGAGGCGCTCCGGCGGGAGCATGGCGTGTGGGCGGACGCGGGGAAGGCGGTGGTGCTGTTCCGCGGCGCCGCGGGAGCGGGCGCGGGGGCAGGGGCGCGCGGTGGGTTGGAGGACGCGGGTGCGGGGGAAGCGGAGGCGGAGGCGCGGTGGGCGGTGGAGGAGGTGGATGGGGGCGGGATTGTGGAGGATGTGGAGGAGGATGGGCTGGTGGGGGGCGCGGCGGGGTGGACGCTGCCCCAGGATGGGGGTGTGGCGGGGTACTACGCGGGCGCGGACGCGGACTTGGACTTGGATGTGGACGTGGACATGGACGCGATGGACGTGGAACTGTGATTCGTCGGGCCTCTCGCTGTGGATTTGTGGTGGGCTGGTTGGCTGGATGGCTGGATGGGTGGATGGATGGATGGATGGCTGTCTGTTCCGTGCTCTGTGCTTTAATGCTCTTTTTTATTGTTACAATTTACTTCGTTGCACCGTCGTCGCCGCTGCCGCGTACGCGTCTACTTACTCACACTCACACGCCGTGGCATTTAGCCTCGGTCCGCGCATAACTAGAGCATAATGATGATACCTACGCGCGCACGCACGCGAGCGAGTCTCAATTTTAAGTTATTTGTAAGTACAGAGCGGCGCAGAGGCGCACTGGGACGGCAACTCGGCTCGCAGGCTGGGATAGTGCTGGGATGGGGTCGAGTGCTGGTCGGAGTCAGGGACCGTAGAGGGGGCTCGTAACGCGTGCTGCGCGACACGATACGGCACGGCGGTCTAGGGGGACGGACGGTGGGGTGATTAGTATGTACGGCTCCTCGGCGAACGAGCGAGCGAGCGAGAGACAGGGACGGATGCACACGAGGACAGGCGGGACAGGCGGGGCTGGACGGGACGGGACGCATAGTACTGTATGTAGGGCGGCGGACACGGCGCACGGGGGAGATGGGGGGAGCACTTTTGGCGCGCATATATTCGTAACAGAGCTTTTCTCGAACGAGGACCCGGGACCGCAAAGAAAAGTAGATGGAGAATAAAACATGCAGAGAGAAAAACCAGGTCGAGCTTCGAGCTCGAGCAGACCGGGGGCGCCCGCACGCGTCACGCCCTCCCGCCCCCACCCGCGCCGTCGTTCGCGCCGTCCCCCCCGCCCGGTTGGCCACCCCCGCCCCCGCCCCCGCCGGCAGCCGCAGCCGCGGCGGCGGCAGCGGCGTACAGCCCCTCCTCGCGGTTGAGCCGCGAGTGGTGGTGGCGCGCGTGCGCGTGGGGGTGCGGGACGTGGTGCATCTGCATCGCGGAGAACGGCGAGCGCAGGATGCCCGCGGCGGCCGCGACCGCTGCAGCCGCGGCGGATGCGGAGGACGAGGACGGGCTCTGGTTCTGGGCGGCGTGCGCTTGGGCGACCTGAGCAGCCTGGGCGGCTTGTGCTGCCTGCGCTTGGGCGTGGGCCTGCATCTGCGCGTTGTGTGCGGCCGTGAGAGCTTGTTGGTGCTGTTGTTGGTGCTGCTGCTGCTGTTGCTGTTGGTGAAGGTGGTTTTGCTGTTGCTGTTGTTGTTGTTGGTGCTGTTGCTGCTGCTGTTGCTGGGCGTACGTGGACGGGGGCGGGGCGCTGCCGCCGGACGCGGCGTGCCGTGCGTGCGGGTGCGCGTGGGTGTGCATGCCGTGGTGCTGGGGCTCCGGGACGTAGAGCGCGTGCGCGTGCGCGCCGGGGGCCGGGGGGGCGCCCTGGTGCGCGTGCGAGAGGGGGTGGTAGGGCATGTTGACGCCGACGCCCATGAGCGCAGACGGCTGCGGCTGGGGCGCGGGCGCGGGCTGGTGAACGGGCGTGAGCAGGAAGGGCTGTTGGATGTGCTGCTGCTGCGGGTGGTACTGCTGCTGGTGCTGCGGGGCGGGGTGGACGGGGTGGAGCTGGTGGGATGGGTGACGCGGGGGCTCGATGCGGACGGGGGACAGGAGGGGGCGGGGGTCGGGGTCGACGAGCATGCCGGGGCTGTCGCCCGCGTCGTCGTCCGCGTCGTCGAGGTCGTCGTCGTCGTCGTCGTCCACGAGGCGCAGGATATGCGATGCAGAGCCGTTCGCGGCGGCGGAGGGGCCGGGGGCGGGGCCGGGGCCGGGGGCAGGGCCGTCGGTGGCGAGTTTTTGGGCAGCGATTTCGTCTGCGGTGAGGAAGCGCCCGCCGGGGCCGCGGGGGCGGCGCATGGCGTGTTTGTGGCGGGACTCATGGAGGTAGGGCTATCAAATTTTTTAAGTATGTGATTTGTTTTATTTTTCGGAGGGGGAGAGACGGGGCGGACCTTGCGCTGGCGCGAGAGCCTGTGTACCTCCTCGAGGCGGGCGCGTGCGACGCGGCGCTTTAAGATGCGGTAGTACTGCTTTGCGTTGACGTAGAGGGGCTCGTCGTCGATGGGGCCGTCGTCTGTGGGGGGGCGGCGGTGGGCGGTCACGGCGGCGGAGGGGGGGTCGGGTGCGGCTGCGGGTGCGGGTGTGGGTGTGGGTGCGGCATCGGGGTGGGACGGGGGTGCGGGGGGGTCTGAGGGGGACGGGGAGGGGGAGGGGACTGCGGAGGGGTTGCGCTGGTAGAAGTTGTAGAGGTGGGACGGAGGGTGCTGCTGCTGTGGGAAGAAGGGCGGGTGCGAGTGGGAGTGTGTTGGGTGGGGGAGCGCGTAGGACGGGAACAGCTGATCGACGACGTCGTCCATGATTGGCTCCATCCCCTCCATCCCTCGCAACTCGCTGCTGCCAGCCACTCACAGCCCGGGAAGTCACGTGGCCCCGCCGCTCTCCCACGCCCCCCCCCCGTGTCTCACTCGCTCGCTTCCCCCACCGCACCACAGCACCACACGACACGACACCATGGACGCAAAGCTGTGAGCACCCTCGCGCTCCTCGCGCCCCTCGCGCCCCTCGCTCCCTCTGGCTGACTAACACCCCCCAGCAAAGCCCTCAAGGTCGTCGACCTCAAGGACATCCTCGCAAAAGCAGCCGTCCCCGTCCCCGCAAAAGCCACAAAGCCAGACCTCATCGCGAAAGTCCTCGCCAGCCCCGCCGCCCTCGACCTCTACGCACAAAAATACTCACCCACCCCCCCGCCGCCCGCCTCCAAGCCCGCGTCCAAGCCCGCCCACCCGCTATCGACGCCCCTCGCCGCCGCCGCCGCCCCCTCGCCTGCGCCCGCCCCCCCGCTCCCCGTGCGCAACGACGACCTGGTGCGTTCCGTCCTCCTCCTCCCGCGTCCCTCCGCTCATCCCCACCAGCTCGCGCCCCCAGAAGAGTGCGTCACCCGTCCCCATCCTTCTCCCCACTCTCACCCCTTCCTCTAACGCACCCCAGAGTCGACTGGAACGTCGACGACACCACCCCCTCCGTCGACGACGCCCCCGCGTCCCCGCCCAAGCCCAAAGCACCTGCGCCCCACCCCGTAAGCCTGAGCCACTCCTACGCCCCCGCCCGCCCCCTCCCTCGCTGTATGCACCGCGCTCACACCCCCTGATCCCGCGCAGCCGAAAGCGGCGGCGGCGGCACCGTCAGACGCTGTCCCCGCGTCCGCGCCCGTATCTGAACCGGCTGCGGACTACGACGCAGAGCTCGCCAAGCGCAAGGCCCGCGCCGCGCGCTTCAACATCCCGCTCGTCCAGCCCGCGCCCGTGCCCACCGCCGTCGCCGCCTCGACCCGCTCGCGCAAGGCACAGCCCACTACCGCTGCCTTGCTGGACGTGCGTGGCCCCCATCTCCTCCCCCCTCTGTGCTTATCCCCCCGCCGCGCCACTGACGACGCCTACAGGACCCGAACAAGCTCAAGTCCCGCGCAGAGCGCTTCGGCATCCCCGCCGCACCCTCTGCCAATGGGGCTGCCCCTGCCCCTGCCGCTGGTGCTGGTGCGCCGCGTGGGCGCGAACGCATGCGCGGCACAAAGCGCGCGGCGCCGCCTGCAGAGGAGGTTGACGCAGAGGAGGCCGAGCGCAGGCGGAAGCGCGCGGAGAGGTTCGGTGGAGCCGTAGCCGTCGCCGCCGCGCCGGCCGCCGTGATGAGTGCGCGGTCGGGGTGAGCGGCGTGCGGGACGCGGCGAGGCGTGGCGCAAAAGCGCGAGGCTGCGCGCCGGAGCGGAGCGGAACGCTTGTGTCCTGTCCCTGTTTTCTTTTCTTGTTTATCGTTCATGCGTCTGCTCCCCCGTCGCGCGCGTGCGGCGTTCGTAATGCATCGATGTTTTTTCACTGTCTCTTCGCGCGGCGCACACGGCGGTCGTGAAAGACTGCAGCTAGGTCGCGGTCCTCTCCTTGTCTCGCTTTTCTCGCTGGCTCTCTCGTTCGCTCGCCGGACAGACCGACCGACCGCACGCACGCACGCTCCGCGCAGCCCGATGCACACCACGACGACGCGGAGCTCGCACGGCGCGGGGCGCTTCAACATCCCGCGCACCGCCGTCGCCGCTGCTGTTGCTCGCGTCATCCGCGCCGCGCCGCGCGTGCGGGCGGTTGTGGAGGCCGACGTGGTGGAGGCGGCGGTGCCCACAGCGGATGCGGCGGGTGCGCGGTCGGTGGGATGCCGGCAGCCGTCGGACGCTGTACTGTATGTGCTTGAGAAGGTGTTGTAGGGTGTTGTACGCGCAGGCGAGGCTCCTGCGTGGTGTGTGCGCGTAGGTGCACGTCTAGTACTCGTATGTCGCTTCGAGGCGAGACGGGAAGCTTATGTTCTTGTTCTGTTTCCTGTTCTCATGTAGTGGCGGGTGCTAGCCTCTGCTAACGTCAGGAGCTGCCCTGCGATCAGGGCGTGCGCGAGGCCGGTGTGCCCGAGCAAATGGCATGCAGCGCTAGGCGGTGTCGGAAGCGGCGGTGTGGGCGGTGCGGCTGCGCCGTTCTGAGCGAATGAGTGCATGCAGCGTCTGTGCGTGTGTACGCGTATGCATGTGTGGAAGTACTGTATGTATGTGCGCGCCGAGACCCTGAAACAGCAGGTGCTGTGCCGTGGTGCATGTACTACTGTTCTGTACCCGGCGCAACGTGGTATCTACGGCGCGCGAGGATGCCTGTTTGGGACGTGCGGGCTACCTGCGGTAAAATGCGTTGATTGATGGGGGATGGAAGCGGAGCGGGGAGTCGCATGGGCTGCTTTATTCGTTTTTGTATGTACGGTGGATGGAGAGTGCTCGATCTATTACTAGTCGCGAGCCCGTGTGCCGGCGGCAGGTCGAGGCGGGGCAGTGGCGGGGGGCGTTGCGTCAACTTGGCGCTTGCGCTCGGGCAATGGGGTGATCAGCGCAGCCTGCGCCGCACCGCCCCCACGTCTCGTCCGCGCCTACAAAACGCGCTCGCAGGCTGCCCGCGCGCGTGCTATTCACCACAGACGTCCTGTTCCCTGCCGACGCCAGAGCCGGACAAGGCCTGAACCCAGCTGAACCCTCGGGGCTCGATTAGGCGCTGCCCTCCCACCCTCCGACTCGCGTGCCGCCAGGCTGCTTATTGTTGTTGTCCGCCCTCCGCCCACGAGCGTCTCTTGTCGTTGTACAACAATCACACACCCTTCTGCACCGAGCCCCGCCCACCAGCGCGCGCGCGTCCGCACGTCTAGCCGCATACCAAAGCAACTCAACTACGAGACACGAACGAACGAACGAACGAACGAACGAACGAAACGAAACATACGAAGATCGAGGCGATGGCGATGGCGATGGCGAGCGAGAAACAAAAGGGGAGGGGAAAGGGAAAGGGGGCGCTGCGCGCGGTGCGGCGCTGGGTGTTCGAGCGGCACCGGTTCTGCTGCTGCCTGCCCGTGCGCGTGGGCGTGATCGTGATGTCGCTCGCGAACCTGCTCGTCTCGGGCCTGCTGTCCGTCATCTGCTGGTGGGAGGTCGCCGGTGCGTCGTCTCGGCTCTCGGGTACTGGGAGGGGGGCTAAGGCTGACGGGGCGCGCGGTTGCGTGGGGCAGCGAATCGGACGCTGGACGCGGGCGAGCGCGGGGCGTTTGTGGGCGCGGGGCTCGTCGAGACGCTGCTTGCGCTGCTCTCTATCCTCGGGTGAGCCCCACGCGCATTCGTTCCCCCCGCTTCCGCCCGTCTCACATCGCCTCATCCCCCGCCCCGCCGCGCACGCACGCGCAGCTTCGTCGGCGCGGTGGTGCGCAAGCAGAGCTTCGTGACGGCGTACTGCTACGCGCTGTACGCGCACTTCCTCGTGAACCTCGCCGTCGCGTCGTACTTCCTGTACGTGATCCTGCACGCGGAGCACGCGGCGGCCACGCGCGCGTGCGAGGACGCGATCGAGGACGCGGGCGCGCAGGGGCAGTGCTTGGGCCTGCTGCGCTTCGCGGCGGGGATCTACGGCGGGCTGGCGGGGGGCTTGCTCGCGCTGGAGCTTTGTGCGTCCGGGCTGTTGCGTTTTCTTTATGTTTTTTTGGCTGGCTAATGTGCGGGCGGGCAGACGGCGCGTTCATGGCGACGCGGTACGTGCACCAGGTGAAGCACGAGAAGCGGAAGATGAAGGCGCGCGCGGAGGGGCTGCCGCTGCACGTGCGTGGGGCGAGCGACGGCGGGGACGGGGACGGGGTGGGGCTGATGGGCGGGTACGTGCGGTATACGGACGAGAACGGCGAGTCGTGGTACGATCGGGTGGGCGCGCCGCTGAAGGACGAGGTGGGCGAGGAGGACGCGCGCGCGCACCGTGGGGGGCTCGCGGACGGGTATTATGGTGAGGGTGGGGGTGGGGGTGAGTGGACGCCGCGGAGGGAAGATGTTAGTGGGGCGGAGGAGTATGCGAGCGCGTACAGAGATCGGGACGGGGTTGTAGCGGAGGATGCACCCGAGCACGAGCACGCGCGGGCGCAGGACGGCCTAGGTGATAATCCGAGCGTTGTGCCGGCGAAGACGAGGTCGAGGTCGAGAGAGGGCGCGAGCAGCGACGAGGAGGAGGGGCCGGCGGAGCCGCTTCTGCCTGCGCCGAGTTCCGAGGCGCACCCGCCTGCGTATGGCCGCGACGGCAGCGGGCCGCGATGAGCTGGACGGGGCGGTACTTCTTGTTGTCACGCTATTTATTTCGCTTTCGCTGCGGGCGTGTGTTGCATAGAATACATATGTATCGTGGTGTCCTGCACGTCCGTGAGCGAGCGAGTGCTGCGCGCCGGAACCCGAGGCGCGTGGCCCGGGATGGACTCGGATGCGTGTACACAGGGTCAAACAAGGCGGCGGCGGGTGGGGCACGCGGGCGCTGAGCTGTGGCCGACCGCTATCCTACATGTCATGCGCATTCGGTCCCATGCCCAGCGCACGCACATCATCGACTCGGTGAGCAGCTCCGTCTGTCCTTCGCGCGCGCATGCCCGCCGTCGTCCGTCGCTGATCCCCTCGATCGCTCGCTTTCGCACACCACCACCACCACCACCACCACCCCACCCCACCCCACCCGCACTCCGCACATCCCCCCATAATGCCAACTACCGTTCTATGACACCGCGGCGCGCCAGCTCGAGGTCCTGCTCTTCCAGCTGCACGTCCTCTCGTTCCTCCAGGCGCCGTCCCTGCTGGGCCTCGTCACGCGCTGCGCGTCCCAGCTCCAGCTGTCCAAGCCGCGCGACGCGGACCCGAAGCGCACGCTGCGCTTCTGGTTCTTCCTCATCCTGCTGTTCAACTTTGGCAGCCTCTGGACGCACGCGGCGCAGGGCGCGCCCGAGGGCAGGGGCGTCGTGCTCGACTTTATCGGCATGGGTGCGTGCGCGCCCACGTCTCGCTGATGATTGAATGATTGAATGCGCGTGTGCGTGCGTGTACGTGTGTGTGTGTGTGTGTGTATACGCGCGCGCGCGCGGACAGCGTATAGGCCGAGCAGAGTGCAGCTCATATTTTTGGATTGCGTCATCGTCTTTCTGTCCCTGCTCATCACGACCCTCGCATACGAAACGTCCTACACCCTCGCGTCCCCGTCCTTCGGCACCCTCCCTGGCGCGAACACCGATCTCATCACCGCTACCGCCACCGCCGCCGGCATCGACCCGCTGCAGCCCCTCCCGGCCCACTCGCGCCCCGCGACGCCGCCAGACCCCGCGCTTGCGCCGTGCGCCGCCGCCGTCGTCGCCGCCACCGCCCTCGCGGGCACGGGCGCAGAGGCCCTCGTCGTCGACGTGCGCCTCGCCGCCGTGACGCGGCACCTCCGCGATCCGCCGCCGCCGCCGCCCCCGGAGCGCGCGGCCGGCGGGGCGCTGCTGCCGCTCCCGAACACGGCGGGGTGGCCGCTGTCGGAGAGCCTGCGGATGCTGATGCGCGCGCGGAATGCGGGGGCGCGGGGCGCGGCGGCGGCGCTGGGTGGGGAGCAGGGAGGGCAGGAGCAGGGGCAGGGGCAAGGGCGGGGGCAGGGGCAGGGGCAGAGGCAGGAGGGGGCAGGTGACGGGTCGAGAAGGTTGCCGGGGAGTATTGATCCGGATGATGGGGGGTGAGGCTTTGGGGACGAGGAGCGGGGAAGGTGTTTTTTTGGGGTCTGAGGTAGTTTGTACACGGTATTTACGGAACGACTGGACTGTTTTCTTGTATGGAGTGCGCGATGCTCTGCTCTGTCGACGTCGAGGGGTCTACTACCACTTGCCTTTCATCTGCGTGGGAGGGAATGGAATGCGGGGTGAGCGCGCGGTCGTGGAGAGGAAGAGGGGGGGAGAGAGCGCACGCACGGCGGTGCGGAGACAGGCGCGGAACTTGTCAAACTCTGCCTTGCAGCTGTCCTTGCGGACGTCGGTGTAGGTGGCGACGATGCACTTGCCGTAGGCGGAGGCCTGTGCGGCGCAGGTGGAGGTGGAGTGGAGGGCGAGGCGCTTGAGGGGCGTGGACGCGGCGGACGCGGCTGGGCTGGTGTGCATGGTGTGCGACTGACCGCTGGAGAGGAGGACGGCGCCGGGGCGGGGGATCCGCATCACGTGCCCCGGACAGTCCCCGCGTCCGTGTCCGCTGCAGCCCCGGCATGCGCCTCTCGACCCCACTCACACACCGCCAACACACCCCCGGCGACCCACACGCCCGTTTTCGTCTCGACGCTGCCCGTCCCCGGTGCCCACACAGGTGCCACCGTCGACGGAGCTCCGCTCTGCAGCCCCAATCCTTTGACCCCGCTCTCTTCTCGAAGCGATGCTCGACCCCGTCTTTCTCGTCACTTCCATTCTCATCGTCGTAGCGACCCTCCTACTCCTCTTCTTCTGGAACCGCCTCGTCGGCTTCCTCCTCAGCCTCGTCCTCCGCGTCGCCTACTGGAACGAGGGCGGCGCCAGTATATGGATCGAACTAGGTACGTCGCGCGCGCGTTCTGTGCACTCGTGATCGACGGCGTGTACGGTGCGGTCTGGTTGTGGGTTCGCGCTGAACGAGCGGACGCGGGGCAGGCTCTTTGCACCTGTCCTTGCGCGCGGGCAGGCTGCTCTTCAAGGACGTGCGCTACCACTCGAGCAGCCAGACGATCAAGATCGTCAAGGGGCAGATCAGCTGGCGCTACTGGATCCGCGCCCCCACGCTCGCCGAAGACCTGCACGCCCACGCGGGCGGCGAAGCCGCCGACGGTATGTCCCCGTCCTCGCCGCTTCGGCCCCACCTGACTTCGCGCCTCAATCTCGATACTCGCGGCGGGCGACAGGCAGGAGTCGCGCTTCGATGACTAGCTGCCGCATACACGCGTCCGTCGAGGGGCTCGAGTGGTTCATCTACAACCGCAGCGCGGCGTACGACGCCATCGTGGAGCAGATCGCGAAGGAGCCGCGGCCGCGCCGCTCGCGCAGTCACAGCGCGGGCTCGCAGGGCAGGCCGTTCCACCCGTCCTTCGCCGGCACCGAAAGTACGCGCCCCTCCCCCCTCCACCCGTGGACGCGCGCGCGCTCACACATATGCGCTCTCCGCGTCCCGCAGCGGACCCGCTGTACCCGCCGCTCGCGCGCACGCAGACGATCCCGCTCAAGCTCAAGACCCCGCGGTTCGTGCGCCGCGCGCTCGCACGCCTCCGCAGGCAGCTGCCGAACCTCGACCCCAAGTCGCTCCTGCCCGTCAGCTTCGAGGGCACCAAGGGTGCGATCCTCTGCGGGAACGCGTCGACCCCGTCTGTCCTCGTGGCCGAGTTCCAGCGCGCCGAGGGCATCTTTGGTATCGTGCCCGTGCGTGCGGTCCCCCCGCGTTCCTTTTTGTTTTGAAAGTGGATGAACCCGGTGGGGCTGACGTTGGCGTGCGCTTTGCAGGCGAGGTCGGAGCACGATTTGTACAAGCAGATTCTGAACATCAGGGCCGAGAAGGCGTCCATCAGGTTTGCGGAGAACGATAGGTATAAGAGCCCGATGGTCGCGACGGGCGCGAGCCTGCGCGACGAGATCGCCAAGACGCAGTGAGTTTTTTTCGTGCGACGACGCCGCGAGGTCGGAACTGAACGCTGGCGCGCCCAGGCCGCTCCCCCATCGCCTCTCCGAGCGTCTGTCCTTCTCCGCGTTTGCGAAGCTGTGGCGCCACGCGAAGCTCAAGGCTTTCGTATACGCGACCGTCGACGCGCCCAAGTCGCGGGGCGCCGGGACCGCCATCAACGCGGGGAGCTTCCGCACGCGGCGGAAGCTCGCGGCGCCCAAGGCGAGCGACGCCGGCGACGTGTCGGCACACGCGGACGGGGACGTGCAGTACGCCATCCAGCGCCAGATCTGCGAGGCGCCGGTGCTCGAGCTGTCGTACTACGCCGACGCGGTGGGCTTGGTGCCGGCGGACGGCGGCGGGCGCGCGGCGGCGCCTGAGGGCTGCGACGTCGGCAACGGCGGTACGCCGCCTGAGTGGGGGCTCGACCTCGTCGTGAACGGTGGGTTCCTGCGGTACGGGCCGTGGGCGGATCGGCAGCGGTGCGTGTCGCGCGAATGGTTCTTTCCGTGATCGGCGCGCGGGGCTGAGCGCGGTCGGTTGTTTGCTTTTTTGGGTGTGTGTGTGTAGGGCGGAGCTGCAGCGGGCGTTCTTTCCGGCGGCGTATCAGGACGCGAAGCAGGCAGTTTTTTTGAAGGCCGGGGAGAATAGGGTGTGGACGACGTTGCGGGTGTTCGTCGAGCTGCGCGGCGGGACGACGCTGTACATCCCGTTCCGGGAGGCGTCCAAGGTGCGTGGCGTCGGCGTCTTTGTCTATGCCTGCGCTTGCGCTGACTGCGTGGCAGAACTGGCAATGGGACGGTAAGGTCAAGTGCGCGAGGCCGAAGGAGCGCGAGGCCGCGTACATCAACGTCAAGGCAGGGGACGACTCGACGATCAGCTATTTGATGCCGATGGTCGCGGGGCCCGAGGGGTACGACCCGCTGCTGGAGGTCCACCTGGACACGGTGGTCGTCTCGACCAGCCTGAACGATATCCGGCTGTTGCGGGCGGAGTCGTGCCGCGTGAGCGCGTCTCTTTTATGGCGTGTCGTCCATGGGCCGCTGACGGTGTGATGTGAGGCCAGGTGCAGGGGAACATGCATTCTCCGCTCAAGTGGAATGCGGATCGGCAGTGGAGGTTCGGGGTGTCGCTGCGCCAGCCTGTGCTGTACCTGCTCCGGGACCACATCAACATGCTGACGGACCTGAGCAAGGATTGGACGTCGGGCCCTCCGAGCAACTATTTTACTTGGGTCCCGATGCGGTACGCCGTGGACCTTGACCTGCGGAACTACGAGATCAACACGTACGTCAACGATCAGAACATCATCGACAAGCCGCTCATCAGGGACGAGAACGGTGGGCATCCGGACCGTCTCGCGCTCTTTCTATATCGACATGGTCTTATCATTATTATTCTTTTCAGCGCTGCTGACCCTCCGCGGGTCTGTGCTGCGGAACGAGAACCTCATACCCGCGGACAGGTTCCGCCCGCCGTTCACGACGATCGCGTTCACGATCGACGCGCCGGACGTCGACGTCAGCCTCACGCTGCCGCGCTGGAACACGCACAGGGTGCACGCGACGGAGCCCATCACGAAGCTGGGCCGCATCGGCCTGCTGCGCGTCGGGGCGTCGTACCACTACTTCGCGGACGTGCGGCCGGACAACGTCGAGCAGCTGAGGCTGGACTTTACCGTGAGCCCGCGAGCCTCTGCGATCGATTGGAGAGACGACGGACGGTGACGTGCTCTCCCTTTTGTTTGTTTGTTTTTGCAGGCGAAGGACGTCGTGTTCAAGTGCTTGGGGTGGTCGATACGCCATTTTATGATCCTGAGGGACAACTACTTTGGGTCGTTCACGCACTTTTCGACGTTGAACGAGTATTTGGAGAAGCGGCGGTCGGGGATCGCGGTTGGGGATCCCATCGACTTGAAGTACCGTCCGGGCAAGGTGGCGACTCTCTTCTTCTCTAATTTTGAAAGCGCGATTTGACTTGGCATTTTGGGGGGGCAGTCGAATATGCTGCAGGTGGAGCTGCAGCTCAGCGTCGACAACTTCCTCATCGTTCTGCCCGCCGGTATCCCGGGCTACGAGACGTACAACCCCCTGCCCGGCCAGGACCCGAGAGACGTTTGCCTCGGCGCCTGCGCGATGGTCTCCGTGCCGGACCTCCAGCTGCAGCTCAGGACGCACGATTATTACATGGGTGAGCGCGCCGCCCGTGGAGGTCGAGGCGGCCGGGCTGACTCTTTTGGGTGGGGGTGACTAGAGATGGCGTTGAACGTCGGTACGGTGTTCGGGAGCGTTCGCACGGACTGTACGGAGCGGAGGTTGTTTGAGCAGCCATGGGCTCGTCTCGCCAAGGAGGCGTTCATCGTCGACGGTGCGCGCTCGTTAAGTTGCATTGTGGTTTTCTCGTGGTGATACTGAATGGGCCGTGTGTGCGTGCAGGGCTCGACATCGTCGCCAATAGGCTGTTTGGGCCTCAGCCGCGCACGTCGACGTATGTGTGTGTCTGGGAGATCAACATCGGGGATATACGGGGCATGCTCTCCGTGCAGGAGGTTAAGATCCTGCAGGCTGTCTTTGACGCTTTCGGGATCAACTACAGCGACGTGATCAACTCCCCTGCCGCCGAGTATGCCGTGCCCGTGGACCCCGATGGTGAGCGTCTCCACTGTCCTTGTGCTACGAGTCGCTCACGAACCGGCCGACGACAGTCACGTTCTTGAAGCTGACGCTAGAGAGCGTGGACCTCGTCGTCAGCACTGGCGACGCCGCTGTCGAGGCGAGCGTCCCGAAGGGGCTCTGCCTGGAGCGGAACGACCTCGCGGGGAACCATTACCGGAAGGTCACGAGCGTGCGCGTGCCCGAGGCGCAGGTGCGGTGCTTGCACAGGTACGTCCCGCGAGAGCGGTGGATGGAGGTCGCGGCGGTGTCGCTGGACGCGAGCGCGGACGTTTATTCGTGTCCGCCGGGGTGGCGGGAGTCGGCGCAGGCGCAGCGGGCGTTTGTGGCGGAGCAGGACGTGTTGACGGGACGCACCGAGTTGTTGTATCCTATCCAGGCAAGGCAAGGCCGGCGGCCGCGTCACGCAGGCCACAGCGTCTACACGGGCGCGCTGCAGCTGCCTCGTCCGAAGCGGGTTGCGAGGCCGGATGGCTACTCGAAGGGCAAGCCGCCACTGCCGGATTCTGCGAGCCAGCACCCGTCGGATCTCACGAAGCCGACGCCGTTCTCGCATCGGCAGTTCACGTCGGATTCGGAGGGCGAGGACACGTACACGGAGACGGATCGGGATCTGCGCCTTGCGTGAGCTTTTTCGCGGCGTTCGGTTTCGGGTTCGTGGTGGAGGGCTGATCCTTGCGCGACGGGTTCGTGTTCGTTACAGGCACACGCGCCCGTCCTCGCTCATGCCCACGGTGCATACGGATGACGAGAGCATGTCCGGTGCCGACGAATCGGACGATGCGGATTTGACCATGGACAGTCGGTCAGAGAGCGACGAGTCGGACGATTGCGGTACGTTTTCGGCGTCGATGCTTTTCGCGAATAGGCTCACCGATGCGCCTGAAGACGAAGAGGGGGCGAGAAATTCTGAACTGAGGAAGTATGTGAGGTTGACGCGGCATTATGCTCTTCAGGCCAGGGGACCCTCGGCCTGGGCTGATTCTCCTTTTACGCTGATCAAGGTAAGTCGGCGAATGGAACGGATCGTGCCAGAGCTTGTTCTGATCGCCTCTGTGAAGGACTATGGAGCTTCGCATATTTTCCACGAGATTCCTGAAGAGACCAGTACGGAGCGCTTCGTTCAATGGCAGGCTGACACGGATACCCCCGAAAAGTGCGACACGACTATCGTTCGACTGGTATCTCGCTCGTTGGACGTATGGCTTACGCCCTTGGTTCCTGGGGTGGCGCTGCAATTTTTGGAGGAAAATTCACGACACGTGCGTCTCCTTCCATTGCCTCGTCGATGAGGTCCTGAATCGCTCTCAGTTCAAGAGCCCCGAACTCCGCATGGACTCGATAATGGCGGACCATATACGCGCGCTCGCTTCCGGTCCAACGTCAGTGCTGAGGACGCAAGAGAAAACGGTCATCGACGCGGAGCTATCCAGGACCCACATACGCGTTCTGCAGGTGACGCCCGTGTTCGAAGCGGAGGTCGATATCGCGCGAACTGTCGACGATGTTCGTCCGCCAATCAGCCAGGAGTTGACTGTCGTAGATGTAACGGTCGCTCGATGGACGCTGCAAGGTCAGAAAATCCAAAACGACAAGCGGTCGGAAACTTCCATGAAAACAGCCATTGGATACATTAGTATGACTCTCGGCGTTGGCGACCAAACGACCCTCAGAAGAGGTATACTCGAACAGATGCTCCGCCCCGTCTGCAGCCTATCTTTGACTAACCTGGAAGCTATCTACACACCGAAAAGTGCTGGTTGTTCGTGGCGTGACCTTGTGTCGACCATGGAGCACACCGGTCCTCAACGTATTCTGAGAAGTCTCTTGCCTTATCGAGGGCCCGTATTTGAAGTTCTGGAGACACACAAGCGACTGAAGGGTCTGCACCTACATGAGGCTCAGCTACGTGTTTATCAAGTACTCAAGTGGTCCAGCGATCGCTCAGTCGTTGACCCCTTGTCAACGATCCAGCCTCTGTACCTCATTCAATCTGGTCTCCCACACGAACTTCGGGTAGAGCCAACGTTCAAGGTTCTCTTTTACTTGCGAAACGCCCTTAGATTTTTGGAGCTTGTCGAGCGTGAGGCGATCCGCGATCTGCGCCCCGACCATCACGTCCCCGTGGCTTTGAGCGAAGTGGTCGAGCTTCTGCACGGCCAGCTGACGAGTCTGGCCGCCGATGCAGATGGCGACGGATCAGGAATCTCTTCTCTGAAAATGTTCGTCAGGTTGTTCCCGACAGAGGTGACCCGTGACACTCCTCCGGCTAGCAGTCTAACGCTTGAGGTCGTTCATGTGGCGTTCCAGTCCATCAAATTCTCCCTTCTAGATCCTTCTCAGGCGCCCCCTTGCGATGCGACAATCGGTCCATTGGAGTTCGTCGCCAGCTTGCGCAAGGCTGCACTTTTGCCGCCAAGTCCACACAAACCTACTCGAGACCCAGCTCCAAGTCGAGATAAACCGCGAGTCAAATTGAACCACCTGATGGCTTCGTTGACGCTGGGCAACGTTGAAGTGTTCGTTCTTCCCCATATTCTGCACTTCGCCCAGCGTATGATCCGCATACGGAAATACATCGACGACCACGGTTTGTATAAAAAGTCTCAGGTAGCGCCGACGCCGAGTTCCAAACCTGCGCGCAATTGTCAAGACGTTGTGTATAGTGATATATCCGTATCTTTCAAGCGCTTCAGACTACAGGTCGCAGCGGAGAACCTCATCGTTGTCCTCGGGTCGTCAGGCCTGACCATCTTTTCCTCTGCCTATCTTCGCAAGGCCCAAGGGCGCTGGGATATCTCGGCGAACTCATCTCTTTTCCTGGATTCTGCTTCCATCAAAGCGCGATCTTCGCCTGAGGGGCAAAATCCGACTGCTCGGGATGCTCTAGCCTCTGCTGTAGTGAATGGGGTAAAGGTGAATGCCGTGGGCCGTCAAGAGCCTTTTTTGAGCTCGACGATACGGGCAACCCTCTCGGTGCACGATGTTCGTTTATCAGTGCCTCGAAGCGCCATCCGTTTGATCCGATTTGTTGAGGAGTGGCGAGCGGACTACTTGCCCGGGATCGAATCCATGGTCCATGCATTATTGTTGGAGGCGCGGAAGAAGCCCAAGGCTGCACGTACTACACGCACCACTCCCAGAAAGCTCCCTACGATTCAATTTCAGGCTTCCCTTGCCACATTGGGCGTTTCGTTGCACATCATGCCTGGGACTTGGCTATCTTGGGAGATCTTCAATATCGTGACGTACCTCCGGTTCACTCTCACCAGCACTCGCAAATTGTCCCGCTTTTTCGGCTTGCGATTGGCATCTCAGCGCATCAGCATATCTTCCGTACAGAGTGCGGAGACCGAGCCACCTACCGAGCGTGTCAAACTAGACCTTCCTTGGTTAGCAGTCACAGGCCAGTTTGAAGAAGACGGTGTTCACGCAGTGGCGTCTGTGGGACTATTCCACGTAACGGTGAAGCCTTCATATTGGGACACCCTCCTATCCGTGCAGCAGAAGTTTGGACAGGATTTCAACGATCTAATTTTGATCATCGGAGATGCGCGCCGCAAGCGACCCACGTCGCCGTTGGCGAAGGACTCGCAGCCATCCGTGTCGATGATTCATACGATTTCTCTCAAGATGAAAGGGTTCCGTCTGGGCCTGGAAGGGCATTCTTCTACAGCTTTTCTTGAGTGCCAGGACATAAGCGGGGGCATGAGTGGCGATGATGGAAGACTGTGGCACTTCACTGTGACCGGTTTGGCCCTATCGTTGGCGTCTCGCCTGGACAATTATGCCGAGCATTCAACTTTCACCAGAACCCATCGCTCAGCATTCGTGATCATTGATTTCAAGGTTCGAGTGGGCCACATGCAAGGCAATGAAAAGGCTTTCGAAATTGTAGTTTCGAAGATTCATGCCGTTATGCAACCCAGTTCCATTGGCGAGATCGGTGATTTCATGGATCACCTACAGGTGAGGACCTCGATTTATGCAGTGCATCCCTCTTCTCAACCAGATAATTGTAACAGGCCGAAGTGCTCCTTAGACAGGAAGAGCGTGCCCGTGAGCTAGCTGACTTCAAGGAGAAAACGAGAAGTATCATGAGGACCTTTGAGGTCAAGGCGGAGACAAGCTCAGATGGTCCCTCATCTTGGATCTCGGATTATGCCATGACGCTGATTGTTAAGAACATCGGGGCAGCATTTCCTCTTGCACTCGAGCAGGGACTCGAATTGCCGCAACGGCGCACAACTGATCATGCTGCGGTCCGCGCGTTCTTGTTTTCCATCAGATCTTTAGCCTTTGGGGCCGAACGAAGTGGCAAGGGTCAAGCTACAATGAATGGCTTTTCCTTCCAATTCGTCGACCAGTATGTCTTAGTCTCTTAGTACTGATTCATGGTTACTGACATTTGAGAAGGTTCCGGCAATCGATTCCTGGGGATTTCTCTGGGCAGAGCCATGAAACCCGCAATCGCCTGATCTATCCTGAGATGACTGCACATATACGCACCGAACGCTCCATGAATTCACGTCGCATCCGCATTGGGGCTAATGTTAGCGGCTTCATCCTCGACCTGGATTCAACCATTTCCGATAACATCTTCTCGCTCGTTGATGTCTACCGTCAGGGAAAGGAGCGCATCGAAAGGCTAGCGTCTAATATTCCTCGCACAACAACCACTCAAGCGGTTTCCCAAAAAACGGTATCGGGCGCATCCCAACAGTACAAAAGTCTTCCCACATCCAATGTGTTGCTTTCATTGGTCTTTCTCAGCGGTAAAGTTCGCATGTACAGTGGATCCAACGGCAAGGCTTCAAGATCAAGATCCTTCCATGATCACAACGGTGGCCGGCTCCAGGATTTTGGTGCTGACATGTTCAATCTCCCGATTGTCACGGTGTGGGGAGAATATCGTGCTACGCCAGCGTTACAAAAACTGTCTGGTGCCAAAGAGGCCGATCCGTCATCTCTAATGATCAAGACTACCATCCATTCTAGCGAAAACACCCTTCGGCCTTCGCTCTTGCCCTTCCTGTCTGCACTTATCAACGATATTGAGTCCCGCATGCGGAGAGCCAGCCCACTCAATGCATCATCAGCTTCTATCTCCTCACGAGACCTGACAGCCAATACTCCAAGTCAACTACGTCCTTCGGGACCCACAGAGCCTTCATCCAGCATGCAAATAACTTTCGCTCTTCGGATTGACCAATCGCAATTGCAATTGACCTGCCAACCGGATGTCAATGTCATTGCAGGCGTTCACTGGGATAGTGGTGGTTTTGTGCTCAATATCTCTTCAGGGGCTCATCAGGTGTCTTTGATGGGCAATGTAGGTGGCCTGACCATCGGACTCAAACACGGCTTTTTGAGTGAGGACTGTGTTCGCATGGATGCTCGCAATTTGGGATTCTCCATGACCTTTTCCAAAGCGGATCAAAAATCGGGTAAGACAGCCAGCACAGTTTCCCTTGTGGTAGATACGGAGGTCGCAGGGGTAGTTCGATTCTCTCGCCTTCAGGATGTCCTGTGTTTCAAGGCTGTATGGTTGGACCGTATCCCTGTATACAGCGGACAGGCGACGGCGACTGCTCATCCGTCATTGAAAGTCACCCACTCACATGGTGCACCATCCCTGAAACAAGAGTTGAAGACAGCTCTTCTCCTCAGAGTGCGTCGCATCGACGTCGACGTGGACCTTGGACAATCCATCAGCTCCATCGCTTTGAAGTTGGAAAATGTCTCCGTTCGCAGTAAGTTGCAGGAGACGTCATCCGAGCTGTCATTGGCTGTAGGAGACCTCAGCATGCTTGCCAAGGGAAATGTTTCTGGTAAAGCACATATACCTGATTTCTCGTTCCGGACAATCAGGCGAGCAGATATTGGGCGGATCGATGTCCCCTCAACTAGCAAGATGTTGGAGCTATCCCTGACCACTGGCACGTTGGACCTTGTACTGGAGTCTGATTACCAGAAGATACTTCAGGTTTGGTGAGTAAGGCTCTTGGATTCTCATACATCTCCTGATTCCTTTATCCCTAGGGCCGAACCTTTCGATATATCTGTATTCGATGATTGGTCTCAGATATCGACAGAAATCCCTGCAGCGGATCGACGCCTCCAATTGTCTTTCGTCGTTTCTGGAAGAGACCTTGTGGTTGCTGCCACCGTGGGAACGATCCCCAAATTGGTTTCCTATGCCGCAAAATTCAAAGCCAATTTGCAGGCGCAACGTGAAGGGGCAATCAAAGAGTCGCGCGCATACAGCATCGCCCAATCTCCTAAACCTGACAATCCCCTTTCAGCCGTCGCCAACGCCATGTTGATGTCTGCACGTACTCGGTTGAAGGACGCAGAAAACAGCCTTTCCTACGCCATCATACAACAAATGGAGTTCCATCTCAACTCTCTTCGCCTAGCGGGCTTTCCTCGAACCATGTTCGACGTCGAGATGGCACATTTCGTCGTCCGCGACGTCAATGCGCGTCTGAAACGAGTCGTGGAGACTGAAGACTTGCCGGCCAAGCGAGAGCTTGAATTATCCTTTTCTTCCATCACGACATCACGATTCAGTCAGCTCAACCACGCAGTGCTTTCAAACGAGGTTGCCACGGATCTTAGGGCCTGGCTTGACGCAGTGCTGAAGAAAGTTGCGGAGGCCATTATCTTCGATTTGCCATCCATGCACATCTTTATGCGGACCGATGAAGTCGACGAGGAGAGCGCGAAGATCATCATGTACGATTTCATCAGCAAGTTCGACCGAAAGAAAGGCCTCAAGGATCAGGAAGATATTTTCATCACGCTCAACGTCTCGTTATATTCTTGGCTCACCCTTCTGCGCAAGAACTTGACGAGGGAGATGGATCAGGTGCAGGGCAATACGGATTGGAGACCAGGATTATCATCTGCAACTCCTTCGCCTATGGCGTCGCGCAAAAAAACGACAGAGACTCCACCGGATTTCCTGCTGAGAGATGACACGGTCTCTCGCCCAAATACCCCGCCCTTGACCGTGCGCCCTCTCGTACTTCCCTCTCCTGTGAAGGTCACCACGAAGTCGGTATCACCTGTGGACCAGTCCGAGATCCACGACGGAAGCAACGATGTCAATACTTTGGGTCCCGCAATCGTACTGAACACCGCTCACTCCAAGTCAGGAACAATGAGCAAGAGCGCATCCCCACTTCCTGTATCCCAAACAACCAGTCTCACGCCTCAGCCGGGCCTTTCATCCACCCTGACACCTACTCCAGGGCCAAGTGGCAAACGCTCTGTGATTGTGTATAAGGCACGGAAAAGACAGATCGAGCGACTGAACATGCGGCAGCTGGGCGAGGCCACTCCGGATGTGATGCATCCGTTCTTCATGAAAAAAGCTGGGTTCAGCTTGGAGGACTCGCTGCCGCAGTATGTGCACGAATATGCTACGATGCCGATCAATGAGATTACGCGGGCATTACTGAGACTCTATAGCAAGCAGCTCAACGCGCCTGAGTGAAGTGGGATGTGTATCCTTCTTATTTTATAATATTTTTGCTTCGTACATCGAAATTTTTTGGATAATAAACACGGACTAATTGCTATAATGTAGAATAAAACGATAGGATCGAAACCATTCATGTTTCAATGAACGCTCAATAGTGTCCTTCAGTCTTCAGCGCTCTCCACTCAACCGTGTCTCAGACCATACTCTCTTCCGGTAAAGTCCCATGAGCAAATAGCGTCAGGGTATATACATGTGCCTCCGCATTGCGCAAGCACTCGTCTGAACAAAGAGTAGTCGCGTCCGCGAGAATCACTTCCCTGACGTACCCGCGCCAACGCCAACGTTGAAAACGCTCAGCATCGCGAAGCACCCGTATAGCAGTCCAACCGGATATGCGACAAGCAGCCTTTGGTCTGTCATTCGAAGGACTGTGACGAAAATACCGGACGCGGCATATGTGCACCATGCGATTGAGACGAGAGACAGAGCATAGCCGACAAGGCCGCTGAATGTATCATTACACAAATTGAAGTTAATGGTTCGGCTGCTTGCGCGAGAACTTCGATGGGACTCACTCTAATGTGACTAGCACACTCAGCGCGCCTACACCTACCATGGGAAGGAGACAGTAGCCTAACACAGAAGCTACGCGGTATGCGTCGATGGCCTTCTCGGACATGAGGTTGAGAAGGAGGTACACGGACATGGAGCCTAGAAGGCCGACGCCATAAATGTACCCAAACTGTGGTTTTCCTGACTAGGATCAACGATTAGTGTGAAACAGCGACCAAGGCAAAATTAAGTATAAACTATTGGTGGAGACATACGCTAGAAGTAGTGGGATTTGATGCATGTAATAAAGACTTACGAATAGCAGGGATATGCCGAAGCAGAAGCAGAATAGAAGTGGGCCCGCAAGGTCTGCGTCGTCCATAATGTGCTCATCTATGTGTCTCAGAGGATTGAGCACGGTCATTGACTTGGCGCTGATATGTGAGAAGTTAATTCCGAGCTCTATGAGTTCGTCAGCGTCTACGTACGTGACATGATGCAGCCAAACGCACCTTCGAGTAAAGGAGGCTCGCCCTCAAATCCACCGGTTCCAAAAGCTGTCCACCATCCTCCTGCGGGCTGTATGTTTCCACCATACACATTTCCGACGCCTTGCGGTGCTATGGAACCCTGTGGACCGACATTGCCCTCAAGGCTTGAGCGTGAACCGGGATAAAATGAGCTTTGATCGTAGAATTGAAGCGGGGCGTTTTGAGCGGGCGCCTTGGGGTAGTAAGGGCTCTGTGAAGATGAAGAACCGTAAGGATTGTTGTTGTCCTGCCACATGAATGGATGTAAGTTGTCGACGTGGAGATGCACAGGCGCGTTCAGCGCTACTGCACGAGACCTGCTTTGTTGTCGATTGTTGACATCGCCTCTTGCCTTCCTCCCATGGTCAGTCCCTAAGAAACCTTGCCCCGAAGCCTCATCTGACGCATTTTTTTCTTTCGACCGCAGCCTCAGGTAAACAATTTCAACCCTTTACATTGTCGACGCAGGTTTCTGATCTTTATTTCAGAACGAGTATATCGAAGAGCACATCAAACGCCATGGACGGCGGTTAGATCATTTTGAACGCAAGTGCGTACTCGCCTTGGTTTTCTTTTTCTACTGTCTCTGACTTCCAATATTTAAGGCGCAAGCGCGAAGCCCGTGCTGTTCATCAGCAGTCCGCCGTCGCTCAAAAAGCCTTTGGTATCAAGGGAAAACTTCTGCATGCCAGACGCCATACCGAAAAAGTGCAACTCAAAAAGACTCTCAAAGCTCACGACGAGCGCAACGTCAAACAGGCAGACTCGTCGACAGTTCCCGATGGTGCTCTTCCCACATATCTCCTCGACCGCGAGGGACAGAAGGATGCCAAGGCGCTTTCTACTGCCATCAAGCAGAAGCGGAAAGACAAGGCCGCCAAGTACGCCGTCCCACTGCCCAAGGTTCGTGGTATTGCGGAGGACGAGATGTTCAAGGTTATGCGGACGGGGAAGAGCAAGAGCAAACAATGGAAGCGAATGGTAACGAAAGCAACTTTCGTCGGAGAGGGGTTCACGCGCAAACCTGTGAAGATGGAGCGATTCATCCGGCCGATGGCCTTGCGGTTCAAGAAGGTGAACGTGACACATCGTACGTTCTTGTCCTTGCGTTGTAGCTTGACCAGCCAAATCAATGCGCGTTTCCAGCCGACCTGAAAGCAACGTTCCAACTCCAAATCCTCGGTGTCAAGAAGAATCCTCAGTCGCCGATGTATACCCAGCTGGGTGTTCTTACAAAAGGAACAGTGATAGAGGTCAACGTCTCCGAACTTGGTATGGTGACTGCTGGAGGCAAGGTTGTGTTCGGCAAGTACGCTCAGATCACAAACAATCCAGAAAACGATGGTTGCATCAATGCCGTACTGCGTATGCTCTTCATGTTTGTGCTCATATCGATGTATCGCTGACTACTTATTTCACAGTCGTTTAGCCCTTCCCATTCGTATCATACGCACTCTATCTTGTATTTCTAGTTGCTCTTGTTGTGGACTAAAAATGTGACCTTAACCCCAAATTGTGTGTTGGCCAAACATGAACGCGTGACAGTGACGTGGGGTTTGGTTTGTCGTGCTCACCATGTCGACTCACTCCCCTTCGCCTCATCCTTCCTCAACAGAGCCCTCGTCTCGTCATGCTAGCACCCCAGTCGAGAAACAACGCTCTCAGCTTGAGCGCTTGCTCAAAGATCCCTCGAAACCTGCCTATATCCCCGCACCCCCAAAGGAGAAAACAATACGCCCGGCACGGGAGATGATGAAGAACGTTCAAGGGTCTAGTGCTGGTGCGGGCAGTGGAGAATTTCATGTTTACAAAGCAGGACGACGAAGAGAGTATGAGCGGTTGAAGGCAATGGAGGATCAAGCGAGAAAGGCATGTTATTGGTCTGCGAGCCCGGTAGCCATCCCTTCTAATACGATCTACTTGTGCACCTTCAGGAACAAGAAGAATCAGAGTTTGAGGCGAGAAAACGCCAACGAGAAGAAGAGGCAGACGCCAAAACTGCGAAGAATCGCGCAAAACGACAAAAGAAGAAGGAGCGAGCGAAAGGGAAGGGTCCAGAGAAAGACGGAGCAGAGGACGCTGGAGGTAGTGCTATAGGCCCAGCGCAGGCAACAACTTCGGGTGCCCCGTTGAAAAAGAGGCGGCTGGTGAACGGGAAGGAGTTGGTGTTCAAGCGGCCAGGCGAGGAGAGCGATGACGATGAAGAAGTTGGTCCTGAGCCGGTGTCAAAGGCCGAGTTTGGACCTTACGATAGCGAGAATGCACTTGCGCCTATCGCGATAGATGTGCCCAGGATTATCATTCATGAAGATGGCTGAAGGTGTACTTCTCTCTTGAATTCTTCGACAGCTTTTTGGAATATGTAAGCGATTCAAATCTTTCAACATATTACGGGCAACAACTCATATTCATGCTAGCACCAGATGTAATTTTACCATTGCCCAATGCATCGTTCTCGCATACCCTCCAGCTCCCTCGCAAATGCGCCTCCCTTCGTAATGTCGCCGTCATTTTTGCACCCTTTTGAAGACCGCTGAACTGAGCCTCCACTGAATCGCCCTGGTACCTGCAAATTGGTAAATCGGATTGTTCTAGACTGTTCACCTGCTCTGCCACTTGAAAAGACAAGTACCCCATGGCATAGATCTCGTTGGTTCGTAGCCGAAACAACTCCAAGGTTTCTCCGACCATCCTGGTGTTATGCCAAGCCTCTGCTGTCCAAGCCACCTCGAGGCTTGGCCTTCGAACGCGGTCATTCACAGTCTCCGGCGCTGATGTCAACAGACTACGCGCATTCTGCTGTCAGATTCGGCGTCCCGAAGTCCGCGCAGCTCTCCATGGTTATGTTCCCAGCTGGATTCAGTAAGATACGTCTGTTCTCGGGTTTCCGGAACAGAGCGTTTGGGTCACACGCGGAAGTGTTCGAGAAGAAAATCGTACTCCCCGTAGACACGACACGAAGGAGTCAACGTCATCGGCGCTGCGCCATTCCGGCCAAGCCCTGCGTTCCGATATCACAAGACGAGGTAAGTACGAATTCCGAGCGTTAATTATCTGACAAGGTTACGTCTGATTTCTGATGGTGGGGTACACTGTTGACCACCATTCACGGTAGTATCACATCGTTACCAATGACAGAAGCCAAGCGCTGTGAGCGGGTAGCGAATTTCTCGAAAAGCACTAGGGTACGCCAGTCAAAAGCACCATGAAGCAGTTTGCACCCCATCTGCCGCATAGGCATTACAGCTGAACTTCTATTGTATAAGCTCAACCATGGAGATTGAGGAAATTACTCGAAATCAGATCGATCACCCAACAAGCTTCAAACTCCCTAACAAACAGGGGTTGACAATGAGAGCATCGCTCGAAGAGCGTCCCCGTGCGCTGACCTGCGGGCTTTTGGAAGAAACGAAGGCCGGGCAACTAGAGTTAAGTCTAACGTTGGATAATACCGGAGATGGATACATCTGTTACCGGAGTGAGCTGGGAGTAGGAGCCCGATAGAAGAAGTCTGACATACGTTGGTTTTCTCCGAGGAGCGGATCCAAGGCCTCATACCAGGCGCAAACTTCAATATTGAGAAGTGTTCCGTAACGTGGCCGTACTTTCTTGACTTGAGTGGGGCGGTCAACATGGATGTTATGCCGACAATGGATGTGACAAATCCATATGTGCATCTGAAATAGTTGGATTCACGTTGGCTGGGCGTGCAAATAAGGAAAACTGAGATATTTAATCAAAAGGTGTTCTAGCTATATGATCTCTAGAGAACTAGGCATAGTGATTGCTGCCAATAGAGAATTTCATTATTGGGACGGCTGGGATTTGAGAATGCTACTTTTCAGGAACAGCTTGTTTACGGCTCTCAAGACACGTTGGTTTGGAATTTCCCCTCCATCTACATTTGGTATGTGACTCAGCATGGAGGTCATTTCATGAAGGGCCGAATAAACAGGTTGAACCATGCTAAGCCCAAATGGCTACGAGCGCTAGGACGAACGATACCTCCGCTGTAAATTGCGAGCATTTCAGGGAAGCAGGCTGCAGAACGACTGTAACAAGCAATTTGAGATCTTGTAGACTCTGGAGGAGCTCGCCGTTTGAGTGTTCGATGCGTCATGCGTGAGGTGAAGATTTCACCAGACCCGACGGTATTTGTCAACTCACGAACTGGAACATGCAAGCTGGATCTCCACAAATAGTAGTGTTTTCCTTAAGGGTCTCTTCATTTCTGAGATCGAATTCAAGCAACCTCGAGGATGACCTTCGTCGAATGCCAAGCCTCCGGCATGAATGGATGGATGTCACACTATCAATGAGGCTGTACTAACTGTCGTGGCGTGAACTTTCTACTCTTCCTTCTACAAATAAACCCAAACTGAGGGTCGTCACATCCACACATGACCTGGAACTTATGCCTCTTCGCAAGCAGCTCTCAGCGCTTGCTAGACTGAGCAATGCAAGAGCCTCATCATCTCTAAGAAGCGTCCTATATGTTGATCGTGCTGTAATCGTCCTCAACAAGCCTTCTGGCCTGGTCGCTCAAACCAGCTTGAAGCTCACTCAGGTACGTGCTTGACGCTCTGCCCACTTATGATCTGTCTCATGCGGCAAATGAACTTCATCTCTTATGAAGTTGGATGGAAGCCGCCAGACAAAAACACCTTACGACACTTTGCTCAATCGTAATCTTATTTATTCACATTGTTGTGTAGTATCCAGCTTTTAATAATTCTTCCAGATTTGCAACACGAATATGATCTTAGTACGCCCCCGTATCCTGTTCATCGGCTCGATAAGGTACCGTTTTATTACCGAATGTCACAAATGTACTACTGCATGCCCACACCATGTATCAGAACACTACAGGGGCCTTAGTCTTAGCGAAAACGACACATGCTGCCCGTGAATTATCGCGACAGTTCAAATCTCGTGCCGTGATAAAGGATTACCTGGCCCTCGTTCGTGGAGGTGAAAACATGTTCACCAAGAAAGAAGGTGTGATCACAAACCCCATTCAAGTTGATCGTGATGGACGTGTGTCGGTGAGCACACAAGATGGGAAACCAGCGCTGACTACTTGGGAACTCCTTGGATCATCTGTGCGTCAGACTGTGGCTACTCCTGTTCTTCGTGAGACGGCCTCACCATCATACATGATTTTACGTATTCTGCAGCCTCGAGTACCCCTTTCCTTGCTGAGAATGCAGCTTCACACAGGGCTGAAGCATCAGCTTCGTGTGCACACCGCATCAGTGCTAAAGGGTAAGGAGTTTTCTACCGCTGCCCGTGAAAATGAATGGGGCGATACTAATTGTTCGACGGTCCTTACCGTTGGAAGCCCCCATCCTGGGAGACACGCTTCATGGGGCCGAGGCGATTGCCCCGAAAGTTTCATCATTAGTGCCGGAAGAATGCATGTTCCTGCATGCGTCATCTGTGTCTTTATTTGTATGTCTTCGTTATTCCTCTTCCCTTCTTCTGCCAGGCATGCTGATTTCAGAATGCTTCGTGTGGTTGTAGCGATATCGACGAGAAGGACCGAGTAAGCGATTCCGGTTGAAAGTTGTGGCGCCGTTACCTATTAGTTTTATCCGTGTCTGTCGTGATGTGGGCATTGAACTTGAGGAGGCCATAATTCAAGGAGGTGTTTACATGGACGATGTAAGGGTGGAGAGTGGAGAGGTGCATACCAAGGAAGTGCGTAATAGAATAACAGGATATGAATAGTGTTGATGATTCAACGTTTGACAAACGTTTGACATTCGTATAAAAAGTATTACTTGCGACCTCTCCATCCCTTTGAAGGGTTTCAAGACAATGCGTAGACCCTTCGAAGGTTTCAGCACTTCATGTCTGGTCTGATCTTTCGTTGATGTTGATTTGCTTTCTGAAATGATCCAAGTCCCACCTTAATTTCAAGGAATTGCGGTCATCTCTGTCGAAAGTATTAACCAATTAAGGGCAGTCTGCGCGATTGCACTGTGATAGGGTGCCCATAGACCACACAGAAAAGAAAAGAAGACTGGTGATTGTAAGATGGCAATATCATATAAAAATAGCCGTACTCTAACTAAAAGAAGTCGGCATCGTGTGATGATTCGTCTTATACCCCAGGATTTGTGCCCTTATCAGGCGGCGTACCATTGTTAGTAAGAGGTGGCGCACAATCTCCTCGTGCAGACTGTGGTGGGATTAGGTATGGTGAAGCAACCGGAGTCGCTGTCGGCGGAACGGTCGGCGTGGTCGATATGGATGACGCAGGACTAGTGGTAGAAGTTGTTGAGCCCCGCATAATTGAATTGAGTACCAGTGCTAGCCCACTCATTTGTGCTGCCTGAAGCAATGACACGTTGATTTCAAGATTGAGCTGTGTGCCGTTTGCAGAGGAACCGCGTAGTATAGCCGGTGGTGGTTGACCAGCTGGCACCTGTGACAAAGAATTGGCGGGAACGGGGATGATGCCTAGAGCATGAAGGGTCGGAAGCGAGGACACAGGAAGCTGAACAGGGATAGCGCCAGTTATTTGTGGGAGCGGGGCTGCTGGAGCCAGAGAGGGTGGTGAGTGGGCGGGTGTATACGCTAGAGACGGCGCTACTGGTGTTGGATAATTTGCGGTGGAAAGTGTATACGTCGAAGTAGATGCCATTTGCATTTGGGGTGCTACCGTATAGGGTGGCGCGTAGGGGTACTGATAGGCACGGTAGTGATGCCCGTAAACAGGGGTGGAGGTGGTGGGCTGATGTGTAGCATATGTAGGTCGTGCCGCTAGAGTAGCAAGGCGTTTTTCACGCTCAATTTTATCAAGCTCAGCGCGAGCATTTCGTAGCTGGGAGGTCAAGGAACTGGTTTCTTTGCGATCCGCGTCAAGAACAGCTTGGGCAAGAAAGTATCCTTGATCGTCGGGCACATTGCGCTGATTCATTCCATCAGGCACGAATGTGCAGTAAAATTAGCAGAAGAACAAACCTGGCTAGACCTGGTACGCGCACGTCTCAATCGGTCATGCAATGCTTTCTTTCTTTTGAAACATTCCAAGGCAAACTTCGTTTCTGAAATACGGTGAGATTAGGAAGTAATGTCGTCGGCGACAGCTGCGTACCTGCGATCTCTTGTCGTAAGAGATCTTTCTCAGTGGCCTTGGACTTCCCCTTGCCAAGATCCTCCCTTGGATGCTGGAAGATGTGATAGGGTAACAATTTATTAACAGCATCTTCTGCGCTTTGAAATGGTGCGTCCACGTCAGGGAATAAAGCCCCAATGTGATCGGAGGTCAGGCTCTGAGCAATTCTGAAGAATAATGAGTGCGAGGGATGGATACAGATGATTGGACAATCACCTATCTGACACTTGGGTGGCAATAAGTTCCTCCTCACTAGTTAATTGAAGGCGGCCAAGTTGTTTACGAGAGGTATATCTGGGGACGAAAAGGGACGTTTCATTGTTCGGATCAACGTCCATAGACTGTGGCCGCGTCGATGATGACGGTTGAAGGTCAGCGGTTGCAGCTGTAATAGCAGATAGAGACGAAGTCGTGTTTTTTGATACATAGTTAGTTTGAGAAACAGTGAAAGATGAAGCAGAGGATAAGTCGACAACGTTCGACATCTCTCGTCGTTTGGTGTGCTTTGGCAATGCACTCCCTCGTGACCGCGTGAATGCTCGCGCTCACATTTGTTGTTTAGGGCAGGGTCGACTTGACTCGATATTCTCGATTCCTGTCACGACTTACAACGTTGCCATCAACAGCTGCAAGGGTCCATTCACAACCTGGTCCGTACGTTGCTGCTGCTCACGAAATGGCAGAGTTTCTTACCTGGCCTCGCTCTTTCAAGAGCGATCCTAGGCCTGACGTCTGATGTTTGGCTCTGAACTATGCTGGGAACCACTCGCCCAGGCCAAAACCAAACATTACACTCTCGTCTGCTGGGTCTGGCTGCAGGCATCTCTCCATCTCCCATCTTCTCTCCACCTATACGGGTACACTTCACCTTTCAGAGTGATTAAAAATGGCCTTAGAACCCTCACCGTCATCTCGCGATCTTCAGCACTCCCTCGAGCCTCCGGCTACCTACGGCTCCTCTCGGTCGTACAGGATCGCTGACAATGGTGGCCGCACGCTTCTGGGTGATGAGGCTTCTGATTCAAAACGTACATCCGCGGATAGTTTCGAAGAGACCTCCAACGGACGATCCGGAGATAGGGTCTCTTTCTCCTCATATCGCCACCCATTTGATATCAAGCCTCCTCTACCTGCTCACGACCGCGCAGAGAGCTATGGTTTTTCCAGATTCCCTACAGAGATGCGTCATCGACGTGTCAGGGATGAAGAGGATGGTGGGCAATTTTCGGAGCGATTAGCTCGCAGGTCATCTGTCAGCAGCTACTTCAGCGACGGACGACTGTCTCAGATTGGGCCACAGCTAGATGGGATGGTTGCTTCAGAGCTACATGATATCTCGACCGACATACCGTCGCCTTCTATGGACCGGCCCGAATGGATTGAATCAGACGTGGAAACGTCTGAAGGAGGTGAGACTAGCGACGACGACGACGAGATCGAACGAGGCAACAAATCCTCTAGGGTCACACAGTTGAGGGCCGCACACCGCACCGAACGTATATTTTCCTCCACAAGAACTGCCATCTGTCCTCTCACTGATATACTGTCTTCGCAGCTGTGACCGAGCGTCGTAAACTTGTATTGAACTTTGCTCGTGCTCTGATGGCCTTCGGTGCACCCTCACACAGAATCCATTCTCAATTGGTTGCTGCATGCCGCGTCCTCGCAGTCGACGATTCAGATTTCATCCTCATCTATGGGGTTACTCTTGTCTTCTTCACGGATGTAGATAATGATTCGTCCGAGGATCATATCATTAAGTGTACGGGACGACTCGAGCTCTGCAACTTGCATGAGGTCCACACTATCTATCGCCATATCATCCACGAGGAAGAAAGTACCAATCAGGCTAACGAACGATTGACAAACCTTTTAGAGGCCCCACCAATCTACAGCGTGTGGCAGCGATGCATCCTGGCATTTGGTCTCTCAGGGTTTATCTGTCCACTCGCATTCGGTGGCTCATTCTTGGACACATGGATCGCTGGAGCCGCTGGAGCGATTTTGTGCATCCTACAGCTTACCGTCTTTCCAAAAGGAGTACTCATGGGCAACATCCTCGAGTAAGTAGTATTCATCGTCCTAAAGATGCGATACTTATCGGTATCCGTCAGAGTTGCTATCACCTTTTGGATCTCTTTCGTAGCCCGTGCTTTGAGTGGCATCAAGGGTGATTTATTCTGCTACTCTGCAATTGCGTCTTCCGCTATCGTGGGCGTATTGCCCGGCTATCTTATATGTAAGCTGCACCATCTTATTCTTCACTTTGCTGTTACTTAAGATGACGCACAGTGAACAGCTCCCTTGATTTGGCTTATAAAAACATGATGTGCGGTTCAATCAGGCTAGTCTATGCTCTTGTATACACGCTCTTTCTAGGCTTTGGGCTTCGCATAGGATCCGATTTCTATCTCCTTCTTGACCCTTCCGAGCGACGCCATTTGTCCATGCTGGCCGGCGAGATCGATGGCAAATTGGTGGTCAATGGTACATTCTTCTCAGACAACTCTACCCGTTTCGACAATACGTCTCCGCTATTTGGCACCTGGACCTTTTTCAATAGCACGTCATCGAACCGAGATCACATTTTCAAAGGCTGTGAACGCCCACCTGGGTCTGTGTGGTACCTTCAAGTGTTTCCATGGTGGACGCAACTTTTTATGGTTCCAATTTTTGCTATATGCAGCTCTATGGCGAACTTGCAGCCGTGGAAGAGCAAAGAAATGGTCGTCATGGTCGTTATCGCTTGCGTCGCTTGGACTGCAAATGAGGTTGTGGGTAGGTATATCAAGGCACGATCCGACTACGTCTCGTTCGTCGCAGCGATGGTAGTTGGACTGATAGGTAACATCTATTCCCGGAGGATGGGAGGTACGGCATTCACATCTATGGTCACTGGCGTATTGTTTCTAGTACCCGTAAGTTTGATCTTCCCTAGAGCCGATGCCTGTCTTGCGCTTTCTATTGTTACTTACTTCTTTACTTTCTTAGTCAGGTCTATCGCAGAACGGAGGCATCACGGGTGGAAGCAGCGTTGCGGTAGGAGGCGGAATGCTATCAATTGCGATTGGAACTACCGTGGGGCTGATGATGAGCCAAGCCGTTGTATACGCCTTCGGCCGGAAGAAAAGCGGGGGCATGTTCACGTTTTAGTCTTGATTTGAGGAGTCAGTACCATAACTCGTGTGCAGACTCATATTGGAGCTACACTCATCGCCTCAGAGTCCATTGACTGCTCTCCCGGACCTACTGCATCCCGCTCCCGTGCTTTGACTTCGAGTGCAACTCTCACCTTCTTCAAAAGATCAGACGCCCTATCAGCCTCCTCCGAGTTACTCGCAGCGACCTTTTCAAGATACTCTCGAGCTAGGTCCAGTTCTCCTCCTCCTTTCTCAAAATGATAGCGCGCAACGAATACGAGGGATTTGGCATATTCGCCTATCGCTTTCACTATTCAGAGAAGGAAAATTAGCGGCCTATCTATAGGGGTATAAGGCCGTAATGCTTACAGGTGCTCTTGCACACGTCTATCACTCGCCGATGATATGCCGCCGCTTCAACATACTCCTCCAGGTCTTCGTGAAGCTTGGCAAGTTTGAGATTGATAGTGATTTCATTGACATCTGCGCCCAGCAAGGCACGCTTGAAGCAATCAATCGCTTCACGTAGCCTGACAGAAAAAATGAGTTCGGATTATGGGTGGGGTGGGTTGATGAGCTCACCTGCCCATCTCTTCATAACTAGCGCCTTGCGCTTGCCACAGTCGGACATCGTATGGTCTAAGTAAATGTGAGGTAAGGCGCAGAAGGAATCGGAATCAGAACTCGTACCGAAGAGAAGTTGCGTGTTGATAGTAGTACAGCGCGTATTGATGCATGTTTAGTAATTCATACGCTTGTCCAAGACCATACCACGCTCGGTAATCTTTCCGATTCACATCTGGCAAGGTTTCGAGAAAGATTGAGACAGGTGCCGTGCAAATGACAACAACAATGCGACGCACCCACAGCCCGGCGATAGGCTTCGATGGCCGCATGCGAATTTTTCATCTCCACGTACTCATGCCCCCATCAATGTCCACGCAGACAGGTAAGTCCGGTCGAGTTGTGTCGCTCGACGAAAATACTTGACAGCCTTTTCGTGTTCTGCGCGCAAAGAGTAGTGATTGCCTACGATAGGAATGCGTCAGCGACCGAGCTCATCGAATGAAGGGCACATAACGCACCAACGAGACAGCACACTTCGGGTCGATCTTTGTCCAGTAGGAGAAAATCATGTGCCAAATTTGCCAATTTGAGCCTATTTTCTGTGACGTAGAGAATATTAGAGTATATGTCGATATCATCTATTCTGTAAGGATCTACAGCAAGAATCTTCTGGAACTGGAGCTCCGCTTGCCCAAAATCTGGTCAAGGAGGTCATTGAAGGAACGAAGTCATATACTGTATAGTGAACGGACCGTGAAGGTGATAGAGGACACATGCACGGAGGCTCATGATCCACAAGCTATGAGGGAAGTAATCCGTGCCGAGCAGTCGCTCGCATAATCCGAGTTCGTTTTCTGAAGACTGGTGAAGTGCGTTCATCGTTCGAACTTGAAAGAGTTGTACAAGCGGATGTGTTGGAGGTCGTGGCATCAAAGGTAAGAGCGCAGATAGCTAAGCCGCCCTTCAGCTGACGGCCGCGCTTCACACTTGTGTGCGTACCTCTTCACCATCGTGGATGAGATTGCTCAAGAGTGTCCAGGCCGACCAATTCCAAGAATATCGCTGGAGCGAAAGGAGCGTGCACTCAATGGCCTCTTCTCGCCTATCCAATCGATATAGCAGAAGACCACGCCTGCCATGTCTAAGTCAAGGAGGATTTCGCCAGATACGAAAGCAATCCATAACTCACAGAAATAATATCCACGGGTCTGCTTCGTTCGAAAGCTTTGTTGCGTCTTCAAGCATCACAAAAATGGATGCATTTACGGGAACCGCAGCCTGTTGACGACCACCTGTGCTCGCGTCGATCTAGATGGACTACATATATGGAGATTGCAACACACCATCCAGTTTGTTCCAATCTCGGAGCGCCCTTTTCTCACTGGCCTTCAGCGTTTAAAAGTTATTTCCCGAAACGTATGAATAAGTACCGAACGTACCAAGAACCGGCTGTAAATCGTTAGAAATTGTCCACGTGCGCTGGAGCACGACGACAGAACGTGAGCGGCACGAGTAAATTCTCTCGCATCAAAGTAGGCTTTGCCCATAGATAACGTGTCCTCTTCCATGGACTCGATCTTTATCTCCCGTATCCGTACCCCAATGTCGTCGACATCTGAAGCTATTGGCACATGTGGGTGTCGATGAACTGGAGGTGGTGGTAGAGATGAAGATGATGACGCTAAAGCATCAGGTGAGGGAGAGGAGCTGCCAGGAGATATAGAGCGACGAGGTGAACGCAGCCGTGCCGGTGTAGACGTGGAAAAAGCGCCCTTAACATCTGCCACTGGATGCCTCTTCGACAGCTCTATGGATGATAGAAGCTCGGCAGCCCTGTTCTGTAATTATGAAGAGTAGATAACTCTAAAATATGGATCGAACGTACCATTTGGATGCCTGGTGGAGTCCTCTGTCGGCACAATCTTTGACGGCCTGACGAAGACGCTCGACCATCTCACCGTTTGCAATCGTGACTGCGGCGGACATGATGACCGAGTCCGCTAGGCCCAAGTTTTCCACGCGAAGTTTGTAGCGGTCAGAACACGAAGCGGGTCGTAACTTCGAGCAGTAGATGAGAACGCCGCGCTCGAAAAGCTGGAGGACCGACCGTGTGCCGTAGTTGGAGTTCTTGCGTGACTGACAGACGCGTCTGCGTGTGACACTACGTGACTCGGTGTGAACAGCTTCCGCGTCACATCCTCGCTTCGTCGGAGAGCTTGGCTGCTATCCTTGACTCCTTGGCGTATTCTACGAACAACAACTCAAGCTTCATATTTGTCGAGCATCGACTCGACGTTTTTCTGATCTACCATTGGGGCACATCAGCGCGTTCCTTTTCTTTCGTAAGTCCATCGGCGTTTCACTTCTACGACCACCGCTCACCCTGACACCTTTTTCAGCCAAGCTATGTCCTCCGTCTTATGGGCGATGACCTTGGCTGTGATCCTTCTCCTTCTCTCCAGGGTATACTTCTTGCGTCGTGAGCGCAATCTACCGCGCGTCAGGCGGTCAGGGACATGTAGCTTAGCAGTCTTTCTTGGTTCCGGTACATCCCCGTATGCATGCTCCTTTCCACACACCAATGTCTTATGTCGCTCTTCAGGCGGCCATACGATGGAGGCCTTATCATTGGTCAATTCCCTCGATTTTACCCGTTATACTCCTCGGACGTACATTGTGAGTGAAGGCGATGCTCTAAGCATCCAGAAGGCAAGAGCTTTGGAGCGGCTCAAACTTTCCCGAGTAACCACACATCCCGTCTGTTGGAGTCTTTACAGTCCATAGTAATTAACTAACATTCACATCGATAGAACGAAATCGTCGCAATTGGCGAATACAGGGTCATCACTATCCCCCGAGCACGCCATGTGCATCAGAAACTTTTCCAGACAGTTCCAACGGCATTATTATCTCTTCTTGTCTCCTTCTACCACGTCACTGTCGCTCCGTTCTTTGCCGCCCCGATATCTGAGGTACTGCTTCTTAACGGTCCGGGCACCTGCTTCGTCTTGTGCATCGCCACCTACCTCAATCGAGTATGTGCCTTCATGCTATTGAGAACAACCAATTTCCACAGTCCAACTATGTTTTTAGCTGTTGGGTCTCCCTTCTCCGAAACTGATTTACGTCGAGTCATTTGCTCGAGTAAAAACATTGTCTCTTTCAGGCAGACTGCTGCGCTCAATGGTTGATAGGTAGGCTTGCATCCCGTCACTCTTTCGGTAAATCCTGATTCTACGCACGTGGTGCCAAGCTTTGTTGTTCAATGGCCAGACCTCCTGAAGGAGGGGGGACGGGGAGTTTATCACGGTTGGCTGGTGTGATCGGGCCGACCGGTGTCAATCTTCACAGGGCGGCTTCTGCATCGTCCTCAACACATCCCTACCAAGCGTGCAGGCTAGATTCCCCGGTTTCGTCCGCCAGTCCTAGGCCTTGACCTTTGGCTCGGAATTGAGGTATTCCCTTACCTTTTCCGGAGCGCTTGTTGGGCTTGGCGCAGAAATTCTAGATATGCCGGATCTTGTGACAAGTCTGAGCAATCACGGTATGTGTCTGTGCATGCCATACGGGTGGTCGAACAATGCATTATTTTCTATGTCTGCACTCTCGAGACGCTACGAACACGGTTTAGGAGCTCTTGAGCGTAAACGCTTCGGCAATAATGCTGCGATCGTCAGACTGGAAGACATTATCGGTCTGTGCAACAACAACAACCTTTCGGCATCAACAAGCTACAAGCCGCTACGATAGGTAATGGAACACTACTTCCTCGTCCACCTATCTTCTCCGTTGCTTCCGCCCCTTCTTGGCGGACTTGCACTGCGCCCTCGGCCACCTTCACGTTTGGTTGGCTCCCACCCTCCTGCACCGCCTTGAGTCTTCTGAGGATTCAGCTTCCTCTCCACACGCTGACCGTGGTGGAGCGCAGACACGAGGTCCTTTGACGCCAGACGTAAATGCATAAAGTTACAGAAACCGCCCCTGTTACATTCGCCGTTCTCGTTTTGGCGACAGCAAGCCTCGCGAAAGTCGGTGACAGGTGACAGCTCAGCATAAAGGGGGCGTCCTAGATCAGGAAAGCGGTACGACACTGATTGGTGGGATATTGGGTGGCCAGAACGAAGAAAAAACGTACCTGCATACCATCGATCATTCAAGTTATCTACAGCTGTTTGCGCTTCAGTCTCCCATTCGTATCGCGCATAGACGTTTCCGATCAGGTGGTCTCCTACGTTATCGCAGACCTTTGTCCGCCGCGAGTGTGAATAGCAAGATCAGCGCCAACATGGATGGAAGAAGCGGCAGACTCACATGCAGCTCCAAAAGATGCCCAAACTTCGACAGCTCGCAGTACAAATCCTCGTACACTGCATCAAAGCCATCCTGAAGGTCTTTCTCGGTCAACTTGCACACAGGATCGTGTGCAGGATTATGGTAAACGTTTGGGAGAAGAATGGTCTGAGAGAATGGAGGTTTGATGTGTTTCCGTGAGCAGCGGTCACCGTGGCGGCATGCCCCAATCTGAAACGAAATTGTATAAGGATGGAGACAATGATGGACAAACTCTGCACGCACTTTATAGTAGAATGAGCAATTCACGCGGTCCTGCTCTGTTCCGAAGATGTTTGCCTAAACATATGTTCAACGACCGTCTGAATGAGGGATAAATTCATTCCAAAGAGCTTACAAGATGGGAAGCCATTCTGTGTAGTCGTCGTCGATGTCGTCGTTGTTGGCGGTGAAGACTGGTGAAGGAGCGCGTGCTGAGTCATCTACTTAACGCGGAGCCTGAAATCGCTTCTACCGAGAAGGTTCATGATTGTTCGCAAGTTGCGCTACCAATTGTGCTTGGAAAAGCTCTGCATGTATACTGTGCTCAGCTAGACATGGATTGATGGTTCTGTGAGGATCGTATCTCTATCGAATGCGCCGCGGCGACAAGGCCCACACAATATTTTTGGTCTCACGCCAAATTTGGATGATTTCCCATGATACCAGGTATCAAATTGTCCGCCGCTTTGACCTTTAGTATTGACCTCCAGATCATGGCGTATCACAATGACGGTTTTGGCTGTTGCGTCCGCCCCACCCACTTAGCACTCCAATTTGCACATTCGGCCAGAGCAATATCAAGCAGGAAATAATCGGTATCCGCCATATCTCCCCTTTGTTCTTATTGCAAAAGGCCCGAATGAACGTCGGATAATTAAATCTGGGCTCAGTACTTTAATAAGTAGGCGATGATTCCAAAACAAAGCACCGATCTTTTCCCTCTTTTCAAATCATGTGCGCGGTTTACCCAAATACAGTCACATCTTCAAAACCCTGAAGGGTAGCATGCCTTAAGAAATGCGAGGATGTCTCGCCAAGCTGATGTGCGTCTCACCCTTCCCTCCGATTCCGAAGCATTGCCTGGCTGGGCTTGGCCATCTACAGCAGTCTGCGCCGCAGGTTCGTGGGTATGAATGACTTTCAAAAGCGGATCTTCTCATCTTGAACGTATTGATATCTCGCCAAGAGAGAATTGAGGTAATCGGACCGCCCTCACTCTGTGCGTCGTCGGGAATAACTTAGATCACCGCACTACACCCATATGTATTGCAGAATCAGGCGCGTGTTCTTGTGAAGCCTGACAAGCGTTTCTTGGAAATACGTGCCCTAGGAAGCAATTGTCGAATTAGGGTATGATCTCATTTGAATCTCTAATGCTGCATCGACTGATCAGGTCTTTCTTTTATCCATTGCTGACTCCCATCCTGGCACTGACGGACGAGTGAAAACTGTCTCCTTCAACCATTCTATAGTATCACTGCAGGCCGAGTGAGAGTGCGGATTTGCTCTCCCGCTTCACTTTTCTATTTTTTTAGGACTATGAAAAATTCTACCCCCCCCTGCTCAACCGTGTCATCTGGTGTGTTTCTGTCTTCGCTTGATGCTCCGAGGTATTACATAACTATACGGAGCTGTAGTTCAGGCATTTGCAGGCGATCTCTTGTGATCTTTCCCATTTCTTTCCCGCACGCTCCCGCGGTTGACATGCCTAAGCGCCAAGCCAATCTTTCACAGTCGCTGGGAAATGAAAAGGCACCGGGCTCAGTGAAGCCAACTTGTCGGACCAATTGAGATTCATCGAGAATGCGGTCACGATATCGTAATCAGCGCTTGACAAATAGCTTTAAAGCTTCGGCTCGGGGGAACAAGACTAACCCTTTGAGCCCCAAAAGCACAATACGTTACACATATATATTAAGGCGACATGACATGAGTGGTACAGGAGAGAGACAAGCGATCTGCGAAATGTTTTGAAAAAAATAAGTGACAGGCTGCTATCATTCATGCGGAGATCGGCGGGAAAGTCAGAAATTTACTCTTCTCACGAGGGTTGTATGGAACGCATCGACCAGTCATGTTGTCGATGCGGTTCCCAAGACATAAATGAATCATTATGAGACGTGGGATGACTCATAGAGGCGTTGCTGCAAGCAGCCGTGCGATGAAGGGTAGTCGGAGATAATGTTAGCAGATGGGAGGGAATGGAAGTCCATGCGTGATCCGCAAGTGCTACATTTGAAGAGGATGTTTGTGGTTGAAATGCGCGACTCGGGACTGATGGTCTTCTGGGTCCCGGATCACTCGACGCGCCATCGAAGTCCGTTGGGGTGTCGACATTCCCTAAAGTCAGGCTAAAACATCATGAGCTAAAGTTACTGTCAAAAGTGGAGATCGGCTTGCTTTGTGAATGCGTCAAGCTCTGTGATCCGTTGTTGAAGCATACACGCGGATCCATGGGTATGCGCCGGATGGCGGACAAGTGTCTCCGCGGCCTTGCGGAGCCGCAACGATAACTCGAGGACAACATTGTATATGGCCGCATGCGCTAAGCAGCCACATTGACTGGCCTCGCTTCCATAGTAGTATCGTGAAGAGCTAGTATGCCGGGTCTGGATATCTCCGACATCCCGTGCCGTATCGTCCAGTAATTTCGCGAAGGACTGATCTTCGAAGCCGGTTAACTCGTGAAAACAGGAGAACAGAGAGGCGAAGGAAGATTCGTCGTTAATTAATGGACGAGAGAGCATGCTGGATATGATGGGGTCTGTAGACGGTGTGAGAGGTGCACCACTACTTGACGGCGAGTATGCATCGGAGCCGTAAGGATATGATGAAGGATACCGGTCAGATTCAACTTCAGGCGATGCGGATGGTGATGGAGAGTGATGAGTCAGACATTCCACATCTAACTTAGAGGCTTGAGAGAGCAAGGAGGTGGAGCATGTCAAGGTCGTGCTGCTAACGGACTTCGAGTAATCTATAGATGATTGTTCCGAAGATAGTGGGGAAGTGGGGGTAGAATCAGGCCGTGAAACAACATCAACCGAGGGGTTGGGTGTAATTGGCGCCCATCTAGGATGAGGCTTGTTCTTCAACTGCGACGAAGATGATTATCAGATGACATTCATCATGACATAGCTCAAAGAACATACTTCGCGAATGACGCTTTCGAGTTCGGCTACTCGTTTTTGTAGTCGAGCTTTGTCGTCTGCTGTCTCGTTCCTGTGAATATCCATCCATTAGATCTAGTCCGGCTATCATTAATGACCAATAATTACACTTGGCTTGGGTCGTCAACCTCATATACGCAGAGGCCGGTCTAGACAAGCAGGAAAAGGGGTCTAGACTGTCTGAGCAAAAGCCAGAGATCGTGAGCAGACTCACAAGCCCTAGTTGGGTACAACGGCCGCAAGGGCGTTTCCGATCACACTAGAAAAGGTCTCAGCGATATATTTACGCGGCAATATTTCATGGTATCATTACCATGCGTTTAGAATGGTGGCACTGGACGCATGACTGAGTGGTCCTATTACGGCGGCGCTTTCTATGGTCATCATTGGTTCCAGTCGCGGGTTCTTGGGTAGCACCACGCTTCTTTGAGGAGCACCTTGTCTGTGCTGTAGACATTGCAATACAAACAAGGGCAGCGATTGAGAGATATGGTTGGACGATGTGGGTCTAGGAGAGTAAGTTGGCGAATGGTGAATATCTATGGCTTATGTATGTGCGCTACGTTCGCTTTGAGAAGGACCATGACAGACTTCTCAACATAACAGGGTAACGGAGTGGGCCATGAGATAACGTGAGAAATCAGGGGGCGCTTGCTTCCGCGGCACACCTTACTCAGTTGACCTTGGCAGCTTCGGGGACATCATGCTTGGCACAGCGAATCTGGCCGTCTTGGAAGGTCCGAGAAGTCCACGCCAAGACGTCCCCGATTTGATCAATGTTGAGAGCTAGGTCACAATCGCGACACACATGGTGGGAGAGTTTTCAAGGCGTCGTGGCGTATATCCCGCTTTCACTGCTTGGCTTGGGCCAGAAATTCTGGGATATTTCCACTTATACTCAATAGACAGGGGACGTTTAGGAGCCTGGGTGTGCGCCAGTGAGTTCATCGGAATGGATTACGCGCTCAAGGTGTCAAATTCTCACCGACACCAAGAATGCTCTCAGCGGACAGATCACCGTGGAGGCTCATTGAGCGCAGCATCATAGTGATTCTTACGTCCGCGTAGCAAAATAGTCTGCTGTGATCAAAGTTGACAGCCGCGAGATTTTCAATCAAATTTCTGTGTTAATCCATCGGTGTCAGTGATATCCAAAAAGAGAGAGACCATGTTGTTGTCAGCGTTTGATATGGTCGGTATCAAGGAGGCCGCGGGCGGGCAAGAATAGGCAAGAAAGACCCTCATCTGATCAAGCCTCAGCATTGGTCAATCGTGTGCGCGCTGTGACATCCTCTTTCTAATCGGCTGCCTGCTAGCAGGTAAAATAGGAGCATACAGCACTCACAGAGTATACTGATGGACAAATCTGGTTGAAATAATGCCACGAAGGAAGCAACGTTACTGCTCTGAGTAGGTTCACCTGTGATCTTGAGAGTAGGATCCACAATGTACTTTTGAGAACCGTCAGAATCGCGCGAAATGTCTAGCCTTCCGATAAGCTATGTCCATTGTCGAAGGTCTTGCATCAACTTCTGGATTGCTGTAGGAACTAATTCGGGTAACTACAGTTGTGACTGTTTACTATTTGTACGCCCAAGTGTGTTGCGAGTCGAAGCTCATGGACATCAATTGCCCGTCATTTCGAGGAAATCAATCAGATTCAATGAGGACTGCAGGTAGAACGCGACGCACCTTTCATTGATGAATGAGATTTTGATCGATGATCATACTGGCCCGTGCACACTTTCTGTCTTTCAAGAATGGATGATGGTTATGATAGCTGTATTTTCAGTCTGCACCATTTCTTGAAATATATACAAGAATATAGCAATGGACCCGGACCTGGTTTACGAGAAAGCACCGAATGAACCAAACAACAACGTGATCCACCATCCCCGATAGAGAGCACGCCATCCTTCCTCAATCAGAATTCTCTTTCCACAGTCAACGAGACCGAGGTATGGATCCATCTCACTTCTCAGTCTAGAAAACAAAGACTGGTCAATATGAACACGAGCTTCAAAGGAAGAGCGTGTGCGCACCCAATTACGTCTTCTTCTGCGCCGTAGTAGTCTGCTACATCATCGACATCCTCTTCTTCTTCTTGAGAGACTGAATTGTACTCTGCAGAAGCGTGGTTGCGCTGGACGGCCAATCGGGTGGCAATAACCTCCAGAGGGCATAATATAATGGTGCTCATTATCACGAAGACAAGATAGATGAGGAGTTTAGTGGTCGAAATGTCTTCGGGACGAGGCGGCTCTGGACCCGACAAGGCGGGGAGGAGCAGGTGTCTCAGCGTGCGAAGGCCGAGCACAACATAAACAATATGCAAGATTTCAGCAGGGAGAAGGCCGGGGGTAAGGTAGAGGATCCACGGTCGGCGACGCTCGGTCGGCGTGAGTAGAATCCTCAGGGAGTAAAAAGGTCCGAGGTAAGGCAGACGGTGTGGAGTAGTGACTGCCCTGAGAGAACGGAAGAAACATGAGTGTCGGACAAATCAATTGAAGCAGCGAAACTAACCGATATGTGATTATGACAACAGGCAGGGAGATGAACATTAGGAATGCGGAGTAAGCGACAACGCCCAATGGACTTGTGTTCGGTGCGTTGTAAACACCGTGATTGCGAGGGCTCGAAGGAGATGCATCGAGGAACAGCACCGAAAATAGCATGAGAGCTACATTGGACAAAAGTGTAGGCACTGAGGAGCAATACGTGAGTGACAGATGGGGATTGCGGAAGACTAGGAATGAAACACACTCAATCCTTTGTACAGTCCTGCCCAACCCTTCCGCCCATGTCAGCCAATAAATGCATGGAAGTAATGTCATTCCTATCTCACCTCTAGCCTTCGCACCCTGCCCATCATGGTAAAGAAGCCTGTGACGACCGGGCCAGTATGCGGTTGAACACCATCTTCAGGGTCCAATTGCAGCCCCTTAGGATTGTAATTCGCCCTCAAACGCACGAGTGTTCCCGTAAGAGGTACCGATACCAGAAGAAATAGAGACAGAAAGACACAGAATAGTAGGAAAGTTATGATACTAAAGCCGGCGAGGAGGGGCATGGTGGTAGGAATGGCTGGGTTAGTTCGCTGTACTGCGGAAGGGGAGACGATCTATTTCGGCAGTGGGCGTGGGAAGATTGTACCTCAGCTGAATGGTATCACTCATGCAACCTGGGGCCACGTTGTCCTTCTTCCTCCTTACTCCCATCAGTCGACACCATGCCAGTGTGAAGCGCAAACGTTGTTGTCCATTCGAGAGTAACCTGTATCTGCCATTCCTTCATGCATTCTCTACGTTCCAAGTGGATCATGAAACCCCCTTCTGACACCACAATCCGTTGGTGGTTTCACACATGTCACCCCCTCTACAGACTAGCGTTCCGTATCGTTGTCTTCAGGATGGCATTATTGATCTATTCAATTTTACTCTAGACCTGCTACTACAGCGGCCGGTTTGGTCGAGTTCGAATTTTCTGTCTACTCGCCAATCAGTGCGATACCCTGCGTTATCTTGATCCGCCTCAATGCGCGACACCTTTTGTGCGCAATCGATGTCGTTCACATCTCTCTATTTTCTTTGGCATGCCTTTTTCTCCATGTCAGGACACTCATTTTTTCTTCCTCTTGGAAACCCTTTCATCTCGTTGCAAATTTCTGGAGGGATGAGCACATTATGCCTTCTTACTTGTCCCTTTTTTGTTTCTATTCGCCAGGTGGCTTTTGTCCTCGCAGGCGCCGTGATCTTCCTTACAAAGAATATGCTAACGCATGATTCATCGTTTCTGCCAGCAGTCGACAGGTTTGCATCTAGGAATCGATCACTCTTTCCTGCGATCCAGTTTCCATCGGTTGATAAATTGCCATTGCCGCTGGCTGAATCTCGTCTACTTCTTTTGCGCAGGATTCGGTGGTATGAACGTCATCTCGTCGAAGTGGATGTCAATGAGGCCTACCCCTCGCTACTACTGCTTATTCCCGACGATTCGTAGGCTTTCATCTACTATCAAAGTTTCTCCCCTGCTGATGACGATGACGACGACGATGGGATTTCATGGATAGCATCTTCTGAAGTGACAGGTATTGCCCCTGGTCCCCCTAATTCCTGTTCTACTGTGTTTTTGGTGTGCGTTTGCCACAAACTCTTTCATTATCCTCTGAGGATTGATCAGTGTCTATAGAAGTCAGATTCGTCCACGATAATTGAATCCTGTAGAATGCTTAGAGTGTGCTGTACGATGGGGCGTTCTTCAAGAAGCTTGCTATATTCTCGGGCGATGTGGAGATGATCAAAGTGTCAACACCTACGCACAGCTTAACGTGCTCGATGTTAGGTCCCTAGGAGAAAGGTTTCATAGAAGGTATCTTCGTCTCATCTACAGATCCTTGATGCGTTGGTGTAGTCTGGGCTCGTGGACCATTGCACATCGCAAGAAGAGCCTTGGTTAAGTGCGTGTACATGTTCTCCTCCCTCGCGCTAAGCCTGAGTATGCACATTAGGATCTGTTCTCGAGTACACCATGTCGACGTCCAGCTCGCAATCCAAGTCCATGAGCGAGCATTGCTCGCCGGTCAGGCGCCTCCAAGCTGTGAGGTTGCACTAGGTGGTACCGTATGTTGAGGGTTGTCTACCTCCATCCTTTCCATAGCCCTTGTCTACAGCCTCTTCATGTAATTGAACGAATTCTTGAGAATATAACCCGTTGTCCAGCCACAGTGTTTGACTCTCCGACGGCCTGTGGCCCTAAGTGTATTCAACTGCCTCACCGTCTTCGATTGCGCATCATCCCCAGCCCCATCACTGTCAACTTTGTCGCCGACCACTATACCCTTCACTTGCTCTCTTCTTCCCTTTGGAGATGTCTTTTGGGCAAGACTCTGCAGCAAACAGGGTTCGTATCTATGATAATCCAATCTTGAAAATCTACTTAATGCTAGATGTGGCAGAAAACAGCGCTAGAACAATTGAAGTTTAAGAAGGTCCAGCGAGCAACAACCAGCACTACAAGCTCAATTACACCGTCTCCCTCGCTCCCGTCAGGGAGGTCCAGAGCTGGATCAAATGCTCCGCCATCGCAATCGCGCGACGCAACGATGTCGTCGCGGTGGTTTGCGACCCCTGCATCGCCAAATGCAACCATTCTTGTACCAAATTCGAGTCCTCCACCCTCCTTGAGCTCATCCCACCACGCTCACCACCCATCACGTCCGGATCATCCCAATGACGTGGCCCACATCCCTGGCCTGTATCTCAATCCCTGGACGCAGAATAGCAGACAGGCAGCCGATAGCCTTTCCACCCCAAGTGGGTTCGTGGCGGCTTCAGCCTACAATCACGCGACTTCTTCGCGTTCTACAATTGGTATCGTTCGTGGGCGTGGGGAGATAGAGAATTCCGAGGAATCTGAGCCACCGCGAAAGCGACTTAACCATGGCTCACCATCGCTGGACTCGTTCCATGTACCCTCATCCCCCGATGTCCAACCTTTGGGTCAGAGACGCAATCGTGCTCCCGAAGTGGTGCCTGACCGTCGTTCAGGAGTGCAGTCATTTTCGTCAGATGAATCAATGCTAGAGTCCCATGAGCTCCCTAGCTTGTCGTCACGTATTGCACGTGGGACGCGACCCGACGCGCACGTCCGTCACATATCCGGAAACTCTACTTCTGAAACAGACGCTCCTCAATTTCGCATGTTTCGCATGACGTTCCCGGAGTACGAAGAGATGAAAGTACGCGCTGCTTGGAAGCAGGCTGGTGGGGAGGAAAAAGCTGCGATAGCTTTGTTGCGCGACCCAGACTTCAATCCGAACCGACCTTCTACTTCTTCATCAACCACCACACCCCCAATGACAGGCCGTGTCAAGGAACTTGTTGATGGAACAAAAGCAGAGCGCGCTCTTGTAAAACAGAAGGGGAAGAAATCCTTGATCTATGCAGGACGACCAGAGCTTGATGCCGAGCCTGTTTCGCGAAAAGATACGCCTCCTCCATCTAAACGCACATCTCCGTTGCCTCTGTCACCAGCTAGTCCTCAATCACCAGATATTGCTCCTCGGACTAGGCGCTTGAAGAGGAAGATTATCGAGTCCGACGAGGAGTCTGAAGCGGAATTATCTAGTGCCGATGAGAAACGCCAGAAACGCCGCGCACAAGAATCTTCCCCAGATGAACGTCGTGCCCTCAACTACTTCAATACTACTGGTTCGGAAGCGCTGCAGGAGTTGACAGGCGCGTTCGTAATATTTTCTTAGCGATACATCACATCTAACAGCACCTTATGCAGGCTGCACTGTTGCCCAGGCTGACTCCATCATCGCGTTGCGCCCTTTCTCCTCTGTGGAAGACGTCAAAACCAAACTCGGTCAGGGTAAGAAGAAGGCCGGACCAGCGGGGTTGAGTGCTCGCCTCTTTGACGACTGTGTCCGCATATTCCATGGCTACGGGACAGTTGACAACGTCCTTGAGGAATGTGAAAGAATCGGGGCAAAGCTGAAGGCGGCCATAGCCAAATGGACTGTTGGTACAGTCAAAGGCAAGGAAAAAGAAGGCTCTTCTAGGCCCTCCCCCGATTTATTCGTTGCCTTGCCAGAAGATTCCTATGAAGAGGGGGCACTCAATATTCGAACACTGGGCGCTTTGAACAATCGCACATCCAAGGACTTCCTCTTGGAACAGCCTCATGCACTCTCTGCGGATACAAAGCTCAAAGATTATCAACTCACGGGGCTCAATTGGCTTCGTCTCTTGTACAACAGCGGGTACAGCTGCATTCTAGCCGATGAAATGGGTGCATATCTCGTCTTTTAATTGCTCGTAGAACAAGGTGGCTCATCCCTTGCAGGTCTGGGCAAGACCGTCCAGGTCATCAGTTTCCTCGCACATCTCAAGGATCAGGGGACCAAGGGTCCTCATCTCATCGTCGTTCCGTATGTCCTTGAATATCCTACGAAGATGTTCTCTCACGTACATCCACTTCCTAGATCCTCGACGTTGGAGAATTGGGTCCGAGAGTTCAAACGCTTTGCACCCTCAATATCTGTCCAAACATACTATGGCAGTAAAAATGACAGGCAAAGCTTGAGAGACTATCTCAACAATTCCCAAAGGAAGGTGAAAGAAAACGGCTGGGAAGTTCTCATCACCACGTACAACCTTGCGACTGGAGACGACAAGGATCGCAAGTTTTTCAGGCATACGGAATGGGATGTATGTGTCACAGTTTTTCGATGTAATGTTTTAATTAATTCCTTCGTTGTGTTAGACGTGTATATTCGATGAAGGGCATATCCTTAAGAATTTTGATTCCCAGCGCTATCGAGCCTTGATGAAGAATCGATCGAAGTGGCGGCTCTTGTTGACAGGAACCCCTTTACAAAACAACCTTCAGGAATTAGTGGTACGTCTATGAACGTACTCGCATTGTAGACCTTGTCGAATTCTACTGACTGGTCCTGGAATAGTCGTTAATGAATTTCATTCTGCCTGACCTACTCGCAGCTTCGTTGGATTCATTGCGCGATGTGTTCAAGACTAAGGGGGATTCTAAAATCACATTGCTTGCTCGAGAGCGTGTCTCTCGGGCCAAGAGAATGCTGACACCGTTCGTGATGCGTCGACGCAAAGATCAGGTATGATCATTCCTCTAGATGGCTGTGGCTGTGATCTAGTGCTCACTGGCTTCCAGGTATTGAAAGATCTTCCGCAAAAGTTCGAAAAGATAGAATGGTGTGAGATGACCACATTGCAGCGGTCGATCTATGACGACGCTCTTCAACGGTCACGGAAAACTATCTTCGACCTGGAAACTCCGACGCCCGGTACGGAGACTCCTCCGACAACCAACGGGCGAAGCAAGGCGGTGAAGAAGATCAAAACCAACCCAAGGCCCAAGGACAAGCTATACTTAGAGAACAGCTCGAACGTCTTAATGGACCTTCGGAAGGCTGCATCGCATCCAATGCTATTCAGGACTATATTCACGGATCAGACCTTGGACGCCATAACCAAATTGTTGCTGAAGGAGCCGGAGTTCCAAAAGAGAGGGGCGACGGCACAGTTCGTGAAGGAAGACATGGAAGTTATGACGGATGCGGAACTACAAGATTATCTCGCAACGTACAGAGTGAGTCCTGCTCTCGTGTAACTTGAATTCCTCGCGAAATCTCATCTCACAATGTCAGTCCACACGAAAATTTCTCCAGAAGGAGGACTGTTATCTCCAAGCTGGCAAAATCCAAGTGTTGCTCAAACTTCTGGACCAATATCGAGCTGAGAAACGGCGCATTTTGATATTCTCTCAGGTACTTCGGCCCTTCTCTTGGGTACAACAGGGTTCCTCTGACCCGTCGCTGTAGTTTGTTCAGATTCTGGATATCTTACAAGCTGTCTTCAAGCACAAGAAGATCAAGTACCTTGTATTGACCGGTTCTACCGCTGTCGATGTTCGACAATCGCTAGTAGACGAGTTCAACGAGAACGAGGAGATCACTGTCTTCTTGCTGTCAACCAAGGCTGGTGGAATGGGAATCAATTTGACAGCCGCTAGTGTCGTCGTCATGTATGCTTCGCTTTCAAGTTGTGCGATTCGACAAAACTAATATCTGCATGCAATTTAGATTCGACCAGGACTTCAATCCTCATAACGACAAGCAAGCGCAAGATCGCGCCTATCGAATAGGGCAGAAAAGAGACGTTGATATCGTCAAACTGATCACTCGCGGAACCATAGAGGAAGATATGTTGCGCCTCGGCCAGACGAAGTTGGCATTAGATGAGGCCGTCGCTGGTGAGGCGTCCGGCGGAGACAGCGGAGAAAACACGGAAAGGGAGATGAAGACGTCATTGATGAGTGCGTTGAGGAAGCAGTTGGCGAACAAGAACATGGATGAGGGGACAAAAGACGGCGGCGATCTAATAGAGTGAAGGACTCCTCGCTGGGACGCTGTTCCTCGATCTGCGCACGCTTGGCCTCTGGAACATGTACCTAATCTAATTTTTGTCGCAGTCATCTCATATGTATAGCTACGGGACCTAGCAACGCATCATTGTCGAATTCGATTCCTATGGAAATACAGACAGGCCTCTGACGAGCCGGTCCACACTGGCACGGAAGTACTCATTGTCGATCCCTCGCTCTCTGGAATCCATGGGTACAAGAGGGTTGCGCACGACGTACTCGAGAAACGGACCGGTGTGTATGGATCGTAAAACAAACCGAAGGGACTCCGCACCAGGGTCGCTAAGCATGACGAACTTGTACCCTGAGAGTATTTCGTACAGATGGAGTTTGTAGGCGGAAGTCCAGTAGCTGACGAACTGCTCGTCCCTACAACCGTGACGGTGGTGCGATTCAGAAGATGCAGGTTATGTAGTCCAGGCGCAGTCCTACGCACCTTCCCGATATCCTCTTTATCATATTTCGGAGGGACAGTATAACCCCGTACACGAGCTTGGCTTCCTCGTCGAAGGGAAGGCCGATGGATGCAGTCGGGGCAGAAGGCACTCCAGTCGATTGTGTGAGTAGGAGAGGAGAGGGTGTTTGCGTATCATTTACAGCCACCAGGACACCAGATGTAGACACGAGCGTATTTCGTGGACTGGAGAACGGGGTATTACTTCCCGAGTTCGGCTCAGAAGATGTAGAGACGGGGGAGAGGATGCGCGAGACGCCCGGGAGGAGACCGCCCTCGGCAGCTGCCCGTGGGCGTTTGGTGCGATGCCAGTCCTGATAGTAGACACAATTGCAGTGCCTTCGGGGTGCGTGGATAAGCTGGTGTGATGAGAACAGTGTAGGTACAAGTTCACCGGTCGTAGATGTACAAGCTGAAGATAGTCATTGCGATGCTGAGGGTGGCAAGCTGGCGAGATTGATTCGTCAGTGTAGCCAGAGACGATGGAGAAGTTAGAAATACCTTGACTTGAGATGAGATCGATGAGAGATCAGTAATAGTGCGTGAGTCTGCTTGAGTTACTTTCAACCATGAACTTGGAGACGATATGTGCCAGATTTGGGACCAAATATGTATGATGTAGCTGGTCGACGAAGACAAATTGAATCTGCAGCGGGTTTGTGAAGGATTCTTGCTTTTATACTCGAGACGGAACAGGACGGAATATACTTATCATCGATACCTTCAGATACAACCCAAGGGGCGTGCTGCGAAAGAATCCATGCCTTTGAATGGTGGTGCGCCTAGTCGTTCAATTACACAATACCTCCATCTGGTCCCATGACGGCCTTTTGCTTCGCTTCTGTCACTCAATTCTTGTATCTTTCGATGCGCTCGTCCAGATTTGAGCGTGCATGATCCCCTCAAGAAGAAAAGAAAGAATTCGTCCACTGGGGGAAACAGGGCTCAAGGCGTGTCTCAAAAGCAGAGGGGACGCCTTCGCAGCCTTCCAACGATGCCCTTAGACCTCCTTTGACGTTCTCTATGAGGTATGCAGCTTTAGTGTGTTGTACAGTATACGAAGCTTCACCGATACGATATGATGTAGATTCTCAGTCATTTATTGGCAGCAGACCTTATCAATCTCTCGCGCGCAACCAAGTCATTCCGGAAAATGTTGATGTCTCGTCAGACGGCCTTTCTGTGGAGAGCATCATACGCAAATGCATCTAATGACGTGCCAACTTGCCCAGAAGATATGTCGGGGCCTGCTTGGGCAAGCCTCCTATTCGGAGGGGCTATATGCCAAGTACGTTGTATCATGATTGTTTCATATATCATCTCATGACTGTGTGTTCGTGCAGTATTGCGGTGCTAGACCAATCATGAAGGTCATCTTCGTTTTGCGCCGTCGCGTGTGCAACTCGTGCATGAAAACTCAGTAAGGAAGGCTTCTTTGTCTAGAAATTGTCGTAATTACCTATTATATGCAGCCTTGATACCCCGGAAAAGTATATCGCAGAGATGAAGTCGAAAGCTCCTTTTATATGTGAATTCACGGACAGCCTGCCTTATACAGATTGTTAGTCATTCCGTCCCTCTCCTACGACTCCCACATCATTTAGGCTTCTACAATCTCAGACGTTCTCAATAGCCATGGCAAGATGCTCTTGGGGGAATACTGGTGGGACGAAGATGTTCGAGCTTTGATTGGCGAGCTGAGCGCCATCTATCGACGTATCTCTGCTAAGCCATTGTACGAGCAAAAGGAGATCATGCAGGAATTGCGAGCCACCAAAGAAACGGCCTTTCAAGCGAGGATGAACGTCGGTCGACATGCTCTTGTCTCACCGTATTCGCTCACACATATTCGCGTAGCATGCAACGATCTGCTCTGAATGGGTACAGCGGGTGGAGCTGGAGCGAATCAACGAACTCAACGAACTCAGGAGCAAGCGCATTGCCGAGTAAGCTGTTGCCAGCCATTATTCAATAGTACTCTCAAGGACGTACTCTCACGATCTTGTCTCGCCGCCGTGCGTTCGGCTACACCAAAGACGATGTCAAATCTATCAAGTTACACGAAGAAGTTAATGTCAGTAAATCCTTAACCAAAAGAGATGAGTGCATCCTCTGCTTGGTATGGGTCGCACAAATGATGGATTCTGCAGCATGGCAACACATATGTCCGATACTAACCACCGAACTTGGCAAGATCAAGGGCGAAAGATTGACATGGGAAGCTAGACAGCGCGAGTACAAACCCAAGGGAGTGCTCACACAGGGGTTTCTCGGCCACGTTCACACTCTACCATCTACGGCAGTGTTGCTTCCGCCCAGCGATGAGCTGGATGAGGGTGCCCCGAAGGATATCTTGTCGTTAATTGAAGAAGATACAGATATCACAGATCAGTTTACAGAGCGCATCGCATCCGAGCTGCTTTGCCTTCATAGCTTCGTTTAGGACGCTCACAGAGCAGCGCAAACAGATTGTTTTCAATCTGCTTCCTTGAGTCAATGGCGAGTCATCTTCAAGTCACGCTTTTCATGCACCTGGTCAAGCCTTGACCCTCCCCCCCCCCGTCGATGCCACTCTTCATCTTGCCGCCTCGATTTTCGAGCATGAATGCAACTCCAATATGTGGATCTGTTCGCGCCGCATCCTCTGTCTTCTCAGCTTCAAAAGCTCGTCCCACACGGGGATGGAGGCTGTTGCACATCGCTGTCGTCGACGACGGACACTTGCAGTCATGCCGAAATACAGCGAAAAGGGATCGTAGGCCGCTCAGCAGCTGCTTCAGCTGTTAGGTCTCAACCCTACCACCACAACTGCCCTCGAGATGGACCGTCTGAACTCGCTGTTCATGTATAAGACCTGCGAAGAGGAAGAGCTATATGCTTACATGGATGAATACGAGGGGCCCGATCATCAGGGTGATATCGGGATCACCTGGCGGGAGTGTGTGGGTGGCTTTGGTTATATAGTGTATCGTGGAATATGCTAAGCTTGATAAAAAAAGGTGGACTACGCGCTTTACAAACATTCAGATGCAGGTGCTCGGCCAGCTGCATGGATAATTGTTTGTGGAGCAGAGGCCGAGAGGGTTCTCAGTAGGGTGGCTAATAGGGTGCCTGATGCTCTTGATGATTCACGGGGTTGCATGCACTGCGCATATCACACTCAAACTCGGTGTTTATCAGATTGGTTCTCCCGTTCGCGAGTTGTCGCGCATCTATTATTGGAGTCAGCCTGCCCGAACGACTCGCTTTGTTGTCCGTGTGCACGGCGCTGATATCCATGTTTATCTCCTTGAACGTGGTTGGGATCGAACCTTGACGGACACAATATTTCCAATCCCACCGAGGGCGATGATATATTTTACAATCTTCGTAAGAATCGTCGAAGGGTACTCATGCGAAACGGAGACAAGCTACGTTGCCATCTGCATGCAGTGGTCGCGAAGGAGGTGTGACGCTTGATAATGACGCGAAAAATTCCAGCATAGTGCTTTCTAGTATTTACTGAAGCAGCGGCAACATTGCCTACGGTTGCCACAATGTAGACTAGCATCCAGTACTCTTGCCACTTGCCTGCATGTGGGGATGAGTCCAGGACCCTACAATAAGGTTAGGATTACGCATGTTGGCTGAGGTGCTGGACGCGCCGAGGATGTCCAAGACGACGATGCCCGGGCGAGAGAGGGACACTTCGTCGTCGGGGACAATCGAGACCGACATGCCCTCCGGACCCCTCAGTGGGCCTTCCAACACCACCTGGCGCAGGAACCGTCTCCTCCGTATTGGCGCAGAGTCGCCTGCAAACGAATTGCTCGACGAGTCTGCCCCACTCACCCAGCGGCGACCCGGTCTGCGCATGCACCACTCATCCTATGGCACTCTGCCTCTCTCCAACCAGGCAAACTCCTCTGCTCGACCGTCATTTCGCACTCGTCACGGTCTGCCTGCCCTCCCGACCTTGGCCGTTCATCCCCGCACATCCATCTCCAACCCCGCTACTCCTCATCCTCTCTCTGCTCCCTCGGAACGCTCATACTTTCGTATCAGCACACAGCGTCCCATCTCCGCCTACGATGCGCCTCTTGCTGTCAAGTCGTCCAAGTCCGACGATCTCCTCACCACACCTGATGATCTAGACGCCAAGACGAACGGCGTGCGCGTCTGGTACTCATCGTTTTCCTCGATTGACTGGCTCCACGACGCCATTAAAGACTCTGCGCGTCTGTACCGTCTGAGGAGGCGAAAATCATTCCGCGGCCGTGCTCGCAACGCCTTTGACAGGTCGATCGGCTGGCTCATCGTCTCCATCGTCGGATTCCTCACAGCGATCGCTGCATTCCTCATCGTCCGTGCGGAGCAGTGGTTGTTTGATATCAAGGATGGCTACTGCGGCGAGGGGTGGTGGAGGGCGAAGCGCTTCTGCTGTCAGCTTGTTGATGAGGACGATCTGCTCCGCCTAGTCGCTGTGGCGGGCCCAGCCGACGCATGTCGTGCTTGGAAGTCCTGGGGCCAACTTCTCACCAAACGTGACACGGAGGATGCCACTGAGGAAGCTATCGAATACGTCGCCTACGCTGCCTTTGCTGTACGTCACTGCCCGCCTATCTCGAGCCCTGACACCTGAGACATTACCTTTCTGCTCAGCTCCTGCTCGCACTCGTTTCGTCCTTGCTCACAATTTGGCTAACCGCATCCACATCGTTTGTCACTCGCAAAGACTCGGGCGTTCTCTCTCCCGATTTTGACAGCGATGCGAAAAACGCGGCTAGACACACGGATCCTCCAACGAAGCGCAAGGTCATGTACTATGCTGCAGGGAGCGGCATTCCAGAAATCAAGACCATCTTGTCGGGTAAGGGCTTTCTCGCGTTCGCTTATGTCTCTCTGCTGATTGTTGGCACAGGTTTCGTGATTCACGGCTACCTCGGCGGACGCACCCTGTTCACCAAGTCGATCGGGCTTGCGCTCTCGGTTGCATCAGGCCTATCGCTGGGCAAGGAGGGCCCGTTCGTGCACATCGCGAGTTGTATCGGCAACATCGTCAGCCGGTACTTTGCCAAGTACGAAAACAACGAAGGTGCGGGGCGTCACATTCTACGTCACGGCCACTCGTTTCTGATATCTGCTTGCAGGAAAACGCCGAGAGATACTGAGTGCCGCAAGCGCTGCGGGTGTTGCCGTTGCATTCGGTGCGCCGATCGGCGGTGTGCTGTTCAGCTTGGAAGAGGTATCGTACTTCTTCCCTCCCAAAGTCATGTGGCGAAGGTGGGTGCTCCCGCAAAACGATCAATTTTTGGGACAGAGATAGATCCGCCTATTTTTGCAGTTTCTTCTGCGCGATGATCGCGGCCATCACGCTGCGCTTTTTGGACCCGTTTGGAACTGGAAAGCTGGTGCTCTTCCAAGTGACGTACGACAAGGCGAGCCTCGCGCATGAATGGATCTGCCGTCGGGTTCTGACCATCTCAACCTGGCTCAATTTCGCAGGACTGGCACGCGTATGAGTTGATCCCGTTCCTCCTCCTGGGCGTTTTCGGTGGCGTGTACGGCGCGTACTTTTCGAAGCTGAACTATCGGTGGAGTCGCGACGTCCGGAACAAGACGTGGATGAAGACGCACCCGGTCGCGGAGGTGCTGTTGGTAAGTCTCAGCTTGGTTGCACGTCGGGTGCGGATCGCGGTCGCTCATGCTTTACAGATCACGAGCGTGACGACGGTGCTCTGCTTCCTGAACCCGTACACGCGCATGGGCGGCACGGAGCTCGTGTACAACCTGTTCGCCGAGTGCCGCACGGGCTCGGCCAACACGCACTCGGGGCTCTGCGTGCTCGGGCCAGGGACGCCCGTGTGGCCCATCGTGCGCGCGATCGCGACCGCGCTCGTCGTCAAGGCCGCGCTCACGGTCGTGACGTTCGGGATCAAGGTGCCGGCGGGGATCTTCATCCCGACGCTCGGCGTTGGCGCGTGCGCGGGGCGCATCATGGGCATCGGCGTGCAGTGGGCGCAGTGGCGCTGGCCGGGCGCGGCGGTGTTCGCGGTGTGCGGGGGCAACCTGGACTGCGTGATCCCGGGGCTGTACGCGATGGTGGGCGCGGCGGCGGCGCTGTCGGGCGTGACGCGGACGACGGTGTCGTTGGCGGTGATCATGTTCGAGCTGACGGACACGCTGACGTACGCGGTGCCGGTGATGCTGTCCGTGCTGGTGGCGAAGACGGTGGCGGACGCGCTGGAGCCCAAGGGGATCTACGACTTGGTGATCGAGTGCGTTCGCTCTGCGCTTGTTGACTTTTCCGGTGGGCTGATGCGGTTTGCGTGTACGCAGTCTCGCGCAGCTGCCGTACCTCGATGCGAAGCACGAGTACCTCTGGGGCGGCCTGCAGATCAACGACGTGGTGCGCGTGGCCTCTTTTCCCGCGTGGTGCGGCGCGCGAGTTTGTTTCTGACGTGTCGTGTTTTGATCCCGCGGGTGAGCTCGCGCAGATGGACCGCGAGGTGGACGTGATCCGTGTGGACGACACGACGGTCAAGGGGCTGCGCGACCAGCTCTTGGCGCTTGTCGGCGCGGGCGACGCCGACGGCGGGTTCCCGATCTTGCGGCAGGACGAGGGTGGCTCGCGCATGGTGGGCTTCATCGGCGCGAGCGAGCTCGAGCACGCGCTCAGTACGTGCATTCTTTTCCGATGTCGTCTCTGTGGTGAGTTGCTGAGGGCGCCGGCAGGTATCGTGGCGGACGAGGCGGACAGCGCGGTGCATTTCCAGCGGGAGAGGCGGTTCGGGTTCGGCGAGGTCTCGTCGTCGTCCATCTCGTCGCTCACGACGGCCGAGGTGGGCCGGGCGGCGGTCGACCCGTTCGATTTTAGCGTGTACATGGACCAGGTGCGTGAGGCGGCGCTGGCCTGTTCTTTGCTGCTGGCCCGGCGGAGTGTTGTTGCTGACGCGGACGACGTGTGGGTGCGGGCAGGCGCCGTTGACGGTGCAGGTAAATTCGCCGCTGGAGGTCGTGCACCAGTTCTTCGTGAAGCTGGGGGCGCGGTACGTCGTCGTCTTGGACGCGGACGGCTACTGTGAGTCGTCGTTCTTTTTTTCTTTTCGTCTCGCTGCGCTCGTGGGATTTGGACACTGATGACGTGGAGCGCAGACGAGGGTGTCATCGACAAGAAGACGTGGCTCGCGTTCTTGGGCGGGATCGAGGAGCGCTCGGCGTGAGATGCGGCGGCGCGAGCGTGGTAAGTGTGCTCGAGCAGCTCGACCGCTGCGGAGCTTTCTTTGTGGGTTTTCTTTTTCCACAGCTGTACAGGATGGAGGATGGAGGCGCGTTTGCGTTCACGTCATACCCTTGTTTTTTTTTTCTTTGTTTTCGATTGGCGGGCACGCACTTGCTGTTCTCTCTTCTGTGGACCGTATCGTCATCATTGGAGGCTAGTCCTGCCGGACACGCACGTCACACACATATGTACATCAATCCACGTTTTTATTTGAATATCGTTGTGATCAATCGTGGACGTGCTTCGTATCCTGCCGTGGATAGGGGGTAATTATGGAGGACATCGCGTCCGTACTGGATGCCCCCGCCGCGCCCGACCTGAACCAAGGGTTGTTTCCACGTACACATCTCCGCGTACACGGGCGGACGGAGAGCGAGAGTCCGGTCAGAAGTCGGAGACGCGGCCTTTGAAGCTCCAATCGCCGCCGTCCTCGGCCCAGCGGCCGACGGGCTCGCGCTTGGGGCCGCCGCGCTCGCCGGTGGCGGGGTTGACGTCGCCGGTGAATTCTGCGCGGAGGGGGGCGGGGGCGTCGGGGTGGACGTCGGGGGCGTGGGAGGTGGGTGCGGCGGGGGACTGGGCTTTGCGGACGAGGTCTTCGAATTCGCGTTGTTGGGCGGCGGGGAGGGGAGGGGGGCCGGGGCGGGAGAGGAGGGGGTCTGAGGAAGAGGAGGCGCGGGGGAGGGAGGAGGAGAGGAGGCGCGTGGGGAGGCGGGGGCGTGGAGGGCGCAGAGCGAGGCGGGGGCGGAGAGCGAACATTGGGGCAGCTGGGTTAGGTGGAAAGAGGACGAGGTTGGTTGGTTGCTGCGAGCCCGGCGATGCACGCGCGGCTGCGAAGGTCGGAGGGGGACGTGACTAACGACGGCGGTGGGTTGGATGACGGGGCTGAGTGAGCGTGGGCAAGCCAGGGCTGGACTGAGGAGGTGTGAGTCAGCGTGGGAGATGCCGCCCCGCTCCGCGCGTCAGCAGCAACGGACGGCTAGAAGCGGAGGCGTTGGCGTTGGCGTGTGCTCCAAGGACGGTACAATCGAGGTGGCGGCAGCAGATCACGCAGGGCGGTCGTCGGATGTCGCGTCTGGCGCTGATCGGAACGTGCGGTGGGCACGAGCAGCTCGAAGGGTGGCAATGCAGAGGGAGCTGGGGAGAGGAGAGGAGAGGAGAGGAGAGGAGAGGAGTGGCGGAATCAGAGGTCAATAATTTGCGCAGCAGGAAGGTGTTCCTGATCTTGGACGAAGGAGGACCGATACAGCGCGCGGACGTTTAATCGGTTTATTCATTCAATGCACATCCTTTAGTCTCCTTCCGTCCTCAACACTCCATCGTCCCTCGTCGCCCCTCTCTCCCTCCCACTCCCTCTCCATGCACTCCCCCTCCCCCTCCTCCTCCTCCTCCCTTCGCCCCCACCCAACAAGTCCCGTCCGTCCCCCACCCGCACCACCTCCAAACCCCCCACCACCACCCACCTCTGCCTATGGCAAGAAACGCAAGGTCGAGCGCGCCTGCGACGCCTGCCGTCGTCGCAAGACCCGCTGCGACGGCCCAAAGATGCCCGACAACGTCTGCTCCACCTGTATATCCAGCCGCAGAAAGTGTACCTACATGTCCGTCTCTCTCCCTTGCCTCTATCTCGCGTATCACCCCGCTCACGTCCCCACGCGCCCCTGCACTACCCCTAGAGAAGCTTCGAAGCCCAGAGGCCCGCCCAAAGCGTGAGTCCTGCTCCACTTCCCCCACTTCGTCCTCCGGACCTTCCCTTTCCGCCCCCGTGCACGGCCAGGCTCACACATTGTCTTCTGCCAGATATATTACTGGCTTAGAAGACAGGATAGAGAAAATGGAGACCCTTCTCAAGCGCGTGAGTCGTCTCTCGCCATCTTCGCTGCCCTTGCTCTTCCTTGCCGGACCTTGTGGCAACCACTCGCCTGCTTCCGCCTCGTTGAATTCATAAACACCGGCTACCAGGCTCGCCAGGGTACCGTTCTCAATCTATCCCTATCTGTACCACGTATCTATGCGCCCAATGTGTTCTCTCTCCCCGCATCCCGAAAACTAACGCTCTCTTTCGCATCTGAACGCGTGCTGACCCCTCCCCCATCCCTAGCTACGCCCGGAATCGGATTTCTCGTCGGAGCTGGGCCCCGCTCTCGTCCGCGACTCGTGGAAAGCAGACCAATCGTATCCCTCCCTCGCCCATGCCCCTCCCTCCGCCAGCACCTCCGCCCTCGACCTCGCGCCCTCTTCCATCGAGCACAAACCCTCCCTCGTGTCCCTCGTCCAGCCCCTCCATCTCCCCACCATGACCGTCCTCCCGAAACTCCGCAAAACCTCGCCTCAGCTGTCTGAGACCGCCGCCGCCGACGCCGAGTACGACTCGTACCCGTCTTCCGAAGAGTACCAGTCGTCCGAGGACGAGTTCCCGCCCGCCACGCTGTCGGCCACGCGCCCGCCCCCGAAGCGCCTCACGCTGCACGGGCTCCCGCCCATGGACAAGGGCGATCGCGCGCTGGATTCGCACGTGCGGTTCCACGGGAGCAGCTCGTCGATTCGCCTTGTGCAGGTGACGCGCGAGTTTAAGATGCGGCATCTGAACGACATGAAGGGTGTCGGCGGCAGAGGGGCAGCGGAGGGGTCGGGTCATGTTCAGGACAAGCAGGGCGAGCAGCCACCGGCGTATGGGCACGAGACGACGCCGTACAAGATCGTGTTTCGGAGGCCCGAATTTTGGAAAGCGCCCCCTGTGAGTCTCGGCTATACTATTATGTTCAGTCTCTTCCGCGAGACGGGACGGTGCCTACGCTCTCTTTCCCCCCGCTGCGTAGCATCCGTACTTCTGCCGCGCCGTGCTCATCCGCTGACTTGGTCTGCCCCTTCCTCCTTCTTCCCAACGCACTCCCGGCCCGCTCCACATCCGTAATCCCGCTCCGCACACACAGTGGGAGCTCGCGTGGGAAGGCGTGCATATCACGTCGCCGCACGCGTTCCCGAGCCTGCAGGCGCAGTTCCCGCCGCCGGACCTCGCGGAGCAGCTCGTCGCGCTGTACTTCACGCACTTCAACGACATGTACCCGCTGCTCCACCGCCCGACGTTCACGCGCCAGTTCTTCGACGAGCGGCTGTACGAGCGCGACATTTGGTACGCGTGCCTCTGCATGGCCGTGTTCGCGCTCGGCAGCCGCTTCTCGGACGACGTGCGCGTGCTGGCGGACGATCTGCCGCCGCACGCGCCGGGGGGCGGGGCCGCGAGGGCCGCTGCCGCTGTGGCGGCGTCAGAGGGAGTGGAGCGCGACGGAAAGCGATGGCAGCGCGCCGGGTGGAAGTATCATTTTGTCTCGATTGGTATGTCTTTGCTCGTGGGGGGTGCTCATCTCCGCTTTGGACGGGTGCTCACCCTTCTGCCCAGACATCGTCCTCCGCAAGCGTTCCATGTTGACCCCGGCGTGTTTATTCGAGGTTCAGACGCTCTGCGTGCGTACGCTCCCCGATGCCTAGGCGCTTGTTTCACCGCTTATTTTTGATATCACCTTCTGGCATATTGTCTCCGGCTTTTTGACGTGGGTCCCGTCTTCAGTTGATGTCGGCCTTTATGCGCGAGACGCCCTGGCACCCGTCGGCGTGGACCGCCATCGGGACCGGTATCCGAAAGGTGCAGGACGTCGGCGCGCACCGCCGGAAGGTCTACGGGGACAGACCGAGCGTCGAGGAGGAGCTCTGGAAACGCGCGTGGTGGTATCTGGTCGCGTTCGATCGCATCGGCAGCGTCATGCTCGGTCGGCCGTGCGCGACGCGCGAGGAGGAGTGAGTCCTCTTGTCTGTTTTCTTGCTCGCTTGCGGGTCATTTTTTTTGCGCCGGATGCTGAGCGATGTTGCTTGGGTGACAGCTTTGACGCTGACCTTCCGCTGGAGGTGGACGACGAGTACTGGGAAAACGAGGACCCCACGCTGGCGTTCCAGCAGCCGCCGGACAAGCCCTGTCGGGTGTCCGCGTTCAAGCTGTTGCTGAGGCTGACGGACATCATCGCGTTCACGCTGCGGACCTTCGTTCGTACCTGTATTTATCTTTATTCTTGGGAGACCTCGCTCACTTGGTATAAATCCTTCGCTTCTCTCGTACGCGTTTGCAGTACGCGCTCAACAAGGACCCGACGACAGTGCTGCACAATCAGCAGCCGGTCGAGATCCTCAAGGACATGAACGCGGCCATGCTGCAATGGACTCAACTGGTGCCGGAATACCGTACGTCTTCGTTTAGTCCGATACGGGCCAAGGGCCTGCGGTTTCTCACACTCGCTCGATGCACAGTCAAGTGGTCGCCTGAAATGGAAGACCTGGCGTTCGCGAACCAATCGACGACGATATACCTCACGTACAGCCTCATCCAGATCCTCGTCCATCGCAGCTTCCTGCCGCCCTCGCTCGCGCGCCTGCGCGCGCTCGGTGACGCCCCGTCTGCGGGCTCCACGTCCGCGCACACGATGACTTCGCTCGCGATCGCCGTCAACGCGGCCAAGGCGGGCGCGCGGTTCCTGCACGTCCTGCGCGTGCGCGGCTTGTCGAACATCCCGATCCTGCTCACCGCGTCCGAGCTGTGCGCCGCCGTGCTCTGCCTCGACGTGTGGGTGCTCAAAGCGCGCGAGAAGGCGCGCAGGATGCAGGGCATGCAGCCCAGCCTTGCGGCGGGGCATGCGATCGAGGCGCTCATGGCGGACGTCCACTCGCTGATCGAGGGCCTCGAGTGGGCCGTGCCGCGGTGGCCCAACGCGGAGGATACGCTGTGCGTGCTTTCGGTTTCTTCCTTCCGCCCCTGGGCTCGTCCCGCCGGTCGACGATGCTGCCGAGGCCGAGGCTAACGTGTGCTGTTTGTTGTTGGGACTGCAGGCAGTACCTGAAGACCGCGTTGCCGAGCGCGACGGACGAGCCGGACGATATGGACGATGTCCACCTGGAGGTCATGCCACCCCTCGAGACGGATTATCCGGCCGAGGCGTCGGCCACGCATGACAGGGGGGAATCGATGCACCACGGGCACCACGAGCACCACGGCGGTTACCACAACCAGGGGAAGCGCGCTGCTTCGGTGCATCGCGCTTCGGCACACCCTGAAGTGCCGCTGTCGATGCCGTACAACCCGCACGCTGGCTCCTGGGATATCACGCCAGAGCGCCTTCAGCACCACTCTCCCCAGCAGCAGCAGCCGCGTCAGCTTTACATCGGCCCCAGCCTGACGCGGCCGAAGGGCGCGTCGCTGGCGCGCCAGTGGGCGGCGGACGACGGCGCGACGATGCCGCCGCCCTCGTCGTGGAGCGTGCCTGCGCATGGGTCGGCGGAGATCCCGCCCGCTCGCCCGCAGCCGGCGGCGTACTACGCTTCTCAGCCGGAAACGATCCCCGCGGGGCACTACCGTCGCATGGTGCCGCCGACGAAGATGGAGGTGGAGGGCGCAGGTGCGCCCTACCCTCCGTCTGCTGCTGCTGCTGCTGCTATGGGCGGGTCGGGGGTTGTAGAGGGATACGGCGGCGTGCTGCATGGCGAGCAGACGGGGTCGAGGGGGTACAGGTATGTCTTTGCCGTCTTTTTGCTTTTGCTTTTGTACGGGAATGAACGCGTTTTTTTATCTGTCTAGCTGGGAAGAGGTGCAGGCATACTGGGCGTATTCCCACCAGGACACGGGGAACCCACGACGGTCGGAGCACGATGCGGTCAATCAGGGCTACATCCGCGTCCGCCCTCCCTGAAGCTCACGATGCCGACGTCGGCGCCGTCGGTCGTACATGGGCTCCTCATAAAATCCTCACGTCCTTGGTTCATCGCTGTCTATTCTTGCTTTCGTCGCTGTTGCTCACTATTCGTCTCTGCCTTGTCCGCCATTTTTTTCGATATCACATGCATCGCGTTGTGTGCGGTTTGTAGCACTATTATACTACGTTATCTACTACGCGAGCATGACGCGACATGCTGGCTGCCAACTTGTTGTACCTCTAATACTCAAACGACGCGCCCTCCTTCCGCCGACCGTGATTGCAGTTGTCATGCATACTGCACCTGCGTGCACGCGTGGGATCGTCGTGCGAGATCGCATGATGTGGGGGAGCGTAGGGGACGTCACCGAGCCCGAAGGTGTGGCGCCAGGTCACTGTCAGGGCTATGACGCATGCAACACAAAGAGTCAACCGTTGGAGCGCTGTTGAGGCCCTGAAGTCGCGGTCACCGACGACCAGCGACGCCCGGAGCGTCCGCTCTCCTTCGTTCCGCTTCTTGCTCTGCCCTGGTCCACATGCTGACGCCGCCTCGCGACGCGTCCTCCCACTGCCGCACGGTTGAGAACGGCGCTGCCTCTGCGACGAGCCGCCGCTCCCCCAGCTTCTCCACGGCGACTTGGTTCAGCCGTTCAACGAGACAGGCGCCTCGCGGCCGACCCACGACCTGGACGAGCAGGAGCCGCAGAGGGAGAGCGTCGAGGATGTCGCGGAGGAGGGAAAGGATGAAGGCGAAGCAGCCGTCGCTCTGGCGGTAGACGACGGCGAGGTGCGTGAGGGACGGGAGGCGACGCAGGCCGGCGAGGCGCGCTGGGGACCAGTTGGAGGCTGTGATGTGGATGCGGAGGTGCGTGAGGGCGGGGCTGAGCGCGGACGGGTCCCAGTCGGACGGGTCGCGACAGGCGGCGCCGAGGAGGTGGTGCTCGCGCAGGCGCGGCAGGGCGATGGGTGCCCGTGGCTCGTGCGGCGCGAGGGCGGGCAGGGCGAACCCGCAGGCGAGGCTGGCGAGGCCCGCGTGGGCGCAGGCGGCGAGGACGTGGTAGATGGTGGGGAGCGGCCCCGGGGCGAAGATGCCGAGGTGCTTGAGGTGGCGGGGGAGGAAGTCGGCGGGCTTGGTGGCTATCGCGCAGGAGAAGGCGCGTAGGGCGCGGGCCGAGTCGAGGACGACGGTGCGGTAGAGCACGGGGTCGGTCCAGGAGCGGGTCGTGTGGTTCACGAGCGCGAGGGCGCGGGCGGCGGGGCGCGAGGAGCAGGCGGCATGCTCGAAGATGTCGCGCACAAGCTCCAGTGGCAATGCTGGGAACGGAGCGACGATGGCTGCCATCGAGAGTGCAGCAAGCGAGTAAGCCTTGACGCCGTCCTTATATATGGCCACTCGACTTCGGACCCCTTTCTGCCATCAGACCACATACAGACCACCGGGGCTTATCGATAGCAGGTCACTGCTATATTCGACTTTGGGGTGGCAAGAAGGGGACAACGTGCATGCCACTGTGGAGCTCTGAAACTCGAGCGTACATAAGGAAGACCCCATCATGGATTCGATAAAGTTTGTGGCATCATCGGCGCTTCCGCCTTTGAAAAGCTGTCCATTTATGCGACCGCCCGATATCCAAAACATAGTAAGGCGTTCCGACCTGCGAGCCATGAACGTATCGTTGGAGTCGATGTGCCTGTAGATCCGCATGACGTAGTTCAAGATCGCTAAATGTGGCTATACTGGTAGAAGTGTGTCAGGAATTTCCCCTTGCTTCAGAGAATGTGCACACGCAGTCTGCGAAATGCAGAGGTTTCATCCAAGGTGTATATGAATTAACCGCAAGGCTGCATACAAGCTCAGCACAGCGTAACCCAGTCTTCCTCACCTCCAAATTCTGGACTCTCACCAATGCGTATGTCTCACCCTCGTGCCCATCTTCACATCTCGCCCACTCAACTTGGCTGCCCTTCAGAAAGACCGGTATGTACCATATCGTCCAAGGATTTAAAGCTGGCGCTATGTTTTATATCGACACTCAGCGACTCCGCATCCCTCCCAAAAGCTTCCACGTCAAGGATCATTTGCGTCCGGATGCGTTCCTCATCTCGATTGTCGTCGTCTTTGTCAGTGGTCGCGTTTCCGAACAGCGAGAAGGTCGACTTTTTACCCTTCTTCAGTCGCCTCAGCGACTCCTCCGTCTTTTTCATCGCAGCCAAGTAATAGATATATCTTGACACAGCAGTCAGGATGAGACATTTCAGCAGATATCCAAGGACGTACCGTTGAATTACGTTCTCAAATACCTCTTCGGAATATGACTTCAAATAGTTGGATTTCAAAGCCTGCCCTGGGCCCTCCGCAGTCCCGATTGCGAAAAATGCCTTCACCGGGCGGAGTATGGACCCTACAAAATAACTTGGATCCGTTGGCATCCGTTTATTGGACATCGCCCGGAACTGAGAGGGTATGGAGCGAACAGGCGTCAAGGCCTCACAACAACGCTTGCTCAGGATCGTGACAATGTTCGTAGACATTGGAGGTATGAGGGAAGTAAGTTCTTGTAGGGACAGTCTTAATGCATCTACATGTATGTCAGCGTCCAGAATATCCGTGCGTGTACTTGCTTGTGCGGTGCTTACCCTCAGTATGGGCTTCCTCATCCTCCGATGCTTCAAGCACGGTGGACATCATCATGCTGATTTCTTCGCGCCATAGCGTCGACACCCGGGACTGCATTGCGTTGATATCTGTGACCGCAGCGGCGCATTGCGCTATGAGCGTGTCATCTGCGACCACGCTTTCCGCTGTACCGCCCTCTGCGGCTGGATTAGGAGTGGATGCACGACTCGCCACGGGAGGAGTGGCTCCGGGTGTCAGCGTCTACGCAAAGGTCAATTCTCTTGAGATCAAAACAACGATCCACATGATTCACGCACATGTCTCTCCGTCGCTGAGAAATTAAGCGAGGATTCAACTCGCGGAAGGCTACTCCCTAGCCATATGTGATATCGGCTCAGTAGCTTCAAAAAATAAATAGTTCAAGATACTAATAGTCGACAAGACGGTGAATTGCTCACTTGCAGAGTCGTTTTCCAAAATCTATGGCTCAATTCCGGGATATATACTTCTCTACTCCAGCAGGTTTCCATCGCGGTCCATACGGCAGCCGACTGCAGTGTCATGAACGGTTGGATATCTGAAGAAAGTTCTTTCAAAGCGGGTCCAAAGCGGACAAATGAATGTGAGATACCTTTACTTGAGATAGGCTCAATCTTGGTCGTGGACAAAGGTTCCTCTAGCTTTGTGACTATTTCCTTCCATCGCAGCTGAAAATAAACATGAAGTTGCCATCGTCGTTCGAATGCGGTGTAGACTGGGTGCGCTATCATTGCTTCAACTGAATGGAGTGATGGTGCCAACAGTTGCAGCGAACGGATGAATGCCTTGGTCGTTTCATAATTCTACGGGAAGGCAAGGGGATCGAAAACCTGAGTTTGAAAAGCACTTTGACGGATTGTGGGACCGTACCTTGTGGAATTCGTCAGGATTTCCTGCGGCAAAAACGACAGCACCCAGTTCGTCCATGATCGCTCTACCTAACTCTGCCCACACTGCGTTGGCCAGAAACTCGAAGGTCTCGCTCTCCTCTCTCATGGGTTGAGACAATGAAGACCGCTCACTCACAGTCACCTTAGCCTTCGCGCCGTGCTTCACACTGACCTTCTCGGCCAGATCCATGATTCGTTTAAGATCGCGCTCAACGAACTTGAGGACTGTGTTGTACAGCCCCGCCAGAGGATTGTCGGTGTCGTCAAGAAGGTGAACTGACGTGATCGCTGACTCGAAAGGATTTTGTTTCGATGCGAAGGCGGTGAATGGCGTGTAAGGTGTGCGTGGAGGATGAGTCAGTGCTTCTGTCGACCGATATATTGGAAAGGGAGTGCGTGGAAGAAGGGGAGTTTGCGGAGCTGTCATAGAACCGATGTAGACAGACTAGAACTGGTCAAGAACATGATAATACGGTGTAGCAGCAGGGTGATGCGTACCTTTTTGACGAAATCATGCACGAGCTCTCGTCTCACGACGGCTTCAGCATCTCGCCAGAGGCCCAGGATGTCGTACGTCTGTAAGCATTCAGTCAAATCTAGCGTCCGTTTTGCTTTCTCTACATCATTAAGGCTAGCCTCCTTGGCGTTGGTCAGAGATGACAGGGTGTTCGCGAACAAATGATCGAGGTCCGACGACAAAGATGACTTGATCCTCTCAATACGCTGTCCGCAGGAGAAATCTCAGTCAATCCAAAGAAACCGCGTCGAACAAAGACAGCTCACAAACCCAATAGATATCATCAATGAAGGCTGGTCGTTGGTTGATTTGAGCTTTTGTCACATGATACAAGAGCTGTGTGTATTCAGCAGCCACTCGAGCAAGATGCTTTGCGCGGTTCCCTCGCCCGCTAAGAACAGATGAGAAAGATGCGACATCATGCATGGAGTAAACACACCCGTCATCATGGCTTCCGGCTTCATACCGAATGCCAGGCCTTGATAGTGGAATATTTCTAAGTTCAGGAGAGGATGGGCCATCGGGGGAGGCGATGAGGAGAAGAGATTCGAGGCGAGAGACCGATTCTGAGATTTTGAGCAGTAGTTGATGCAAGGCCTGATAACCTAGACATAAGGGCTCTACAAATGGAGAAATTGAGTGCAAGAGATGGTACTTGCCTCCTCATCGCGAAGAGCAGACCTTGCCTTGAGCTTAGACTGTACGTCATCCAGGATGAGTTGGAAATCACGCCTTGATTCCTATTCTCGAATCGACGAATTGACTTAAGACAAAGATGATATAACTGACACGACTCACCTGAACCTGGGATATGAGATCACGAAGAGGATACTTCAATCGCTCCAGCCTCACACCTTCTCCCCTCAGATCAGTGCTCAAGCTAATGAATGCCTCGTAATCATCGTTTATGAGCTTAACCAGTTCCTCCTTCAATTCGGCTTGATAGTCACGGAGTTCAGAGCGCAAGTCTGGTAAAGATATGTGCGATCGAGAGAGTAAAAACTTCTCAACATCGAAGATTTCGGCTGTGAAGAATGGATTATCGTGTGACAATGGGGTGTAGAGTGGAAGGTCGTGGGTTGGCTGTGTCACGTCCTCAGCCAGATGTTCGAGTTCAAAAGGATCGCCAATAGAACTGCTTGCGGCTGGAGGTCTCTGCAAGGCCATCGTGTCCGTCGAGAGGCAAGTAACACGCCCGGCCGTAGGTATATTGTACTCGGAGCCACGCCACACACCCTTCCGGTCAACCAAGCTACCAAGGCCCAAGACTCAGGACTTCCGATTTCGCGCGACGGACACCAAATCTAGGGCAGGCAAGGGGTTCAAAGAGGCAGGGAAAACGAGCCAAAGATTTATTCGAACTGTTCAACGTCGGGTTCTGCTACTCTGCCAAGATAATAAACGTCTCTCACTGGTTCATATGTATTTCAGGCACTGTATGGTAGTGACCGATGGCATTCATGATGATGTATGAAGAAATACACAGAAACATAACACAACAACTTTCGTGAAAGGAGGCGAAACCATGACAAACAGGTGAGCTTTTACCGTCGAATGCCCCTTGCAGCAGGGACGCCGCGACCACGCCGAGCTGCAAAGAGTAACACGAGTCAGTATGAGACCGCTGTTCACAAGCCGCAGGCGACAATGATAGAAAACAGGCGTACCATTTGCTAGATAGAGAAGGTAGGTGTTAGTGATCATAAGTTGGGAAATGTCCGAAGCACGTACCGCGCATGATAGTCGCACGTCCACGAGCTGTACCGATACCCCTTCCCCTCATAGCATTCGGTCCGACACGCTTGAACCTGAGACGAGTCGAGATCAGGAGAACCTCACAGTGCATAGACAGAAAAGAAACGGACATGGGCGCGTTTTGCAGCATATCTGGTACGATGAAGAATCGCACCATGCTCCCTCGAATATACACTTGATCCAGTTGTGATACACGACCATCGCGACCAGTAACAGTTATGTCTTTGAGCGATATATTGAGGTTATCCTCAGCTGGATGCAAAAGACAGATCAGTACATTCACTCGAAGTTGTTGTAAAACGGCCTAAACCCACCTTCCGCAAGTTTTCCACGGTAAAGTTGGCCGGTCTTGAGCTCGACAGTAATGATATGACCCAAAGATTCGTGAAGGAGTTTCACGGGAACACCGAGGCCTGAGCTCATTTTGTGAGGATGTAGAGGACTTGAGGAGTTGTAGAAATGAGCTAGCCTTCTTACCAGGCGGGATGAGCCGTCGGACTCTCAATGACCATGGCTCGTTTTCGTCGGAGTCATTACGGCTGGGCAAGCCGCATAGGCTCCGTACCCAATGGAGTGGAGCAGCAGAATTCGGCATGACTGTCTGTGTTCTAGCCTAGGTTTTATTCAGTGCAACCTAGATCCACATACCGCCCTGTCCGCTCAACAACAACAACATAAAAGCATATGTAGGCAAGAGGAGAGAAAACTGAACAAAGAAGTGAGCGATGATCGATGATGGCCAGTGCGTGCTGGTTAGTGGCCACACGAATCACAAGAATGGATGAATGTAGCCGAGAATGTCGTGAACGAACCTGGGATCTATGGTATCAGGAATAATGATATTAATACTACGGTAGATGTAAATACGAATGCGCCTTAATGTACAGTGTTGGAAAGAAAGTCTGATGGTAGACATGTACTGTGATATATAGCTCCTGTCCGTGAAACAACAATCTTAATCTTATCCTCCGTCGCACCCCTTGATGACGCGGATGGCTGCATGGCAAGACTTAAAACACTTCGGCAGTGTGTACACGTTCCTCTGTGAGGTGCCCAACCCTTTGCTCGCTCCTTGGTCATCGTCTCCACTATCTCGAACACATCCCGATCGAACAAGTGTTTTGTGATCGTCAATATGTCGCCTTCAGATCGATAGGATTCCATCATGCTCGTTAAAATAGTGCGAAATTCTGTATACGGCGTGCCGTTGGCTGTATGCGATGTAGAATCGACAAGGCGCGTAAAGAGGCGAGGGAAGGAGACACCTCTGGATGAGCTGACTGACACCAGCGATGAGAATGTTTCTTGAATGAGCGCACGGAGGGCGAACAATGATTCCCGCTGGGCTATCTCCACGTCACTAGAGGATAACGCTTGTGAAGAACAACAGCCAGACACAGCCTGTACTGAGTCGATTTGCGACCGCAATAGCTGGAACCACAGCTCTTCGACTGGGATATCTCCAGACTCGGATCGAGAGTGCTCCAAGCAGACCGACACAGCCATCCGTCCGAGTGTCTTCAAAGAGGATATCTGCTCCTGCAAGTCTGACTGCCGGTATTGTGAGTCCGATAACGCAACCAGTTCTTGTGCTATTTTAGACACCAAACGGCGGCTAAAGGTCTCAACCTTCTGTATGGATTCTGTCGCGGCGCCTTGGCGATTCAAGGCCCAAACGACTGCGTCGAATACGTTGTGCTCCTCACATATTCGAATAATATCGTTCCACGGAACAAACTCGGGTGGGAAATTTTGAAGAGTAGGGATGACATTCGTTGCGTCGATTTGACACTGTAGAGAGAGGTAAAGTTGTCGCATAGCTGGAGGAACATTCTTGGAAGGGTGTCCTGATTGTGAAGAAGGGCCTTCATCTTCTTCAGAAGGTGAACCCAGAAGACAATGCAAGTACGCAAAGCATTTGTGGTTCGTGCTCGAGCCGAGAACCTCCAGCGCCCTGACATGAAGCTGCGGCACATGATTATCGACCAAAAAAGCCGTGTTGATGATGTTGGCTTGCATAAAGTCAGGCAATGAGTCGGAAATGGTAGTGATGAGATCTGAGGGTATGGTGCCCTGATTTGCCGAGGAGGCAAGCTTGAAGATCTCGTTAGCATTGTTGAACACATCGTCGGAAGGCAGGTCATGGTCGTGAAGGTAAGCTAGAAGTAATGGCCCCCATTGGCGCTCGTGTCGATGCCACGAACGGAGTATGCGGTAGAACTTTGCCTTCTCGAATAGTCGAAGAAGGCGATCACTCTCATCCGGAGTATAAGTGGACAGCAGATACTCTGCAGCAAGTTGGCGATCCTCCCGAGTGGTCTCGTCCGGATCATTTGCGAGCCCCACAAGAATATTATGCAGCGCGCTCGGGGCAATTTGGATGAATTGAGGGTATTTGGGAACATTGCGGGCAATGAAGATATTGACAAAGGTGATGTCGGCGGGAGACAACCCGGGAGATGACGCGAGTATTTCGAGCAAGACCTTGATGACGATCAAACGACTGGCTCCCTGACTTTCGTCGTTTAGGTACGTATCTTCGAAGGCGATGTCCAATGAATGAAGAAATGCTTCCGCATCGAACCGAAGTAAGAGCCGACAATACGGATAGGTTGGTTCCACACCGCCTTCCTCCTCTGCAGTCAAGACCAACTTTCCTCCCTCTTTAAGTGGCCAGACACTCGAGCGACCGAAGAAGATGAAAGTGTAGACGTCATGCTTAGCCTGTAATGCCTCCTCTTCATTCAAAGGTTCCTCGCTAGGGTAGGTAAGACCTGTCAAGGCATCCGCGAGATAGGGATAGACTTTGTACGCGTTCATGACGACGGGCTCCATCGTCACTTCATACGTCCCTTTCAATGTCGAGTCCCGACGATATTGGATAACCTTGCGAATGAGGCCTAGCATTTCGACTACAGGTAACACGTAATCCTTCATCGCTCGAGTGTAGACGTAGATGAGAGCATCATACAACTGATATTCCCTACACAGGTGGATCGCTTGATTGATATCCAAGCATTCTGGATCGATGTGCCAAATAACACGTTCAGCTAGGTCCGCTCGATAGTCGTTCTTGTGCATATCGATTAAACGCTGCGTGATTCGTGGTGGGACATAGCGGATATCGTTGTCGAGCACGAACACCTCCAATTGTTTGAGATAGATTCGTGTAATCCCGACGTCATCGTATGCCTGGAACAAATCCTCGAAGAGGAATTCGAAATCGTCTAGAGCAATGCAAGCACGAGCGCAGGTGGATACCAGATTTTCGAAAAAAGATGTCCGATCCACTCCGCGACCATCAGGTGTATAGTGAGTTGCGTCCATCATGCGGTCTTCCGAGAATGCATAGCGGGTGGAGGCGACCATGAGCTCTCGCATCTTCTCTTCGGTGACTTGTCTGAGCTGCTGTGGGTTATCTGGCAGTCCATTCTTGTTTCCAGGTGCTTTGCCCAAGTAATATTCCCGAGCCAAGTCGATCGCACTGAGAAAATCACCGTCATGAACGAACGACAATATTCGATCTGCCCAAGTGAGGAGTGTGCCCACTCGTACTTCGTTCCGACACTGCGTGGAATGACTGTCAAAAGCGTTAATTCCAGGCACCTTGATGGATGCACTTACAAGAAGGAAAACCTTCCCTTTATACGCGCGCACGCTATGGGCAATATCGCCCAAGGAATCCGAATAGGAAATAGTTCCATTTGAGGTATTGCCTAACGTCGGTGAGATCAGTGAAGCGGCATCGAAACGGGTGTGTTCGACCAGATCAAGTGTTTGGATGTCGTAAACTTCCAACGCAGAAGATGTGACAACAACAATTTGCTTATAAAACAAAATAGGGTCAACCACGGTATCGACGAGGCAACCGGCAAAGCGAACGAACCCACATTGGCATTTAACCATTGAATAGCGAGAACGTCATCCTGCGCGGACCATTTCGCCGCCTCTTGGAACGTCAATCGCCCAACCTCGACACTGGTTGATTTATTTGTCCTTGAGTCCACAATTGCCTCCTTTACCTTGATCTCTGAGACACGCAAGAGGTTGAGAGTGGGACCCCAGGAATAGACAAGCATCGGAATAGTAGGCTCGATGGTAGGCTCTTTTTTCCCCTTCCTTGGCGGCTCCCGTGGGCTCGCACCGCCTAGAATAATGCTAGGATACCAAGCCATCGACCCTCGAAACTTTGATTTTCGCGCCAGTTCGCCGTCTTCATCTCGGTGACGTCTGTACCATGTTTTTGGAGACGGTTTCAAGCCGACTATGACGAGCTTAGCGGCAGTCAGAAGAGCGACAATATTATATCCGTCCGTGGGATGAGGGGTTGTCCCAAGAGGAAGAGGAGCCATGGCGAGTATTGTATTGACCTTCCGGGCTTTGCGGTGACGAGGATATTGACCTGGAGCGATACCATTCGTCTTTGACTGGGAAAGGTGTGATGATGGGGGTGGCTCCTCTTCGGGATATTTACCAAGTATCCGCAACACATCAGAAGCATCGACGAAGAGCACCTTGCCTAAGCTGTGATAGAAAGCCAAGCCATTCTCGTCCGCGGACACGATAGCGGTATGTCTCCCTGCGACGAATCCGACATTTACTATTCTTGAGCCATGTATATGACCTTCCTTTCGTCCTGAGGCAACGGCAGCGCGGGATGTTGGAGGCACAAAGCGAACAGGCTTCTGAGGCTTGTTGAGGTCAAAAACTTGAATGTGCCCAAACGCGTGTCCTGTGGCCACAAATGTATGGTCGTGAGACAGAGCAAGAGCAGTGACTGGTCCTACGGCTTGTTCTGCGAGAAAACACGGGTCGTGTTCAGACCAAAGATGTGGATTCATGAGATTTACCTGATCCGGCGTCTCCGCATGTACACTTCAATGTCTGTTTGAAGTCAAAGACGTGAATTTGGCCTGTATCCGTGCCAATACAGATAAGGCCGTTGGCAGCGATGACCCTGGGTGCGCCCGTCACTGGAGAGCCAAGGAGAGCGAATGCCTTCTGCGGCGTGTTCGTAAACAGGTACTGTTCAGCTTTACGCAGCTGCGTCCATCGGAAGCCCTCCCGTTCAGCCTGTGGAGGCCCATTCATGTCTTGTTTCTCTAGCCCAGCGCGCAGATTGGTTGTCGACGACATAGGGGATAGAGCAGAGAAGTGTGAAGGCTCAGGGGACGCCGCTTCTCGGGCGTTCGATTGAATGGTGCCCATGCTTGAAACAGATGGCAGCCGCGAGGCCTGAGGCATGTAGGAGCGTAAGCGTGAGACGGTAGGGTGCAGGAAGGGTTTCGCAAGCTTGGATGGGGTGCCGTTTGGCAGAGGCGAAGACATCCGAGGCGGTGTAAGTGGAAAAGAGGCTGGCGGCGAGGGAGTGGATGGCGTGTTGTCCGAAAGGACTTCGACATGCTGAAAAGAAATGATGAATACAGCAATCGGTTACGTGAAAAGGACAATTCTGCACTCACAGGTATTCCGTCCATCGTGAATAAGTGATGATCGGCGCCCTCTGCCTCGTGCCCAAAGGGCCCATTCATAACCCTTTCTTCCAACTCGTCGTCGCCATCGTGGTCTGGGCCCAAGACGTCGCGCAGTTGTTGTTTATACGTTCCTTGGATGACCTCTGCATCTGCACCAGAATAGACGAATCCTCCAATGTCTTCATCATCTTCGTTCTCGGCTCCCATCCCGCCCCGACCCCCATCTTCGTCCTCGGTGTCATCAAACAATTCCTCCATACGGGCAGAGTAATCACCCGCATTGTTGTCCTGCTCGTGATCGTCGTCCTCCTCATTATCCGAAAAGCCGATATCGGAGAGATGAGAAGACTGAGGTTCCGGTTGCATACCTTGCCGGCGAGTAACAGTGAGATGGACAAGCACGGCGACTGCGACACCGTCGAGAGTGGAGACTGTGTGACCACGCAATGACTGTGGGAAATTCCAATGAGACGGCGCTGTTGTTTGGATCGGAAACTGTTGCCAAACATCCCCTGTTCCACGAGATGAACTTATTCCTCTGGACTATTCAGGTACTGTATTACCAACTTCACAATCCATAGATGTGAACAAGGGTATGATGACCATTCCACACAAGTGCCGTCCTCAGCAGATGATAGAATATGATAACACTACAGGAGTCAGGAGAGCAAAAAAGATATCAGACAGTGGAGTAATAAACAAACAAGGCCTGAGAATGAGACGACGAAAGAATAAGAAATAAATGATACAAGGTGCACCTGGATCATCTAGGCACTACTACGACGCCATTATCGTACTACTAGGCCCGTCCAAAACGCTCCTGGAAAGATATTAGTTCAGACATGAGCTCCTCCATCATCCTCATCGTTGACTCTCCCTCGGATCCTGACGGCACCCGCTTCGGTGCAGAAGGAAGTCTCTCCTGAATGGGCGATGTAGCAAGTTGTTGTCCGTCGTCTAGGGCTATCTGCGTGCTTCCGTCGGCAACACGTCCCACTACATCACCCATGCCAAATTCACCACTGAGCACGACGTCGGCATGCCCAGTTTCCCTCAAAGATGCGTCTAACTTTTCCCTCCGCCGACCTCGTTCCAATGAGTTGGCCTGCTCCCTGCCGACCCATTCTACGAGAGTCCGCACACGCTTGTTCATGTCTGTTAGACTCGTCCTCTTGGCCGGCCACTTTACTCTTGCCCCCCTCTCCGCCACTCGTTCCAGGGCTTGTCTCCCATTGGCATGTAATCCTGAACCACACACCTGCAACGGCCGAGGGACAGCCGAAGGCAGTATGTGTTCGAGATGAAGAAGATAATCTGGGAGGCCCCACGAAGTATACAACGCCTGTTGGGATACCACGTACGCGTGGGAAGTGTGATGTGCACGCGAGTTCGAGGGCGCAGCATGCGTGCTGGGGCCTTGACCATTGGCAGGGGCGGATTGGTTATTGCGCCTCGTACTGTGATCGTGTGCCGCATTTCCAGCCGCCTGTCCACGCTTTGCCGCAGCGGTTCCACCTTTAGCTCGGCTATTGTTGGTGCGTCGATTTTGAGGGGTCGCGCCACCACCTGATAGTCATCGTAAGTCACGTGAGGCAGATACAATGTGGGGAAATTACGGACCTTCCTCGCCCTCTGCCAAACCTACGTCTTGCGCTTGTACAGCAGATTTTCGGCCTCCCCGTCTGTTCCGCGAACTGCTAGCCTTTGCTGGAGGTGCTGGCATGGCCGATTTGCTTGGAGCACTGGCTGGTATCTCCTCGCGCGCCGCGGCCATCGTACGCGGTTGATCAGACGTCGTTGAGGCGGACCTGATGCGCTTGACGGACTCGCTACGCACGCGAATATTCGTTGAATGACAAGAGAATAGGAAGATGACAGGTACTGACGCGTCGTCTTCTCCTCGCTTCCGCTTTTTCCTTCCATTGACTGCGACCGCGGGCTGTTCGTCTTCCACATGCCCATTGACGCTCCCGTTGACAGACGCGGAAGGCTGATTGAGGGCAGCCGCCTCGGCAGCGGTGGCCTCCATGATTTCCTTGAGACTCTCATCGTATGCGGCGTCTCTGCTGTTCATCGTGTTCCGCCGCTTGGCGGGTTTGAGAAGCATATTGGGAGAGTGTGATCGAGAAGCACGAGCTGCGAGGGTAGAAGTGTGGTGGGAGGCCGTCGAAGAGTGGCGGGCCCGCTTTGCAAGTCTCCTATGGCGCGCGCAGACTACATTAGACGCGAAGGGATGGATAGCTTTGTAGGCGCACTTTAGAAGATCGACATGTAGATCGGGTCTACACTGCTCGCAATGATAATCATCCTCGGGGAGTTGCTCTTCAGCCTCGAAGCCCATACACAGACCATGCTGCCATGCATTGCATGTCTCGCATTGGACCATGAACTCCCCGGCATCTGGATCGTCCTCGCCTGAAATGCATAGAACGCTATTGAGGGATGTTGGATGTGACGAAAAAGGTGCGAGGACGTACCGGTGCTGCCGCACACGCAGCGAGTAACGCCGTCTTGTTCGTCGGGTTCTGCCAAGTCCATCGTGATATTTGCTACCGGTAGGTCGGGTTTTGAGAGCGGAGGATCGATGGCTATGTCAACAGAGGGCTTGTCCTTGTCCTTGCTCTTGCGTTTGGCGCGACCATTGGCATTGCCGCTGGAGGGGTGGGTGCCATTGGGATACTTCTGGTGCTCATCAACGATGTCGGCGGTATCTTCACGTTTTGAGCGTTTGCTCCGAGAGCCACTGTTGGAGGAGGTGAGTGAGGGTCTATGGGTGGGTTGTGGGGGGCGGGTCGGGAGGGCCTCTGAGGCAGGGGAGTCCGGGGAATTTGAGGTGCTTGCTGAGAGAGAGGGGGCTGTACGGCGTCCAGAGCGTCGTGTTTCTCTGGGAGAGAGGGGGGGACCCATGACGGCGGTCTGAGCCATGGTGTGAAGAGAGGAAGGTGGGGATAGAGTGTGGGCGTGTTGTGCTCGAGAGAACTGGTCGTTTGGCACTCGGGTCCGCCTGGGTCTCCGCTTTAGGGCTGGCCACTTATCGCACCCACCCGGCTCTCCCACGGCTCTCTCCTCTCTCTCTCCCCCTTCCTGCCCGAGGCCAACGCGTACATCCTGCCCCCACCACCCACATCCCCTCCTCACTTCTCCCCTCGCCATCCGATCCCGCATTCCCGTCCGGCTCACGCGTGCCGCCGGCTTGCCCCGTTCCATCGCAGACACCAAAGAGTGGCGAGAGACCGCAGTCTGGGGGAGATCTCACGGCGGATTCATCATGTATCATGTTAGTGTGTGCGGTACACTCTTGCGAAATTGTACTTTTTCTCGTTCCCCAAATTCGATCCTTGTTCTCGCACTCGACATCGTCGGAATGTTCCCAACCTACTCTGAGGCCGTGTTCAGCGTATACTTGAAGGGAAGCTGCTTCGCTCCACGAATCCCCGTGAACGGGAGTTAGACAATGGGCACCTCCTATAAAACCTCTCATTGCTTGTCAAAAGCATGTCGTTTCGACCGATGGCATCATGGGACGTGACGTCCGCGCCTGTCCGCGCGTCCCAAATCTGTCTTCAGATGTCTTCAGCCACAGACGCGGTAAATGCCGAGACAGGCCGAGATCCAGAGGGGTCGATTAGTATGATAGTAGCAGTCACTGATTTCCGACAGTCATTCATCTCAAATTTCACCTTAGCGTTGTAATCCTTGACCTTCCTCAACACTTCCCGACGCTCTCTCGAATGGCATCTGCGACCATCGAGTACTCCTCTCACGCCCCGGAGCCAGTCTCCTATCCTAGACTATCAAAACACTATCTCCTCCCTTCTCAGACGCCGGACTACCTGCGCCTTATCCTCACCGCCAAAGTCTATGAAGTGCTCAAAGAGACGCCTCTCGTGCCCGCTCCTAATCTCAGCGCCAGGATGGGAAACCAGATCTACCTCAAGCGCGAAGACCTTCAAGAGGTCTTCAGCTTCAAAATCCGCGGTGCTTACAACTTCATGGCGAGCATCCCAGAGGAAGAGAGGTGGAAGGGCGTCGTGACATGCAGTGCCGGTTAGTGTGCGTATTCCTGGCCGAGTCGCACCCCCTCGTCCACCTTCCCACCTGATTTTGGCTCATTGATCGCGACTGCTCTTAGGGAATCACGCCCAAGGCGTCGCGTTGTCGGGGGAAAAACTGGGCATTCCGTGCACCATCGTCATGCCCCAGGGAACTCCCACCATCAAAGTTCGTAACGTCTCTCGCTTAGGCGCCAAAGTCGTCCTGCACGGGCTGGATTTTGACGAGGCGAAAGCCGAGTGTGCACGACTGGCGTCTGTTCACGGTCTCATCTTCGTGCCCCCTTACGACGACCCGCTTATCATCGCTGGGCAAGGCACAGTAGGCCTGGAAATTCTGAAGCAGCTTCCAGGCTCGGAACACCTGGATGCTATTTTCGCCGCCGTGGGAGGCGGTGGCCTCGTGGCAGGCATCTGTGAATATGTGAAGAGGATTGGTGATCCGAATACAAAGGTCATGGGCGGCGAGACGTTCGACGGGGACGCCATGGCTAGAAGCTTAGAGACGGGCGAGCGGGTCACTCTCGAAGAAGTCGGTCCCTTCAGTGACGGGACGGCCGTGAGAATTGTAGGGGAAGAGCCTTTCAGGATCTGCAAGCAATTGCTAGATGGCATCGTCAAAGTGGACAATGATGAAATATGTGCGGCTATAAAAGATATCTTTGAAGGTGAGGCGTCTCCGTGATGAACTATTATGTTCTTTTGAAGTCTTTCATCCTCCGCCCACCATCCACAGAAACAAGGTCCATAACAGAACCAGCAGGTGCCCTGGCAGTCGCCAGCCTTAAACGCTATATCATCGATAACAATCTTCTTGGCGCGGGCAAAAAATTCGTCGCTGTGGTGTCAGGCGCCAACATGAATTTTGACCGTCTTCGGTTCGTTGCGGAACGTGCAGAGCTTGGTGAGGGCCGTGAGGCCCTGTTAAGCGTCGAGATTCCCGAAAGACCCGGCAGGCAAGCATATTAATATGCACCAACTCATTATTCTGCTTTTGTCCTAACCTCAGCGTCATTGATGTACAGCTTCTTCGCGCTACACACGATCATTCATCCTCGTGCTGTGACCGAATTTATTTATCGATACAATTCTCCGAGTCGGGCCCACGTTTTCTTGTCGTTTAATCTCGAGACGCATTCACGTGCCAAGGAGGTTGCGAACGTCTTGTCAGCTTTGGAGCAACAGGACATGAAGGCTTATGATATCAGTGACGACGAGATGGCCAAAAGTCATGCACGATATATGATTGGCGGTACCTCAGGGGTGGCAAACGAGCGTCTCTTCAGATTCCGTGAGTCTCCTTGGGCTGGCGCTTTTTCCAAAGAATAACTTGATGCGGCGCCTTCGGTCCGATTTAGAATTCCCTGAACGGCCTGGCGCCTTGCGTAAATTTCTGTCATCGCTTCAGAAAGGATGGAATATATCACTGTTCCATTATCGCAATCACGGAGCTGGTATGTCTTCATGAAGAGTCAGCATAACATTATGATCGATCTTGGGTTGACGTATATTCAGATCTCGGCAAAGTCCTCGCAGGCATTCAGGCTCCTCCAGAAGACTCTGCGCAATTTGACCTTTTTCTGAAGGAATTGCGGTACCCTTTTGTTGAGGAAACCGATAATATGGTATATAAGCGGTACTTACGGAACCCTAGCTAGTCCCCCGAATTGGAAAGATACTTATCTTTTACCGTCGTATCGGGGCTGACGTCGATGAGGAGAAATCGATAGATCATGAGAACAGCTTGAACGTACCACACTAATGTAATCTAGTACAAGATGATCCTGATCGTACAAGGGCCGTGGAGTACAACAACAATGTATCGAAAGCAAGTAAGCAAAAAATCAGCAAGACGTGGACGAGAGAGCAGAGAGAAAGCCGGGCGCAACACTATCCGTACAGGACGATCCAAGATGCTCCAATTCACGCCACGGCCACCTGTTTCATCGATGTCCACGACGCCTTGAAGTACGCCTGGAATGTCCTTGAGATCGAGCGATTAGAACGATGACTGCTGGTGGAAGACCGTGGCGCTGCTGCGACCTCAGAATGACGGCTGACTCGGCTGATCTTACCCGACTTCGGCCTCGTGCGACGTCCCTCCACAGCCTCGATGGCATTGAGCGCAAGCGCAGTCGTGAGGCCACGATTGCCGATCTTGACTCCCGAAGACCCATACTTGTACACCCAGCCTGCCTCCCACCCCCCATCCTCGCACTGCAGAGGTAATAGTGATCGAAGATCGATCTCGTCCCGCACGCCCACTGCTGCGCATGCCAGTATACGCATCGCCAGCGCCAGCGCGTCCCCTGGTGCCCCTATGCGCTCCTTGACCCGTTCGGCGAACAAAGATTTCAACGATGCGTGCAAGGCGGCGTCCTTGGTTGATTGCAAGAGCCGGCTGAGGAAGAAAAGGAAGCATTCGCCTGTCTCGTAGTATCGCGTTCCATCGAGATACGCGCGGTGCTTGAGGACACCACGCACCCACTCTAGTGTCGGTGCTAGCTCCGAACCACGACCCCGGGAGTAGAAAAGGCTCAAGACGTTGACACAGACGATGGGATCTATCCTCGGTCGTTCATGATCGAAATATGTCTGAGAGGCGTTGTAAGTCTCATGATCATCTCAAGAATAAAGATAAGGAAAGTCGCGCGTACTTGTATTATGCCATCCTCATCACGGTACTGAAGCATCTCATCCATTACTAGATTGGCAGTCCCATCATCGCGCTGCGTCGCAAGCGTTCCAATAGATGTCGTATCGAGATCGAAAGGGAACTCCTCCGTTGTGAGGAGCGGTTGATCTGCAAGCACAATAAATTAGGTTTATAGAAAATGCGATGCGACGGGACTGAGACGTACCTCGGAAGAAATTCCATTTGTTCGGATGGTCCATATAATTGACGAGTGTCCTATCGAATGAAAATGAGCCAAATGTTGACGGTAAGCTTTAAGCACTCTTACCTATCCTTCGTGGCCTCGAGAATAAGGAGCTGGGCAAAATTATCACCGATTTCGATGCCCGTATTGGTCTCCGACTCCAAATGGCCGGCTCGCGCTTGGAGAAACTCTCGTCCTCGCCGTATGGGGTCGCTGATCAAGTAGCGCAGGGCTCGCTTGACGTTGTCCATACTGTCAAAGACGATTCCATGAAGGCCGAGAGACCGTGCAGAGAGGACATTGTCCCCCTTGTCATCGACGAAGACGGTATCGTTTGGATCGGCGCCGATCTTTCCGAGTACCAACTTGTAGAACCCAAGGTGTGGCTTTCGAACCCCAGCATCTGCAGACGTGAATATATCGTCAAAAACGGCCCAGTCGGCGTCCTTAGTCCGAAGAACTGCGTAATCGGGCTGAGAGATGTTGGACATAGCGAAGACGCGCAGCGTCCCGTGTGATTCCGCCTTGAGGGCGCGGATGAAGTGAATGAAGTCAACATTAGGCTGCAATGAGTCCCGAGCTTGTTGGAATGCAAGTCCGACTTCCTGAGGATCGATGGAGAACTGGTTGCCTATGAGGCGGTAGCAGTCGCCCTGTGAAATGTGCCCGGTCTCGTATTGGTGCCAGGTCGTCGATGACAGTATGCTCTTCATGGTGCGGGGGGAGATCGAAGTGGACGTCTTCGGAGACCATGTGAAGAGAACATCCCCGATGTCGAGGATGAGATTCGAGCATCTGGGTATCATGGACATATTGAGTCGAGACGGAACGCGGGTTGCTCTGAGATGTACAGCAAGGAGACGTATTTAAGCACCAGGGCATATTGCGGGGGACACATACGATGATAAGCAACATCGTGCCTAACCAGAAAAGTGACGTTTCAGCGTGAATATTCAGGCAAAATTGGCCAAGGCAGCCTCGTGCTGTTGCGATGCCCTAAGGGGGGATGCTGGAGCATGTCGGCATTGGAGTTTCGCGAGCACAAGCCGGCGCAGTAGGACGTAAATCCGCTAGATCCTACGAAAGATCACAGCATGTTTGATTTCCGATCCGACCAGGAACGCAAGCTAAAGTAAAGAAGAAATCCTGTCCGACTGAACTCACAAGGGGAGGGGAGACCTGGGGGGAGACGAGGAGTCGGAGCCGGCATGACCTGGAATTATCTAACGTAAGTATTCGTAATTACACGCCTATTGTAATTCATTGAGAAGACGGATGTGAAGTCTTGTAAAGTTTGGAGTCCGTATGCCTCCGACGTCAGACTCGGGCACTAGTCTCGTGTGCCAGATCCTGTCTCCCCTGTCTTCCCTGGGCCTGAGCGCTCGACTCTGCTTGACCTCACCGTGTCGATCTGTTGATCTACACACGAATACATGTTCAGCTGTCGAGACCTCGAGAGCTGCTCTGGGCTTCACCACCGTTACAAACAGATTCCATTGACGCAATATCTGCTCGAGGCTCCTAGCGTTCTCGCCCTGTCGTATCGTAGTTACAACCAAAGACCTGCAAAGACGCGGTTCTGGTACCGCCTAGCCGCCGCGTCGTGCATGCCGTACTTGCTCCATGGATCCATCAAATTCCTTTTTTTTTCCAGAACTCTGTCTATCGATGCGCCTCCTACTGGAAGGCAAACTTCTCCGGTCACCGGTTATGTTTGATTTTGCCTCATGGACAGAATGCGGGTCGTCACCGGACAACTCAAGCCAAGTACCAGTCACAAGGATTAGCTTCCAGTAGCGATTCGCGACCTGCCTTCTTTTGCCACACATACTCTTTGGTCCAATCGATACAAAGCCCGCCCTAGCCCACCTCGATTTCTCCAATTCACTAGGTTCTTGAAGCGAAATTGCCATCGGCTGCTCACTACTCTCGTAAAGGCGAGCACGCATCTTCGCACCGACAATCCCCGAGGACAGATACCTGCAGACATTCTTCATCCAACGTGTTATCTCTGTCTCGGAAAATCGAACAGGCACTAATCAGTCCACTGCACCTTTCCCCCCCTTCGATGTTCTCTGGCGCCAACTGTACCTCCACCGGGGCCCGGACTTTGCGGCCGTGTGGTTCCTATCGATGGCCATAAGATCGATCATTTAGTACGCCCTTTATTTTTTGGGTATCTTTATAATCTGACCTTATACCGACTGAACTGGCTCGAAGATGAGAGATGGCGCTTGTAGAATCAGTGAGCGAAGGTTATTAGACCATAGCCGGAATGACAATAGCAAGTGGTATTCCGACGTCGTTCTTTCGATTGCAACTCGCTTACTTATGATATTCCAACTGAAGCTGCCGAAATTCTCGTCAAGTGAAGATATTTGCGAAAGTCGACTCGGCAGCTCAGCGCAAATTAAATGCAAGTTGAGACGATGCGAAGCCCTGCGAGGACATGCAGTGGGCATGCCTAGCTATGCCTGGACTGCGGATTCTTTATCACCGGCTTCGAAAATGACAGATCGTATTTGCTTATAAGCGCTCTACACTGCTTTACAAGCTCGGTGGTCTTGACTCTTCGTTACTGGTCTCTGGTCGGAACCTGAATGAAGGCCAGACGGACCACGGTCACCAGGTCGACATGGCCATGACGTACTTGAACGGCGAAGGCCTCGCGGCTTGCCTAGGTATGTAAGGCTATATACTACGAAAACACCTCATAATCATCTGACGATGGGATCCCTTTCCATAGCATAGATGCAACATTGGCTAGCAGGACAAGACCCGTTTTAATAGAAACAAACGTATTCTCATCCTTCGGCGAAAGCAACTTTCGAGCGCTTGGGCAGGGGTCGCTGACCGGTCTCAACTACGTGCTCGGTAGCATTTGTCAAAGTCGACCCGCATGTAATACATAGACTAAGACTGCCGGGAGATGATAGCTGTTGTGAGTCGGATACGATTATACTAGTGCGTTTACTCCAGCTAGCTCGTGGGACCCTGTTCTCCCCGTATGCGGTCTTCGAGCGACATAACTCGCTAGTTGTTGCCCCGATTGCACTGACTACGTGATTTTCATATAGACCGCAGGCGGATTGATTCATATGATAGGCTTGTCTTGATTACACGTCTTGTCCAACATTCGAATCATACCATCAGTCTAAAATAGAACCAGTGAGGGATGCCACCACTTCATGGATCCCTGACGCCTAAGAGCTTCTCTTATATCTTCCTCAAGCAAGGAATCTGCCTTGACACCATTGCCATGGCCAGCTTCAGATTTCGTACGTTCCGTAAGGTGTCAATGGGTGAGTACTCATCTGCGGAACACGCTTCCTATTGTAGTATGCAAGAAGTGACCCTCATGTTTGAAAACATCATTTTAGCGTTAATATCACTCTTGTGCTTATCCTTGATCACTATGTCTTTGATATTAGTGCATTTTTTCGATCCGAAGACCTATTTGTGCGTGCTGGTATCTGTTCCCGGATGTTCCCTATTGGCTTCCCTGTGCGCGTGCGTTTTTCCCAAATTATTGCCGCCATGCTATTTTGTCGCCTGACCACACGTATTCAGAGTCTTCATTAAATATGTGGTCAAGAATAGGCTTCCGCAAAGAGTGGCTGTTGAATGCGTGTGGACGGCGTGTCTGATCCCCTTCCATCTCGGTATATCAATGGCTAGCTTGCTTTATCAAGGGACTTGAGTACTCACATATGTTTCTTGTAGTCCTCAGCATGTTCGCTGTTGGGATAAGCGCCAACTTCTCGAGCGGTCCTGCTCACGTACCCTTTGTCATCGTCGAAGTCCTCTGCTGGCTGGTGACCGTACTTCGTGAGCCCCTTCTCATTTTCTAGATTGTGGCCCAAATTGAAATAACCCCTCTACAGTCACGACCTACTCCATCACGATCGTCTCGCTCTCGATTCTCACAGCGCTGACACTCGATAAAGACGTTTGGATTCGTGACATCACTAGTTCTCCATCGCCATTTCCTTTGCAGCACATTCTTGCGACCTTGATGCGAACTACGTCTCTTGAGGATGATACCAGAAGTCAAAGGCACCACTGCTTGCCGGGATGCACATGTACTGAAAAGCAGTTGCCTTCGTCGCCACCGCTGGCTATACCTGCCATCGGGCAGGGCCTGAACGTTCGCATGGAGAGGGCGCCTGCACGAAGCAACGTGCCGGTGCGTGTCCCCACGGCCATGGAACGGCACAATTCCATCGTGATTGGGTTTGATGTCTGAACAGAGCATGGCAGACAGTCTACAGTCGTTTGCATGTCATTCTGCAGTCGTGCAGCCAAAAATGTTGTTTGTTCTGGCCAAATACGTTGTCACGCAGCCCAGACAACACAGCCTTGTGATTCGGCAACTTGTGGATTGATACGAAGAACCTCATAGACAGTTCTAACGGAGTATTTGGCCAGAGCAGCACACTCAGAGGGAGATTTTTGAAGATCAATATTCCAGGTAGCTATATTGTGGTGCATCTCAGTGGAGAGATTGGGGGCCATGGTGGGCGTTGCAAACAAGGGGCACCAACCAAGGCTCTGCCAGTGTCCGCTGGCAGAGGAATGACGCAATCTGAATAAGCGATGTGACTATCTGTGACTATTTGGTCGAAGCGAACAACATTTCTGGCTGCACGACTGCAGAATGACATGCAAGCGGCTGTAATGTACTCGATCTTTGACTCGAGAGTCGCACACTAGACTAATTATGATTGGCTCTCAACTGCGCCGGAAAACCCGATATTCCAACCCAATAGCCCTTGTATATTCCATGCATATGGCGAATGTATGCTTTTGCATGGTCTAGTCTCAAATGCCTTCAAAGTCGGCTTGTTATAGTTCATATGTCACGATCCGTACTCAAGCGCTCACTTTCGATCGAATCTACCAAAATGCTCACCATATACATCCGCTTACTTCTTGTACAATATATTTTTGATGTCTTTGGCATCGCCATAGACAGGTTTGTCAAGACACTCAAAGTGAGTGGGGACCAGAGGGTGCCCAAACGCCGTGATATAAGACCGCTTTGCAGATGATAAAAACAATGTTGAACATGCGTTGGCAACCCGCACTCCAGAACCGTATTCATTTACCAACGGAGAATTTGTTGGTTACAGTGCAAATAGAACCAGTCATAAAACGTGCGATCACCACATGGTATGAGCATGGCAGCGAGAAAGTCTTGACTGAAGAAACGTAACGAATCCACCGGAGCCTATCAAACTCTGACCATAGACTTCTGGGGCGCGAGGGAATGATATTTTTGCCAGCGTTATGGTCTCAAGATACGAAGCGCAGATATATTGTTCCGACGACTATCATACGTGCGATGGAGGGTGAGAGGATAAGTAGGATGTAGAGGGGACGGGCATACCTGTACGTAGCCTCAAAACAATGGCAGAGATATCCTTTAATGATGTGTCCCCTCCTGTGGCTTGACGCCGCTATACACGTTATCTGCGATCACATAGGCGGTGAAGGCGACGAGGGCAATGCCGAAGCCGGGGAAGAAGTTGGCGAACATTGCACGATTGGAGAAGACCGGATGCTTTCGCCAGGCGTCACGCTTGGCCCATGGGTCACGAAAGAGGGAAGGTGGGGACATGATTGTTGCTGCAGAAGGTTGGATATCAGCGAGGATGATTGGACGAATGTGCAACTTACACCAGTGGCGTCGGCCAGGAGGTTAGTGATCGTAGTGAGCGCCAGGTGGAGAGGATGCCCGAGGGCGTGACATGCTTTAGGGCCGTCCTGGAGGCACTTCGCCACAGTCACAGCAACTGCCAACGTTCGTTCCCCATCATTCTCCTCTCCTTCTCCTCCTCTCCTCCATACTGTTTTGCTTCCTCAATTGCATTCTTTGACACACAACGATAGCATGATCACCCACCGCGCCACTGCTCTCGCGTCTCAGACCGCGCACAATCATTCCCATGGTACGAGTAGCCGATTCGCATCCAATGGAAATGGGAATGGGAATGGGAATGACAACGGGTACGGGAACGGCGACGATGCGGACGACTCTCCCATGAGCGAGGATGGTGACGACGTCCCTCTGGTGTGTACTATCCCATTCTCTGACTTTGGCTCAAGTTCACACTTTCAGACATTAGTCTCAGACAACTCAGGCGAAGTCCGAACCCTTGACGCCCGACGTGCGCTCCCTCAAGCGTAAGAAACGAAACCATCAAGCATCCTCGTCTAGCGATGACGACGAGGATGATATTCCCCTCGCCTCCTCCCCTCCTAAGCACCGCAAACCTCCAGCTTCGCTCGTGTCCGGCGCCATGCAGTCAATCACACCGGCTAATTCCGTTAACGGAAATGGGAAGGCGAGGTCCGTGTCGAGTAACGGGGCGAGTGGCGAGGCCAATGCGTCCTCGCAAACTCGAGCCGCATCGACTAGCAAGCCCAAGACCGCGCCTAAATACAAGGCCAAGAAGGAGGAGTCCGATGATAGTTTTGGTAGCGAAGATGACAAGCCCATTGCGAAGAAGGTGCCTGCGAAGAAGAAGCGGAAGGTCAAAGACGAGAGTGACGACGAGGGTGGGGCCGCTGGGAAAAAACAACCGACAAAAAGAGGACAAAAGCGGGTTAAGGAAGAGGAGGGTTCGGAGACAGAAACTCCCCAACCGAAGAAGCGGGGAAGGGTCAAGAAGGAGGAAGGGAATGGCAACGACGAGAAGAAGGGTAAGAGCAGGAGCAAGAAGGAGGAAGAAGAAGAGGAGGTGTACAAGTGGTGGGAGCAGAATGATGAGCAGGAGGTGAACGGAGATGGTACACAGAAATGGACGACCTTGGAGCACAATGGAGTCATTTTCCCTCCAACGTACGAGCCCCTGCCCAGAAATGTGAAGATGAAGTACAATGGTATGTTTTTGTTTTGGCGTTACACGATATTGAACTTACTTGCGCGTTCGGCTAGGACAATCTGTCGACTTGCTACCAGCCGCTGAGGAGGTCGCTGGCTTTTATGCAGCTATGCTAGAGACTGACCATGCTCAGGACGATGTATTCAACAAGAATTTCTTCAACGATTGGTTGAATGTTCTCAAGAAAAACCCTCCTGTTCGTCTCATCGTTTTCTGTATTTTTTCGCAACTCATCTTGGCATACGATAGCGTGACGGCACGAAAATTACAGCCTTTGAGCGTTGCGATTTCCGGCCAATGTGGGAATATTTTGAGGATGAGAAGGCGAAGAAGAAAGCACTGAGTACTGCAGAGAAAAAAGAGCTGAAGAAGAACAAGGATGAGGCTGAAGCCAAATTTACGACTTGCTTACTCGACGGACGCAAAGAAAAAGTGGGCAATTTTAGGGTTGAACCTCCAGGTCTTTTTAGGGGACGAGGAGATCATCCTAAGAAGGGCGCGTTGAAGGTTCGTCCCTGCGTGTATTTGTTAGCGCAGGTCACGAAACGTCGCCACCTATGCAGTTACGTGTCCGACCTGAGGATATCACCATCAATATTGGTGCCAACTCTTCGGTGCCAGTGCCCAATGTTCCTGGCAAGTGGAAGTCAGTTATTCACGACAATACCGTGACATGGCTCGCGACATGGGTCGAGAACATCAACCAGAATCACAAGTACGTTTTTCTGGCCGCTGGTAGCTCGCTTAAGGGCCAAAGCGACATGTCAAAGTTCGAGAAAGCTAGGGAGTTGAAGGTTGGCCTCCCCCTATTTATGTCCGTCGTGCGTATTGGGATCTCAATCTTGTCTTAAGAAACACGTCGAGCGGATCCGACAAGATTATCATGCGGACTTGAGGAACAAAGTCATGGGCCTCAGGCAGCGGGCGACAGCCATGTATTTCATCGACGTGCTTGCCCTCCGAGCAGGCAATGAAAAGGGCGAGGATGAGGCGGATACAGTTGGCTGCTGCTCTCTGCGGTGCGAACATGTCACGCTCGAAGAGCCAAACTTTGTCGCTTTCGACTTCCTCGGAAAGGACTCTATCCGATATTACAACCGTGTCACCGTTCTCCCTCAAGTGTTCAAGAACATTCGTCTTTTCAAGCAAGGAAAGAACGACGACGACGGGCTCTTCGACCGTGTTAATGTGAGTATAATATCAAGCTTGTCAGTCTCTTCATTGATCTGACTGCGCGTATAATGCAGCCGTCAAGCTTAAATAAACACCTGCAGTCATATATGAAGGGGCTCAGCGCGAAGGTCTTCCGTACTTATAACGCATCAATCACTTTCCAACGTCAGTTGGACGAGGGTACCCCGGAAAACGGGACGGTCCAAGAGAAGCTCAATCACTACAATCATGCCAACCGCATGGTTGCAATACTGTGCAACCATCAACGGGCTGCTCCGAAAACGCACGAGCAGTCCATGTCGAGGATGAAGGACAGGGTAAGTATTCGGTGTTTCTACTCAAGTTATGCCGTCTTCAACCTACCCGTGTCTTCACTCAGTTGCGTGGCTTCAAGTACGATCGCATGAAGTTGCGTCACGGCCTATTCGCTATTGACTCGAAGTACAAGAAGAATAAGAAGTATGTCGACGATGAGTCTGATTTAGATGACGACGCTGTCGCAGACCACGAGGAGACGATGAAAGCGCTACAGATCGAGAAGGCGCAGAAGAAGTTTGCCAAGGACAACGAGAAGCTCTTGATAGAGGGGGAGCAGCCGCAGGCCGATTCTGTGTTAAAGGAGAAGATCAAAGACATCGAGGAAGAGTTCAAGCGACTGAAAAAGGAACGGGGCACAGGTAGGGCCGCATTTAAACGAGAGAGGCCAGCAGAGAAGATAGAAGAGGCGATCGAGAAATTGGATGAGAAGATCAAGACCTTCAAGTTGCAAATGGTGGATAGGGAAGCGGGAAAGGAGGTTGCGCTTGGGACGAGGTATGCCCGTGCCAATCTACTGATGCCTCGTACTGACGCTGGCGTCGCATCTTTAGTAAGATCAATTATTTGGATCCTAGGTACGATAATGTCTGACCTCTCCAATATATGTATATTCATCTTTGCCGCAGAATCACTGCTGCTTGGTGCAAAAAGTACAGTGTCCCGATAGAGAAGATTTTTTCAAAGACGTTATTGACCAAATGTGAGTCAACGTCTTCACCGTGTCTTTGGCCGCATCTCACTCTCCGTCTCAGTCCCGTGGGCAATGGAAGTAGACGACAAGTGGAAGTTCTAGATGATTAGTATGGGAGCACGTTGAATGTAGACCAGATTGGCTTTGCACTAGGGACACTTTGGGGACATGCGGCATATTGTTTATTTGGTTCCCATCATTGCATATTTCGAGTGTTCTTATATTGTCCCGTAGATGAGAACTTGCGCAATTCAAAGATTCATTTTTTCTCAGAACTGTTAGGTCAAGGCCCCCGACAATCTAGCTAACTTATGTGCGAGCATACGCTGGGGTCCTCATTGTGAGGATCACGTGTGGGGTCGGATAGACGCAGGTGAGCTGTCCCTCAACTCAGCTATCATGAGTAGACGAGTCTCACCTTCCACAAAACACAATAGGCCTTATGTCGACACTCCCAAGGATGCTCAAGACAAGACAACTATTGTCTCGGTAGCTCAACCTGGAGGTCAAGAGAGCGAGCAAACAAAAAAGCGGAAGAATATGTTTGAACGGACGCTATGGACATTCATCATGATTGGTGGATTCCTTAGTACGCGTCACCTCTCCTCCTTTCAGAGCGAATATATTTAACAGATCTTCAGCTTTTCTAGCTATGGGACACGCTTATATGGTCATTCTCGTCATGATATGTCAGACGCTTGTCTATCGCGAAGTTACTCGGCTGTTCACACTCACAAGGTCAAAACCGGATGAAGACTCTGGGAAAGACCCATGGAGTAAAACCCTTAATTGGTACTTCTTTGCTGTCACGAACTATTTTCTCTACGGAGAAAGTATAATCTATTACTTCAAAGTAAGATAATCTCGTCTCAAACTTCCTGTGGTACTTGCTCACAATTTCCGGACAATTTACGATTCGCAGCATGTCGTCTTCGCAGACGCTAATCTCATGCCATTCGCTACGAATCATCGGATCATCAGTTTCACTCTCTACACGATCGGGTTCATGGGCTTCGTCATGTCCTTGAAGAAAGGATATCTGAAACAGCAGTTCGGTCTATTTTGCTGGGTGCACATGAGCTTGCTACTTGTCGTAGTCTCCAGGTACATCACTCCCTCTCTGAAACCTCAAATATCAGCTCACTCGTGTCGCCAGTCACTTCATCATCAACAATATTCTCGAAGGCCTTATTTGGTTCTGGGTACCCGCGTCGCTCGTTATATGCAATGACGTCTTTGCTTACATCTGGGGCATCACATTGGGCCGTACACCGCTCATCAAACTTTCGCCAAAAAAGACCGTCGAAGGCTTCGTTGGCGCTTTCGTGAGCACCATCATCTTTGCCGTCTTCTGGGGAATGTACTTCAGCCAGTTCAACTACATGATCTGCCCTGTACATGACCTGGGGGTCAACGTCTGGAGTGGAATGCAATGTATTCCGAATCCTGTCTTTGTCTGGAGGGAGTGGGTTATTTGGAAGCCCGTCGCTGCCTTTTTCTCGACCCTCGTAAGTCCTCATCACTCTCTTCAAAATTATATGAATCCCAACCTTCGTGCATGCAGATCCGCAGCGAAGTCACAACTATTCCGTACACGCCGTACCAGATTCACTTATTCTTCATGGCATGTTTCGCCTCGCTTGTCGCGCCTTTCGGAGGATTCTTTGCGTCGGGCTTCAAGCGTGCTTTTGATATCAAAGACTTCGGACACAGTATTCCAGGACACGGTGGAATGACGGATCGCATGGACTGCCAGTGAGTTGTTACCTCTATTGTGAAAATATTGATCTTATATCATTTGCATAGATTTCTGATGGGCGTTTTCACATATGTCTACTATAGTAGTCTCATCCGTGAGCACCATGTGACTGTCGGATCAGTGCTCCAGACAATTGTCAGCGGGCTCACTGTTGATGAGCAACTTGAGCTCATCCTGGACTTAAAGCGATACTTGGAAGGGCAGGGTGTCGTCGTACCTAGATGAGCGTTAAACCTAGTAGTCGGCAGTGCGAAATTTCACAATACAGTATCAGACCAGCTTAGCATCGCTTTCCCATACGATATCATTGTAATTCACGAAGAAACGAATATGGTCGCGTTCCGTCGTGTACTTATCAGGACGATATCATTGATAATGAATGTTGAACGACGGAGAGATTCATGTGTGAAACAAATATTGAACAATACATTTGCAATATAGAGCAATAGGAAGTCAAGTGGTGTCACCTCTCCCATAGCCCATAAACCAGCACCTAGTGTGCACAACTACCACATCTTTATTGATTCACACGAATCCAGCGTGAGAGCTGTGCTCTTACGAAGCACATACAGATAAACAGTGGGAAAATAACAGAGGCGCACCACATCATAGCGGGGCCCATCCTTCGACTAGTCGATGTAAGATGGTAGCGTCGTTATCGATGGTACTGTTCTGTATCTCGAGTGTCGTCGTTGGCAGAGGTATGTAGAGGTATAATATTCATACCACAAAATAAGCCTCGCTAGGCGGCTTGGTATTCTGACCTGACGACAGTTTTGAACTCACACAGGGTACAAGACTGGCTTAATTTTATTTGGAAGGCATGGCGAGCATGAGCAAACATAGACGATAGCAGAAAGTGGATAAAAACAGCCGAAAAAATGTGAGAGGGGTTGCTTCATGAACGAGGCTTTTCCTGTTCGGAAAGGTGAAGATGATTCAAGAAAGACAAAGCAGATGGCCGTACCTTTTTCTCCTTCCAGAGAGCAAGGAGGCCTACACCAGACACCTTCACAACCTTGAAACGAACACCTGGAATATCACCCTTGGCCTTCCCGCGACGACCGAAACCAGAGATGAGGACTTCGTCGTTCTCATCGACAAAGTTCAAACAACCATCGTTCTGTCGCACCACCATGAACGAGCAGCTCGTAGAAGACGCGATCATAGCACTCACCGGAACGAATGCGGTGACTTTCTTCCCGTTTTTGATCAGTTGCACACGGACACATTTGCGGATGGCAGAGTTAGGTTGCTTGGCCTCGACGCCGACCTTCTCAAGAACGATACCCTTAGCATGTGATGAACCACCAGTAGGAGACGTCTTGTAGAAGTTCCCAAGAGCCCGCTTCTTATAGGATTTGTCCGCCTATCGTCCCCAATTAAATGTCCATTGTATCAATAAATAAAAGAAACTCATTAACTCAAGAGGAAAGTAAGACTCACCCAACGGTTTTCGCGGCGCCCGTTCCTGAGCTTGCGTGCTGCTTGCAATCCGCGGGGTTTGTTGGCTAGAGCGTCCAGCAGCAGGGATCAGCAACGACAACTAAGGTATGGTTTGAGGACGACATACAGCCCATTCTTGAGGTCGTCGATGTCGACTTGCGATATGAGGTAGTGGGGATGGCGCAGGGTGGCGGAAACTTTATTTCCACAACTGTTACAGTTGTGGCTGTTGCCGGCACGCCGAGCTCCGATACAGGCCGCGCTTCTTCTTACTTGTCCTAACCTCAGACCTGGGTTCAAGCGGGTGGTTGGGGTTTGATTGGGTTCACACGCTTCGGTGACGCTGTGTTCGAAGCATCGGGCTTCTGTACACGCTCTACGGTCACTGTCCTTGCTCCTCGTCTCCATGCTGGTTTCAAATTTTGCTCTTATTCTAGCCGCGTTAACCACTTTCTCATCGTGGGTGGGGGTATCAGCCTTCTATCTTCCTGGCGCTGCGCCCCATGATTACAGACACGGCGAGACAGTAGACTTGTTTGTCAATGCACTCACGCCCATGCTGGCTGCCGCTGATAATGCAAAGCTGGTACGTGGATATCGCTTTGACTGAGACGTGTCTTCTGTTAAATGCTATGTCCAGAAATCTCTAATTAACTGTATGACGACACCGCATTTCGTTTCATCTCATGTGTCTGACCAGTATCCAGATGACTATTATAATCCTAGATTTCGATTTTGCGAACCAGAAGGCGGTCCAGCAAAGCAGCCCGAGTCTCTCGGGTCTATTCTCTTCGGAGACAGGATCTTCAATTCTCCGTATGATGTAACGGCATTCTTATGTACGTTTCGCTCCTTGGGAGTTAATTGCCTGCACCCTCCAGATCCGCATGTTGCAGGACAATGCTACATGCCAAACATTATGTGTATCACATATTCCCGCTGAGGACACAAACTTTATCAACGACCGGATAAAGGAGGATTACGCTCTCAATTGGCTAGTTGATGGCCTTCCGGCTGCTGAAATGAAGATCGACATGAAGACAGGCGACCTTTTTTTTGACATGGGTTTCAACCTCGGCAACGACGATCCTCCGTATCACGAACAGCCTGCTCTAAATAATCATTATGATATCGTCTTGAGGTGCCAGCCACGATATAGATATTCATTATGTATTTATTGACGCACACTCAATTTTAGGTATCACTCTCCCAGTCCAGATGTCTACCGAGTTGTTGGCGTACTTGTTTGGCCCTCGAGGTAAACGCCACATCAATCACTGTCCACTCTTCATCTAAAATAGCCTAGCCGTGGTGGTCCTCAGGATGGCGCTCTCGAGTGCGATGCCGACGTTTCGCCGCTCGTTCTTCGAGAGGGCGAGGCAACAACAGTGCGATACACGTATCGTGTAATGTGGAACGTACGTCATGCACCCTTGCGTCTTTTGACGCTGCTGACCTGGGATTGTGCGGACACAGGAGTCATCTACGCCATGGGTATGCCAAGACATGCCCATAGTTATATTGCAACACTGACACTTTGTTCTTAGGCTACACGTTGGGATAACTACCTTCATATCTTTGATCCTCGAATTCACTGGTTCAGCTTGATCAACTCTCTTGTCATCGTCGTCTTCCTATGTGTAATGGTATCTATGATTCTATACCGCAGTGTCTCGAGAGATGTGAGTCTGTCTGTATATTTGATCCACTTGATTTCTAATGAACATCTACAGATTTCTCGCTATAATGCAATTGATTTGAGCGTAGGTGTTCTCTAGTCAATTTCTAGGGCTTAAAAGATAAGACAAATGTGTTGCAGGAAGATGTACAAGAGGATTGGGGTTGGAAATTGGTACACGGTGAAGTCTTTCGAACACCTCGCAATCCCATGGTCCTGTCGGTCCTCGTCGGAAATGGTGCCCAGTTATGTGCTATGGTCGGTGTGACGCTTGGTAAGCTCTATCATTTTCTGATGAAACATTGGGGTGATGATCCCGAATTCGCTCCAGTTTTCGCACTGTTAGGCTTCCTCTCGCCCTCGAATAGAGGATCTCTAGCTACCGTTATGATGGTCTGCTGGACATTATTTGGCGGGTAAGTGTAGTATGCTTTCTGCACTATGGATGTTACACGGTCCTTACAGGATCGGCGGATATATATCGAGTCGTGTCTATGCGTCCATTGGGGGCGGCGACCGGCGAAAAAACGCGTTCCTCACGGCGACCATTCTTCCATCGTAAGTTTATTGTCTACGTGAAATCGGCCAACATGCTAACGAGTGAACAGATTTATATTCGCTGTTGTTTTCTTGTTGAATTTGTTTCTCATCACTGCAGGCTCTTCGGGAGCTGTACCATTCGGTAGATGTTTTTCGTGTCTCAGACTTTCATGCGTTAATTTCGTGTACTTTGCACATTCAGGGACAATGCTTCTGATCGTGCTTCTTTGGTTCGGTGTCTCTGCTCCCCTTTCTGCAATCGGCGCATATTTCGGTTCCAGACACGGAGTACGCTGATGATGTTTAATCTCATCCAAGACAAACTCATACGAAACTCTTAGGCCATTGCCCATCCAGTTAGAGTGAATCCAATTCCCCGACAAATCCCTCCCCCTCCAAAATATCTTAAGCCATGGGTAAATAGTATTTTGTACCTTTCCAGTTCGAAAGAGAGCTAACAAATGGATAGGCTTCGACCCTCCTTAGTGGCATTCTTCCCTTTGGTGGGTCTTCTGGGAGTCTCTTCGACAGATACTTGCTGAGCCCAAACTAGGCGCTGCGTTCGTTGAGTTGTACTTCGTCCTCTCAAGTTTGTTCGCATCCCGCGCATACTACGCCTTCGGCTTCCTCGCGTTGACTGCGGGAGTTGTGGCTCTTACGACTGCAACTGTGACCATCCTCTTTACATACTTCATCCTCTGTGCTGAAGAGTATAGGTTTGTCTTACTGTCTGCACTCCGGACAGTGTATGAAAGTCTTACACTCTCGTAAGGTGGCACTGGCGTGCATTCCTCACCGGAGGTGGCAGCGCGTTTTGGCTACTTGCTTATGGAATATTCTATTGGGCCTCACGTTTGTCGCTCGACTCTTTCTCCGGCGTGGTCCTCTACCTAGGCTACCTCTTCCTCCTTGCCCTTCTCGACTTCCTTGTGACAGGTACGTTCAATGAGATTTTCAATGAAGACGAAATTGACTTTTGATATGATAAAGGAACGATTGGATTCTTGGCAACCTACTGGGCAATGCGCAAATTGTATGGGTCGATCAGGATCGACTGAGCTTCAGGATGGAGTATGATTGTCAATGCCTTGTGCGGAAGTGTCATATAACAGTACACCTAGCTTGATGTAGATGATGAGCAGCCATTCAATTCTCTGAGTCTGTCATGGAGGGGAAAGAGGCCGCACTATGTGCTTGAATCTGGTCATTTTGCTCGAACGAGTACGGCCAATACAACATCAAGCTAGAGACATAATTGCATGTTTGGACTTCCCTGCGCGCAGAATGACGAGATTGCCGTCGATCAGGTCTCGAGAGCTTAGGACCTGGCCCGAGACAATGGCCATACCGTTGAGATAGAGACCGCCCGAAGACACAAGGGCCCTCGCGGCACCTGTGGCAGTGGACGACTGATCTTAATATGAGAAAAAAAGGTACTGAAATCACGCACCGTTCGATGGAGCCAGCTTGTAACGAACAGCCAGATGCGCGACTGGTACGCCGAATATCTCGTTACTGTTGACAAAATGAAGGCGTGTGTCTCCTCTAAATGCGTGCAGCACATCGTTCGCAAGGATGTCTGTCAAGTCGGTCTCAAAGAGCACTTTAGTTGCGGCTTGGGCACGTTTCACGCCTTGAACTGCAAGACACCGGTCATTCCCTAAACACTGTAGAGTCTGAACTCGGCTGTACCTGTATGCACAAGCTCAGTCACTTCGTCAGCGAGTATCTTCTGAGCTATTCGCTGTTGGGGGTGTTTCTGAGTTATCATATTCAGCCTGCAATTTGTCCAACCTTCCGAGATGAGACATACTTGGTGCTTTGAGACGATATCATCAATAGTTGATAGGGGGAGGAGTGTGAACAGACGCAGATACCGACCAACATCGTCATCCAAGGTCCGCATGAAGAACTTCATGGGTAGACATGAGTTAGAGATAGCTGAGAATCAACGTTGTGACTCGCCTGGTAAAAATCAAACACACTGGTGAAACTTTCATCCAACCACACAGCGTTGCCTGAGCTCTTCCCAAACTTTTCCCCCGTTGCTGTGGTGAGCAGAGGTGTGGTGATACCAAAACCTCTATCACCCTCTGAAGTTCCTGAAGTCGAAGAATTTGTAGTTCGGTTTATCAGCTCGATGCCTGCAATAATATTTCCCCATTGATCTGATCCCCCGATTTGGATAGTGCATCCAGCTCTTTTGTTAAGGGAAAAAAAATCATACGCCTGAAGAAGCTGATAGGAAAATTCAGCGAAAGAGATACCCTGCTGTGATTTGAGCCTGGACTGAACACTAGAAAAGAGATCAGGCGTCATAGAAGCAGATCTAGCAGCAAAGAGGTTGACCTATCTCGCGCTATCATGGTATTGACTCTGGCATATATTCCTGTTGAGCGTAAGAACTCCAATAACCCGAGTTCACCCAACCATTCAATATTGTTCATGACCCTAGCTGTGGAATACGACTCTTGGGAAGATGGACGTTTCTTCGCTGCATATGCTAGAGCGCGATCGAAGAATGTCTGGACGTTGGCTGTTAGCTTCTGCATATCCTCTTCGACAGCTGCCCTCTCTAGGTGTGGCCTCTCTGCCGAGCGTCCAGAGGGGTCGCCTATCAGAGCAGTAGCTCCACCTATCTAGCAACAATGAGAAACAAACTTCGCGCGTGGCACAATCGCCTTACGAGCGGAATGATGTGATGCCCTTGCAACTGGAAATGTACCAGACACATCATAGGTAATAGATGGCCGACATGCAGCGAACGCGCTGTTGGGTCAATTCCAGAATAGACGGTCTGACGACTAGCTTGAAGTGTGCCAATAAGCTGTTCACGCCTTCCATGATGTTCGTGAGAGTGGCTCAAGTGCTCGCAGCAAAACTGCTCACCTAGTAACCGCGGAGATGAATCCTCGATCCTCTAATTCTGACAGCACAGTCTCTGAGTGGAAGCAGCGCCGTAGATTGGGAGGGTGCCTTTGTAGTAGAAGTCTAGAGGTTCGTTTGAGGGGATGGAGTCGATGAAGCATGAGAAAGGGATGGCTGGCCTGACAGATCAGATCGGGAGGCAGTCTGAGGAAGTCTAGGAGTCTCCCTTTTCGATTAAACTCAGACTCTCCCGGAGCATCTTTGACCTTCGACTGGGGATGGAATTTGAAGTAATTGCCACATGTCACACTACCCGAGCTCGTGTATCTCGGATGAAATTAGCTCGTGAGTCTCCCGCTGAATGTTTACATCCTGTCCATCGCTCATGGCGCGCTTGTTATCTCAGATGGCATAACCATGCTGCCGACCTTCATGCCTGTCGCTACTCAAGCTGCGATCAAAGGACTCACACCCCAGCAGATGGAGTCCTTAGGCATCACCCTGATCCTGAACAACACCTACCACCTCAATTTGCGACCTGGAATGGAAGTACTCCGAGAAGCAGGGGGCGCGCATAAGTTCCAAGGATGGGATCACAATCTTTTGACGGTTCGTAACAACAACCAGTCACGCGAACTTGACTGACCATCAGCAGGATAGTGGAGGTTTCCAATTGGTTTCACTTAGTAAATTCACGCAAATTACGGAAGAGGGCGCACTGTTCGCAAGCCCTTTCACTGGAGAGCCAACGATGTTGACAGTTCGTGTTACGGATCACAAAATTGACGCTATTTCTTAAACTCATCGATGCTTTGATCCAAGCCAGAAGAAAGTATTTCGATACAACATGCCATTGGTGCAGATATTATCATGCAGCTAGACGACGTCGGTCGGTACAGCTTGAGCTTGTCATCTTTGTACCGCAGGCTGAGGCAGCGATTATTTAGTTTCCAGTTTGACTGTGGGATCAAGGGTAGGCGAGGCCATGTGGCGATCTGTTCGGTGGCTTGATCGTTGCATACGTTACCATGAAAAAGCAGGCAGGCAAGGTGTTCAAAATTTATTCGCAATCGTGCAAGGCGGTCTTGATCCAGAGCTGAGGGATCAATGCCTTGGCGAGATGATCAAACGAAAGGATTCAGTAGCGGGGTATGCTATAGGTGGGTTAAGCGGAGGCGAAGAAAAAGGTATTAATATGATGTCTACCTTCTAGTTCAGCAGACGCTGAATTTGGATTCTTGATAGATGTTTTTTGGAGAATGTAAGACATTGGGTCCTCCGATATACGTCTGCTCTTTTACCTGTTTTTTCAGAATCGAACAATGTACTGCAAAGCTTCCTGCAGATCGTATGCCAGCTGCCGTTCATCTTGCGGCCGTAGTCTCATAGTTTATTTTTTAAGGACCACGATATTCCATGGGTATTGGGTTTGCAGAAGGTAGAGTTGTCGGATATTTATCTCGGCCCAAACTAACTCTACCACAGATCTTCTGGTTTGCGTAGCCCTAGGCGTCGACATGGTTATTCAAAGAATACATACTGTCGATGGTCCCAGGACTGACTAGTCCCATAGGCAGATTGCGTGTTCCCAACGCGCACGGCCCGATTTGGAGTTGCACTTACATTTTATGGCCCACTTAACCTGAGTACATCTCGTTATTAACTTCAAGATTGCTGTTTGGTAAATCATGTTACCAGAATTGAACAAGCATGCAAAAGATTTCAATCCGATCGACGACACTTGTCCGTGTCCAACTTGTAGTGACGGCGTTTCCAGAGCTGTACTTCACCACTCTGTCACTCGAGAAACAGCGGCCGCTCACTGTAGATCAACCTTTTCTCGAAATGAGTTCCCATGCTGATCTAAAATTTAACAGCTATCACCCAACATAATCTCGCATTCCAGGCTCAGATTATGGGACGGGCACGCGATGCAATTGTAGATGGGACGTTCCCAGCATATCTACGCGTGTTCTTTTCCAACTACTTCAAGGAGGATGGCTACCCAGAATGGTGTGTCAATGCATTGCGTAGCGTTGGCGTGGACTTGCTCGAGGGCAACCCAACAGCGAAAGTGAATAGAGGAGATGGTGCAAAATAAGAGTATTCTGATAGCCGAGCTACAGACCGGGAAATGTAATAGACTGTAATGTCTACCGCTTGCCTTTCTTATGACTCGGTCGTGCATTTTTGGCCCGCCTGTTGCTCATCGTACTCCGATCCCTTCGGATTTGGTCCGCTGTCTTGAGCTCGCTTTTGACTGTCCTAGGGGGTTTGCCCTTGTATCGACTGCTGATCTCACGCCCCGCGCTTGCATTGAAACGCTTCCCCGCATTCTCTACTTCTCCGACTCGAGGTAGACTTATCCGATTTTTCGCCTTCCACTCATCAAATCGACCGCTGCGATATGTTGCCGGAAGCTTGGTGCCACTTTCTGTTCTGACCATCTTGACATTGTCCGCGCCAGCACCGTCCCCTTTGATGAATTTCTTTTTTTTTGTATCCCAAGTCAAGCGTGCACGTTTTTTATTTGCAATCGCCTCATCTCCAGCGAGATCAAAAGTGGCGTTCCGTGCTTGTTCGGCGAAAGTCGCCCCGTCGCGAAGTGAGTAGCTAGAGAGAGAGGTAAGATAAAATTGCGGGATCGTCAAATTTGTGGGAATTACCCTTTTTCCGTTTCAGCACCTTTTTGATAGTGGGACATGTAAAATTGTGTGTCATGCGTGGGTGTTGGTATGACAGCGGCCCTCTCAACTGCTTTGTTCAATGCTTTCCTTCTCTCCTGCATCAGCGTCACATTCCCGGCTTTCCCCCTCATTCCAATCTCCAGTGCTGTCTCCTGCGGGCGAAACGAATTCACCTTTCTCAACAGCACCTTCCTTTCATCCTCATGAGCTTTCTCTTGTGCCGATTTCTCAGCACCTGTACCTTTGAGTAGGAAGACAGGATGCACACTGCCCTCCGATTCAGCCCCAGCTAATCCCCACGTCCCTGGTTCCTTCATCATGGCCTTTGCGCGCTTATAGCTTGCTTGACTCGCTTTACCCTTGCTACGTTCGTACATCCCTTGACCCTTTCTCATGACCTGCCGCAGAGATGGTAGGGAGTGATTTGCTTCGTCAAGTGACTGGATGTACTCCGCCTCTTCGTCCGTCTTGTCCCGCGCGAAGGTGCCTAAGATCAAAGAATCTGCGTACAAACTTCTGTTCCTGGCATCCGTACTAGTTATCAGGGTTTTGATCGGGCGCCCAAGAAATAATTGCAAGTCAATCAAGTGTGGAAGCTCGACGTTAGTGACAAACGACCAAGCCCAACCATGTCGTCCAGCACGAGCAGTCCGCCCGATACGATGCACAAACACACGGGCCCCTTGCGGAAAATCGTAGTTCACGACATTCTCTAAGACTGGGATATCGATACCTCGAGCCGCAACATCTGTGACCACAAGGATATTGGTCAAGCCACGGCGAAATTGCTCCATTTGTTGCGTGCGCGCGACTTGATCGAGAGCGCCGTAAATGTGAGAGACAGCGTACCCCGCAGTGACAAGGAGATTGGTAAGATATTCGACATGATGTTTCGTCGCAGCAAAAACTAAGGTTTGATGAGGTGCTGTGTATTGGTCATGAACCTTCCTTTTCTTCTTCTGCTCATGGCTCGCACTGTTCTGATCTTCTCCTTTCGTTCGGATGTCGTTAGAGCCTAAAGGTACGCATATGACATCCCTTAGCAGAAGAAGGAGTGACGCGTCCTTCTCAGCTTGTTTTACAGAGAAGAATGCCATGGTCAGGTCCGGGCTAATCTTGCTTTCCGAATCTAGGCGGACAAGTTTGGGAGCTTGAAGTCCTGCTCGAGCAAATTCGACCAAAGATTTCGGCAAGGTGGCGGAAAAAAGAATGGTTTGGCGACTCGGAGGAAGCCGATGAACTATTTCTGTAAGGGCAGTCTCGAATCCCATCTCGAAGAGGCGATCAGCCTCATCAAAGACGACGTATTGCACAGAACGAAGATCGAGGTTCATCTCAACGATAAGATGGAGGAGACGACCTGGTGTAGCAATGATACTGGCATGAAATGTGTCAATAATCGAAGGAACAGAGATACGACTAAACTCACACATCCGGATTATTCGATATCATCTCGAACTGCTCATCCATACCCTCTCCGCCAACAATGAGCCCCCATCTAAGCCCTTGCCCTCCTTTATCTTCATCCGCACGATCTTTATCGCCGGCATGGCTTCCCTCTCCGTGCCTCCAGCCACGAGAAAGCTCTTTCCCTACCTTCAAGACTTGCAGTGCAAGTTCGCGAGCAGGCAAGAGGATGAGCGCACGAGCGCCAAATGTCGCAGCATGCCTTCCGCCAAGGCGCTGAACGAGTGGGATCAGAAAAGCAAGAGACTTTCCCGACCCTGTACGCGCCATGCCCACGAGGTCACGAGGTGGATGCGAGAGCAGTACTGGGATAGACTGTCGTTGAATTGGTGTAGGAACACGGAATCCTTGAAGGGTCAATGAACGCAACAGCCATGGATGTAGGCCTATTGTACAAGATGACCTAGGTTAGTACTGATTGGCAGTGTACATAACAACATACCCATGCTCTGAAAACTTCCTCCACCAACTCTACCATCATTGGCAAAAGGCACTGATTCTGTGGGCATAGTGCAGACACGGCAGACAGGAAATAGCACGTCTGCCGTCTCATTTGCGGTCCGCTGACTCAGCGCCCGAGTTCCACCTCGCGCGCGGTGGCCTGTCAGGACCCGGCATACTTGGAAATCACATGCCCACAAAAAGTAACGAGAATTATCTAAGCAATATGCAACACATTGTGGTTCGGATTTCACTTTCACTTTCACGAGAATCTCACAACGAGGCCCTGCAACTGTTTGAAAATAGCAACTGTTTGAAAATATATAGTAGGCTTATGTTGGAAGAGTCTCTTGTATGTGCCAAAATCACCTGCTATACAGGATGGTCATGTGATAAGCAGAGTAGAAGGAGGTTTTCTTACTTGTTTTCTTGTTTTTCCCCTTAGTTCTCTTATTGGAGACTGAAGTCAGTAATCTAGTATATATGCACATTCTTGCTTAGTAGCTAATATCCACTATAGTGTCTTATGTCAGAAAAGATAAATCTTAATAATAAGGGCTTATATGTTAGGACTATGTCCTAATATATGCTTTATGTTATGATTATGGTCTGCCAGGGCCTCTAAGGCCTAGTCTAACTGGCAACTAATCATGACAAATACTAAATGGTGCTAATCATGGCACAGACATTATGGTCTAAGGTATAATCCTTAGGTTATTGACTCCTAGTAAATATCATCAGTACTAGTCAAGTATCATAGGAGGTTATATAGAGGTGACCATTAGGGGGCTTATTATCATTACTTCACAGAAGAACCCATACCATCATAATTCTAGGTTGAAAGGAGATAATAGGAGAAGCCCAAGAGTAGTTGTTGGAAAAGGGCAGAAACTTAGAGAATGCCAAGAGGAACTAGTGGCATTCTCACAGTTTCCCAAAGTAGTATAAAAGGCCCATAGAATAGGCTGAAGATCTTTAGTCTATTCTCTTTATTTGGTACTATTTTCCTATAGTACTCTACAACAACATACTTGTCTATCATAGTTCTCCCCTACTATGCACTCTAAATATCATCTGCTCCTATATGCTCATATAGTTGGGACCATTGTTCTACTCTTCCTTATCATGTGACCTAAGAAAGAACTTTCTACTCTTGGGTTTACTAAATGAGCAATTTGTAACACTAAAATAGACTTTTCTTGCCCTTATCTTACATGACCTCTAGCTTGCTACTATGCTCTTTCTCATAACTCTTCTTAAAGGGGTATTAGACTTTCTATTAAGTAATAGTTACTATTTTACACTCTGGAGCAAGACCTAGGCTGAAACTTTCCTCCTGGCACCATATAAATCAATAGAGAACTCTATTATAATAATCACCTTATTTGATAGGAAGGGATCCTTTGGTTTTACTAAGACATCACATTTGGAAAATCACTCTCTTGTATTATGCTCTAATTATATCTATTTATGCATAATTAAGAAGGATTAGAATTAGAGATTATTTGCTTATTCTCCTCTAAACCTATTCTAATTAGATATGATTTTCCTAAATTAGAAATTATTGGGATTGATTATAACTTGAAATTTCGGAAAAATAATAATAAATCAAGTATCATAGTTTTCATAGCCTTTTTATAGAGTCATGTTTATTAAAGCACTAGTTAAATACCTAAATACAGAATATACCTTACTCCAAACTTGCCTTTTGCCAAAGTTGAACCAATAACCTCATATATGCAAGCACCCAGGACATATGCTCTAAGCTACTAAGCCATAAGGTTTAATATATTAACTTGGTAATCTAAATAAGTAAAAATAATATAGGCAATCTCAATATCTCTGATTTTATTCAATATTTATCTTTCCTCTGTCTTATAAATAAATAGGTCAATAAATGCCCAAAAAGTCAGATCTTTTAGGATTTAGTTTAAATACCAGCTAAAAAGATAATAAACCAATGGAAAATAAATAATACACTTTATTTAGAGTAAAAATAAATTGTGGCACTTACATAATTTGGATTTAGAATATATAAAACTATGATTGAGTGTAATATTCAATGGGACTCTACTAGTATAGACAATGCTACCTTAATTAGTAAATTTGATCAAAAACATGATTATGAATAATCAGCCATAATTAGCTCAAATTAGTATTATCAATAATTATCAATAATTCAGATCCAATAAGAGAGAGGGGTTTTCCAAATAGCCACTAGTAAGGTAAAGGGTGAGGACAAGGGTATATATATGGCATGCCTATGTATAAATAAGCACAAGATTATTAGAGATGATCTTGATATACTTAGTGCACATATTTCCTACATGGCAGGCAAATATATCATTCTGGCATCATATACCAGCATGACTGTCTTTTTCATAGCCCAATAGCTAGAGGAAAACACCAAGTTTAAGCATCTTTTGTATAACAAGGCAATAAACAATGTGGATAGTGCTAAAAAAATAATATCAATGGTAATGATAATTGTATGCTGCATAAGAACAGTATTGACCACTACACTGATAGACAAGGTCTGTAAGGCTGTATATAGCACATTTCTAAGCCCAACCCACATGCTGTGTCCGTAGCAGGCATTGGCTGACAATAGCAACTTCAATGATCTTATATGCAAGGCCAAGGTACTAAGGTCTTTATAGCCTCTCATAGCAGCTGCCAAGCTGCCAACAAAGTGGCTGGGGGCATCAATGCACATTTCTCTCTTTCTATGTCCTTTATAAAGGCAGCTGAAAAGTTAGCAAAAGAGCTACAAGATAATGGTGCAGGCATACATAAAGGAGAGTAATGTGCTGAAACAGCATAGAATATGCCACATCTTTACCTTCTCACTGATAGAGCAGTGGTACTTACTATTTCCTATTGCTAATTAAAGACTTCTTGGTATGGAATTAGTGCTAATATTATGAAATTAGAAACTATCTTTTTAGCCATAGAAGAAAGTGGTTCCTAATCTGGAAATCCAATTCAATGCTTATAATGTGTTGCTCCCAATTAGGAAATTAGATACCTTTTAATGCTATTAACACTTTTAGATAATTTTAGACACTATTAGATATAATCTAGAGCTAATACAAGGGGGTGGTTTTCCAGATGTCTAGATAAATAGAAGTAACAATATAGCCATTGATAGTTTCCATTCAAATATATGGTAGTGAGTCAAACTCAATCTTGTTTTGACCTCTCTTTTTCACTAGTAAGAAAGAAGTCACATAAAATCCTCTACTAGATTGGTCAACAAATTATGTCACCCTTCTGAATTTAGTTCTTTGAAAACCTTTCAGATAGTAGCACTATCACTGATGACTCTATCTCTTCATTATCTGCCAAACAATATATGGCCTTATTGATTGTCTAATAGATGTTATTAGGAAAGGGAAGTGTTTACATATTCAAGCAGATTACCAGGTTGTGGTAACCACTAGTTATCATAATGAGGACTTGTCATTGCCATTCCTCAATATATTCCCACTTAGTTATCCAGAGTGGGTCCTTTGTCACCTTTATCTTTAAAATCCACTGTGTGGCTTTTTCTCCCTTTATTATCCATCAATCTATATGGGCCTTTATATATAACTAGAGGCTTTCTGCATGATAAATGACAGGCATTGCTCTAATGCCCAATTTTTCCATAGCAATAACAGGTATCAGTTTGCTTGCCATCATAGAGATGTTTCCAATAGTTACCTGCTTATTTATGGGTGGCATTAATGTCTATGTTCACAACCTGGTTATTTATTTTATAAGGAGCATTGGTGGATTTATAGCAGAGAGTGGGTTAGAGATTGAAGTGGTTTAGGAATTCACTTTTAAAGGAGATGAAGCAAGCAAGGATGGCTTTTGGGGCTTTTTAGGCTTTTATATGTGTATCCACTTCACAAGCAGTATTGATCTAGCTTTGAATATTATCTTCTGGGGCAATTTCTTTATTATAAATTTTGTCCATGATATGATAATCTAGCCCTCTTTGAAAATAAGGCACTTGTTCCTTGTCAGCAATAATGGCATTAGTAGCAATAAAGAGGAATTAGTTAGGATATTTGTCCACAGTCATATTTCCTTGGGAGAAAGCCATGAGAGTACTTCATGCCTTGCCCTTTTTATTAGACTCCCTGAATTAGAGCCCAAATTTGGTTAGAAAGTCCTTTCAATCCCCTAAGTTCTTGGGAGTTTCAGTGCCTACTATTTTGGTTAGGTGATTTTTTATCCAAGTTCTTGCTATGCTGTGCCTTATATAAGAGAGTACAGGGGAAATCTTGTCCTGATTAGTCTTATTCCTATCTAACTCTACTGTAAAAAAAAGGAGACACTGAAGTATAAACTTCTAAGATTCTATTTGGTCCCCTGAGTAATTTTTGGGGAGTTTGACCTTCCCTCTTCTAGGTTATGTAAGAGCAAAAGAGGTAGTTCCTGACCCTTGTCCTAATATCTTGGTGTAAGTATGTGGGTTTCAGGTTATGATTGGTGTTTGATTAGGTAATGAATTGGACTTTCAATCAGAAGTAGTGTCTTTTTGCTTTGAGGAGTCATCCAGAGTCTCTGATTCTAGGCCTCTGTATTGTAAAATGATGTCCAGATGTTTTATTTCCAGAATAGTATACTTAGGAAGAGGGTCCTAGTGATTTTCTGTTTTATTCCAAAGAAAATCTTCCTCTACTCCATTAGTATGTGTGAAGTAATATTGCTTATTCCTATATAAGCAGTTATTATAATTTGTCACAAACAGCTGTTCAGGACGAGAGATTCCTAATCCACAAATTGGCATAGATACAAGAAGAATGATGGCAAGGTTGATAGATGTGAAGAGGCAGAGCTGATCAGACCAATGCTTGAGAATCAGGGAAGACTGACAAACAGCGGTTCCTAGATTGGACAGAGGTGGATAGCCTAAGGCTTCCCTACTGCGCCGCAGCTATTATAAATATATACAAGCAAGAGCACGGACTAACTAGCAGTGGATCAGAAGCACGAGGTATAGTCGGGAGAAAGGTCCTATATGTCCTTATATGGATTGTGGGAACCACAAGAAAGATATAGTAGGCAGTTCATA